ATAAATAGAGAATCTTCTCGACTATGAGCTGCTCTTCATTATTGTTGAGTTTACGCGAGTTCGCAAGGGTTTGCGCGCGTGGGTGGATGCCGAGGTGTCTTTCGCGGAGGGTTTCAAATGGAACGTCGTATGCATTTGCTGCAGCTCGAAGAGATGGAACTTGGTGGGTAATATATGCTTGAAGGGCTAAAGAAAGTCTTCCCTCAGTTTGAGAGAGCATTGTAGGCAAATATTGTCATATAATAAGAGGAAGAAGCTCGAAGACGCGTTGTGGGCGCGTTTTGACCGGCTCGGTGGTGTGACCGGCTCGGTGGTAGGGTACGTTAGCCCGAGCCTGTCTTCCACCTCGAACCTAGCACATTATGCGACGACAAGATCACCTCTATTTGCAAGAGTTACTCATATTAATCTCGCCTCAGCAGAGCTTAAACATGATATTTGACTGTACGCTGTGGAGTTGAAGACGCCACTCTGCCGATATCTTCGAAAAGCCATAGTGAAGAGAAGAGAAATCCTTCTGGCGGCAGAGTACCATCGCAAGGTAGGATCTCCCACGCCTTGTCAAGCACGCAATCGCAAGAAACCACATGGGCATACGGCAGGGTCCTACTTTTCAACCACCATGACATTATAACAACGTGGAAAGACTACTTTCTTAGTATTATAGAGAAAATATCTCTCAGGGCTGAACAAGAATTAATCTCCGACCAATTTTGGTTGCTACTTATACATTCTTGCCCATGTTCCTCGGATCTGCAGTCAAGAACTGCTAGCTGCGCCTTCAGCTCCAAGTCTTTACATACATGATGGCGACCCACAACACCTACAACTCGGCGAAAACAGCCACCATCCACGAAGACCACGATGTCGAGAAAACCTCTAGTCGCGGTAGCCGTGGTGAATACATGGCCTCCGGAATTCCAAGCACGCAAACCCTCGCCCGCCGCCTCTCCGCCCGCCAAGTCCAAATGATCGCCATAGGAGGCACGATCGGAACAGGCCTGTTTCTGGGCACCGGAAACTCCCTCGCAAATGGTGGTCCCGCGAGTATGCTCATCTCGTATGCGATCGTTGGAGCGATTGTGTTTGTTACGATGCTTTCGTTGGGAGAGATGGCGGCGTTCATTCCGGTCGCGGGGAGTTTTTGTACATTTGCAGGGAGGTTTGTTGATGATGCGTTTGGGTTTGCATTGACTTGTAAGTTGGATTTCCCTGACGTTCGTTTTGGGGAGGGGGTTGGGGGGGATACGAGAGCCGAGGATGAATTGATCCCATCCTGAGATCGAAGCTGACGTCGTCGAAAAGGGAATTATTGGTTCAATGATGCCGTCTCTACCGCGACCGACTTGGTCGCTTTGCAGCTTCTTCTTCAGTACTGGACGGATAATTTCCCTGGTTGGGCGCTAAGCTTAATATTCCTGTTCGTGCTCATCGGCATGAATGTACTCTCAGTCAGAGTCTACGGCGAGATAGTACGACACCACCTCTGATGTTGGCTACACTTACAATGCTGACTTTCCTTGCAGGAGTATTGGCTCAGCTTGCTCAAAGTCATCACGATCATTATTTTCATCATTCTCGGCATTGCCGTGAATTGTGGCGGCAACACTTCGCGTGAGTATATCGGTGCCAGGTACTGGTATATCGGCGATGCGCCATTTGTGAATGGCATTGGTGGCTTTGCGTCGGTGTTTGTCACTGCATCGTTCGCATACGGTGGTACCGAGTCCATCGCGATCACGGCCGGCGAGACGAAAGATCCGGCGAGGACACTTCCCAAGGTCGTCCGCAATGTGTTCTGGTAAGTTCCCGATCACTATCGACACTCATTTGATGCCCAGCTAAGAGAATTCCGACGCTGATGATGATACACAGGCGCATCCTGATCTTCTACATTCTCTCAATCCTAATCATCGGCCTCAATGTCCCATACAACTACCCCGGCCTGTCCACCAAGAACAGTCACACATCGCCCTTCACAATTGTGTTCCAAATGGCCGGTTCCCAGATCGCAGGATCCTTCATCAACGCCGTCATCGTCACAAGCGTCCTCTCCGCTGGGAACCACGCTCTCTTTGCAGGCTCCCGCTTGCTTTACTCTCTCGCGACCAATCATCACGCCCCGAAATTCTTCGGCGTCGTGAACGGCCAACATGTCCCATGGGTCGCTGTACTCGCGACTTCAGCGATCAGTGGACTCTGCTTTGGCGCGAGCTACATTGGTAAGATTCATCTTGGAAAATTGGTGAAGAAAATCCTAAGCACATACTAACTATGAATAATCCCATAGGCGCTGGCCAACTCTGGACCTGGCTCCAAAACATCGTCGGCGTAAGCAATCAACTGTCCTGGATCGCCATCGGGATCGCCTCACTCCGCTTCCGCGCGGGGATCAAAACACAAGGCCTCGAACATCTTCTCCCCTACAAGAACTGGACATACCCCTACGGGCCCCTGGCCTCTATCATCCTCAACTCCGTACTCGTCCTCGTGCAAGGCTGGAAGAGTTTCTCGCCGTCATTCTCGCCGGTCGATTTCGTGAGCTTTTACATTGAGTTACCAGTCATGTTAGTTATGTTTGTGGGGTGGAAATTGTTGAAGAAGACGAGGTGGGTGAGGCTCGAGGAGATGGATCTCGTGACTGATCGATTTGATATCGGGATGAGTCAGGAGGAGAAGGAAGTTGCCCTTAGGAAGGCCCCGAGGTGGAAGGGTTTGACATGGAGGGAGAGAGCGCTTGCGGCGGGTACGTCGCTATTTCTTTGATGCAGGCAGGTCATGATGTACTACGATTTATGACGATCTATATCGCGATTTTGATACGATTTTCAATTCCGGTACGAATATATCACGTGACCCTCGATGAACTGATGCTTCCAATGTCGCTCCAAAATGACTCTTCGCTTACGTTCGCATAGATTGTATCTACATACATGATCAATCTAGAAAGGGAGAATTGTTGGATGAATAAGAATAAAAGGCTGAAAGCCGTGCTATCGTTGCCTCGACGCTGATTAGATTGTCGACGGGTGATATGAGATTTTCCTGCGGATATGCTTCCTCGTCCTCAGCAACATTAGATATGGGAAAAATGACGATGGTTTCTACGACGACGAATACCGAGTCCCATTGAAAAAGGAATCGATTTCGTAACTAAGCAAGCTAAATATGCGCCTCTTTGATGCATGTCACGAACTCGTCTTCTGTCCACGATGAACACATTCCTCCGGAGCTTTCTATGCTCTCGATAACACTCTCGCACCTTTAACGTCCGCCTACCTTGACCAGCTTGATGCGAATCTTAGCCATTATGGGCCCCGAAAAAATCTCCGTCTGGCACGATAGTGATGATAAATCTACACCCATTAACCTCACAAGTCTCTGCGAGATCGTTAGCACTCATTTCGACACTCCCTGCAGATTAGCGAAAATCGCAGAGGGGGGATATCACAAGGTGGATTTCTCTCAGGAAGATTTTGAGCTGCTCGCTGATGCGTAGGATAAACGAACTGATGGAATCAATCTCAGGTGTATGAAATTTATCGAGCGGACGATCAAGGCTCATTTTCGGGCACGACGAGTCTGAATGCGGTGGCCAGAGTCGCTTCAACGGCTTTCCCTAAGGATAAGATGATGTCCGAGGTGAGCAGATTGATCTTGCTGAAAGCAGTACTTTCACTCACTCGTCACATTTCGACAGTACAATATATTGGCGCTCATACATCAGTGCCAGTACCGTCAATCATGGCGTGGGATGTGGATGCTGCTAATCCTGTCAGCGCAGAGTATATGATCATGGAGAAGGTATATGCGGGTTTTCTTCGCCGCTCTTTGCGTTCAACAACCGGATCTAACGACGAGAGAATCATAGATGCCGGGAGTGGTAGCCTCGGAAGTATGGTAAACACTAGTAGGTGATATCAAAGAGAAGGTTGTGATCCAGGTAGCTGAGCATCTCGCTTCTCTCTTTGCTCTTCGATTCAATAAAGCGGGCTCCCTTTACTTTATATTTTCGCCTGGTTGTTCGGATCGGACTGCTGATGAAGCTAGTAAGTTCGAGGTTGGTCCCATTGTCTCGACTCCATTCTACCGCTCTTTGGATGGCTTCCATGACTATCCCAGTACGGATCTACACGTACCAGGGTCAACTTTGACCACCGAGCTTCAATTTTTACGCGGCCCATTCACGAACACTGGCGACTTCTTGGCCCACTATCTCCAGGCACCCTCTTTCAAGATCGAGAAGTATCCAGGAGAAACACTACAGGCGCTGATGGATGACAGCGAGGTTGAAACCCTCTCCGAAGATCCAGTGGCACAGCTACACTTGAAGCGCGAATGGGCGCAAGGAATAAACCAGAAGGCGCAGAGTGTGCTTAAAAAGGCTATGAAGCTCTGCGATTACTATTCTGATGATCCTCCTGTGGGCCCTGACATACCTCCACCCTCGGGATTGCCCTTCACGTTGTACCTTGACGATTTCTGACTCAACAACATCCTGGTGTGTACAATCCTACATGGACGCTGCCCACATTTATTCTGCTAATCGTTCCATAGATCGACCCCAAAGACGGTGAAGTTCGTGGCTTCATCGATTTCGAAGGTGCGATCACCGCGCCCCTCTGGTTCGCGGCATCTGTGCCCGACTGGATTCCTGACCCAAACGGTGACATGGCGTCGTGATATGGTGGAACACCTCAGGACCAACGTCGAGTGTGGTCTGCATTCCACACAGCTATGGCTTGTTACAGCCAGGAATGGGTCAAAGCAGAGGAACATGGCAGGCGATTGCGGGAGTGGAAGGGATACATAGGCCTGGATGTGAAACGATGGGCAAGTGAGGATATGGAGAGTTGGGTTGATGAAAGACTTGCGCAACAAGCAGATGATCATGGCCTACAATTAACGAATTCACAGCTGCCTGCTGATAGAGTTTCTCCACTCAGCCAAGTGAGGCGGACAACCTTCACAGGGGCAAGTGCAGGCTACGCCAAACACATGCAAGGCTAGAAGCTACGTCGTCTCATCTCGGACCTGGCAATTTTCCGTAGATATTATAGATGAAAGACACAACAAACCGTATCATTACCCTGTTAGAAGTTCAGTGACTTAGATATACACTCCGGCCCTCTGTCTCAATAAATGCTTGGTATCAGCAGACATTTTCTCGTGAACATTCACTTGCGCAATACAGGTAAACATACTTTGTGACGCAGTCTACTTGGGTGAATAGATTGAAGTCAGAAATGTTTAGCCTGCCATGAATTTGTATTCGATGTAGAGCCATGATCTTGAGACAGAAAGCGACCAATATTGCAGGATCCCAGCACGCCGAGACAACGGCTCACGTCGGTAGATACTAACGCTGATGCTAAGCCTTGGCCTCAATGCTTTTCTTGACAGCCTCGCATCTTGAACAGCTTTCCTTCGCCATGTTGACCCATCTGCTGTGCGTTATGGCTTCGACCTTGCCCGACTGTGGGGTGGCTGTGCCCGGACCAGAGCACACTCTTTGATGATCGCCGCAGTTTCAATACGGAATCCCGCTCTGAGACTTACTTCGTTGCGGCTTGTGCAACACGTACTGATCGATGTGCTCCAGACTCGACCCGCGAGTCTGAGTTGATCTCCGTTTCCGTTTCGTTACAAGCAATGCTTCTGTTGCCTTCGAGTCTCAACGTGAATAACCTGTCCTCACTTCGAGTGCCAACTGTGTTTGGATCGGTTCCCGGAAATGCGAGGAGGCTTTGTCATACAGTATCCAGACCTTGCCCAGAAGCGCAGTAATGCCAAGGGCATTGGGGATCTTCGTTCGTTAACGGCCTGGCACATTTGGCTAAAAGCAAATCCGAGATTTTGACCGCGCGTAGAACCTTCTATCTGACAGCTGTGGGCCACGAATGCAACATTGTGGACTTATTTTTTGACCTTGCACGCTTTCTCATGTTGTCGGGGCCGAGTATGCACATGTCCAGTACGCGTGCCTCAGTGTGGTCGTTCCGTGCATCGCGAAAATGGGGTTCAATGTGAACCACGCCTGTAGGTCATGTCCTACTAAAGGTGCATTGATGATGGTTGATCATAAGATCATGTGGGCCATGCATTATTTGCGATAAACCATTCTAAAGTTCACGAAGCCGATGGATATTCGAGAAGCCGGAATGTCACTACAGATCGGCAAAACTTCGGAATTTATACGACTATTCAATACCGCCATTGTCCAGATATCGACAAATGTCGCGAGTTCGGCACTGTTCATCATCGCATCTTGCGCTCCCGCGAATTACTTTGCGTCCGGCGATGTGAAAATCGTCTTGCTGCCGGCTTGATGCCGCAATCTAACCCTTCTACGACCACGTTGTCTTCGTACGCAAGCTCGATTCGATCTTCGTCGTCGCTTCGTCGGCGTTCTGCTCAGAATGAGAAGTCGTCTGCGCTATTGCATCCTGAAGATGCTTTTTACAATTCACCACCAGGCAACTTTGCGCGCGCCCGGAGTCCCCTTGGCCGTAATGATACAATAACCCAGCGAAGTCGAGACAAAAGATCCGGGCGCAGTGGAAGTCGGCGAAGAAGAGCTGCTGCTGCAATTCATGGATCAACACCTGTCGGAGGAACGTGGAAGAAGTTGTTGTGGGTGAAACAACAATATCCAGACAACTATACGGACGAGGAGACCTTCTTAGATCATCTGCAGCGTAACCCAAGATGGAGACCATATGAGTTCTGGCCACTTGTAGCAGATTCAACGATCATCGTGCAGCACATATGCTCTGTGATTATCTTCGTCTGCTGCTTTACTGGCATTTTTCAAGAGCGCGTGAGTCCACAGACTGTGGTGGGCTGGGCGACAATTTGCACTGTCGCAAGTTGGGTGTTCCGGGACCATTGGCAGAGTCAAAGCGATGCACCAGAACATGCTCTAGGCAACGATCACACTGAGGAAGAACAAAACCGCGCCTTGCAGTCTGGGTCGTCGGTACATGAGGATGATATTCGCACACACTCTCGAAATGTCTCGGGCGCGACTTCCGCCAGCTTGGGTGAAGCACCCCAGATGCATGCGCGCGATCGAAATAGCACATCTACGCCCATCGACAACAATCCTACATGGTATGCGCACTCTCCGAGCCAGGCACCAGATTCTACCATTCCCACCGGCTCTCCCTTTATCCGGCCATGGAATGGAAAGGCATCGGCCTTCTCACCAAGAACCCAAGAACGTCTGATGACCGCCAAGTCTGCCGTGCTCATCTATTGCAGCCTACTTGGTCTCTCACCCATTCTGAAATCTCTCACCCTGTCCACTTCTAGCGACAGTATCTGGGCACTCAGCAGCTGGCTGATGGGCATCAACGTGTTCACCTTTGACTATGGCGCTGGCCCTGAAGCTAAATTCCCTGCTTCTCTCAGTACCAACGCGGCGCTGATGGCGAGCACAGTGCTCGCCAGCCGTCTTCCATCCACCACTCATGTCTTCAGCCTTACACTGTTCAGCATTGAAGTATTTGGTCTATTTCCTGTCTTCCGCAGACACTTGCGCTATCATTCTTGGACGGGACATCTACTGCTCACGACTGTTTTAGTGATCCTCGCTGGGGGCGGTTTGAGTATGACGATCTCTGGCGGAGGTTGGGGCATGGGCGTATTGGGAGTTATACTCGGCGGGATCGTTACGTGTCTGAGCATGGGTATGACAAGCTGGTGGCTCATCGGCCTGCAGCGATACAAGAACGAGATTCATGGGCCGTGGGACCCAGCAAGGCCAATCATTCGAAGGTCTTACTGAAAGTCACGGTCATTGTAGTTTTCAGATGTATGCCGTTCAGATTGCAAGTGATGAGAATATCCCGGAAGACATGATATGTATGTGGCAGCATGTCCATTGTGCAGGCGAAGCTTGTCAGTTTCACCTGTGCTAACCAGGACTACACTTCGTTGGGAAACGGAAGGCCTGAGCCATCATAAGCCTTGGACATTAACCATGTCAGCTCTTCTTTGTCATCTCCCACGCAATCTTGAACGAAAGACTCCAGATCTGGCGCACCTATCCCCAATGCCAGGTTCAGACCATGCGCACCCAAGACCGCCTTCAGCGGACCCAGGACATGGTTGTTCTTGTTCTTTTCCGCACGTCTAAAAGCGTATGAGAGCGCAGTATTTCCCTTGGTTTCGCGCTCTGATGATACGACGTTGATGTCAAATGCCTGTCGAATAATCAAAAGCGTCGCGATCTCCACTGCATCCCAAGATAGTGCATAGGCAAACAACTTCAATCCAGCCTCTGCTTCGAACTTCTCGGGAATTCTACGCAGCAATACCTTAGCATTCCCTGGGCTTTCGGGTGGGTCCAATGTCCATTCAACACTGGTGAAGCCTTCCTTGCACTCTACCGATGCGCAGGATTCATCAGCGTCGAGTAACTGCTCAAATATTTCTGGCGTCGAAGTTGAGGCGGCGAGTGAGAGTGCGTTGCGACCTCTGCAATCCCGAACTTGAACGTCGATGGCCTGCTTCTGCTGAAGGAGGAAATCGACAATGTCATTACGTCGTTTGGTGACAGCATACATTAAAGGCGTTCTTCCTCGGTTGTCTTGTGCATTAAGTACAATTCGCCCGTCTGCGACAATGATCTTGACCAGATCCGTTCTGCCCTGCTCACATGCAAGAGACAATAGGCTTCTTTCATCCCAATCGAGCTGGGTCACATTTGTTCGCTGGTCGCCGAGTAACAATTTCAAGCATTGAGACGATCCCGAGACAAGTGTGCAGAAAAGCGGCGCGGCGAGAATTGTTTCAGCAGTATTCGGATTTGAGTTTGGAAAGTTCAGAATTTCTCGCATAGTCTCCGCAGAACCGGCAGATACGGCGGCTGCTAACGGCGTGAGACCGGAGGGCCCAGTCTGAACGATACTCATGGGTCGCCTGTCAATCCAGACCTTGGCCACCGCAGCATGATCCTGTTGTATGGCGTCGAAGAGCGCACGTTGCGCAAGCCAGTCGGGTTTATCGCTAGCCTCAGCCTTTCCAAGCAACTCGTCAACGGCCTTCGAGTGACCGTTCCAAGCTGCCCAGTACAGAGCCTCGGATATGACTTCCTCACGAGGAATATCCTTGATGATCGAACGGAGGCCAAAATAGGATGCCAATATCAAGAGCGACGGCTGCTCAGGAAAATCCATCTCGAACGTCTCGATTTCATAAAGATGTCGAAGCCAATTCATACGATCACTGCGCTCTGGAATTCGCCTTGCGAGACTCTTCATAATTGGAGCATTGTCGCCTTCACATTGTCGATAATGACTTGTCCAGAACCTTGCAGCATATTCTAGCAAAGGATATGTATCTGCCATCATCTTCGCATGTTTTTTCTCCGATTGCAATGCGCTTCGCACGACGGCAGGTCTATTAAAGTCCTTGTCATCTGTCGCTGAGTGCGCCCGATCGTGGAGCCCCAATGGGAGCGCTTGGAAGGCTTTCTTGTTTTTGTCAGCGTCCGCATCGGACGCAATAACTCGGTTATCATGATGATCATCTGCACCATCTGAAGGGGGCACCTCCACGGTTGAGGTATCCGAGTCATCATCTGCACCATCTGAAGGGAACGTCTCCACGGTTGAGGTATCCGAGTCATCATCACTGTCGACAAAGTCTTTGAGCAGCAAGTACCGCATACTCTGCCGTGCTAAAAAACGTTGATCCTCGACAAGTGTGGCCTGGAACCACGTCCCGTCATTCCTGTCTGATTTATCTCTACCTTTGGCAAGGATCTCATACATGCAGTCGTGCTGAAATGTAACGCAACCATTCCGGACACGTGCCAAGTCATTGGTTTTTGCTTTCAGTACTTCTCCATTCGAGAAGTGGCTGGTATTCTCGAGATGAGTCGTACACGTGTGTCCTATCTCCAGAGAGACTAGGATGTTCAACTCGTCAAGAGTCAGGCCGCGTTTGGCAGAACCGATAGCTTGAAATGTTCTGCGGACGAGAGGCTTATCGTCGTCGGATATCTCATTGACTTTCGTTCGAAATTTCTCGATGAGATTTACCGAGAACTGCTCGCCAGGTGCCATTACGGTCTAGTCGATGCCAAAGGTAGTCGTGATGAGATGCTGGCTCTGCACCCGAATGTTAACGACGTAATGATCCGTAGCGAACGATGGACAAGATTCAATGAATAACTGCTCCGATAGAGCAGAATATTTTCCGCCATTATATAGGTGTTCTGTGTGCACGTATCGCTGTCAAACTTGCGCAAAGCGCTTATAATGTGCAGGACCACACGAGCACGACCGTCAAATCAACTGAAGTAAAAAATCTCAATGTTCCTGTGGCATGCGAAGTGTGTGCTTTGAGTTATACGATGGCTTGGTCTCACACATTGTTTCTGAGATCGATGCCAAAGGTAACTCTTCCTGTGGGTCGAACAACAGCGACATCAGCTTGGCAGGAGTCAGCATATTCTTGCGACATTTGCTTTCGCGGAGTTCGCGACAGGGAGATTTTGGAGGGCAACACCATGGCGTTTGTGGAATGCGGAGCACCATGCGCAAGAACGAGAAGCACTAGGTATATTGCAGGTACATCACTCTTGCACGATCCGGTTGGACGGAGAAATAAATTAAGCGCTTTGTCATTTTTGGATCCCTTGGAATGTGACTCGAGCAAAGCTTTCTGCGCAGCTCTGGAGGTCTTTTTTCAGCGAATACACAATTTGCTTGTGCGTAAGGAATGTAGCGCGCTGGACCCATGATGATATTCCCGTCTCGCCACTCCAGTGTATTGAGTACCTTTATAGCCACAAAGATTTGACCCGCCTCGAGCTGACCCACCGACCTTGCGCATGCATTTTTCGGATCCGCAATCACTGCGACGTCGAATAGCCAGCTGCTTCGTTCTTCGGCTTAGTGGCGAATCTGTGGCACTCGAGAGGCCATGCTATGTTCGACTGATTGCATGGCGATATATGGACCGGTCGTCAGTACCTCCGCGAATTGAATTGAGACGCTTCGACATTGTGCGACTGGCGAGCGCGCGTGCAGCAAGATCCCTGGCATGCATGTCGTTTGCTCTGTCGTGGACCCTGCGCGGGATACACCACCCCTTTCCCCCTGAGCAGAGTCGCGACACCTCATCAGGATTGATGGTACGTACAACGACAGAGGTGCCCTTCGTATAATATCTTGCAGCACCGCAGTAGAGCCTGGTAGCAGCCCGAGGCTCGATGTCCAAGCATGCGCCCTAAAGATATAAACAATCTGTTAGATTCCCTTACCCAAGATGCTGCACCGCATGTGTAACGTCAGACAACGTCAGCTATTCCAACCCTCAAAATGCAATCCGGCAATCAAGAGGTTTTGGATTTGCGAAGGATGAACGCATAATACTCAAACGAGTATTGATTCTCTTGCAGCGTCTCGACTTCCACACTCCAGAGATCTTCCTGAATCAAAAGGGGCTTCACGTGGATTGGCTGCCTGAATGTGATCCAGATGAAGACGCCGTCATCCGCAAGCACGCGCGAAACCTGTTTGGTGTGAGCATCGTTTGTTTATTCTCAACATCCGTTCTACTGACCTCTCTGACATATAGTCTTGCGTTTTCTTTGACATCGTCCGGTGGGCTCCAAGGGCTGCCGTAGATCATGGCGTCCATTGTGCCTTTGTCGAAGGCCACGTCCACGGAGTGAGTGGGGATTTCCTGCATATCGCGAACGTCGCCAAGAATCCAGTCAATGCCTGGGATCATACGAGCCCCCATGAGGCTTACGACAACAGGAGAAAAGTCAATGCAAACTTGATTTTTGTACCCGACTTTGTGTAGATCGTACGGAACGGTCTGTATGTCTGTTAATCAACCATCGCCTCACATCGTACACCAGAAGCTACGGACACTGTCACCGGAGCCAAGGTGGAGTATTCTTGGGTTCTTTTCAGGTGCGCGGTCTTGGAAAATGACCTTCGTCAAGAATGGCTGCAAGGCACTATAATTCTTGAACCACTCATGGGTCGGCTGCTCGCCATCAGAGACTGTGTACCTGCCATCCCAGTACACGGCAAAGGCGAGTTCTTTCTGATCTTCCTTGGTTCGAGTCATTTCTATAAGGCTTGTGAGAGAATGCGAACGGTCAGGATGTCATTTATGTTTGCGCTGATATGACTAACATCTCAATGTACAGATGGTTTTCGCTGTGCAGATATTTTTCTTGCGACCCTAACCCCAACAGATGCCCGCCATCTGCAGCGGGGACGGGATGGATGTCCACCTGGGCAGCTGGTGGTGAGATCAAGGGTCCATTAATCGCGCACGATCGCTTCATCATCGAGTTTCAGCTGCTGCGCGAGTCATCATTTTGTCTCCGAGCAGCGTGATGCTGAACCGGTCCGTCCCGACAAGATTCGTCACGACCCATGAGCGCCGTCGCTGGTCTTCTGGCCGGCCCCCTGAAACCAACGTCGTCTTGTCCTCACGATGAATGGTTGAAACCCGTGATGGCCTGCGGCATAGCCCATCAGATACAATCTACGTGCGACCGATCATGCCTTGAAGGTGAGATGAGAAGCTCTGAACATGGCCGTGTCATGCATCAGCGATCGTGCGTGCATTGACGCCGGGACAATCGCTGACCAACCAGAACCCCGGAAATCGAGGCCGTCACATCGTGTGGTGACCGCGCCGTTGCCATGCAGGCGCAGTCAACTCGAGCAATAAAGAAGCTCTGGTTATTTTAGGCGTGTCCAAGCTCCCGCACTGCAACCAGCACGGCATGCCCTACGCCTTTTCCCACAGGCTTGCCGCTCATGTTAGACTTTGTGGGTAAGGAAAGTATGCAGGCAGGCGTTGGCGTCCCGTTCATAACCTATCACGACGATGTGGAGGCAATACTGGCTGGCGCGTCAATGGCCGATTCGTGTTTCACGAGACATTGCCGCTTGCCAGGGCAGCGATCCTTGCACATCAAGGGTAATGGCTCCAGAAAGGTCCTGCATGTTGACCAGCGATAAGAGTGATGAGCTGGTCTGAACGATGTTCCGCATATGTCTCCGTTTCAAGCCATCGCTTGCGGATGTCGGACATCACATAAGTCGCAGCAGCATTCAGCCCTGCTTTCGAGTCCAGAGAGAATGTCAACTTCTCATAATTTCATGTTCATGCCTCGACGCTTCGCCCTCTTCGCATGTCCGTGGTAACCACTAGTGTTTCTTTGAATCGTCACTGTAAAATCAGAGGAAATATGTTTAGATCGCAACGAAACGATTCTCCAGGCGCTCCGACGGCCAGAAAGGTGAGTAACATTGCGCCGCAAGAATTTGGCAGGGGACGTGATTATGCTCATACTTCATGAAGAAATTTGGCGCTTCACAATTAAAGCGACTTTTCAGCAAAAGGTCAACAACGGTGCCTTTAAGCACGTCCGCCTCCGAGAACAGCATTGCATCCACGCAACCTGACGATTCGGTATCCCCCGCATGCCCCGGTCAATACACGCACCAAGTGGAGAAGATCAAGATTGGAGAAAACCATGGAGTGGCCTTAACAGTGTCATCCGTGCAGGAAAAGACGCAGGAGACGCCAGCGCAGAGATGTACTGCAAACCCCGGAGAAACGACCATTGCGGCGAAGTCCATCTACTCAAGAGCTGTTGCACATCGGAGTGTCGAACAGCAAGCAATTCTCGGACGTGATCAATCAATGAGAGATCTTTTTGAGAGTCTACAGGGCCCAATGGACGCGTACAGCAAGACTCGATTGAATCGAGTCATTGAAACTGTTCAACCTTTCCTGAAGAATGCTCAAGATCTTGTCAAATTTGGCGCTCTCCTGGCCAGTGTCGAGCCGGCGACCAGCACAGCAATATCAATCATCAATCTTTTCACTACAACCTGTGTGGTCATATGCGAGGCTTCGACCGAGGTATTTGATAACTTCAAAGATGTCGTGAGCCAATTACGCTGGCTCATGAGATGTGAAAGTGCATTGGAGCAGAAATCCGATGTGGACATGGAAGAAGCACTTCTGGACGTCTATGGAGCGCTCCTCGATATCTTTTTCGAGATCCACAGCATCTTTCTTAAAGTTCGCAACTCTAAACATGAAGCTCCCGAGGCCCATCCCGATGATCAATCTACGGACATCCAGAGACGGAAGAGTGTCTTAGTCCGTGTGCTCTTGGAACACATAAAAGGCAGCCTGGCGCCAATGCACAAGGCCTTTGCAGAGAAGTGCGACAACCTCATCAACCTTGTCATCGTGAACACGAATGAAGTAAGTCATCGGAGTCATGCCATTTTGAAAAATCTGGAGAAGAATTTGGCGAAGGCAGAATTTCGTCCTGTGCAGGAGTTCTTGGGCGAAGTTTTCCTCAAACAAAGAGGCAAACAAATGGACCTCGCAAATCGCGAGGATTCTGCGTGCGAGTGGATATTCCTAGATCAAAACTTCCACACTTGGGCCACAGGGGTCGACAACATCAATGCAGGAGTGAACAGCAAGATCATTCAAAAACAGCATGACGACAGCAGAGTGAAAGTGCTACACCTGAAAGGGTCTGTGGGCAGCGGTAAGAGCGTAACTACTGCCTATGTTGCCGATCTGCTTGCGAAGAAATGGTCAGACAACAACAATACCAACTCGTCTATCATTCTTCGACATTTCTGCAGCGACGATAATGAAGCCAACAAGGAGATCACCATCATCAAGTGTCTTCTCTCGCAGGTCCTGGCGCTGCATCCAGACCTTACCCAAATTATCCTTGATAAGCTGGACGAGATCAAGAGCAGTCTCTATTCGACCGACAGTAAGATCGAAGCATGGAAGATCTTTTCCGGGGTCATAGGCAGCCTGAAGGATCGCATATACATTGTCATCGACGGTCTGGATGAGTGTGATACGAAGGCACGCGACTGTCTGATCAAGTTTCTAGAGCACGTTTGCACAAGTACTTCCAACATTCGCGTCTTTCTCTCCTCCAGGAATTACGACTTGAACTCACTAGATCTTGAGGCTTTCGTGCACAACATACAACAAAGGATAGATCCCGAGAGAGATGAGCGCGTCATCCGGTTTCAAGTGAATACGGAACTTGCCAAAGTTTCTAACACACTGAAGGATTTTGCTGTAGCAGAGATATTGAAGCAAACCAAAGGCTGTGTTGTTTGGTCTACTCTCGCCATTAGATATCTAAAGACGAAGAAGATTGACACCGAGGTCAAGATGAAGTCCCATTTACAGAAGCTGCCACAAAATTTGAGAGCTCTGTATCACCGCCTCTTTGAAGCCGCACTGGAAACACATGGCAGCGAAAATCGCATGATCCTATCAGATTCTTTGGAAATCATGGCTGGTGCTTTACGCCCCTTGACGCCCATGGAGCTAACGTGGGCAGTCACTTTGAAGGGGCTAGATCGTGAAAGACGGCGCGACGAGAGCTCCGAGGAACTCAGCAAGGTAAAGGACGACTTTGATATTTTAAGCCTCCTCGGCTCTTTCCTGATGTCATCATCGGACATCAACTCCACGAAAGGAGTAAACCATATGCAATTTGTGCATCAATCCCTCAAGGAGGCGATCCTTGTATGCGACCCGAAGAAGTGGAATACCAAAGACACCGACAACGTCTCCGACTTTCGTTCATTCGATGAACTGTGCAGGAACCGTCGCAAGGCACTACATCAGGTATTGCTGGATCTTTGCGTAGACGACATCATGCGTGATGACATCGAATCCACTCCGAATGACCAGGAGTATTTGCTTAACCAGGAATTCCGAGCTATGGGTGGATTTCATGATGAGGATAATGATGCCGAAATTTTGAAAGATTTCAACGAAAAACGAGAGCGACTGGGCGACTTTTTCTCATATGCATCGTGTCATTGGTTTCTACATCTTCAACAAGCCACTTTATCCCATCGGAGCATTAAGAAACATGATCCCAGAGATGCCATTGAGTTTGAGCTTCTTCTCCAATTGACGGGGGGCGAGTCGACCCGCGTCAGCAATTGGGTTGAGCGTGCTGCAATAGAACGATCTTCTGATCCCTGCGGAGTACCTCGAGACCCGCTTACAATTGCAGTGTTCTATGGTAATTCCATCCATCTTGACCGAATCATGGAGGTCAAACGAGCCGTTGATGCCGAGCTCGATGCGATTGCCGCTTGCGAAATGGAAATCATCGACAAGGAGAAGATCGCCAGCAAGATTTGGGTCAGACTCAAGGAAGTTGGATATACAAGCTGTGCTCACATCGAGAATGCATTGTACGAAGTAGTCGCTCGCGCTGTCGATCGGCTGGACGTCTCGACCTTCAAGACCCTCACGCAAAAGGGGCTAGTGAGCACGCACCCTGCCGTGTTTGGTCTACTTTCCGACAGCTGGCTCAGAGTCAAGTCCACAGACAGAGAAGGAAGTTGGATGAAGATCTTCTTGGATTTATTCGATGTCCTTGAGCAACAGACGGTGTTTTTCATGTTGGAGAATAAAGGCAAGGATTCTGCAAACTCAGCAAATCAAGAAACATCTGGGAAGATTTTCGAGATCTTCGAGACAGCGGCCCACAAGGGATGTCTTCCAATGGTTGAAAAAGCCGTGGTGTTCAGTAAGAAATATTCGCCTGACCATTGCACGCTCCCCGAACATCCATTGAAGAGTATCGAGTTCCGAGGACCACGCAACTCGGGTCTACTTCTTGCCACTGTCGAGGACACGTATGAATTTACTTTTGGAGCCCTCGGTCGAGCTGCCTGGGACGACCACTTCCCAGTTGTAGAATATCTTCTGACCCTCGATGGCATCGATCATTACTTGAAGAATCATCGAGCTCTAGGTTCCAACATATTGCACTATCTCGCTGCCCGTATGAACTACATCGACCCGCGGATAACCAAGGTTCTAATTGAAAGGTATCCCGAGGCCGTCACCGAGCTCAACCCTGAGTCGCCAATCCGGGACCTCGTCAACTTTGCTACGGACGGTCACAAGGCAAAGGCCTCTCTGGAACTCCTTATTCGTAACAGTGGGCCCAGACTGAACGGCGAGGAGCCCAATATTGAACTTCTTTTCATCGCGGCCAGACTCGGGAAGTCCGAGACATGCCAAGCGTTGCTTGATGTGGGTGGTCTGGACCCGTGGGATATAATGCGAGTGTCGGAAGAACGACGGCTTTGTTTGAGAGCAAATATCCCTGGAGTTGCCGGTCCTGTTGAGCCGGACTTGGCAGGGAAAGTCGTCCAGACCTTGAGTCAGCTGGTACCAACACCAACCTATACTGGTCAAGACATACCTTGAACTTGCACATCTGCTGCATTATCTTCTGTCCGATGATGTTGGCGGGACTGGTCACGGGTAAGCGCATTCGAGGATGAATGCCAACGCTTGCGTTTTTTTGTGCAGCATCTGGTGGCTTATGTGTTTATTCGACGGCTTTGTAATTACTCTGTACGGATGACAGCTTGGTCTTATGGCGTTTTCGAGGAGTGTGATGTTATGACAGTGAACTGGCACATTGTTTCATATGAAAGGCTGTATGACGCGTTTTATGATAAGAATAAAGAACAGAGCAGCACGAAATTCCCATGTCACATTGGCCTGGCTGAGCGGTATCCAGAAAGTTGATCTGCGCCCCGCATAGAAAGAGCACCGCCTGCACGTAATGTGCGTGAGATAATCTTGCCGTCAAACATTACAGAGCGGCACAATGCCTGCAGTCTATTGACACATCCTCAACACTGACAGGGATTCAACTCGATGTGAAACTGTGATTTACTCATTCGGACGATTGTGAAGATGTGTACTCAGAACCAACCGAGGATGCAAAGTCGGGATGTTTAGATGTATTGCCTGAGGTAAGCACCTGATTATGTCAGCCACCGGTGGGCAACCCGCTTACGTCACCCACCGGTGGGTGACCTGAGCCTGCGTGGTGCCTGAGGCACCCTACCTACGACAGGTGCCGCTGCGGATGCCTGAGGCATCAACATTTCCCCCTTTCTCTTCTGTACATAGAAATTTCCCTAGATGGGGAATGAGGACAGACACATATCTTTCAATACAATTTTGGCTGCGTCTGCATGCAGGTAGCCCTCCCGCATATCACCTGTGCGGCGATAAGATGATTTGAGGCTAGCTCCCTCTTCAACCAATATGTAAGCCCGAGTCTAGAAAGAATTAGACCACTGACCTCGAGAAAGACTTGTGGGGTCTCATATGCACACATGCTTCTACAAATTGTGCGACGATGCAAACGTCAGAGTCCGGCCCGCTCGTGATGGGCAGGCCGACGACGGTGTCGGCTTTCTCGATTGCGCAGTTGTCCGGGTCACCGTATCTTCCCTCGCTCTTCCATCTGATAAATGTCGCCTTTGATGGCATTCATCTGCGCCGACTGCCGCCAAGGCAAGGCGGCTATCCACCTCGACTAGACAGTCCCGAGGAAATCCTGTCTCAACTGCGCGACGATCCACAGACATTCATGTTCATCCTCAGCTTTGCCGATAAGCTCGAAGAGATACTAGCGACCGCCAGTTGTCGGCCATACCTCGCCCGTGAAGGTGATGGAGAATCGCCCTGGGCAAGAAGGCTCGGTCCCGAAGAACAATGCGTGGAGTGGGAATATAAACTGCTTGCTGTGGATCCGAAATACCAAGGGAATGGTTTGGCTGTATACTTGACGAAACTCACAGAAGAGGAGGCGGTCAGGCGGTCAAAAGCTGCGCTTGCGAATGCAGAAAAGACTCATGGTGGCACAGATGCGAGGCGGGTGAGAATGGTTCTCGTCGGGCTTAAAGAAACTACAAATGATTTCTACCTCAGACAAGGCTACAAAAACGATTATGAGATACCTGGCGTTGCCGGCTGGCCCGTCACCGTCGTTTCAATGTCCAAAGTCATTGCGGAGCTTTGAATAAGCCATCATGACGGAGAGAACGCCTTGACAGTTCTTTCGTTGGGGCCAACCCGGCGTCACACTCTCTTACAATCTTCGCCTAGTCAGGGTCATGCCACCAGCAGATTTATTCCTGGCACAATTTGTGGTCAAGTGCACGGTCGCGAGATTCGTGCTGTCAGCATCTCAGACGACGCCACTGCTCTCATCTGGATCCGAAAACGACTCAGACAGACCTTATACAGGAACACTCCGGATGATAAGAAGTCATCCGGTGGTTTCATTACGCCCCTTCGAGCCGAGGCTGTAGATCCCTTCATCTCCATCCCGGTTTGAGGCTTGAAAATTCTGGTAGGTCACAGGACGCTTCAGCAGATCGGGAACTGCAGCCATGAAAAAACCCTCATTTTTCTCAAGTCCAATAAGTTTGCGTGTCGAATATAGGGGCAACTTGGTAAGCCACGACAGCCATCGGTAGGATGAGGGCTTCGTGAAAAGCAAACCCTCGTCAAAAACACTCTGGAATAGGTTCTTGTTGCGAGGGCACGATTGTCAAGACCATCATGAATGCTGGCGCAACCCTGTGGTCGACGACTCTGGCCATCCTAGTGTATCAAAGGAGCGAGGGGTTTGTAACAAGAACTCGCTCTGATCCATGCTATTCGTGAGAAGTCTTGCGCGTGGCGTTGGGACAGCGACACGAAAGTCGTTCCAACAGCATATTCAGAGGCCTTCCATGTCAGCATAAGCATCCTTCGTCGGCACCAACCACCATTGTACTGGATTCAAGCCGCTCGCTTGATATTAGTCGCAATCCTCCGCCTTGTCGAGATGTTCGCAAGTCTTGGTCAACAAGTTTCGAGAGCATTGAAAGTGAATGTCGCGGGTGCCCTAGGGGGTCTCTTTAGGCTTCCGTGAGGGTTACGCTGTAAATTGCCGATCTGGGATGGCGCGCTGTCGCGGAATCGGCTAGTGCGTCCAATATTCCCAAAATTGTAAGTCCTCGAGATCCAGGCAGAGAAAGCTTGACAAGCGGCATTTATGTTGCGACTAAGATGCCCGGTCCTCATGGCAAACGTCTTTTTCTGGAATACTGCACCGGCAGGATATATCTGATCCCGCTGGGGACGAGGTTGAGCAGGACAAGAAGACATAAGTAGTGCTTTCTCCTCCACTCTGCTGGTCCGCATTATACTATCGGTATCACAATCATTCAAATCAACTTCACTTCCTTTGACAGACCAGCAACATGCGTCTTACGATTGGAGCTCTCCTGGCTCTGATGCAGATGCCTCTGATCAATGCTCAGACCAATCCAACAGCCGACCAATTCTACGTCGTACCCGATGATGTCTCCAAGTATAATCTTGGAGAGATTATCGGCAACAACCGGACGGTCGATACGGTTATCGACCCAAGCAATCTCAAGCGAGCGTATCAGATCTTATACAGAACGAATTCGAAAGGGAACATCCCGGACGCGACTGTCGCAACTGTGTTCGTGCCGGCGAAACCTAAGAAGCCTGCCAAGCTATTTTCTTATCAGGCACCGGAGGATGCCACGGTCCTGGATTGCGCAACTAGCTACGCTCTGTTGAAGGATACTTCTTCCAACAATTCCGGCCTTCAGCCTCTAGCGAAACAAGTCATCGAATATGCACTGTCGAGAGGCTACTATGTAGTTGCTCCAGATGCTGAAGGCTCGCAATCTGCATGGCTGGTCGGTGCCACCGAGGGTCAAGCCTGCTTGGACGCCATCAATGCGACCATCCGAGGACTGCAGCTGCCTGCTAAAACTCCGGTTGCACTTTTCGGCTACAGTGGTGGAGCCCACACCACCGTTTGGGCCTCATCTCTAGCAGCAAAATACGCACCTAACCTCAACATTGTTGGAGCTAGCTACGGAGGTACGCCCATAGACCTCCGCGCATGTTTCTACAAGCTGAACGCCACTCCTCTTGCGCTCATTGCGGGCGGAGCATTGTTCGGCTTGGCCAACGGAATTCCTGCTCTGAGGAGCTATCTCGTGTCCGAATTCAATGACATCGGCCGATCTGATGATAAGAAATTTCATGATCCCGGATTTTGCATCAGTAAATTCATCTATGCGGGCTTTTTGTCGAATGACTATCTGAAAGATTTCAACGACCCAATCTTAGCGCGAGGTACTCCAGCTTCCACCATTGTAGACGACGAATCGCTCCTGTCGAATGTCTCTTCAAAGACGATCCCCGTGCCGAAATTCCCTCGTCTGCAGTACCATAGCAGGGAAGACAATGTCATCCCATTCGACCCGGCACAGGCGTATGTGTCGCAGCAGTGCAACACTACCACAAACTTGCGCTTGGCGTTCGCAGCCTATCCAGCTGGAGACCACATCACCACCGGCAACAACGTGACGTATCCGTTGGCCTTCCTCAGAGATGCTCTCGAAGGCAACCTGACCACGATCACTTGCGGTCAGCCGTACTGATTGAACAGCGGCAAGGTTAAACATGCAGCAGTGGGTAGTATACTTGTCGGGTTGGGCAGAGGATTCAATTACCACTGAACGCGGCTTTGAGTTGGCTGTTTTGTTCTACAACATGTAGTACATAGCACGTCAGATTGTAGTTAGCCTCGATTCATAGCAATCAACCAAATGCTCATCATGTCAATATCATTTGTGCGCGACATTCACTGGGCTCGTGTAACTGCTTGCCAATCATCTATACATGCCAGCGTTTCTCTTGTACCTCGGATGAGAGGACGAACTGGACCTATTGAAGTCCAATGGCACGCACCTACCCCTCATGTGCTCCACGGCTATGCAATGCATCGCAAAAGCACTGCCAACTGCTTTGAAAACATCTTCACCGAAGAATATGTGCTTTTATACATTGTCAAAATACAATACTCGAATCTCTGTTTGACCGTCGTCAAAACCCATAACCTGTCTCATATCTTCGCATTTAGGAAGAGACACATCGCTGTGTTCGCGGAAAGTGGATGGCAGTCTCTTGTCGCTGTCTGGTTTGACGGGCTCAGCCAACGAGACGGGGGAGGTGTATACCTCATTTCATCGATCTTTCATGATTGTGTTCCGATATTGCTCACTGGCCAGCTAAGCAGATTGTCGGAGTTGGCCCAGTATTTCATTGGCTCATCAAGATCCACATCCCCGTCAATGATCTTGCCGACTCCGATCTCCCGCATCACCTCTTCTTCCTCAATCATGACCCAAAATCTTTACCAGAGCGCCTTCTTAACTCCCGGAATCTTTCCCGCGAGCGCATTCACACGGAATTGATACTGTATTACTTGTTAGACAACCACCTTTCTTTCCTCGTTCTCAACACAAAGTGTCATGAAACTTACCCTTCCCATCCTGACGTCCGAAAAGACACCCTTCGCTTTACCTCCCATCATACATCGACTCTTGATCTGCGTCGGTCGGGTATAGCAGTGCATTTGCGAGAGTTGGAGCTGGGCTTGTGCGCGGATACGTTGGGGGAGGGATGTGTTGCGGATGAGGTAGCGGAGTGCTTGTCTGTGTTTCGAAAAACAGAAATCAGATTAGTTTTTCTTGTGCAGAGACGGAGCAAAGGCTCAAGGTCAGAGTGAAGGGTGTAGGCGTGCGGCTGCATACCGCTGAACTTCATTCTCCTCGAAGACTTTTCGCTTGCTGTGGTCGCGGATGATTTTGTTGTTTACGAAGCAGCCCAGATCGAGCTTCTTCGCACGAAAGAGGGCGGCCATGATCGCGGATTGATGCTCTCGAGTCTTGCGCGCGCAGGCGAGGTACAGATGAGGCAATGAGGTCCGTCTTTCGCGCAACGCTCGTCGGCGGAGAACTGGCTTAGTCAGTGAACACCTCCGCGGCGAAGATCTCCACACTAAACGCAAAATACACGGCGTGCGATAGGATACAGACACGGGATACTGCATCATTGTCTGGGTACGTCACACATGGGTTCCGTTTGGAGAATCTCGATCATTGTCGCCTCAAATAATCATGAGTGCGTATCAAACAGGCCTTGCTAAAATGACCACGATTTTATGGGAACCATGTTACTGACCTGGAAGCAATAATTCTTCGATATCAACATTAATTGCCCTTAAGCACCCCTCACAAAATCAACCAAAATGCCATCAAAGATCTTCACCTCCGACGACATCCTCGACCTAATCCACTCTTTCGAATCAAGCAAACCATGGAATAAAACCGACGAAAAACCACCCCTAATACGCAATACCTCCTCCAGCTATCTCTTCAAAACACAGATTCTTGCCAATCGACTCTCTCAAGTGCTGAGCGAGTCCGATCGTAAGACATCATTCTCGAAAACGAAACTAGCCCAAATTCTGGATATCGACACAGAGGGTTTAGAAATCTTATTACGATCTCCAGCATGTGAAGTCAAATTTGATCAAAGGGGAAATATACTTCCTGTTGCATTACTCAAAAGGATCAAATCTTCTCTGCAAGATCTGATTAACACGCGGATCGTGGACCTCAACAGATTCGCCCGCGAGCATGATCTAGATTTGCATGTACTCAAAGCTCTGGTCCGAGATGAAATACCTTCTTGGAGAAAACTCGCTTTGGATGGTACATCGCCGAAACTCGATGAGCTGTATTACAGTGCCGACGCAGGCAAAAGGCTACATAACATACTATCAACACACGTGCAATCTGCAGATTCGGCTTCAATTAAAACTGACATCACTGCACTTCCGGAATTCTCGGAGTATGCAATCGAAGTGGTGCGTGCAGTCTGGAATGATGGAGATGGGAAGGAACCCAGGGGAACGTTCGTGGTGGAAGGAGGACATGTCGTGTATGTCCCGGATGGCTTTGTACAAGCGGAAGAGCGACGGCGGCGTGAGATTGTCGATGCACATATCGAAGAGATTCTGGCGGTTGTAGCGCAGGAGGACTTCTGCGTTCTTGCGGCTGGCGATGTAATATTGCGAGATGCCATTGCGAGTAAAGCTGGAGAGGAGGTGGCTTTGGTTTCCACACTGGAGCAAGACGCGAAGTCAGCGAAACGAGCGCAGACGAAGGAGAAAGTCTATGTAGTTCGCAGCGCGGCTGTGGAGGGTTCTTTGGCGAAGTTGAAGAATTTCGTCGACGAAATCATCCGAACTAGATGGGCTTCGGGAGAGCGCAAGTTCGATTTGGGTGAGATGATGCGGAACCTGAAATCAGGAAAAGGACGAATTCATTCGCCTCTGGACCAGGTCATCATCGGTAGTGGAAGCTACTCCTCCGAGCTGGAGGCACAACTGCGCACAACGACAGCCGCATGTGAGGCCGCAGACCACGAGACATACATCCAGCTCCTAATCGACCGGCTCCTGATCCCAGTCCAGCTCTACTCAGCAGGCCTCGACATCGTGCACGACGAATCGCTAAAAGCACGACTAAGCACCTACGCCACTTCCCACCTTCTCAGCGAAACAGACTCGCTAGCCGCCGATTTCAAAGCACAACAATTACTCACCGGGCCTCGCGAGCGTGATTTTACCAAATTCCGGAGCGCAGCCGCCACCGAAATCTCAGCTCTGCCCGCCCTTCATACCGCAGCAACAAAGCTCGCCAAGAAAGCCAAATGGGACGCACAGCCACCCTCAGCCACGCGAACTCGAGAAATCAAGACCAAAATCCTCCAACGGACCGCACACGCCATGAAACCCTCATCGACAGCCCGTCCATCAGATGTTCTCCAACGTGCACTTTGGATCCTCCTCGGCGTCGCGAATGAAGGCGTGTTCATCAGTGCGGGCAAGGATACGAGTCGGATGATTGCTTTGTATGAGAGTATTCCCAACGCGGATGAAATGATGGTGGAGAAATTGAGGGTTCTTAGGGATAAGCTTAAGAAGGGTGAGGCTGTTGACGACGAGGTCAGGGAGACGAGGGAGCTGGTTAGGAAGCGGGTTGAGGAGTTCGTGAAGGGGAATTAGGGCTTGCGATTACTTGTTCGGATGTCATGCAGTTGGTGACAGAGGGGAATGGTGTTGGTGTGCAGCTGCCGGGCAGGCCCATGCGGTCCGTTATGTTGTGTTGTTTAACTATGGACATGGCCGGTCACAGCAAAGGGTGATCTTCTGGTAGTACCGCCACATGGGTGAACTTCAGAATCCCGGTATTGCGGGATGTGTTGTTGTCCTGCAGCTGAGACCGGTATCATATCATATCATGTCATGCCATGTGGCTGTTGGTAGTTCGAACCTCACCTGCAGGTTGGGCTGCCAAGGAAGAGGCCTGCCCCAAGTCAAGCCGTCCAGTAACAGGCTGTGCAAAGCCATGAATGATATCGAGGAGTTGACGCATATGTGACACGAGAGGGAAACGACATCTGGTAAGAACAAACCTTTCGCTGGACCAGCATCACTCGTTTCAGCGGAGAATTTATCCTCTCTCGCAATCTCCTCAAAAATGTTGGGAGCCGAATCGATGGAGGGAAGTTTTCCATCGGGCGGTTCTCTCATTGAGTTGTCTTGCCAAGATCACATGGTTGTTCCCACGGGACATGTCCGCACTGGGAATAAAATGCCAGATTCCGACATGATCCACGTGATGGCGCCTCGCAGCCCTGTTATTCGCAAAGGTCGATGCCGGGGAATTTTCTAGGAGGCGGAGGAGCAGTGCTCGTGCCTGCTGTGTGATACTGTACATAATTATGGCAGAAATTCGGGACATTTCCTCCGCTGACCGGTGAGCTTGTGGCTGCAGCATCGTCGGGCTGGTGGACTCGCAACTCGGATTTCTGGGATTATTTTGCTTTTCTTTTGTTCGAGTTATTCCTGGGCATCAGGATCAGGGATGAGGAAGGGCGTTCTGGTGCCTTGGCGTTCGCTTGGTTAGTTTCGCCCGAGAGGGACAACGTGGTTGTGGGGAGGAGCTAATGCATGTTGGTGCATGTACCTATTTTGCCCGCCAGTCCGCTCGCGAGCTCGGGTTGACGGGCCCGTGTCTCGCGCGTGCGTTGTCAGGGAAGGGTGTTCGAGAAGGACGTGATCGTGTAGTTGGGTGATGGGTGCCCAGGTGGCCATGGGAGGCGTCATGGAAAAGAACGAGTGGAGGTTGTTTGACATAGACTTTTGGGCAGAGATTTCCCTTTGATGATGGTGGTTGTTGCCAAGTCGCACAGAGCTTGCTTCAGTGCCCAGGTGTCCAGGTATGTTCTGAAGTTTGTGCGGCTTTGACACATGACTCAGGTTCTCCACCATCATCACTCACACCACCACAACCACCGCCGTCCTCCATTCTGACTGATTGGCTCGTATCCTCGCGTTGTTCTCCACTTCCCATTTCATGACCCGATCCCGATATTTCGCGACGTCGAGGCCACCAATCCTAAACATGAGGGCGATGCTTGCCATCTGCCATCGACTTGCGGAAGCCCTTCTCGCCTCATTCAAGCTAATGCGCTCCCGACGCCATCACAAGGCGGAGGTCAATGCGGCTGTGATGGCCTCGTCAAGACGGGCGCTACACATCGTGCCTATGAATAGGAACGCCATGGTCTTGCTTGGCCATGCGCTAGATTCACACTAGATCAGACATGAACATTGCTCGAAAATCGCGGATCCGAGCTGAAGAACTCCACGGCAAAGCGAAGGAATAATTAAGATAAAGAAGGAAACTTCGCTCTTTCCAGGCTCTGTCGATTTCATATCTGCGCCATCAATCCATCAGTCCTGAACGATTTGTCCCAGACAAGCCCATCTTGCATCTCTCCAACAACACCCAGCAGATCCACAAACAAGACACCCACAATGCTGTCCTCACAATTCACCCTCGCGTCCCTGCTCGCTGCAAGCTCTCTCGTCGCCGCCTCAGCCCCGGAGGCCCTCCACCAGCTCGTATCTCGCCAGAGCTCCAGCGGCAGCGCCAACACCTGCACAAGCGGTCTGACCAGCGGGTGTTTCAGCAGCAGCTCGACCGAAAGCGGCTGCCGCAGCGCCATCTGCAGCGCGAGCTGCCTCGACTTCGTGCCGGGATTATCAACCTGCTGCAACGCCAACAGCGACATCCAGACCTTCAGCGACTGCGCGTTGGACATCATCGGCGACGGCAGCATCACCAGCCCGGGCGCATCCACGGCGACGACGACCTCATCTTCGCGCAGCATCCGGACTAGTACCGCCGCTGCCACCACCTCCGCCACCTCGTCGCGAGCGGGTTTCACAAGCACATACAACCAGTCTGATTCTACGACTGCTCCGGGAACCACCATTCTCGGCGGAGCCGGCACCACCACCGCTTCGACTGCTGGCCCGACCAACTCGGCGAATACTTCCCCTGCAGGCACCGTCATCGTCAGCGTGCAGACAAATGCACAAGGTCAGCCCACGAACACCGTGACCAAGACTGGCGGTGTCGAGCGCATCGTTCCCGGAGCGGGACAGTTGGGTGTTGCCGGGTCCATGTTTGCTTGGGCTCTTTCGCTTTTGCTCCTGTAGATGCCCACCCGAAAAGAAGGCACATGCGCCTATGATAATTAGTAATTTTCGTCAAGTTTAGGACTTATCACCAAGGATCCATTTTTGCCTCTCTTCCCCTCCAGCGGAGCACTCCTGGTGTTTCCCGCTCTTTCCTGACATTATGCGCATTGAGGAGACAGGACAATGAATACCAGAATAGAAATACAGTGTCGTGATGAATGTTGTTGTCGTCTTTTCAACCTTCCCGTATGGCGTTCGGTCGGACGTAGGGAGCAGCCGTGCGCAGTACGGCTCCTTCTACTGGTGCTGGTGCTGGTGCTGGTGCTGGTGCTGCTGTGTGTATGTGTGTATGTGTGTGTGCGCTAGCTGGCTGGCTGCACCGGTGTGATAACATCCTGACGAGGGGAACAACGAGGAGCGCCCAATATTCCTCGCTTAACAGGCCACTCATGCATGCATACCGGATGATGCGTCGTCTCGAACGATCACATATCCCTCTCTGACAACTGGGTTGTTTTTCAATGGTTGGTCGTTCCTCGTTAGGCCCGGTCTTATCACACATCAGATCTGATGGATTAGGGCCGATGAAGGGACCCGCTTGTGCGTTCTTTTCGAATGATTTCTCGGCCCCGGTACGTGTTTGTTGGTAACTCGGAAAGGCGCCACCTGCAGGTTGAATCGAACGCCCTTTGTCTTGGCGCGAGGAGGAGGGGGGAGGATCCGGTCATGCTCTCTGTCGCGGAAGGGTGTTCCTTCCAAGCCGAACGCCATGGGAGGGCTGGATCATGGTGTGATGGGAGGAACTCGGCCGGGGGAATGGATTTACTTGGGACAGAGATGGAGGGTGAAAGAATAAGAGGGAAGGAATATCCTCCTTTCGCTCCTTGGAAATGTCGTCGGAGAGGAGAATTGAGTCGCCTTCAATCGACAGATCTAACCCCCCGTTCGATTCCGCATCCGATTTCAATCACATTCCGAACCCCAAACGGTCCTCCTAGTACTAGTATCAGAAACAAGTAATAGCCAAGAGAGGTGATAACTCCTCTCACCAAACTCCGGAAACGTCATTAGCAGCAGAAGTAATACTGTCCCTCAACAAGCGTCTCAAGCTCTGCGCCAAACTTCGAATAAGTCTAGAATTAAGCAACTACGATCAAACTTCAGCTCAATCTTCCTCACTGCTACATCTAACGCAACAAATCCATCCGCCGAACGGACAAAAGAAAACAAGATGTACTCCCTCCGCCTCACTCTCACCACCCTCCTGACCCTCTCCTCCCTCGCGGCCTGCAGCCTCACCGACTCCCCCATGTCTTCCCTCCACGCCCTCTTCGCCCGACAATCCAACAGCGGCGGGAGCAGCGCCTGCATCGATGCTATCGACAGCGGCTGTCTCGGATCGTCTCCGACAGAGAGCAGCTGCCGCAACGCCGTCTGCTCCAACAGCTGTCTGGGCCTAGTCCCGACGCTTTCGAAATGTTGTGACGCGCAGACCTCGGGCATCGCGGCCTTTGAGAACTGTGTCCTGGGTGAAATCGATGCCGCTCAGGCGAGCGTCACGGGGACCACGGCGGGCGCTAGTCCGACGGCGCCGGCGTCGACTGCTACCACGGCGGTTAAGACGGGCGGCGGGAAGAGAGTTGGGCCGACGACGGGTCGGTTGGGTGAGGTTGGGACGCTGGCTGCTTGGGCGCTTTCGTTGTTGTTTCTCTAGCGTGGGACCAAGGGGGGTAGAGAGACGATCCACTGCTGCTGACCGTTAGAGTTCGTCTCAGGTGAAAGAGGGCGTGTATGTAGGAATCGGAGGGATGGTGCGATTTTGATGGATTTCCTGTTCGTCAATATGTGTGGGCTCGATGATGGAGTGTACCGAGAGAGAAACATATCAAGCATTGATTGAACGATCCGATGATGACTTTTGAACTTGAATGAGACGATTTGGAAAAAGACAACAAGACGATAATAATGTACTTTTTTCCTTTCCCTCCGCTCTCTCCCTTACTGTATCGCATCATAAGCCTTTATCTTTTCAAGAGAAGAGTTGGAAGTTGTGGCCTCGGCTGCGGCGTGGAGTTTTGGGCGGGTTGTTGGTTTTTTAGACCAATGGAGGCAGGGAAGATCTGTCGGAGGGCTTGGGACCTCGGTGCTCTTTTTTCCCTCTCATTATATTTGCTCGGAGTCGCACTCCTTGGGCAGAGAGAAGAAGCAACGGTTTTCTCGAGCAACGAGCCCCAGCAAAAGTGATGGTGTTGAAATTCATCGTGCATTTTGTTAGGAGCCTGCCGGATAGATGTATTGTTCTTGAGCAGATGATATGAGTTCACTCTCAGAATCTGAATAGGTAGCCAGCTTGCTTGGTTGGATGTAATTCCGCTGACAACATTACAGTCGCAGAGGATCGATTAGAGTAATACGGTTTTCCTTTTGCTTTTCCTCCATTCTCCATCCTGCATCGAGCTCAAGAGTCGTTGGATCTTCCAAAGGAGGAATTTTCCCGTGAACTCGTCAAAGTCAAAATCGCGCATCGAGGACCGCTTCCTTCCATGGTCGCGTTTGCTTCTCATGGGAATGTGTACGTCGATCTATGCGACCGACTTTTCTGCAAGATTAGTACTCGGAGGTCCAGCACCGTCATGTAACAGCATACGACGTGACGAGGAGCGTCACGGAGGAGAGCATCTTGCAGCTCCGTTCAGGAAGATCCACGACTTCCCACATGGTCAACCTACGAAGCCCGTGGCCAAGGCAATGGGAGCGAGAGGATGGGGTGTGGTGTGATGTGAGGAGATGCGCCAGGTCTCCTCGTTTGTGGCTTGATGGTAATCGGAGGCTTCTGAAACGATGCTGGTTCGGTGGTGACTCATATCCGCTCGCTCGCGACGAATGCACTTCTACGGCAAAGAACATGCATGATGAACCATGATTATTTCCCTCAAACCGGTCGCCGCGACGGTGGACGATAAGGATGAGTCAAAAAGTCAAATGCGGCGTGCCCAAGTGTGGTTTCCCTGCATGAAAGCATGGCCCGAGGTCTGCGTGTCTCGCTGTGGCGGTTTTCCAAGCTGCTCCAGGTGAGATGTACGGGTGTTCATCACGAGCAAAATACACAGAGACGTGTCCCCACGTCTTTTTTCTGCCACGCGCGCGCACATCTCCGGCGCAATTTCGCCGATCTGATATATACGTCCGGAGGATCATCGGTAGAGCAGATGCGATCAATGCGAGGATTTTAATACTTCATGTGGTACGACCACTGCTAAGCTACTCTCCATTGGGTCGCGTTGACTTGATTTCTCCCTTCCTCTCTCTCTCTTTCTCTGACTCATAGGCATATCACAGTACAAAGAAGGTGATCTGGGCTAAGAGGCTTGCTTAGTGCTGAGAGGCGCCCTTTTCTTCTTCTGTGATCACTCTGTACACACATGAACACATGCGGTAAGCGAGCGCAGGAGGGAGATTGTTGGTGTAGCTTTTCAGGCCTTTTTGGGTCGAGCACGGATCTTAGATAGAGTTTTGTCAAGGTTTCATGTTGGTCGTTTCGCGCCGGACGAATTGGGGACCTTTGAAGGGCCTGCCTGCGCCGCAATGATACATGTATGTATGTGTGCTGTGCCGTATTGAATTGTGGACATCGGTGGTTGCATCGTTGGGTGTGATGTGATGGAGCAGTCTAAAGGAGGAAGAGGAAGAAGAGGAGGACTACTCATTATAAATGTGACGATCTGCTCCCTCTTTCGCCAGGAGGTTTTTGCTGTTCGTTGAGAAGATACCCTTTCAGACGAGGAACAAGCGGTCATCACACGAGACTTCATCGTTTTCACACATACTGTACCCTTCAAACCCAGCCAAGACGTCTGAACACTACTCCGCCGACAACGAACACACTTGAACCTCATCTCGACCTACCCATACCAACCAACCCAAAACAATCAAGACAAGATGCACTCTCCAACTCTCGCCCTCACCACCCTCCTCACCCTCACCACCCTCGCCTCTGCATCAACAACGCTCAACTCTCCCATCTCCGACCTCCACGTCCTCGTCTCCCGCCAATCCAGCGGCGGCAGCAGCGACTCCGCCACCTGCCGCAACGGCATCGCCGCCTCATGTGTAGGCTCCTCAGCGACCGCCAACAGCTGCCGCAGCGCGCTCTGCAGCACGAGCTGTCTGAAATTCGTGCCGGGAATCCAGAGCTGCTGCGATGACAAGACGAGCGATATCGCGACCTTTTCAAAGTGTGGAGAAGATAAGATCGCTTCAGGATCAGCGACCGTTTCGCCGACTGCTACCGCGGCGCCGAAGACCAATGGCGTTGATCACCTCGGGGTTGGAGCTGGGCAGTTGGGTGTTGTGGGCTCGGCGGCGGCGTGGGCTTTGGGTTGGTTGTTGGTTTTGTGAGAAGCTGGAGAGAAGTGGAAGAAATGATTCTACCATGGAGGGAAAGGTTCTTTACACGATGATTGGACATTCTATAATTCTCGTGAGCTTGACAACGAAGAAATGATGTTATTTACGTATTGGTTCTCTTTCGCGTTGACGTCGGTGATTATGGATTTCGCACTGCGCAGGACTAGGTGAGAGGAACATCTGCTGCGATGGGAGCGCTTCATCGTCAGAGCAGAGTCCTTCGTTTTCGCGCGATCATTGACAAGCTCTCGGGCCATCATGAATAAACACTGACGATACCATCCGAATCGGCAGGAGGAGGAGGAGGAGGAGACAAAGGCGCGGAGAGGCGCACTCACTCACCTAATCGAAGCAACCAGGGCCATGTCACAAGCGAAATTGGTGTCCTTCCGCACGCGGGACAACGAACGAGACTAATGCAACCATCACACCACTACTCGGCGGGCCTCTCTCTCTCGGGGCACCTCCAGCGCAGAAACAGGCACATTCAGGGCACATTCAAGGTGCCCTCAGGCACCCGCAGGCAGAATTCCCATCAATTTCCAGGGCTTTGTGCCCAAAATAAACCCTCGGCGACGCCAGCTGAATGTCACCGTTGGGCTTTGTCGTTCATGATTGGCTCGGAACCTGGCCGACCGTTTCAGTTGTCCCTGCCCATCGCTCGAGCTTGGCCCGCCTTATGCACATTGATGAATCACAACAACTTAACCGGAAAGGAGGCGAGGTCAAAGCCAATTTTTGGGCCACGAGCATGTTCTCCACCCCATGTTAATCGATAACCCGACATGCAAGCTGACACGAGCGCACGCGAGTCGAAGCGACTGGTCAATGCGGCTGTGTGCGCCTTCGCTTAAGGGAATTGACCACTGTCCACGAGGCGAGGACGCTATCCCATCCGGAGGATTCGTTAAATTAGATGATATAGAAGTGTGATGCCCTCCCGTCGCTTCAACAGGTTTTTCTTTTTCTTTTCACATTTCGCATCAGCCCGCTTCGTATTGTCGACTCTAAGTTCTCAACATCTTCATCGCGCGAGCAGAAAGAAGAAAATCCACACGAGGCATCGTAATCGAGCCATCTTCAGGCCGTAAAAAATTCCAAGGGAACTCCTACCAACCACGACCATGCACTCCACAACCCTCACCCTCGCGACTCTGCTCGCGACCGCGACCGCCTCCTCCAGTCATGCCGCCCTCAACGCCCTCGTCTCTCGCCAACTGCCGACGACCGGCGATTCCTGCTTCGACGGCGCCCTCAACGCCTGTTCGGACCCGACCGCCGCCAACGTCGAGGCCAACTGCCGCAGCGCCCTCTGCAGCAACACCTGCCTGACCTCCTACCCGGTCCTCTCCAGCTGCTGCAAATCCGCCAGCGACCTGACCGCGCTGGCGAACTGCTTCTACGAGATTGACCCGGACAGCATCACTGCGACGGGCGCCGCTGGCACCGGCGGTGCCGCGACCGCGACTGCTGCCACGACTTCCGCTTCGCGCACAACCGCTGGCGGCGCGGGAACGACCACTCGTGCCACTGTCACTTCTACAAATCTCTCCACCGCGCCTGGTGCAGGTGGTGTCTCCACCCAGAGCTCCGGCGCCCCGGCGGCGACGAACAGCCCCTCCGGCACTGTGGTCGTCAGTGTACAGACCAACGCGCAAGGCCAGCCTACGAACACTGTGACCAAGACGGGCGGTGTTGAGAGGATGGCGGCGGCGGGTCAGTTGGGTGTTGTGGGATCAATGGCTGCTTGGGCTTTGGGGCTCTTGTTGATTTAGAGGAGATGTGGGGGATATTTGGCAGATAGGAGAATGGGAGGCTTTTGAGGACTAGTTGTACTTCTACACGATATTTCTTCTTGTCTTGTTTTTCCGATCGAACCGGTGGATTTTTTGTCCTTCTGATTAACAAGGCAGGGAATCGCCAAAATTCAAATTCGCATTGGACACGCGCGCGTGTGTGTGTGATCTTTTACAATGTTAGTGAATCAAGAAATTCGGTTTCAGTGTTCCTTCACGTCGAACCTGGAAGTACATATTGCGCACTGGATGAGTCTTGCTGCGGATCTGGAATTCCGCATCGTCACATCATCGTAAGGCGTATGATCACTTACTGATGAAAGGCACGCGATCAGCAGAAAAGCTTATTCGGCGGATGGATTAGCTCCGGCAGAAGGCCGCCTTGTCCTGGAGTGAGAGTCGGAATGTATAGTATCTCTGACCGGACGGGAATCATTCAGCACCAATCCTGAAAATGTAATTGTTGGGCAATGATGGATTACATATACTTGGATTTGCTTGACTATATGAATTGCTTGAATAAGCAATACGGCATCTGTAGTTATGGGAGTTATGGAACAGATGTGATTGCGGGTCACGTGACCATCCCATTCGTGCCACGGCTGAGTCAGAAATGAAGTTCACAATCTAAAGTCGAGACAGACCATTCTCGCAATTCCGCATGGCTCAGACTCTGCAGATCCATCTCGATGTTGATACTTTCCCTGTACGGTGCGATGAAAAATCTCGCCAACATTCATCCGCGGGAGTAAGGTCCTCGGCACAACAGCAATGACATGCCTTTTGACGACACCGCTTCCTGTCCGTGGTTTCCACGCCGCAGGGCTGCATGATGGATGATGGTTGCACGATCCACATTTCGAGACCGCAAACTTTCATGCATATGACGTCGATTCTAATCCTTCCTGCCGTTGCGCACTCGACTCTCCAACATCGTCGTGTTTGAAAGACGAAGATCATTTCACTGGACATCGTCCAACACAGCCCAGATACGTACGTGAAGAAAAGAACGGAGCTCCACACACAATGTGGCTGTGTCCGTGAAGATCACTCGACGGAAAAGTTTCCGCAATGGCGGCCTCAAGATCATCTCCATCTTCCTCTCGGTCTACCCGCGTGCTGGCAATGGCGTGAATGGCTGCGACTTTCAAGGTTCTCACTACTGCGGGCGAAGATTTGTCGATCACAACGCGCTATTGAGGGCCCGCCCTAAATATCACCGAATGTAGTCGTAAACATAGACTGTGCCGTAACGCTCTTTCACGTTGCTAACTGTGATGATTGGTTCCGACATCTCACCTCTGATCTCATCGACCGTCGATCCTCTGCAGATGCTAACACTGCCCATGAAGAGATGCGGCGCAGTGTGATGATCTGTATACCTTTGATCGATTGCGGTTCGCCGGGCTAAGTGGCGATGCAACCTCAACTGCATTGCCAACACGAGGTGATTGATCCATGAGAGTACTTTCACACAGCGATGATGCTCTTGGCGCAGAGGAATGTCTCTTGGCGGCAGACCAACAATCATTTGCTGCTGGTGAAGCCGAAGAGTTGGTTTGACCAGGCACTATGGAAAGAATGACTTGCAACGGACGACATTCTTTCATGCCTGTCGATCCTGTCGGAGATATAAAGAGGCTTTGACTTGCTCTCGTCACACGGCTTCACGACGTCTCTCAGAGCAAGTTTCATCTTCCACATTGTCGGCGTACAAGCATAGAAAGACGCACGCATATCTCAAGTCACATCGTCATCACGAACCTCAAATCCCTCCCAACCAAGCCAAATCCCTCCAAAGATGCACGCCAATACCCTCACCCTCGCGACTCTGCTCGCCTCAACAACCCTCATCACCGCCCTCCCTGACGCCCACGCCGAAGCCTTCCACGGCCTCCTCTCCCGCCAATCCTCCAGCAACAGCAACCTCAACCAATGCCGCAGCGAATTCCGCGCAGGTTGTCTCAGCAGCCCGGTCGTCGAATCGGCCTGTAAATCCGCCATCTGCGGCACCGCCTGTCTATCGGTCATCACCAACCTCGCCCAATGCTGCAAGGACGCCCCGGACTTGACCTCTCTGTCACCTTGCATCGTGGAGCTCGGCCAAGCAGGCAACCTCAGCACCGTCCCGGCGACTCTCACCAATGCTCCTCAGACGAACTCCCCTGCGGCTGCATCGCCTACTTCGAAGAGTCAATCCGGCGGCGTGGATCATCTTGTTGCTGCGGGCGGACAGCTGGGACTTGCGGGCTCCGTTTTTGCTTGGGCTTTGGGTTTTCTCCTCCTTTGAGAGTGAGAGGAAAGCGAGATCAAGACCAAGGGATCGTATGTTGCGTCGGTCGGAACAACGTTTTCTTTCTCGCAAGAGAGGCATGGAAGCCGACATTGGGCCTCGAAAAGCGCGGCTGTTGCCTGAGACAGTGTTTCCCTCCCTTCGTCCCGCATAGGGATACTCTAATTCATACTTTTCTATTCGTATGTCTTACATGTCATACCGTACATGCACGTAATACGTATGCAGCTATTCGAACTACCATTCACTGTTGAGTATGCTCACATAACGGGGGTCCTTGGTTGCGCGTAGTCAGTAGTTGTGGTGGTCCGATGTGTACTTGACTCTCTATCTTTATGTCTTTCTTTCTTCCTTTCTCCCTCTACCAATCTGCATACCTACTACTGTACCTAGGTACATCTCTCAGGCGCGCATCAGCTCGGCGGGAAACTCCGTCCTCGGTTGTGGAGACACGATGCAACATGTCCTTGGTCTCCTTTTCCCCTGCTACCCGAGCAGAATGATCTGTGCGCTGATGGAATGATGATTGAGGAGAGATGTGCCGATTGTCCGACGGTCACATTTTCTTGGCGGAAACCTCTTTTCGTGAAATTGCTAATGTCTCGTTCAACGTTAGATGTATCGGGATTTCTTTCAAACGTAAGAGAATGTTCATGCCCATTATGGGCAACAATAAGCGGAGGGGATAGTCTCGCAGGACGGGAGGAAGTCCGCGCTACCGCCCGCCGCTGTTGTGTGCTTGGGCTATTTGGTGCATATAGGGTTGGGCGACCTCATGACGATCGTGATGGATCTGATGTCACGTTTACATATCCTATCCTATCACTGATCTTCACCAAAACATCATCACGCATCGTCGAGTCTTGTTGCTAACAGCGGCACGACCGGCCTAGATTGCTTTTGGTCAATGGTCATTCCAATAACGGCCTCGGCGCAGGTCATAGTCTCTTGGCGGCATGCTCGAGCCGGATTCGGTAAGTAAGCTGAAGATCAGAGCGTGTTGATCGTAACGAGGCGCATGCAGGCTGTGTATTAAGCATAAACACGAAGACCTTACATCATACCTGAGGAAGGGTGATCGCTCGTGTGCGCCTGTCTGTAATAACCATATTTAGAGTCCTTGCCTTTCTCATTTTCGTCGTTCCTCAAACTGGAACAAGATCTTCCCAAGAAGCTGCGTCAATTCCGCTTGAACAGAAGAACCATCGAAGAGCATATCAAGAGAACGACTTCCTCCGCAACCTTCCACCCGCAACAACACCACAGCCATGCTGCTCTCCAACGCTCTCACTCTAGCGGCCCTCCTCTCACCCACCGCCGCCTCCCTCTCCACCTTTCCCGCAGAAGCCCTCCACAATCTCCTCTCCCGCCAAACTTCCTCTTACGACGACAAAAACGCCTGCCAGAACGGCATCATCTCCTCCTGCTCCGGCAGCAATCCCTCCGAGAGCGCATGCAAGAACGCTGCCTGCAGCAACAGCTGCTTCTCCTTTATTTCCGGTCTAAAAACCTGCTGCGACTCCACTTCTTCCTTTAGCGATTTCAGCAAATGCCTCGACGACAAACTCAGGAATGGCGGCCTCTCCGCGAACCCCATCACGGCCGCCGCGACCGTCACCAGGTCAACCACGACTACTATTACTACCGGGGGTTCGACGACCACTTCGACCGGTCTCGTGACGAGTACACTATCTTATGACCTTCTCTCGCCTCAGCCTCGTCCGGTTAACACTGGCGGCGCCGAGCGCCTTGAGGCGGGGCAGATGGGGTTGGTGGGATCGGCCTTTGCCTGGGCTTTGGGGCTCTTGCTTCTCTAATGGCAAAATTTAAAAACCATCCTTCCACGTTTCTTTTCTCCCTCTGCCTGTGTCCGCTTTGGGGAGAAGTGCTTGCGGGAGCGACGGAGAGGGCAAACTCTTCTGACTCCAAAATGCATTCTCATCTCACTTTGAAATCTGCGAGCAATCACGAAAATTAGAACGGTGATCAAATATGGTTGCGTTGATGATTATGATATCTTATCTTCGGGAGACAAGAGATAGACTCCGTGGAACGAACAGACGAAACAAAAGCTAGTAAAAAATCAAATCACTTTCTTGCGACAATATACATCTACAATTTTGAATTCTACTTTGCACAATTCCCTCCAATCCGGTGACAGATGTCCAATCAGTAACGAAGGCCGGAGCGTACAGCAGTACAATATCTCTCACTGGTCTCCCACCTGATCATCCCCAAATATAGCCACGCCGCCTTGAAAAGCACTTCAAATATCTCACACGCTTGAGCCCATCCAAAGCTGGGGTGAACACTAATTACACGCCTACACGCCCACGGCAGCGTTGGCAGCCGATCATCAAGTGGAAATGTCGGCATTCCCCGGCCCGATGGCCGAACCCTAACCGGCGACGGATGCCGAACCATCGCCTCGCCTCGATGGACACACATTGGTATGTGTATGTTGGTAGCAGATGCTGCAGAAGCGGTTCTGAGACTACGCTACCTTATCTCTCCCAGCGTTTGAGGTCACAGTCACAATCCCCGCGTAGCTGTAAAAGTGTCTTACTACAACAATTTCACGCAGCAACAAACGTGCGCTACCACTACCCGACCGGCGCAATAACTCCGACACAAGCCCAAGGAGCGGGACTTATGCCACTCCAAGCTCGTTAGACAAGAGCTCAACAATAAAGACATACAGCACGGAATCTCAAAGAAACTTTCTCGTAGCCCGTCACTGCTTTTTACGAGCATCGGAGGGTCTACAATCCCCGGAACTCATGCAGCTTGAACTCCCAGTCACAGATTTCTTCCCCGACAGAGTTGGAATCCGATTGTCGCGCATTTGAAGCCGTTGTGGAAAGCTGCGAGCGCTGCAGCCGCTTTTGGCGATATTTACACAGCTGTGAGAATTCGTGGCTATGAAGTTGAATGGAGGGAGGGCCCCAAACCGGGCATTACATACATTTCGCGCTCCTCTCTCCTCAAAATCGGTCGTTTTGCGAGAAGATCGTTCTTTCTTCGGCAGTCGCGAGGGCTGCAACCACGATATGATATCCCGTCGACGAAGCATCAGCTGGAGGCGATTCTTGCCTAGGTAAATCTTCCCTGGTGCCGAGAATTTCATCCTTGATATTCGTCGGGGCGGAGCGTTATTGGGGAGAAAAAAGGAAGGCGTTCCGAGGCGATGACGGGAAGTGAACATTTTCAAACCCGCGAGATGGTAGGAAGTTTCGTTCATCCCTCTTTAGATGACTGTCATTACGGCTAGGCTAATTTTCTTTCAAATGCATTCATTCAATCATTGTTGTCTCGTGATTTCCGAAGTGGATTCTTCCCAGCTTCAGTGTCGTTTTCAGGAGTGATGGAAGAAGATGTTTTCGACAGTGGCAGATTCGGATAGCAGGATCCCGAACGGCAATGTGCGAGTCTCCAGTGTCCAATTGTCACCTTGATTTCGCTTGACAGAATTTGGCACTATCACGTCTAATTCGCAGAAACATTCGAACTGGGAGAAGACTTCTGGCTGGGCATATCAGAAGCAAGGTTTCGCTTGACGAATACAGAAATGGACAATTTCCATGGTAGCGCCATTGTGACATGTGATACATGCGATAGGACTCCAAGAATAATTTTATGCGTCGGTACAACAACACTCTTGACATACTCTCGGTCAAACACTCCATGTGTTGCGCAGAGTTCTTGTGGATCGGCATGTGAAAAGATCACGTGTTGTGACTTGATCGTCAACGACCATATATACTTCCACCTTCCTGTTGTAGTGATATGCGATTCAGAGCCATCGCATGCTTCCCAATCTCGCTCTCACAAGAAATCTCTTTGATCAATCGACATGGTCAACGGTTTTCACCCAGAAATTGACGCAGCACGCGCTGCATCCATCAGGTTCAACAGCTTGCTGGACACACACAACCCAGAGAATTCTCCCGTCACTGTCTCGATGGCTTCTCGCAATCCACAGACTCCTGACAGGATGGATCTACTGTCAGCTAGTGACGTGCTTAGCGGCATCCTGCAAAAGATGCTGGAAAGGCAAAAGTTGCGTGATGACGTGGCTGCTGACCATTGCCCAAAAACGAAGCCGAAAGCTCCGGGACCAGCAACGGAGGCTCATCGTAAGAGAGCGAATCGGGAGACCGAAAAACAATCCCACAAAGAGAAGAGGAAACACAAGATCGAGTCTGCCGATGTCCATCCGAGAAAATCTCACAAGACCGATGGCCATTCGACAAATTCTCACAAGACCTCGCGGAGTGAAGTCGGTTCTGGAGGCAAAGAAGCGGAGATCAGAGCCGACAAGCAGGTTCACAGGGAAAAATCAGAGCGTGAGAGTGAGACCGCTGTCGAAAAGTCGAAAATGGGCCACGACGACTCACACAAAGCCAAAGTTCCGGAGAAGAAAGCGCCAATCGAACCAGAGAAGCCGTCTCATCAGGCGAAGAGGAAGCGCGAAAGTGGGACCGCTGCCGATCATCTCGATAACAACTCCGAGGCATCTCGCAAGGTTCCCAAGATCTCGAACAATGCAGCGAAGGTTGATCTTTGGACAGAAGCCCCAAAAGAAAAGAAGAGTGCACCGAAGCAACCATTCAGAGGACCCCTGACGAACAGCGAGAAGAAATTGAAAGCCGCCCAAGACGCCGAACGGGAGAAGAAAAAAGAAGCGGCCGCAGCGCGGAGGATTGGGAAAACTGCCGAGCGAAAGAAGGTCAAAGAAGCTGCACAAGCACGAAAAGCAGCGCAAGCTTCCGGCGTTAAAGCCCACAAAAAGTACAGAATCGCCGGCACAGGCAAGTCTGGCGATGCTTCAAAGATCCCGAACAGTGCGCGCTCACAATACGAGCCGGAGTCGGAGAAGAAGGAAATGCAGAGTCGATCTTTCCTCACAGGGGACCTCTTTGATAAGAAGGAGGAAAATACCAGCACCATGTACACCGAAATTGAAGAAGATGATGCAGACGTGCCCGAGGAGAAAAGGTCGAGCGTGCTGTATCGTCCTACGCCGCAAGCTATGTTCTTCAAGGAGCAACAATCAGCCAAGAATGAAGCGCTTGAGGAAGCTGGACTTGCACCCGAGCCAAGACGGACTGGTCGTTTTCGCTTTCTGGACCTCGATCGGGAAATCCGTGATAAGATTTATGAATTGGCCGTCGTCAACCGCACTTGCTTCAAGTGGCCCGTCGACAGCCACCTGGACCATCGACAACCAGATCTGGCGATGGTGTGCCGGCAGATCCGCCACGAAGTTCTGCCACTCTACTATCTTGAGAATCATTTTGCGATGACATTGCCTTGCGTGATTCAGGACGACAAGCCTAACGAGAAGATGGTTCTGTTGGAAAATTGGTTGAACGCCATTGGAGATCCACAGAACGAAGAAGGCAAATGGTTGGACAAGATTCAGCGTTGGGTCTTCGATGGCGCATGGGAGCCCGTGAATGAAGAAACCCAAATCGACCCGACTGCTGCAGAGCACGCCGGAAACCAATCTGTTCCCGCCAAAGCCAAGGAAGCTGACGGGAAAGCCAAGCCAGCACCAAGGCTTTTCGGGCGGTCGCCGCTCAGCAAAAAATTCATCTTACACGCAGAATACAGCTCCAAGATTGAGGACGGCGTGAAATTGAGAATCCACCGTCAAGCGGCATGCATTTTGCCACAGTATTCGGGGCCTGACAAGCGCTGCATGTTGCAGCAGGTCCCAGAGAGCGTTCGGATAATCTTGAGCGCGTGGAGGGGATTCATAGCAAGATCATCCTCCCCCACCAGAGCCAAACATCTGACGAGGTTGGTGGGCAAACTCAACAAACTGACGCCTGACCTGGCTGGCGCTTGTTGCAAGCCCTGCAGTGATGGTTCTTGGCCGGCAGCCGCAATCGTGCTGGATTAAATTGTAATGACTGCTGCTGCGGTGCAAGCTTCAGGACAGGCCTGCGTGGCCGGACCCAAGGAAAAGTCGCTTTGTTCTTATTTCAAACTTTGCAGCGTCCTCAAGGCTTGTTCTCTGATCGACACTCTCCAGGCTCAACCACCAAATGTTTTGGAGATCATGGCCTTTTGTTCTTCCAGAGTCCATCCTAGCTCGTCTGCTCCAATGAGACATTTTCCAATTCCTAACGTGTCTTGAATGCTCCCGCTGTCGACCCATACGCGTCCATTCCTGCCCACCGCAACTTCGAATCTGGTCTTCTCACCGATAGTCTCCAGAATGATCAGTCCGCTCTTCTCTTTCTTTCCCATCATGAGACGTCTCGCAAATGCCGTTGTCACATCAAACACCATGCCGCCCTTGAGAGGTCCCATGCCCTCTGCCTTGCCGGTGTTTGAATTGACACATTCAATCTCGCATTCATCGTCTCGACCGCAGCTTTTCACACGAGCGTAGACGAGATCTCCAGACTCGAGCTTCGGACGAGTCTTCTTGCTGGCGCCTTCAAAAGATAATTGCCCAAGGATGACGTGTGGTGTGTGAGGAGTGATTGAACAGTAAAACACATCACCGGCTCCGGAGTGATGTATCTGTGCGACGACTAGGTCACCGACACCTGGCTGGTAGCGAGCAGAGGAGGATGGAGTATTCTCAAGCCATAATGCGGCTTTGCGAGAGTCTACAGCGAGCGTGCCGGATATTGTTGCAAGAATCGTCGAAGGTGGAATGTGCCTCAAGCCAGGGCCCAAGGTGATGGATTTGTTCTTAGATGGAGTTGGTAATGAAGAATTTGGTATGGCAGCCCCGGGAATGAGCATTTCCTCGGTGGCAGACATGATCGTGAATAGAAACTTGGCGATGATGTATTGTTGGAGCCGGCGATCGCATGCAAAGAAAGTATTTGCTACACCAGCAGATCATGATGCGGCGGATCTAACCGCTGATTAGATGCGGGAGACCCTGCCACTTTCTGAGAGACACCTCGAATTTTTTGGGCTCGGGTCCCTCATTGAAAGATCGCACTCCTCATACACCAGTCCTCCATTTATTCACCACGCAAAATGAGTGCAGACGAAGAGACCTCCTCAAGCGGCTCGCCGGTCGTGATCGGTCTGTCATTTGGTAATGCCTACAGCAGCATCGCCTTCACATCTCCCTCAGATGGCACCGCCGCAGTGATTGCCAACGAAGAGGGTGACCGACAGATCCCCTCCATCCTCTCATATGTCAGCGGAGAAGAGTTCCACGGCACCCAAGCAAAGGCACAAATTATCCGCAACCCTCGAAACACCGTCGCATTCTTCCGCGACTATCTCGGAAAAGGTTTTAAGGATATCGATGCGACGCCCTGCCACGCCAGTGCCCACCCCGTCGAGAAGAATGGAGTCAGCTTCGAGGTCCAGGAAGGAGAGGGAGACGCCAAGAGCACATTATCAGTATCCGAGGTCGCAACACGGCATTTGAAGAGACTGAAGGAGAGTGCTTCCGACTACCTCGGACGTCCGGTTACTGCTGCTGTAGTCACTGTTCCTTCAGACTTTGACGATGCGCAAGTATGTGAAGCACTGTATACTATTTATCATGAAACCAACTAACGCGCGATGCTAGAAATCTGCGCTCTCCGAGTCCGCCGCCGCTGCCGGTATCGACATCCTCCAATTCATCTCAGAACCCATCTCCGCTCTCCTCGCCCACGATGCGAAATTGCAGGCCGCCGGCGAGGCCAACGCCCAAGACAAGATTATCGTCGTCGCAGATCTCGGCTCTAGCCGCAGCGATGTAACGGTTGTTGCCAGCAGAGGAGGAATCTACACCACACTCGCAACCGTCCATGACTACGAGCTCGGTGGCAAGAACCTTGACGAAGTCCTCGCCGAATACGCTGCTAAGGAATACTTGAAGAAGAACAAGAGCGCCGCCGACCCGAGGAAAGATGAGCGTGGTTTGGCCAAACTTAACTTGGAGGCTGAGGCTGTCAAGAAAGCTCTATCGATAGGCGCCTCTGCACAGTTTGCCATCGAGAGTTTGACGGATGGCATCGATTTCAACCTCAGCGTAAACCGCACCCGATTCGACCTCTTGGGAAACAAAGTCTTTGGATCCATCGTTCGCCTACTCGAATCGGCTGTCGCCAAAGCTAACCTCGACCTATTGGATGTTGACGAAGTTCTCCTATCCGGTGGCTCGTCGCATGTCCCGAAGATCGCTGCAAGCGTTCAATCAGCTTTCCCCGAGACCACGACTGTCATCGCGCCTAGCACGAGCCCGAGTGCTATTAACCCATCAGAGCTGGCTGTGCGTGGAGCCGCGATGCAAGCGAGTTTGATCGCTGAGTTCGAGAAGGAGCACATCGCAGCTTCGACCGAGGCCGTCGTGACCGTCACACCGCAGCTCACCCAGGCCATCGGTCTGGCATTGGAAGGCGGTGAGGGAGGATCGTCATTTGCCGTGATTGTCGAGCCCCACACTCCCGTCCCAGTCCGACGAACCGCTCAGCTCTCCGTCCCTGCCGGTGGTGATGTCCTACTCCGCGTTGCCGAGGGCAAACGTGAGATCAAGGTCACCCAGCAGGCACCTGCACCCAAGGACGAGGACGACGATGACGAAGATGATGAGGACGACGAGGATGATGAACCTGAGGAAGTACGTGAGAAGGTTTGGAAGACCGGCAATGTCCTTGCAGAACTCGCGATCCGCGATGTCAAGGCCAAGGGCAAGGTTGAGGTGCAGATCAACGTCGGTGCTGATCTCGCTATCACGATCGTTGCCAGGGAGGTCGGCGGCAAAGGTGGTGTCCGCGGCGTCGTGGAGGGCAAGGCATAAATCTCCAATCGAACTCTATAGATATAGTCCGATTTGGCGGCTGGTTTGGGCATGTCGCGCCGAAGATACAGCATAGATAGATGATGGATTATGAAACTCCGCGGGCAAACCTAGTTTCCCATGGATCGCACATGCCGCTCGAGTCCAAAAGACCCGTGTAATGGAAAGAGACTTCATGACATCATCAACAACGCCTTCAAATCCGTGATTCAATGGTAAAAATTGCCAGGTCTATCATGAAACAGTATAGTCTCATCATGTCTATCGAAGCAACACAAGGCGATCCGGTGTGCGGTCTCCGGACCATCGGCACGGAACATGATCATCGGCACGAAGACTCGGCTTAAGCAATCATCGTCTCCATCACCCAATGCATGGCATTGAGATAAATTCCGAGCGGTTTTTCATGTGGCTTGTCCTTGGCGCACGAAACAGCCGCGGGGGGGAAAGCGACGGCGCGCGAAGCCGCTTGACGTGCGCAATGCGGTCGACAAAACCCATTCGGACCGACTGACCTCATCTTTTCGCGTGCGTGCCCACAGGTGTGTGGAGAATCCGCCCAGGTTGCTTCATGCACCCCATGTTTGGAAGGATGCGCCTCCGTCCCTTTTCCGGTAAAAACAGCCGGACTGGGACACACGCTTGCCCGAACGAATGGTGTCAGATAAGGTAAGACCTTCGATAGCCGGGTGCGGTTTGGTGTCTAGCGGCGATTATCTATCTGGCCATCCATTGTGGGTGGAGATGAAAGAAGGATATTATCTTCTGGACAATGCCGTCGCTTGCTGGTCGAGAGTGGATATATGTAGGATCTCTCGCGTGCGTGGACTTCATCTATTGCTTCTGGACACAGGAAGCGCAGGTCTGACGGCGCGTGCGAACTTTGTCATTCTCATCCTCTCCTCCACGCTGTCACCTTCTGTCGACAACGACAACGACGACGACCTTTCGCCACCATGGAGTCGAAGCAAATGAAGGTCAACGACACCATGTCGCCGGAGCTGGAGAAGCAAGACACCAATACGACATTTCAAGAGATTGATCTGTCCGGTGGGAACCAGCTGGAGCGCGGTCTCAAGAGTCGACACATTCAGTATGTGCACGATGCCATCAACCGCCGTCGTATCCGCGCCTGCTAATTTCAGCTTTGCAGATTCTTAGCTCTTGGAGGTGCAATCGGCACCGGTCTCTTCGTCGGCTCTGGCGGAATCCTATCGCTCGTGGGTCCCGCGCCCTTATTCATGGCCTATCTCTCGATGATGATCATCGTATGGGTCGTGATGAACGACCTCGCGGAGATGGTGACCTACCTCCCGATGAAAGGTATCTCGATTCCATATTTTGTCGGCCGCTTTGTCGAGCCGAGCCTCGCCTTTGCCGACGGCTGGAATTACTGGTATGCATATGCGATGCTGGTCGCGGCGGAGGCGACTGCTGGTGGGATCATTCTGCAGTATTGGACCGACGCCGTCCCGATTGGGGTGTGGATCGCCGTCATCCTCATCGTCAACCTCCTCTTGAATATCGTTGCCGCTGAGGTCTTTGGGGAAGCGGAATTTTGGTTCGCGAGTATCAAGCTCATCGCCATCATCGGACTGATCATTTTGGGTGTCGTGCTCTTCTTCGGGGGAGGGCCGAACCACGACCGCCTCGGATTCCGGTACTGGAAGGACCAAAATGGCTACGGCGCATTCCGAGACTATCTCGTACCAGGAGATACTGGTAAATTCCTCGCGTACTGGACCGCGTTCGTACGTGCTGGATTCGCATTCATCACCTCTCCCGAGCTCATCGCCTTAGCCGCAGGTGAGACCGTTGCACCTCGTCGCAATATCCCCAAAGCTGCGAGACGATATGTTTTCCGCCTAGCTCTTTTCTACGGTTTCGGCTCGCTCGTCATCGGCGTCATTGTCCCTTCTAACGATGACCGACTCCTCTCCGAGAATTCCAACGCGTCGGCCTCGCCTTTCGTAATAGGAATCCAGCGCGCTGGGATCCAAGGATTGAATCATGTAATCAATGCTGCGATTCTGACCTCTGCATGGTCTGCTGGAAATGCTTTCTTATACTCTGGATCGCGAGTATTGTACTCCATGGCGTTGAGCGGTCAAGCGCCCGGGATTTTCAGGAAAACTACGAAGCGCGGTGTACCTTGGGCGGCGGTGTTGTTTACCTGGCTGATCGGCTGTTTGGCATTCCTGAACGTTTCCAACAATGGTGCGACGGTGTTCACATGGTTCAGCAGTGAGTTGCGTGCTTGGAATGTAAAACTCGGAATAACGCTAACACAATGTAGACATCAGTACCATCTCTGGGTTCATCGCATGGATCGTCGCCATGGTCACATACCTACGTTTCAGAAAAGCTATGCAACACCACAACATGATGGATGCTCTGCCACTCCGAACGAAGCTACAGCCTTACGCGACATACTTTGCACTATTCATCATCACCATTCTGACTCTCACCAACGGCTTCCAAGGTAAGAACAATCTACATAACCTCTCTTTTCCGAAATTCACGAACGACTAACCCACGCATGTAACCAGTCTTCTTCCCCTCCCGCTGGAAGCTCTCCGATTTCCTCGCCGCCTACATTACAATTCCGATCTTTCTCGTGCTATATCTCGGCCACAAGTCCTACACCGCAACACACCACGTCATCGACAAGCAAAATAGCACAGGAGGCAAATTACCACTGAAAGACAAGATTCGTGAATGGTTCAGCGCCTGTGTATTCTGGACCCGTGTCGAGGACATCGACGTCTGGACGGGCAAGAAGGAAATGGACGAACTCGAGAAAATGGATGTCCCACCGGTGCCGAAGAATTTCGTGGAGAAATTTTGGTTTTGGCTTGCGTAGGGCGATGAGATGAAGGTTGGGGACTTTGAGGCTCCCTTCTGCTTTCTACTAGGTTTTATTCAGTCACGATTACGACCAAAAGCGAAATTTTCTCTGGCACGATGCTCTCTTTAAAGTGATAATGCTTGGTATGTATTGTGATGAAGATGGGTGGGCAGGCGGCCTGGTGATCCGTTGACGATGATCCGTTGACGATGATCTTTGTACGGGTCTATCTTGTGCTTGATCAGCTCTACCTGATATTCAGTGCTCGATCAGGAGTGCGCAGATAATCATGTCCGCATCATAGTCCTGGCTTTTGTCTGGCGCGAAATCGACCGCTGGGCAGGCGGAGAAGAGTAACCCCATGGTCACGTTGCAGAAGGCAGGATAACGACGAACAAACTTCCTTCGAAGACTGCACCTTGGTTGCCGCAAGACACGCCTTCAACCGGTTCGCCGTATCCGATGATCATCTCCTCGAAGCTGCACTGTAATCACTATAATTGTCTGCTTATCTTCGAGCTGTTGACTTTCCATACCACCGGACGCCGAGGGCATCCCTGAAGGCGCCGACGTGTCGTGTCATTTCTGGTCTATCCGATCGCTCCCTCCAGAAGTAGACGTGTGTGACGAAATATTTCACGTCTGATAGAAGCGACCCTGAGGGTGCTCGTCGTGGCCGCAATAGGAAGATACACAGTATCAGCGCGTTACTCACAACACCGTTTTGGCCCCAGGTAAATGACATGTCTTGTTCACGTGCAGTAGAATGCTTCTCAACGACTGCCTTTTTCTCCCTTCCGTGGCGGTACATCGCAACTATTGCATGCTCGAAGTGGGTCTCGTGATGCTAATTCCGGAGGATACCTCTGTCTCCTTGCCGATGATGAGGTCGGTGCTGGCCTCGATGCAGACGCCTATCGTAAAACGCCGTTCTGGCCCCAAGTAGGCAACGAACGTCGATGAAGTATCACAATATCAGTGTCGATGCATCCGTTCATTCCTTGATTTGACGGAGCATGACGATAAGGGCGCGTCAGACGTGGCTCTGATTACGCTGATCCCGGACTATCCACTCACCAATGATGAGGCCTTCGCTTTTCCCAATGCAGACGCTCATCTCACAACACCGTTCACGGTGCCATGGAGACAACAAACCTTGATCGATTGTTGTCATATCTCTCTTGATGACACCTTCTTGTCCTCAAAGTGGTAGCGCATCATATCGATTGCATGTCCGATGCGGCCCTGAACATACTTGATCCTGGCGATAGTACGCGTTCCAATTGTCGATGATGCGGTCAACGCTGATTGCGATAGTACTACGCTGCCTACTCATCGATGATGAGGTTCATGCTGGGCCCAATGCACGCGCCCACGTCAGAGCACCGAAGTAGCACCAACGGGATAACAGATGATATCCAACGCATCCACAGCGCATGTATGATCTCCACAACCTCTGAAATTACGTGACTTGAAATCAAGAACGACGACTTACGACCTGTGTTCCAGCTCCTCATCGCCGAATGGTCCACTCCACGACGACAACGCTCATCTTGCAAGGATAATAGTTGTCGACCGGAAATCGAGGGCGCGTGCAGAAACCGAGAACTTCACTGTGGCGTGTTATCTCTTCAATGGTTGAGGGATGTACAAGCTGTATCCATTCTTGAGCTTAAAATGTGTGTCGTCGTACACGACCTTGATCGCGATCAATGGCATCCCTGAAAAGCGGTCTTATAAGACTGTGAATCCTTGCCGCTGTCTCGAAATGGCTGGGAGACCGAGTGCCACATCATCGCTCGATCAGAAACATGAGGTCAATTTCATTCAAGGAAGGTGCACAATTGTGCATAATCGCACGGTGACCTGCATCTTGCGGCCTCTTTCACAATGGCGGCATATCCCAATGTCACAAATTGTACAACAGAGTGGTACACGGTCGATGCGCAGGCAGTTGGGGGGCCGAAGTCGAAGCTCGATTGAGAAAAGGCCGCCTCGTACTTCCACAGCCTTCATCGCCGGCGTCTGGATGGGTGCGAAGGATGACCTGTGTTGGCTCGTAATACCCTTACGCTGCGCCGGGAGACCACAACACATAAAAAGTAGCTCGAGCTTATGCATCAACTTTGGTACGAGTAGAGTACGTTCCAAATTCCTCCTCAACGAAAGCAGTGTGACAGTCCTGATCGAGGGTGGAGAGCCGCACGAGCCTGTACTGCAGGATTTACATGAAAATACGAGACTTGAAATTCATGCAAGTCCTCAGCTTCGCGGCGCAGAACTTGTAAAAGGGGTGCTCTGTACACCGTGAATTGGTGCTCGAGCGCCGTGCAATGCTAACATTGCCCATCCATGACCTTAGAGGTAAGAGGGAATCGCTTCCTCATTGCCCAAGTGGTTACAAACATCCTCGGTGATCTGGTGAGACGTGTACACCGTAGATCTTTGACACCGATGAACTCAGTCCACGCTTGAAGACGAAATTCTCAGTCAAGTTTGTTGTCGCAATGTGTCGCACACCATTGATCCCGAGATGTTCGATGTACTGGAGGCTCGATCATCGCTGTATGAGGGGCGCTTGCATTGTCCAGATTGAAAACCTTTCACTGCCATCTACACCATTTAGGAGTGGCGTATCGCTGCGGCGCGTCGAATCATCAGGATCAGTGTGAAACGTGAAGTAGCCTCGCTCTCCGAAGGAGGGTGGCACGATTGGCGGACCGTGAAGTTGACAAAATACCTGCCAGGATGGTAAATATGGAACCAGACTCTGCTAGATTCGATAGCGGCCAGCCATAGTCTCGTTTTGGTAAATTAGAAAAATGCTGCGATCTACACCTAGCTCTTGCGAGGGCGGCAGACGGGTGATGGTACCGCTTCTTGTCACTCTTGAGTGCCGCCGGCTCCACAAGAATGATGCACACACGACAATCCAGATCGCAAGGTCTCGACACAGACGTAATGCCGCTGACATTTCCCACAAGAAATGTGTCTCAGTGAAAATTCTTGATGAAAGAACAAGATGGATTCCGCTGGCCACAGCATTACCAAAGCAAGGTCCCCCTTTACTGTTCAACGGTGAATCTGAGACCGGCATTCCTCTTGGACAGCCCGGGATGTAAAGCGAAATCATTGTACGGCAAACGGCATTCTCATTGTGATCTAGTCGTTCCGTGGCAGCAGCCGTAGTCCGTAGTCTTGCATTCCCGTAGTCTAAGGGATGTAGGCTGGCCGTTTCCGATTATGGCTCTACCGCAGCAGGCGGCCTTGACCTCAAGCCACGCAGAATTCTGATCACTTGTTTACATGTACCGCGATCGCTGTAAGAATACATGTACTGCCAATAGTGTCCTGTCGGCCGCTCAACAACTGACACGTCGTCGTCGTCATGAAGTGAGTGGCTGAGGAGTCGTCCCGACCTCTGATATCATCTTCAGTGATTCAACACACGCCTCACAGGATGAACGACTGACTTCATTCTCTCCCCGGAATGCGGGTCGGATTTTCCTCGTGGTAGGCTATGATCTCTAGTCAAGACGGACCGTCTGGATTTCCGTTACGGGACGTGCGGCGCAGAAAGTGTGGTTTGGTGGACATAATCGTATGGCGAAGCATCCCTTGCGCAAGGAACTGGCGGAGGCGCCTATGAATTTCAGGGTCGTAAAACTTGACATTCCTCTAACCTCCTGGCGACAACAATAATTCACATTCATCTTAGCACACACTACATTTCGGACATTGCGTACATCTCGACGGCCTTCGATGCGATCACGATGCGTATTTTTGAGAACCGAGCTGGCGATAACAAGTCCACGATCCCTGCTGATCACATCAAGCCTCCAGCTGAACAGTACTATGTACCACAGGTAAGGTACTACCGTTCATGGGTGTGCTATGAGTACGTATCAGGTAGATCGATGTACATCAGGCGGAGCGAATCACGCTCCCATGCAGCCAAAACAAGATTGTGCAATTTCTCCAAGCAGTCAGATAACAAATTGACCGGTGTTGCGACTCACATGGCACTCGCAAACCGCGAAATATTCATGCGAAGATGGAAAGGAAAGCCGATCATGGATGCGCATCTCTTTGCCAGCTATCAATGCCAACAAGCTGTATCGGCAAGGATGAAGCTTGAAGATACTGCAATGCCGGCGCGTACGGACATTGTGGGGAGTTCGACACGGCCCCTGTAGGCGGCTGTGTTATGAAACCAGAGAATCGATACTTGATGCGTTGGCTCGTTCTCTTAGCACAAGGCACTGTTGAAGGATTCACGAGACGGCAGATGATTCACTGTCGAGCACGCAGATGCAGCAGTGCTGACATCGTTCGCCTCGAGTGCCGGGATCCGTAGGCGCCATACCTCAACGACATGTCCATTGCAGGCCGCCTGGACCCACAGCACGTCCGTGGCTTTTCGTGACAGTTCTGTACGCGATCCAACCCTTCTACCACACATCACCGCATTCGGCAATATTATGCATACGACAAGGTCGCGTCCCAAGACGTATGCATGTCCCTGCTACAACACGTATCGAGATAGCCAGGATGATGACCTTGCACGAGTGGGGACAGCCACAACACATCCTGACGCCTCATCAACCTGGGCGACACGCTGATTATGATCAGCCGAGGAGAAAGTATCTTGCGTGAGGAAGGTCGATGATATCGACAACTTTGCGAAAGAACATAAATATTCATGGAATCCGCCAGTCTTCTCATCAGATCATCATTTCTCACATCCTCTACTTTCAACATCCTTCACCATCTCTTCAACGCAGCTTTTTGCCCAAATCCCCTCTTGCATTCAAACTTCTCCTCTCCTCCATCTCAAAACTTGTTCTTATCTATTGATCGTCAAATCATTCCGCAACTTGGAGACGCCATCCAGGACTCTGTCGACAACACAGCTGGTGAGCCATCCATCGCGAACCTCATCACCCTCATTCACCTTTTCCTCTTCACCATGCCTGTCCTTCGCCACAACCGCCCGAACAGCAATGCACTTGTGCAGCGGAGGGACGATGCATTCATATACCAGCGAACACAAGCTCCCCGGGCATCAAATATGCCCAAGCGCGATAGCGCACTGATCCTGCGCGCCTTCGACGGTGGTAGGCGCACCCCTCGAGAAGTGTATGTGATGGTTGGTGGACAATTGTCCGTCGACCGCACAGAAGCTCAGATCGCCAGCCATGCGAAAGGGCTGGTCCAAAAGGCCGGCCAAGATTGGGAAGAAGCTCTGCGAAGAGTGATCCACTTTGAGGACCGGCACCGGATCCCCAAACGCAAGATGCCTTTTTCGCTGCCGGAGCAGCTAGAAATTGCGATCGGGTATCGCGGCCTTACTTCGCGGAGAGATAGGCACAAGCTCGTCTCAAGGCGGATGATACAGTGGTACCGGACTACCGGCTACCCAAATCGGCATCATCTCTTGATGGAGGGAACGGGGTCTGGCTCTTACCATGAAAAAGTCAAGAACCACTGTCGGAACAACCTCGACCTCAAGTACAACGGTAATCTCGACGAGGCGATTCGAGACATCGAGCTAAAGATGTCAGAATCAGAGGACAACGGGGTCTCAAGATTCTACGAGTCCTTTGTAGTACCTCTTGATCCCACCTCTGCCCCCGTGTCGCCTCAGCAAACATCTGCCGCCGTCCTTGAGGAAGAAGATCTTCAATCTCCGATAGTGTATCAAGAGCCCCTCCCTGCCTCGACCGACCTCCCCATGGTGTCGTATCCATCCCTGATGGATACGGCCGACTTTGCTGCTGATGCTGCGCATTGGAATTTATTATCGGCAATCGATCCCTCACTCGAGTCTGGTGTATATTTACCACTGGACAGCTTTCCCGAGCTTTCGTTTGGTTCGATTCAGCCTCCTACCACCGCTTGCAACTCTGCACCGATCGCTACGACCACTTCTCCTGATCCTGTGCCTGCCACATGCCCTCCTCCAACCACTGTCATCAGCTCTGTGACGATGTCGTGTCCGCCTCCTGTCCTGGCATCCTCGTCAGTAATGACGCTTCCCCCTCAACAGGATGATCTACTAACAGATTTTGAAGGGGCCTACTATAGCATTCCTCCTGCGGGGACGACCCCCTTGACCGAAGCGGATCTTGAGTATTTTGGCTCGCGGCCGTCGTTCCAGGCAGCAATGGCGGAGATTCCACTTGGACCCGACCCAGCACAACTACTGGAGTCAAGCTGGCCCGACTTGGCCGACCTCATGGGACCCAACCCTTCTCAGCTAGTGGACGTCAATTGGCCCAACTTCTCTCAACTGATGGACCAGCCTGACCCAGCAGCCCCAGTTGTTGCGCAGAGTCAGAGAGTTCCCAGTAAGGGAAAAGGAAAAGAAAGGGTTAGAGATGACTTGTTGGATATTGCGGACGCCCACTACATGTTTGAGACCTTCGAAAGCGATTCGAAGTATCTGAAAAGTCTCCCCCCAGACGGCTTTGGCGACAACGATTGGTTTTGCGAGGTTCCACCTGCGAGCGGAAAAGTTCGAGATGATACAAAGTCATCAGCGCTTCCAACGGTGCCTATCATCAAGATAGAGGAAGCACCATCACCCGTGTCCGACTTTGCAGCATCTAGCGACACGGCACACACGGCACAGGTGCAGGTGGAGCCTTGCATAGCAGGCCCGTCCACATTTTGGATACCAAACTGTTCTGTACCATTTGAGGCGCCATTCGCATACATGATGCCACCTGCACCAACGCTGGCATCATGTTCGCTGTCAGCAACTTCTGCAAACCATCGTACGATTTCTTCGATGCCGCTGCAATCGCCACGATCTCTGCATACCTCTCGCGGGTCACATCTCTCGGTTCCCTCCACGACAACGAAAAGACACTCTCCGACTCGCAGGAAACAGCCGAGGTCCCCTTACTTGCCGGGATCGTCTCAAAGGCCGATCGTGGTCTCAGATTCCGAAGCATCTTTTGTGGTCCGTAACGAGCGGCCGATTTCGTCCGATCTCACAGGATCTTCGCAAGGGCCGATCGAGTTGGAGCTTTGCCAGGCGTCTTCATCCAGTGCGGCATTACAGAAGCGTAAAGCTTGCGCAATTCCCTACGTGGGGGAACCAGTGCAGAAACGTCACCGTCCGATGACCCCCGATGAGGTTCTACAGGCGAGACGACCTGTTTGGATCCCCAACGAGCTACCTACGGACGCAACGATTGATCCATTCAACCTGGCGCCCCCGTTGGCTTACAAGTACGAGCAACCGACGCACTCGATACCCCCTTGCCTGTCGCGAGTCCGTCATCCAGACGACGTGCTTCGCGGAAGTATGCAAGGCATTTTCGTTCTGAGACAAGACTTCATGCAGCAATTCTCCCTCTTTTGGCCCGAATTACCACCCGAAGGCTTTGAAATTCTGTTAGAACTCCAGGCTAGAGGGGATTCCATCACCGGGCACATGGTTCAAAATATTGTGTATCCTGACTCACAGCCCAGCGAATGGCTGTTGAAGCTCATTTCAGATCAATTGGCCAATTTTGCGGTGCCTACTGCCGACACTGTCGATGCCCTGGACCGTAAGCTGCAAGTGCTGATATCCTCCGTGAGAGAAGTGGTTGAACATTATGATCCACAGCGGATACTTGGCATGTGGGACATCGCTACGCAGCCCATGGAAAGATGTCTGAAGGATGACGGGCGTTTTCATGCGAACAAGAAACCATTCCGCGATGTAGAAGCGATGAAACCGCGGTCAGAATGGCGGCCAGGCGGGATGAAATGACACGTGGTGGCAAGCAGCAATGAACACGTACTTCGCGAGGTTGCGAAGCATTGTCACAGGAGTTGGGTTTCGATGGTCGATTTTTGATTCGGTTTTGGCGCATGGTGGATGTTGCTTTTTTCCACGAATACCCTTTTGCTTTTCCTGCCGCATGAGGCAGATCTATTTATCGCGTATACCCTTTTGCTCTTCTCTCGCGCCGGCTGCACATCTTTTCACTGCGTATACCCTTTTGCAAACTAACGAATGTTTACTACACTCTCGTGTGTTTCTGATATTCGCGTCGCGCCTCCCAATGTTCCAATAACTCGATCTGCGACATCAATCCGTTGTTCCGTCGACCGGAGCTGGGGAGATGCCGAGACTCTATTACCTTACTCCCGATTAAGCTTTATCAGTCGAACATATAGTTGTTCACGCTACTTCTGACAACCCAATAATGTAGTAAATGGTGGATGGAAGTTGGGACGAAATGACCCAAACTCTAACCCTAATTATGCGAAGATGCTTCGACGAGAACGCGCGAATGCACCCCCCGGGACCAGCATCTCTTGCGGCGCTGGAGACGGCCTTCCTTCATTTTTGTTTCTGTATTGTTTCACATGGCTTCTCATCATTATCACAACGATGAATATATTTTGTATGTGCGTTGATGAGTAGTCGCCTTTGATGCCGAAACCCATTGGCTACATCTAGAACGGCTGTTTCGCGTTAGACATATTTTCAACATTCAAGTCCCGCTTCAACTTCCGCAACAGCCAGATTGCTGCTGACGCCGCTGCGACACCGCCATGAACGACGAGGTCTAATATTCCATGAGAAGGAGGCTGCTGATCGTTGGCCAAAAACATGTACCTTCGGCGAAAGTGGCAGATCGTCGAACCATGATGCACGTTATCGACCTTTAAAAGACTTAGGTCTGAACGACAACCAGGGAAGTCCGTGCTGTATGCGTCGTTCGCGGACTCCCCGTGGTGATTCCGATGGTGGTCATTCGTCGGTCCAGCGTCTTATCGACAGCGGTATGGCTTCCGGTGCTATTGCTCTTAAAAGCGATTAGCCTCATGCAGGTTTCTGACAGGATTATAGTCGCGGCTGTCAGAAACCTTCATCAAATGAAATCTCTTCCACACGCTCCGCCATTGAGGCACACCATTGGCTCCTAGGACTCTCGAGGACACGCAAATTTCGGGATAGGCAGTCACAGGGAAGTCCATGCAGGCAAATTCGTGACACATGCAGTCTCGATCACATTTCTTGGGAGGGCATTAGATCGCACCGCAATCTAACGTCGACGGGCATCTACTAGTGAACGAAAATAAAAAGATCAGCATACATGCATCTGCTTCGAGCCGTGACCGGCACATCCGAACCCAATTTCCTCGCGCTTGACAATGTGAAGCGAGCGGAGATATCGTCGGATTTAGTGCACCTGTCCGGCACTGATAAGCTTCGACCCAAGCTTCAATTCAAACACGCCAGTTGGCACGTCGGACCTACCACCCCGGAGCTATACCTTAGGTCCGGCGCAACGTCTGCAGCATCACGGGCAACAACAACCTTCCTTTGACAAAAAGTGATCCCGCCCATCTGTTGGATGTCGAGGATGATGTCTGGTCAAGATCATACCATTTGACGACCGAGCGACTCTTGACGCAATTCAACATGAGTCTCATCAACGAAGGCAAGGGAGGACCACCCAGAGCCTCCAGCGTGTTGCCAGCACCAACGGAGAAGAGTCCCGGGACTTCAACTCCAGCTCCACCAAACGGCGGATTTGATGCCTGGTTGCGTGTGTTCGCTGCGTGGCTCATCTTCATCAACACATGGTCAGTCCGAGGCAACGTATTCGTGGGATGTATGCAGGTTGTGCTGAATTGTTGTTAAAGGGGCTTGACTCAAACATATGGCACGTTTCAGGAGTTCTATGAGGGAGCTCATCTTTCTGGACGCAGCGCAAGTGATATCTCATGGATCGGTAGTATGCAGTCCTTTCTCGTCGTCATTATCGGTGTCATTGCCGGCCCGCTGTTCGACATTGGCTTGCTGAAGCCGTGTTTGTTCGTGGGAAGTGTTCTTATCGTCTTCGGCATGGTGAGATTGCGAGTCTGGGATGCTCAGGGACATTTGTACTGATACAAGTGATGTCAGATGATGCTCTCACTATGTCAAGAGTATTGGCAGATTTTTCTCGCCCAAGGAATCGTGGTAGGTTTTGGTGGAGGCATGCTCTACATTCCAGCTGTCGCGATGGTCACTACACAATTCACGACCAGGCGTCCAATTGCTGTGGGCTTGGCCTCATCAGGCTCTAGCATCGGTAGGTCTGTATTATTCCCATGCTCAACAAAATGTTAACTCAAAATACAGGTGGCATAATTTTCCCGTTGATGTTTCGCAACATTCAACCACAAGCTGGCTTCGGGTGGGCTGTCCGTGCCATTGCCTTCGTCATTCTCAGTACGCTCTGTGCGGCACTTGTCATCCTTGGGAGACACGAACAGCCCAGACCCGCCAAGCGACGAACCTTCAAGACACTGTTTGCCTTCGCCGCTCTGAAGGAGCCACGCTTCCTCGCCTTTACCGTCTCGCTCTTTTTCATCTTCCTTGGCTTCTATATTCCGCTGTTCTACGTGCCGCTCTATGCACAATACGCACTCGAGACTTCAGAGGACTTAGCGTACAACCTCGTCGCTATTGTTAATGCAGGGTCCTTTTTCGGTCGAATTTTGCCCTTCCTGGTCGTACGACTACTGCCTGTATACAACCTCGCCTTCTGGACGGCAGTCTCGGCAGTCCTTTTGTTCTGCTGGATTGCTATCCACAATGTTGCTGGCTTCATTGTCTGGACAGTTCTTTACGGTTTCGCGTCCGGTGTTATTATCTCGGCCTCACCTTCGGTTGTTGCGCACAAGACACTTTGTCCGGAGATTACCAACATCGGGTCCCGGCTTGGCTTGAGCTGGGCTTTTGCCGCTGCTGGCATTCTCATTGTGAGTCAACCTTCTATCCTTGCAACTTGACAAAAAGCTGACATTGCCCAAGGGTACCCCCATTGCCGGAGCAGGTGTCAACATCGCAAGCGCAAACTTCATCGTTGGGCAGACGTTCTCCGGTGCCATGATGGCCGCGGGTGTCGTCCTACTTCTCGTTCCAACCTGGTCGGTATTCCGTTACAAAAGTCCTGTCTAGTGATCGCTCACCCTCGTGCCAAAAGTTATGAAGATTCTTTAGCAGCGACGTTGATTGTGCGAAAGCGCTGGGGGTCATAGCGAGAGCAAAACATACAGCACGAGGGATTCCCACGTGGTCACCCACCGTAGTACTAATCTCGCGGTCAGCTGCTTAAATATGGGAGAGCGGACGGGATCCCTTGTTCTCAGCTGCCTGTGGCCGTATGTGCTGAGCAGACGGATTTACAAAACCATATAGCATCAAACATTGCGTTTATTGTGGGTTGCTGCTGTGTGAATTCTCGAGCTCCCGGTCCCTCCTCGAAGGTATGAATTGCCGAGCAATGCAAACAGACTCAAACAATCTTAAAAATCATGCGAATGGTTGAATAGTGCTAATGAGATGTGGTTTACGCAACGACTGAATAGCAATATTAGCAGTACCAGAATGTTGCTCGGCAATCACAGACGCCTTCGACGAGGCCTCTTCAGCGAGTGCCCCGATTCTACCGCAGTCTCGGAAATGACTCTGGGATGGTAGAGAGTGTGCGTAACTTTTCGTAGAAAGCTGCTAGATTGAGCTATTTCGCAAACGAGCAGCGAGACGTCTCCACGAAGCGCCGACTTCCCATACTGCCCAGGTCGAAGCCATAGTCTCAAAGTTGTCAAGTTTGATTTGGTATGCACCTGCAGTTCAGCCACAAGCTAACCCTAAGCACAATATTATCGACTGAAATTGAACGCGCACGAATGGAACAGAGAGCCCTTTTGCAAAGTGCCGAGATTTTTCGCACCTAATGAACGCACCGATATGTTTGAATGATAGGTATCGTAGCCCGGCTTGTCGAAGCAAACTTGAATCCGGTCTTCTCGTCCTTCTCCGACATCTAGCCCTTCTTCCTGCGTCGCGCTGACATTGTCGCCCAGGTGATATTCCCACAAATGTCTCGCAATGGCTTGTCGAACTGCTTGATTTTCCTGACTTGATTCGCCGGGTTGCATGACTTAGATGTCTCTAAGTACCCAGTAGGTGAAACTTATAATCCTCGTTTAATCATTTGTGTTCATGAACATGCTCATCGTACTGGGGATTCAATGATGTTAGGCTGAATCTGACATCGTAAGGTGGCAGGGGTGGCAATACCTTGAATCGATCAGCCGAAACCTGAAGTTGTACCTTGCACTCGAGGTGAAGCTTGAATCGAAGGAAGGACACGCTAGTGAAGCTTCCACGAACGGCGCAACATGTCTACACAAGAACTTTGAAGCAGACCATGGGAATTGCCTTGACGGGCACTAATGCCTATGTAGATTATCATCACGGGCTGGCGTTTCGTCGAAGGTTTTACTTCGTATCTGTTAGTACTGTCAAGTAGGTATCGTGCGCGAATCACAAGGGCGAGAACATCTTCGAGTATTCTCTCTACGATCAAGATTAACAGCTTTTTGGTCAAGCGAAGGATGAAACTTCTCCACGGATCACGTCAGTATACGGGTCAGCGATCTGTTGAGGTCATGGAATTCGAGGGATTTTTCATCAGTCGGTAACAGAATTTCTGTGATTATTCAAATATATCATGCATAGACAGAACGATTCATGCTGTTTCTCGACGCTACGCTGTGCTGTAGTCGTCAAGCTAGTTTAATCGGTCGCAGTCTCAGGACGATTAGGGTCGGTGCCCATAATCTTGGTCTGTTCGCGAGCGGCAACGGGAGCCGTGCGGCCCTTACGAGGCATAGCTGCCATGAAGGAAAGAGAGTTCCGCTTGACAGCCGGGGGGCTGTAGGTGGAAGTGCAGCCAACAAAAGAGTAGCAGACGCCTTGGTAGTCTCCGCGGAACCCAGCGCCAAAGTTGGCAATGTCGCAGAACGTGCCGGACGGGCACTCGCTATCCGACCTGCAGACGGTGCAACCATCAGGGCCGCAATCGCGGCCGCAGTAGGCGTTGGTCTGGTCGACGTCGGCATTGCAAAAGCAACCGTTATTGCAGCCGCCCGCATTGAAATTGCCGTTGCCGGCCCCAGCGGGATCGCAGGGTACACCAGGAAGTCTCCCCGCGGGCGTGGTCGTGACAACCGTGCTGGTGGAGGTCACAGTCGTGGTCGCTGTTGCCGCGGTCGTGATGGTCGTGATGGTGCTAGTCTGGGTCACGGGCGTGGCCGCTAGCGAGCAGGCGGACGACACGATGCTGGCCGGGTACTTGGTCAGAACCTGCGGCTGAGCGATCGCGGCGGCCGATCGACGAGCGTTGTTGCCACCTGGCGTAACAGTGGTGGTCGTCGTCACTATTGTGGTCGTGCTAGTAGTAGTAGTGGCGGTAGCGGTCGTCGTCGTCAATGGTGTGGTATAGCCAAGAAGACTGGAACAGTAAGGCAGCGCCGAGTTGGCAGGCCAGAGGATGTCGCGTTTCGCTTGGTGAACAGCTGGCAGGGGCTGGGCAGAGCCGGGGTTCGTGCTGTTCGAGTATGCGAAGGAGTACTGGAGGAGGAAGTGGTCACTGCCGCGGTACTGGCCGACGTTGGTCGCGTAGCTTGCTGGCCAGGACTCGGAGTACATCGCGCAGTACTGGCCCTGAATGTTCTTAGTGGTATTGATATACAGGATATACGTGTTGAAGAACTGGCAGGTCTGGACTGGTGTACCGTCTGTCGGTGGATGGGCGATCGCATACTCGCTCTTCTTGGTGCAGGCATCGGCACAGAGTTGAGCGTTGAAGGCGCCCTGCGAAGTCAGAATCTATGTTGAGGTGATCAGGTCGTCGTGACTTACGATGAATATTGATGAGCCCATGTAGCTGTCGAAGCCGAACTTGTCGTATGGCGAGTTGATAGCCGCGTTGCCAAGGGGGATGGCTGCACCGTATCCGGGGACTAGGGCGACAGTGTTGTTAACATAGCCATTCGACCCGGCAATAGCGACTTGGAATTGGTTGCGCCATTGACCAGAGTTAAGCGCGTTGTCCGTCGAGACCGGACCGCCCCAAAAGACACACTTGATGTTGGTAGTCGAGGCCGGGTTCGCGCAGCCGGAGGCGCCGCTGCCGGGTTCGAGAGACGGATCTCGCTCAAAAAAGAGGTTGAAACTGATACAGCCGTTGATAGCGTTGCACTTGGATGCGCAGAGGTTCGAATCTGTTGTATGGGATCAGCGCCAATCATCGAGTCACCCTGGATCGAAACATACCGTATGACTTCAGGTTGGTGTATCCCATGTAGCCGTATGCGTTATTGGACGCATTGAGATTTGAGAAGGTCTGCGTGTACCCGCTCGGGACAGGAGCGCCGACGGCGGCAGAAGAGAAGGCCGGCAGGGCGGCGAACGCCGAGACGGTATCCGAAGTCGGGATCGGGCCAGCGCCTGTCGGCTGCGGCGCGCAGGCGGCACGCTTTTCTAGGGCAGGCTCGGTCGTCGTGTCAAGCGTATTCGTCGTGTCGCTTGCGGTAATCTGCGGAAGGGCAGCAGAAAAGACGGTAGACGGATTGTAGGTAACGATCTGGGCCGTGGCATCCAACACGGTGGTGTAGGACGGGTTCGGCAGCGCGTAGGCCAGATCGAAGTCGATATTTTGTGGCGCGGCGGCAGCACCAGCCAGGCCCACGAGGGCTGAAGCCAGGATGATGGACTGCATGATAGTCGGACGAACGCCAATGGATAGGACAAGGAAACGGCGAAGGTGCCAATGGACAGATCGAGAAGCACAATCAACGAGCTTGCTGCTTTTATTTGTAGCCTCACGATGAAGCCCAGCTTCGCACATCAACACTAACTCGATTGTTTACCGGAGCTTGAGCATGCGTCCAACAGTCGACAGGCTCTTCGAAGCTGTGATCGGACTACAGGCGACGCCGTGACGATTGCTTAGCTGACCTGGCTCCGCGTCCTCGATTGCTCCCAGAAGCTTGGGTAAGTGCTCAACCTTTGGCGAGTTCTTTGAAGTTGTGTCCATCCAGGTCACGAAAGCTACGATCGGCGACGCCGCAGCAATGGCTTGATGGCCTGATCTCGCTTGAGTGCTCGGCTCTTGGACGGGTTGTCCAATGGGCCACGCGAGTCGTGCATCTCTCGCGAGGAGCGAGCGCTAGTTTCACAAATGAGGTCCAGCATTCGCGGCACCCGCGCGTAGAGCGGGCCCCACAATCTGCGTATCTCCTGACCGTAACCTGCGCGCAGCATGGGTCGGCCAGCACGATGCTACAGCCCTGCACGCTCTTCCCGCTTGGGCGCCCCGAGGGGGGCATAGCCCGCGCTGCAGAGCCCCGTAGATGGCATGCGGGAATCGACTAAGTCGGCAGGGGGCAATGCCACGCGCAGTGATCGAGGTGGAAAGAGCACCGAGGAAGGAAGTCTGCAATCAGGTCTGCCATCGAGTCTGCCATCGAGTCGGGCGCCCAATGTGGCCCGAGTCAGCCCGCGCCTGCGACAGATCGATCTTGCAGCTGGCACGTGGCTGGATCAGGCCATCACCTGCAGCTTCGGGCTATCGGTGCCGCGCACTGCCCCGAAGAGGGAAAGCCTATCGCTAACAAGAAGACTTGGTATAGTCAGCACACCGTGAACATTTTTATGTTGGGCCCAGATCAACCCATTCCGCAGCGATGGGCTTCTTCGCCCGATTCAAGTCGGGTCTTGCGCATCAATCTTACACCTGAGCCGTGATATCGAGATGTCACTGTTCTTGACGTCTACTACTGCCGTGCTCACCTAGAATCGCCGGCATGGAAATTCACGGATGTTCCCCACACATCCTCGTTCCCTACCAGAACCAAGTCGGAAAATGTCGCTCCTTCGGTGTATCACCTGGACTCAATGACATGGTTTTACGTTAAACAAGCCTTCATCGGGAATAAGCACTATGTCATTTGCTCTGCGGATTTGATTTTTGCAGAAAATGCTGCCTCAGGCCACAGATGTGTGCATGTCCGTGCGGCAATAGCGAGATTTAATTGTGGGCATCAGGATAATGAGATTCGCAAAGGGCGGACGCCCATCAGAAAGGGCGGAGGGTGGATAGCGGAGAATTCGAAGGCCCACGCCATTTCTCTATTGACAAGACGGGCAAAGACACCGAATGCTGAATGTTTTGAAGCCTGTCAGATCGAAGCATTAAACAGTACGCCGTCTAACGTGCCACAACGGTAAAGGACTGTTGTATACCAGCCGAGCAGCTCGAGAACGAGACAGGCAACTCGAATCTAAGCAAAATCAAGATGGACAATTGGAAGCGTGGTGAAGTAGCACAGAGAGGCGGAGAAGATGGGTGATCCAAAGACAATAATGTAGGCACTGTAGTATTTTGGGCACGGAGAGACGGGAGATTGAAGGAGGCAAGGGACATGGGACTCTGGCACATAGAAGCGCAACTCGAACTCATAAGTCACCAATATAAATTTCGGGGCTTCCAAGCGGTGCGAGCCGATAGTAATGGGATCAAAACCTCATGCTGCAGCTATGGCTATCGCCCTCTCATGGACCGGAAGTCTCAAGACTGCCGTCCTTAGACGTGGCTCGATTGGGAACACCGTCCCCTCCGGTGTGACGCCATCGTAGATGGTTTTCCACCTCTTTGTCAGAGGTTCTGGTGTCGTCCATGCATGTTCGGAATCGCGCAACCAAAGACGGATCAGATGACGCCTACAACCCAAGCATGTGAATATCGCGTTCAATTATAGTCGGGAGACGCCAATACGATCAGGCGCGATTGAATCGACAGTGAATTGCTTACATACCTCTGATTAGGAGTATCCTTGAAACCATCCCGCCCATGGAAGATGCTGAGATTGTTGGCGTATTGGATATCACCTTTCTTGAAATTCAGATGAATGGCGTGCTTCTCGGCCAGGAAGTGGAGAGCATCCAGCGCTTCCGCCTGAGCCTCGGTGATGGGTGGAATGTCGGAGGGTCTGGGGTAATAGTCATAGCCTGTGAAAGGCCTCCGGTTGTATTGAATCACGATCTTTTCGCGATGACGATCATTTGTTGGGATGTGGTACAATAGCGGCAGTGATGTGATGCGTTCTCCCTCGGTCACGAAACTAATGATGATGTCAGGCTATACTCTCTGCCAACAACATGAGAGTAGAAGGGAAGACAGTACTTGTCGGCCGGCCACGGTTGCGACAAAGTCTCGATGAGATCAGGCCTGGTTCTTGCCAGCTCGTTGTATACCGTCCACGACGAGCTTAGCTTACTATCGCCGCCTTCCGCCGATGTCTCCAAGCACGCAAGAACTATCACGTCACCCGCGTCGGTATGGAAAACTTGCGGAACGTCCGTCAACGCCGGTGATCTGATCTTATCCGAAGTGACCGTTCCGCTCAGATCCGTCAGGTGGGCCAGAACCACGTCTGCCGGCTTGTCTTCAAACAAGAAGTCTTGACGGCCTCGCGTGTCTGCAACATGCGATGAAACACCAGCGTACATAATGATATTGTTGCGACGATCGTAGCGATCGAAAGGCATGCCACGGATAACTTTGATACCCCGTCCATGATGGACCTCGTAAGAGATCTCGCGGAGGACTGCTCTAGTCTTGGGGAGCGGGAAAGGAGTTGGGTATCGATGATGATGTCAAAGACCCGCCAGGAGGACACTATTGTCGCAGACCTGATGGGACTCTTACCGGAGAGATTGTTGAAGCCGCAACAGCCTCTGTCTGGCGAAGTCTTCCGAAGACTCCTCTCAGTTATGCCAAGACTGTCATCGAGTTCGCCATTTCGGAGTGTCATCGATATGGCATCACGTCGATCCAAGAAGCTTCAGCAACCACAGCCTATCTCCACGCCCTCCGCGAGCTGGAAGCGGAGAACCGCCTGCCGCTTGATATCAGCACGCACATTGTTTGTGCTCCGGGAGCTTCGACTGGCGAGAGTGAAGCGTCCCTTGCGGCTCTCATCAACGTTGCAGATGCATTTAAGAGTAAACATGTTCATACGGGATTTGTCAAATTCTGGCTGGACGGCGCGCCATTACCGCCGAATCCCACTCAGTGTGATCTGGATGCCAATGGGAAAGCTGATCCGGAACGTGTCTTGGTAGATTACCAGAAGTTGCTCGATCGTATCTCTGCATACGACGCGCGAAATATGACTTGCAAGATTCACGTCGCCGGTGAAGGGAGTGTGCGACTTGCGCTGGACGTTTATGAGGCTGTCCGGAAGCGAAATCCGAGCGGACCTAAGCACGAGCTTGCTCACTGCAATGCAGTCCACCGAGGTAAGGGAGATTGCTCGAGAAGATGCCAACTGAATGCTGACATATGAACAGACGACATTCAACGGATTGCTCGCCTCGGGCTCACTGCTGAAATGTCGCCTGCGATCTGGCACGCTCCTGTCGTTCAATTTGCTCCCCATCTCCTGAGATGGCCCTTCAATGAGATCTTGGCCACGGGGGCGCACATGACGATTGGCTCGGATTGGATCTTGACGGACAACCCGAGTTTGTTTGATCCACTTGCACACTTAGTGGAGATGCTCGAAGTGCCAAGGTCGGGAGATAGGGAAGGGTTGACGAAGAAGCAAGTTGCTGCCCATGCGCTCTGTCGGATGATCACGCTGGGAGGAGCGGAGGCAGTGGGGAGGGAGAGGATGATTGGCAGTATCGAAGTTGGAAAGATGGCGAATTTCATCGCTCTCGATCGCGATTTGAGCGAAGGGGAGTTCGCCGGAGCGACGGTGCTGAAGACCTGGTTTGAGGGAAGGCAGGTGTACAGCGCCGTGGCAGGGCAGGTCGGAATATAGTAGAGAGTTGTGTTCATTCCTCCGATTGTACACGAAGCTGTTGCCATTTTCTTTGCATGTACGAGAAGCAATCCTTCATGTATCAACTTACATTCCTAGAATCCATGAACCCCGTCGCGTCACCCTCGAAGTTTCCTTCCACCAATCGACGCAAGAATTGTGCATGACTTTGAATCCACTCGGCCTCGCTCAGCCCTGCATATTTCTTCACGGGCTGCCCAGAACTCTCATCCCATCTTGAGACTGCCCAGTCCACCGTATATATGTTCCATTTCTTGGTCATAAAGGGGCCGGCGATCAAAATATAGAGCACGAGATAAATTAGGATCACGGCTGCACTGGCACCAATAAATATGCCAAGGTTTCGGAAGTATGTATAAGCCCAACGAGCCACGCCGGACCTGTCTTGGTCAAACAAGAACATCATGACCAGTGGCACCAGGCTGACGGCGAATACAAAGGCACAGAGTCCCCATAGCGCGAGGACCGGCCACAGCAGGGTATTCAGTATGAGCTCGCCTCGTCTGTGTTCGACACGTATTTGGTCAAGCGAGGAGGCTGGGTAAATGTCGACAGATTCATCGACGATGGTGAAACCAATGTCGAGCTTCCCGAGATATTGCGGGCGTAGTAAAGAGGTCACGCCAGTTTGGATAGCATCGAGGTCGATGCCGCTCACTTCTCTCGTCACGCGAAAGCTTTTTCGAAAACTCACTTCAGCACAATAGTGTTCGCACCACTCGAATAAGCTCCTCCCAGCGCCGACTCCGGCCTCGGGGTTGGAATCATTCGGAGTCGTTTCGACCTCCTGCATGACGGTTCCGCGATGTGTTCTAAAATCGTGTGGCGTGATGGAACAAATTCGCCAATCTTGGTCATTCTGTAAGCCGAAAAATCCTCGAAGGTCTAGTATGAAATTGAAGTCGATGATAGTACTGTTGGCATCAGCTGGACTGCGATGAGAGCCGCAGACTCTCATGTAAATCTGCGGAGGCACCTGGCTCAGATAATTCATGACGTAAGAATGTAGCTCTGCAGGATTGGCCAGTTGATCTGCTGCTCTCGCGCTTCTGCTACCGATGGTCCCTTGACTTGAGAACTCGGAGAGATTGTCGAGATTCACACTCCGTTTCGAATGAACGGTGATTCTGCTGAACGGGTCTTGAAGTGGAGCTGCATTGAGCTGTACAACGATCTTGACCGCCTCGCCATTGTCTGCATGCTGTTCGGATGCGCCGAGACCTGTGTTCTGGAGCAGTGGAATCTCGTACTCGTTCGGTTCGGAGTCGGCAGTTTTCGAACGAGGGATCTTTAGTTTTGCCATTTCGTAGCAGAAGTTGAGCGATTCGATGCGACTCCGTAGGCTTTACATGGGTGACGAATCTGGATCACGAACATTTAGCAGCGCGTCAATGGAGATATGTATTTACAACTTCGATGAGTCGAAATTAACATTGCAATTGCTGTCATGCGTATGCGTTGTGTGGCGGAGCGTGGCAGCTGAGAAGATCTTCCCAGTTGTGGGCTAGCGCACGTGGCGGAGTACGAAAGACGGGGTCCCAAATGAGACAAGTAATATCAGATTCGAAATCTCAAATTGATGGCACGAGAATATCCATCAAGTCCGTTGCGTCGCCTTGAAACTTATTCATAACCAGCCTGCACAGAAATTGAGCATGAGTTTGAACCCATTGCGCCTCATTGAGACCCGCATATCTCTTTACGCGCTGCTGGCCTTGAGATCCATCCCATTGCCACACTGTCCAGTCCACGTTGTAGATCGCCCACTTCCTCACACCGAAATGAGCATTTACCCATCTGCGGATTAGAGTAGCCAGGACTCCGATCGCGACACTTACGCATATCAGAGTGAGGAAAGTCCGAAAGTACAGAAAGGCGCCGTGAGCAACAACCGCCCATTCTTGAACCTCGCCAATAGCTAAGCCGATATGTAGTAACAGAATGCATGTTACAAAAACAAAGGCCACCGAGCAGATGCCAATGAGGCCAATCGCGATGAAGCCGAAAGTTTTGAAACACGCGTGAATCGCGCGCTGCTCAGCGACAATTTGATGAAGAGATCCTGGCGGATAGATATCGATGCGCTCATCGACCGTCGTAAAGCCAATTTCAATTCTTCCGACGTGATGCGAGTATAGCAAGGCGGTCACATGCGTTCTGAGCGCCGCAATGTCTAAGCCGTTGATCTTTCGGGTTATGCGGAAGGCCTTGCGAGGAGTTTTATAATTGCAGTAGTCTTCGCACCACTCAAGTAGGCTTCGTTCGTACCCAGACGGATGCTCGCTTGTTGTCGAGAGGAAAATTGTGGGCCGCGACGATCCACCATCATGCCTCTTGGCGCCGGAATTGTGGCTGCGCCAGTCCGGATGATCTTCTAGAGAAGTTTCAAGTAAAGCCAAGGAGTTGAACAAACTCCAGTTCGTTGATGCCTTTGAGCCAACAGGTGATGATGCTGGGAAGTTCCATGAAGATGTCTGCGATGGTTCTCCGCTACGCAATCTCCTTCTCCACCTCATAAGATAATGCCACGGATTTGTGAAGCGTCTGAAGATCCCTTCATTTTCCGTGGCAAACTGTTGAAAACTTGGATACTCCTCGCCCTGGCCGGTGGTCTCTGTGAATGTTCCTCGATAGGTGCGAATATGGTCTGACGCCACACTACACGTGTGCCATGTAGGATCATTATGTTGCCCTAGAAACCCTCGCATCGATACGACGAAATCAAAGTCAACGACCGCGTCATTTCTCTGGCTGTTTGTGCTGCTTCGTGAACTATCGCCCTGCGTCGCTGCCTGGTGACAGCCACGCACTCGCATGTATATGCGTGGCGGCATTGAACTGAGGGACTGAGTAATGTACGAGTAAAGTTCTCTGGGATCCATGAGTTGATCGTCCATTCGAGCACTAGTCAGCGATGTCCAGCCTTTGCTATCGCACTCTGACAGACGATCTGATTCCTTGCCGAGCACGTCGTGGAGTGTATATGCATCAAACGGATCATCTAGAGGTGCAGAGTTTATCTGCACTTTTACTGAGGTAGAGTTGGGAATACTACCTTGCAGCTGGCGAATGGATTCATCAGTGCTGTCTTCTAGTAGCGGTATCTCGCCTTCACTGGCGAAGGATCTTTCATTTCGCCCAAAACCATTGAGACCCACCATGGTCGCAGGCGGCGGGTCAGAGACGGAAGTCGACTGATAGCGAACGGACTTGGCAATGGAGGCTGGCAGTGGCATCTGCTCACTACAGGGAAGAGAGCTTTTGACAAACGACTCAACCAATATGCGACCGTGTGAAGAGAATCCTCAGCATTCGAGACGAGATTTGCGCATCATAAAACATCACAACGTCGGAGGTTGACAAGAAGGGTCTATATACGGCAAGCTTACATGACCATAGGAGTCGAGCGTGGCGCAGCCTGTCCTTCGAACTTTAATGGCGGCCCGCAGATGTATCGAGAGAGGGAACCACCCACAAAATGTCCGTGGACCCAGCCTTTGAGGATAACACCGCAGTCAGTCACATAACGTGCACCAACATGAACATTCATCATTATTAGCCAGACTAGGCGCGTTTTTTGCGCCAGGCAAGCCCGCCCTCAAGTCCCACGAAACGCCGGCCGAGTTCACCAGCGGTTGACCGCCTGGCAGCTGTCTCAACGGCAATCCGTCCCCGCTGAGTTATGCCCTAATTGCCGCCCACATGTGTACAAACAAACCTACCACGTTGGGGACCAAAACAATGGCAAAATTTTGGCCCGTAAATCACAGCAAGATTTGCCTTTTTCTTGTCCCCGACGTGCCCTACCAAGGTTCTGCTGTACTGTCACGTGAGAATTTCTAACAACAAGGTTGCGACACGCAACTGCACACCAGGCGGGGTTTCTCCTTCTAAACCATCGAACACTTTTGGGATGAAATGACTACTGGAAGCACAGTCCCGTATTGTTTGATCATTGAAAGGCACGTTCGGTGATGGCGCCTTGTGCGTTTCATCAATGGGGGATGAGAGACACCATTCACACAACAGATTACGAAGGCGTCAAATAATTTCTACTGGGTGTCGAAATCAATGTTGACTATCACGGGTGAACTTGGGTCGCTGATGGAGGATGTCTACTAGTTATATACAAAAGAAATTCGCCTAAAACAATGCGTTATTCCCGCTGTGAGAGCCTCCATCTACATTTCCCGATAGTAGGCTGTGTTCGAAAAATATGACATGGAATTATCATCGCCACGATTATTCACCTATTATAAACTATATTGAACGTTTCTTGGGTTTTTTTCGCGCACCTCGATAGGTGTCATTCCGGAAATGCATTCTGCTCAAACATTTCAAGCTCTCGGCTGTCAACTTAGCGTGCGAGGCAGTTTTCGTTATAGTTTACATGGAGATTGTTATAATCAATCCTTCTTGGGTCTCCTAAGCGACTATGGCTTGTCGCAGCTGCATACCAGCAGCACGTGAACGGTCCTGGTCGAGGGCTTTGTACAAGTATACGGACTGTCCCATCGATGGTACATTCTCGAAGATTTGACGGGAAGCCTACAAATCCGAACACACAAGTTAAAGGGTCGTTAACGTCAGAAAAGACGCAAAGCGAATTGCGATCGCTCTTAGAGCTACCCATGTCTCCACTTTCCCTACGCCGAGCCTCGATAGACGATATACCTTGAGTGATAGATCCTTTGAGTCACCTAAGCGGGAGAAGAATTACGGGTCACAAATTGTCGAGCAGTGCCAGATACGAAAATCATTGCCAGACAATTGATGCCGACCACCTCTTAGGCAATAGTGGAGGATTGTCAGATTCATCACAGCTCGAGGGCCACTCCACGTACTCCTCGGTCTGACGAGGCTCGTGTCTTTGCAAAACAGCTTATACTGCCCTAAATCTCGCCCAAAAGTCGTGAGATGTATGTTCAATGATCTACAGAAATACGGCACTAGCGCCTTTAGATCCGCACGTTCCTTCCAACACGAGTGATCATTCGAAACCTTTTCTGAACTACAAGTGCTTGCTTTATGGGCACAAATGTACGTTCCGTAATCATCACATGCTTCCGACAAACAGACATGTTGAGCAGGTATGATGATGCGACATAACAAATATAATATAGCACAGGATAAAGCTTCCCCTACGAGACCTCTTCGTGCAAGAAGCCGCTTTGAGAGCTTCGCCACCATGATCTTTCCCTTGCAAGATACGTTCTGAGAGAAGCAACAATGATGGCGAAGCATGATGGTAGCGTGAGTGTCAGATTGCTAAGATCTGCTCCATCACGGTCTTATTAGTCTCCTACAGACAATGTCGATGAATCGACACTGCCTTTTCATAATGTCGAGAGGGGATTAGATTATGTCGGATGATGTTTCCTCCGACACTCGTCAGCCCTAGGGAGTAAGCATTGGCGAGACTATACTGTCATCAAGTGGATAACAAGGGCTTGCACATCCCCTACGTGGCTGAGCGAACATAAATATAACGACTTGACCTCGCCTTCGAAACTCTGCAACTCTACCTCACCTCTTCATAAAGGACAGCCCATTACAGCGCAGGAACCGAGGCCAACAAACAAGATGCAGTTCACATACCTCATTTCACTCGCCACGCTGGCCGCGACTACGATCGCAAGCCCCCTTCCTGCTTTTTCGGGCAGCCCAGCAGAGGATGTTGTCGTTCCCAATTGTGGACCCTTCTTTTGTCCTCCTCCGGTGAAGCCTGATGAGACAAAGTCCGACCCCGTTGTCTCACGTAACCCGGCAGAGGATGTTGGCGCTCCATGCGGCCTAGAATGTCCCCCTTCGGCCGCGACTGTGGCGGTTGATGCGATCCCGGTAGCTCCACGCAACCCAGTACTGGAGAGGGACGTCATCGGTTGCTCCTTCGAAACTTCAGAGGCATCCGGTGGGCAATCTGGCTGGGTCTGTCACCATTGAGCCGCGGCTACAGATGCAAAGCCCGTCTCTGTCGCCCCCACGTGAGCCAGTGGAGGACATCTGCAGCCATCAATATTCTCCATTGAGGTATGCAGACTGGGGAGGGTTCTTGTTTCATCACGTAGACTGATCCATCTCCAGGGCTATTCGCAGAATGCCGTTGGACACGATCACTATTCTTTCGAACGACAATGAAACGGAGCCAGATCGTCGCACATTATTGCGGCGAAGTTCTGTTGAGACGGGACGTGTTTGATGAAAAAGGGCACGGCTGACGTGATGTCTCGTAACATTTCCAAGAACCATAGCAATTCGATTGAAAGGACTTGTCTATTATCCTTTGACAGCGTGTGATTGACATGCGTTGTATCACGTGACATTGGATTTTGGAGAAATGCCCAAAATTAGTCGAGGTCTTCTTCTGTTCACCAATTTTCGTAGGCATATTGCACAATACAGAATGGACCGTCGGCACCCCGAATAATGAAGAAATGGGTCGCCGACAGGACTAAAGCAGATCGGCGTTGCGCGTGGTTCTGTTTCCATCTGGAAAAGCAATAGTGCCCAGGTGGTGGTGTAAAGCTCCGTGCACTTGGAAGCGAGAAGCCCTGCTTGTTCCTCCGTCAGAATCGCTGACTCGTACTAAATACGACGTACATATTGAAACGTTCAGGCATGGCGAAGATGATGACCTTTTATTCTTTGATTATACGAGCACCATTCGCTACGTATGTATCTCAAGTGCAGGAAATCTGGTGTGTTTGCACACTTTGCATAATTTATGTAATCACAAATGTGCAGGAGTCCACTTTCTTCATAACTTGGGACATACTTTCGCCGTGGTCGTCGAAGGGCAACGCGCATAGGTTTCCCGTGCGCTGCTGCGATTGTAAACGTCTCACTCGGGAACACTCGTTTCCTTCATATCCTACTACCGTTGAATTACCCGTGCTATCGTTTTTTGTGCAATCGATCTTGAAGCTGGGAATTGCGCTCGTTCTCGTTGCGTGACGCCTCGTGCATCCATCCCTAGATCGCCAATTCTCTGGACGGAGTCAGCGCAAGCTGACTCGGACAGTCACAAGGAATGAAAATGACTTAACAGCCCCTGCTCTGCGCGCGCGATGCGCGATGCGACGATGATGAATCTATACTAGAATGATTCACATATATATAATGATGCGACCATTCGTCTGTCGCTTCCATATTCATTCCCAAATTCAAAGTCACTGCCAGATAATCCTTCATTTGATCGCTACAGATCACAATTCGTATCTCTTTTCCACTCTTGCAAAATCTCTCATATCAATCATGGTTATCAAACAGAATCCAACAATCAAGCTCCAGATCGGAGACGAAGTGAACGCCTGGGGTCACAAATTCACCTGGACAGATCGTCACATCTCCGAGGAAACCTACAAATACCGAAGATACTCCTACGACGAGCTCGGCGAACAAGCGTATAAAGCCCTGATTCAACTCCGTACATCCAAAGACCAAGACCTCTACGCGCTGTTCAAAGAGAACCGCGACCAACACCCGGTCCTCCAGAAATTCTGGACCGAAGTCTCCTCGACGCCGGCTTGGGTGGACTGGGACGCAGTGGGTCGAGGTCAAGACGTCTTCAATCGGTATGGCATGGCCATCACGCTGGGTCTCGCCTACCAGTCGCTTCTCGGAGCAACGGGGAGTAACGGTCGATCGGCCGAAACACTCTCTCGAACCGGCGGTTTCGATCTGAATTCCGTGCGGAGGAGATTGATGGAGACGACGCAATTCATCATGCAGTGCACGGAGTCCGTCGCGAATTTACGCCCGGATGGTGACGGTTTCATTTCCATCTTGCGGGTTCGTTGGCTGCATGCTGCCGTACGTCGGCGTATTTTGGATCTCGTCGCAACGCGGCCTTCGTATTACTCGGTGGACGAGAATGGCATTCCCATCAATGATAGTGACAGCAGGTACACTATCGTGACCTTCTCCTCGACCGTCATCTGGCAATCCCTTCCACGTCTAGGTATCCATCTCAAGCCCCAAGAGATTGAAGACTACCTCGCGTTGTGGCGCCTTATCGCGTTCTACATCGGCACTCCGCATGACGAGTTCGCGCAGGCAGTGACGGCCAAAGCGACCTTGGATTCGATGTTGCTGTTCGAATACGACCCGACAGAGACGTCCAAACGTCTGGCCCGCAATATCATCCGTGGCCTAGAGAATAATCCGCCAGCGTACGCGTCGCGGTCGCTGCTGGAAACGTACACTCGCTGGTTGAACGGCGGTGAGCTCAGTGATTCGCTGGGCATCGGAAGGCCTCCGTGGTACTACTGGGTCATCATATCCAGTCAAGTGGCCTTGACGTCTATCGTGTATAACTTGGCGAGAAACATTCCCGCTGTCGACGGCTACCTGAGTCGTCAATTTCGTCGAGACGTGTGGCGCGCAGTGCGGGAGAAAGAGCGCGGCGGGCTCGATGTGCTTTCGCTCTTCACCTTCCGATTGATTCCGGAGCTTAGTGCGGCTGGCAAGAAGGTGGAACCAGATGTTGTAGAGCGAGGTGCTGGCTTCGTTTTGACCGCAGATATGGTGGCGATCCTGGTCGCGCTGGGATGGGCAGCGGTTTTGGGTACGACAGTGGCAGCAGTGTGGCATGTGAGCTCTTGAATCATTAGTCGCAAAGTGTGATTGAAGCCTTAACTTTTACAGATCATGTCTAGAAAGCATCAACATTCAAATAAACATGGTCCATGGAATTGCTGGCGTCTGGTCCTGATCATTGAGCATAATTTGATGGTGAGCAGACGAATCCTGAGGGACTTGAACCGTGTTCCAATCCTGGATCCGCATCGTGACGGGGTTGAAGATCCGCGTGGTATTCGGCGGCAGCGGCCTAAATCCCCAATTGCTCAATCGCGAATATGTCGAGAGAAATTCGTGCGAAAAGCTATATCTGTCGGCCAAGGGATCGAGCTTGGCGATATCACGGACTTGAAAGCGCCAGTCGAGCACCATGTCGGAGAAGAACCGATGGACCATCCACTCGGTAGCATTGCTCACATCGTAACGCAGCATATGGTCGCGAACTGATGGCCTTCGTGATTGTTAGGCGAAATTGTGTGGACTGGCGTGCAGGCAATCTTACCACATGAAGTAGTCGATAAGTCTGGCGTGGGCTTTGGAGCATTGCAGAGCGCTGGTTCAAGCCTTCGATCAACATTGTCTCCCAACGATATTCGGGGGGTGTACTCACGTAGGCCGCATGAATGAAGGCGGAGCTGCGGCGTCGGTTTGGCAAGCATTCTATGAGACGTCAGGAGTGGCTGTGCGAGGAGAACCCAAGGCTCACGAAATCCAGACGACTAACCAAGAACATGGATCGAAAGACCTTCAACACTGCGATGCGTTCAGCAGGTCCAGTGTCTCTCATGAGACTAAGGTCCACTTTCTCTGCCACCTGCCATCCAATGTCCAGAACGTGTCGTGCACGAACATCCGGCCATCCATGAATCACAGCGCGGATGTTGATGTCGTCGTCCATCGTATCGTCTAGCCGTCCCGCTTTCTTGCCCTGCTCCTCGGCCCAGACAGTGAGACGGTTCAGATGTGCGAAGTAATTCCCATCGTCGACTTGACCCATCTGTGCCTCCAAATTGGAGCTTATCTGATCAGATCCTGGTTTTGAGGACGGAGAATTGTCTATGAGGGTCTCTAGATCAATAGAGACTCGCTCGCCCATGGTCCATTCCTCTACCCGGTTGGGGATTGCAGGACTTGCCTGTGTAACCACGAACTCATCATCATTATCTGTCGGACTGGCAGCAACAGACCCACGAGCAGTTCCGGTGGGAGCGACCTTTGTCTCCTCGACAAGCCTTTCAGCGAGGTTATGCACTTTGGACAAGGTGTTCAATAGATTCTGATGCGACGCCTGCTGTTTCGCGACCGCTTCCCTGAGCGCAGCATTATCGCCATCGCAGGACAGCGACTTCCACTGTTCTACCTGCTGCTCAAGTTGTTCGATGCGCGTTTTGGTCCTCGCGCGGCTGACGCGTTGGGCGTGCCTATCGCTGGTGCGCTTCCGCTCGCGACTTGCAGTACTTCGCGAAGTCATCTTCGTCGCTGTTGGTCGGATGTGATGACATTGTCCAACTCACGATGTGCACACAGTTACTGCTGAATCGAGTCTCGTGACTCGAAGTTGTTCTATGGCAGGCTGGGGTAAATCGATGGCCTGCGGTCGAGCTCCGAGGCAGACATCTTGAATTTCACTTATTAGGGTTATCCAAAGTCATGAGATTCATCAGCAACTTTTTCAGCAACTTTTCGGAAAATGCACACCTGGGCGAAATGCATATAAGCAATAAGTAGTGGGGAGTATTTGTCTTCTCATTTTTAAGAGCCGCAGATTGATTTCATAACGCAGAATTCAAAATTCTCATGATTGACAATGCCCGAGTGAACAAAGAGTTGTTCGTACAGCATGAATAGCACCTGGTCAATGTCGTAAGCCAGGTGAGCTTCTCCTATGGACTCGGCTCGTCTGCTCCACTCGTCCTTCAATGCACCGTTTTGAGTGCACAGTATTGAGATCTCTACCTGACCGCCACTCGTCAGGCCACGTTCAAGCTCCAGGGCAGTCGGAAGCTGCGATGATTCGGAACGAACCTCACAGGCAGTGAGAATGCGACTCGAGGGAGACTGACCTCGCTACTAGTGAGACAGGCGTCTTACCGACGAACTGTGAATGTTATGTCACTCGGAAGCCCCGACACTGCTGAGCCACGCGATCACTGTTCAACATCTGGTCCATTCGCTTAATTAATGTATAAAATTTGTAGCGGTCATATCCCTCTCTTGACCAGATCTAGCATAGCTCCAGCCCGAATGCGAAACTCTGGATCTGAGCAGTTACCGTATTCAGTATGTGGGAGCGACCTAGTTTTTCTCACGTGTGGAAGGATGAAAACCATGGATGATTTAGTGAATCCGTATTTCGAGATTCCAGCATTGGGTCATCACTGATGAGTATACGGGCGATGATTAGAAATGCAAATCCTGAGATCGAGGCTCCGAGTACCGCCTCTACGAACTGACCAACGACGTCGTCGAAATTGATGCGCATAAATCATCTGACATACTTCATTGCGCCATTCGGGTCCCAATTCGCAAGTAGTTGCGTCCTGTTCACACCGCAACGCCGGATGAGCGCGAAGAGGCTGAGCGGGTGTGCTTGTCAAAGTCTCGCGGGCATGCTGGCTGCACGCACTGCAGGTGGGTCGTGAATGGGCGATGCACACTACTGTACTGTACCTGTACTTTCCAAACGCCACGTCGCGGAGAGCGCGATGGCGGGCGTGTACTTTATTAGTTCGTGTTCCACGTGGCATGCCGTCTAGCGAGCGATCATACGAGAGACAGATCCGCGATGTCATGAGACGGCCAGGTGTGTGTTACTGTCGTGATGAGCCCGTATGTACCTAATAGAATCGGTCTGCAAGCCACGAGACCATATGGGCGTCGAGAAAGAAATACGCGCGCTATCCCGGTTGGGAAGTGAAATGGCCGCGCATCTAGGCACCAAATCTTCTCGAGTGCTGACAATGCTGATTCCTGCGCGAAGCAGGATTTCATGAGAGCACTTGAATTTACTAGGCACCGATCTGTTGAGACCGTCACAATTTAGTCCAAACGGAATCTGTGTCGCTATGATAGGCGGAAGAGCAGGAGGAGAACAGTCCTGTATCCATGGAAGCAGGTGGTAGGGAATACAGTACAACACAGTCCCTACCTAGTTGTTCACTCGTCCGCACCTGGGGCAGGTGGGAAGTCAGCTCGAGGCGCGCCTGTGCCAAGCAACCTTGGAAGCCACAGCTCGAGGATCAGGAGAGCGGGAGCGGCACTCCCGCCTTTTCGACAACATCTGGGCAGCTATCGATCACAGGGACGTCTAGATCTCCTGATGCAAGACATTCGAAAATCCAGATCCATTATGTAATTTCGACAATGCATCCTTGAATGTCTCATGGCACCACCCGTCTTTTCGAACGCTTGATGGTGTCGACTAGCTTAAGTCTCGCTAATATCAATCTGCTTGGCGGCGCGTGCGAAACGCCATGTGGCTGTCCGATCCACCCTGAACGGACGGACCTGGCGCCGCGATGCATCGCATGCCATGTGTCGAGATTGCTTACATGGCATGGTCGGCGAGCCTTACCACCTAGAAACCCATCTACATCGCTTGGCGAAGTATAGTGTGCACTTGTGGCTTCAATGAATGGCGTTGCCAATGTTCGACCTCCCCTGTATCTCGCTCTCCTCGTCCCGTCCGCTCATCAAGCCTGATCGGCCGCGCCGCACCGACTTGCCCTCGACATCCTGGCATTTCCAACATCTTCTCATGCAATCGAGCCTTGGCATCCGATCGCCTCGATACCTCAGCAGCAATGGTTCGACCTCAAGCGACCGCTGTGTCCGAGATGGCGTCGAGCATAGCAAAACGCATGTCCGCTATTCATGAACAATGGTTGTTGGAGTGAGCATAGGCTGGCTTCCAGATGATAAGTGGACATAAATACCCACGATCGCCTCGCCGCTTCTAAGATGCCATCCCATAATTACCACTTCCAGCATCATCATTGCCAACGTCGGCGGATTGACTTGTTGCGAGTCGAAGCCTTCACCTGATCGACCATCGACCTCTGCATCATGCTTCGCCTCACGGCCTTAGTGCCAGCCTTTGCCGCTCTGATTGCTGCACAATCAGTGACCGTGACGGATGGTGTCACCTACTCGGCACTGCCCACTCCAGATGCTCTGCCTTTCGACGATCTCTTGGGCTTGCCTCCGCCTTCATTCACCTCCCATGCGGGCCTCGAATCGGAGATCATCCCGTATGCCACTGCCACGGCTATCCAAGCTGTCGTGGCTGATCAGACGGAGAATCCGCTCACCGTCTACCCGGCCGTGACCGCCATTCCGATCAATGCTGCCGGCGAGGATGATGATGATCTCGTGAAGCCGACCACCACTGCTGCTTTGGGCAGGCGAGGACTGGAGGCACGAACTGCCTGCGCTCCTCAGGCTACCATATCCAACTACTACAGTGTCAACGTCGACAGCTACAGTGCATTCAAGGCCGACCCGACCATCTCATCGGTCGCCCTTGCTGCTCCGACTCCTTCCGGTTACACTCAGAACTTTCGCAACCTCGCTGGAGCTAGCAACGCTCTTGGGTACCTGGGATATGCTGTCGTGAACAAGGGACAAACCGGTTATGACGTTCAATGGTGTGCCAACAAGTGTAACTCTATCTCGGGATGCCTGAGCTTCAACATTTACATGGAAAGAGACCCTGTCCAGGAACCAGGCGGAGCCTGTCAGAACCCTCCGGCTTTCGCGAATATCAAGTGCTCATTCTGGGGTAGTGGGTTGACTGCTGCGACTACCACCCAGAACCAGGGTCAGTGGCAAGCTGGCTTCCAGGTAGCAATCGCTGGCTCAAACGGCTACACTTCTTGGAAGCTTGGTGGTGCTATTCCCAACTACGGGAGCCCCCAGAGCTTGAACACCTCGGCCATGAACGCGCCCCTGGATGACTGTGCTGGCACTTACACGTACCTTGGCTATAAGCTATTCCAAGAGGGACCTTTCAACCCCCTTCTCTGCTCTGCTGCTTGCGATGCGCAGACTAAGTACAACTTGGAAAATCCCCCAAAGACTGGCAAGCCCGTCAAATGCGCTGCCTTCGGCACCTACATCTTGACGATGACCAATAAGACTGGTTCCTACCAGCAAGGTCAGATGTGCACTCTGTACACGTCATTCTGGGACAAGGTTTACGCCAAGAACGTGGTGTCGTACGACGATCGTATTGGTGCGAAGTACACCTACAGCTACAGCTTCTTCTACAGCCGTCCGGACGTCCAGCCTATCTGCAAAGCGGACATTAGCTCTCTTCAGGCTAGTGGTGGTGATTTCTGCACATCGTATCTAGGATACGTCCAACCAGTTACTGTCACGACCACCACAACCACTCCGGCCCCCAGCGTTACCACTGCCACCCAAACCTCAAGTACGACCGTAACAACAGCAGATATCTATTGGAAACGTCAAGAGAGTAGCAACACCGATGCCCTCACAGTCGATGCTACAACTACCTTTGCGACCGTGGACTCCGTTCCCGCGTACAGTGCTGTCGTTTTGGGTATGGTCTCTCAGACCATCACTGCAGCCAATGGCACTGTCCCAACCGGTGCTCCCGCCAACATTGTTACGAGGCGCGCGCTCGTGGCACGTGCCGTTGCAACGCCAGCCAATGTTGTTGGCTGGCCTGCTACCCGCATCTCCGAGGCCTGCTCCGCCGTTGCCACTGGGACGTCGACATCGACAAGCATCACGGTGGCGCCGACTCCAGTGACCACGACCACAACCACCACTACAATCACTAGCACGACACTCAGTGGTTGTATTGTGCCAACTGTCGCACCTGGCTACAAAGACTTCACTCCGATCTGGGGTACCTGGGAGAATGGCCAGATCGGTGGCAACCAGTATGCAGTCGCCTACGCAGAGGCGACCGTTCAGCTGCCTTTCTCCGTTGGCGTTGGCGGGATACTCAGCAACACCATCGCAGTCGGTAGCAACGGTTATATCAGTATCCAAGACGTCTATCTCTATGCTTTCGCTGGCCAAGGCGGTGGTCTTTATATCTATGGTGGTGGCAGCAGGAACGGAGTCTTCTACCGAATCCAGGGTCCTGTCGGTCAGCGGACCGTTGTCTTCTCTTGGTATGTTGGAACCAACAATTACGGCCATCAACAGAATCATTTCACCATCACACTTTTCGAGAATCGCCCAGGCTATGCGCAGTACAAGTACTACGATGTCGTCATGCAGCCCGGCCCTTCAGCCTTCATTGCTGTCGCGATCGGGGAAGAATCCAATACCGTCGTCCCGTACGGTACGGAACTCGGGAACGGGCAGCAATTCGACGTCTATGTGCCTGGCAACATTGCGACTATGCGGACGGCGAGCTCGCAGCACGATCGCGTCGAATGCTGCGTCATGGCGTATTGGCATTCCTGCACCGAATGGCAAGAGCCTCGTCTTGGATCTTTGGCTCCAGCCCTCTCTGGTTGAAAGAATTCGTCCAGCATAAAGCGCGACGGAGGATTGTCAACAGGTCGCATGCAAAAGTTGCACAGCACCTGGCATGAGGAACGTTTGCATAACTATCAGCATCGGGGGGACTCTCATTCAATTGGTTCACGAGCGCTTGCATATCCTGTACCTACACACACTATGAGTATTATGAACTTTTAAAAAAATGCATCATGTTTTGTTCACATTCTTTTTCTCATTGATTATTGCGCATTTTGATTACCATCCGAGGAGGGCGAACTCTGTCGCATTCCGCTGCTTGGCTTAGTGTGAGAGAGCGGACAGACTCCCGACATCTGCATCAACGACGCCCCACAACGGAAGCTTTCCGCAAGATATAGTTCAGTCCGCAACCAATGAGCAGCGAAGTCTTCGGCCGAGTTTCATCATTTATCTTGAATCATACATATTCTTTAGGTCATGTCGAATCCAAGATAGCAGCCAATGAGATGTGCTCCGGTGTCATGGGAGACCTGTCCTTTGCCGCGCTGGCCCATCGAGTCGCACACCAATCCTGCGCAATATCCACTATATTTTTTTAGATTTGCATGATATCAGCTACTGGATGTGCAATCCGATATTCTTTCATCTTCACATCAGGACATCCAAAACGCTTAAGTCGACTTGTTGTCATGGCGGAAACGAGCGGTCTCCCCCCGGTGCGCATCGGCACTCGACGCTCAAACCTCGCCGTGGTCCAGGCCGAAGGTGTTCGGGCCGGCCTGCAAGCCATTGCTCCCGATCGGACCTTTGAAATAGATGCCATCCGTGTCCTCGGAGATAAGGATACAGAGACTGCATTATATGCTTTTGGCGCGAAGAGCCTGTGGACGTCGGACCTAGAGAAGAAACTTGTTACCGGGCAACTCGATGTAGTTGTTCACTGCTTGAAGGGTTTGTTCGATCATTTCAATGATCTGAGAAACGAGCAATCTAATACTGCGGAAATTAGATATGCCGACGGCTTTACCGGACTCGTGCGAATTGGCTGTCATCCCGCTCCGCGACTCTCCTCGCGATGCTCTGATTGTGAAAGCCGGCCTGCCCTACACCAGCCTCGATAGCCTACCACAAGGCGCTGTTGTAGGCACTTCATCCGTGCGAAGATCCGCACAACTCAAACGACTCCATCCTCACCTCAAATTTGCCAACATTCGCGGAAACGTCGAGACGCGGCTGGCGAAGCTTGATGATCCCAACGGCGAATTCACGTGCATGATCATGTCTGCCTGCGGCTTCGAGCGCATAGGTCTGAGTCACCGTCTCACGCAATACCTGAGCTCCAAAAATGGCGGGATCTACCACGCGGTTGGTCAAGGCGCATTGGCGCTTGAGATCCGTAAGGGTGATGCTCAGACACTGGGACTCATCCAACCTTTAGCGGACCGAAGCTCAACGCTGGTCTGTCTCGCAGAACGTGAACTCATGCGGAGGCTCGAGGGCGGCTGCAGCGTCCCGATTGGTGTCGAAAGCGACTGGCTCGACGAGGCGGGCCATGTCTTGAACTTGCGAGCCATCGTAGTCAGCCTCGATGGCTTGCAAGCAGTAGAGGAGTCTTTGAGTGAAAGGGTGTCGGAGGTCGATGAAGCTGTGGCGCTTGGTCAGAAATTAGCTGCGAAGTTGGTTGAGGCTGGTGCAGGCAAGATTTTGGACAAGATTAATGCCAATAGACCGGCGAAGACATGATGCTTCGATCGCTTCTATTGGCGTGCATTGAAGGGGACTTTGGAGTGAAGGGGCGGAGGCGGGCGCCTAATTAGGCGCCCGCTGACAGGCCGCCCAGCGTGCGAAACAAGCAGGCCCAAGATTGCAATTTTAAGGTTGGGATTGAAATAAACTTCTCGTCATCATCTGAAATGACGATGCCTATAAAATTATCCACAATTTATCTCAAGCATCGTGCAAAACAAACCATGGATGCGGGAGCCGGTCGCACTGAATCATTGATGGACTGCAGCGCGACAGTAACAATCCTTGCGTCCACGGAATTGTTTGTGTCTTTCTTCAGATTGGCTTTGACGACAGTGTACAAGCATTGTAAATCCTTACAACCGGAACAAGTAGCGACCTCGACGACAAACGTACAGTTCGCGCTCGACCGCAGATAACACGATGTCTCGGACGAATATCAGCAACCTGCCTCTGGAGCTTGTCGTTCACGCCATGGGTTTATTGAGCACCCCGCAAGACCTCTGGGCACTGATCAACACCTCGGAATTTTATCATCACGCCTTCCAATGCAGTCGCACCCACTATCTTGGTGGCCGTGATTCAAACGCAATGCCGTATGAAAGTATTCACTACGCTGCCACTGCGTGCAAGGCCGGCGAGATTGCGAAATCATGGTGGGTCAACAGCCCAGGAGCATACTTCGTCGAAGCACGCACCGAATTCCTGGAGAATTATCGGCAAGGTCGTCAGTCCGGAGATTAATTTTCTCAAAATGACGATCTATTGTTGTCCATGTATCAACTTTGGTGGATTTTAAATAATTTCATCGTGCGCTTCGTACGCCGGGCCTTCGACATCGCTCGTCAGACGCTGCCTACAATAGACAACCATGCTGACCTCTCGCTCAGCATGATTGAGCTTGATCGGCTCCAGTCTAGCTTCTATTTGCACGAAACCTTCCGGCGACTCTTCCTTGCATTTATCGAATACAGCGAACACGAAAGCGTTAGCAGTGATTTGACAATTTCAACGGAAGCACACAAGTTCCTGACACCGCGTCGACCTTGGAAGAAGGAGATGCTTCTCTCCGTTCATGAGTACCTCTCCGAATTCACCAAGGATATTCTCAACGACACCAGAAACTACCTAGTCCGTTAGATCTCCGAGGTGGCTTACGACTTAGCTGCCAAACCCGGCGCGAAATTGATCGAGGAAAGGCCACTGTCAAAGCTTCAATTAGAGCTGGAAGAGAGCGGACTGGATCTATTCGACGAAGACACCCAATTCAACACACGGCGTCATGCCTACTTTGTCGGACGAAGTCTTCCATCCCTAAAATGAATTTCCACCTTGAAGGATAACGAGCGAGTGCATGTTATCGCCAAATACTCCATGGCCGAATGCAATTCTTCGATCTCTCGTATCCTCTCGGGTGGCAACACATCGCCAGATTCCGGCAACGACGACCAGGGACGCACGCGCGAAGATGGGGCCGCAAACCTTGCAACCATTGGATGGACATGGGCGGAACGCAATAAACTCACATCGATGCCCCATGATTGGCTAATGAGGTACTCCTTACGGAGCATGGGCTATGTGTTTTGGGATGCTAGACGGTTACTAGACGAATGGAACATCTCTGAAGTTTCGTCTTGTACACTCAATTTGATTGCACGGGACAACATCGATGATTACAGACCAGAAGACTCGCAAGTCTTCGTAGAACACCGTTTCAAAGACGTTCCTATCACGACTCGAATGCTGGATCACCGAGCGGACGACAGCATTTTTGCCCGCATAAAGCTCAGCCCCGAATACGACCCGTACAACGACGAGATATGCGATGGTGAGAACGGTGACGGTGTGTGTCCTCCAATAACATTTTCCCAGAGAGAGAAGGAAGAATTAAACATTGGATATTGAATATCTCGGCACTTTGGCCAGGGAGATGTTGATCAGACTGGGCAGTCAAGGGCAGCAGTGCAGATAGGTTGAATGACCCTGACACGGCCGGAGCGTCCCTGATACTTTCCTTAAAATATGCTTCCGATTGTTAAAAGGCGCCGCAAGTTCAATCTTGTTCATTCCCGTACCATGGAAGCAATCATTGTCGATTCTTTTGGACAAAAGTCGGACACCAAGTCGTGCTCAGAATCCTCCTTTTTTCGAACGTTCGCCTGCGTTGCAAGTCTGATACACCGCGGCAACATGCACGGACAGCGGCTGAGGCCGGGCGCCTCGCGCCCCTCCACCAGGCTCGCGAGATCGAAGGATTGTGGCACATTGCCCCGATGCCTCTTCTCCTTGTCTTGCAGAGTTCAAATACAAGGTTGCTATTCAAATGCCCTGAAGCCATATTCTTGAATCCTTTCTTTTAGCTCGGTCCCTTGAGCGCTGCGGGGCGTCTTGAGCTCAGCGGACAACATGAGCATGTGCAGCACGCCGGAATCAACCCGGATGTCTCATTCAGGCTTCAATAAGCTTCCGCCAGAACTCGTTGTACAGATTGTCGAATCGCTGGACACACCGCACGATCTTTATAGCCTCATCGTAAGCTCAAAGTACGTCTACCAGACATTTCAATTTAGCCGAGTTGCCATCCTCGCCACAGTCATGATGAACGCCTTGCCACATGGGAATATTTACCTTGCCGTTGCAGCTTGCAAAGCCGCTGCCACATCGAAGGCATGGTATGCCGGAAACGACCACAAGAGTATTTCAAAGCAGCGAGAAGAGCTTCTGGTGAGCTAACACGATGGTCACGCACTCCAACCTTTGATGTTGCACAATTACAGCCTCCTTATTTCTTTGTACAAATTATGGTGGTTGCTTGATTACTTCATGCATCTACTCGAAGCGAAATCGTTGCGTGTAGCTTCTCGCAAGCTATTGCGGGCGCAGAATGCGAAACGGGGCATGAGTCAACCCGAGAAAAGCAGGATTCTGCGCTCATTCTTGAATTTCGAAATATACCGTCGAATCACGCCAGGTCGCCAAACGGGTGGCAATTGCCACGAAGCATCCGATCAGACATTGAACTTCTTGAAGAGGTACCAAGCATGGCAAAGGGAAGAGATACTCGCCGTGGAGGAGTTTCTCGTTGAGGCTGCAAAGGACGTGATTAGAAGCGCCCGAGAGCACACGCATCGCCAAATATCCAGCGTAGCGTATGAGTTGGCTGCACAGCCTGACACAGTATTGGCACCAGTATCACTAGGGGATCTCGGTGCTTTGATAGAACTCAATGGATACGATCCGTTCTGGCATGGCTTTCCCCCATGCGCAAGATCATTGCATTACTTCGCATCCAGAGGTCCGCCTTTCATGAAATGGTTGTCAGAACCTTCTCCTGGCAATCAATTGTACATCGTCGATCTATTGGCTACAGCAAAATGCCACCCGTCTATTCTGGAGTGCTTGCATCGAGATGACGACCAGTTGACCACGGCAGATGATGCAATTTGCGAGGTCGGTGATGAAGAAGTACCCCAAGAGGACAACTCTCTCGATGGTCCAAGCTGTGGCTGGAAATGGGCAGAGACCCATGATCTTATTAATGGCGAGTTCAACCTACTTAAGCGCTACGAGCTACGAAAGATGGGGTACTGCTTCTGGGATACCCGAAGGCTAAATCAAGATTGGAACTTCTCTGCACTTTCACCTTCAGGGCTCCAGCTCGTGCCACGAAGTCAGAATGATGATGGCGAGACCTGGCTGAAGGAGGAGCCTGAATCTGGTTTCAGGGCATATTTCCAAGGCCTCGATGTGCCTGTAAACGTTCTCAACATCAAATTTAGGGATTTTATTGATCGATTAGAAGAAGGGAGAGACTTCAACGAGGACGAAATATACCCGTTCTCGCCGCCATTCTCGGAACAGGAGATCAAGTTGTTCAATTTCGAATATTGAAACCAGGAAGAATAACCTCGAAGCGGACTAAAGGGACAAATGCAAGGTTGCCATAAGTTGAAAACCTCATTCGATCTATCTCCAGGACAATTCCCCACGATCCTCAGATCTGTGTGCCGTTGAGTCCAAGCGATATGCTTGCACTTTCTCCGTCATCAAACAGAGACGCAAAGACATTGATGAATGTAGAAGACGATACCACACGGGCACATACAGGATGTAAGGAATGACGTCATTCGAAAGAGATCAATGACCTCAGTCATGCTGTAGATCGCATGAAAAACAACCGGGCAACATTGCATTCAAATGAGATTACAAACTGCCGCGAATCAGATCGCCAACGCACAGGTTTTGTATCCTCGCGGCGCATCGCGGCAAGGATGTCTCATCGAAGCGAGATTGGCCATCCGGCACCAGATTCGCTGCATAAGTTGCACACCTACTACTATTCATCAAGCACATCCTCATACGAGGTCCGCACCGTACAACTCCCACTGCCACCTCGTTCCATCCTGGTCCGCACAACGCATTCCGGGATCTGCTTCACCGACGTTCACGCGAAGCCGAGTGGCTGCGGGCTCGGCCATGAGGGCATCGGAATCGTCTCGGCTGTCGGCATCGGCGTCGCATCGGGGCAATTCAAGCCTGGAGATCGCGTTGGATGGGGCTGGCTGAATTCATCATGCGGTCATTGTACGACCTGCGTGAGCGGGTACAGGCAGTACTGTTCTGACGCGCGAGGCTTTGCGTTCAGTGATACCGAGCAAGGCGCTTTTGGTGATGGCCGCATTGTGGACGCGGAGTTCGCTTATCATATTCCCGATGGGGTGGCATCTGAGCATGCTGCTCCGCTGATGTGTGCGGGAGCTTCTGTGTACGAGGCATTGGATGCTGCGGGTACGCGAAGTCATCATCGAGTTGGAGTAGTGGGCTTGGGTGGCCTTGGCCACATGGCGGTCTTGTTCGCGAGAGCGATGGGTTGTGGCGTCACGGTATTCTCGTCGTCGATGGAGAAGAGCTCCAAAAAGGAGGACGTATCAAAGTTGGGTGCCCATGAAATTGTCGATTTGAAGCGACTGCAAGCAGATGACGACCCTAAAATGGCCAACGAGTTCAAGAAGGTTGATGTCCTTTTAATCACTGCAAATGCAGTCCCGAACCTTGAGAAGCTTCTGCCATTCCTTGCAAGGCGGGCCACGATTGTACTCATGACCATTCAGCAGGATACCATTAGTATACCATACATGGGATTTGTACTTCCTGGCCATCGCCTCATCGCATCAACAGAAGCATCGCGCGAGAATCATTTACGAATGCTGGAATTTGCCGATCGCCATCACATACAACCATGGATCGAGACATTCCCTATGAACGCGGGGGGGATAGATGTGGCATTTTCCAAGCTGGAGAACGGAGAGATGCGATACCGGGGAGTACTCTGCAGAGATACAGCCGCGTAGAACCTAAATCAACATTCTTTCGTGGAACAGCTTGAAGTATGCCAATGTTGATAGGTGAAAGGAAAGGCCACCGTCGGGGTATATCCTTGCTGTCGAGCGACGACTTATCTATCATGATACCTCTTGATTCTCCGGGAGCGACTACATTTGCTCGCGAAATGGATTGGTGCAAATATCGCTGTTGAAATCCCACTCTTTCCGGCTGATTCGCCATGCGATACCAGTCTCCTTGCCTTTCGTCTCTGTAAAAGCAACCACGGCGCCTTCCATATTACTCGCTAACGGCATATTGACAGTCCCAGGGTACTTCCATTGATAGAGTATCCTATTCTTCGAATCCTGTTTGGGTCCATTGTCGTAAGGAAGCGACGGACACCACAGATCACACGTGATGACTTCCGCATCAACGACTTTCAGGTAAGTCTTTCCATTGATCCACCTGACTAAGCGATCAATGCAGAAGTACTCGGCTTCGTTGAGGACCTGGTGGTAGGGTATCTCATCATGACCGGTGGTCTTGTCATAGAAGATTGGAAGGACGCCAGTGCGAAGGTAAAGTAAGATGTGCTTGAAGACCTGCGCATCGGTGTCGATATAGTACGAGCCGTCAGGTGATTTGTCGTTCCACCTGCCCGAAAACAGTTGATCGAAGTATAAGCTCTTGCCCTTCCAGCTTGATGGCTTGGTCACAAAGGTTTGGTTGCCAGTCTTGATCTTGACGAACGTCTCCGGAAGTGTAGTCGTGACCCTTGGATTGATCATAGAAGACGGGTAAGATACCCGTTCGTAGGTATTGCAGGACGTGCTCGAAGACGTCGTCAGCCAGATCGATGAAGCTGGGTCGATCGGACTGATCTCGTTGTAATTTGATCTGCTGCGTGAGGACGGGACTTGAGTCTCTCCATTTCAGATGATCTACGAAGAAGGTCTTACTCCATGTGCGAAATTGTGTGCCAGAGCTGGGAGTATTCGCGGAGTATCCTCTTGTTTCGAGAATGAAGGGTGCCGTCGATGCCATTTTGCTGTACTATTATGGCGCGCAGGAAGTCAACTCAGGTGACTTGGAGATAACGATATAAGCTCTACACGAACAGAATCCAATCCCCATTTATATCCATTCAATAATATGTAACATGGTATCTGACAAAACCTTTTAGAATACGGTCCTCGTGCAGAGCGACACAATGGGGCAGTGTCGAATGTTGTGGCGGCGAAGGATGCAGCCACAGGCATTCATCACAATGAGGCAGTGCTGGCAGTCGAGTGACAAAAGGGGGCAGTCCGGCTTTCCTTACGCCGATTTGGTTTCCACCAGTGTTCCGCTTGTTCTCGATCATTGCGAGGTCATCGTTTGAGTTGTGAAGTATACAAAATGTCGATACTGACTTACGTAGATCCGTGTGCACCGTGGGCTTCGGTAGAAGTACCTGTAGTCAGCAGGTTCTTTCACAAGAAATATCGTGGTAGAATCGCCGAAATGTTCCAAGCCTGAGAAGGGTCGTTGTATTAGATAAGCATTACCACGTGATACGGGCTCATACCAATCCCTGTTTCAGCACTGGCTCGTTGGACGCGGAATCCGCTCCGCGAGTCGATAAACTCCGTCATGCAGGTGGTCAATCAATTCTAACCCTGAATTTATTCAACGCGTCCGTCTCCCAATAATTATCGCCGCCTCCATCACCATCTTTCGCATCCATCGTCGCCACGAAACCAACAGGCATCATTTGAGATTGACTGACACTCCGGATGTAAATCGAATCTCAGCAAATCTCCATATTGCAACCCACAGGAACGCTTGCGCCTCGCATCTAACTCATCGACATCCTCGCCAACATTCGAATGGTCGCGGCACCGGCATATGCGCAGGCCGGCGATGCCTCAATATCGCCATCCGCCACCTACACATCCACTACCGACAGCATACGGTCCTCATCACATCAAAACGACAAAGATGTCCGAGCGATAGCCATCTCGCCGGCGGAAGACGCCGGCAGCAGTTTTAAAGAGCGACGCCCCTATGCACATTTCGTCGGCGGCGCATTGGGAGGGATGAGTTCGGCGGTATTGACGGCACCTTTAGAAGTACTCAAGACTCGGTTACAAAGCACATTCTACCAGGATCATCTCTCAGCGCTGCGAACAGCAAAGGGGATCCCTCATCCTAGCCAGATGAATTTGGCTCGCGCATCCGTCCTGCACATCACCGAAACGATGCAGATTCTAGGCGCAATTCCAAAAGTCGAAGGATGGCGAGCACTGTTCAAGGGTCTAGGACCAAACCTGATCGGCGTGGTCCCCGCCAGAGCGATCAACTTCTGGGCATATGGCAATGGAAAGAGGTTATACTCAGAGACATTCTTCCAGGGGCAGGAGTCGACATACGTCCACATGCTCGCCGCCGCGACTGCAGGTATCATCACCGGGACCGCAACAAATCCAATCTGGGTCGTCAAGACGCGCCTACAACTCGACAAGCAAAACGCCTCTGGCGCAGGCCAAGGACGACAATATCTCAACGCATGGGACTGCCTCGTGAAGACGATCCGACACGAAGGCATCCGTGGTCTCTACCGCGGTCTCTCCGCCTCATATCTCGGCGTGAGTGAAAGCACTCTCCAATGGGTCCTCTACGAACGCGCCAAAGCCAGCCTCGCCCGCCGCCAAGCGCTCCTCGACGCATCAAATCGCGAACCAAACCTCTGGGACAAAACCGTCCAATGGACCGGCAAGCTCACCGCCGCCGGAGGGGCGAAGTTCGTTGCCGCACTGATCACGTATCCCCACGAAGTCGTCCGGACGAGACTTCGTCAAGCGCCGGTGGATGCGTCAGGCAGGATGAAATATCACGGTCTTCTTAATTGTCTGACCACCGTGTATAAAGAGGAGGGGATGGCTGCGTTATATGGTGGGCTAGTACCGCATATGCTAAGAGTGGTGCCCAGCGCCGCGATCATGTTTGGAGTGTATGAGGGTGTTTTATGGGGATTGGGGGAGAGTGCCGCGGTGTAACACTAAACAAAAGGGAGTGAGGCGGAGAAGTATATAACATCAAAATTTCTGAGAGAGAGACAAGAGGCGGCAACGTTGTAAGATTATTGGGGAACTCTACTTCACGAGATTGTTTTATAAAAGAGAAGCTTGACCTCCTCATCAATAGAAAGGAGGCAAATGAAAGAGAGAAGGAGCTTGGTGAGATACAAAAGCTTCCCAGTCCGTACGGCAACGTCAAATCCCGCGGATGTGCGCTCCGTATATCCGCAATGCTTCAAACATGATTTTGCAACGATCGGACCGTACATCTCCAAGCGCTGCAACTCCCGTTACAGAATGATGCCTGGGCTTTCACAGCGCGGAACTTCGGCAATGTCGGTCTCGAGATTCCCGATGATCATCCAATTGTCGTTCATTATTTCGATTGACGGAGATCGTCACTCGTGAGTCCACGTCGGACTTGCGCGAATTCGTTCCGCCTAGGTTGAGCACGTTGAAACTCTTCGAGAGCGGATATATAATCAGCTTCTCGTCCCGTCTGACTGTCAGCATAGAACAGCATGTCGATTTGGACGCGTCAGTAAGAGAGACGGGATCGCGAGAGCACGTATATAAGAGTCTCAAGACAGGTCTAACATGATCTTGAGAATATCATCGGTATCGCAAAAGCAACCAAGCGCCACTCACAAGTTATTTTTTCTCTCCAAGAACAATACCGAGAAGATCGAAGGTCCATCCTGCAGGACTCCCACCAGCAACTTCATCCCAAGCTAAGATGTACCCCAAAACCATCTTCATCGGCCTGGTCAGCAGCCTGGCCCTGGCAAACGCCGCCATCGTCGACCTCTTCGCCGATCAGAACTGCGAGACGCCCGCCGGATCGCGCAACGTGTACGATGATAGCTGCGCTCCACTCGGGGGCTTCCAGTCCTTCCGTGTGACATACCAGGGAGGTAATGGCCAGTACCTCACTGCCTACAGCCCGAACAACTGCAATGGGGGTCAGACGGCGTGCATCTCGGCACAGGGCGACTATGGTTGCCACAAGGCCGTCAACAGTCGGGGCGGTAGCAACGCGATGAGCTCCGGACATGGGTGTTCCGGTACTGTTTAGAGGGGGGACTTCCCCGTGAGAAGATTGCAAGCCAAGCGGTTCCGTCGTGCTGACTTTGATGGCAACGATTTTCGAGCACGTTTGTCGAGTATGTGTGTGCCTAGCTAGTAGCCCACGACTGGGCGTTCCGTCTTTACAAATGATCTTAATCCAGTCATTTCAGCCCAACAGATGTCATGAGTTTGCGATCGTGTCCTACTGTTTTCATTACATTTCGCACTTCGGCGGCGGAACTTGCAACAAGACAAGCTGAACTCTCTAGAAAGCCAACTTGCTCTCAGCCATGACATCGTACAAAATTCCCGAGTCCTTCTCGCGAGTCGCGTTGTCCAGCTGAAGTATAAGACATGATTAGCATAAAGTCCGCTGGTTGAACAACAGCAAGGTGCAGGCTTCGGCGTCCTTCTTGGCACAGAAAATATGCTTTCTTGTTCGTGCACATCATTTCTAACTAGAATGAGACTTACGAAAGCTGCAATCTTGCTCGCACTTTCAGAGATATCCGTCGGCGGCGCGGGGACTCCCAGGTCTGCGGATCCGTCACGGCCCATGTCGGTACTGACAAACCCGGGCTGAATAGCAGTGGCGATCCAGGTCGGGTTCGATGCATGGATGGCACTGTTTCGGATTCAACATTAGCAGTGGATTACGTTTAATTGTAATACAAAAGAACAGAGCTCAGATTGCCTAACACAAGGCGAAAGAAGATTCAAGCCCAGAAAGAAGAACCTTGAAGCAAAGTGAATGGGCGAGGAAAGACTGACACCGTAAGCCAATTCACGGCCGCCTTGCTCGAGCCATACGCCAACAGCGGCGAGACTCCATACCCCTCTAATAGGCTCACAGAACCCGCGGCGCTGGAGATCGTCGCCCACACGGGCTTTTTCGCTTTGCCGAGAAGTTCGTACGTTGCCTTGAACAGACGGTGCGGGCCCAGAACGTTAACATCGAAGGCGGCGGTCATGTCGGATTCGGCGACGTTCTCGACGCGGGCGGACCTCGGTGCGATAGCAGCGTTAGCGATGACGAGGTCGATGTGGGAGACGCCTCCTGCGGCGTCCTGGGCTGCCTGGATGGCGGTCGTGGCCGAGGTTGGGGACGTGCTCTCGATGCTGACGAGGATCAGGCGGGTTTTGGAGCCCGTAGGGAGGGACTTCAGATTCTCATATTGAGGGGAGGTAGCGTCGCGAACGCTGCCTATGACGAGGTGGTTGTCGCGCTGGAGGTAGGTTTGGAGGAGACCATTTCCGATTCCTAGAGGGGAAAAAGTAAAGGTTCAGTACTGAGTTTTGGAGACCGGTTTGGCCGAGGGGTTTTTGGATGATAAGCCCGATCATACGGCGTGAGACCGACCTCGTCCTACACCCGAAATAAAAACGACCGTCTGCGTAGCGTCAGTCATGGTGAACCTTTAAAAGCTGTCTGTCTCGAAGCCTGGTTGGTGTGAGGATGTTGTGTCGGCAATAATACAAGGTCGAGGAGGTTACAATATACAGACAGTTCTCGGAAATCCGGCGAACTCAGAGCCGAGGGCTTTGGGGACAAGTTGGGGGAGGCACGTCTCAAATACCTAGGTATGTAATGATTCGAGTTGACCCGTCTGACCACCACATTTCACGCAACTTATTACTTGGGCGAGGGTGGAATGCGCAGTCATCAATCCTCCCGTATCCCGTCACGTCCTTCCAAAGTCACGTTCGACTCCTCCTCCTCCTCTCGGCTCTATCCCCTGCTCGCGGTAATTCTCTCAACACAGTATGACCTCCAACATGACAACACCATTGTCAGGAAACGAGAAGCAGGAAACGGAGGGAAGGTGTTGTCAGGTTGCTTCGAGGTTGATCGTCGGGTTAGGGTTTGGGTAAAGGTTGTTGTTATTGACGACGTCCGCTGCTCGGCTTTTGAAACATCCTTGCCTCCATGGCATGCGCATCAATTTAGGGCGGCGGAGACCTTGTTGGAAAGACGTCTGTCGCAAAAGGCGAGCGATTCTTCAAGTGGTGCCGCGATGGCCATCGCCCTTCTTTACTCAGCATCATCACATGATTGCGCTATCACCTCAAATACAAAGAGTTGTGCATGGTTAACATCTGCAGGGCGCATCGGGGACCTCGTCCAATATTGGACATCGACGTTGTCTACTATCGACGATAGACAATGGGTATTCCGCACAACACAGGTACAGTATCATCATAAATTCCAACAACGTCTCAGACATATCCGACAACAATGAAAACAAGAAGTGCATCTGAACAAATTCCCATATTCACTCGTCAAACATTTCGCTTTCGATACCCTTCTCCAGACACAACTCGATCGGTTTACAAGCAGACCATCTCAGAACAGGAATGCAGACAGCAGCCACACGAATCCCAACCCGACAGTTCCAATATGCTGTTCGTGGCTGAAAGCAAGTTTGTCGACTCCATTGGAGGTCGTCGGGCCACCTGCAGCAGCGGCAGTCTTGCTTGGTGTGCCGCTCGTCGTAGTCGCAGGCGACTGAGTCTTGTTTGCGTTGTTGGTGCCATTTGATGCATTGGCGGTTGCGGTGATACCCGGGGCAGCAGTGTTCGCCGCAGCAGTGTTCCCAGCAGTAGCGGCAGTAGTTTCAGCGGTGAGTTGTTGGGCAGCACGTGTCGACGAGGAGTAGATTGTCACCGATCCGTCGGCATTCTGGGTCCAGACCGCGTACTGATACATGCAGGCATCGGCCTGCTCCACTGTGAGATTGGACCCTGATGCGTCGGGACCCTCGCAGCAGTGGGAGAGTTGTGGGAACGGGTTGAGGCACGACGACTCGCACAGAGGAGCGCCAGGCCTGGAATTGTATAAGGTTTGAAGTTCAATTTAGGAGTAACAGTTGTCGATGCGCGTATCATTCGTTTTCGGGGCACGCAGATTGTCTCCAACGACTCGTCGATGGAGGGTTTGCTCTTGAGGACCCAAAGAGGTCGCAGAGGCGTGAATGAAAACATTTGCCAAGATGGCCACAAGGGTGTAACGGATCGAGGAAGTCATGACGGATGGTGAACCAAGCGGAAGCGAAAGACTACAGCTGTTCTTTTCTTGCAAGCGTGGTCGTTGGTTTTCGAGATCTTTGTCTCGATGCCGAGCCATTATTATAACAATTCTCACGAGGCTGCTCACCGATTTTCGACGCAAGGATATTGACCAGGACGCCGCAAAGTTGTCAAAATAAACATCAACGCCGCAATAAATTTCAACCAAGCAAATTTTAACGCTTCATAGGCTTGAAACAAGCCTCCGAAGCACTGATATGTCCCGACGTCTACGCCGCATGGCCCTGCGCCACCTATTTCTAAAAATGAAATCTTCATTGCCGAAGACAAGAGCAGATCTACTGGTGGTGGGACGAGCGGACTGATCGATATCAAGAAGGTTACATACATAGAAAACGTGCTCTGGCGATTGGTCGATCAGAGAGTCTGCGTAGGAGAGTCATGTACTCTGTATTCAAAGATATTGAATCGGTCTAAGGGCTTATTCAATCACAAGACATCACGGAACTAAAGTTCTGCCAAATAAGGGCAGCATATGAAAAATTTAACCAGGCACGAACGTGGCTGTCGTCTTCACCCCGCCAGTCTCAAAGGTCGTGACCACGATGGTTTGAGGAATCGTCATCGCTTCTTCCTTGGTCGTTGCATTCAGCACGGATGAATAAAGTGTGGACTATCCCTGGGATATGTTCCTCCTCATCAACCCACTCTGCCGAGAAGTCTGGACTCGAATTAGGACGGATCCATCAGGTCTCGGCATCATAAAGGGGCTCTCGATACATGCGATCTGGGGCTGTGTTGTAGACAAAACTTCGAGTCGTCGTCTCCGAAATCGTCAAAGCATCGAAACAATTGTGGCAGTGAATGCGAGCAGGCTGTGTAGGTCTCTGTCACCGGTATATCCGAGAAGAAACAGCCGTACTGTGAGCCCGAAATATTACCATGGTCATGGGACAGTATCAAACACCTGGAGGAGACCTGTCACCGGTTTCCACCGCTGTGCTGCTCCAATATAGAGTGATACGACCCTGAAGTGGAGACTGCATATCGTGCGTTTCCTCGCATAGGGAAATGTGCGGCGTAGTCGTTCCCAAAATAAATCCGCGTCCCGCCTCACATCAACGCCGTGACCGGGAAATTTGATGAGGCTTTGAATCGCCGAGAACCAGTAGAGTCCGTTTTGCAACGACCTCCATAATTTTGTATTTCAAATCGTATCAGTCAAATGTGATGATTGGTTTGCAGTGTCACACACAAAGGTGTAATGAGAACAATGTGAACGGCGTAAGATGTGATATTCAGCAACTTGCTGTCTGATTGGAGAATCTAGAGTATATGTCTAAACAGAGAATCGAAACAAGGTCCGCAGGATCTGCTCTGCAGCAGCAAACAGTGCTATTCAAGAAGCATGATCGATCGGCAGTAAGGATGCGCACGCGCGGTCATGAACTTCGTTATTCATAGCAGGTACATCCACAAGGCTGAGTTGATGATGATTCCAGCCAAAGCGAGCTTTCCACTTCCGATGGCGGTGAGTCTGCTCTCTCCGTTGGGCTTGGTTGGGTTTGTCGAAGTCAACGGTGCCGAGTTTTTTGAATTGACTCTAGATAATTTGGTCGTGTTTGCTCTCAGAGAGGTGGTGCGACCAGCCATGCTGACTTTCGTTGAGATTTTCGAATCGCCTGTCTCGACGGGTTTCGGGACGTAATGTGAGAGGCAGTCGCGAACTTGATCGCCGTTAAGAGCGGCACTGGTGCAGCAATTTGCAATCCCGGGATAGTAGTCGAGACAGACATTTGAGCAAAGCGCGTCGCCGCAATCTTGGTAGTCGGCGCGACACGCCTCTCGCGTTGTCTCCCAGCAGTCGCGGTATGTGTTGATGTTGGTTACTCGGGCGACGGATTCGGGCTTGAGGACCTCTTGGTTGTGGGATACGGCAGAGGCGAGCGTGCTGCTCGCGAACAGCGCCGCAAGCATCAGATGCTTCGTGGACAACATGTTTATGTTTCCCGTTCGAGCAGCGGTTTGTCTCTGTTGGAGGACGATCCTGAGGCCGGAATGATGAATGCTCTTCACATTATAATATTCGGCCACTATCGCCACCATCGAGTATTGATCTCAACCTCGCCAGTGGTACTCAAGCGAACGCCTCGGTCAGGCTGAACTCCAATGCAAGATCCAAGCATCGAAAATTTTCACGATGAGCTGTGCCACAATGCATCTCCCTGCAGAACGACTTGGTCAGGCAATGGAGCAAATCAGCCTGTGCTTCATTCTATTCTTGAAACATCACAGAGTGGAGTGAAGAAATAAGTAAGACGCAATTCGCACGAGCGAACAGGCAGCTGAGGCCACCAACTCGTCTGCGCCGCAGCATCGCAGTACCATGACCAACTTTTTGAAACTTGGTCGGGGGAGGAGGCGGCACAGCTCAGCGGACTGCAAACCCTCGGAGCAACAGAATCATAGGCCCATGCCATCACCCGCCATGTATCCAACGACTGAGCTCTTGATGAAGATCATCTAGTCGAAGCATATTTGTGCTCGGACAAATCTGGTTGGACGTCGCGCGTCTCTGAAGAACGCACTGTCGATTGACACCTGCAGTTTCGTGTTTCGGATGTAAGCAACGATGCGGCGTTCAGCCCGTTTCTAAAAATAGAACACTTGCACGGCCAACGTCTGCCCACGATCGTGTAATGCCTGTACATCGATCTTGCACCTCATCCTGTGCTGGGATAGACATCATGATCGCGATTAGGATGTCAGGTGAAAAACATGTCAAGCAATGCATGCTACACAGGATCCGGGATCCATCTCCATGGTCTGCGTCGAATCGCCAAGCCGATCGATTGAATACTGGGAATATCGAATCGTAAACACTATACATGTACGATCTGTGAGATCAAAACTACGCTCGATCTGAAATAAGGGACCTCACGGGGTTTAAAAATTGTGAGATGATGCGAAATAATCATTTGCAACAACGATTTTGGAAATTTCAATGCTATAATCGCGTACAGATAAAATCAACACAGGAGCCACACAAATTCAACATATATCCATCGCTTGCTAATGTGAGCACAATAATCGTCGAATGTCGTGGTAGCAGCGCATGCCGTTCTTGCTCTCACGCTTAGAGAAGCAGGAGAGACAGAGCCCAGGCGAAAGCGGTTCCGGCCATGCCCAACTGAACAGCACCACCACCGATGCGCTCACCGGCGTTTGGCGAGGTGGTGTTGGATCCAGTGGAAGGGCCAGTAGGCTTGGATGTCGGTGCCGCAGTGGTACCCGCGCGAGTGGCGTTGGCAGCGCCTGTGGGGCCTGCAGAGCCGGTCGCAGTTGTACTGTTTTGTGGAAAGAGTTTGACGAGGCAGGTTTCCAGGGCAGTCAGATCCTTGCCGCTCTCGCTGCAGCAGCGTTTGCCTTCGGCGTCGTCGACGATACACTCGTAGCTGCACGCGGCCTGGTAGCAGGCGGCTTGTTGGCCAGGGGTGCAGGCTGCCTGCAATTTGGACTGGCATGCTGCGGTTGTGTCGCCGCCGCTCTGTCGTTTGGCGATCAGACTTGTGAAGACCTCATTGTCGAGGTTGAAGTTGAGGGTAGTGCCAAGAGGGTTGGCCGCGACGAGAGCGGTGCTGCTCAAGAGCATAGCGACGACTGAAGTGGAACGCATGGTGGTGATGGTGATAATAGGCGAATGTGCGATTGAGGTGGAAGAGTTATTTGAACGAGAATCTTGCGACTGTAGTCTGAAAGTGTTGTGTTGAGAAGAAGTGAGTTGAAGCTGATGATCTTCCCAACATGTCGTCGTTGCATCGCATCTTATATATCTGTTTCCTCAGCCCAGACCTTGACATTTCCTGTCTTTGCACCCCTCACCGCGATGTTGTTCATCTCGAATCATCGCTGGTCAAACCATGCAATCGGCCGCGCCACCGCCTTCTCATCTGGATTGATAGGCTCCGGGGCGAGCAATTCAGAGCATCCCGCGCCGCATGCGCATAGATGAATTTCGCCGGTCCGACAGTGCGCACCGAGGCGTTGTCATTGTAATTAGAGACATGGAGATGTCTGAGCCCATGGATCCCTTGCTTTTCGGATGCGCATGTCCACTATGTGGGTTGGGCATGGCGGAGTCGTTTGCGGCGTCGTGGTCAAGTTGGGCTTGCGGTTTCGGAATGGGGCGCTTGGCGTCCACCCCGAACGTACGCCGCAACGATGCGTTCGCGCCAGGCTTGGGAGGGACCACGCTAGGAATGTTATTTTGAGATTTCGAGTATTTCATGACGGCTGGATGTATAGAAATTTATTCTGGTGAATGCAATTTTGTTCTGAGAGTTGCGTGGAAAATCACGTTGTTGTGAGCTAGCAATAGTGTGTTGATACAACATCGCGCAGCGCTGTGACAGAACTGTCCAAGAAAAACTCGTTCTCTGCGTGACATAGAGGCATGTTCACGAAGGAAGATACGGCACAGCAGATCAGCAGATCAAAGGTAGTCCGCCAAGCAAGCTCTCTAAATTTCGAAACGACCATCGCCATGACCGCTCGGCGGTGCATGTCCATCAACAAGGTCTCGGCCCTGCAACAATTTATTTCTGGATCTCTCGGCACAGGCAGACATCATTGAACCGCAACAGGCAACTTCCGAGGATCACCATGTTCAATCATATGTGAGTGCAATTTGACCACCTCGGGCACAATCCAACTCTCAATTTCCACAACGGAGTCACCGTCCCCAACTTTGCCACCGTCACGAGCAGCAGCGGAATCGCTATTCTCCGCTGCCCTCTCTGCGAATGCTTCTTTGATATTTGTAACGCTCTTCGTGCGACGATGTACTGGAACCCGTATCCATTTGTCCTCGCTACCGGCACTGACGAATAGGACCTCGTACTTTCTGGTGTTTAGCAAGTTCCCGATGACTAAATGGTGCGCATACTTGTTCAGTGCATTGTGAGCTTTGATCGACAAGAGCTTCGGGTCGGTTTCTAGTTTGAAAGAGATGATCATTGCACGCGGCGCCCAGCCGTCGACAAGGAGTTTGAGAAATTTGGGGACTGGATCGAGATTGATGACTAGGCTGGCGTTGGACATGTAAGCTGCGGGAGCCTTGGACTCGTTGGCGTCTCCCGCTTGTATGCCGTTGGCTTTGTTTGTGTTGAAGTCCTCCGAGGATTGGATCTTGTGCTCGACCATGCGTTCTGCCGGGACGAAGAAATCAGAGACGGCGGCTGCTAGATAGAACAAGGCATTGGCGCCGAGTGGTTGCAGAGTCATGGCAAATTCTCGAAGATGCCAGAGGTATTCGTTGACTGAAGTGAATGGTACAAGCAAGAGTGTATTCTCTCTTTTGGCTTTCTGATATCGTTGCAGGACGACGTCCATCTGCTTCTGGTACTCGTTTTCCACGACGACTTCACCAGAGGCGCTGTGCGTCATGAAGTCAAGGAAGCAATTGGTGCTATGGCTGTAATGCCGACTATACGGCAGGAGAGAAAATTGTCGATGTAGAAAAATGACAGCATATCCTGCCTCCAGGAAGTATTCGGCGCTGGTGGCACCACGCGTACCAGCAGAAAAGTTGTCAATGAATCGGACAGTCTGGTTCTCGAGTGGCACAGTAGTTCCGCCTGAAGTGACGAGAGCGACTCGACGGTTCTCTTCGACGTGACGTTGAACAAATGCGCGTGCCAGCTGACAATGTCGGTCCAGAGACGCCGGCTTCGGATTTGCTTCAAAATACTCCATGATTTCTTGCTTCTTGGGTGTCGCGTGTGCAATAGTCTTGCGTGCTCAGCCAGGTTCACGAAATTGTTGTTGCAATGCGGAGAAGCAGCCGCAGAAAATACCCATGGTGTCAGTTTTTATGCCTCGGATGATAGCGGGCGAGCAGAATATGGTGGTTTTCTACAAGTGATGTTGTCTTCCTCGAATACTCCATACCAATTCGGGAGTCGGAGGGAGTTGCATTTTCTTGCCTGCTTCCTGTCTAGCTGTGTGGGAAGCTCCAACAGAAGGACCGCGGGTGACGTCGGCGTAATGACCACAATTTTATGCCTGAGGCATAGATTACGGAGGCCCATGGACCCACTTTACCAAATCGTACTGCACAGTATTTCCTTCTCATGTTGTTCTTCAAGAATTCTTGATCCCCTCGACTTCCGGGTGTATGGAAAAGGAACTCATTCGTCGACACCTGAGCTTGGTATTGATCCCGTCCTTTTGGCGAGCTGCATTGTGTCCCGTCTACAGTCGATTGTTTCTAGAGAAGTCGACACTAAACAACCCTGTACCGTTACTGCGGGACCTTCCACGCTGGAACTGACGCTAGCATCATACCCGAGTCGAAGCAGTCAAAAGCATCATTCATTGAGAATACCTGGTTGCGAATTGCCGAAAGAGTCCTCGAATAAGCCGCCAGTCCCGTATATCTACTGGAACTACGGCGTGACACCGAGGGATGAGTACCTAGGTATGAACGAGTGGACAAGACAGGGACCCTTCGTGACTTGCCATCGCTTCATAATCCAAGGTTCGCTGCTGAAGATCAGCCATCACTCACAGTTGGCATTCAAGGCCTGGCGATAGCATCAGTCCTGTTCTCAGGGATTTGGTAGAGTTGAATGTCCAATTGACTTTATTTCCAAGTCTGAATTTTGATCCAATTTGATAGAAGCGCCTTCAAAGTTGGACGGCCGCGTATGCGTAGTGTTACTAGTCGATAGCTTAAAATCCGTCCTCTTGTTCTGTTAGGGTTCAGCCGCCTTTACTCTGTATCGGCCGCCAGATCTCGAAAGCGCGAAGTGCAGATCGCTTGCACGCGACAACTATCTTTTGAAGTAACACCAACATCGCCAAAATGCCGCCTCCCAACAACAACAACAACAATCGTCCTGGCGGAAGGCTTGGAGGATCCAGATCTACTGGACGTCCTACCGATCAGAAATCCAACGAGCGCAACGAATACATTCCCAGCTTCATTGCCAAAAAGCCCTTCTACATCGACGACGCCACCGCCAGTGACTCCGATTACCTCGAGCATCAACGTTTACAGTCGGAAAAGAACCATGACCCACTTGCGACAGCACAATGGTATGATCGCGGATTGACCAAAGGACCGGCGGCGACGAAGTATCGCAAAGGCGCATGTGAGAATTGCGGGTCCATGAGTCACAAGACCAAGGATTGCCTGCAAAGGAAACGTAAGCTGGGCGCCAAGTGGACGGGGAAAGACATTGCGGCGGATGAAGTCATCAAGGACGTCAAACTGGGATGGGACGCAAAACGAGATCGGTGGAATGGATTCGAGGCGGGCGAGTACCAAGAGGTGGTGGATGAGTTTAATGCGTTGGAGGAATTGAAGAAAGCTGCAACGGGCGCGAAGAAGGGCACAGGATCAAATGAAGATGAGGACGAGGACGGCGAAAATGGCAATGCGGATGAAGGCGCCAAGTATGATGAGGAGACGGACATGGGTCGCAAACAGGCAACATCCACGCGCAACCTTCGATTGCGTGAAGATACAGCGAAATATCTCATCAACCTCGATCTCGACAGCGCCAAATACGATCCCAAGACCCGTTCCATGGTCGCGCCACCAGATGGCGACCCAAGCAAAATCCTCGAGGGTGACGAAGACGGCTTCTACTCCAAGACCGCGGGCGATGCGGGAGAATTCGAGCGTGCGCAACAATATGCCTGGGAGACGCAAGAACGCGGCGACAAGAACAAAATTCACATCCAAGCCAATCCGACCGAAGCTCTGATCCTGCGCAAACGCAAGGCTGAAGAAGACCTCGCGCGTCAAGCCGCGCACAAAAAAGCCCTCACGGACAAATACGGCTCGCAGGAGAAGATGGGCATCAAAACTCTGCGACCGGGCGCGGGCGACGGTGTGAACGTCGGCGACATCACGAGCAATGAGCGATATGTGGAATACGACGAGCATGGCCGTGTCAAAGGCCTCCCGGCTACCGAGCGAAAGGAGAAGAGCATGTACGCCGAGGATGTGTTCATGAACAATCACACTGCGGTGTGGGGAAGCTGGTGGAAGGATTTTCAGTGGGGATATGCGTGCTGTCACAGCGTGTTGAAGAACAGCTTCTGTACGGGCGAAGCTGGGAAGGAGGCTGTCGCTGCGGCGGAGAATTTCGGAAAGGGACTTATGTTGGAGGAGCGTGTGGGAGGAAACGAAGAGCGACCGCCGGAGGACGAGGAAGGTCAAGTGGTCGCGGTGAGCCGGGAAGATGCATGGAAAGACGAATCGCGGAGGGAGAAACACGTGCCTAACGGCGTTGAGCGTGACGGAAGCCTCAACTCCAAGAGCACCGCAGCTCGCGTAGATCGCGAGGACCAGGACCATGACGACGAAGAAGCTCGGAAACGCGCGAAGGAGTTGCGTGCGGCGGGAATATCCGAGGCTGAAATGGAGAAATATCGACGCGAGCGGGTGGATCGAAATGATCCTATGGCTGGACTATTGGGCAAGGATGAACTGGTCGATGTCTAGTTCCCCTTGCATATTCTCATCTGCGCCTGCATCAGCTGAACTTGGGATTATGATCCCTGAAGATCTTCGGTGACTTTGAGGATTACTCCTCGGTGACATTTCTGAGAAGGGATGGACGCGTGGAGATTGGAGGATCTTCGCATCCTCGTTCTGCCATGCATTGTTAATCTCTCTATTCCTACCTGTCTATCATGCAGACAGGGTAGATCTACTGTATATTGTGTCTACGGCTGACGAAGCGCTCGGAGGCCAATTTTCGTATCGAAAGTATTGCATTTACCAATGAGTCATATTTTCATCTTGTGAATGTAGTGAGAAAGAACTCCTATGAAGTGATTTGTACGAGTGATGATTGCCTGAATTTGTGAGAAATAACAACCGACACCGTCGTCGGCGTAGCAAACCCTACGCTAGCAAAACCAAAGATGAATCTCACTTGACCATCATGGCTCTTGTGAGGGTATGACATGAATACGAGTTGATCTTACTGCGGCGAACAATATTTGGTGGAATGAATGATTCTTGCGAAAGACAAGTGCCAGGTGATCATACAAACGCTCAAGCGAACAACGCGCGTTCCTACGACATCCATGGCTCCTACGGCATCGGCATCGAGTTACTCTAATCCTACGCCCTCTCCAGTAAGCCAAAGAAGCTTTCCCACGTGTACGATGATCGGCAGGGCTCGTCTTGCAGGTGACATCGGTCAGTGAAGATGCACGAGTAGTCAGGTCTTATCATACATGGACGTTCCAGTACTACGACACGGCTCGATCTCCGCTGAACCTCAGCTGGAGCTGAAGTCCAGCTGAGATGTTCAAAAGCCGAATTCTAGCTGAGATCCTCACAAGATTATGATGGCTGAGACTCAGGTGAGGGTTGCATATATAAATATATGCACAGGTTGATGTTCAAGTGATTCTCCATCGAGAGAAGCGTTGGAGCACAGTTCCTTTCACGACATCACAAACGTCGCCTCCTTAGGATCACGACATGTTCTTCACTACTCTCGCGACCTTGGCGCTTGCCGCTTCTGGCACTTCCGCGGTACATAACCTCTTGTTGCTCGAGCGGTGATCCTTTTGAATCTGACAAAGGATAGCTCTCCAACTCCGTCGGCAATGCGTTAGGCATCAAGAAGGACTCCATGATCAGCTACGATCGCATTTACTTCGGATATGCTCCTAACTACAACCCTCGGGTCACGATGGCCAGCCTCAACAAGGCCACCGGTCAGAAAGGCGCGACCTACAATGTCTACAGCCAGATCACCTCCGACAATGTCAACAGCGGAAGCTACAACGGCAACTACCAGTACAATGTTGACGACATCGTGAACAGTGGAGCGGTCCTGATCGCCTCTCTCATGCCCACGGTGCAATGGACCGGCATCACTCCCAACCTCTGTTCCTCAGTCAACGACTACTTCACGAACACCTTCACGAACAAGGGGGTCACCGTCTGGCTCCGTTTCGCCCACGAGATGAACTACTACGCCACGGACGGAACGTACCCCGGCGGTGTCAACTACGGACAATTCCTGAAGGCCTGGGACTGCATGTACGAGGCGACCAAGAACAACAACAAGATCTCCATGTTCTGGTCGCCCAACTACGTCAGCGACGCCTCCGCCCTGAAGCCCTGGTTCCCGCCGGCGAACCAAGTCGACATCGTCGGCATGGACTACTACCCGTCCGCCAGCTCGGCGTCGGGTCTGCCGTCCTTCGACACGGCCTACGGCGGCTTCTACAACACCTTTGCCAAGCCCTACAACCTCCCGTTCGCCATCGCCGAGACCGGCACGCAGAACGGCGGTGGTTCGGCCAGCGTCGCCCAGAAGGAGGCGTGGTTGAAGACCATTCTCAACCGCTCGGCCGGATATGGTGCCTACCCGCTTTACACCAGTGCCACCTGGTTCGAGTACGGCCCGGACGCCAACAGCATCAACTACTACGTCGTCTACGGCCAGAGCTCGTCGACCGTCACCCAAACCATCAGCAACACCGAGGAAGGATCTTAGACGGTGCGGTGTACGAGCGGGCAAGTTGGACGAGTCCCATCCAAAGACCTTACCGCGGGTGGGCTTCCCTCGCTATCTGGCAGTTTTCTTACACATTTGGACTGTTTCAGCCAAATGGGTAGATTTCTTTGCCAATCAACAAATTTATGAGGTACATACATACATAGACCGTGTAGAGTCGAACAATCTTTTAGCACATTCCGCTTGTGGCCCTACCTCATCAATCCTGCCGAGTCGCTCGCGGTGGCAAGGTAAGCGAAAGTCAACCTGCATGTGCTCGGAGGTGAACCAGCACCCGCATGCTCTTGCACAACGTCATGATCGACGAGGTCGATACACAAAAACAGTGAATTTCTTGACAACGACGCAGCATTCTCTACTTTACACCCTCCGATGATGTTTTGTAAGCGTCCATGTAGAGTGATCATTGGCCAAAAAGAAAGCCTACAAGCCAATGCCACGATGACGTAGGGTCATGACTTTGTGGCGGTTCCGCGATCGACCGCCTCCGGATCGTCCGGCGAACCTCGATCTTGATCAGGCTTTTCGGAAATCTCTCGGGAGGAAATCAAGAGGAAGCTCGCGTTCTGGAATGCGTCCCTGTCTGGGTGGATAGTAGAGGCCGGCAGGTCCCATCCACGGAGATAACGGAGGGGAGAACCTGGGGGCTATCAACTCATTCATCGTCCGGAGGATCCACCCTGTTTAATATTCCCCGTGTCCTGTGCATCTGAAGCTGGACCGCCTCAGCTACAAGTCCGCTGCCCCAATGCGTCCGGAAGTTCGTTGCTCGGAGGACAGACAGGCAGGAGTAGTGAAGTCATTGGGAGGAGTATTGGACATAACGTCATTGAAATTTCGCGTGGATGGGATTAGGGTTCGTGGGGTAAGATCCCCGGGCGAGACAGGAAGACGCCCATCGGGGTTCTTCCAGCATATGCCCAGGTGCGTATCATTCCTTCTCCTCATGAAGAGAAAACGCAGTGATTCCTACTGACCTACCCGACGACGAGAATACGAGGTTGACCGTCCATTGGGAAACGTGTATCGTCGGTTACCAATCTATTTGTCTCGCTCCGAGGCGAATCGTATTGTGCCCCTGGTGAGCGGGTGTTGTGTGCCCATTTCCCCCGCGTCCTCTCCATGATCATCGTCGATGAACGTTACTTGGGCGTGCACTGTCTTTTGCGCTTAGTTTCCAAGGCTCACGATGGTTCGGTGGACCATGAGAGTCTCAAAAACAAGCCTAGGTGCACCTATCCGTCGCTGGATATTACAATCTCCCAACCTTTGGCTGATCCGAGTCCGGTCGGGTACTGGAGACGAAGTGTTTCCCAATGACAAAGCAAAAGAAGCGATCTGGTCCCTGCGGTCAGCCTTATCGATCAAATCGAGAACGGAGATAAGCTGTCAAATCGCCGACGAACACAAATGTCCAAGTCCAGCTGGGCAGTGTGCGCCTGGAAGCATCGGAACATGACGATCGCTGCAATGTGAGTCCGTCTCTCTGGCTGCTGTCCGCGTGGGTGCCACTTCTCCCATCTGCACCTCTCATTCACTCACCATTGTCCGGTGTTTCTGAAGTGGTGCCTGAGGACGGTGGCGTGTGCTGAGTAATAATTCCTTGGACCTCATCCTGTCTCCTACAGCTTGAAGTCTCCGTCACCAGTGTTGGTTTCCGCCCGCACACGAAATATACATACATCCACCGCGGTGAACGACAACACACCAACATGATCATGAACGAATAATATTAGAAACCCACGTTCCTGGCCGAGAGACAAACCCATAGCCTTGGCTAAACACTGATTGGTCGGACAAACCCATGCTTTCGAGGACAAGTCCGGGTCCAGAAGGAGAGACTATTGCCCGAATAGGTCAAGTACACTATTGCGTGCTCGACGCAAAGATTTTTTGGATTTCAAAGCGCAATTCCACCCTTTTCCGCCATACAATCACCGTCCAGCGTGAGGCAAAATTTGACGACCGCACCTCTTTCTTTGCGCGCGCGCGCGGGGAGAACAGCCCTCCCAAGACCCACTGCAAAGGGCGGAAATGGCGTGCTCGCCCTGCCCGCACCACACGGGACCGATGATGAAGTAGTGATGAATCGTTGACGCCTGCGCCTACCGTGGTCGACGCTGACGCCCACCCTCGTTCAAAGTCACCGATTTCGACTCGTTTGTTCGGCGGCATCGCGACCAGGTGGGCCGGACAGAGGAATCAATGAAATCTCCGTCGGAAGGGACGAGACATGCCCTCATCGACGCTGGTGTTCGTACCCTCACTACACGTCCCATTCAATGTCGATCACGATCGATTCTTCATAACATCACCCTTTCCGAGGTGAACGTCTCTCGGAGATGATCAGGTCATCATACTGTACTGCCTTCCATAATCAAGATCCATTCTGTCTTCCTTCTCGTGGTTTCTCTCTTCTCTCTCTACATTTGTGATTGATCAGTCTGACATAACCTTCCTACTCCACCTTGAACGCTGTCCATCTGTTGACAGTGTCGTCATTCATATATCAAACACCCACTCTTCTGATACCCATCGCAACGAGACGATCTTCATTCTCCATTCAACTCAAGATCACACTCCTCGACCAAGTCTTCTTGAACAGCACCTTTCGGCTCTGACGCGAATCCAAAGAAGCAAGAGGACCGAACAGAGACAATCCTCTCACCCTCAACTACAAATAATACAACACATTCACAATGACGTTCCGATCACGGTCCAACTCAGGCAATGAGTCTGGCTATGCCAGTGGCAGTTCGACTGCCAACCTCTCCGAGACCTACTTCTCCAGACCACACCTCAAATTCCTCAACCAACAACTTAACAAACTCTCGCCCCAAGAGGTCCTGAAATGGTGCATCACTTCCCTCCCCAACCTCTACCAGACATCAGCCTTTGGCCTGACTGGCCTGGCGATCATGGACATGATTTCCAAACTCGACTACCCTACCACCACCTCATCCTCCGATTCAGAACCCGCGCCCTCACAATCTCCCGCCTCCATCGAGATGATCTTCCTCGATACCCTCTACCACTTCCCCCAGACCCTCGACCTCGTCTCCCGGGTACAACAACGCTACCCGCACATCAAAATCCACACCTTCCGCCCGCTCGACTGCGACACCACCGCGGCCTTCGAGTCCAAACACGGTGAGCGCCTCTGGGAGACCAACGACGAGCTCTACGACTACCACGCCAAAGTCGAGCCCGCCGCCCGCGCCTACCGCACCCTCGGCGTGCAAGCCGTCATCACCGGCCGCCGCCGCAGCCAGGGCGGCAAGCGCGGCGACCTGGACATCGTGGAGATCGACGACACGGGGTTGATCAAGGTGAACCCGCTGATCAACTGGAACTTCAAAGAGGTGCAATCGTACATCACCGCGAACTCCGTCCCCACCAACGACCTCCTCGACCAGGGCTACCGCAGCGTCGGCGACTGGCACTCGACCGTGCCCGTCACGGACTCGGAAGACGAGCGCGCCGGCCGCTGGAAGGGAAAGAACAAGACCGAGTGTGGAATCCACAACAAGAAGAGCCGATATGCCATCTTCCTCCAGGAACAGGAGGAGAAGCGACAAGCGGAGCTGAGCGAGGCCATCCAGCAGGGTCTCTCCATCGAGGAGCGAAGCCAGGAGGACGATGATGCGACTACTGTTGCGGTGGTGCAGGAGACTACGACCACGACTGTCGTCGCGCCGACTCCGGCGGCGGCCGTCTCCGTCTAACGCACTATAATTTGCACAGACACACCGAAGAGAGAAAAGGAAATACGATCGGTAGCGTTGTGTGCGGTGCGGAGAGAGAACAAAAAAAGCCTTTGCTTCTTACTCTTCTTCTTGCTTTTGATTTTTGCCCTGCCGTTTGCTGGTGGTGGGGCCGCTTTCGCCCGCCCGCCGCCCGCAATTCTCCGCACGCCAGACGCGAAATGACCGCGACATCATCGCCGACAGGACCTGTTTCCTCAGGCCAAAAAATCTCGCCCTCACACATCATACGCCCACGGCCGACCCCTTGCATAATATCCGCCCCCGTGGGCTTTTTCCGGCAAATCATTGTTCTCCTGCTCTTCACCCCTGCAGCAGCAAACGTCGGGGCCCCAACACGAATATTTGACCTTCATGTCCTTTCGAAACCCAAAACCCTTGCATTGGAAATCATTTGTTCTTGGCGAAACATTTTTTCCCTATTGGCGATCCATTATAGGCGGGCGTTTTTCAATTTTGGGCAACTGTCACCATATCAGGCGGAAGGATGGCGAAAACGAGGGAGATGATTCGAGAGGGAAAAAAGAAAGCGGCAGTCAACAAACACAAAGAACAAGACTTTTATGCCTATCCATGATTGTTCTCGTCTCGAGGCCGACTGCTGTTTCGATGACACGAGGAAGGAAGAGAAGAGAAGAGGAGGGAGTGCCTTGGCGCAGGTTGCGGAACATACATCTAAAAGCTTTGTCGCGACGAGTTCTGATCAGCAGCAGCAGCAGCATCAGCAGCATATCTTAATTAAACAGTGTTTCTAAATGATCAAAAAAACAATTCAAAAATCTCCTCCATTGAAAGAACACAACGAGAATTGCAATAACGCTGTGGAAACATGATGCTGCCCCAGGTGCCGAACATCGATGATATCAGTGTGGAACCGCAGGAAGCGATGTGAGAGAGACTGCCCGTCCTCCTCTATACTAATATTGACACCCACGCCCATGCGCATTCCCTGAGCATAGACGATGTACAGTGGTGCCTCGAAGATGCTGGTGACATGCTCACGATGACAAGCCCGCCTCAATTGCTTGCTTGCTGGTTTGGCTCTGAAGAAGTCCACATGCAGATGGTAAAAGCCATTTCCAAGTCGCCGCGAGGAAGGTGATAACAGACAGATGGGATGGGAGATTGCGACGACCTCTCTCATGATTGGTGAAGATGTTGTCTGTGCAATCATCGCCACCGGCCTGGGTAGTAGGTAGTATATACACATCTGTTACTTTTCAGAGTGTATGTAGTCTGCATATTCCTGTTCCTCCCTCTCCCTCTCTTCCTCCTTCTCTCTCACGGTCGCCTGCTGCATGCAATGAGATGCGGTGATCCTACAGTCAGCATGCCTCCCGGTCGGTGACCCTGTGGACAGGCAGGCATCTGCTCACATGATAGGCATCCCTTTTTTTAATATTATTGTTGATTATTGGCCTTGGCCCAGCTGGTGTGGCCCACGACCGGAAACGCATCCAAACGTCTGTCTGGGGCTCCCTCCCCGCACACGGTAATTTCACTCCGTTGGGCGATGTCGGCCCGGGCTGCTCCTCGAAGGCGCGACCCGCGTTTCTGGCGGGGAGAGTGGGGGAGAGAGAGAGAGATCCGAGCCCTATCGATAAGGGAAAACGGGAAGAGAGCGATGGCGGGGCAGCGGAGCATCCGGGCCCGATGTCGCAATCTACAGGCACTGTGGGCAAAGTAGGGATCCGGGCGTGGTAAAGAAGGATACTTGGGATATTGTTACAGACTTACCTAGATGGGTATATTTCCAACGCGGCTGGTGGATTGATATGTCCATGGACTGTCCTCCATGGAACCATCGCGATATAGAGTAGAAACGCAGATGAAATGCACACATCTCCTTCTTCTTCTTTTTCTTCGTGGCGGTGGTTTCATATCGGGCCGGTTGTTCATCGGTGAAATAGGCGCCCCTCCTCTGGCAATCGTTGGCCCGCCCGCGGCATGGCGTCATCGGCGACTTGCCCTCTTTGGAAAGCATTTTGCAGGCATTGGGCGAAGAAAGAAAACTCGTCAGGCTCGTCTACATCTCGCGTGGGATAGGATGCGAAAAGCAGGTCCAGGTTCACGCGTCAGGGCTGTAGTCGAGGGTACGATGGATCCCACCATCGCCGGGAGTGATGATAAGCGGTAGGCGATCAGAGGCATTGACTGTAGAGAAGGACAGTTTTGCGGCGGCCCAGTAAAATATATCTGATGCGGAGCTTTGCCCTGAGGACGACGATCACGGAGAGACCAGCATGGATCCTAGTATGTAGGGGCATGTTTCGCGAAACGGATATGGGATTACCACCGAATGATGCCATCTGGAAATATGTGCGCGAAACACGTGTGGAGCGGCCGCGGAGGAAACGACACAGGGAAAGCAGCAGCGACACTCCCACGGTTCGCCGTATGTTCGACCTGGCCCATATATGTATGTATGCTGTATGTACAATTCAGACGTAAGTACAGTGTGTTCGTTGTCTGGATTGTACATACAGTGCGTTCGCCGACGACGAAAACATGCCGATGTGACGGGCCGAGAAGGAGAAAAAAGTTCATCGTTGTTGTTAGTGAATAGCCCCCATGATGGCCGTAGTTCGGGATCTGAAGGAGGACGGAGAAGGCTGATCAAAATGATTACCTACCACCGCTCTGTTTATTAATAAACAATTCTTCTCTGACTAGATTCAATCAAAATAACTTGACCATTCTTTTTCTTCTCCTCTCGCTTCTCTCCTCCTCCTCATCCTCCTCCACCATATACCCACGAGCTCTCGTCACGTCTCGTCTCGTCTTTCCTGTTCTTTCTTTTCTTCACGGATTGACAGCCAATCTTTCTCCATCTCCATCGACCACTCTACTCAAGACAGATACACATACGCATACACACACATCGCCATGGCAAATCCTCCTCATGGTACGTCCGTCAACAGCAGCTCCAACGCTCACCAGCCGTCAAGATCATCCTTCACGACGATGGCAACAGACCGGATCTCCTCTCTCTCTCTCCCCTTCCCTGTCCTTATCCCTCTTCTCAAACAAGCTGACTGACACATCCTCTCCCTCCCGCAGGCGGTATCCTCAAGGATCTCATCGCTCGCGATGCTCCCCGACGCGCACAACTCGCCGCCGAGGCCGAGACCCTCCCCGCCATCCTCCTCAACGACCGTCAGCTCTGTGACATCGAATTGATCCTCAGCGGTGGTTTCTCCCCGCTCGAAGGCTTCATGAACGAGAAGGACTACAACGGCGTTGTGGAGAACAACCGTCTGGCGGACGGAAACCTCTTCTCCATCCCCATCAACCTCGACTTGAACAAGCCCGAGATCGATGCTCTTAACATCGGACCCGGTTCGCGTGTCACCCTGCGGGATTCGCGTGATGACCGCAACTTGGCCATCCTCACCGTCGACGACATCTACAAGCCTGACAAGCACCGCGAGGCCAAGGAGGTCTTCGGTGACGATGACGAGGCTCACCCGGCCGTCAAATACCTCCACCACACTGCCGGCGAGTACTACATCGGTGGAAAGCTCGACGCCATTGACCGCCTGATGCACTACGATTACGTCGGCCTCCGGTATACCCCAGCAGAGCTTCGTCTTCACTTCGACAAGCTCGGTTGGTCACGGGTCGTTGCTTTCCAAACGAGAAACCCCATGCACCGCGCTCACCGAGAGTTGACCGTTCGTGCTGCCCGCGCTCGTCAGGCAAACGTCCTGATCCACCCGGTGGTGGGTATGACCAAGCCCGGTGACATTGACCACTTCACCCGCGTCCGCGTCTACCAAGCACTTCTCCCGCGTTATCCCAACGGCATGGCCGTCCTCGGTCTCCTCCCGCTCGCCATGCGCATGGGTGGCCCTCGCGAGGCCATCTGGCACGCCATCATCCGAAAGAACCACGGCGCGACCCACTTCATTGTCGGTCGTGACCACGCCGGACCCGGCAAGAACAGCAAGGGTGAAGACTTCTACGGCCCATACGACGCACAATACGCCGTCGAGAAATACCGCGAAGAGCTCGGAATCGAGGTCGTTCCCTTCCAACAGATGACCTACCTCCCCGACAGCGACGAGTACCGACCCAAGGACGAGGTTCCCAAGGACATCCGCACTCTCGACATTTCCGGAACCGAGCTCCGTCGCCGCCTCCGCACCGGTGGTGACATCCCCGAATGGTTCTCCTACCCCGAGGTCGTCCGCGTCCTCCGCGAGTCCCACCCTCCCCGCAACAAGCAAGGTTTCACCGTCTTCCTGACCGGCTACACCAACAGCGGCAAGGACTCGATCGCGCGCGCTTTGAACGTCACCCTCAACCAGCAAGGCGGCGGCCGCAGCGTCAGCCTGCTCCTCGGCGAGACCGTGCGCTCCGAAATCTCCTCGGAGCTGGGCTTCTCCCGCGAGGACCGCGACAAGAACATTGCGCGCATCGGCTTCGTCGCCGCCGAACTGACCAAGGCCGGCGCCGCCGTCATCGCCGCTCCCATCGCGCCCTACCGCGCCTCGCGCCTCGCCGTGCGCGACCTCGTCGAGCGCACCGGCCGCTCGTTCTTCCTCGTGCACGTCGCCACCCCGCTCGCCTACTGCGAGAAGACGGACCGCCGCGGGATCTACGCCAAGGCCCGACGGGGCGAAATCGTCGGCTTCACCGGCGTGGATGACCCATACGAGGCCCCGGAGCCGGAGAAGGAGGCTGATCTGGTCGTCGATCTGGAGAAGGTCAATGTCAGGACCGCTGTGCACCAGATTGTCCTGCTGCTCGAGGCGGGCGGCCTTTTGGATCAGCTTTAGATGTCGAGTCAAGGGAGAAGTTGGGAGGTGTGTTTAATAGGGTTCTGATTGTGGTGGAGAATCTTTTGATGAGCGCCTGTCTCGGAAAGAGTCGATTATGGATCAGGTAGGCACGAGATGGATGAGACGATCTCTAGATTCTGGGATAAGGTGTGTTCCTTCTGATGTGATGAATGAGGAAGGCTTTCCAAATGGAATAGATCATTTCCCGAAAAGATATGAACGGCCTCTATAAAGCATTCTATCCGTTGTCGTTTCCCCTCTCTCTGCTCTCAAAGTCCAGCCAACGCGCTCCCCTCGACTTTACCGGCGAGACCTCCATCGCCGTCTTTCGCTTCCCTTGGGTACAGCGCAGATGCCACCGATACCTGCCAGCCAACACAAGGGCAAAGCCAACATGGCCCAGAATCCCAGGAACCGGGCTTCCCCCACCAGACCAGCCCTACCCATGTACGTCCCGCCCCACACGCCGAGACAGCCCCCTCTCTACTCCGCCTTCTTATGCCCGGCCGGCACCGCCTCCAACGTCGCCGCGCCCAGGGGCAGACTCTCCGCCGGGAGCCGGGCGCCATCCAACCAATGCGCCAGGCGGGACAAACCAGCCCTCCAGCCGACGCCGCCGTCCCGCGAGCCCTCGCCCGCCTTGGCCTCCGCGGCATAGACGCCCGGGAATTTCCGCCGGAGGTCGGCCTCGCTGAACTTGCGCGTCTTGCTCCGCAGCATGCTCTCCACGGCGCCGGGCGTCCGTGCCAATTCGATCTGCGCCTCGCCGATGGGCACGAAGCACTTGGCGAGGTGGGCGTAGTCCTTGCGCAGCAGCGTCACCGTCAGCATCAGGTAGTCGATGTTGGTGAAGACCAGGGCCCGGCCCGCCGTGTACTTCGCCTTCGACTGCAGGAAGTGCACGGGCTGCTCGCGCCAGTGCCGCCGCGGGTTGAGGTGGTGCGCCGTGTGGTAGCCGTCGTTGAAGCAGAACCGGTTGCTCTGCGGGAGGATGGGGGTCAGTTTTTCTTTCTCTTTTTTCTTTTTGGTTCGTTCGAGGAGGGAGGGGAGGACTCTTACCGGGACGTCGATCAGCGTGATGCTGGAGCGGAAATCCGAGTCCGGCTCCTGCTCGTCCACGAGCGCGTGTTGCCCCCAGTTCCCGATCATCAGACCCAGCCGCAGAATGGTGAAGGGCAGGACGAGCACGAACGTCCCCGCGCGCGGGTTGACGCGCACCGTCATGAACGCGATGAAGGCGTAGTTCGCCAGCTCCGACACCAGGCATCGTAACGCCAACCCGGGCTTGTTCTTGCGGAGGAAGTACACCGGCAGATCGTACCAGATCAGGAAGAGAAACCTGCCGACGTAGTGCGCGAAGCCCAGGATCGAATCTCGCTGGTAGCGCACCGTCGAGCTGAGGTCATCCGGGCCGTTGCCCTCGACGTGGTGGTGCTTGACGTGGTGGTAGTAGTACGAGTCCCAGGTGTGGCCGATCAGCGGCTCGAAGATGTACGGGAAGACGAAATCCACGAGGGACCAGGGGAGCGCTTTGGAGAGGACGCCGTTGTTGTGGATGTGGTTGTGCAGCATCAGCGTGAAGGGTCCCACACACCAGAAGGAGAAGGCGAGATGAGCGATGCCGTGCAGGTAGGTGAAGTGCCGGAAGAGCAGGATGGCGCTGGGCAGGTTGATAAATGTGTACATCAGGATGTTGGTCAGAAATACCACGTCCGTTGGGTGCCGGACGACGGTCATGGCGAAGCGGGTGTAGGGTCGGATTAGCCACTGTTTGATGGGTTCGGGGATGTCTTTGTCGTCGCAGAAGGTGAAGACCTGGATGAGATGGTTAGTGAATTATTTTCAGATTTGAGTGTTCATTTCTCTGGAAGCATGGTACCGTCGGGGTGAAGTCTGGATGTGAAGGATCATTGAACGCCTTGAGACGTGAGATATCTGCTTCATCTTGCTCGGAGATTTCCTCTTCAGGATGTCTTGCTGGATCTGACGATTTATCTGTTGAGGCGACGCCGCCAGCGGTGCTCGACTTCTTGACATCGTCCAAAAGATTCTTGAGCACGATCGTATCCGGTTCCGTCAGGAACGGGTCCATGGTGATTGTCGCCATGATTTCAGACACAAGATACAAAAGGTTTCCCAATGTATCGAAGATGGCTGAGGTGTATGATAAGGTGCTCCTTTCGATGGCAAATTGTCCCAAGAAACCCTGCGAGGGGCCAAAATAAAGTTGGGTGTACAGGGTCTTTCCTCGCTTCGTGCCGTTCCCACGTGGCTGAGGCGACTCAACGATCGTCAGGGGGCGATCGATGTGATTATCTAATCCCGTTCCTCGACAGGTGAAGATGTCGAACATTGATTCATCTCAACCCTCTGACTATCAATTGTGCACCATTATAGTGATGATTCAGATACTAAATATTCAACATTACTGCCGTAACGTACCCATGCTCTTGTTAACAGGGCTATGTATCGTGCCGCTGAAGATGATTCATGGGAGCAATCACGATTTCACGTCGGCCGGTCTATCTTAAGTGCACGCTGATAAACAGGAAATCTTCTCATTGCCTACGAGATCTAAGCTCAAGTACTCAAAGGACAAGGTGGCTCATACTTTCACCATCCTCTCAAGAAACTCCACAACAGTAGTCTTGGTCGCATACACATCTTGGATCTCCTTGCTGCTGGTCTCAACCTTTCACTTGCCATCCCACAGCGCTACCGGTGCGGATGTCACCGACATGATCAAATTATTGGAATATGGCAACGCTTCAGCCATCTCCTCGATCATCGCGATGTCCTTGAATACGACGTTCGCCGGATCTACCTTTTCACCAATGTACCCTTCGACCAGAGATACGACATCATCGCCTGTGATATCGACGGGCCCGTTGAGAACGTACTTCTTGCCATTATGAGGCGATACGTCATTCAGCGCCAGCAAGTGTGCAGCGGTCACACCGACCTCCACAGGATCGATACATCCCATTGGCGTCTTTGCATCGACGATCATGGCCATCTCGGGTTGCTTTCCCGTATGGTGGAACTCCTTGATGAAATGGGCTGGACCGCCCAGGAACATGGGGTAATAAATGTTGGGATGTAGCGAGGTGTACTGCAGCTTCTCGAACTCGGGCTGACTGAGCAAATTTTCCAAAGCCCAATGCGTGCGCGAATGATGAGCAAAGGCATCGGCATGCATATTGGCATCGGTGGTAGCAACCCGTACAAGGTACTCTACCCCGGCTAGCAGCATTTCCACGTAGAATTGGCTCTCTTCGGCGAATTGAGTAGGCATGACGTGCCCGGCGAAGAAGACACGGACGACTTCGTTCTCGCACAGCCATGCGGCATTGATGTCGGTCCAGTTCTTCTCGGCGATCTCAAAGCCGGAGAGTTCGTTGACCAGTTTTTGGGATGAGACGCTGTTGACATCACGAGTCAAGGCGAGGATGCGATGTCCGGAAAACTTTTCAGAATTCTTGATCAAAGTTGGAAGGGTCTCAAGAACACCTCGGCCTGTATTGCCAGTCGCGCCAACAATGAGAAAAGTGCGTGCCATAGTGAATGATGAGATTTAAAATGTTTGCTTCTTTGCTCAGAAGCCACACCTGGGTGTTGGATTGTTCTCATCGATAGCCATTACGCTCCTGCTCGCCTGCATATACACCTACGTATTGGCAACCTGCGGATCGCGCAAGACTGAAAGACTGATTCATCATCAAGATATGATGACGGATCAGTTGGAGTTATCTGAAGGGTGACTACTTCGCTTTTGAGTTGCGATCAAGGATATTTTGTCATCACGTTCGTGAGAATTTGCGGACGAGACAACTGGGAGCGTCCATTTCCATTGAAGCTGACCGATTGGACGGGAGTGACGCGGGCGAAAAAACTGTTTGCGGATGAGATCAAATATACCATCCGCACTTTACACTTGTCACTGAACCCGCATAAAGCCAGCGAAACGTGAAGCCTTATTGTACCATCTGCTTTGTCCACTCGTCGCAAACGACAGACAATGTGTCGGTATTATACCGTGCGCCCTTACGTCTGGTCCATTCGCGGTGGTCTTGTTGAAGTCGACTCAACGATACAGTCGGCCTATTGTGAAGCATTTGAACTCTGCTCTTCGGGAGCTGGTCGAATCGTATATGGCAGAGCGATGACTAAACTGACACTCGTCTTACTGATGACCAGCCTAGCAGTGGCCAGCTTTTGCAGGGGAGACAGAATATCGGCCCCTCAAGTCGTTTCTATTGAATGCCCGTCTAATATGGCTAATCTTTATACCTGTACACGATGGGCGGTTTGTAGGATTTACATATCTACGCTCTCTGTAACCACGCCGAATTGACACCGGTCTGATACGGTCCCACTGCATTTCAGATGCCTCATACCGCGCCATCCGAATGTCATGGATCATGTTGAGACCACGGCTCACCAAGGGGCCTCTGATGAGGGGTGGCATGCGCGAAAGTCCCATGCAAGCTGAAGCTCCCAAATGTCTACTTATTATCTTAGCAATATGCAACATTTTGCCTCACGCGATACCGGCAATGAAAATTCTCAAGAAAACTAATCGGACGTCGCACCAACATTGTTTCATTCTCTAGGTTCTGGTGTACTAATGTTGTACGACGATGAGACTTCTCAATGTCAAATCCTTCAAACTCGAGGAATTCCAAGACGATGTGCCAAAATATGCAATCGGATCGCATCGCTGGAGTTTCGACGAGGCGCTCTTCAGTGACGTCCGGCTCGCGCGAAATACAGAAGGTGACGGCTACAAGAAACTGGTTGCCTTTGCCGATTATATGAAACAAAATTTGCCCGCTGTAGAATGGCTATGGATCGACACATGCTGCATAAATCATCAAGATCCTACGGAAGTCACCCAGAACCTTGATTTCATGTTCAAATGGTTCCGGAACGCTGAGGTTTGTCTGGCATATCTCGCCGACGTGGAAGTCGCCACCGATATGGACCAATTCAGACAGAGTGTATGGTTTACAAGATGTTGGACTCTGCAGGACCTGCTTGCACCACGGATTGTAGTATTTCTCTCGGCTTCATGGGAAGTGATTGGGAATAAAGGGATGACCAGTCAGGCACACTGGCTCAGCCGACCTACCGCATCTTTCGGCACTGGGCTTGAGAAGGAGATCGTGGAACTCACATCAGTGCCAGAGCAAGTCTTACACAATTACGAGACGAGTTATGATTTATCAGTCGACGTGAAAATGAGTTGGATGAACGGAAGGGCGTCAACGCGAGAAGAGGACACGTGGTATGCGTTATGCGGTATATTGGACGCTGTCATTGGTACAAGATATGGCGAAGGGCATGCCAGAGCAAAACGGCGTCTGCTAGACGCTGTAAATTGGAGGCGAGGTCCTAATATCATTTATTCAGATCTGGACGTCGCACGCTCGCAGATTCGACTTCTTGAAATACTCCGCGCTGGAGAAGAGGACTCAACGATCACCTGCTCGCTTTTCCCGGTCAGTATTCAGAACCCGACCAAATATGTAGCGCTTTCCTACACATGGGGAGATTCAAGAGCTACAATTCCGATCACGATACTTCACTCTCAGACTGAGTCACAGCCAGGGATTTCACTACCGATCACATACACTCTGGAGGCCGCACTGCGGGAGTTGTACCGGCAGGGCATCAGATACGTTTGGGCCGACATGATTTGCATCAATCAAAAGGACTTCCAGGAGCGAAGCAATCAAGTGTCGCTCATGAGCCAGATCTACGCAAAGGCCACGAAAGTCGTTGCGTGGCTCGGTGCCCCTGATGATGCTTCCCGAATGGTCATGGCTGCCGTCGCATCATCAGAGCTGCAACGGACACCGACGGGGGATGATGACGGTATTCCGACTCCGAAGGTTGTGGAAGCTTTCCAGGCCTTCCTGAGTCGTCCCTATTTCAGCAGGATATGGATCATTCAGGAGGTAGCTAAAGCCAAAAGCGTTGAGCTCTGGTGCGGTCACGATTCTGTGGATTTCGAAGACTTCGTCAGCTTCCTGGCATTGCAGAACGTCATGGCAATGATAAAAGACCCGGATAATCAGGCGTCGCATCTCCAGACTGTTCAGAGCTTCCGCGAGCGTGAGTTTCGCAGCAAACGAGGCCTCCCGAGGATGCTGCTTTCGCATGCGCTCGTGGAGAGTTGGTCTTCGAAATCTACAGATCCCCGAGACAAGATATATGCATTGCTCGGGCTCACACTAGACGGCGGAGACATCATAGACTATCCAAGCTATACCAAAAGCGTCGGCGAGGTCTTTAGGTCAGCCATGACGTCCATGATCGCGGAGCAAGGACACACGGCACTCATCCTTCTCGCGAGAGGATCGTCGGGTTCACAATATGCGTCCAGCTGGATGATCGATCCCAACCGGCGACCACCTTTACCGCCTTGGGTTCTTGAAAGTCTACGACGGAAGCGCGATTCATACGACTATACTGTTAGCATTTCTCAAGAAAGATTGTTCATTTTGGGTTGCTACTTGGACACGGTCGAAGACATAACGCAGGATAGCTTCGAGAAGCGGAAACATGAGCAATCTGCCGAGAAAAAATCTCAAAGGCTGACAATGCGAGACTGGGCCGCGAAGTTCGAATGCGAGCCGTCGCTGGGTCCCATTCATGCGCTCCTCACTGATAGCACGCGCGGCACTTCGGAGTTGGATCAGATTGAAGCACAGCTCATAGCGTTGGAACGAGGCGTCCGAATTGCCGCAAAGTATTCCATGAGACTCATGAATCTCCGACACCGAGGGTTCCGCATGGTGCATCAGGATGCCCAACACGGGGATCAAATCTTCAGGCTCGAGAATTGCCCCTTGCCGGTGGTGCTTCGGCCGCTCTCAAACCATCATTACAGACTTGTTGGTGAGGTCTACGTGGATGTCAGAGAAGACGAATGGTGGAAGACTGTATGGGAGGACTTCCATACGGACGAGCCGGATTCGCACTTCTTGACGATTTCGATCGACTAGTCTACTTCAGCTCCCATGTCTTCTTCTACATTCCCTCAAAGTCCTAGCGCCGTGCTGATACCCTGTGTCAAATTGGCCAATACCTCAGTGCCGCCGACGGTGACCTCGAAAAGATTTAGATAGCTGTCGGTAACGAGGGCTGATGGAATGTGTTAGTGATCGCGAGGCGATTGTATGGCTTGGGCGATACGAAAACTCACAAACACCCTCAGCGACCTTATCAGGATTCGCTGCATAGAGTTCCAGAATGTAATTGCCCAGAGATAATAAAGTAATCGGTTCCGGGCTGGGTCGCCATCCGAGCGCAAATGGCAACTTCTCATCCACGAAGAGACTCTTGATGTAGGAGATGGGAGCCGAAGCCTTGGATGGGGAAGACAAAGATTGGACGTAGAGTCCGGTTTCGCCGGAGCTCAGGACAAATTCTCGCAGGCCGTACACTGCCTCGGGGTTGTGCTTCAAGCTGTCATTGACCCGAGCATAACGAGCTCTAGTGCAGGATCTGCGGTCAGCGATGATGCACAGCAAAGGGCAAAGGCAATGCCTGCTTACTCGGATGCTGTCAGGGTGGTGGTAGCAGGGAGTCCGTGGAATTTTGACAGAAATTGATCAAAGTAGGTCTGGTTGAATGAATAGTCGTTCCCAAAGTAGGCGTCAGCCCGGGAGAGGCTTCCATCGTGCTCCTGCAATCCTCCCGTTAATTTCACGATACCGGTAATGATACCCTGTAGGTTGAGTACATACGATCGGAAAATTGTGTTGGTCCAAATGGTTGAGGTCGAACTGCCCACCGAGCGGGTTCGGTGAAGACAACAAACCTACAGCGCCGATGACCGTAGTGAAATCTGCTCCAATATTGAGGCCCGCAGCCAGACCTTTGAGCAGGTGCGGCAGGGTTAGGTTTTTGCCGCTGTGGTTGATGAATCTTGAAAGGCTTCTGTCAGACGACCTGTGCGTCGTTGGTAATGATTTTGCTTACCCATGGTTGGCAAGCGTGTTTAAACCAGGGCAGGGACTCCGGACTATGGGTCTATCAGACTTCGATTCCAGCGAACAACATTTCCAAGGTGTTCAAATGTACCATCGTGAGGACCAGGTGCGGTCCACGTGGTGAATCGTGGGTCATTGGCGGGCGCTGGCCCAAGGCTCTTCAGAAGACCTTCAATATCCAGATCCAAGCCCAAGAGCTGCGCAGAGGCACCCGAAAGCAGACCATTGATGGCGATAGCGGTGACGAAGACGTTCTTCATCGTTGTTTGATGCCGGGGCGAGTGCGCTCTGTGTATTTGCAGAGGCGATCGCGTCGCAAATACTGTCTAGCGAGATACAATGGAAATCGCCACGACATTCCACTACATATACATCTTGGTCTTCTAGCCATATCTCCGGAGAAGCTAGAGAACGCCATGACGGTGTGGCCAAACCCATGATGCTCTGAGATGACTAATAACTTGTTCGTCATTTGAGGCGTATTGTGATATTCTTGTGTGAACATCACTACTCTGTGCCTCAGGCAGACTATCAACTGAGTCGGCCTTAGGCTGAGATCCAATAGGTACTAGTAGCTAGATAATGCTAATATCGGGTCTATATATAAATGGTATCGCCGGATATTCATGTATCGCACTCAATTTCTCGCCCATTGTAGGAGCTCTCATTTTGAGATAAATGGTATTAAAATTAAGTCCTTACGGCTTATTACTGAACAAGGGAGGTCATAACACCAGATTGTAATTCAGTCCTGTCTGGACCATCTTCTGGGTTAATAAAAAAGTTATGAAGGCTTACGCATGCCGTGAAAAAGAGCAGAATATCACACCGTTGTGCACTCGCAGTAGTCTGAACAGTCGGAGCCAGGAGCACTGAGCGTACACTAATATGTCCGAGATACTCTGCGTACTCCAAGATCTCCTGCGTTGACGCATCGTCATGTCTGGCGCTTCGAATCGCACATGGAAATGATGCAATCACGGTGTCCTTCAACTGAGTACGTCGCACGATCTTTTCTCTACGCATATAATAGCCATGGAAGTGGAAAACTTGGACGTCTGCTTGATATAGGCAATTTCGAACTCGCCAATACGATGTTGTCCAACGGGACAGAGGATATAAGAAGAATGAATACTGTGCAGCCCGACTAGAAGAGTCATATGCCGTAAGGCTTTCATTAATCAGTGTATGGAGTGGTTCGATGTAGGGACAAGATCGTTCTCGGCCGGAATCTCGCAGTTCAAAATTAACTAGCCCACGACTGACGTGTTACATCCGTCAACTTCTACAAGTATTGTCCGAGACTAGCCGCTGCTCTTGTCCTCGTCCGAGGTCGCGCGGCGCTAAAGAAGTTACATTCAATAGGCATATAGTGCCAAATCGACATGCTGATGACGCCCTCCCGCTGGCATTACACCACATCTTGCCTTCCGATCCGACCTTGCCACCGCCTCCGAGCCGATCGATGGATCTTTGAATCTTGACGAGAGTGTGAAATTGGGAAGTCTAGTGGAGTTGTAGGTGCTTAAGGTGAAGTTGGTGCTCAATATGGAGTTGGTGCTCAATGTGGAGTCAGTGCTCAATGTGGAGTTCTCTATAGGGGGTGTAGAGTTTGATAATGACGTTGAGTTGGCAGCGACGTACAGAGTTGTATTGAACACTACGGGACCGGTGATCTCGCTAGCCGAGAGGATTTCAAGGCAAGTAGTATTCGACTATGACTTTAATGCAGACTGAACGGTGCCGAAAGTCCAATCATTGGTAGCAATAAACCCGAAGATGTAGTCCGCCGTCTGGTCAGTATAACATTATTGCACAGCTGCTTGCATTGCGAGGACTCTATCAAGGCTGGCTTTGAGTGCCCTAAGAGCGGAGCTTCCAATTACTTGGTTCTATAGACCTTCTCCAATATGGAGTCCGAAGTTGGTCGTACCTAGGGAGCTAAGAACAGTAGCTGGACCCTTGATAGGTGCCAAACCGTTAGCGAGGTAGCCTTGTCTTCAAGTAACGACGGTCTTCGCGGCAGGTCCGACGGGCGATCCCTTCGTATCAGACCAGAATCCGATACTCTTCATCTGTAGCCTCGATTGATTCTCTAATGCGGATACGAGGGACTTGTACCTTCCGCGTTAAGCAGCCTTGGGTCTGTTGATCTTGGCATCTTGCGCGCCATTCTCTCTAGTCAAGCTCAGATCGTCGAAAAAGCGCATGCACGTGGCCGAGCACGTCGCAGTGACTGGCGCAAGTCACACGTGCGCAGCCCTCGCTTAATAACTTTGCAAGTTGGCCTGTCAGATTAGCAATAGGAAGCAGCAAGAGTCACATCATACGGCGCGGCGGGGAGACACCCCTGATGCGGTGGGAGACTTGATACATTATCATGCTTGCGAATCGGGATGGAAATGCTCCAGGCCACGGACGAAGCTGTTCAAGAAAGCAGAAATGGCAATCACATGTCGTGCAGAGATGAACTGTCGCTCAGATATATATGAAACCCAAAAGGGTGACAGCCACCCAAAGAACGATCCAATTGTTTCGCAGGCTGGTCGCCGCAGAGGGCCTCGTTGACGACGGGGGAGCGCACGTAGTAGCAGTAGCCTGACACGCAGAGTACGAGACGGCGGCTGACGCACTCATGGAAGCCGCTGCGTTGATCGTGACTGCACAGGGACTCCCGGTCACCTTCGGCGGTGCTCCGAGCGCAGCACAAGACGGCGATACCTCGGGGTCGATGCCACGAGGGACTGACTGAATTGCGGTGACGTTGAAGGCGATGTTTTCTACATCGCGGCATGAGTCTGGCGAAATGGCCGTTTCGAAATTGAGCGTCGGCGCAGATTCGTTGGTTCGGAAATATGCCCAGCGAGTCTCGGAGGAGACGGAAAATTGAAGCAGCGCGTTTTCGTCGTTCAGTTCGGAGCAGTTCCTCAGAGACACCTGCCATTGGAATATCCAATCTCCTTGGATACCAGCGAGGGCGTTAGAGAAACCAGTGGCGAGATAGAGGCCGGGAGTCGTCGAGTTGAGCTCAATAGTAGCAGCGCCAGTACTGATACTATCGAGGGTCGCGTTGTCGCGCTGTGCAAGCCTCCAACGAATCAATTGTCTCTGAACTAGATCCCCTAGTTGAGGTTGCTGTACCGCGAAGACAATGGGCATGAGATTTGTCGGCTTCCATGTTCCGTTTCGGGGGAACATCAAGTCCAGTTCGAGGGTTCCTGAGCGAGTGGCGGTGACATTTGCTGCGACGCACGCGAGCCAAAGAAGTACATAGCTGACGATGGCCATGACCCGAGCAAATGCTTGACAGACAGCGCGGCAAGAGGATTCGTCAGGTTGCAATGGTCCGACCAGAGCGAATAGCGAGAGTTAAAAAGTGCTGAAAGCTTACGCCATTTACAATATTCGTGACGGAGTCAGATGCAGTCGCCGGTGCTTCCTCAAGGGGAAGATCTGAGGAGGCTTGGCCAAAGGATTGCATGTGTTTGCATGTAGACGCGGAAATTAGAGCCCCTGCGTTCTAATCGGTCGGGGTCGAACACCGAGGATCCATGGACCTGCGTCCAGCTTCGTTCAAGCGGGACACGCGGGAGCGGCATGTAAAAAGAGGGGGATAGGGCGATGAGCTAACGTGACTCGGGTGATAGTGAGTCGACCTATGGCAACATTGCTGTTTCCTGAAATCCCGATATACTGTATGCATGCGCTGTGCCGCGACCTGTCACAGCACTAGATCCTTCGTCTGCTTCGGTCCGTGTTCAAGTGTCGTTATATTTAGTGGATTGGTGCAACTTGACGGACGGAAATGGATTATGGCGGGCGGGCCTTCTTATTACAGGCGATCGGCTAAGACCCCCGAATAGTGCCAAGCGTTGCCAAGCACCGCTCCAACTTTCGTTGATCTGCAGCCGCTCCGAAGTCACTTCAGGCCGTGCTCGTCCCCACCACTAGAACCGGCGGGTTTGGGCACGCGGCAGGATGGATGGATGGATGGGTGGATGAGGTGTGCATGGTGGTGTAGGGTGAAGATCTTCTGACACGCTTCTGGGTTCAATGCATCCAAGATCTGTGGTATGGCCAGCAAAGCATGCGGATGCGAATCAAGCGAATCAAGCGATGAGGTTTGCCCCTCACGCCATTTCGCTTGACGCGCTAGTAAGGCTGGTGGTATATCATGGGTGATGAATGCAGCTCAGCCTGCAGCCCGATGCGACAACACTGGACGACTCGGCCACCTTGCGAGAGCGACGCGCGCCATCACATCTGACATTGCGCATTGCGCATGAATGCAACCACACCCCAATGCCCGGCGAAAATCTCAAACTTCGGCTATGAGAGGTGTCGCGTCATTACAGCTTCGACGGAATCACGATGAGGAGGCGTCATGTAGTCCATACGATGTTGGCGGCACAACGAGGGGTAGAGTTGACGTTACAAACACACTGCTCCTAATGCTGATGATGATTGCGAAATCTTCAGTGGCCATTGGGATCTGACTGTGCGACGCCTGATCGAGTTGAAACCTAGTATCGCAGGGCCCAACCTCGACACTGACTAGCCTTGGTGTGTTGCTGGCAAGGTCTCCTCTGCTACGACCACTTCAAGCACCAAGGCATCCCAGCCCACAACGCTGTCCGCCCTCAGAACGACGGCTGCGTAGAGGCCAATGATACCGATCACGGTACGCTGTAACTCCGTCCATGTGAGATGATATCTTGCACACCATCCCGAAGCGGAGACGACGCATGCGGAGCAAGCCTCAATGTTCTCCCTTTTGGAGAATTTTGACTTCGGTATGTCGTACATACCGTAGAGTTTTATGGGCCCGTCACCAAGGCGAAAGCACAAGGTGCGACCTTGTGCTCAATCTGGAACATCATCTCACGGCCCGGGCCCAGTCGGGCAGTGGCGACGCGTCTTGAGAAATGTTGACCTTTGAAGTAGGTCACAGCGTTGCTATATTTGATGCCGTACAACGGAAGCTTTCGCCAGGATCGTCTCGCCGCGCAAGAGGAGCGTGAGTGCGGTTTTGAGGCAAACCTCCTCTCGGCTAACGATTCTCGGTATCACGCGGTCCACTTTCTTATGATCATGATCTGGACTGAGACTTTCCCTCGGAATTTCTGGCAACAACAACTTACGCTTCCGAGGACCTTTTGTGGATTCTCACGACACAAACTTGTTCGGCAGCACATCATTATCATACGTGAGGAACAGACATGTTTTTTTCATTTCAGGATCACAGACACCACGAGAGGGCAAGCTACATTTTGATCTTATGCGCATCCCACATGTGCCGTCGAAGATCATCTGTTCGGGTCGTTCCCTTGTCATGGCGTTGTGAGTAGGCTCTCGATTTGCATGATGGTTCCCAGCAAAACATTCTCTCCCCTCCATGCATGCTTGCAGTGTGTCGCGTAAGATCTTTCCGTAGCGGGAAACGCTTCCCACAACCCGCGATAAGACATGCATGAGGTCGGTCATGGTATCTTTGGTGATCCCTTCCATGGGTCAGCATGGTACGCGAAGTTGACTCACCAGTGTTCACTTACTTCAATTTCCCAGCAAGCCGGAATGTCTTTGAGCAACGTGCGCACGTGTAAGCATTGGCAATCTGCGGCGTTTCGTTCCTGCTGCCAGGTCCTTGTTCTTGTTCATGTGTTCCTTCGGAAAGATCTGCTTGTTCCGCAGTATGGAAAGAAAGTGATGGTCCGTCGAGGCCAGTGTCGTCGTTGTTGGGATGCTGTGGAGGTGATTGTGTTGTTATACGAGATTGTCGAGCGACATCCTGTCCGGCAGTGATGGGCTGTTTGGGTATTCGACGATGATCGAATACAGGGAGAGGACCAGCTGAGGTCGTGTTATCGAGCCAGGAGGGATCGCAAAAGGGCAGTTCAGTCGCGATAGAGTAGGTGGAATTAGTTGCCCTCGGATCCGCTAGCTGTTCTCGAGAAATCGGCCGGGCTTCGCTGGAGTATCACTTGCTTTGAAAGCCCAGGACGGCCAGAAACAAGATGTCGACAAATGGAAACAACACAATGCCAAAGTCAAGCAAGAACGATGATTAGAAAATGAGCGACGGGGTGAGGAGCGCGCACGCTGCCTGCAGAACCAAAAAACACGGTCCAGCGGTCGTTCAAATATCTTTATATATGTTCGTCGACAGCGCTTTCGACAGAGCACTGTTGGCTCCGAGGATGATCGCTGACGACAGCTAGGCCTCAAAATATGCAGGTCTGGGCTGCGGCGCAGGTGGGGAACCCTTGAATCTGTCTCTCGCAGATGCCGCGGTGAGAGCTTCTGCAGTACAACAGCTCATCCTCGCCGCAATAACCCTCTAGGCCTCAATTTCGTCGCTTCTCATTGGTTTTCAAGATAGAAGTTGTGCTCAGCTCATTTCATCAACAACCTCTAGGCCTCAATTTCGTCGCCTCTCATTGGTCTTCAAGATCCGACGTGCGCTTGATCTGGCACCCTCACCCGGAGATATCGCGCATCGATGCTCAACTCACTCATGTCGATAACGCATGCGTCCGAATAGGTGCTGTCCAGAATGGACCGCTGCGCCATGGAAGGGTGCGAACGCACAGGTTACTGAAGGAAAGCCATGTGCAGGGACATCAGCAACCCTCATGTCGGGAAGTCATTCAAGTCGCCGCTGGCGGAGAATGTGGATTTCATAACCTCAAAGGATATGCAGGACTCGTATCATGGGCTACTCCGACAATCAGGGGGGTCTTGATCCGAGATAAATATCGCGTTCAATCCCTCTGATTTGCAACGACGAAGGCGAATACCTCTCCCGATATTCTCCTTTGCCTATCAAAGATGGCGACAAAGATTGCAATTGAGATCAGCCTTTCGTCCTTGATGCCAACAGCGCCGCATGAGGATGCAAAGATCACTGACGTGAAGCACCTCGCGTCGTACAATTGGATTGAAGCTCTCCATCCCACGATCGCGGTCCCAGGAATGCCTCCGCGATGGCTTGATGTATCATTACCCAAACAGCTACCGAAAGACACTGGGCTATTCTACATCGCCCAGAATGCCGCTCGGCACCCAAAATACCCGATGGAGCCGCTTTTTCGTGCCATTCAGGAAGAACATCCGAACTTCAATTACGGAGATGTCGGCATCATCAGCGATCGAAACAACCTCCGCAAGCTGTTATCCTTTGTTGATCCCGCAACCAACAAACACGCTTCTGATGACTTCACGATCGACGCTGAATGCATCGGCGATGCCGTTGTTCTCAACAGAGTTGAGGCTCACACCCAAGAAATTATTGGGCCGAACGACTTCCGTGGTTATGGCCACGAATTCGAAAAAGCATACACGAAGTGTGAGATCAGCGAGAGTACTGGTCACTACAGAGTGGTCGGCTACCAATTTTTTGGAGTGAATTATCTTGTCAGACACGCGACTGATGGATTTGTCGGGGCGCACGGCGGGTCGGATGTCGATGACAGCGACATATTGGATAAGCTCGTAGGTCTCTCCATCGCTGCATCGAAGAGTTGCAAAACATCCGGCTCAGATCTCATCCTTGTCAAGCGCGGTAAATTGGTACCGATCGGGAACACCCTCGAGGTCAAGACTAGGGTCTCCCACAAACCCCTCTCGCTGCAAGAAGTTGTACCTCAGCTATGGATATCCCAGACTCCTCTCTTGGTTCGTGCACTCTACACGAAGGGTCGTTTTCCAGTGCCAAACGTGGAGAATGTCAAGGCAGAGATTACGATGTGGGAAATTACTCATCAATCCAGTCTTCAGAAGCTGGCGAGATTGATGTCAAGAATCATAGATGCCGTCAAGGACTTCAAGCATGCAAAGATAGAGTATAGTGCTGCACAAAAATTGCTGACCATACGACCAGTTGATGCCGTTGACATGCTGCCAGAGGACTTATATCCCATCTTGATGGCTCCACCACCTTCTTCGATCTCGCCTGAGGAGCCCGCAAAATCTCCGACTTTGCGTGAAGAGGTAAACACTGACCGAATGTGCATCCTCTATACACATGCTGACATTTCTTTTAGACGAGTGTTCTCGCTCAAAGTGGCACAGAAGTCCGGATTGGCAGCGACACCTTTCGAGTGAACATGGCCAAGTTCCCAGCTCTTCCGTCTTTTGCGCTTTCCGGGCACGATTTATCGTCCTCCGAAACAAAGCTCTACCGTTCGATTCCATATTTCGACGTGTTGCTGAAAGGCGTGGACCTTGGCTTTCGGCAATGCTTTCGCAGCCTCGGAACAAATATATTTTCCTACCAAGCACTTTGTAAGACCATCGATGAGCTTGGCGTTGATGTCCTGGAAAATCAAACCCTGAACGATATCACGACGAATTTGAAAGCTGGAAAATCCGACGATTACGAGGACACGACCGGCAACAAGAGGCTTGCAAGAGACTCGGCCTTCCGGTTGGTGTACTATGTGCTCACCGACCGATTCACCCCCGACTCGACGCTCGAGAAGAACAAGATCTACAACGCGGTCCAATTCGTCATTTCGCATTACCGAACCTTCGGGTACAAGATCAGACACATTACTCGCGCGGCATTCGACCTCAAGATCCCGGTCTCCTTCAAGCAGCGGGCGACCCTGGACAAGTGGTCGAAGGACAGTGACCAGGACGAAGATGATGCCACGACTGAATCGGACTCGCCGTACAACTCCGGTTATTATGACTTCGATTCTGACTCGAGCTGAGTCATCTATCAGACACCTTGCAGATGTGGCGGCTGTGGAGAAATGTACGGGTCCTTGGATTGTTTTCCGGCCAGGAACCAAACTGCCACGTGGGTCTCAGCTACCTGATCGGTGGTGGTTCTTCAGAGTTCGTGTTCCTTTTGATTTCTGGCACGCCTATAGCACACGAAATAAGCAGGTCTCACGGTCACAACCCGTAACCCTTGATTTCTTCAGATCGTCCCGTGATTGTTCCTTCCCCGTAGTAGCTTCGAGCAAGTCTCAACGCGATGTTGATGAAATGGATCTCGTAACGCCTCCCTCGGCGACGATCTCGCATAGGCGTCATGGTTGGTACATGCATAGACGGGACCGCTTCTTCACAATGGAAGAAAGGCGAATTCGATTTCATTCCCGTCTTGATTAGATCGAATAGCTCCTCTATAAAAAAACATTGCTCTGGCTCAAGAAGCTCCCCTTCTTCGAGCCTGTGCCACAGAGTAAGTTACAGAAATCGCTCATTCATCGCAGAGTCGTAAGGGTGTTTCCCGTAATTTTTCGGATCGGTTTCAACCTGCAGGCCGATCTAGAAGTTCGTTCGGACTCGTCGTTTTCTTTTGTTCAAAGGCAGACCGCGTTTTTGATCAAGTTGGTCTCTTGTCACAAAGAGAGATTGGCGCGGAATCTATGAGCAAGCCTTTGCATGCTCTGTCTGCACACCTGATTCATACAGGAGCAATTTATAGTACGAAGTCAACCGCATCTCCAACAAAAGGTCGGGTGTTTACTTCGCCGCGGTAGCCTTGTTGACCTGGTCCTTGAGTTCCGTAGAAGTGTTCTGTCCAGCTTCGAGATCCGCGGCCCAGAGGGCGGCACCGCAGGTGTTGGTGAAGGCGAAGAAGATGCCGGCAATCGGGATCGTCTCGAGGAGGACGGCGGGCACACCGAAGCTGTCATTGGAATGGTCAGCTATTCGCATTGATGGGAGTTTCATGTTTGGAAGCGCACTCACCCAGTGTATGCACCCTGGCGCTGCTCGATCCATTTCTCCTGTTGGGCGCGAGACATGCCCTTGAGCTGGAAGTATCGTCCATGCGCGTGGGGGCCGTACTTCTTGCCCTGAAGGACCATGAAGATGAAAGTACCGACTACCGGGATCAGGTTGAGCGGCAGGTACATGAAGTACCGGATAATCGCCTGAGGCGTGAATTTGGCAAAGGGCTTGCCAGCCAACTTGCCGAGGCGGGAGATTGCATCGCCGGCCTTGTTGGAGTCGACTTGGCGCTCGCGAGCGACCAAGGTCTGCTGGCCGCGGGCGACGAGGGTGCCGTCAAAGGTGTCAATCAGGCTGTCCTCGATCAAGAGCGCTTTCGAGAGCACCATTGTGAGGGTGCTGCTTTCGCTGAGGACCAGGAGTGCGGTCGTCACGGCGGCCAATGGGCCGGATGTGAAGAAGCAGATTGCCAGTTGCGGCAGATAGGTGAAGAAAAACATGAAAGAAGTGACGCCGACACCGAGGGTCAGCGTCGACGCGAGTCGTTTCGCGAAAGGCTTCCATAGCGCCTTGTGGGTCGCAAAAAAGAGAATTCCCTGTTGTTCATGTCAGCGACGCGTTTCTCTGACGGGTGATGGATCTTGCGCGATACGCACTCTGAAGGGATACACATATGCTCCAGATTTGACACCCTCGGTGGTTGCAATTTTGAGGTTCTCAAGCTCATGCTTGGCGGTCTCTTTGATTCTGTCCGCCATGTCGTTGTTGTGATGATCGTATAATGTTTTCAAGCTGTGTCTGGATTGTGTTACTTGGAGCGACTGAGAGATTAGGTCGTGTGAGAGTAATGCGGATTGTGGTTCTCTTTTGTAATTCTCCGTCATGTTAAACGAATTGCTTTCCAAACATTGTGACCTACGTCATCGGCACATGGAAATCCTGGCACACAAGCGCGCCCGAGGAATTATTGTTGTCGCGTTATAGTATACTGTAGTCGATCTCAATGCAACGAAAGTCGATGTATGAGCCCAAGATCGTGCGAATAAGATCGTGCATCGTACATGTTGACAATGGCCCGCACGCCAGGAGTGAATACAGATCACAATATAGATAAAATTGAATTTTGGGTCGGGGGAATGCTTAATTATGCACGCTGAAGAGAGTATCTACACAGTTTCGCTTGAAGAAAAATGTAACGAGATGATGGGTTGTGGTCGATGAGAAGAAGTTGGTGCGCAGGGCGCCAAATGACAACATCGACCTAGCAGGCCAGAGTGACCGGAATGGCAGCGATCGCGAGATCCTCGCAGAATACGTCGGTGGCGGTTTGCAAGAGAGTTTCGCCGTAACCTGCACAGGTCACGAACCTGGTCGGCGTCCCATCTGTGCGGCGGCAGACGAGTTGGCCGGTAGCACCGGGCACGCTGGCGACGGCACTGCTGGGCTGGATGGAGCAGTACGTGGTGAAAAATTGGTTCGCGGTTTTGGCAGCTTCTGTACTGGCGAGGATATAGTAGGGATCTTCGGGCCTAGAGGACCAGCTGAAGGCGCGCGTGGGGCTCAAATAGACGGCCCCGTCGCTGGACAGTGACCAAGCTGTCGGGGTACGGGTAAAAACAACATCCAAGTTGGGGTCGTCGCCATTACGTTGAGAGAATACATATAAGCCGTTGTACGCGCCGCCGACGACTTGAAAATAGTGGTAGTCCGCTGTGCAGACGGGCGGAGCGGGAGTAGCTGTGGCGACGACTGTAACAATTGGCGTCGTAGAGGTTGTGGCGGTTTCACTAGCCAAGTTGGTGACGGTGATGGCTGGGGCATCGATCTGCGTCACGGTCGAGATGACAGTGGCAGTGACGGTGATGATCGGGGTCGTAATGACTGTCCCGATCTTGGTGGTGCTCACAAATGTGTTGACAGTAGTAGATGCAAAAGCGGTCGCGGTGATAGCTGTCGTGGTCGAGGTAATCGAGGTGGCAGTGACGGTGCTGATGGTTGACGTGCGGGTGCGGGTTACGGTGCTGGTTTTCGTCATGGGCGAGACGGCAAGGAAGCATGCCGAGGTGATGATGCTACCTGGATATTTGCTCAGGACCGACGGAGTCACCAGAGGCGTAACCTGTCGCTTGGTCACGGCTACGATCGAAGCTGCTGTCGTCGTTGTGAAGATTGTAGTAGGGAAGGACAGAGTCACGGTCTCAATGGTCGTCGTCGTGGGTACGATTGTGGTCGTAGGACTGTTGATTGTGGTTGTGACGGAATTGACCTGGGTGGCGATTGTAGTCGTGGGCAAGATCACCGTAGTCGTAGTAGACAGAGTGTTGGTAATAGTTGTTGTGGATGGAACAGTGACGGTGATAGTCGCCAAGTTGGTCTGGACACCCGTAGTGCTCGTGGTGATGAGCGGAGTAGATGTCGCAACAAGTGTGGTGGTGACGATAGGAGTCGTGTAGCCGAGAATCGAAGAGCAGAACGGCTGTGCCGAGTTACTCGGTTGTCCGATCTCGCCCCGAGCCTGACTGACTAGGTAGAGCGCATTTGTGTAGCCATTGGAACCGGCGATCGCAACCTGAAACTTGTTGCGAAATTGTCCTTTGTTGGTAGCACTTGAGGCCGTGACGGATCCTGCAAATAAGGCGCATTTGATATTCGTCGTACTGCAAGGATTGGCACAGCCCGAGTTGCCGCTGCCGGGTTCCTGAGATGGATCGCGTTCAAAGTAGAGGTTGAAAGAATTACAACCTCTGGCGGCGTTACACTTGGCGGCACAGGCACTGACATCGTACGATTTCAAGAACGAAACGCCGAGATATTGGTTCCTGCAACGAGGATTGTCAGAGCCGTGAATACGAACGGTATCTCCCGGACACTTACGTGATGATGCTAGCACCCTGCAGATTTCCATATTGTTTGACGTATGCTGCCGGAGTCGAGGCTCCATTCGCAGCGCTCGAGAACGCCGGCAAGGCAAGGAACGCGGGTACGGTGTCGGGTTCAGGCTTCGAGCCTGAGCCTGCAGGCAGCTGAGCACACGCCGCTGCTCTCTGCTGAAGTGAGGCAGCATCGGTCGTCGCAGCGGCTATCAGACCGATGACGGCCTGAGCGAAAAAGGTGGAACGCATGTCGACAGGAACGGCCTTCTCGGTCTCCCGGAGATACGACAGCGACGGGGCAGATAGAAAAGGATGAACGGTTGACAGCTGCGGTAATGCAAGATGTACAACTCCATCCTAACGAGGTGCGTAAGGGGAGAAATAAGTAGTGATGATTTCAACGACATCGTAGATCCGCGCGTGGGCATACGATCCCAGTCAAGCCGCACGGAGACTTTCGCCTCCATCTGGCCTTCGTCGACATGGTCCGACCGATCAGAGCGGGCATCTTTTCCCGGCGAGATCAAAACAGTTATGTGACCAGGGAAGCACTGTGGCCTTGCAATAAGGCTGGATGCGATGATTGCTGTTGTTGTTCAAGATGGATTGGTCGGAATAGTGCGAGCCCCAGATCTAGTCTCACGTGGCGTTCGGTCATGCCCGATCAGGGCGACGCTAGTCTGCTTTTTCCAGATCCGTGAGGTGTGCGTGGCACCGCGGGTTAGGATAATAATATACGAGAGAGACAGGTGTGTGCACTACTGTCCGCACAAATTTGGTGAACTATTTGTATCATGTATGCCTCGCCGTTGCAGTGATTCGGTACTTTCCCGTCATTACTGCTGTTTTTAAAATATACGGAGAACGAAAGCAATTCCCGTCGAGGCCATCAATCAGCGCCTCCATCAACACTGTCATCGAGGAGATTATGGACTTCCTCGGCCATCGTGTCACCCTTTGCCGGCCTGATCCTCGGGCATTGGCAAGGCGGTCATAGAACAAGGGATTCTTGTCCGTGATGAGACTGTTGGCCGGTAAAGGTCCAATCTTGATTCTGCCGGCCGGTCGGGTCTGGACGCAGACGAGAGGATTTCTTCTGCATTGGTGCCGCTGACTCATCTCGTAGACCCGGACGGCTGATATCAGACGGAATTCCTCCCCGGGGCGTGCGCGTCTTATAAATATTAGCTGCTCGTGCTGCTGTATGTGTAATCATGAGAACACGCCACGAAATCAGCTCCGATCATCCTGTGTACTTTGATTTCCATACCTGGGCGGGCGACGGGCGTGCTGGGCAGTAAGGCAATTCAATAAGTCGAGGGCGCGACGTGCTGGTCCACCCATCGCTTAAATTCACCTGGACACCCGCGGTACTTGTTGTTGTTCCGTTACTCTGTGCAGGAGTTGGAAACAGGCTTTCGGGAGCACCGGGGTCTCCGTCCGCAATCAATTTACGCCTAAACCCATGAAGTGCATCCTCACGGGTAGCGCGACACTGGAAAAAATTTCAATATTCCTATTCAATGCGCCTAACAGCGAACTTGTTATCGCAGAGGAGTAGCGAGTGTCCCTCGCAATCCTTGTGATGCCGTTCACGTTATCCACAGTCATCATTGTGCAGTGATGATAGGTTTTGGCGTTCGAGGCTTGCAGTGTGAATCAAACTCAATCTGGCTTTCAACATGGAGTGAAGCGTGGTGGCTCCCTCTCCCCTTGCCCATCATCATCCGCCACTCATGCAGGTGCCGCTGTCATGGGCTGCTGCAATGGCATTGCTTGGCTCTCTCTTCCTACAACCCACAAGGTGACCGCCCTGCTTACCTCATCTTGTTTCACGTGCGAGGAGCCCGTCTCGACTCTGCCCATTTGACATGCCCTTCTCAGCGCTTCGCACCGTGTGCTCTGCTCGTTCCGTTCCTCCCAACCCGGCCAGCTGTGAGGACTTGAATTCTTTGCCCGTCAGCGGTGGCGGTGTCGGACCCTTTGATCCCGAGCGTGGAAGTAGGTGAGGCCCTAGATTCCAAACCCTGAGGAGGCAAAGGGCAGCTCGCGATCAAAGGGACTGTCTCTCTCAAAATGTCACTCTTCCAACATACTAGAAACCATGGAAAATAATGAGATCGATTCTTATGCCAATTTCTCAAGATCGGCAATAACAAGACGATAAATCATTTCGGTCGGAGGAGGTGACTACGGTTTTCTCACCGGTGTCCCTCAGGTGCACTTTCATCTAATGTATATGACGATGCTCGGACGAATGATGTGTCAACTCGCGGCCTACTGCAGATTCTGCATATTGCCACCTAGGCATGAAGTTGACTCGTGTTCAGAATTGGATCTCGGCTCTGCAGCAACTTAAACAAAGGTAGAGCCGAATTACGGTCCTATCTAAATCCGCGATCGTAATCTTTCCTCCTTTGTTGCAGCAGGGACAGACTTCGAAGGCACAGTCGTCTCGCCCGTCAGCTCTGCGGTCCTGTTACTGACTCTAGCCGCTAGCTCCTGGTGGATCTTACCAAGGACAGCGAGGACTTGCTGCCTGATGCCCGCGTCGATGCCCGCGATGTCCGCGGCCAAGCTCTTCACCAAGCGCTCCTGCCATCCCTGATAGTTCTCGTCGCCCTCGAGATGTGTCCAGAAGGTCCGGGCGAAGTGCAAGTCGAGCGGTGCCAGTTCTTCGGAGCTCTTCGAGAGCACCTCCGCCAGCCATTGCTCGTGCTCAGGGGTGGATCGAGATGTGAAACTGCGAGGTTCTTTCGATGTGGAGGCCGACGATTGACCCGCACGAGCATCTCCCGGCGCTCCTCCACCAGGCGAGAGGTTCGGGCCGACGTTGATGGGGATGCGCTGATTGTGGGCTCCCAGTCGATATCGTTGCGCGTCCGGGTAAGCGAACAAGCGCGCCTGTAAAAGTGGATCCTCCGATGGCTCGATGCCAGGTACCAGCCGCGACGGGGAGAATGCAGCCTGCTCGACTTGGTCGAAGTGGCTATCGGGGCTGCGGTTCAATGTGAGTTTGCCAAAGGCCCGCGGCGGGATCGATCCCATGTCGCTGGGATAGTTGTTGATGTTCCAATGCTTCGTCATGTCCAGGATGTTGTAGCCGAACCGGCGCACGTCCCGTGGATCCACGACCTGGACCTTGGCCGTGTATATGGGATACTCACCGCGGCCGATGGCGTCGTGCAGGTCCTTGGCCAGGTAGTCGGTATTGGCGCCGACGAAGCGCGCAATGTCGTCGTCCGAGTGCAGCTTGTACCCGGCGTCCGCCTCGAGATACATGTGCACGTACTTCCAGGACCCGTCCGGCATGACCCACTTGTAGGCGTGGCCCAGGTAGGAGTTCATGTGCCGCCACGAGGTCACGGCGCCGTAGTCGCTGAATAGCCACAGGACCATGTGCAGAGACTCTTGGTTCTCGACGACCCACTTCCAGAAGCGCGTGGCGTCCTTCAGGTTGGACGCCGGATTCTTCTTCTGCGCATGCACCAGGCTCGGAAACTTCTGCGGGTCGCGGATGAAGAAGAATGGGACGTTGTTCCCGAGGAAGTCAAACACGCCCTCGTCCGTGTAGAACTTCACGGCGAACCCTCGGGCATCGCGGACAGCGTCGGCCGAACCGCGTTCCCCCGCCGTGGTGGAAAAGCGCGCGAAGCAAGGGGTTTTCTTCCCGACCGCGCTCATCATATCCATGCTGCAGATGTCAGAGACATCATGTGTGACCTTACAACAGCGTGGTCAGCGAGAGACTTAAATTGCACCGCACTCCGGCATGCACGACGCAGGACCAACCTCGAATTCTCCGAAGACACCAGTGCCATTGGCATGCACAACCCGCTCCGGAATCCTTTCGCGGTTCAATTGTGACAGGGCGTCGACGAGTCGGACTTCGGGCAACGACAATTGCGACATGTTGATGGCTGTAGAAAGTGGCGCTCGCTCCTAATCAAGGCGCAATCTCTTGAAGACACGGGGAAATCGCATCGACAGGTCCAACAGGTCCTAGGGCTTTGGTATGCACGAGACGGTAATATTGAGATCATCCATCACTGGGCATGGCATACCTGAGCGCCGATCTTCGAATTCTGCCATGCGCGTCCCAATCCTGACAGGCCGAAACAGGCGAGGGGCTGCATTCATAGGTAGCGGCGGCGGGGTGGTCATGTCTTGTTTCTGACCATCGTTCACGAACCAAGGGATTGGCACGATCGGATGGGATCATAATTACGTTTCGTTGCATTGGACTTCGATCTGTTGGGGAGTCTGCGAAGATCTTGCTGCGTCCTGCTGGCTCGTGGCGTCACCGGTGGAGGAGTGCACGGATGGTTATGGATGCGGTCGCAGTCGTCATTCGTGATATTTACTAAAATAATAAAGCGTGAGGTGTGTGGGGCTGGAGGCGCTGAATGTTGTGTTGTACTGCAGCTGATAAGGTCAAGTGCAGGTGAATTAAGGGTGAACCCAACTGATTCCCACTAATATATTGATGGGGCTTAGCGCGCACGAATTACCGCTTGTGCCCTTTTTCACATGCAGGTGAATAACGCAAGCACGCGAACAGTTTTCGTCATGGCATGACAAGCGGGCGTGCAGCACAATCAAATTCTCGCCGCCCAACAGCTGCATTGGCTCTTCTTGGACGCTGCCCCAGCTCATGGCGTTTCTGTCATTGATCAACAAGGGTCGGTCGCTTATGATCATGTAACGATGCAACATTATTAGCAGTTTACGACGATGTCGACTTGGTCATCTCGTCCAGACCGACAGACTGACCGACATCGCGTGTGTGTTTCAGAGACTGCACACGATGACTTGCCTAACACGGATACGTTCCAAGGTTGCTATCAAGTCGCATGTATAGGCGAAGTCTATTTTGTTGCGCAATCCGGGCGGTTCGGCTCTCAACAGTAATGACCTTACCCAAGCATACTAGAGTTGGCTCCTTCTAGTGTCATGTCCTATTTGGGCAATTGATCTGGAAGTTCATACATCATCGAAGCTGGAGCACTACGACCTACCGCATTTTGAATGCGTTCCGAGGCTATACCGACCTCGGAAGACAATGGCGTAGCTGGTAAATGATTCTATCGAGGCTGGGACTTTATGGACTCAGAGCGAAACTCGATTGTCGAAGTCATCTTTACGCTTCGCACTGCAAATGTTTCGTTAGCAATACGTGCTTGCATATCTACGACCATGTTGCAAGTTACTGACGAAACCGAGACCAAGAAAGGCTCCTGCGATCTCACAGAGTCCCTTGTGGCATCTTACCTGGGAAGAAACCCGAGGTCGTTACCATCCACGCTCCTCTGGGATGATGTCGAGCTGGACATTTACGAGCAAATCACCCAATCGCCAGACTACTACCTCACCCGCGCCGAATCAGAGATCATTCGGGACGAGTTCCTCGACGACTGGGTGAACGACGACTGGCCAGATGAGTTCTATGTCGCCTACCGTCAGCGCCTCAGCGAGAAGGGCGTGCGCTTACCACCCACGTCGAACCTGCCCACCGGCGCCGACGACAGTGTCCCGTCCGCCTGGCAAATCTCCTATTGGCTTGAGAAAATCATTGAGAATGCGGCTCCTTGGTGGCTTCCGGGTGACCTGGAGACTCCAGCAGCTGCGGAGGCCTTACAGACGTCGGCCGCGGTCGTGCGTGAGGGCCTGGAGATCTTGAATCAGCGCGCCACTGCCGCCACGCCTGGAAGATGAAATTATATCCGATGAGAGAGAACCAAACACGTTGGCCTAGGTGTGTGCACCCTCGCAGAAGGTTTTGCTCAAAAGCGAGCATCAGCGAACAGTGTCGTCTGGAACTGTCGACATGGCTCTGATAGATATGTACCGCTTGCCTGTCGCTTTCCACGTAATGAAATAAATAGGGTCTTCGGGTTGTGACAATTAAATTTGCAACTCGCTGCTGAAACAACATCACAGGCTTCACGGTAGCCCTAGCAAGAATATGAGCAAGGAACAATAAAGGAAAGTAATCTCAGTGCCGATCCCTTCGTGCGGCGCAGCAGCAGCAGCTCAACTCTATGCGCATGCGTCATCATAGGGAGAATCTTTCGACACGCATTTGTTTTTAAGAACAAGCTGTCACAGCCAGGCAGCGATCTTCCAAGAAGAGTCGTACACAGTGAAAGTCCAACAATAAACGACTATATGCGCTTCAACCACATGAGCCAGACGACCTATACTCCGGATTCCCAATATCTAAAATGAAGCCATCCGACACCATCAGCATCTTCTCCTCCCTCAATTTTCTTAATATCCATCTATACAGCTATGTAAGTACACTATTTACTTACTAAGGCCCGAGGGAACGTGGTAGTGAATTCACCCTCGATGATGCCTTTTCCAGTCGTGGTATGTAAATACTTGGCGACAGCAGCCGGGTGAAGCGATGACATGAGATATTCGTCGCCGAGAGCGAGCGTCCTTCCACGTAATTTGGCCAGCCTAGAATGCACGGAGTTCTAAGTATCCTTCAACCACGGATGCTCTAGTAGTTGAGAGGCCGAACATCGTTCGCGAGGTTCCCATTTGAATGCGCAGCTCAGAAAGTCGAACAGGAGCGGCATCGCCTTCTCTGACTCCACCCGATCCACCAGAGAAACGTAATCTAGGCGCTCTCCCTTTAGACATCCTGAAAGAATGTCAGCGCTCAGCCACATCACAGACCGCTAAGCGTACCTTGCTCATCGAAAAAATCGGTACCCATCGCACATCGCTCGACTAGGCTTTTGGGTGGAGACCCAAGGTATCGGACCATCAGACGAATGGATTCAATCTCATTTTCCTGTCCAAACAAGCGTTCCCCAAATAGGAGCTCCCATATCTTATCTATTAGCAGAGATTTTGCGTCGATTGATGAGAACTTACTAGCACTCCAACGTTCCAGACGTCAACTTTCGCGTCCCAATTCGCTCCAAGAATGACCTCAGGAGCACGATGCGGTAGTGCCTGGATGAGCCCACGACTTGGGCTACTCGCGATCACTGCTGAGCCCAAATCGCATAGTATGGGGTATCCCAACTCGTCTTGTTGCATCTCACGAGAGCTATATATCAAACTCCCTTCTTTACGGCTTACGAAACTTGGCTGCTCCTTCTCCGCTCTGACGAATGACCGAAGTGTTTCATCTTCCGGATCTGGAAGCGTCATCTGGATGTTGTCCAATTTGATATCTGTATTGAGGTACAGTTTATGAGCAGATATTCCTTGCCGACAGCAAATCATCAAATACCTGTGTGCACAATTCCCCTGCTATGAAGAAATGCGACTCCATGCAGGAGATATGTGGCAATCCATCGCACCTGTTCTAAATGAAAGCTTACTCCGGGTCGACGCGAGAATTCAAGCAGACTTGGACCAAGTGGAGGGAACACGAAACACTTGTGTTCCCCAGTTTGTGAAAAGAGGCTAAATGCGCTTTCAGCTTGTCGCACGCAATGACTCCCAGGATGTTCCAGCGTGCCGTGCTTATCCTGAAGGTGAAGCATTGCTATGCCTTCTTGCAAGCTCGCGTTGCTTGTTCCGACTTTCAGCACTTTGAACGCATGACTGCGCGGGCACTTAGCTCAGGACGGTGTCACTTTGCGATTATATACCTCTTATCTTGGCACAACCAGGTGGTTGAGCTTCGTCCGAACCCAAGTTTGACTTTTACTGAATATTGGTCGTGGAGCACATCGCCAATTTTGACGGGGAAATATTTGGCTGGATCATAGCTTGATAGTGATTCTTCCTCGATAGGAACCACCGTTGACGAGTTTCGAGATCGACTCGTGTCCATGATTGAGTGAAAAACGGGCAAACCATGTACTGACGAGCGAGCAATTGAAGGGTATCTCCGACCTTCAGTGAAGCTGGCAACGTGGATACTCACTCGATTGCGAAACATGGTGGCGATGTAGGACAGCGTTTCTCTCAAGTGTAGGCTTGGTAAACAGGCAGATTTACACCCAGTGCCTACTAGTCTTAAACGTATAGATCTTATAGCGCCCGGAAAGCCTAAGCAATTCTCTAAGGATGATAGAGTTTTACTACCGTCGGACTTGTGGATTAAATATATAGATTTCGTAGGAAAGCGGACGCAGGAGACGGATAGGGTATTTCTTAAGAATCCGGAAGAGGCTAAATTTCTGATTACTAATCGCGAACAGGAGTGATGAGTTTCGTGGGTGCAGATCATGAGTGGTGGTCGATCGTTCGATCACAGGCTTCATAGAATATAAACCCGATGAACAAGACATGAAGTTCCAATATATAGCCATGCTGCTTTCAAATCTTCTCATGACACCGAGTGTCCACTCTGAGCCCAAATACCCCGCTTGCGTTTGTCCGTACTGAGACCGGACGAGTCGAGTAGCTGAGTCGTCACTCGTATCACATCGTCGCCGACATTCTTGAAGAGCAACTCGATAGAATTCCGCACATGCATTTCATCCTCCGATTGCACATGATCGAACCAAAGTAGCTCCTTGGTGGCAGGATGCTCCAGTCGCGTTTCATTCACCGCACGGAAATGATGACTGACCTTCTTGGCGGACTTTTAATTTGGAAGTCACTTCCCTGCTGACCAGGATCGGACAGACGTGGCGAGCAGGGGACATCCCTTCCGACATCGTAACCCCATCATTATTCGTAGATGATTTTCGGAGGCATGACGGATCAGTCGTAACACAACCCCGCCGATGTTTATGGTAAGATTCAAGGACAAATTCGACCTGTCGAGAAATCACTAAGTCCCTCACCCGCGTTGTTTGATCGGCAAGAAGTTTCCGACAATGAGAGACGGACTGTAGATGAACACGATGTCAGCATGGTATTTTCAAGGATCCAATTATAGGATTCAAGAGCCGAACAAAGACTTACATATTATGCGAATCCCTCCGAATCGTGAACGAAAAGCAACACTTGACCATCTCCGTCGGGCCCGACGCATGCTCCGCCAGCGTCTCATGCCCGGCTCCATGCGGCGGCGCCGGAGCGATTGGTCGTTTGAGGGTACACGAAGTGAGGATAGCCTTCTGTTTAGGATCAAAAGCGATAGCGCCGAACTTCTCCCAGTAAGACACAAGACTCTCCTCGGCGATGATTTCATGGATAGCGATTTTCCCATCGCGGAGTCGTTCGAGAGGTTGATGGATGAGTTCAGCCATTTCGGTATTTGCGCGGAAGACTTCTCCCGTGCGCCGCCAGCAGCAGGCGGGGATGGCCATCGAGGCGAACACCCGGTCGTATTCCATTAGGCTGCGCTCGAACCACATCTCGACCAGCACGAGTTGCATGTCGTTAAGGTTTTGCATGGCTTTGCGGAAGCCTGGGCGGAAACCGTTGAGTTGTTGGAGGACACGATATTGGCTCTCTTTGGTGAGGTTTTTAGACATGTACTGGTTCAGCCGCGCGTAGCCTTTGATGTAGTTGAAGGGTTTGAGCATGCCAGCGTCATATTTCGCTTTGAGAAGTTTGTGGAGTCGTTCTTCGGGACTCGAAGAACCGCCGGGATCGGCGGCTGTGAGGTAGAATTTCTCTCTGGCGCGGTTGTCGGCTGGGAAGGTGGAGTTGGGTCGGGATATCTCATGTCCGGCTTGAGCTTGAGTTGGCGGACCCATCACAGTCGGAAGGTTGAGATCCTGTGGCAGACCATTGACGTTGACAGCTGGACCAAACATGCTGGGATCATCAGCTCCACCAAACACATTCCCATGCCCGTCAAAGAGATTGCTATTGAGAAAGTCGTTCAGGACATTATACTCCTGGGAGACTTCATGCGTCGAGAACATATTGAATGTCGGATGCAAATGGTGGTTATCCTGGAATTGGCCAAGGAGACCACCACTACTCCAATCATACGCCTGCGCCAAGTTTACATTGTTTGAGGGCTGCCTGTGAGCACGACCGGGCGATAATGGCGCCGGCTGCACAATGGCAGTCGCGTCCGTCCCGTTGCCATTAATCCGCGAGATTGCCGTCGATCTCCCTCTGTCGTGGTATCGTCCATCCGTATTGCTAGTCGCTCGCTCTCTTTTTACATCCACAGGGTGGCCTTCATCCGGCGCTGGCGCAATATCCGCAACGCCCAGTTCGCTCTTGCTCCTCTTCGGCGGTTCCCTCGGCTCATCATGACATAGATGGCCGATATCTCTCTTCACACATCTCGCGCACGGCCGCTCAAGGTCACACGTCATGTGCGACCGTCGGCAGTACACACATGCATGATTGACCTTTCTACGCTTCTTCTTGGCATCGGCATGATCTATTTGCGCACTCTCGGAGACCTTTCGTTTGGGTGATGCGTGGGAGGAGTCTTTGTTCGGTGACGTAGAATGGGGTGTATGTTCGTTGTTATGATCGTCTCGTGCAGACTTGACAGGTGCACTCTCCTTCATGTCGGAGTCCATCATGGCCATGGGCGCGGTCGGACGAGAGGCACAGACGTAAGGTGAGCAACTTCTCGGGAAGCCGATCCCGGTGGCACCAGATGGTTACAGGATGTCTCGGCTTGAAGGGCTTCGAGACAGCCCGAGGTATGGGTACGTTGTTCGTCTGATGTGTATGCAATCGCAAGAGTGGACGACATGAAGTTATAAATCACTCTTCTGTCTCAAAACCGGACCGGGAGAGAAGGTGGTCGCGTGGACAAAGGGAAGGATTCTGTGCTAGTGGATAAGTTCTTGGAGGAGAGGGAATAACTACAGGTTATGTATGAATCCACTCCACCTGGATCAGACCGAGAAGTCAACGGGCATGCATGTATGTACAGGGCATGAGGCGTTTCACATCTCGAAGAACTGTCACATGCAGGGTTAAAGACTTTTATCGCTCTCCTGCGACCGAGCAATCACGATGCGCGGGAGAGAAAAGCGCATATGAGATCTCCAGGCATTGCCCCGCGCTTTGGCTGCAAGTCTGATGAGAGGGAAAGTGGTTGTTCAGGCGGCATTGGCGGGCCAGACCTCGGGATTTTAACCGATGGGCCGAGGAGCTGGGCGGTGCATCACCAACATTTCCCTTCCCTTTATTCCGTCGTACAGTTTATACACATTTTATACATTTCATTATGACAAATCCTTCATTCCTGGCCGCATGCAATGCCAGAAATCATACACGTACTGGTGGGAGAAATGGTTGGAGAAGATTCACCGATGTATGAAAGAAGAATCGGCGGGAAATGGCTCTCTCGACAGAGCTGTCAAATCACGTCGCGCATGTCAACACGTCCCATCAAAGAAATATCAACACGCGCGTGTTACAGTGTCGTAATTCGGTGTTCCATCACTCATGATCGCTGCCAAGGATAGTGGAATAAACGGATTTCTTTTTCGTGATTCTACATCCACCGTCCCATCAAAGCAAAGATCCAAATCACGCCACGCTGGCAACCACCAATGTTGCCAATCCCTCCTCCTCACTCCGCGCTGTAATCTTGACAGTGACGCCAGTCTTGGCCGAGTAGGCCATCCGAATGGTGCTGGCCACCTTGCCACCCGTGACTGATTTGCCGTAGAGCTTGAGGGTATGTGTGCTGGCGGAGAGGGTAACCTCGGAGCCTTCCAGAGGCTGCATTGCCAATGTCTTGACGAGGTTCTCGACGGCGTCGCCAATGCTCTTCGCGTTGGAGAGCTGCAGGGTTTCAGAAGCCTCCTCGCTGTCGGGAAGACCGGACCAGATGTTGTCGAAGCTGCCGGCGAATGCCGGGACCACGTAATCTGCGCCAGTGAGATCGAGGTCCTCGCACTGGTAGTCATCCTCGTATCCGCCCTCCTCGGGTTCTGATGTGGCCGGATCAATCTCCTTGAGGGTGAACTTGAGAGTGTTCGTGAACGAAGCCGCGACAAATGAAGGTTCGGCCGGTCGTGAGAACGAAACGTAAACAGTACCAGTCTCCTCTGCCTTGAGTTGGGGGACAGGGATGATGAAGCCGTCATCTTCCAATGCAGACTCCTCTCCGTCCTCATCGGGGTTAAGATTGCACAAGACGGATACGTCGGCAAGCACATAGTCCGAAAGAGTGTTCTTGATATCGTATTGCACGACAATGTGCTCCTTGAACAAGTGCTTGATGGCTGCCACGTCGTACTCGGTGCCAGTCTCGGTGAGAGCGGTGGGTGCGCTGCTTTTGAGCACAGGGCCATATGATGAGAATTCCGGGATCGCTTGCAATTGCTGGGCATATTTCTGGGTCGCGACGGTCGCATTCGCAGCTGCATCGGCGGCTGATGCCTTGTCGGCCTTTTTCGGACCAAGCGAAGGAGCTTTGAGAGTAGGAGTCGCCGTCGTGAGCTTGCGTGTTCGGTCCTCTGCAAGAGATTGCTCGCGGGTGACGATTGGCACGTTGGAGAAGTCGAATGGGTTTGCGAATGCCTCTGCGCTTCCGCCGTTGACGTAGTGTGCAAGCTGGTCTTCGAGAATAGGCAAAGAAAACATTGAATCTGGACGGGGGATGAGAAGTCAGTAAAAGATCGCAGGGTTTGTTCACCGTGACGCTCACCATTCCGGATGAATTTGCCAGCAACTTCATCGTCTTTCTCCTTCATCAAACGCAAGTTCAACGCTGCTCGGTCGCGAACTTCGTCATCAGTGTCATCAAGGCAGCGCGAAAGAAGAACATTGACGCTACGCTTCACTTCGGGGTCCTTCTGGCCAACGCCAAACTTGGCAAGTGCAGTCACAGCAGCCGCTCGTACAATGGCATTCTCTAACACGACTCGGTTGTAGATGTAGCGAATGTATTTCGTGGGCTGTGCAGTCTTGGGGCCTTCCATGCCGAGCAGGTGAAGAATGCGCACGGCAAGCTTGGTGAACTCGCAGTCCTCGATGAACTCGCACAGATGCGCGAGAGCTTCCTCTTTGCTGTCGGGCACAAATTTGATCAAGTCGAACATCGCTTCAACCACGCTTCGCTTGAAGTCGTAGCCGCCTTCGTCCCGGAGCACTCCGGAGAGGAAAGCGAGCATCCGAGCCTGTTTCGAAGGGAATTTGATACATAGCGTCCGGATCGCCTCGACAATTGTGACTTTGAACTCGTCGGTAATGTCGGACATGAAGGTGCTGATCTGAGTCATGAGGCGATCCACGGACGACTCGTTTCCGGTCTTGAGAAGAGTAGTGACGGCGAAGGTTGCGATAGAGCGGTTGGAATTGGAGATGAGCGACTCAATGTCGGGATTGCATTGTCGCACGGCTTCCGGCTTGAAAGACGCAAATTGGTGGAGGATGCGGATAGCAGCGAATTTGGTGACCGCACGAGGCGAAGTAAGGAAGAGTTGAAGGACGTGGATCGCTTGGCTGACTTCAGCGTCGGTCAGGTCATGCATCTCACAGATCGCTTTGGCGGCTTCGAAGTTGACCATCTCGCTCTTGTCACGGAGCCACTCATCCAAAAGCTTCATCATCGGCTTTCGTAGACTAGGTTCATCTTCAGCCAACTTCGCAGCTAATCGGACCAACATGACGCGAGCAGCCGCAGATTTGACTACACCTGGAGCGCTGTATTGTTGCACCATCTTCACCAAAGCCATGCGATCGTGACTCCGCATCTGATACAGCAGTCCAATGGCGTGGTATTGAGTCATGAAGTTGGTGTTGGCGGCAGCCATCTGTGCCCCACCAGAGCCTCCAAAACCCAAGCTGAATCCGCCAGATGATTTTGTCGAAGACGCAGCTTCCTGGGTCTCGCTCTGCCACCTTCTCACAATATCCCGAGCAATGGGTAGCAAATGGTAAGATGAGACGAGTGCGGCGGAAGATACTGAAGGGGTTTTGTCCACGATAGCAGTCTTGATGTTCCTTTCAATTGCTTGCACAGTTGAGGCCTGCATCATCTCTGTTAGTATCTCAGTCCCATCTGCGCCGAATGCTCATCTTACATCTATTATGCGACACAACGCACGAATGGCATTGGCCCTGTAAACCACATCGCTTCCAACTGCCGTGTCTTTCATGATACTGCTTGTGACCATTATAACATCCTCTGCCGTATTCGCGAGCTCTTTGATAACCAAGTATACCATCTGCCGGAGCGCTGCATCTTTGTTTTGGAAGAGCTTTGAAATGCCGAAGAAAAGGGAGGTCGCTTCGTTGGTCGGGAACTTCTCTCCGGTGAACAGCAGTAGAGAAATCTTTGTCAGGAGGATCCGACATTTTCGTGGGGAGACAGGCGATGTGTTGAAGACTCGGGCTACAATTATTCCAACACCGGGTCAGCGCATTGCCGTGGAGGAGATACCATGCAATTCCAATGCTTACCTTCCTGGAAGACCGATGTTCGGTCAACCTTGAGGATCCCAGTCTCATCCTCGTCTTTCTTGTTGAGACTCATATCGGCGATGCGTTGCTCCTATTGGAGCGACATTCAAGATGTTCCTTGAAAGGGTCGTCGTCTCAAGATGGGGTTCCACGCAGGGCTAACGTGAATTCAAGCGGGCAACGTTGCCGCTACTTCGCCAAGACCTAAAGCCAGACTGCGCGGCTCTATTCCGCTTTAAGTAAAGATATATATATATTCAGGCATCAAAATTGGAAAAGCATCGCCAACAATATCTTGCGTCTTCGGGATTTCCATAATAGAAGAATCGCAAATATGGATATGCCAGTGAACGTTCCCGTTGATGATCCGAACGCGGACACAGAATGGTGGGTCCGAATTTACAAGATGCGTTTACAATCATCACATCAATACTCGTTCTCTCCCCACGCTGTTGCTGAGTCCTTGGCTCAGGAACGACATTCTGCGCAAACATGGTGTGATACCTGAGAAACCTCCGTCTCCAACACCCATGATCGAGGAGGCGATTCTTGAAGCCAGGCGACTTGCACATGAGAATCGACTTGAAGGAAAAGATCTCGATGAACTTGACGAATTAGAAGATGAGGAGGACGAGGCTTTTCTCGATCAGTATCGGTTTGTAATTGCCAGGACTATTGGTGATCACTTGAGCGATGATTTGACGGAGATTTAGAAAGAAACGTATGGACGAGCTCGCTTCCTTGCAAGCCGCCAGCGTTCACAATCAGGTATATCCGGTTCAAAAGCCGGAGTATTCGAGAGAAGTAACAGAAGCTTCAAATCAGACATTCGTCCTGGTGCTTCTTACATCCTCGAGTGGAACAAATGAAGAATCAAGACTCTTGATCGAAGTCTGGCGAGAGTCAGCACGCAAATTCGGCGAACTTAAGTTCTGCCAAATGCAAGCCAATTTGTGCATCGATGGCTACCCAGACCGCAACACTCCAACGGTCCTGATTTACAAGGATGGACAGATAGTCAAGCAGATCGTCACACTACGAGACTTGCGAGGATTGCAGACTGGGTTGCAGGGTTGGTCTTGATGCAACGACATGAGACCGGATGCAGACAACTGACCGCAATTCACAGATATTGAAAAGGTCTTAACCGAGATCGGTGCCGTGAAGCACGGTGACTCTCGACTCGCGAATCGTCCTTATGGTCAAGGAGACGCACCTGAAAGAAGCAAGACGATACGGTCCAGTACAAAAGCTCATGTCGACGACGAAGATAGTGATTGGGATTGAGACCGTCATTGGGATCGCGAGTATCCTCTTCAAGCCAATTTACGAATTAGGGGAAGCCGGAAGAAACTATCTTACGCGCCGACATTACATCAGCCATTGCACCACCTCTCAACACGTTGAGGCCCGGGCTCACTGGGGTTTAGGGTTGACTTTTGACCTAGGGTTATGCCGACCTCAGTCCTTCCCAATGCCCAGCGATGCTCGGTTTTCTATGCGTGACATTACTGAATGTGATTCGTTTGAGGATATTTAAGTCTAATGACAGGAACACCAATGATTTCATGCTAGGTGTGATGCCCATTCAAGCATGTACGGACGTGCAAGGATCCTACGAGTCGCACGGTGACACTTGCGGGTGCGTGTCCGAGGCAAGTCCCAACTCCGTGGATGTTTGTACGCTTACCACCTGCTTTCATACCGTTCCGCAGTTCGTAAACGGGATATGAAACACATGGTGTTCAGCACAAGGAAACATTTCGCAAATACAGGGATCGGTTACAAACAGAGCATCTCGATGACTAATCCGACACTTGCTACTTCGATGCAGCGTGGGATCTCCGAACAGGCAGAAGCTTGACGTGTGAGAGTCTTGGGCTGGCGCTCACTGCCAACATGAATACGGACCTGATAGTGAGATATACATGCCACGCTCGAGGCGAGCTCGTATGCTGGATTGCACTCCCTTGAGCTTGATAGCCGCCGCCGAAGCATGTAGCGGTACGACGATGTTAATTGCGAACATTGTATATTCCGACGATTGGGAGCTGTCTATGTCGTGACGTGCGTGACCATAGAAGCAGATGTAAGGTCCATCACGCACTGAAATGGTGAGCACGCGATGTCCTCTCGTCCAGGTATCTGCATGTTGACTTGTTTATGGAACTTCGTCAGTCATTTTGACAGCTTTGTAGAGGTCCGGTCAATTTGCTCTCGGTATGCACAAATGAAAATCGATATGTGGAGCATTATGTTATTATTGTTTTGTTGTACATGTGCTCGCATTAGCTTCACGCGCGGGCTGATTGGTCGATCCTGAGCCGTTCGTCCCTCACCTGCATCGCGTACTTTTTATGTGTAGACGCGCCTTCACGTGTGAACTCCCACCCTCGCCCAACCTCAATCTCTCCACTATTTCTACATTTCCCAAACATCTTTAATTTGTCCCTTGAGACGCGACAACACAATTTACGCTTCACAATACCGATCAAATCAACACGAACAATTACATTCCGCGATCGACTTAGTAATAACGCGTATGCGCGTCCCGCCTCTGAAAGTGCTATTCTGATATCGCGACTGTTATATACGACTTCACGAGCCTGATCATGTCGCGTTCTCCTTCGCCGTCCACCAATTCCTCTTCGGCGCTTTCGAACATCGATGTCGCAGTGACTGCCGCCGACGCGTACCCTGTGCCAGCTTCAACTCCTCCTACCAGTATCTCCGATGTACGAAGCGTACCTAGCCCTCTAAAGGAGACCGAGGAAACTCCAACCGATATACGACCTCGCCGAAGCAGGGCAGGACCTACGACATACAATCTTACGCACTTAGGAAATGCTCAGCTGAGTCGGAAGCGGATTCACGAAGATGGAGATGAACATATGCCTGGCAAAGAGAACGCGCCTCGCAAGGTTGCGAGGACGAAAAAAGAGCAGAACGCTACAAGCGGTGCCAAAGCAACTGCAGAGTCAGCGCTGCTGCCTAACATGATGAAGAAGCTGAAAAGCGCGGGATCATTCCTGGAGGTTAAAAGTGAGGACCTTCTGAGGGCCATTGGATTTGGAGAGGCCAAGAAGAAAGCTTCAAAGCCCAAGGCGAAGCAACCTAAAATTCTTCGGGAGCTGGATACGGGCACGCGTGGTGTGCTAGATGAGTTAGACCTCGATGTATCATTTCCCGCCCCTGGCGCAGAACGACCGAGCAAACGAGCAAAGAAAGCATCGGCGATCAAGGAGGAACCAATCATTATGCCAATGGCAGCCCCACGTGGTCCTCTTCAGAAGACTTCGGACGGCAAGCGCGTCAAGAAATGGCTGGAAGCGGGACTTTACGTCGGTCAAGACGAGAACATAGACCCCGTCCGTCTCCACAAAAAGCCGGCGAGCGCAACTACCACGGAGAGCGACACTCCTGTCAACCGGAGAACTTTCATGCCTCTTCCGATGTTCAGCTACTTGGAATGCAGCCGCGATTTTACTATTCCATATGACATCTATGCGCCATCTCTCAAGAAGGGTGACGAGAGGCCAAAGGATTGGCACAAAATCAACCGCAACCGTTTGGTTGGCGAGGCCAAAGATCTTTGGGAGAAGCCTGATCCTTTGCCACTTTCAGTGTGTGTCTGTCCGGAGCCTGCACGCGGCGAGCAAGGTTGTGGAGACGATTGTCTCAACCGTGTCATGCAATATGAGTGTAATGCACAGAATTGCTGCCTGAGCGAAGCGCAATGCGGGAACCGTGCCTTTATCGAGCTCTCTCAGCGCATCAAGAAAGGTGGCGCATTTGATATTGGTGTCGAGGTCAAGAAAACAGAGAACCGCGGATTTGGCATCCGTGCTGTACGTGCTTTCCTTCCGGGACAAATCATTATGGAGTACACCGGAGAGATTATTTCCGAAGGAGAATGCCAACGACGCATGCGTGAGGACTACAAAGACAAGGCATGCTACTATCTCATGGAGTTGGAGCGTAACCTGGTCATCGACGGTACCAAGGGTAGCATGGCTCGCTTCATCAATCACTCTTGCGACCCCAATTGTGAAGTTCGCATGGTCAAGGTAAATGGAACTCCGCGCATGGCTGTCTACGCCGGTGATGCGGGCATCATGACCGGTGAAGAGCTCACCTACGACTACAACTTTGACAACTTTGGTGAAGTGCGGCAAAATTGCTACTGCGGCGCCTCCAACTGCCGAGGCTTCCTGAGCAAGCGACTGAATGCCACGGAACAGAAGAAGCAAGCCAAAGCGGAGGAAGAGCGTCGTCAGAAGGCTGCCATTGCGGCGCAGAAAGCTGCCGAGCGTGAAGCCAATAAGAAGCAGGTGAAGCAGTCTCGCGGCAGTGGCTGGCGCGGCTGGGTCGCCATCGATGATGCAGAAGTTAAGGAACAGCTCAAGGCGGAGAAGCGCGCTCGCGAAGAAGCCGCACAAACGTCGTCTCGTGCGCTACGTCTCGCACAACGACGCGATGCCACATCACCTGCGAAGTCTTCCCGCAAGGCCAAGGATGATCCCAACCGGCGCAAAACCATCGGCTCACTGCGCGAGCATGCCGCCAAGGACATCGATGTCGAGGCGGAGAAGCCGGCGACTGCGACTGCGAGTAAGAAACGTCGTCGGGAGACCGATATTATGCCTGCCACGTCGTCTTCGTCAACCACGACCACGAAGAAGACGACTACCACATCCTCCTCCAAATCCACCATCACGACCGTCACATTGAGCATTGAAGAGATTGAGATCCATCAACATGAGGCGAAGAGGGGCAAACTGCCGCAGCGCTCGATGAAGTTGAAGCAGAGTCTACTCAATTTCAAGAAGGTCGATTAGACTCAACGTCATTCAATTTACGATCCGAAAAGGACGAAGGGATGGGACTCAGACTTTTCTTGCAGTGGATATATCTCATCTGGGAATCCCCATCACTCATTCAACTTTCATGTCAAGCATTCATCTCTTGTCACAACATTTTTTCCTCTATTTTTTGCATTGGATAGGCGAGGGCGAGAAATTTCAACATTGTCATTATTTTGATTATTACTACTTTTACTTTCACTGTGGGATGGGGACCGAGGAGGGACGTACACAAGGCAAGATTCCTATCACATTGACTATCATTGCAAAGCGCAAGAGTGCAAGCGAGAGAAGAATTTGTCATAGTTTTCAGGAACGGCCAACTCTTTGAATATCTGAAGAGTCGCCCTCTGCGCTAGCTCTGCCAAGATGCTGCCTTTGCTCCCAGATCGTCGTCTATTGCGCAACTGTCGCAAGATCAGTCCTCCTCGCACAGCGCTAAAGTAAATTCCACAATGAAATCGATTCGTCGCGACTTGCTTCCGTCTTTCATTGAACTGAATTGACAAATTTCGACATGAGCAAGTCGTTGGTGTTTCTGTCACAACGTCACTTTTCAAACTGTCTAGGAAGGATCCCTCGTCGTCGGCAAAGAAAGGAGAGGGAGATCCATAGCAAATGAAGGCACCGACACCAGTTCTCGAGAAATGACCGGATGAGCCGTGCCCTGTCTCTCCTATGCTCAATGCCTGCTGCTACCAGGTTTTTTCTGTCCGCCCTTTCCCAGAAGGGTCCCTCGTACGAAAGAGAGGAGCAGGAATTGAATGGTGGACAGAAGTACAGAGAGGCGAGGTCAGAGGCCAAAAAGTGAAATTTTTCACCTCCGTGGAGAAATTTGAATTTCGTATTACTTGTTCTACATCTCCTTCATTTCACATGACCGCCCAGCGGGTCAAGCTCAATTAAGGGATCAACCTCGACGGGTCGCGAGGATACAGCGACGCGAGACGGATATTCGGGAGGCCCAGGTACAACATGACGATTCTCTCCAATCCGATACCACCACCCGCATGTGGCGGGCAACCATATCGGAACGCATTGACATAGTCCCTGAGTCCATCGCTCTGCGGGTCGACGGGAGTGACGTGCTCACGCATGCGCTTCTCGAGGTATGTCGCATTGTGGATACGCTGAGCACCGGACATGATCTCCTGGCCGCGCATGAAGAAATCGTAGGAGTTTGAGTAGCCGGCGTTAGGGTCCTTCGGGTCGTAGTTGGCCTGGGATTCCTTCGAGGGCATGGTATAGAAGGGACGAATGGCGAGGGGGTATTGGTCGAGGACGTAGAAGTCAGAGCCGTATTTCTCGAGGACGAGGGCGCCAAGTTTCTTCTCTTGCGGGGTGGAGAGGTCGTCGAAATCGGCGACTTCTTCGCCGGCGTCGCGCAGCATTTGGATACCTTCTTTGAAATGCAGGCGTGGGACTTTGCCGGATTGGGGCAGTTTGAATTCTTCGACTTGGTAGACGCTGCGGACGAGTTCGGTCTCCTTGGCGTAGCGCGTGCGGAGACCCTCGAAGATGTGAAGCATGAGGTTTTCGATCAGCGTGACGACTTCGTGGTAGTGTTCCTCGAATGCCATTTCCAGATCGAGTCCGGTGAACTCTGTGAGATGTCGGGCAGTGTTGCTGTTCTCCGCGCGGAAAATGGGACCGATCTCCATGACTCGCTCGAATCGTGCAGCAATCATCATTTGCTTGTACAGTTGTGGTGATTGCGCGAGGTATGCTTTCGAGTTGAAGTATTTGACTTCGAAGACGTTGGCGCCACCTTCACTTGCAGCACCGAGGAGACGCGGCGAGTTCATCAGAAGGAAGCCGCGCTCGTCAAGGAATTCTGTAAAGAGCTTCTGCACGCCATATTTCACTTTGAAGATTGCGTGATTGAGGTTTGCTTTGAGATCGATTGTCCGGTTGGTGAGACGTGCATGGAGCGAGACAATGGGCTTTCCATCTTCTCGGACCGCGTTTTCTTCACCTTCGGCAGGGATCCGACCTTCTGCATCGGCGACTTGAAGTGGTAGTTGTGCATCTGCCTTGCACAGAATGTAGAGTTTGTTGACGTGGACCTCGAGATTCTGGATCGTCGTGCTCTTGACCGGTTCTCGCGGCTTACCAAGTCGACCATGGACGATAACCTCACTCTCTGTAGGGATGCTTCCAGCGAATCTGCATGAAGAGAAAACCAACTAGTCAGCATGATTTTCCAATGTCGTTCTTACCATGGTCCTGTGGAGGCTATACTCACTTGACCATCTGTCGACTCAACGTGTCGCTCGCCGCAACAACCGCCTGGATAGTACTATGCCCCTGAGCAAAAACCAAAAACGACAATTTGGCGCTCTGATTTCTCGCATTCTCCACTGCCGCTCTGAACACGACCTCCGGCCCAATTCCCGCAACTCCTTCTCCTCCTTCACCGCCAAAGTCCTTTCCATCATATTTCTCCCTCAAATCCTCCAACCGCCTGTGTTCAACGCCAGTGCTCTCCCGAATCATAGGCAATTCGCCATAGTTCTCGGCGCTGACATCGTTGGCTTCTGATTCCTTCTTACGTGCAGCTTCCTCGGCGGCGCGCTTGGCGGCTTTTTCGGCCTTTTCTTTCTCCTTGGCGAGTTTCTTCAATGCGGATTTTGATGGGCCCTTGTCTTCGCCTTCGGCAGCAGCGGCGGCGCCTTCGGTGGGAGGGGCGGCTGCGGCAGGGGCATCCTTGGGTCGTTCTGGGAGCGATTGTTCGTCCGCCATAATGCGTGGTGCTATGCAGAAGATTGACTTGGGATGTTGGATCTATTATCCGTTCAATGCTCAAGCGCGTATGACACACGATTGGAGATTTATTTATTGCCTCGCTTTCCAGTGGTGGTGGGGTAGCGGGGAGTCATCGTCGAAACATGAGTCGAAGGGTATGACATCAGGGGAAGGTCGGCCGAAAATTTCTCAATGGCTTGAATGCTGTGTTTATCACCACTACATCAGGACATTCCAAGGTTGTCCTTCTCCGTTCAAATACGCAACACGGGAAATCCAAGAGAAATTATCGTCAACGAGCGATTACCAGATGGATTGAAGGGTCTGACTTTCATCATTATCATTATAATGTCATTCTGCTATCGTAATTAATGCATATCTGTCTGGGTATATTAAATGCATAGTGATGATCATTTCTCAAGTTCTGTGTTTCCCTGTTATGCCTTTTGGAATAATGTGCTCCGTCGTCGATATTGTCTTTCTGCTTTCATGAAGCAGTCGTCTGACCGCCGTTTCCCTCATTCGAGGTTGTATCGTCACAATCGTGATCGATTCATTTTTCAACCCAGCATCTCCTCAACGCTGGCTCTGACCATACTCCACGCCTCGCCCATCCAGGACTTCTCGTCGTCTACACGGCGTGCATCGTCGATCGCAATCCGGAAGCTTTCCACGCCGCGTTGACTGTCGACCTCCTCCTTCCCAAACCAGGCGCCATGGAGACCATAAGGCACGCGCTGTGGCAGTCGTACACGTGCGATGAGAGTCTTCATATCACGTGCAGAGAGAACCCAGAGTTCGGAGTGGGCACGATGTGGAGAGGTGGCGGCGGGAGAAGAGAGGAGATCCGGGCTGGCCGCTGCAGATGGTAACGGAGGGAACGAAGCATCGTGAGCAGCAGGTGCGGTGTCCGAAGGAACGTCGCCGGAGGGAAGAAGTTGAGATTCGTCAAAGGCGTAGAATAGGAGATATCCGTCATCTTCGTAGTCGTCATCGTTGCTCTCCATCTGATACGATCTTGACGACGGGTTTTGAGAGGGCACGAAGCGCATTTCTTGTGCGAACCATCCGTCTGGCATTGTGAATACGCTGATGGGTTCTTTCTCCGCTGTCTGGGTTCCTGCTTCAGCTTCTTTTTGGCTTTGCAGCACTTCTCGCATACTCCTTGTGTCCACACATCCAGTGACACCACGTGGTGGGTTGGCTCTTCCTCGCCGAACCAGAATTCTTGCGTCGATCTTGACCAGAGCATCGATCTTGGTCGCTTTACCCAACGCAGCACTGAAACTCGCTGCGGTGGTCGTGCTGCAGCCATAGACGAAGCGAGCAGGATGCATTGCCTTCTTGGGCGCGACCGCAGGGAATTCGAACGGCAGCGCAGTGAGAGCGTACTGCTGAGTGATCTGGCCGGTAGATAAAGAGAACGAATATAGATAGAGGCGACACTCTTCACCTTCATCCTCGGCAGATGCCCCAGAGGATGAATACGGCACAAGGCTTGTGGTAGCTTCTAGCTCTGGCAGACTACTAGATCGGTGGAGAAGTGGTGCTGTGCTCTCGTCATCCATGCGTACCTTGTCGTGCTGTTCGTCCACCACGACTTCCTCGATAGTGTCGTCATACTTGCTGAAGAATGGCATGCGTTTCCTCTTTGCAACAGTCGCTACACGAGTGTTCCGCTTGACCACGGGCGGCGCGATATTGCCCGCTGCAAAGACTAGCGTTGCTGAGGTCAGGCGACAGGCAAGCATGTTCACCTCGACAACCTCGCCTGAAACAGTCGAGTTGTTATCTGACAAAGACCATTCGTCCATTGTCCGTTCTTGCACTTGTTCTGTCAGACGTAGCTGACGGCGTCGTTGCTGTGTCTCTCGTCGCTCCCATTGAGCTTGCCTCACATCCCAGCTATTTGCCGTGTGAAATATGCACGCAGCATCCGTCTCGAACCACTTGACAGATTGCGGGCTGTGTCTTGGAAAGACACCAAATCGTGCGGGCTGCGATGGGTCATAGCTCACCGGCGGCGCGCCACGGAGCTGGTTAGTCGGATCAAGTGAGAGTGGTAGGTCCATAATGATAGTATGAAGAGCAGAGACGCCAAAGTCGTGCATCATCTTCGCAGACTTGACACCGGGTACAGCTGCGTTGATGATCCTCTTCGATGGAAGCAGCGTCGAGTAGGCTGACTTCTCAGAGTCGATGTTTGATGATGATGTTGGTCCAGCAGGAGGAACGACGCTGTACTGCACATATGGTGGCGCGAAGCAGGAGTGGAACATGATCATCTCGTTTGTTGCCGGATCGACGCGAGGATGTGCCGTGGTCCACTCGCGCATGAAACCCAGTAGACCTCCGCTGTCCCCACCCAGGACTTTGCCATCTGTAGCTGCAGAAGCGGCTTGTCGCTCTTTCGCAGGCTCCCCTTCTGCTGAGGTACCATCATACCAGCCCACCGTTTCTAGGCCTGGCAATTGAATCCGCATCGGCGGCCCACTCTCACATGTTGCCAAAGCCCGGCCATCGTGGTAGACCACATTCGTATTCGCAACACTTATCTTCTTGATGGCCTGGCGGGAGCCTGGCAGATTTGACAGAAGCACAAGTAGCAGTGTGCGGAATATGGCGAGAGTGATGCGGATGAAGCTGGCGAGTGGATTTACCAGAGTAGCGATGGAAGGTAGGATAGGCGTTTTTAGCCTTGGAGAGGTGATCGCGGATCGATAGAGATCAGTCTGCACAAAGGCGTTGACGAATTCTGGAATGATTTCTCCAGTCTCTGAATGTTCCCGGAATGAAACGCCGGAGAGCATGCCATCACCGTCGAACCAATGCGCGTCACGACCCAAGTCGTCATTTGTCACCGGGTTGCTGCCATTGCGCACATATTCTCCGCCAGCCAACTCTTTAGGGATTTGTCCGATATAGGTGCACGGTGTGAGGGGGAGAGTCTGGTAAATTGGTGCGAAATTGCCGCTGAGGTAAGGATGTTGCGGTTGGGGTGTCGGGAGGATATGATCAAGAGCCGCAGCACTCGTTGCCCTCTTTCGTTTCTGTCCCGCCTTGGCTGGAAGGATAGACTGGTGTGAGGGAGGAAGCGGGCTCAACGAGGTGGCCATGATATTTGTCGGGTTGTGGTCAAGCCGTAGTCAGACTGGCAGAATGCAACAGAGTCGGAGAGGTCGCCAGATTGATGGTCAGTCGACCGTCATTCGGGAGTATTGATCTTGCTAGCAGTGACAGAAGGTGGTTGTCTATGTCAAAGCTGAGAGAGTTGATGGCCTTGCTTGAGCTGTCATCGCACGGACGACTCAGCAGCGGACTGAAGCAGGCACAGTGAAGCTAGATACAGTAGCCTTGAAAGCAGAGGACTGCAATGACAATGGCACTGCCCGGGTGTTTTCACATGTCAAAACGAGCGACGATGTTCGCCGGAAGGTGTATCGCGATCAGTGACGACAGTCACGGCTGGTTGGGAAAGGTACGGGCAGTAGTGTCATTTCCTGGTCACTTTCCGAGTCATGGACAATGCTCGGGTGGAGCATACAACAATCGGGCGAGACGCGAACATGGAAAGATGTGGGAACAGTGGAGTCTAACCACGACTGTCGCCACTGTGAGAATAGAGATCCATTGACGGGAGGGAGTGGGAAGACGAGAACCTTGGAATTGAACGAGTAGTCCGTCTCTTCGGCTGCGGGCATTGAGGCTCCGTCCAACCGCCGCCGCCGCATGATGCTGGTGACGTGAGAGGAGGAATTTTACGTGAGACGACACCACATCACGATGACAGTATTCGGGAACTCGGGACCGAAGTAATCGCGAGTTCGCCGTCCCAACATGATTATCACACTGTTTACGATCATGACGGGGACAAGCGATACTGTAAGACAGCGCATTTGCCCGGGCGGATAAACGTGTGTGTGCAGCGGCGGAAACATGGGATATCCTGTACGAACAACCATCGCATGTGCACCTACATCACCACATTACCTGCAACCTTGGAAGCTGCTAAGAAAGTGCAGGTGAGCTCTGTCCGTGTGTCGGCATGACATCATTCATATGCAATACTCGAGCGCAAGTACCATCATCAGTGATCTCCCGCGGCATGCCCGGCCAGAGCCGATGAGCTTTCGAGGTCCCGTGCGCAGAAACAGACTCTGTTCACTGTTAGCGGCCACTAGTGCGGTTTCTCCATCGCCAGATCGCTCCACGACTTTTGACTTGCAAGTTCGCTGCTGTCCTGCATGACATCGCCCCGTCACGAACGGTCCCACCGCCAACGCGTTCTCACGTGATATCAGACATCCGGCTGTGCGCGGCAGATCTTGCCCTCTGGAAATCGACGCTGGAGATTGTGTTCATGCCTGAGGCTCTCCGCATTGGCCCAATTCCAGAACGACACGTCCTCATCTATTCGCGCCCAGGTTGCTGTGATGAAGCCCATCTCGTTCTGATGGGCGGCGTTTGGCGACCTCTATGACTCGAGATTATTGCTGAAGACAAGAGAAACGGTTTGCGACTACTCTTTGTTGAATAACAGTGTGCCGCTACTCTTTCTTTGTTGAAGCGCAAGATTATGCCGACACCCTGGTCTGAGTGTGCTTCGTCTCAAGATCGCCAACAATCGCGCGGGTGTGACCATCTACCTAGCACACGCATGCACTTCCGCCGACGCTGCTAGAGCCTGCGATCAACGACTCCTCAGACCAACTCGCCCAACATGGGTTACGACTATGCCTGGGTGTATGTTCTCTCTCCAATATACCCAACCGATTAACAGTGAAAACAATGTCCCTTGCACTCCTGCGTGGTCCTCGTCTCCCTCGGGACAAGTCATCGTGATGAATGCAACATGCCGCGAACTGATTGACTGATTTTCAATAGACATCTTACCTATAATATCCCACCTGCTATCATTTTGACCGCTCTTTACTTTCCTCTATTCACAAAACTAGACCTCTACAAGCTCGTCTTCCTAATCACCATTGCCGTTGTCTCGACCATTCCTTGGGACAGCTACTTGATTCGTACCGGAGTATGGACTTATCCATCTCATGTTATCATCGGTCCTACGCTCTACGACATCCCTTATGAAGAAGTGTTCTTTTTCGTCATTCAAACATTCAACACGACCCTGCTGTATCTAATTCTCAGCAAGCCTGTCCTCAAGGAAATCTACCTCGTCCGAGAGGCCAAATCTGCCGGATTAGCCCAAGCATGGAAGCTAGTACGAATCGGAGGGCAGATCGCTCTGGGTCTTGGAATCCGTCAGGGCATTCTGTTCATTCAAGCAAATGGCAAATACACCTATCTCGGATTGATTCTCGTTTGGGCACTGCCCTTCCTCCTCCTGCTATGGAGTCTAGCATATCAATTCATCATTGGGCTACCCCTGGCGACGACACTGCTTCCCATCGCTCTGCCAACCTTGTATCTTTGGATCGTTGACACGCTTGCTCTTCAGCGCGGAACCTGGGTCATCTCTACTGGCACCAAGACCGGTTTCAATCTCTGGCCACATCTCGAGATTGAGGAGGCTATATTCTTCCTCCTCACAAACTGTTTAATCGTGTTTGGACTACTTGCATTCGACAATGCACTCGCGGTGTTGAACGCGTTTCCCGCACATTTCCGACGAGTTCCTTCCTTGCCTTCTCCGGCACTCTTGGTACAGGCCCTCCTTCTGCCATCCTCCGCATACGATGAGGAACGTCTTCAGGGCCTCAACCAGGCTGTCAATCGTCTCGCAAAGAAATCACGCTCTTTTTACCTGGCATCGTCAACCTTCTCTGGTCGTCTACGTATCGATCTGATTCTACTTTACAGCTTCTGTCGCGTTGCCGATGATCTGATTGATGCAGCAGAGAGCCCAGATGCTGCACGTTTGTGGCTGGCCAAATTGCGGGAATTCTTGCGCCTGAGGTACGCCGGTGACATGGTTGATGCTAAAGGCAATGTCGTCACTGCACATGATCCCAACAATAGCCCTGCCGCACGCTTCGTGAGCCAAAACTTTCCACCACAAGTCGAGCTAGCTTTGTTACTCCTGCCGACCCAGAAGCTGGACCAGGAGCCCCTCGCAGAACTGCTCGAAGGATTCGACATGGATCTTGTCTTCACCGAAGATGCCACAACCTCGACCAAGAGCTCGAAGGGTGGCAAGGCCAATGGCAAGACTAAGTCAAGCGCGCCTGCTTCCGCCACCACGAAATATCGCACACCGATCTCTTCTGTCAAATCCCTCGATCTCTACGCTTCGCGCGTGGCTGGCACCGTCGCCATCCTCGTCATTCAGCTCGTCTTACACCACCACGCCAGCAATCCCGAGCTGCCCAAAGAAAAAGTCAAAGCCCTCCTCTCTGCCGGCCACGACATGGGTCTCGCCCTCCAATACACCAACATCGCACGGGACATCCGCGTCGACGCACAGAACGGCCGCTGCTACATCCCGCCAGAATGGCTCGCGGAAGTCAACCTCAAAGACGGCGGAGACGTCGTCAAAGGCTTCGCAGAGTCCGAGACGGAAAGCGATAGCTCGCCCGCGGAGACGATGGCCACCCTCGCGCCACTGCAAAGCTACCTCCTCACCCGCGCCTTTGCATTCTACAACCGGAGCGTGCCCGCGATAGAACAATTGCCGCGACCAGCGCGGGCGCCCATGCGCGTGGCGGTGGAGAGTTACATGCAGATTGGCCGAGAATTCAGAGCGAAGGAGAAGGCTCGTGGTGGGAAAGCGGTGACATTGGTCGATGCGAGCCGTGCGACGGTTCCGTTGGGACGCAGAGTGTTGGTGGCGTGGTGGGCGATGATGGGTCCTCGCAGGAGAGGCGGGTTGGGCTCAGGAGAGATCTAGTTTGATCATGGGTGTCAGGACCAGAGAGTGCTTTGACATTGAAGGTCTGGTATAGATGTAGATACGAGAGCAGTGGAAGATCAACATGTCTAGCATATATATCGTATGTTTTAATCGAGTTCGCAGCATCAAATGTACAAGGCCCGTACCTCTGAGTGAGTCTCCCCACGTCCAAGGAAGGAAGCTCTACCCCAGACTGAATTCCGTCAGATTTCACAAATATACCACACGACGGTTGCTTGATCCCTTGTCCCGGCACCTTTCAATGTTTCATCCTTGTTTCTACTTGAGCAGCGCAAAGCACGTTCGCTTGCAGCCCCATGGCCCGAACGAAGCCATCACCAAGGTCGCGGCAACTCGCTACCTGGCAAAGATTCCAAGTATCACGCGATGTAGATTGGGCGCAGCAGAAAACCGATCTCACAACAGCGCTACAGCCTGTTCTCAAGGAAGTCCCGGGCTGTACAGCGGTCCATTTGGGTCGACTTACTACCGATCCTGATCACTGCGCTTTTATCATATGTATGACTTGTCCATGTCCCGTTCGTGTTCGCTTACTGATGCTTGTTGCCATTAGTCTGGGAGTCCGAGGAGACAATGGATGCATTCTATGCCTCAAGTGTCTACGCAGACCTTAGTGTTCACAGCTGGTCAAATCAATACCCTTGCTTCTCCTTGAAGGAGGTGGGCTACGGTTTCATGCGAAAGTTCCTCGGCCTCGTTGCGTTGACATCAGTAGTGCCTTCTCCTTCTGTCAGTGATAGCTCTGAATTCGAAAATGTCATTAAAGCTGCCTTCGAGGGCTGGTCTCCTGCTGGGTGCGAATTCAGGGGTGGGGGTTTGCGGCGGTATCTTTCATCGACTTGGGCTCGATCGAAATCTGTCGATAAGGTCGAAAGTGTAGCCACCGCGACGCAAGATGCTGTGGGCCAGGGTTCATATTATCACATATTTTGCTGGACCGGAAACGGTGGCTCGCTGGAGAACACTGCTGCTGCTGCAAGAGATCCAGCGGCGTTCACGTCATGGGCCACGGCGATCGCTAAGGCGGGCGAATCGATTGAGTCTTGGGATCAAGAGCTCTGGGAGATTGAGAGGCTCTTTTGGTGTAACATATGAAAGGCGCTGTTGAATGGCGATACGCAAGAGATTGTGGAGATGTAGCATATTGGTATGAGCCTTCTGCCTCGGACACACTGAGTGGAGCCAGGAGCTTACTCATCAAATTCCGTCTCATGCCAAAAATGTCCCGCCGAACGATGCCGATCTTAGCGTCATGGAATCAATAGGCGGGCGCCACTAATTCGCGCGCGCAATAACGATCTGTGACATGTGAAGATCGTGTCGCGCGAATGGTAGGAAAGCCTAAGCCCATTGAACTAGAGCTTCTGTAGGCAGACTCAGCCACGACGGTATTCCCAGCTCGCCAGCGAAGTGGACATTTGATCAATTCGACTCATTAGCACACAAAAAATATAGAAGTCGCTATGAGTGCCGAGAAGAAAACGAAGCCGCGAACGGCCATCGTCATCGGTAAGTCGCCTGCGTGCGATTCCCGTCGCTGAATCTCCACTGACATATCTTTCTACTTCCAGGCGCTGGAGTAGGCGGAATCTCCACCGCCGCACGTCTCGCCAAAGCTGGTTTCACCGTCACCGTACTCGAGAAGAACGCCTTCACTGGCGGACGCTGTAGCTTATTGCACGCTGAGGGCCACCGATTCGATCAAGGCCCAAGTCTCCTACTCCTCCCACGACTCTTCCACCAGACTTTCGCAGAACTTGACACAAGTTTGGAAGGAGAAGGAGTGAAATTGGTAAAGTGCGAGCCGAATTACAATATTTGGTTTGGCGATGGCGGCAAATTCGAACTCAGCAGTGATTTGGCGGTGATGAAGAGAGAAGTGGAAAGGTGGGAAGGAAGGGAAGGATATATCCGATACTTGCAATTCTTGCAAGAGAGTCATCGGCATTATGAGCTCAGTGTGGATCATGTGCTGTTGAAAAATTTCACGGGATTGCTGGACATGCTGCGGTGGAGTTTTCTGAGAGAGTTATTTGCCTTGCATCCGTTTGAGAGTATTTACTCGAGAGCGAGTAGGTATTTCTGGTCGGAGAGGCTGAGAAGAGTGTTTACTTTTGGCAGCATGTACATGGGTATGAGCCCGTTTGATGCTCCAGGAACGTACAGTCTGTTGCAGTACACGGAGTTGGCGGAGGGCATTTGGTATCCCATTGGTGGATTCCATGCGGTGGTGCAAGCACTGGTGGGAATATGCGAGAGGCTTGGTGTGGACATTCGGTTACAAACGCCTGTCAAGCAGATCCTTCTCACTGCGGATGGCAGCAGGGCGACAGGCGTCCAGCTTGAAAACGGGGAGACTCTCCATGCGGATGTGGTCGTCAACAACTCCGACTTGGTCTACGCCTACAACAACCTTCTTCCGAAGCAAACAGCATACGCAGAAGACCTCTCCTCCCGACCTGGTTCCTGCTCAAGTATCTCCTTCTACTGGGGTCTATCAAAGACCGTCCCTGAACTCCAAGCACACAACATCTTCCTCGCGGATGAATACAAGGAGTCCTTTGACAGCATTTTCAAACGACACCTCATCCCCGACCAACCAAGTTTCTACGTCAATGTCCCAAGTCGCGTCGACCCTTCCGCTGCTCCCGAGGGCAAAGACTCTGTCGTCGTTCTCGTGCCCGTCGGTCACCTCCTTCCCCCATCTCAAGCTACATCACCATCAAAATCAACTTCAGGTGGCACCCTCCCATCGCCAACACAGGACTGGCCCGCCATGATCGCGCTCGCACGTCGCACCATCCTCTCTACCATCGCCGCCCGCACAGGCGCTGACCTCACAGATCTGATCGTCCACGAACAGACCAACGACCCTACAACATGGCGGGACACTTTCAACCTCGACAAAGGCGCCATCCTAGGCCTATCACATTCCTTCTTCAACGTGCTATGTTTCCGACCCACTACGCGCGCCCGCCGACCCGCGTCCATCGATGCGCTAGCCGCCAAACTAGGCCTCGTGGGCAGAGTGCTCGAGGTTTTGGGGGACGTCTTCCGCAGCGAGCATGCGCGCAGCGTACAGGGTCTTTACATGGTCGGAGCCTCGGCGCATCCGGGTACCGGCGTGCCGATTGTACTCGCGGGTGGACGGCTCGTGGCAGAGCAGATTCTAGGGGATCTCGGCATGGATATCCCATGGACAGGAAAATTTGATGCCAGCGTACGGATTGGTACGAAGAGGGATGAGAAGCTGGACAAAGTTCAGAAGCCTTGGTGGGCGGAGACATGGCTTGTTGCAATTTTCATGCTCATCTTAGCTGGAATCAGGGGTCTGTTCATGGGTAACAAAGGATGGTAAATTCCGTAGGGCGGGTTGAGTGCATACAGATAGAGCTTATCATGATACCAAAAAGTTTCAGACGTCACATATTCTCAATCATGAGTGGTTATTTCGCTTCTACATCGCTCGGACGATGATCTAGGTATCCAGTATAGGGATTGCACGATTCCTGTGGCATCACAACACACTTGACAGATGATTCATGATCCTATCCACCTGTAAAGACGAGTCGGCTCGACGTCCGGGCCCCGCATCCTTGCGAGACGCAAAGCAACGTTGTGACATCGTCTGGAACAGGCAGGCATCACAACTCAGCCTTACTATTCGAGAGGGGCCGGCCGTTGCGGTCATTGTCTAGAACTTGAGCGGAAACACTTGCTCTGCAGCGTTGAGCGTTTGATGCAATTCGAGACAATCTCACATGTGGTTAGTTTCACTCGTTCCCGTTCGACTTCACGTGTAAGGCTGACGAGAGCCTAATCTTGGGCATTGATCGTTTGCGAATTATTGTATTTCACATGTACGAATCCATCTGTTTTTGGCAATTGCTCGTACGACAAGGCTGGAATTGGTCGTTTCGTGCGAGGGTGTGTCAAGCCAATGCTGTAAATCAGTTAGTAGCCGTGCGCTGAGCGACTGCATAACGGCATCGACGTAATCGATCGGCGCTGTAGCTGCAATTGCAGCAATTGCAGCTGGTCATGTCACGATCTTCTTGAGCCGGGACCTTCGGAAGCGCAGGTGCATTGGTGCAGTCGAAGACGACGCGTCGCAAGCAATTCATACGCGTTCAAACTTCTGTTCTCGAGATCGTCAAACTCACGTGACTATATAAGCCGCATATAGCTAGCCTCAAGTCCTCCCGCACTTCCGTGCGCTTCCACAACATCACTTCGGGAAGCTCGGGTGGATGAACCGATCGAGATCTCAATTCGCACATCGATGATGCTGCGCTAGCATTTTCCATGATACAGTACTGTACTTACAAGAATACTTCGTGCCAGCATCGAGTGAGTGTACAGGCTCATCGCAGCTCGCCCAGATCTCTGTGCGAGTCTCGTGATGACCAAAGACAGGCAATCTTGTTCGAGTCGCAAGATGACGTTGTCCTCGACGCGAGTGAGGCTTCATGCGCGTCTTCGTGCCAAAGCATGCACTTTCACGACGCCTCGGACAAAAGTCGAAAACAAGCCTTGCATTCCGGCGATCCGGAGAAAAGATGCTGACGGCGGCGGCGTCCAGGTAGATCCGACGAGGGTTGAAACTAAGTCAAATTGATAACGAGAAGAAACAAATCATGACGCACATAAGCTTTTCGTGCATGAGCTTAGCTTCAACGGTTCACGCTACCGATTTTCTGTGGAGAGTTCATGCGGCCAGTGGGCGCGACCATCTTACTTGAAAAACCGGTAATCTTCACGAGAGGATGAGCGTCAAATTTGCGCCGCTTTCACGGCATGCTAAGGCTTGTCCAGTGCTTGTGCTTAATCCTTCCGAATTACGGACTTGGACACTACGTGTGCCACAAGAATGCCCAGAAAAACAAGCTGGGTAGCGGTCAATTTTGCGCGTTAGATACATGCAACGTGAGGCTTGATGCTGAGATAGCGCTCACGCGCGACGGAGTGTCGCATGTCCAGGTGATCCTTGTCCAATATTGAGGTAGCTCTGGTTATGATTTTTCTCTTATCACTTGGCGGTGATCTCCGCAGGCCCGATGATTGTCCCCGATTGTGTAGGGATCGGTCTTCGATACGCCCTGTCCTGGAAGTCCGCACTAATGGCCGCTGCTGCAATATGCCTGTCACTACCCCGGTTCTTGTGACGGTGATATGACATGACTTCAGCACCGTAACGGTGCAGATCATGCGGTTGTCTTCAACGTTGGTTCCCGGGCAACATTTCCCATGCTTATTACATGATTAGGATGCTGGCGGAAGCCCAGCACACTTAGGGCAATTGGAAGTCATTTCGTCCAGAGATAAGTGGGTCTGCATCGCATCTCGGTGAACACACGAGGCCGCGAGATTTCTCGATTTGCTAATCGTCTGGACGGATTCATCGCTGAACAATGCGCGCGGAGAGGGAGGCTTGTGCGTAAAAATGGTGATTGCATTTCGCAGTCATGACGTCAGAAGTTCGTCTGATTTTAGCGCGAAAGCTTCCTAAATCTCATGATGCTTCACTTGTATGTGTCTCGGCTTTACTCGGTCGCATGTGTCGCATGTGTTGCGTCCTATTTCTCTATTCGGCATACACGTAGTCAATACCATCGTTGTCGCCTGGATGAAGCGATCATAGAGACGTGGGAAGCTGTTACAGAACATCGGCGTTCGGTGTATGAGCATATTGAGGATGTGTATCACATGGCCATCGTAACGGATGTCGAGTCCTGCGCAGAGAAAGTCGACCGGTGGTCTGCTAGGAGTATGAGATCACTGTTGATTCTGTTAAATCTCTGATGATACATTTTCAGCTATGTCACGCACTACCTTGGTACATTCCCGGCGATGATTCGCGAGAAATCCGATCCGTGTGCCAGCAGTTGATGTGTGGTCCGCACATTCCGCACCTTATGATGCACATCGTCCGCCCAGTGCCGAGTAGCCAGTGCACAGCTTCACTAGCTCATGCTTGTTTCTCTGACGCTGACTGGTCTCATTGATAAGGGAAGCTCTTCCACTTGTACAGTCTTGTCGTCTTCCTTCCTCGCCTCTCATCCAGCAACATACTGTCCAGATTGACTTCTTACACACGATCAGGATTAAGATCAAGATCCACATCTCGATAACACCATCAAGATGTCTTCCGGTGCTGGCAACAACGCTGTCGCCGTTAACAATGACTTTGTTAATGGCCGTCAACCACATGCTGATATCTCCATCACCTTCGGTGGAAGCTCATGGTACGCGGAGGGCTCCGAACATGTCAGCATGAGGACTTTCAATCTGACAAATCCCTAGGTACTACACTGTCTGCGCCATCATGACCTTCGCGACCATTGTCTTCCTCGGTCTCGGATACACCAAGCCGCGCACCCACCGCGCCTTCCACTACATCACCGCTGGTGTCACTATGGTACGCTACGCACGCAGCATCTCCACGGCGAGCGAACCTCAACTGACTTATTCAATTCAAGGTCGCTGCTATCGCCTACTTCACTATGGGTTCCAACCTCGGCTGGGTCTCGTAAGTCTCATTCTATGACGTCCAAATTCTCGAAAATACGGATTTCCTGACTCTTTCGAACAGCATCCCCGTCGAGTTCCACCGCTCTGGCGCCACCGTTCAAGGCGACTACCGTGAGATCTTCTACGTGAGATACATCGACTGGGCAATCACGTGAGTCTTTCCATTCTCTTTCTCGTCGTTGTTGCGTCGAAATCCGAATTTTGGCGCGTGTTTGAAGTTTTTACTGACTTTAACTCAGCACCCCTCTTCTTTTGACCGATCTGCTCTTGACTGCTGCCATTCCGGTCCCCACCATCCTCTTCGTCGTTCTGGCCGACGAGGTCATGATCGTCACTGGTCTCGTTGGTGCCTTGATCAGCTCCAGCTACAAGTGGGGATTCTTCGCCTTCGGTTGCGCCGCTCTCGTCTACATTACCTACCACCTCGTCTGGGAGGCTCGCATCCACGCCAACGCTGTGTCAAAGGAGGCTGGCCGCGCTTTCCTCATGTGCGGCTCCCTCACTGCCTTCCTCTGGCTCCTCTACCCCATTGCCTGGGGTATATGCGAGGGTGGCAACGTCATCGGCGCTGACGGTGAGGCCATCTTCTACGGTATCCTCGATGTCCTCGCCAAGCCCGTCTTCGGTGCCATGCTCATCTTCGGTCACCGCAACATCGACCCTGCCACCCTCGGCCTCCACATCCGTGACTACACCTCAGACGACATCGCCGTCCGCGAGAAGGGTCACGGTCTCGACGTGAACGGCCACCACCACGGTAACGGTACCACTGCCGCCCCTGCCAACGGTGTCAACGGCCACGGTGTCGTCGACGGCACCCACACCAACGCTGCTGCCGGCCCTACCTCCATTTAAAAGCCTCGTGCACATGCGCAGCAAAAAAAGATGGAAGAAGGAACGTCTTGAAAGATCAATCTCTGCCAACAACAAAAAGATATGATCACTTCCGATCGTGTACTCCTACGCGATCATGTTTGCCACAGTATACCCCTCCGATTTTACCTCCTGCCAATTGCCTATTTCAAGTCTTGCGTTCGAGCAAGCTCGAATTGCAGACGAAGAACGATGCGATGCCTCTATGATAACTAGTACTTAATTAATCTCAAATGATGATTGCTTTAATTCGCGCCTCTGCTGTCTTATCCTCAGTCGATTTGATGCATTCTATCCCACAACCATTCGATCTTGTTTGCGAAAGGTAATGTCTACGATCGCGATCGTCCTCGTGATGCTGGACAAGAAGTGGCGATCTCGGTCTTTCGATTCAGACGAACACTGAATTCTGTGCACATCTCCACTTTCCGCGCCCAATATACACAATAATATCCGACAACAAGCACGTGAAGAAGACGCAGAAGAACTGCGGACACGAACATACTATTCTTATGTGCAGAACCACATGCGCCATGGTGCAGAAGAAGCAATCTATATTTGAAGATCAGCCCTGGATCAGTCTGGACCAGATGCAATCACGTGGACTAGGGTTGCCTTGGATTGCCTTGGGGTTGACTTCAGCAGTGCAGGTGAGTCTCGAGACCTCTACGTGCCCAGGTGAACATAAATATCTGGAAGTACTTAGTATCAACGATTGCTGCAGCACCTCACACGCAAATTCCAACGTGCAGCTACAGCTATTCGTGTGTTTCTGCAGATGCTGTGCACTATCAGTGTGAGCACAAGCATGCCCTCTGAAGGAAGTCACACCCACGGCTGAAGCTGGCAATGAGCGACCTGCTACAGAGACGACGGTCTTCGCCTTCCGTGAATCGAGCCTGTCGAAGTACACAGGTAGGCAAGCATACTCGTCTCCAACACGACGAGTACCTCATCCCAGAACCCTTTCTTCCTGTTCTCCTCCCCGTTTTCTCTGTTACTGCTGCATCCGCTTCTGCATCCTCGACTCTGCAAGATCTATTACAGCATTGCCACATTATCATGTACAGTATAGCCGACTGCTGTCGAAATCATGAAGGCCAGCAATCAGCGTGTAATCCGACAAGTAGACAAGCAAGAGCATCACCAACATGCAAATACTGACCACCATTCATTCGAGCCTGGCCGTTGGTGGTTTGCCTCGACTGCTTGCCCGCTACTCGTTTGTACCTTTGGTCCCATTGCCAGCGGCTTCAATATCTGCGCGTTAGTCGCTCCCTGGCGCACAATCATCGTCAGCAATGGTCCGTCATCACAGCGCGTCCATGTGAACGATCCTGGCTGGCTAATTGCCATCAACGCCGTATCTTTATGCGCCGCCATGTTTGGGAATGCTGCGCTTCTCCTGAACATCGCCAAGCGACTGTCTTTCGCTGTTGCACAGGCTATGACCATTTCTGGCTTCATGCTCGGCAGCATTCTTCTCATTTCCGATGTGGCAGTGCTATCATCATCTCCGACCTATTTCATCGTTGAAAACTATTCAACACCGAGAATGGATCGTGCTGTGACAAGTGCGTACTACTATGCGATTATCGCAGCCGCCACCTACATGGTCCTTGCATTATTCCTCTGCTTGACGGTATATGGAGCCAATGTTGGGCACTATCCCAAAGACATTCGTCTCACGAATGCTCAACGCACACTGATGCTGCAGACCATCGCTTTCATGGCGTATCTGCTCATAGGATCACTTATTTTCAGCAAGATCGAAGGGTGGCCATACCTAGATGCCGTGTACTGGGCAGACGTGACAATGCTCACAATAGGTTTTGGCGATATTGTGCCCACGACAACGCTTGGTCGAGGTCTCTTCATGCCATTCGCGATCGGCGGAGTTCTCGCTATTGGTCTTGTGGGTGCTAGCCTACCACCAGTACTGCATCCCATGTCGGGCTTTGCTAATGATTCGCTACAACAGGTCGTTGGCAGCATTCGCACACTCGTCCTTCAACGTGGACGCGAGAAGATGGCTGCAAGGATAACAGAGAAACGCCGCACGGCTGCTGTCAGTGACGTTCAGCAACGTCGACACACCATACATATCTCACGTTTCGTCAAGGCCGATTTCAGCCCCGATCCACGGCTTTCGCCGGCTCAGCAGCGCGAGGAGGAGTTCAACCTCATGCGTCGAGTGTTGGCCACTGCTGAGCGTGAAAGGCGATGGTTCTCACTTCTTACCTCTGTGCTCTTTGCAGCGGCGCTCTAGCTGGGCGGCGCTGCTGTGTTCGCGGTCTGTGAGCGACGACGAGCTCGGCCGTGGAGCTATTTCGACTCTATCTATTTTTCCTTCGTCAGCCTCTTGACAATCGGCTATGGAGATTTCTATCTCGCCTCGGACGCAGGAAGAGCAGTCTTTGTATTTTGGAGCCTTCTCGCTGTGCCGAGCCTGACGATCCTCATCTCGGACGTCGGGGACACAATCGTCAGAGCTTTGGAGGACGTCACTCAATGGGTGAGCTTGTCCTTGGAAGATGCACGGCATGGAAACGGCCGACATGGCAGTCATCATTCCGACGTTAATGTTTCGATCGCAATACTCGTTCACCTCCCTCGTCACATCGTTCGGAAATTCCACCATCGATCCTCAAACATGGTTGCCTGGACGCTCGGCCGCGATGTCCCTGCAGGGCATACGATACCACATCGAAAACGAGAAGGCCTGGAGCAACATCGTCAGCGCGTAACCTCACACCGACTAGCTATCCTGAGGCAACACGTTGATGTTGGCCATGATCATTCTCCCGAATTCACCCATTCTTCATTCACCAATGCTGGTCGCCCGGCAAAGGTAAGATCGTCTTCAGCTTAGCACCATTCATTGGCGCTATCCGCAATTATAATTGCAGGACTGATGAGACGTTGTAGCAAAAATAGCGCAACATCTCGCTCTACCGCTGTATCCTCGCACGAGAATGTCTCGCTCTGCATAGGACCTTCGCTACCGATCCCATGAAGAAATATTCTTGGATCGATTGGGAATACTATCTATCACTCATGGGAAATTACGACGAGCACGACGAGAACGCCCTTCATCAGATCAGCGGTCCTACGCCTGCGACATATCACAACTTGCACCTTCGCATCGGGGAAGTCTTCGAAGCACAAGATCATCATTATCCTACGTGGTCATGGCTCTCAACGACAAGCCCGCTCGCAAGTGGCGGTTCAGAGAGTGCTTGGATTCTGGCCAGAATCAGTAGAGCGCTTGAAAGATCGTTGATATATGAATGGACTAAGACGGATACTGAGACTGTGTCTCATGTGGACCAGAATTGAAGGAGACATGGAGGTCATGCTGAGGGGAGATAGCTCAACCCAAGACGAGAAAAGCAAGACAAAGCGTATTAGTCATCGAGACGATGCAAGAGCACTTCTTTGCCCGGATTCGCTTTACGTTATTCCCTCCGTAAAGCGCATGTACTGAAATGTGGCATGCAAACTCCAAATCGATTCAATTTGTGGCTGACGCGCCGTCGAGATCTACATTTCATCAACTTCAAAGGTCGCAGCACACGGACTTGCTCATCATCAAAACGCCACCCACCAAGCCATTGTGTCTCGAGCTCGCTTTTTGACCTGTCATGCCGCGGTAACGAAGGTCTCCTTACCGTTACGAAGAGTACAGACGAGCCCTCCGCAGGCCGCTCATGGAAGAGAAGCACAAGCAGGTGTTCGTCATTGACTTTCCTGAGAATCACCAAGCACCGGCGCACATTCAGTGGACAGATGACGAGAAACAATGTTTTGAACGATACATGATCTGACGTGGCCCATAAGCACGCAGGTATGAACGAAGATTATCAAAGGTAGTAACTCTTGCTTTGCTTTCCAGCCAAATCGCCGCTTTCATCCCAACCCGATGCAATTATCACTGCGATGGAAGAATTGATGCAGCGAGACGACAGAGCTAATCATTGTCCAATTTCATCGTGACGCCAAACAGTAGCGCCGCTACAGTACAATGTTTTCCTGCTTCGTGTCAATAGTACCGACGTTTTCGCTCATCATCAGCCGCCGAAGACGTGACATTGTCCTCCGCGCGTACTTCTCGCAAGCATCGATTCACATTTTGCCACGTAATGGTGTCAAGCACCGATTACTTGGTGATCACGATGAAATTATCTTCCAATGCATCCTGGATCAGCAGCAGAAGCTCCCGTCGAACGAAACAGCAAATGGCTTCTAGCTGTTCAATTTCGAGATCTTCTTCGTCATCGCGCAAAGCGATTACATTGCCCATGTATCGAGTCACGTCAGCCAGTGACCGACCTTGAGTGACCCAGCCCCAATGCTCCCCGCTCAACTCCGTCAACAACCACAATGCGTTCCCATTTTCTGCGTCACGGAAAGAGCCCTTATCATTGCGCGAAGCATGGCCAACATGTTAACAAGTGAATGGTCTAGCGAGCAGTGCATTGCATGATGTTATCGAGGCCAATTGCAATATCTACCACCGTAGGATGCAAACGAGTATATGTGAAGTTCTGCAAGAACCCCTAAAATTGGAAGCGTACTCCGATAGTTTGAGGAAAACGAGCTGACATTCGAAAGTACTCTTCCGCCTGCTCTATGGTATCTCAGTGTATCCGTAGAGGTAAGTTTTGTATTGTCGAGATCACTAGCACGTAATAATATGATGGCAATAAGGCTAGCTTATAGGTCGAGAATGTTCAGAACACACTTGTATTCATTACCTGCGGGTCTCCAACGAGCGAGTAATAATGATTGATTTAATCACCGATGCAACAAGGCATCTGATTAGTCATTGAACACCCTTGAATCTTTCAATCGGCTCGTGCGCCCGAAGCTATTCAAATTCCTCCCGGCCGGCGGGCTTCCTGCGGTCATCTTGGGGTCGAAGGACTGTCGAAGGACTGTCGGGCCACCCCGAGCGCTTACAAGCAGTATCTCCTCGTTTCACCTCGTTGAGAAACTTTGCACCATTTCAGCGCGTCGAGTCAGCAATGCATGGCTGAATTTCTATCAATAGATACAAGACCAACATCATCACAACATGAGACCAACAGAACGCTTGGTGTTTGGTGGTCCAGAATAATTCCCTCGTCCTGCGCTCGGACAATTGAGGCTGAAAATTTCTTGCATCGAACAAGCATTGCGTCCTTGCACACATTGTCGGCGTCGGCTGACCAACAGCCTTGCCCTAGAATCTTATGTTGGGACATATTGTAGTAGAGAGAGCTCACTTGTAAAGGTATGATATCGATTTTTGATAGAACAAAGTGAATTTCTAATATTGAACAATTGTATGTGTAGTACACTGCAGGACTATCCACCAACAAGACCCGAAAAATGCTCGCTGCCCAAAAGTCAATCGCAACGCCGTCGCCTCCCTACCCATGATGCCTTGGATATCATCGCAACCGTAAGACAAGACAACTGCAGAACTCAAGGAAAATATCGCAACGATCGTTGATTGGTAAAGAAGAATGCTGAAAGCCAATGTAAATGCCGGAGAAAATTGTCAAGGAAAGATTCGTTCTCTCATGTGTGTTTGTGTGTGCTGTGCTTATATCTTCTCGAGGGCGGCACGGTGTCTTGAGCTGACGACTCGCCCATCGATGAGCGACGATCGCTCGGAAGAGACCTGCGATTGCGCGGCTGAGGCGTTGGCAGATGCGGACTCGTGGTATGCACCAAGCATGCCGAAGACGCCGCCGAAGAGAGCCGGGAAGCGGTAGCGGTGGGAGCTGGTTGTGCTGGCCTTGGACGAGCGGGCGCTGCTGGTGCTGCGGCTCTCACTGGCTTTGCTCATGCGGCTTTCACGGCGTTGACGACGCTCCTCGGCCTTTTGAGTGGCGCGAGCAAGGCGCTGAGCTTCATACTCGGGGGTGTCGAGGTAGGAGAAGTCGTAGCCACCGCTTTGGTGTGCGAGGTAGTGAACACGGGTGCTAGCGGAGAAAAGCATTTTGATGGTGGTGGTGTTTGGTTGTATTGTGGTAGTTGATAAGGTTGGAACTTAGTATGAGGCTGTTTTGTGATTGATCGATGATATCAAACGACGTTTGGAAGTGTTGGTCTTTCGAGTGTAGGATGTTCTTGATGATTGCTGTACTGATGAGGAAAAACGATTCATTTGAGAGGACTCTGTTGCTGTACATATAGTTTTTCTGGACCCCATCTGACATGAGATTGACGATACTAGAAGGCTGCTGTAGGGTGTGCACAGCCCTTTCACATGAGAGAATTGAAATCGCTTGTTGGTTCACCCTCGCACGCCTCGTTGTCGCTCTCGCCAATGGCGCCGATCTCAGGGCGGAACGCCCAAACGCCACGTGAAGGCGTCCTCCGAGTGGACCACGGATGTCGAAAATAGTAAAGCGGACTGTAATTCACGGGTATAATTGAACATTACAGCGGTAATTCTAATCATGACAGCCCTGTGCATACCACGCTTTTCTCCGATTCTAGACCGCCAAAAGCTTAATGTGTGCCAGAACAGCGGCGGCGGCTCTGCGCAGCCACACTGGAATACCGTTGCCTGTCGCTCAAAGCCCCAAATAATTTTGATGCCTGATGTCGCAAGTTGAGTCGCAAGCAATGACACTGCTCGTTATCGTACAGGCGAGTCATATAACTCGAGAAGATGCTCATCGTCTACACCGAACTCGAGTAATTTCGATGCCTGCTTGTTGATGGACTGCGCCCGACCATGGCCACGCAATGCTACCTGGGCATGCAGCGATTTCCAGGCATACCACAATGCGCACATGTTTCCATCGAGGCTTGTTGACATGAGAGTAGCAATTCCAGAGTGCAACCCGAAACAGTTTTTTTCGCTCGTGTCATGATCGGAGCAAGCGACGTCTCACCTCTGGTTGAGCGTCCCGTGCGACGAGAGGCGTTCTGGGCGCAACAACAACGCCTGTGTACACATCGCTACCAGGTCCACAAAATGAGCCTGTGGCAGACAACAGAGCCTCACCGCGATGTGGTTGGGCGGGTAGGAGTTGATCTCCGATGCTGCCGTCTGGTTTTGTCCAGTGCGTTGGTGAATGCACGTGGCATGACGCTCGGAGACGACCGGCGTGGCGTGACAGGGCCGAAATTTTGCTTCGCTGTTTGCCAGCCAGCTATTGATGCGTGGGGTGGATACGCATGCAGTAAACAAGCAGGATGACGCGGAGGCTCACCTTTCTCGCGTGCTGTGGTGCGTGATAAGAGAGATCACTCCACTCGTGCATGTCGGAGTGGGCGACTCAGTGCATCGCATGTGTTGCTGGATCTATCGCCAGCGCAGAATCGCTTGTGGCTCAGATTGCGAGGTACGCGCACCTGTGTAGGCACCATAATGATCATCCGATGCTTCGGTGGATTGCCCTAGTAATGTCATGATAGCATCATGATAATCTCGCGTCGAACCATTCAACGACGTCTCTGGACTTGTCGAATTATCAGTCGTCGACCACTTTGGTGATGATCGTAACCTTCTTGACACGCTTATCACGATCCTGGAAACTCGGCTCATGATCATATCGGAAACGCCGAGGGCGTCGACATCGATGCCACGATATCGTGGGCCAGAAAGCCTAGCACGATCGCCCGAGCGTGGAACACTGGCACGACTGAATAATTATCTTCTTCATGCTTTTAGTGCCAAGATTTCTTTTCGGATCATCCTCGCCCTTCCAACCGGTCTCTCGCTGCAACGAAGGCGCAGACTGGCTCAACCGGTTCGACCCTGTTGAGCGACTCACACAGAAGGCTCAAACGACTTTTGCACGCAAACGTATGCCTCCGTCGAGTCAACATTAACGCGATGGTCACGATCCCGAGCTTTGGTTCGACATGGTCGGAATACCTAGTTTGCTCCGTATTGCATTTAAGTGTCCAATCTGTGATGGCGTCGTGTCCAGAGCGCGAAGATGTAGGATCTCAAGAGATCGAAAAGCTACCGGCACTCTCTCGGTCTTGTCCAGAACCTGCGCAACTTCCGTCATTCAATCCACGATGACGTACGGTCTGAACAGTGTCACTCGAGTCACCACCGCGATACTCTTGACTCTCGGCATGCTGATAGATCTCCACGGCCTTGATATCGTGCTTGCTCTTCAGCGTGATAAAGATATATAGTTCGTTATCACAAGATCGAGGTCCGCCTCGCTGCTTTCATCGAGCACGCAACACCTCGCTGTGGTCGGCAGAAGCCATTGTGCCAACATCAACACCAAGTTACGAATAGATCTTCGCCATCGTAACACTCAGATCGTTGGTCTCTACGACCATGCCGACACCAGACGCTTCATGTCTGGCCATAACGTGACCCGAGCAGAAACTCTGCAGGCCTTTCACCGAGGGTCCTCTGATAGTTATATGTTCTACAACACCCACATCCTCCGAGGCACTCGTAAACTTGTTCGCGGCGTACAGGTCGCAGGCCGCTGAATCGGAGAAGTGCTCCGCTCGTGCTCTGACGTACCCTAATAAATGAGGTGCCCGAGCTGTAGCGCTCTTCGGTTTAGGGCATCATCATATCAAGTGGAATAATAATTGACATAATTTTGTGAATGCAAAGAACAAACAAGCTGTCAGATCCCTCGTCGCAGTATGTCATCTCGCACTCGCAGGTCACTCGTGCTGGAGAGTTATCTTCAAACTCCAGATGAGACCGCATCCCTTTACCTCTTAACCGGTACATTGGGATGCTCCGTCAACTGGCTCATCTCGCAATTCATTGGCGTTGCACTTGATGAAACTGGCAATTTAGCGCAACAAGATGGGACCGTCGGCGAGAGCCACCAAGCGAGCGCAGTGGTTCTGGTGAGCTGGCTCCGCGACCTTGCATTCTGGAAGCATGAGCTACGGCGAGCGGCAGTAATGTTCCCATGATAGCGACGATGGTGGAATGCACCAATAGGCTAATAAAGTACTCAGGGCGTTGAAGTTGGCAAGTTCACGCAAGATAATCGCTTCGCATTCGTGGACTTCCTCTCTCAACAAATCTACGATCTTGCAGACCAGACGCGTCTCATTTCCGCAGCAATTGCTCAGCTACAGCAAGCAAATCCCGACCGCAGAGTTGTCCTGCTCCTAGACAGTCCCGATGTTCTTCTCGCTACGAATTCCACGTCCGCACAAGCTCTCAACACGAGTACCCTGAACCTACGTGCTCTGGCTCATGCGACCATCCTGAGCGCTGCTGCTGACCTCCCTCTCATTTCTGCTGCAGCTCCCTCAGCATCTATTCACGCCGGCCAGCCCACTCCACTGGAAGCAGAATGTGCATCTTTTGTCGCTTCACAGGCGCATAATGCTCGCCTCGTCATGAGCGCTCGTGAGCTCACCACCGGCGCAGCAAAAGACATCAGCGGTGTTCTGCGCATCACGCGAGGAGGCGATACTTATGAAACTCAAACACAGATGACCACGGAACTTCGTGAAGCCGAGCTGCAGTATTTGGTGCAGAAGGATGGCATTGTGAAGGTATTCAGTAGAGGAGCAGATGTGAGCTGACCAGACCGACTTCGAGAGATTTCGCTTTGTCCAGGCATTCAGCGGCATTTCAAAGGTCATCGCATCTGGTGTGTACTACTCATTTCGACATATTTTCCCACCACCCAAACAACTACACCATGTTTCGTTAGGAACGTCCGTCAGCATTTGTTTCGTTCACCACCTGCATATGAAACAATTCGCACTCTTTTGCCTGAGGTTGAATTGTCGCGTGGCAGACCCTGGTGGGATTGTGGAGAAAAAGTTGCCCCTCCGACATCCAGATCGCATTGGCTGCGGGGTCTTCGTCGGCCTTGGTGATGACTGTAAATATACAGTCCTGTGAATTCGCTCAAACCACGACAATTACCCCGGCAAACACCCGCAATCCACACAATCATCATGGATGCCACATACTTCACCGAGTCTAACAAGAGCGTCGACTTCCCAAAGAAGAGGTGCGGTCAGTCGTCATCGCCGCAGTCATGTTCATGGAACGATTCATCACTAACGAAAGCTTTGTTATGTAGGTGTCTTGGGTGCGACGGGTAGTGTTGGTCAAAGATTTATTCTCCTCCTTGCCCTTCACCCGCATTTCCAACTCACCGCCGTGGGAGCCAGCCCTCGATCGGCAGGCAAGAAGTACCGCGATGCCGTCAAATGGAAGCAAAGCTTGCCCATGAGCAAAGAGCTCGGAGATCTGGTAGTCAAGAACTGCACACCCGATGAGTTCAAAGATCATGTCGATGTCGTGTTCAGCGGTCTGGACAGTGATGTTGCTGGTGATGCAGGTCAGTCAATACGATGCCACGTCGATGACAGAGACCAGACTGACTGATCTCATGAGTACAGAAATGGCATTCCTGAAGGCCAACATCCCAGTCTTCTCCAATGCTAAGAACTACCGCCGCGATCCTATGGTTCCACTTGTTGTACCAACCGTCAATCTCTCGCATCTCTCCCTCATCCCGCACCAGCGAAAACAACACAACCTCGACAAGGGTTTCCTCGTCTGCAACTCAAACTGCGCTGTCATCGGCGTCGTCATTCCTTTCATCGCTTTGCAGGCTCGGTTCGGACCGATCGCTACGGCCAGCGTAACCACCATGCAAGCCGTGTCCGGCGCCGGATACCCAGGGGTCAGCGTCATGGATATTTTGGACAATGTGGTGCCCTTCATCTCTGGCGAAGAGGACAAGCTCGAATCTGAAGCTCGCAAGATTCTCGGTACCATTTCCACAGACAACACCACTCTCGCCGACCAGACAGAACTCCGCATCTCCGCCGCTTGCAACCGTGTTCCTGTACTCGATGGACACACTGCATGCGTCTCTTTGCGCTTCGAGAAACGCCCACCACCGCCAATAAATGAGGTCATTGCAGCTCTTCGCGAATACGTGTCAGAAGCGCAAACGCTCGGGTGTCCTTCCGCGCCAGCACGGGCGATTGTCGTAATGGACGAGCCTGACCGACCACAGCCACGACTAGATCGTGAGACAGACCGTGGCTACGCTGTGAGTGTGGGAAGAGTTCGTGAGGATCCATCAGGAATCTTTGACATCATGTTCGTTGCCCTCAGCCACAACACCATCATCGGAGCGGCGGGCAGCAGTTTGTTGAATGCCGAAGCGGCTGTATTGAAGGGATACTTCTAAACTTGAAGAAATATGGGACAACTGCGATGACACCTTGTTACAGATATCGTAGATATGGCCGAAAGGAAATGTTCGCAAGCACGAGGCGAATTCACAGATCTCATGGAGCCTAGCGACACCCTTAGAAATGTTCGCATGACAAGATCTTGCGTTGTACTCCTGGGCAGGCACCGATCAGATCAGACCCGTGGACATTGCACTCTGATGACTCATCAGATACTTACGCTTACTGATGACCAAAATCAGGTGCTCAACTTCTAACTTACCTGTCGGCTGCAAGTGTGAAAGGTTCCTGATTGAATACGCCCGGCAGACCTCGGGAGTCAGATGGGTTGTCGTTTTTAATAAGCTGTCGGAGTGCCCCGTCCGATTTAACTGGTGCCTGTACTCGACCCCATATATTCCTTAGACAAGAAAGACACGGCCGGTAATCCTACCATCGCCGTGCTAATATTATCTCGTCGTCGGCGCAAGAGGTCCTGTTGTAGGTACATTAGGTACATGTAAATCTCATTCGATGCCGTTGTGTGCTGAGTCAGCGAACTCCGCCGCCGTGCTAGCGGAATTGTACATTTTGTGCCAGCAGCAAATACGACATGTAACTTTGTGCGACCAAGCTACGCCATCTTTACTATTGCATGTTGTACAACGCGAACTGCATTTATTTTGGCCGTTTCCTTATCTTGTTGTCTTTGATATTGTCTCTCAATATCACTTTTTCACTATCGTTCGATTGTTTATTGGTATTTATCCATTGTCACGAAGTTTTCACGTGTGAAAGTGCTGTTGGCGTTATTTTGTCGCGTGCATGTGAAGAAATCCCCCCTGAAAACACACATCCATGGGCCGTCGCGATACGCTCGTCTTGCACTGTTGAATTATACACAATCCAACGCGTCAATATTTATTGTGATTGTTACAGGCTTAGAAAGTCATCATCGAAATCCACAATGCCAGGGACCGAAAAGGCTCACAACAAGAAGCAGAAGAAAACCAAAAAGAAGCAACAGCAGCAGCAAGTGTCACATGAAATTCCTCTCAAGCGCAAGAAGGATCCAGCTGCTCTTACACAAGCCAATCTACCATCGAAGGAAAGTGCGACACAACACACGCCGTCACCTGCTCTATTCGTTCCTTCCAAAACATGGCTGCGGAAACAGAAATACGGGCTTGGAGCTCACACTCACGTGCGCGGCCAACTCAAGGGACCAACTCATCACACCCACGAACCCGCCTACGTCCTTGAACAACGTCAGCAACAAGAGTATCGTCATCGACAACAACAAGATTACCACTTGCAGCAATTGCGAGAACACTCCGCCGCCATGCCGTTTGTCGTCACGGCCAAGGGCATTCCCACCAGCTGGGGCACCTTGCAAGTGTACAAGCATCTCGAAGGGTACGGCACCATCACGCGCATTGAATGCTCTGACCATCGTGATGTTGTCATGACTGTAAAAGTTTTTTTTGATCAAATGCCGAAAGAAACTGCTTGGCTGAACAAATCAATCGACATCCGTCGCAAACACGACAATCGTGCGTACACAATCCGCTTCACGGTCGACCGCGCTCGACGACCTTACCTTGAAAGGCTCCGAGAAGGAGGTCAGGAGTTCCCTCAGAGGATGACTGTCCCGTTATCGGGAGCTGATTTCGGCATCATGCGAGATCCCCACACGATGGTCACCGGTCACTCCATTGAGACATCGCAGACGTCCTTTATGTTAGACCTCCAACAACAACAGGTCGAAGTCATCTTCCGATTATTCACTGGCGACGGCTGGGACGGGGCACAACTATATAAGCTACGGATCGACTTGTCTGAGTTGAAGCTCGTCCGCGTCGTTGGTGTGGACAGCAAGATATGCTTCGTCATTACCTTGGAATCGCCCCCCATGATGTTCCGCAAGACCACGGATGTCAAAAACACACACGATAGAGGTAGCACGCTGTGGGACGAACGACAAATGTGGTTTCGACAGACCGACGTGGACCTTAACCCGACAAATAGGTCATATCCGATTGGACTTCAAAAACAGAATGCCATCATCGATGTCGGTCGATGGTTGACCTATCGTTTTGTCTTTGACGTCGATAAAGGTGATATGACATTTCGTAACATTATCAATGCCCTGAAGGACAGTGGGGTCACCTTTGTAGACAACCACCATATGACTTTCGAGACCCAAACTAAGATCACCGAAATGTGGAAATGGTTGTCTTCACATCGCGGCAATTCTTACACCGGTCTCTCTGATTTGCACGAGCTAAACGACGAGAATGTCAACTTGTCTTTTCCGGTTCGCTATGCGTTGGAATCTTGCATCAGCCACAACCTTATTCACGAGAGCAACATAACTTCAGAATTCCTGCGATCCTTGGACAGGTTGGATTCAAGCACTGCGGTGGCAATTCTAGAAAAGATCGTCGACGAAAAGAAACGTTACTTTGAACCACAAATGGCATTGCGGACTTCGATTACAAGATGCGAGAAACAGCGACCTGCACATTGTTCCAAAATCCTCGCCGTGACTGTAACGCCGACCACAATCTATCTTAATACACCTGTGCTTGAGACTTCAAATCGGGTGATCCGCAAGTACCAGGAATACGAAAACCACTTCTTGCGGGTTAAATTCACCGAAGAGCGCTATCGCGGTCGATTAATGTCTTACGATGGCCGTGCTATGGACGAGGTATATTCTCGCATCAAACAAGCAATGACGCACGGAATTCAGATTGGTGACCGGCGATACGATTTCCTAGCCTTTGGAAACTCACAGTTCCGTGAACACGGCGCCTACTTCTTTGCTCGCACTGGGAATGGTGCGAACGCTCTCACTGCCGATAAAATACGCAAGTGGATGGGAGAGTTTTCACATATCAATGTGGTCGCCAAATATGCCTCACGGCTTGGTCAATGCTTCTCGACAACTCGTGCGGTTTCTACAAGGCCAGAGATAAAGCACATCGCAGACATTGTGCGGAACAAATACACATTCACCGACGGCGTCGGGAAAATCTCGCCCTTGTTCGCTCAGGTAATCCGCCACTATCATGGACTCAGCGAAGTCCCCTCAGTCGTCCAGTTCCGTCTCGGCGGCTGTAAGGGTGTTCTGACAATTGATCCAACGCTTCGTGGTCGAGAAATCCACCTCCGGCCAAGTCAGCAAAAGTTTTCATCCGCGTTTGCAGGTCTCGAGGTCTGTCGCGTGTCTCGTTTTTCGTCAGCTCATCTCAATGTGCAAATTATCCTCGTTTTGTCTTCGCGGGGAGTGTCGGACGCCGCATTCCTCACCAAGGAGAGTGTCATGTTGAAGGATCTCGATGAGGCTATGATCAATGTCCCCAAGGCCAGGAAGCTGCTCCGCCAGAATGTCGACTTCAATCAGACAAGCTTGCAGTTGGCAAGCATGGTTGATGACGGGTTCATGGCAGCACAAGAGCCCTTCTTCATGTCCTGTCTGACGCTTTGGAGGGCATGGAATCTCAAATATCTCAAGCAGAAGGCAAAGATTTTTATCGAGAAGGGAGCACTGCTTCTGGGTACCGTGGACGAGACTGGCACGCTACGAGGGCACTTCAATAGCGATCCATTCATCGACCTTCGAGATTATTCGAATCATCACTTCTCAGATTCGGAGCAAGAGCGAGACGACCGTATCAACTCGACTCTACCACAGATATTCGTTCAGGTCACTGACCACGTCAATAGACGGATGAAGGTCGTCACAGGGCGCTGTATCCTGCTTCGAAATCCATCACTGCATCCTGGGGACGCTCGAGTAGTCCTTGCGGTTGATGTACCCGCTCTTCATCACATCAAAGACGCTGTAGTGCTGCCACAGACTGGTGACCGGGACCTTGGCAACATGAGCTCTGGCGGCGACCTAGATGGCGACGATTACGTCGTGATTTGGGATCAGGACCTGATACCTCCAGAGATAAATTATCCTGCCATGGACTACACAGCGCCAGATCCCCAGATCAGCTCGGGTCAAGTCACAGTCGACGATCTCACCTCCTTCTTTGTCACGCACATCAAGAACGACAACCTTGGCCCGATCGCCGTCGCGCATCGTTACTTGGCCGATGCTGCGTCCCAGGGCGTCAAGCTCAAATCATGCTTGCGTCTGGCTCAACTACATTCTGAAGCTGTTGATTATGCGAAGACCGGCGTACCTGCGGAGTTCCCGAAAGACCTGCGCCCCACGCGTTGGCCTCACTGGAGCGAACAAAAGCACAAGGCAGCTCATAAAATCTATCAATCGAAAGGCATCATCGGCCAGCTCTACGATGCGGTCACTCTCGATTCGTTTTCCGCTGCTCCATGTTCCCTTCCGTTTGATCAACGTATTCTAGGCTTCGCCAGCGATAAGGTAGTCGTTGCCCTGTTGCCAGCCGCTGTCGAAACCAAGGCCGTTTATGATGAAGCTTTGCGTCGGCTGATGTTTCAATACGGTATAAAGTCCGAGTTCGAAGCTTGGACTTCATTCGTCCTTGAACATTCAAGTGACCATGGTGGAGACTGGAAATTTGCCGAGAGTCTTGGCGAGTCCTTTATGGCGCTGAATCACCACTACCAGGATATCTGCTTCGAAAGAGCCGGGACTAGTCGTGACGGGCGTGACTGGGCACTCTTGAAACCATGGGTCATTGCCATGTACAAGGTGACTGCTGATGAGAGCCAGCGCCGTGACAACACTGGTGATCAACAGGTGCCGCTGATATCGTTTCCGTGGCTCTTTCCGCATGAGCTTGGCGTCATTGCTACAGAAGAACACATATTGCCTGACTCATTCTCTCGAGATTCTTCTGACGACAAAGCAGAAACGCCCACGGCAGATTATTCATCATCGCGAGAAAATTCTGATGACAAAGGAGGTCTGCTGGCTGATCCACTGATCCAAAAGCTTCACGATGACCAAACAGAAACGACAACGGCGGATGACTCATCATCACGAGAGACTCCCGATGACATAGGAGAAACATCATCTAGGAACGGAAATGATTCGAGCCTCACATCAGCCAGCCTCCGACATCCATCATCCGAGGTGGTCTCTCCCGCGCCTCCCGAAGGCGCCACATACGACCAGTTTTATAGTGAGCAGGACCTCATGGACTTTAGCGACGAAGAAAGCATGGCAGGCGATGAGAACCGACCTGGGTCTTCGGGGTTGATATTGACGCCTGCAACCTCGAATTTAAATTTGCCCGAGGGAATACGAACCCCATTGGAAAGTAGCGTAGAAGTCCTGAACGGCGCATTCTTGGATATATCCTTCCATGACCCTACAGAAGCAGCCTATAGAGACGAACTACTCGCCCGCGAAGCAGAGATCCTTCGCTTCTCGGATGATGACGCTAGGAGTCTATCGCATGGTCGCTTCACTCCAGCAAGTTCAGCCCTCGATGACGATTTGACTGAGCGAGAGACTCTCGTCAAAGGCTCCACGATGGATCAAAATAATGCGGGAGAAGACGCGCAGGAGAGCAGCGAACAAGGATTGACTTCCAGTCGTCCTTCACTGCTCGATCAACTTAGTGATTTATTGGCAGATTAGAGTAGCTTCAAGGAACAAGAGCAGAAGCCTTTCTTGGTTATCTTCTCCCTTCTCCTCGTATGCTTTCGCCGTGTCGTGTGTTCTCATAGTTAGAATAAGTAGCATTATCACCCCTGAGATCGCGAAGGAATTACATAGATCGCCAAACAGTAATCGGAAGTCACTCCGATGACTAATCCAAAACGTGTCCGCGCCGCCCAGGCCAGAGTAGAATGTAACATCGTTATTATCGTTCGACCGTCGGAGAGATCGACTTGTCCTGCCTTCAAGGCAAGCGTCACTTATCAATCGTCATCAACTTGGCCGGGAGAAGTGATGCGCGAATCGCCGGCCAAACTTCGGCTTGCTACTACACTACGGCTTTGACCCCATACATAGCGGCTTGCATCGGGACAAGCATATTCGGCTGTCATAATAATATCATCAACCACATCTTTATCCCGTCATTCTAAAATTTGCCCTCAGACAACATGATCACCCGCCTATTGGCAATGCAATCGTTGCCGCAGGATGGATTGCCTCCATGCCCAATGCATTCACTGGCGGTGAAACCGTGCCGGGGTCATCCTTTGGACCGGAGCGGTACACGACTGTTGGGTTCTTGAAGGTCAGCAGATCCTCAATGGGAGTCTGTAGGTCAAGAGCTCTTTCAATATCTTTCAAGGAATATGTAGACTACGTGTAATCATACTTCTCGAATTGACACTTCTTTCTCGGTCTGATTCTTCCCTCTGTCACTCAGCTCAGCAATTCCCTTTTGACCATGGAGCTGTCACTATGGTCATTGATCTACAGCGTCAGCGCTGTGAGCTGCCTCATCCTCATCTCCTACACCATCTACACCATCTTCCTGCACCCGCTCGCCAAATACCCAGGTCCACTCCTCGCTCGCCTCACCGACCTCCACTCAACATACCATGCTGTCCACGGCGACCGCCATCTCGAATTCCAACGCCTCCACTCAATCTACGGTCCTATCGTCCGCTTCGGACCCAACAGCCTCTCCTTCAATAGCAGCGTGGCCCTACGAGATATCTACGGCGTCAAGTCGAATGTTCGCAAAGCGCGCTTCTATGAGGCTTTCTGGGCGAACAAACATGCGGCCAGCACGCATAGCGTTATTGATAAGCAGATGCACGCGCGCAAGCGCCGGGTGTTGAGTCAGGCCTTCTCCGATGCGGCGATTCGGGCTGCGGAGAAGTATATCCTGGTGCATGTGAGGGAGTTTTGTGAGAATCTTGGAGGTGGTGAGACGAAGCATCTGCGTGACGGTCGCGGAGTGATTGTCCAAGGTGATGGCACTGCTACTTTCCGGCAGCCGGTGAATTTTGCCGATCAGGCCAACTACTTGACCTTTGATACTCTGGGCGATCTCTGCTTTGGAAAGTCCTTCAATATGCTTCTACGTCCGGATAATCGTTTCGCGATCGATCTCATCGGCAATGCGGCCCGTCGCCATCTCATCTGCGGCACATACCTACCTCTGCATGAGTATCACCTTGACAAATGGCTCTTCCGGCAGATCGCAGCTGGACGCGAGCGTTACATGCAATATTCTCGCCTGCAGGCCGCTGAGCGGATGTCATTGTCATCTTCCACGGCAGGGGACAAAGGATCAAAGGAGGAGCGCAAGGACTTCTTCTACCATCTGACTCACGCCATCGATCCCAACACCGGCGAGCGAGGCTTTCCTTCACCCACCGAGCTCTGGGCTGAAAGCAACCTCCTGATCATTGCGGGTTCGGATACGACATCTACAGCTCTGGCGGCGACAGTGCATTACCTTCTCCACTCACCCCGAGCAATGGAGAAACTGACTCAAGAGGTCTTTGAGGTATTCCCTCTCTCAGACGAGTTGTCAGGGGGCGTTGAAAGAATCACGGGGCAATCCGCCTCTTCGATCAAGCTACCATACCTCCGAGCCTGTCTTGACGAAGCAATGCGACTCTCTCCCTCTGTGCCGGGTCTCTTGCCCCGGGAAGTCATGCCCGGGGGTGCGACCATTGATGGAGTTGATATCCCAGCAGGGACGATCGTAGGCGTTCCACATTACACCCTGCATCGGAATGCGAGATATTATGAGCGCGTGGATGAGTATTGGCCGGAGCGATGGCTAGTGGGCGCGACAATTGCTGGTGGAGTCGTGACGCGGGAGGCAGTAGATAAAGCGGTGGGAGCGTTCTGTCCCTTTAGCATTGGAGCCCGAGGCTGCATCGGTAAAGGTACGTCTGATATCGCGTCTAATACTCCCCGGTCTGCGACGGAAAAGAATTTCGAAGATGATCAATCGCCAAATTCAGTGTCGTTGTTGACTGATCGACTAATCACACATCGCAGGTCTGGCCTACACACAACTCACCATCGCCCTGGCCCGTATTATCTACCTGTATGAGATGCGACTCGCAGAGGACAAGCCAATGACGGGATTCACTGTTGAGTATCAGCTCAAGGACACATTCACGAGCGCAAAGGACGGGCCAATGGTGCGCTTCCGGCCGAGGTCGAGAGTCTCGGCTTCATCATGAGGCCATTTGAAAGGCTGAGATCAGGATGTGGTGTGAAAAGCTTGTTGAGCGGAGAAATAACCGCTAGGGACATTGACAATGTTCTATCGATCGGAACAAAAGCGGAAATGTGTGTCATGGTGCTTGTCAAGATGGGTCTCCTGACTCTCTCATGTATTGTCTAGAAAATATCTTCACGAACTCGCTCGGCCGACAGAGCGGATATGCTTATCACGAAAGCCACTTTTTGTGCGAAATTGTCCTGGCGGGTGGTGTGATGGTTTCGTGAGCTAAATCTGCGCGAGAAGAATAATCCTTCCAGTCGTGACTGGTCGAGCACTAGAGTCCGGCAAATGGGGGTGAACTGTGATGACTCATCAGAAACGAGACTTCTGGGATTAGTCATGGGGTCATGTCGCCCGGCGGGAAATTGCAGGTGGCTTGATACCTTCTGAAATCTGCGAGCATGTCGTCCTTTACAACAGAGGCCCTTGAAAGAACCTCCTGAGCGCCTTGTGTTGTGGAGGGATTGGTGAATCGGCGTGTTTCGCCGACATGGTGCAGGTACATGCAGATGTACACCTGGGCAGATACGATGCTAAGAGTACGTACAGGACCTAGATATGTACCGAGTTACTTGTGCCGTTGGCGCGGCCGCAGTCGTCTCTAATAATAAAAGCGAACGGTGCGAAGTTGGAATGCTCAGACCGAGAGACAGGTCGAGCACCGGGATATAGATCCCCCTCTCTCTGTGTTCGCCTATCATATTCCTTCCCGTGGCGTTTGCGATGGTGCCACTGTCGCATACATCTTAAGCGAGCTCATACATATCTCGGTTAAGCAACTACCCTGTCGTGTCGTCTCACTCCCCTACTCAAATCTGCAAACATCCTCACGACACGAGGGGAGAGAGTGACAACGCGCGACGGAGGGAGGAATACGAGAAGACGATGGGAAAACTGGGCAGAGTTTCCAGGGCAGACTACTACTGATGGCGTTGGCGTGTTTGACTCGACCATATCGTGATTAGCGTGGCGGTTATGCGCCCGAATTAGCGGCCACACACGAGAAAGCTGAACCAAGCAAAGGGAAAAACGTGCCTTTCGCCGCTGGCCTGCGCCCACGCCAGAAAAGAAGCAAAGGGCGAGATTTTAAGCCTCTCAACCACACACGTCCACGCACCTACCACCACTTCACACAGCATCACCTCATCACTTTTCATCATTCTCTCTCATCGTCGCTGCGAGAGATCCAATTGCACCATTGGTCAGATTGCGCACATGCCTGGCTGGCCTCTGGTCTTATCTCTCCTGTCCTTTCCTGTCCTGTCTCGTCCTTGTTTCTGGCGATCCTCACTCATCTCACACACACACATCGCTTTCATTGGAATGGAAGCTATTCCCACGCGTCGTGGGTGTGATGATCCTTTGCAATATCATGATCACCACCAGCAGCAGCAGCAGCAGCAGCAGCAATCGTGGTAACCGGTCGTATTCACCCACCAATACCTGCCGCTTACGCCACTACTGATGCGAGGCTGCTGGCAACTCAAAACAATTAGGCTTTTCCCTAGGACTGTGCAGCCCAGTCGGAATTCACTATCGGTCGTTTGCGGCGCGGTTTGATGGTTTCATGAGCAATTTGATCGGTTTTTAGACGCTTGCGCCTTCGACATCACCACCCCGGTCATATCTCTCTCAACACAACCGCTGCTGCTCCTGCTCCTGCTTTATCCCATGTAACGGCGAGGTTTATAAAATAAAAAAAGTTTTGCGGAAAAAAACGGGAGGAAGAGCACCCACTCTCGTTCGTTTGAAGAGTCTCTGGTGTACTCGGTCTCCCATTCGCGACCTCACATCCCGCGCTGGCTCAGTGTACGTACTGAACAGTATAGCAGCACAAAAAGCTTGTCGCATGCTGGTGCTCCGATACGTCGCTCAGCCCATGGGAATTCCGATGCGGCGGTGCTAGACGGCAGTGTCACGAAACTTGCATTAGGTGTGTTTCCAACAGAGAGGTAGGTCATTGGGCTGGTGGTCTGGCATTCGATTCTCCCATGCCGCATTCCATCACCCACCCACACACACCACCACATCATCGCCGTCGCCCTCTCACTTTTTTATCCTCGTCGACCCTGTTCACGCCAACGCCGCAACAGTAGCGGCGGCAGTGGTATTAAGGAGATCGACTGGGCGATATTAGGATGATGTTACGGTCATCAGCACCGATTCATTATCGTAAGGAAGGTAGGAGAGTCCGATATTGATTGTTACACCTCTCGCTTGCATCCACACAAGCTTTCTCTTTCGTTGTCTCTTCTTCTTACATCTCTCGTGTGCAACATCGCGTCGCTTTCTCCCGATTGAACGATGGAACGTGACTAGCATCGATCTGTGCGACTACTGCGCCAACACCACCACGAGTCCTCGAAGACACAACATCAGGAACTCAACCCTCTTCACTGTTCCTTTCGTCTCTCTTTCTGTTTAATCGTGAAACTATCCGTCGCGATGCTACTTCACTGCGGCAATCGCCGTATGCTCCCAATCATCTTGGGAATCACTCTCGGAACCATCCTCATCCTCATCACGATCCGTCCGCAATATCTCCACACCACCACATCATACGTCCAACATCTCGCCTCCTCCGGCCGAACGCGCGACCACTCGTCGCCCTCGCATTCAACGAAAACACAACAAGAGGTTCCTCTTCAACCAGAACAACCGTCAGCGCATCATCAGCAGCAAGAACATACCGCGAACACGACGTCCGTCACCTCAGCTGACAAAGTCAACAACACCGAACGCTTCCATCTCGTCAAATCCCTCTCCGGTCCGGATGGCGCCTACGTCGACATCGATTTCCGCGGCCGCAAAGGTTACAATCCTAGCATCATCCCGCATCCAATGCTCACGGACAAGTGGATCGCCGTCGCCATGCAACACCAATTCTGGAGCGAGGATATTCATTCGGGTTTCAAGGCGCAGATGGTTTGCCTGGCTTCGTGGAAAGATGGTCGTATTGTCTGTGATGATCCGCCAACCTCGTTTTCAACTCGTCCAACTATGAGTGGAAATTGTGATGTTCCAGACTGTGAGTCAATCTTCCCTTTACTTATCACTTGGTCGATTCGTACAGCTCCAATCTTTTTGCTAACCTGATACCCTTTTGACAGTCCCCATGGTGGGTATGGTAGCTCTGAGCGTCGGAGCTCACGATCCGAGAGTCTTCTTTGGACCCGAGAACCCCTACATCGTCTATGGCAGTTTGAGCAACTACGATAACACTGTTTGCCTCGGTCAATGGATTCAGGATTTCCGTGTGCTTGTGGAATGGGGTCCATTCATCGGCCCATGGATCGACTTCGGCATCTCTCAGGAACTCGCTCGTCCGCCGCCCACCAGTCCTATCGAGAAGAATTACTTCGTCTTCTGGGATTCGCAGAACGTCATGTATACCCATTATGATCTGGCACACCAGCGATCGTTCGCGCGCGTCCTGAATGCCCAAGGTGAGGTCGGATTGGATCTGGGCAATGTCTCGCAGTTGAACAATGAGACACTGGCGCGGCAGAATAACCTCACTTCGACCGACGTCGAACTCTACACCAAATCCGCAGACTCGGACGCGAAATGCTGGAAGCACTGGATGGAATCCGCACCGTTGCTCGCAGGGGCGCATATCCACCAGGCGACAAACAGTCTCAGTGTGACACTCTGCTCGCCGAAAGAGGACGGCGAAGAGAACTGCAAAGTCTCCGATGAGAATACCTTCCTGATGCACATCTTCCAAGCCAAGACGATCGATCCCAAGGTGAACCACGGAGAGCAGACCTATGACCCATATGTTGTTCTCATGAAGCGTTCCGCACCTTTCGGAATCCACGCGGTTTCGAGATTGCCTCTACGCTTCGTCGAGCCGACCAAAGAAGAGCAGGAGAAGCGAAGACTCGCCAACGAGAAGCTATATCCTCTTCACTCGCGCCAGCAGCGCCGCGAGACCACCCACCAGGAGCAGAGGAATTCCACCTCGCAACGCCTGCGGCGCGACGACGGCTCTGACGCGCAGCGAGAGGAATCCCGCGAATTACTCTACGTCACCTCGATGAACTGGAAGGAGAAGGATAAATACTACCACGGCTTCATCGACGATGTCATCTTCATCGGATTCGGCCGCAGCGATCGGGAGAACAGCATGGTGGATGTCACGCCGCGGGAGCTCATCGGAGAATTGTTGATGTGCTGAGCCAAGCAGGATCCGAGATCGCCCAGGTCGGTCTCGCTCAAAACAATTTCTCATCTTTTGGAGACGTGATCACCTCGCTCGTCATTTGGGAGGAAAATGAGATCCTGTCCGATGAGGTCAAAGGCATCGCGTCTATCCGAAATCTTACGCTCATTGAGAGCGCCACTTCCTCGCCGGGGTCACACCACGGAGAGACGACCCGCAAGACTCGAAATCGGTCTGCAAGCATGGCCGACGATGGTCAAAACCTGCAAATGCCCGGCTGGCTCATCAGTCTCTCGATCGACCTCTGCCGACACATCAGTGAAGACTCGGCTGAGAGTCCGGGAACGTATCCTTGGACTTCTCCGGATACGCAGTACGCAGTAGAGTCCCAAACGCAGCTGGACCACCGTCCGCGAACGATGCGTTTTTCACTCTCGGTGGCAGCAGACACGGCATTCTTCCTGAAGAGCCGCAAAATCGATCTGGCTTCGATGTTGTCTGGACATCGCTGGGATGGCGTCTATGGCCTAGTCGCGCCATTCCCGCAAGCAGCAGCTGTTGCTGTGGTGGCAGATGCAGAGTGTGATGCGCCCAGCCGAAAAGGGAAGGGCAATTCGTGCTTTCTCTTGGAGGAGGTGAACTCGAGACGTCTTGCCAGGAAACGATTTGGTCTTCCTGTGCAGGTTTCCGAGAGCGGACATAGATCGTCCGCTCGAGTTGCGAAGGAAAAAGGAATTTGTAATCCTTGCATTTTATATTCTTTTTCTGATTCTGGAAGCGGGAGTTTTGGGCCTGCTGTACAGCATTTTCCCAAGCGGATACGGATAGAAAAGGGGGCCTCCAAATTATCATAATGTATAGGAAGGGAGAAATCGACGATCACTGCTATCAAGCCTTCGAATTTCTTCGGGCAATTTCCAAAACATGTTCTTCAGTATTTGTATACTCCGCACCGTCCAAGTGGACCCACCGTCCCTCCCTCACCAAAGACAAAAAGAAGACCTCCTACTCCGGCACAGGACATAAATCATAGTTCCCCACCGCGCCATAGTTCCCCCACCACGTCGGAAACGGCACACTCGGCCCACCCGCGCCGAACACCGCGAACGAAAGGATGAACAACGCCGTCAACGCCGCGCCGTCCCAGGCCGCCGTGACCAAGTATGAGTAGTCCTTGAAGATCCGCGGCTTCTTGTTGCGGAGGAAGGACTGTACGAAGAAGCCTGCGATCACGGAAGAGAGGAGGATGCAGGTCTGGCTGGCGTTGTAGGGGATGTAGCCGGCGAATTGCAGGAAGGTGGGGATGTTGATTTCGGAAAGGGAGAGGGATTTGGTGCGGGACAGGCGGAGGCGGGGGTAGAACTGTGAGGGCTCTCGTTAGTGGGTGGTTTCAAATCAGTTGAGGGGGGCGAAGGTGGTATTGAATAGCTGTGGCTTACCTTGGAGATCACCCAGTGAATGAATACGAGGCCGCCGCCGACTAGGAGACCAAAAGGAACCATTTGATATGGTTTGCCGATCTGGTAGAGGTAGCGGGCCAATGCCCAGGCGGTGGCGTTGGTATTGAAGGCTTGAATGTTGGCACCGCTCCAAGAGCTGTTGCCGTTGGTATCTCGGAGGAGCTCCGCGTTGGCGGTGATGATGGAGACCATAACGGCGTAATTGATGAAACCTCCGAAGATGGTGCCCCATACTTGGGTGAGGAACATGGTGCGCGGAGGGATCTTGACTGCAGAGATTGGAGCGTGAACGTGTCAGCATATATATACGGAACCGAGTGTGCGATAGGAGGGAGAGCATCCGGAACGGGAAGGCTTACGATACTCGCCCATCTTAAGATCGGCACTCAGGTTGATGCAATTGCTGACCACTGTGTGTGACCAAGCAGAAAAGTACATGTTTCCTATTGGTCGTTCAGGAACGAGGAGTCCTGCCATCATTTTGGAAAGATTGTTCGTAGCAATGCCGTTTCCAAATCGAGAGTAGAGGATGGAGCTCTGTGTCGAGTCAGCGAAGATTTCGTGCAAGGTCGGGCGGAACGGCAGTGAGAGATACTCACAAAAGGCGCAATTATCGATCCCAGAATCAACGCTACAACGTATGCCCAGGGCGTCAAGGTGATGTTCTCTTTGAGGACGACGACGAGCCCCAACACGAAGCTGAGCACCAGCACAAGAGCATACCACCACTGTGGAACCTCCTTGTACTTGCGTGACATGTATTCGTGATGACGATCATCATAGCGACCCTTTCGAGCGCTGCGGAAGGCGTCCAGGATGTCCTTGCCCCAGAAGAGGAAGCAATGAACGATCAAGGCGCCAATCTGACAATGAAGATTAGCGAAATGATGGATGCGACAACATGTTACTACTTCTGGTCGTGCTTACAGCAGCATTGGCCATGAACAGGGACCAGGTGAAAGTTCCAGAGAGAGCAGGCAGACCATATTTGGCCAATGCCTCATGATCAAGGATTCCATTAACAAATACTTTCGCGCTCGGATATCGTCCACCCGCTTGTGTGCGGAGCTGTGTGGACATGAATGGCTGCGATTGAGCATTCCAGATGTTACCATAGTAGATGATGAGCATTGCTGCCATGCATACTACAAGACCGACAGCTTGGTGCCATTGGAATTTAAGCGGGAGTGAAGTTTGAAAGGACGTAATCTGCAAGTAAGTCAGCGCCGCGAAATACGATATGGTTGGGATCTGAAGGTATACGGCATGATGATCGTTAAGTTGTGAGATTGCGAGGTTGCGAGAAGGAGGTGTTAGATGTGAGGTGGGATGTGTGATGTTGCTGGTCGCGAATCGGCGAGGTGAACAACCATTGCTTGCTATCAAAAGGAAAGAAGACAGCGATGCGATCGGAGATCGATTCTCACACGCGGCAGGAATATCACATTTCAACGAAAGTAAGGGGGCCTCACATATTGCCAATCAAAGGTCAATGAAAACATGCCGAGCCCTTCGTTGTTCGTTGCACCACCGAAAAGCATCGTCAAAGTCTTCGCAGTGGCGCCTTGCGCATTCATGGAAGCCAGGCACGGAACGGAGACCGAGTTGAGCCATGGCCAGATGTACGCCGGGAGGAACTCGTAGCAGAACATGCTACCGAACGCATACCAGAAATAGCGCATCGGCTTGGAATCCTTTACATCTTGCCAATGGAGGCCCTGGAGCGCCTTGACCGTAGGCAGATTGGACCAGTAGACAGCTTCGATATGCCATACTGTTATCGGACGGAACAGACCGCAGAGCCCGTATCCGAACATGCCGATGGATATGACGCTGAGGATCACGGTGGCTGGTCTCAGAGGCAGATCGTAAAACAGGGATTGTGCGGCAAACGCTTGACTCGCGGAGATGGCATTGGATGCCGAGTTTGCCGTGATTGCACAAATCGCATGCTCCTTAAGACCCCATGGACCTGGATTGATCAAGCGGAGGAATCTCAACCAAGTCCGTGCGGAAGAGGAAGCATTGTCGAAACGACCCTGTTGTCTGAGCTTTGCTTCGTAATGGTCAGCGCGTGGCAGTAGACGAGCCCAGGCATTGCCGGCAAAGTAAGCAATCAGCACGATGAATGTCCCTTGCAAGCTAATCATAGTTGGTTTGTACTGGACAAGTCAGCAATTGTTCCTCCATATAAGTGATGTTGTTCACTACAGGGAGAACTTACAAAATAGATTTGACTCATGACCGCCTGGAAGGCAGCTAAACACGTAGCCAGAAAGATCCCGCGAAAGGACAATGCTGGATCGCCGTCATCGCGCATGGGTAGCAAGTATTTCGTCGCATCGGCGGCTGTGACAATGATGCGCCCAGAAGAATCCTCTTCGTCGGGCTCGCCGCTGCTGCCATTGCTCAGGTCCGTCTTTACAGACGTTATGCCAGCCGTCTTGAGGTCGACATCTTCGCCAATGCTGTTGGCGTTGATGGTTGTCTCGAGTTGCTTGATGTCCTTTTCGTTCAGGGCAACATGGCCAGTCGGAGCCACTATGCCTTTGTTCTCGACAGTACTCGTTCCCAAGCCGACAAAATCATCCGAGATGGGTGCCATATTGTAAACGCCAAGCTTTGCAGTCAGAACAAGCTCTTGTGGCGACAGACGAAGGACACACACTAGCCTTATGGGAAGGGATCTTGGGAGTGCGGCAGGTGAGACATGGGTATATATCAATACATGGAGCTATCATTTGATGCAGCGTATCCAATTGCGCCACTGTCTACTCGCGCTACTGTAAAATGGTGACATGATCCTCCTTCGGCTCAACTCGCCGATGAAGACCGACGCGATGATCGATGTAGAAGGTGCTGTTTATGCGTCAAAGAATGGGATGGTTGTGATCTTCCGGCGTTGTAGGACGATGTAGTGGAGATAGGTGAGGTGCTGCGGGTGCGATTAGCCCACTATCAGATAAGGCTTCGGACGTCACACCCTCCGAGGACTCGATTTTGAGCACATCATCCGGAGCAATAGACAAATCCGTGGGATGCAGGGTGGCCTGAAACATTCCAGAAAGGAAGCATCATTGGTCGTTTGCGACGGGACGATGTCGATCGCGGTAGCGTCGGTCTTTGTACTGTACTTCGACTGCGCTTGCACCATATCTTGTCCCGTTGTCTGCACGCGATGTAACCGTGCCGCGCGGACACAATGCGATATCCACCAGCAGGGAGTGAAAAGAAAATTGCTCATGATTCATTTCGCGTCATCCGTGGCGGTATTGCGTCTGTTCAGAATATGATGTTTTGCTTAATATCCGTGTCTCATTGCCAAAGATTGTTGCTACGAAGAACCTGTCGCGTCTGAATGCAGGTGGCTAGTGCTTCATCGGACGGTTCATGGATGGTAGACATCGATTACATTCACTATGTGCGGAACGCAAGTCCGATGCAAAACAATTTACAAGGACAAATTCTCTTCATTGCCCTTTACCGTTTTGGTGCCATTTTCAAAATTATCAAAATACATGGATGCTGCGCCAATGCATGTCATGAGATATTTTTTGACAACGACGAGAAGATCGGACGCCCATTGGATAGGTTCACATGCGCTTCTTGTTGACGGATCACCTGAATACCGAAGCGCTGAGTAACGTTGATAAATTTGAATCATGCAGAGTCCGTATACCGCGAGCCGACGCACTTTGGTCTCAACGATGCAGCGAACGTGAGACGTTTGGTCTTCAACATTTGCACGAGCAAGAACCATAACGCCGTGTGTAACGTTCAGATATGAAGCACTACAAGGCTGGAAAGAACACGAACTTGACCAGAGCATCACCAAAGCGGTGATCAAAGAGACATGGGAACAGATTTATTAGCAGCGGAATGGAGTATAAATTGCTCGAAAGAAGAAAAAGAGAAGGAAGAGAAAATCATAGGATCCTGCAACGGGACTTCTTCGTTCGTGCCACCGGTCTGGGGCTGATGACGGCTCTGCATGGAGGCAAAAGGCTTGTTAGCAATGCAAAACACTGAGCGTACAACAATCTGGGCCCGACATTTATAAGATCAGTGGGAGGGTTGGACGTACTTGATAGCTTCATCGAATACACTCTTCAGATTTCGCTGTGTCAAGGCCGAGCACTCCAGGTACTTGACAGCCTTGATGTCCTTAGCAACCTGCACAGCTTGCTCGTACTGAATTGGCGCCATCTTGCGTTGTCGGAGCTGCTCGCGAACCTCTGGGTCATCGCGCAGATCGAGCTTGGTGCCTACAAGGATGATTGGAACGCCGGGTGCGTGATGCTCAATTTCAGGGTACCACTGTTGTAGACGATGTGTGTTAGAGATGCAAGCCGCCGCTGGGGTGATTGCCTCGTGCAATGCTGAGGACTCCCACAGGCCAATTTGACGCTGTGATGAAACGGAAAGTGATTTACTGACCTTCGCTTTGACGTTGTCAAATGACGCAGGGCTGACAATGGAAAAGCATATCAGGAAGACATCGGTCTGTGGGTAAGAGAGAGGTCGAAGTCGATCGTAGTCTTCCTGTCCAGCAGTATCCCAAAGACCCAGACTTATCGGCTTGTTGTCAACCATGACACTGGCGGAGTAATTATCGAAACTGTTATCCAGAATTTTGTCTCAGCCTTCCTATCGGACTCAAGTTTGTGTATTTCCCAGTTCTCGCCTCTTTTCCTGAATAGTGATATCGGGCCGGGAGAGCTTACACCGTGGGAATATATTCGCCCGGAAACGCATTGGTTGTGTATGAGATCAGGAGACATGTCTGTGTCAGGCCAACATCAGCTCTTTCTGCTCTCTTGCTTTAAATATGGCGCAGCGCATTCCTGCGCATTGCGTCGGGTATCGGGTTATTGGCGTCTTACCTTGCCGACAGCACCGTCACCAGTCACCACGCACTATTGGAGAAACCTTTGTCAGTCCACCGATTCCCCTGCTGTAATTCAAGCTTGGAACACCCACTTTCAGCGACGTCGTTGCAGGGGCGGCCATGTTTATTATGTCGTAAGAAGTATTCTAGGTGCAATTTGTCCTGAATATGCGCTTCGCAGGTCGTAATGGGAATGAACTGATGTGTTGGAACCGTTAAACTCGAGTCGACGACCGGTTGGTGATTGTCCTAAGCCCAACAATATGTCCTGTCTTGGTTTCTGATCACAGCTCTTTCTTCAAGGTGTTGGTTGTTTCACAGGTCGACGCGATGACGCTTCTGCAGCAAACAGTGGCAACGAACAGCAAATAACCAGTAATGTCGCTACCAGGGACTGATCCGTGGTCGCGCCCGGCGGGATAGACAAGATGGCGGAGTGCGATTGGGAGACAATCAGGAAGTCTGAGCGGGCCGTTGCGCGCGCGCCTCGAGTTGATTGGCTGATAGGACATATCATCAGGGCTGCATACAGTTATTCTTGTTGTGCCAGCGAGCGAGAATTATTTCCGTTGACTTGGCTTCAGCGTTTATATTCGAGCCTACAACTATGCTCAAGTGCCCAGCGAGTGCAAGTGACGATGTCGTACCTCTGTCTAAGCTATGCGCGCAAGTTATGGAGCACATGCGCGATGCAGGATTGCGCTCCCAAACGCAGACAGATTGATTCCCTAAAACTGGGCGTGCCCCGTGCAGCCGCTTGTGGCCCAAGCTTCTTTCCAGTCATCACTGACACGAGGAAGCGCCCCAACAAAGAATACCGTCTATCAGGAGGCGTGGGCCAATAATCTGCAGAGCAATCCCGGTATCTGTGTCCCTCTGATTGCACTTCACCGGCGGCGGCGTTTTGGTACGAATAGAACTGCTCAGCAAACAGGTTCGTGATTTGGGCCGTGTGATAATAATTGTAGAGTACTTGTGGTTATATGGTCATAAGAACCAAGACTGCCAGGAGTCTGGTTTGTGATTGCAACGCCTTCGCGGACCAACCAAAACGTGTCTCCTCCAGGCTAACCCTGACGCCGTTGTGACTGAGCACCACCGTATCACGCTCGTCATTGGAAGTGGTGAACACACAGCTGCACTTTATGGAGATGCCACGAGATCTTGCCAGAGATTCACGTCCCGTGCAGTCGGGATGTCGCGAAGTGATGGTAGAGAGATCGAGCTCGACGAATTCGCTACACCTACCATCTACAGCGAAGAGAATGTCTATATTCTGGGGTCAAGCCGCAAACAACAAGCCTACCTGGCCAGAGCTCATCCGAATTGCATTTGTGTCAAGCATGGCAATGGCATGGTGTCGAAGTGAAGGACTCGGGCTTTATCTGACACAGATCTTGGAGGGGCCGCAACAACAGTCTACCTTGGTATAAACGGACTCCTCAGTGCGTGTCCAGCCTTGAGCAAGGCTAGCAGGAGGCTGAATGGTCACGATTGCGTGCCTCCGCATACTGTATAACGTTTAACTCTACATTGAATGTTTCCAGAGATTGAATGTGACAAGTAGCATATTAGTCATCGGTGAGATAAAGCACGAGTTCACCTAGGTACTAAGTAGTCATCGCAATGCCCTGCAGCCCTGGAGGTGATTCCTTATATTTGAGCGGCCAATGATCAACGAAGGCATATTGCGAGTGATACATGTAATCAGTCACGACTCCTTAATGAGGGAAAGCTCTGATTGCGACTTACTCGCAGGATCGCTATCTCTGAGCATCAAGCTGCAATACCCAGGTATGTAATATGGTAAGTAGTAAATTTTCTTTTGGTCTGATCCTGACCCGGTCCAAGGGAGGTACCAAGTGAGACAACTTCGCAAATACACTACTTTCGTAGCGGCTCGTTTGATCAGCACCTTCTCGCCATACGATTGCGAGCCATGACAGTAAAGATCTGCTCAACACAGTGCGATTGTCCCTGTCGTTAGCACCGAATGCATGTTGCCAGGTAGTCCGCAATGAGACTTGCAGATCCTTGCAGATGTAGTACTGTGGTTGTACCAGAACTTGGCCATCATTAGTAGTATGCAAGCGTGTTGAACACTCCGGCGGCGAATTCTTCAGCTCTGGCGTGTGTGAAATACCTGAGATGGTAATCCCACTTGTTCAGGTGCGACCATGGTACTGAGCACAGTTCCAGTAACCTCGTCCGCATGCCGAGATGGGTTCGCCTCATTGCCCTTGCTTCACTGGAGTTCTCATCACCGGGACCGATACATAAATTCTTGTGCGATGCTCGACAGGGCACATATGGCAATATAAGTGTAGACAGTGTTGAGTGATTACGTACCTCGCATATATGTGCAGCCAGGATTTCATGATTATGTGGTTTTATGCTCTCCCGCACCGAGGTCCAGAAGTGCCGTCGACCTTTCCCAGATAGGTAGGTGCAGCGGCCACCCTTCTCGCTTAACGTTTGTTTCGACGGACGAACAAACAGGATGGCGTGGATGGTTATTCACGTGTACAGTCTGATGATCAACGATCGACAACAGTACACCACTGGGCCCAGTCGGGAGGCGACGTCTGCACACCATTGTGGTTGTTCTGGAAGGTGCACGAGCTGCCCGTGACATCGGAAAGCCTGAGTCCACGTCGTAAAAAGGCACAAACATCCTTCTATGCGAGAGCGACTATCGATCACGGTCGCCGGTCGCAGAGCTGTCCTTGATCGTGCCCACCAACAATGCAACCAGCTTCGAGCATATGCATGAACAGCATATTGCAACAATGGTCAAGCATCTATTGTCACGGGACATGCGTGTCTTGCTCAACTATCACTGGTCATACTGTATTGCATCTCGGAGTGTCAAATGCTTCTGCAAACCCTCTGTCCAATGCCAAGGAGTTGTCGTCGCTTATTATTTACTGAAGCTGTCGCGTGAACCAGAGCCAAGTCTGCTCTAAGACCTGTCGATCGAGACTCACTGTGGCGGCCGAAGCGACCAGCCACCCATCGTCAGTGACAGTATCTCCCCGGGGCACTTGCCATTCATCATTGCCCACTTGATTCTGTTTCAATCATTATAGTGCTGACTGCATGGATGCAGAATCGCGGGGGGAAATCGCCTAAAGTGCTACCGAGCGGAGATTCCCGCTCCCGTTCTGAACGTCTTCCCTTCGAGAAACACAACGAGATTCAAGCGATGTTGATGCTCATCCATGAAAACTCTATCATCCATCAGAGCCCTGGAGGATCAATCGCCATCCGGCAGACCATCTGGTCTCCATTGCGTCCTCAGCAATGTTGATACGACTTGTATCAGCTCGCACGCCAACCCAGTGACAAGGATCTATTCGAGTCCCCGCTCGCAGGAGGTGGCGTACCACTACTGCGAATCTTTGTGTCAAGTGCTGCTTGGTTTGCTTGGCAATTCCGCCGCTCCTCACAAGCGTCATCGGATTGCCGTTTTGAAGCACGTTGCTCGTTATTGCTTCCACGCGATGTGTCTATGGGTTTGTACCGTTACTAACGTTTGACGCCGTGTTGGTATTCGAAACACGAATGGAGTGGATCTGCGTCTGATCATTAAGACAATAGACAGGACACGCGTCAGGCTTCGCATGTCGCTGGAAAGTGCAGGCAGGCTGGAACAATGATATTGCACGCGATATCAAGCTCTCACAAGAAATTCTTGGTATCTCGGCCAGATCCTGCTGTTCCCGCTGACTCGCCTTGAGAGTAACTGTCTCGCTGCTCCACGGCAATTCCTGCATGTCGAGGCCTCACGTTGCGGTTCACTCTGGTGGCAACTCGAATTCTTCGAAACGTGAGTGCCTCTCGAAGTGATCACTTTCGAAATCGGTTCCGCAATAGAATTCCTTCTTGCCCTTCCTTTGGTGGCGATGGCTTACATTCCCTGACAACAGGTCAGTACCTAAATGTCAATATTCGTTGCATAAGTCTAGCCTTATTCTGGGCTGTATCCGAGTCCGAAGAGCCAATGTCGAAATGTCTCCATGCCACAAAGGGTATCGGGGCGGGCTAGCGCGTTGGAGATTATCCCGAGGTGACCATCCTGTAGTTCACCCCAGTTTCTAGTTCTGTGGGGACGACGATCCGTGTGCGGGGACAGCCAAGTATTTGCGAGATGCGCCATTGGTCAACGATTGAGATCAGGTACTGTTGTGAACGGCATGGCATTGACGGTGCAAAGTCGTTCACATGGCGCGCTGAGATAGGCATTAGTGATTTGGTATATATCTCCTTCCATCCCCCCTTGCTGACGCTCTCCTTCGACCTGCCAGTGTGAAAAGCTGGGAACCTCTCCGTCGCTGCCTCCTCTCAATCTATCCACCATCTTCACACAACTCCTCCAATCACCATGGCGCCAGTCGATCTGGCCGAGAAGGCCTCTGTCGCTACCGGCGTGCACACCTTGGAGCTGGACGAAAAGGACGTCACCCAGATCAACGTGACCCCCAAGAAGAGCAGCTCTCTGAACAGCGATGAAGAGTCCCGCCTCAAACATGTCGACACCTTCGGAACTCAGCCGAGCACTACCACAACGAACGTGCCTCTGATGCAGAACGAGCTCTATCGCGATGGCGAGCTGATTCTGATGCCCGCCCCAACACAAGATCCCCGCGACCCTCTCAATTTGACTACCAGGCGCAAGATCGTTGGCTTGACCTGCCTCTGCCTGTTCGGTGCGCTGGCCGCTGCCGCAGAGTTGATCCTCGGTGCCTTGTTGCCCGTCTTCGCCCTAGACTATGCAGGGCTCGACCCCAAGATCCTCAAGCCATTGTCCGAAGCTGGTGGTCTACCGGTGGGTAGTGACCCTTTGAAGTTCTTGGCTGAACTTCCTAATGCACCTCCAATCTGGAAGGTGTACCTGCTCGCCTCGTTGCCTGTCCTCGTCATCGGTCTCGCCAATCTGATTCTGATTCCCATGGCCATTGCAATCGGTCGCCGACCCGTCGTTCTCGTCACTGGCGTTATCGCTGTCGCCGGTGCAATTTGGGCCGGATTCAGCACTTCTCTCGAGATGCACATCGCTGCGCGTTGCGTCCAGGCAGTCGGTGCCGGCACCGTCGAGAGTCTGATCCCATTCATCATTCAGGATATGGTACACGTGCACCAGCGCAATACCTGGATCTCCGGTGTGTTCGCTCTGCAAGGTATTCTGATTATTGCCTTGGGTGCGGCTGCACCTTTCTGGGTCTACTACATCAGTTGGCGCTCTGTCTACTTCATCACTGCCGGCTCCGCCGTCCTCTTCCTGATCGGTACATTCTTCTTCATGCCCGAAACCCGCTGGGCCCGCACTCGCAGCGAAATGAACGGCATCCCACGAGACGAGAGCAAATTCACCGTGGCGCCGCGCACATTCAAATACGACATCCAATTCATCACTGGCGCGTCGCAATGGAATAAGTGCTACACCGCTCTCCTCGACACCCTCTACACATTCTTCTACCCTCAGATCTTCTTCATCACCATGTTAAACAGCGCCATGATTGCCTGCGCCTTTGCTGCTGGCTACACTGCATCCCCTGCGCTTCTGACAAAGCCATGGTCGTAAGTTCACCCGTTTCATACTCATGACTCATCAGAAGAGGCATGGATCATCTGCTGACACATCTCAATCCCAGGTGGCATTTCTTCTCGCTCGGTCTCTGCCTGGTCCCCATCATCTTCGCCTCCATCGCCGTTGCTTTCGTTACCGGAAACATGGCCGACTGGATCGCCAACAAGGTCGCTCAGAAGCGCGGCAGGCGTGTCCCGGAGAATCAGCTCCTCAACCTCATCTTTCCCACGGTCTGCGCGCTGGTCGGCTCCATCATTTTCGGCGTTGCTGGTCAGAACCAGACACAATACCACTGGGCCGTCTTCCTCCTGGGTCTTGGGCTAATGGCCTTCGGCTTCCTCGGTGCTAACACCATCGGTGCGGTCTACGTCTTGGAGGTCTACCCTCACCTTGCGGGACCCTCGCTTGTCAACATTGCCTCATTCCGTTGCTTGATCGCCTTCATCCTCAGTTTCCAGGTTTCTGAGTGGGTTGCCAATCTTGGCTACCTGAACTCCTTTGTGTGAGTCCTCTCCATTTTTCTCCCGCGGAAACTTTTCGTCCATTTTGTGCTGATATTGACTTTTCACAGAATCTACACTGGAATCATGAGCGTCTTCGCTCTGCTGATCCCTGTGGTGTACTACTACGGTCCGGCGTGGCGCGAGAGATGGCCTGCTGCACGATTGGGCGACAACCGCGACCTATAGTTGGGGGTCAAATATTCATGAATGAACGAAATTTCTGTTGCTGTGAAGATTGTTGGTCTCGTCCTGATCATGTGACCTTGCTTTGACCTATCATAAATGTGCCAAGCATCCAGACACGAGAATACTGGCAGGGCTACGGAACGTAATTGCAAATATGCCCATGTGAGTACCACCTGGGTGTGTAATATGACCAATCAATCGCAGAATGGTTACGAGGTGAGGATATGACGACCATGGGTCAACGGCCGTCAACCAAAATTTGGCCAGAAAAAGCGAACATACTAGGTACTAGGTAGAGTCGGGCTCACAGAGTGAAATGATTACTCATCACCATTGAAGCACGCAGCTTACAACCTCTGGAAGTCTGCAGTTAGACCAGCAAACATTGCGCGTGATCCATATGAAATCCATCATGGACAAGTCCTTGTTTCGCGTCCGGTCCAGGGCTCTCATCTGATAATAATGCTTGCTCCTGCTACTTCAAGGGACCTCTGCGCTGGAGGCGGAAGGTGTGGGCTGGCCTTCATGTGTACGCGCGCGCTGATCCTTGATAATAAAATGAATAGATTATGCTCGATGCTTGGTGTTCCGAATGAAAGGATGCTTGCATATACTATATGCATGGAATCACTGGCTGTGTTTCGGTTTTGCGCCACAATCGAGAGTTCAGTCAAATGTCAGCTTGCATATGAATGGCATCACGTCGACGGAGTACGCGCGCTGATGTTTCTCTTCGTCCTGTCCTCCATAACATTTCTCATGAGATTCTCATTCACACCTGCATGCCATTCCAGTTTATTGCGACAAAAGTTCTCCCCATTCCACATCAGATACAGATTTGACACGACGAGACCCTGTGCGAAAAACCACGCGCCCTGACTAGTCCCGCCCTATCGTCGAACCGCCCACCGGTAGACCATTCCATTCTCGCGCTAGAAGGAAAGGAGGACATTGCGACACACCCGTCGTGATTTCTTTCCACTGCAGCGCGAGCTTGCGACTGAGCTCATCAGCTGGGAGATTTGTTCTTGACAGGCCCTGCTCGGTTTAGCGAAAGAGGATTCTCACTTCGAAATATTGGACGAGTGAGCGCACTAAGGACGAGGCAAATATAGCCGCCCGCGAAAGATCGATGAGAGCGCAAGGGACGGAGGCATAGCACGCATTTCAACGGCACCCGCTACTAACACCTAGAAGGAAAGCGAACAACACCAACGACGACAAGACACCCAGGAACGACGGGCGATTGGAGTCGATGGGTTGCGCTTGATTGATGACCAGCACTAGCTTTCCCGTCTCTCTTCGCAACCCCTTTCGCTCTTTGCAGCCGTTGACGATTCACATGCCCCTTGGCCAAAGACAGTGTAATAATTTATCCTCGTCATCACGGCCATTTGACAGCGATTCTGGTGCCACCGGTCTCCGGCCCTCCCATCATTCTGACCTGTCCATCCGCGGAAGCAAAGGGTGAAGAGCAGGCCTCTCGCAGGATTCCCTTGCACGGCCGCCTTGGCTGGGCTACCGCCGGCTCTAAACAAAGGGTTCATCATAGTGTGAACGCGCGCTCGTGTAGTACCCGACGCAATACTTCTCAATTGATCAGTGAGCGCGCTTCGGATTTTTGCCAGGATCGCCGAGGCCGAACGTGCGCACGCGTGAACATTGTGGGAGAAAAGGCGTGTCTTGGTCGTGTGTGTGGGCTTGTGTTCGACGACGCGTTCATCGTTCTGAGACATGTCTGGTAAGAACATCATCACTGGTGAAGCAGCAGCGGCCGACTCCCGAGACCAGCAACAGAGCGATCGTCACCTGCCTCACCACCCTCACCACCACGGATTTACGAACACCTCCGCTTCCCACTCCACCACACCAACTGCAGGTACAATTGGTAGCAGTGGTATAGTGGGATCGGGTTCAGGCACAACAGCTTCGACGGCTACAACGTCAACCACTGCCAATACCGGCGCATTCATCACTACAGCGCCCACCATCGTCACCAGCAATCCCGCCTTCACGGCCACCGCTGTCTCTCCGTCCTCTCCGGTCACGATCGCTTCACGCGACGACGCCAATTCCACCTCCAGTCGCTCGCGACGCCGACGTGCTAGCATCAGTTCGCTCTTTCGTCGCAGTACCAGCAGCAAGGAAGCAACCGCGACTGCCTCGTCTAACTCGAGCACAGCCGCCGCGAAGAACATTCCTTATACATCTGCAGAGCCGTTACCTGTCGACTACGCTTCCCGGATCTCCCGAAGTGGCAGTCGTGATCACACTGCCGGAAACGGACAATACCATCCCACCTCTCAGCAACAATACTTGCACGCGTCACAAGTGCAGCAGCCAGTGTCGCACCCGCCGTCATCGCCGTCTGCTGTGTCGCGTCCATCCTTTCACGGCGCACAACCCGCCGCCGGCGTTGATTCATCTTCTCTCCCACCTCCCCGCTTGAGCACTTCGTCTGCTTTCTTACATAGCGGCAATCGTCTGCGAAAGAATTCTTTGGGCGGCGCTTCTATTGCCCCAGCCTCGGCCAGTCACGCTTCCAGCAGCAATAACAGTCAGACCCACACTCGTACCACTCCCAAAATGTTGCGCAAATCTTCACGCAAGCAGCGCGAATTGCTCGCTGAGCAGGAGCGCCTCGCGCGGGAGGCCCATGCCAACCGACCAGCGCCAATCATTTCTCTCAATCCACTTCCGAGCATCTCCTCCTTTGCTGGTGAGATTGGTGGCCAGCATTACATGGCCGACACGAGCAATAGCAACACTGCGGTGTACTCGTCTGCGAACGGCCACACACAAGGGACTGCCAACTTCTCACGACCGGGAGCCATGGCATCAGGATCAGCTTCATCTTCACAAGCTAATGTCGCCCGTTCCGCGGCGACGTCAAATGGTGAGCCTGTCGACCCAACAACGGAACGAGGTGAAAGCATGCGGAATCGTGGTCGTTACTCGTACGCATCCAGCGTCTCGCCTGCCAACGTCAGTAGTCCTCGTCGTGTGCGGAGGAGAAAGGATCCGACACCATTCAAGTAAGTTGTTCCTGGATACTGCTTTAGCAGAATGTCGCCTTTTTCGTAAGGTACTCGGAATTGGTCACTGACATCTTTGCTGAACAGTGTACTTGTCATTGGCGCCAAAAACAGCGGCAAGAGCTCTTTCATTTCCTTCCTTCGTCACACACTAGCACTTCCTGCGCACAAGCAACAGACGGCAGACGCTCCAGAGCCTCAGACGGCCACCTCCACCTCTTTCACTTCACATTACCTCGAGACAGAAACAGATGGCGAACGTGTCGGACTCACAATTTGGGATTCTGTCGGATTGGAGAAGAATATCGTTGATCTGCAATTGCGTGAGATGACAGCCTTCGTGGAGGCCAAATTTGAGGATACTTTTGTCGAGGAGCAGAAAGTGATGCGAAGCCCGGGTGTTCGCGATACCCACATCCACTGTGTTTTCTTGATCTTGGATCCTGTTCGTTTGGACACGACTATCACCGCATCTTTGGCTGGTGGCAGTGGGGGAAAGAGTGCTAACGGCAGCTTGGACAACGACCTCGACCTACAAGTGATGCGTTCGCTTTGGGGCAAGACCACTGTCATACCGGTCATCGCTAAAGCTGACACACTCACCACCGGTCACATGGCTTATCTCAAGCGTGCGGTCTGGCAGAGCTTGAAGAAGAGCAAGCTCGACCCACTTGAGGCTCTCGAGCTGGAAGGTGACGAGGAAGATGATTCAGAGGAGGACATGGACAGCGATGTTGAAGGCGAGGCCGCCGATATCGTACCATCTCTTACCGCGCCAGTCTCGTCAACCAAGAAATCGCACAAGCGCCAATCTTCGCTCTCCGCACTGACTCTGGACGATGACATTCCTTATCTTCCCATGTCCATTCTCTCCCCGGACGCATATGACCTTCCTCCCTATGCCCGCGCCAACCCAACGCAGCCTCCAGGTCGCCGCTTCCCATGGGGTTTCGCTGATCCTAACAACTCCGATCACTGCGATTTCGGTCGCCTGCGCGATTCAATCTTTTCGGAATGGCGCTCCGATCTCCGCGAACTTTCCCGCGCCAAGTGGTATGAGAACTGGCGTACCAGTCGTCTGAAGAAAGTCCCAAGTGCGACTCCCGCGGCGCGCTCGAGCGCCGTTGGAGCGACCACTTCTAGCGACGACCTCACTCGCCGGGCTCGTGGTGGCGTTACTCCTGTAACCTCCGTTCCGCGCGAAGCTCGGGGTGTGCCCTCACCTGCAGCTACAGCATCTCCGCATCCACCTCCGAGCGGCCCTCCACCACCTTTGCCTCTTCCTAGCACGCCGCTGCAACAACAGCAGCAGCAGCAAACACCGCTGCCGAAGTCGTCCTCGGCGTCGCTGTCTGCCAGTGCTGCGGGGTCTCCAGCTGCGGGCCAATACGCGACATTTTCGTCGCCGGCACCGCAACATGCTCCTCCGCCGCCACCAGCTGGCGATGCAGTACCGAGGAGCGCGAATGTCGCGGCCGTGCCGGTCGTGCAGGCATCCACTTCTACTGCTACCCAGCAGCAACAAGGCGCCGGCCAGGCTGTGTGAAGTCGTGAAACCGTCTGTCGCTTCGAACTTTGATCGTTCATTCTCAATCAAATCAAGATTGCCTAAGTGGAGACGACGTCCAATCCCACTGGCTGGACAGCTCTCTTCTGACCAAAACCCTAAAATGCCGTTCATTCAGCAGATAAGAAAGTACACCAAAAATGGATACGGGTACCCTGGAGAAGAATATCTGCATCTCTCGCAAAAGTTTTCCATTCATGTATCTTCATCCCGTCCTCACATCGATCTGCGAATCTCCGACGCCGCCAAGAGGAAACAACCTCTTTCATCACGATCATTGCTTGTAGTGTCAACTGGCCTCCTTTTGTTTCCTTCGCTCTGCTCTGCCTGCACCATTATCAGCTTTGTTACTGCTACCAATCTGTATGCTGTTGTCTTTTCTGTCTGCGGCCCTCCATCCCGCGTGCAGTTCTCTTGTCTTTGTCTTTCATCTGTTCTTTGAGCTTGACTGTACTATTGTATGTCTGTATGTATGTAGTTTCTGACTGAAAAATTCCGTGTCTGTCTTCCCAAAGGAAAGGATTTCTATACCGAGTGCCTCCCGATCGGTGCACGATGCTCTCGGTATTAGCTTGCTGTCTCCTAGATGATAATGTTGCCACGAATTACATACGATCTCACTCTTCCTACCTTACTGCAGTTCCAAATATATCCTCCACCGCACTCCCACGTTTGTACGGTCCCCAGATTGTCCATAGCTTGATTTCATTGCTGGAAATCGATCTTCGTCATCGTCGTCGCCCGCTGGCCATCCTGTCTTTCTACATGCTTCACGAATGCTGGGACGAAAGCTCGGGAATGCTTCCAGGATCGGATTTGATCGGTGTGAGGCGAGCACGTCGATCCGCCACTAGGCAATTGTTTTTCAGATGGTCATGATGATGAGAAAACGACGAAGGGGAATGAGTATGTCAGAGCGATCGAAAACGAAGTAATCATTGTCTTTCTCCGTGACGTGTTCTGGATTGAAGTGGACCTTTTGATCAATGGTTGAGGCGAACTCGTTTATGACGTGACAAATGATGGATATAGTCTATTGTCGTGTTGCACCACTGCGCTTTAACTTCAGAGTACAGACGGATCCGTTCTACAAGAGTTAGCTATGTTGTAATTATTTTCATCGAAGAGAAGAGTTCAACTTTTTTTGTGATATATCTGAGTGAGGAGACTTTTCTTTTTTCGTGCTTTGCTCTCTTTTCGAGTGGAAAACGACAATGACTTTTTGGAAGTATAATCCAACACACCATGTCCTTCACCACACCCGCCGCCCTCTTCTTCCTATGATACATGAAAATCTATCATCGCATCTCATCCCCCTGCTCTCTATCTCTCTCCGCTCCGATTCTCTTCACTGCATCTAGTACTGTCCAGCCGCCGCCTGGCAAGCCTTCAGCTGGTCCAAGTACCATCCACAGATCGACAAGCTGCCCTGGTTCTCATCCATGCACTTACGGAAGTTGTTGACGTCCGTCGCGCAAGCACCAGTGGCGGCGTTCTGCGCCGAGTAGTTGGTCTGCTGCTGTGCCTGGAGCGACTCGACGGGCGCAGCGGGAGGAGCAGCGGAGGATCCGCCACCGAAGAAACCGCCGATGGCGTGGCCGATGGAAGAGCCGACGGCGACACCACTGTTCATCATTTCAAGTCAGAACGAGATCGCTTTGGGAATTTGGATACTTTCTGTATATCTGCGGGACTTACGCTGCGGTGCTGGCCATCTGGCCGAACAGGCCTGAGCCTCCGCTCGCGGCGGGTGCTTGCTGTTGCTGGACGGGCGCAGGAGGAGCGGCGGCGGCAGGGCGCTGTTGAGGGTAAGCGGCGGTGGAGGCCTGGCGGGTTTGCTGGGGAGCCGGGGCGCGCGCGGGAGGAGCGGCGGGGCGGGCAGGACCACGAGATTGACGAGGCATCTTTGCTGTGTTTGCTGGTGGTGTTTGAAGTGTTGAGTTGGTGGTAGTTGTCTGGATGTTGTGGATTGGTGGCGATGGTGATTGTGTATTGGATACCACTGCTGTGGTGTACTGTAGTGTGTAATAATGTATGACTTGCGGACTTTTCGGGGGTCCTCGGATATAGTGCAGCATGGAAAGCTTCCGAATGTGAATTATCTGAATTATGTCAGGGACACGATCTCATTATCGGCTCATTGATTGGTGGAAGAAGAACGTCTTTGGGTCATGTTTGATCCTATCACGGTCATCTGCAGGCGCAACGACAACCCGAACGTGATGTTGCATATTGAATATCACACTGTTCCCTTATATTCACGAACACACCTGGGCATTCCATGTTCCAAGCTGTCGGGCGTGTCATCTACGATTGTCGCATTTTGTTATAGTTTTTGGCCCGTCGTTCAAAATGACCATTGGGTTCAAGTACAGCTATCAATATAACATCTTGATAATGCGACGGAGAATAGAGATAAGAAGTTGTGCAATTTGAGATGTGCGAAGCAAAGTGTAGCTTGTTTCCATCGTGACACAGGAAAAGGTTTCAGGAATGGGGTTCCAGTTTTGGACTGCAAGATGGAGGCGAGAAGCCCGAGAACTTCCCTGCATCACAGTTGTTTTGATTTGCAACTCTTATCAGATAATTATCTCGCAGAATATCACGCGATGGCGGCTTCATCTCCTTCACCTTGCTCATCAAGGGAGATCCACTGGTGAGGAGTTCGAAAACAGCACAAGGTGGGGAGTGTGTATAATAATCTTTACATCTATAATATTCTTTACACCCGGAAGGGAAGCAGAAAGTGGCGATTATTTCGGTCCGCAGAGTGGTCAGATGTCGACTCATCCATCGAAGACGCCATGTTGCAGCTCCACGCCCATGCTGGAAAGTCATCAATGTCAGTATAGGTGCACTTTTGTAGTAAGTGAGGACCAAATCAAAGGGAGGAAATAGAGAATCAATCAGTAAGCAAACTCACCTCTCCGCCATCTTCCTCATTCCCTTCTCCAGCTCATCGTCCATACCCTTGCCCAAACCTAACCACTGTCGCAGCTTGGCCCAGTAAAATACCGCATCGGTACCTACAAGTGCCGCACGGAAAGCCAGATGCTTCACGCTCTCGCGCCATCGGCTTGCCCAATCCACCTCACGATCCTCGGTCAGCGCCCGTGAAGCCCAGTATCCTGTGATCTTAATGCGATTGACAGGGCTCCCAAGGAACTGGTTGTTGCCCTGGACGATGCGAAGGTTGCGGCCGATGAAAATGAGCTCCTGTGGGAATTTGTCCTGGTTCTGCAGGATGTCGCGCACCGATTTCTGCATCTGTTGCTGGAGCTCAAAGCTCCGTTCGCGTCGCTCTTTGGCGGAGAGGTCCTTGATTCGCGTGAGCACTTTGCGGTCACCGCCTTCGTATGGTCGCATCAGTGTCGCCGAGGCGAAGAGGTCTGGCGCATTGATGCCCCATTCATCCCGGGTGATCCGAGCAATGGTGGCGTTGTCGAATGTCATGAGACTTCGCCAGAAGAGTGCGTATTGTTTGCGGAACTTGGGGTCCATGCTGATGTAAAGGCCGTGGTCGATCAGAACCAGTTCAGGCTTTCCCGAGGGAAGTCGGCGGATGAAAATGTTTCCTGGGTGAGGATCACAATGAACCAGACCCCAGAGGAACATCTGGGCGGAGAAAAGATCCACCATGGTTTGCATGACGGGCTTGAAAGAAAGACCCAAGCCGCCCTTCTTGTCGGCTCCACGCCAGTCATCTCGAATTGGCTTGAGCTTCTCGTCATAGGCTTTGCTGTTCTTCGATAGGTTCTCGTGCACTGAGTTTGGTAGTGGAGGCAGTTGAGCTCCACCAGCTCCAGGAGAGCCTTTTCGCCATCCCCCTTGCCAAGAATTCATGACCCCCTCCTTGTCCCACAGCCGAACTCCTTCAATCCACTCTGCCGTCATGACCCGTTGACCACTCAGCTCAGAGTAGACCTCGGGAATGTAAACACGATTTGACAAGCGAGGCTCATTCTGGATGAGCTGACGCATCTTCCTTGAATTATCCGCCTCAAACTCGAAGTTCGTCTCAGCCATCAAACGCTCGCAAACATACGGCACAAGGTGGTAGAGTGGTAGATCGAAGTACCACGAGTAGACCCTCGACACCACACGGAACGCCCAAAGATCCCAGCCCGTCTGTCGTCTAATCTCCCTCTTTTGTACTTTGATAGCAACCTCTCGTCCATCCGGCAATTTTGCCCAGTGTACTTGCGCCACACTCGCACTTGCGCGCGCTGTTCTCTCGATCACTCCTTTGCCTGGCTCACCTGTGAAACTCACACCAAATACATCCTCAACGCTGCGGCCTCCAAAATCTTCCCGAATGACCTTCTCCACCTCCTTCCAATCATTCTGCGGTGCATCGTCGAACATCTTCTGGAACATCTTCTGAAACTCGGGCGGGAGCACCGCGCTCTGCATCGCGATTGCCTGGCCGATCTTGAGGTATAACCCACCATTGGCACGAAGGAGATCGTAGACGCGTTGGGCACTTCGTGCGTGTAAGTCGGTCACACTGTCACCGATCCAAGGATCCGGTCGAAAGTTGAGGCGGTAGTCCAGGGCAATCACGAGTCCACTGTAGAATGTCCGCAATGATCGCGTGAGGCATGCATTGTAGAAATAGGTGTCCAATCCCAGGACTACTGCCGTAGCGATTGACAGGCGTATCAGGCGGCGAAGCCATTTTCGTGTGCGGCGATAGGTCTTTGCAGTGCGAGGCTTGCCCAGATCCGCCGGCGAGGGTGGCGTTGCGGGACGAAACTGACTCTGTAGCCGGCGGGCAACGTGAAGTGTACTCGTGGAAGCATTGCCAGGTGCCGGGCGTTGGCACAATGCGCTCTGGAAAGCTTGACGGCTTGGTCGTGTGCCACTTTTGCTGATCGTCGTGAGCGTGCGCGAAAGCTTGCCGAGATCACCGACTGGAAACCTCGCTGAATTTTGAGTGCAGCATCGCCAGCATTTTGGCGCACCACTTCGGATCATGTCCCTGATAGGACAGCCGACTGTCGCTGCTTCACAGACTCGATCAGAAAGATGCGAAAGTTTGATGTTTCTCTGAAATGGTCCGAATTTCCTTTCACATGTTCTGCTCCGAACATAAACGTCATTGATGAGCGCTCGTACCATCACGCGCGTTCGGACATCTAACCCAAACCCTAATACTTCGGAGGTCCACTCCATGGGGTTTCCACAGTCGTCAATGGATCAGACAATTGTTTACTTGTCGACAATCTCGATGCTGACAGCATAATGAGCAAATTGAATAAGTTTGACTGGGCTCCGCGGTCCTCTGTACTCCAATAGTTTTGCTCACAATTCATAAAAGCTGCTGATATGTGTGTCGATATCGACTCAAGTTCCAGCATTCGGTCTATTTAGACAGACGGTCATGAAGATCCGCGTGGCTCATGTGTATCCAGTCTAGCAAAAGCGACAGAATATATCCGACAGAGAGAGACCATGGCAGGCACCGTTTCAAATCAATGATAACAACAATTTATGAAACTAAACCAACAATAATTATATATGTATACAGCGTCTCGGCTGCGCGTTAAGAGGACGGACTTGGTTCCCACTCCTCAACCCACTGTCCTTCTACTTTTGACGCAGACACTGTAGTGCAGAGCGCAAACCTCCGAGCTCTAGCAGGAACCAGAAGCCAGGCGCGAAGACTGCGCTATGATGAACAAAGTAGCCAGCGTGTACGTATCGCGACAAAGCCCTGGCTAAATCGCATTCAAACCACAAAACCGCCAAACGCCGTGGAAAGGGTGTATCAAATTAGGCCAGAGACACAAAGGAAAAGCTGCACTGCACCGCAGGCGAAGGCGAGTGCAGACTGCAGGAGATTAATGGCAAGCCGGTGCAGGTTAAGATTGTCGACGGGATGGCAGTCGCGGGATGAGTGCAGATGTGTCGGCGGTAGGAGAACACCTGTAAGGTTGTTTCTTGTGTCCTCTGGAATTCGTGAAGCCCGGCGCGTTGGGCACGATCTGTCATCCTTACATCAGAGAGCATGACAGTCCCTTCTGTTTGTCTCCCTTGACGTTCTTGACCTGGAGCGCGACGCGCGCTGCTTCCGTGAAGGCCTCGTTCACACCTCGATTCTTCATAGCGGAACACTCTGCAATCCAATTAGCACAGAACGTGTCACCTACCACTGTGTTTCAGGAGTGAACGCACCGAGATATCTGAGAGCCCGAATCTTCTCTGCCACAGCTAGACCTGCCTTGTAGTCGATCATAGGTCTTTTCGGATCATTGGGTGCACCCTCCTCCTCCTCTTCCCTTTGTTGCTCCCGCAAGTCACACTTCAGCGCAACTAGGACCAAGCGAACGCCTGGACAATTCTCGGTAATCTCGCCTACCCACTTGCTCTCCACGTTCTCGAGTGAGTCAGGAGAATCAACGCTGAAGCAGAGCATGATGGCGTGTGTATCATCGTACGAGAGCGATCGTAACCGGTCGAACTCTTCCTGTCCGGCAGTGTCCCATAGTGATAGCTCGACATGAACATTGTCGATGAAGATGTCATGGACATAGTTCTCGAATACTGTTGGCTCGCTGTGATTCCAATGGAAGATTTTCGTGATCAGCGCTTTGCTTAGGCACGCCCGCGAACCATGAAACAGCAGTCGTTCAGCTTGGAGAAACTTCCTGTATCCCTCGCTCATCTTTTACGCGCGCGTATCGACTTACTAGACAGTGGGAAAGTATCCTCTTGTGAAGACATTGAGAAGTGAAGTCTTCCCGCATGCACCATCGCCTCTGTTCCTCAATCATCAGTATGTGATCGTTGCCTGGTACTGTCGCAAAGCGCGCTCGCTCAATGCAACATGGCCCAGTCAAGTGGGAAGCTGTGCAATGCTTCAGACGTACAATAGGACCAGCTTGCGCTGCACCGTCCTTGTTCCTCCACAGAGCGGCATGTTTGTTATAATTCGGTTGAGAGTTTTGGGCGATTCTCGATGGATTCGTTGGGGACTGGTGAGCACTCGGAGTTGAATCGTTGGACGAGGCGATTGTGACACGACGCGATCGGCAGCTTAGAACGGTGTTGGATCAATGTAATCCTCAGTGTGAGAGATAGGTCGCGTGTTGGAGCGATTCGGACCGCGCTCGCGAGATTTCCGGCTGAGGAGTTGACGATGACGAACCATATGGACGGAAATAAAGGGTTTGGCGTAGGATGTGGCGCGCCAACCAGCCGGGAGTATTCATAGAACGGCTGTGCATTGACGAGCCTGCCGTCTGGTATAGAGGCGGAGCTTCATAGCTTCACTCTCTGATGTTATGTGAAGATTATGCGCATCGCAATAAAGATGAACTGATTCCATCGTGTTCATGGAAGTCCGTAGTGGCCCAAATTCATTGTAGATCATGTTGAACATCGCGTCACAGTATCACGGAAAGCCCACGCGTTGATCGTCAGCCATCCCGCTCTGCACATCTCTCTGTCCACTTTCAAGTAGAAGCATCACCGGGAACTGTTGTTGAACGCGTCCTACGAAGGCCCGCAGCCTCCCTTGAGCAATGCTGTAATACAGTGGCACAGATGTAAGGCAAGGTAATTCTCGTGGCAATGCTCGAGCTCCTCACGAAAGATGCAGGTGGGTTCACACAGGAATCAATCAAATCAGACGGCCACTCGGACAGCTTCCATCCTCGAAACGGGCTAGTGTTTTACTGTGCTTTCTCTCTCCCACATGAGGTTCTCTATTGTAGTATATTTTTTGTTATTACAGGATATCCGTTATGAATTTCAGCAACTACGAAGCACTACAATCAATAAATGCCGCTGTTTACGGTGTGTTAGGTTCCAGGTAGTCATCGGAGTGCTCCATCCGCGCGGGCGATATCTGTGTCTAGTCTATGCATGCATTTACCGAACACGGTTTCTCGTGCGTTGCCATGTTATTCGTTATCGCGAAGGGCAAGTGTCCTTACGTAGCTTCCGATGCCTGCAGACGAGAAATACCGATGCTAGACCGATAGACGTCGGCTTGTGTGCAGAAACTTGAAAAGGGAAAACGCTGCAGAAGAAATTGCCAGCGAGGAGTAATAAGCGTAACGTGTCCGAATATGGTACTCCAATGCGAACGACTCGGAACTTCTCCACTATACCTTTCTTCAATATACTTCGCGTCCTCTAGCTGCTTGAGAGGATTGCTTCGAGGACCCGATGCCCGCACAATATGCACACCACCGTCGGCTAATGATCTAGAAGTCCCTCATTCCGGTGGATCCAGTACGGCGTTTTCAGTGCATCAATTGTGTCTAAACGTCGGAGGCGGACCGACGCAAGCGTTGCAGTAGTCAAAGACTTTACAAGCGGCGAGAAATTTAGCGATGTTGTGCATATCACACTATACCGAGTTGCTCACAACGTGCATATTGTCATCTCAATGCAAATCTCGGAACGTGCCCTCGTTACGATACATATATTTCTCCGAATGTCGTGCAGCAGCGTTGCAGCCGACTCTGCATTGCAGATCCATATCGAGGAAGTGTTGACAAATGTTGCCGTGTCTGTTATGTCTGTGCAGAAACTCGCGAGAGAGCAGCGACAAGTACATGAGCGATGTGTTTTGACTCAATCATCCGCCAATCCGCCGCCACGACGTTGTGCGTGCAGCCGCCGACTCATATCGACGCCCTCGGCCTCACGCCGGAGTCCATTTACGAATCTGCCTTGATCAGACCGACGTTGATCATCTTCCATGCGTTGCTTTGACTCCTGAGCCTGGATCTCCGCTAGCCTCGTCCGGCGCTCCGCCTCTAAATCTGTTGCTTGGGATTGCATGGCTGCTAACCTCCTGGCCCGCTCGTCGCCGTCATCCGTAGGCTTGCTTGATCTAGTGTCCACTGGCGGCGACCGTCGGGACTGAGAATTTGGTGCTCGTGAGTGATCAGGCGACTGCCTAGTTCGTTGGCGGCGTGATGACTTTTCATTGGGTCTAGCTGAATATGGCGAGCGAGAACGTGACCTCGAAGAACCAGATCGGCCAGGACTTGGGTATGATCGTCGCTTGTCGGCATCTCGCCTTCGTAATGGAGAGGGTGATCTTTGAGGACTGTAGTCACGACTACGATATCCTCTCGAACGACCATGATGATCCTGCTCTGATCTCCTCGGTAAGCGCTCGCCATTCGAGGTTGCTCGACGATTTGAGTACGGAGATCGCGACCGATTTCGCGGACTGTCGGAACGTGATCGATCTCGATGTCTATGTGAGCGGTGGCGATGCGACCTTGATTCTCGCTCGCCGTGGTCGCGTTTCTTGCTGCGGTGTTCACGATCGTCCCGTTCGTCACGATGTCTATGTCGGTGCCGACGATGGCTCTTTTCGTCCTTCTCTTCAACAGTGTCCTTGCCAGCGGCTTGTAGAAGTTGATTTCGCGTTGTGGGATTGTTCATCATCGCTTCGTAAGCCGCTTGCTCGTGTCTCTTGATTGCTAGCATGGGATCATTCGCGACCTTAGCAGCTGTGTCGCGCAAGGTGTTCGCGCTGGGACCAGCGGTCATGAATGTGTCTTGCGCAGCATCTTTTTTGATTGTTTCGCCCTCGTTCCTCTTTACTAAACCGTCAAGTCTTCTCTTACCCAAGAGATATCCTTCCATTTCCTCCGTGACACCACCAACTCCAGGGCCACCAGATCCAGGCCCGCTGTACATCCAATCTACCTTGTCGACGCGCTTCTTGCCACCAGCTGCCTCTTGCAATCGCTCCATTTCTAGGATCGCGCGTTCTTCCGCTCGCTCCTTGACCAACTGATCGGTCTTCTTGCGCTCTTCGAGAGCTTTGCGTTCCTCCTCATACACGCGCTTCTGGTTGCTCATCAGGCCCGGATGCCATGACTTCTTCAAATTCAAATCGCCACCCATCTTGTCGGTGACCTTGTTGGCTATGCGATTGCTGTTGTGCTGAAATGCCGATGTCTGCAATAGACACAAAAGAGATGGGAACTACGCAACAGAACACGCGAGCAACTGTTTGTCACTTACATACATGTATTCAAATCTTTAGGCATGTGACAGGAACGATGATGATCGACCTTCAGGGCTGGGACTGATGGTGGCGGGAAGAGCCGCACCAACGCGTGTAAAGTGCCCGCCTTATCGACAAGCACTGACGCGCCGCATGGACGATTGTGACTCTCTTGAGCTTCAAGACTCCAATTGCGCCACGGAATCGCCTGCTACCTGGAACTTTGCTTGGAATCGACACAAGATACACTGCGACATTTGCTGCGAGCTTCAAGATTCCGGGGCTACAAGAAACTGGTAATTGACCCTCGAATTAATCGACCAGCACAACAAGATGTCGGACGACGACGACTTCATGCAAGATTCCGAGGAGGAGAAGTACGAACTGTGCACTCATTCCCACGCTGCACGTACTGACACAATTCCAGCTACGACTTCGAATATGAAGACGATGACGACCAAGATCAGAGTGGCGATGTCGACGTCGAGAACAAATACTACAACGCAAAGCAGATGAAGGTGGACAACCCGGAAGAAGCGATCGACGAATTTCTTGGTGTACCTGCATTGGAAGAAGAGAAGGGAGATTGGGGTTTCAAAGGTCTCAAGCAAGCTATCAAGCTTGAGTTCAAACTTGGCCGCTATGATAAGGCAGTCGAGCATTACACAGAGCTGCTGACCTATGTGAAATCGGCCGTCACCCGCAACTATTCCGAAAAGTCGATAAACAACATGCTTGATTTCATCGAGAAAAACGCAGACGACGAAGCTGCAAATCAGTGCATGGAAAAGTTTTATTCCAAGACACTCGACTCATTCCAGGCAACAAATAATGAGAGATTATGGTTGTCAACGAACACCAAGCTCGCCCGGCTATGGCTAGCTCAGAAGGACTATGCTCGCCTTACAGGTAAAGTGCGAGAATTGCACAAAGCTTGTCAGCGAGAGGATGGATCAGATGATCCAAGCAAAGGCACATATTCTCTGGAAGCATATGCTCTGGAAATCCAGATGTTCGCCGAGACGCGAAATAATAAACGGCTAAAGGTGGGTATTTGTCCAGCTTCTATGATGACTGTGATACTGAATATGCAATTCTAGGGCTTGTATCAACGCGCATTACGAGTACGCTCAGCTGTCCCACACCCTAAGATTATGGGCATCATCAGAGAGTGTGGCGGCAAGATGCATATGAGCGAAGGTGTGTAGCATGCCAATAATGACCGCGTTCTGCTTGCTGAAATCATGTACAGAGAATTGGAAGGACGCACAAAGCGACTTTTTCGAATCGTTCCGCAATTACGACGAGGCCGGTTCATTGCATCGCATTCAGGTGCTCAAATACCTCGTGCTCACCACCATGTTGATGGGGTCCGATATCAATCCGTTTGACTCGCAGGAGACGAAGCCTTACAAGAATGACCCGCGTATCGCAGCTATGACCGAGCTTGTTGACGCTTACCAGAGGGATGACATTGATCAGTACGGTTTGGTGCTACAGAAAAACCGCGATCTCCTGGCCGATCCGTTCATCGCCGAAAACATTGACGAGGTCACGCGGAACATGCGCACCAAGGCAGTTGTGAAGCTCGTTGCACCTTACACACGCTTCCGATTGGACTTTATCGCCAAAAGATTGTCAATTACCATCCCTGAAGTGCAGGACATCGTCGGATTTCTTATCCTCGATAAGAAACTGCATGGTAAGATTAACCAGGATGCGGGGACTGTAGAAATTGAGAACCGCGCGGATTTGGATCGTATGCGCGCGGTCGCTTCCTGGACCGGTGCCATTCAGTCTCTAGCATCATTAGTCCTCAACGAGAGCGATGGCTTCAAGGTTGATGAGTCTGGAGCGGGCTCAACAGGACTTGATGCAGATCTTCGGGAAATGTCATCAACCGCCTATGCCAAGGCTACTATAGGATCGCACAGTGGCAGACGGAAAGGTCGCGGTCGAGGATGATTTATGGCGAACAAAGTTTCATGACCCACAAGACTCCATCTCCACATCTGCGATACAAATTTCGATCAAAGAGAGACTTTAACGAGGGCATTTCGGCTCATGCGCCGTTACCATCTGTCGCTGTCGTGTTGAAAAGCCTGCGAATGCAACAGGCAGGAAACGCACAGTGCATTATCCAGACATGCGATTGACACGAGGAATGGTATCCTCGCACGAAGACGTACGTGAACGTTGCACCATCGGCGCCTCCGTGCGCACGTATCAGCTGCGTCTATGTACGACTCTGGAAATGCTCGGCTGAGAGTTCCGTGGGCTCCAATTCCGCCCACCATTCCGAATTTCGGTGGGGAGTCGTCATCACTCTGCAGACTGACAGTGCTAGTGCTCGAGCTTCAGCCGGAGACAGACTGCGGTATCGATTTGTCAAGCACTGACATCGGTAGCATCGGCCTGGATGGATGAATTGCTTCAAATCTGGATCGTGGGGATGGAAAACTTATACGATACTCATGAACAGTGAACAAAATGCACGATCGTTTTCACAACATGTGGCGACATGTGCTGGTAGATGTAGGAACGCCCTGCCACACAGATCTGTTCAACCTTCTGAGCACTCATTTGACTTACCCGCCTGACTCTTCCTTCGCACTCCCGCAGCCCAGATGTTCGCACGCTTGAAGATAATAATAAGTTGAGTCATGACGACAAGGATGCCACCTACACAATTATAATTGCAGGATAACCTCTTGTTTGCAATGATCAGCAGACGAGATTGCCCATTACGGGAAGTGCATCCCTTCGGGTGGCAGCAAGCCTCACAAGCAGCCTTCGTCCCTCGACCACAGAACAGCGTCCGGACTATTCACAGGTCACGGGGAAGGGGTGCCATCGACGGCGATGGTGTGTGAGAGAAGAAGCATGTAGATGACATCGATGATGAAGGCGGCTCTTGGCGCTTGTGTACGCACGACGACCAACAAAGCAGAAGAATTGGAATAACCCCAGCGTCGCTGTACCGAGCAACGGCGAGAGACGAAAGGCTCGTGCAGGCATGCGGTCCAGACGGAATCGTTGTCAGCAACAGTAAGAAGCAGCACCGTCGGCAAATGAAAAAAAAACGACGATCTTGTTGTTATTGGGTCCGATGGTGGGCAGTAGTGCCATGCTTCACTTACAATTTCTGGTTCAACGATGTGCTCCTCAACCCGCATGTGAGCCTTCCCTACCTGCCCCTTGCGTTTGGCATTCTGGTCCTGACCTACCGCGTGATCCTCCACCCACTGAATCGAATGACACCACGACGCTGTGTGATTCCGTTCGATCGAAACACCTTTGATCTGGCTGCCAAGTGTAGATGGTGGAAGTGGTAACACTTAGATCACGAGAAGACACATCTAGGGCCCAGCCCAGATCGAAGGTCGGCGACGAGGGTAAGGGTGGTGAATGTGAAGGTGGAGATAGTGGTGATGGTGGAGGGTCGGCAACACGGGACCGCTGAATACCCTGTCTGACGTGCAGCAGCAGTAGCAGCAGCAGCGGCGGCGGCACGCTTGTTCGAAGTGAACCCACGGATCGGGATCCACGAAGACACCCTGAAAGGAGTACCCAATCAGACAACCCTCACGAAAGCGACAACGAGGGGGACAAAGATGGTCAATTGAAACAGCACAAGTCAGTAGTGTATGGAGGCAACTGCACACCCTGCCAACCACATGCGCGCGTTTGTGTTGAAGTAGTGATTATGCACCAATGTCCGTTGTTGTTGTTGTTTACCGCTGCCACCTTTGGTAGTGCCCCTATACGTGAAGAATGTCGCAGCGAATTCTGAAGCAGACCCATGCAGGCGATGAGTGACATGCTTTGATGACGTGTCGATGGGAACGAATTGATTAGGAGAGTCAAGAGAGCGAGGATATGATTTGAGTTTGGTGTTTCCAGCGGACCTTCGGCCCTGGCTCTCCGTTGTGTCCGGAATATTATCTGCGAAGAGTTTTTGTCATCAGACACACGCAAACCCGAGAGACCGGCAGGGTTCAGAGGATCGTTGACATTGGCATTACGCCGTGGCCGCCGCCTCGCGGAGGATTTGCTCGCTTTGGAAACTTTGGCAACCGCCTTCGCGCCACCACCGGCTCATGAGGCGTTGCTTTGGCTGTCTCGGAGCAAATGCCTACCGTGGATTGCTCAGGAGATAATGTCATCACTGTCATCACGAGTAAGGAAAATCATTCGTCTTGGTGAGTCTCGAACGTCCACGTGTGTGCCAAGATGGACATGGAGACCAGTAGCCCCCAAGGGTCGCAATCACAACCACTTTCTGCGATGATGCAACACAAATCTGCGACAAACCTAGCATGGGTAATGGTCGATTAGTACAGTGCCCAGAAGAGCTGACACCCAGATCAAAGTAGAAGAGTAATGCGGGCACTCCTCGGCCGCTACATCGAGGAGAAAACAAACACACATAGCCGAAGGTAGGAAGCACAGAACGCTGGTGAAGCACGAAGCGAAGATCTTGTACGAATGGGATGTAATCTTTCATGTGCGATTACAACGGCCATGCATCATCGTCGAGTCGTGTTGCGACAGAGTGAGTCATGTAGCATGTCCGTTATGTCGCGCGCGCCAGCGGTACGGCCGTGGGTACTGCAACGAATCGTCTTGACCTGGCGTTTGGAATAGATAGGGTTGATGATATTCATGATGCAGAACAGCGAACCATGCTGAGCCGCGGAGTCGGTAATGGATGCGAAAGACGAAGAAGGGATCCCTGCTGATCGAGGTGGGCGTTGTGTGTGTGTCGATGGCGCCTCCCATCCATCAAGAACAATATTCCTTTCAATTTCGTTCCCTGGGGCCCGGGAAGCCGACGTTGCAGCAAATGGCGTACCAAACGTGCAGTAGTCGGCAGCGCGGCAGCGGCGGGTAGAGCATCTAGCAGGTCGGCTCGCTGCCAGGGATCACACAATACGCTTCCATCTCAGCACACGGTCCACACCCATATACTGGAAGCATCGCGACTGGTCGATCGGAGAAATATCGCACAAATCGACCTGCAAGTCTTAGTAGTCGAGCAGTACCAGATTAACCGATCGGTCCTTTGACTGCAGGTTCGGTCGCCCGGAGTTTCATTCGTCTGAGCTTATTATTATTGTCGTCCCTCGTTGGCCCATGAAGAACCTATTTGTTCCCAACAAAACTCAATTCCCTTATCCTGGCCAAGATGGAGGCATGTTTAGCGATCATGTCCCATCGCTGAGGTGGTGACCGACCCTTTCGCTCGGTCCCGCTGCTGATGCTGCCGGCGATCGTGCACCATCGCCTCACCCGCATATCTTTGCATTTTTCGAGCCTACATTGGGAAAAGCCTCGTCCGGCGCATTGGAAGCGGACCATTGGGACAGATCTCCAATAGCGGAGTACATGGAGAGTACATGGTCGCTATTGGGTGCCCGGCGACAATGGCGAGAGGAGACCGAGGGCCAGGTGATGGTGTTTCCTTCCACCATCTCGCTGTCGCCTTGCACCAGACATGTTGACACGATCTCGGCGTTCATCGGCAGTGATATGGTCAGGGAATTACCTAGATATGTTCAGACATGGTTCGAGGCTAGCTTTCTGCTAGCCGGATGCCACTGTTTGTCGGATAGACGAGGCGTTTTCGCGCTGTTGTTCCTGTCCAAGTCAACGAGCCCGCATCGTGAGGTGTTGTTCAAACTTTCGTGATCGGGCATCAATTATTGAATGTCTGTCCATATGCAAGGTCTATACTTGTCACGAATACGTATTCACATGCGTTTACTAAAATTCCGTTGGTCGTAATTTCTCCGAGCATCGTTGCAACAAATAGCACAGATCTTGAGATACCGGCGATCTAGTTGTGAGATTGGGATTGCTGCACAGGACGGTCGCAGCATGTGTGATGTTATGCATGGCGATGAGGACGAGCCTGCGAGGCAAACCTCGTAGCGTGCTTCGGAAAGCCGATGGGCCGGAAGCCATCGCCAGGCGTCTTCTCTCCATCAAAGAAACATGTACAGTGATGTACAGTGCAGTGCTTTTGGCCGCCATCGCGATCTCGTCCACCTATTCTGAGTATCCGTGCTGTAGGAATATGGATCCGAGGAAATGGATGGCGGCTTGACACTTTCAGGTGCAGGTACAGTACGTTCCCATTGACAATGCATGTATCGCAACCACCTCCGAAGTCATGGGTAGCGGAACTGTTGAGCAAAAACAAACGTGATTCGCACGGGAGCGGAGAAGGCCTGGTCGTCGCCGTCGCTCTTTCGGCGTGGACTACAGGCACAGGTACAGCAGGAGGTAATAATCAACGTTGCGAGGTATTTGCAAACAGTACTATACTGTACCACTCCGTGCAATGCAGACAGTACAGACTCCAGAGTCGACTCTCCTCACAAGCGACCTCATCGCAGCCAACCAGATATGGACAATGCGTCCCGAGCTACTGCCGGGGAGCTCCGTCAACGTCCACCATCCACGCCAAGCTCGACTCTCTTCCAAACACCTACAGCCATCAGTTGACGCCATCGCTATAACGCTTCCTGCTCCTCTCGCTACCGATATGGTGATGGCTGCATAGGGTGATCAATGCTCCCACGGAGGTCGAGCCCCGAGATTCTCGGGGACGGCGGGAAAACAAGGGAAGAGGCAACCCTCACGATGTTCGGATTCTTGCAGGCGCAGCAGGACTGGAGACGTCTCCGACCTCTGGAACTGAGCGTCATCGAAGAGACCTACGCCCAGGCCGCTGCTGAAGAATCCCAGCGGAAGTCTCTCGCCGTACCAAGGTCCAGGGCGTGCGTTCTATGCGTGTGGTTGCAGGTTGGGTAAGATCTCGGTTCGTGCTCATGCCCTCGCTCGCCTCTGTGTCCCAGTGCGACCCTCCACGAGACGAACCGCCCACAACTGGCGTTTTATGCCTGACACAGCGTCCTGCCACCGTCGCGTGCATCACCAGACGAAGAGGCTCTGTGCTCCCTCAGTCATCCACTGTACAAGTCATACCCCAGTGGAGCTAGTTTGAACAGGCCGCTCTGCACGTCGGTTCCGCGGTCGGATGATAGGAGTGGCTGCAATACATTTCGCTACATCGGCGGACTCGCAGTAGTCGGAAGTAGGCGTAGATCGAGCAGGTGGGCAGACGGGCGTCCGCGGCAAGCGGTAGCAAGCAGCAAGCAGCAGCAGAAAGAAGCATCATTGTTCGCCGTTTCATTAGCCGTCTAGCACCGGCTGCACATTGGTACCATGCGAGTGTCTGCGATGAGGGCAAACCATATACACTGTTTACTGTGTTACTCTTGCTGCTGCTAATGGTGGTGTCGTTGACATGCTTTCCTTTCATCGCCTGTTCCACCCCAGAAAGCATTGACCGGACTGATTTCCGGGAAAACCAGACCTACCTGCTGCTGGCGCTGCCGACGCTTCATTTGGGAGACTTCGGATGCGTTGCCGTAGATGTGATCGATCTGACTAGGCCCATCTCCAGGGTCTTGTATGATGCTTCTTCTACCCACCTGACTCCCAAACACTCCCTCTTGCCTTTGATTCTTCTCCCTACGTTTCGTCTTTGCCAATAACCATACGATCTGGTCTTGAGCGGATGCTTCCAGTCAAACATCATCGGCTCCGGATAGGTGCAAACTTGACCTGCCCAGGCCAGCCTCGACCATTCCTCCCATGAGACATACGACAACATTGCTATCTCTGCCCACGACGCCCACGAACTCCGAGATGATAAACGCCTTGCATTGCTAATTACGATCACGCCCAGTGATCTCTCCGTGACAAACGATCGAACTCGAACGAAGACCATTGATGAACACGATCGGAACACGAATTATCAGGACATCTCTGACATTGCACACTGAACGACAGCCAGCGACATCGATATTGATTGAGTCGCGATATCTTCGTCGACGCCAACGACAAAATGATGAATTTTTGCTCGGGAGGTCCCGGGCTCATGCCAAGCTATGAGCAACCGTTCCCATCTGCTTTCGATCAACGTCAACAACAAGTTTCCCACTTCATTGCATCGCCGTCTGCGTATTATCCTCACGACATCTCAACTGGAAGCGTTGCCGCAGTGGGGTCGTGGGACATCTATCGCGGCGGATACCCCATCAACTTTCGCAGCGGAGCACCTCCACAAGCGTTCCACCTGCCCGTGGAGCAGCCGCTACCGCCCGCCCGTTTAGTGCCCGCCGGCCTGCCCATCCGTAGCCACCATCTTCGTGCCAACCACTCTAAACGTCGTCAAACACCCGCCGCGCCGTATTCAGCGCCTGCCGTGACGAACCTCGCTCAACGTCAAGCTCGACGAGTCGGTGGTGGTGGAAGTAATAACAGCAGCAGCAACGGCAACATCAACACGTCTGCGCTTACTCGTCGTCCGCAAACCGTCGTGCCGATTCAGCCATCGACCTTTCCGCAGCAACTTCACATGATGGCCGAGGAAACGCGACCGGTTGACTCCGTGCCATTCTACGATGGCACAGGGACACTGGATGACCTGCAGAATTTCAGCAACAGTCAACGATACGAGCCAGAGCTGACGGTACGTGGGTTTCACGTGTGCGGTGTAATTCGGAGACGAGAGGGAGCCTTTGCTGTCGTGGTCGACGGCGGGGTACCATTCGGAAGCAATCATGTTGTGCCCGCTTGAGATCACCGTCACTGACTTGGTCCGTCCGCCTTTAGGGTCCTCTTGTTGGTCAACTCCAACCAAGCACTGCCATCACGACTGAATATGCTGCTGCCGATCCGGTATACCAAACAAAGACAGCCGTAAGTGAACTAGTACCGCGCCTTCGCACATGGCTAGTTACTAACAATCTGCAGGCACTGCCGCAAAAGTACTCTCACTATCGAACTGTTCGGGGCGATGGAAAATGTGGATGGCGAGGTTCGTGACGAATCTTCACATCGACTTGAAACTTGCCATCAGGGAGTGGTACTGACATATCTTGTAACAGCTGTTGCCTTTGGCTACTTTGAGGCCCTCATTCGTCAAAACAGTGTGACGACATTCGAAGAGGAGGAGGCCCGCATGTGCTTGCTGCGCTCGATCGTTCAGGACGCGGGAACGTCGTCAGAAGTGTGCGATGATTTCTTCGAGGAAGCAATTGACTTGCTGAAGAAGCTCGCCAAGTCCCTCGCCACCGGAACTGCCGAGAATCTTTTGCTGGATACCTTCAACAATGAAGGTGTTCAAGAGTACCTTGTGTTCTGCATGAAGGTCAATGATGCTGCCTTCTCCCTTTCAATACACTAGGTGCTGACAACGTTGTAGTTATTGACAGCATCATGGATCAAGACTCATGAAGCTGATTATGCTCCCTACATGGAGGAGGTCCAGACCGTTCATCAGTTCTGCGAATACATCGAGACAATCGATTCGGAGATGGACCACCAGAGCCTTCATGCGCTCCACAAGATTCTCTTGTCTCCTATCGACATTGTCCTCGAAGTTCACTACCTCGACCGTAGCGAGGGCACAGAGGTGAACACCCATCAGTGGGAGCTTGACGCTGGCCTTGCACCCATGGGACATGTTCGACTTCTCTACAGACCGTGAGTACACAACGATGCCCTCGTTAATATCGATGCATAGCTCCATACTGATCCACACATAGTGGACACTACGATATTCTGTACAAGCAGGAAGATATCAACAACAACATGGCTCAATCGATGCCTATTGAGACCTACTTGCAATACGTGAGCCCAAGCAACGACTTCGCGGATGTTCCCATCATGCATATGGGCAACAACTTCATAAATGATTCTCTGTCCAACTTAAATGCAGATATCAATGCCCCTGTGGACGGTGTGAATGTTCTGTTCGACATTCCCGGCATGTCCTTGATGAATGGCAAAGCTCAGAACTGGTTCAACCTCAACAACGACTTTCCTCTCCAGAGTGGTCTGCTATCCAGCGATCCAGTGCAGGCCCTGCCAGCCGTGCCCGCGTCGACTCAGGACCTCGACCTTCGCTCACTGCCAATGTTTCAACCTGCTGAACTTGAGACGTCTTTCGTCCAGGCGTACCAGCCTCTGCCTCCCTCTCACCATGTTTGCGAGGTCAAGGCATCAGCACCTCCGCTGCCTCCGCCCACGCACATGCCAGCCGAACTTGCCTTGCATACGGCGCCTGCGGCGAACATTTCTCAACCACCAACGCCGTGTCAGCGTGTGACCTTCCGAGATCCCTTCCGCAAGAGCGTCGTGCAATACAAGCACGAGAACGACACCATGCCTGCTCTGAAGATCCGTCAAGCCCCGCTCCGTACGAAGCAGATGCTGCAGTAAGTGTTGCGTGGCCGCCAAGATTGTGACACAAATCCACTAACGATATCGCTTCGTCAGATCTCCTTGTAGTGAGGCGCATTTCCAGAACCCGGAGTTCCAGCCCATTACTTACGACCCGTCCAACCCGGACGCTTCCGAAGGCCAGCACGGTGGTAGTGTTGCTATCAGCCGAGCTGGTCGACGCCAATCCCACAAGTAGTACAAGAAAAAGCTACGCAAGCCATTTGTCACGCATGCCTTCCTCGACCATCTTCTCATGCAGCTACACAGCATTGCAGGCACAGCAGGCAGCTTCATCACAAGCTTGATATCCCAATGATACACAACAAGCTCGCCTGCAAGACCTTGATCACCCCGCACGTGCGTCTGTTGGGAAGGATCTACTGCTCTTTGCACCGGTTGAGTAACACGTGCTCAAGCAACACCCGTCATGACCATGACCATCACCACTATCACCATTATCATCAACTTCTACCCTACTTCCTCACATGACCTCTAATCCCTCCACGCCCTCACGCTCGCTACCATATACATCACGACCTTGACGAATCTCCTATCAACGACGACGAAGGCTTATGTGCATCACGCCTCGCGTCAGAGACCCTCGTGCTCATCTGTGTGTTGAGCAGTCTCAGCCGAAAGATCACACTCATCATGGCGTACTCACGGTCAGATATGTGGCCCTCAATCCCCAACACTCACGCGCAAGAGCGTGCCAGCATAGTTTTAGCTTTGCCGAATGTTTGGTTCCTGTTATGTGTTTGCATCTTGTGTATGTATGTTACGTAGGTATGTAGCTAGCTTCTCGCGCATCATCCAAAGCATCATCCTCTGTGGGCTATGCCGATACCACTTGATGGGATTGTGGTCCAGCAAATCATGCTCTGGCACCAGCGTGGATGACAACGTGATCAATAACATCCCCTTTGATGTCACTCTAGATTGTGTCACTGTCCATATCTGTCGATGATTGTGCGCCACGGTAGAACGAGGGGTTCCGGACAGTGCAATGGCCTGTCTATTGCCGTCACGCAATGGAATTCGCCACGAGTGATCACGCTGAAATTAATAGACTGAACCGAGGCACCATCGATGTGGTTAGTGTCCAAGACACTTCGAGCATATTCTCGTGAAAACGAAGATGGCACTTTGGCCATATCCACGAAGAACAATGAACCGCGGCACAGTGGAAGCTTCGAGCCAACGGCAATCACAAAACTTGCATTGCCATTGACGTCTCGCGAGCTCCAATGACGGAATGTTGCTGGTCGCGTGAGGGTCGACGATCCGCCACCCTGTAGTGTTCGCTGAATGCGGGCAAAAGGCACGGACGATCGGCGTCGTCCGTAGATGGCATTGGAAGACGTGGAGGAGTTCCCAGTCCCCCCGGCTTTTGTGTAGAAAGTGTCCCGGGGGTTTTGCCGCCCACGCCATCGAACTCTTGGCGCACCCAGCTGCACTAGCAAAATCCAACATCACCATCTATAATGCTCCCCCTCTCACGACACACCGCCATCGATAACTGCTCCGTGGCATCGACAACGCATTTGAAAGCAAATTCACGACCTTCACCACAACAACAAACGCAATAAAAATCCAGAAATACCGCAATCATGGTACGTTGGGAGAATTTGGGATCGGAGGCGCCCGTTGTGTGGCACACGATTGGGTGGCGATCTTTCGCGAGTCTCGTGGCAGCAATGGAGGATGATTCTGCTGTCTGGTGTTGGACTTCACGAGCGAACACGATACTGACGGAGTATTTTTCTTTAGGTTTTGGCCGTCGATCTGTCAAACCCCACCCCTCAGGCTGAGGCCCGCAAGCACAAGCTGAAGGTATGTGTCATCACCCAGTATCATACAACATGTGACCACAAGATCACGCGCTGACAGGCCTAATAGATGCTTGTGCCCGGCCCTCGCTCTTTCTTCATGGATGTCAAGTGCCCCGGCTGCTTCACCATCACCACCGTCTTCTCCCACGCACAAACCGTCGTCGTCTGCGCCGGCTGCTCGCAGGTCCTTTGCCAGCCCACTGGTGGCAAGGCCCGTCTCACCGAGGGCTGCTCTTTCCGGAGAAAGTAGAGGATTCGCGTCAACCTCGAAAGGGTCAATATTTTCTCAGATCCGTCACACGGGCTAGGGTCGGCATGAAGTCATTGGCAGGTCACAATTTATGATGAGGGAGCACAAGCGAGTCTGCGTCTGCTTTTACGGACCGGAGTTATGGAGTGTACAAAAAATGCATCGGAGGCGAGATGGGATGATTTCGTCGTCAAACGAGATTTGCGATAGAGAAACCGGCAAAACGGAAAGCGATCTGGCGAACCTCTTCGATTGGGAAAGGATTTTGTTAAACCTTTTTATCGTGTTCGGGGTGAGGACCTAGATTATACCATTTACCACCCCATCAAGGAAGTCCACCCTTGCTGCCGCGCGATGATTGTTCTTCATTGACACTTTGCGCGGTGGATTGAATTAAATCATTTATACCGTCACCAACGTTTCGTCGTTTCATCGTTGTGCATCGTCATGATACGTAGCAACAAGATCAGTAGTCACCACCACCACTAGAGGATTGTCTTCCCGCTCCATGTCCTGTGAATTCGGCTGGCAAGTTCCTCTTCTCTCCACCGGCCTCCTTTGCAATCTGCACACCAGCACTGCACCCAAGTCTCACAGCACCTGCTTCAAGCATAGCCTCCGCCTGACTCAAATCACGAATCCCACCAGAAGCCTTGACACGCATCTTCTCCTTGCCATCTTGCTGCGCGAGCACTGCCGCACATGCCCTCATGGTCCCCACATCCTTCACCTTCGCGCCCTCCCCGTGGAATCCCGTCGACGTCTTGATGAAATCGAAATCATTGCGTCCCGCTATCACCGACGCCGAAACGATCTGCGCGGAGGTCAGACGCGAGGTTTCGAGGATGAGTTTCAGGGTTGATGTTGGTGCGGCGGTCCGGAGGGCGTGGAGTTCGGCGTGCACGGCTTTATAGTCTTTTTCTAGAAGAGGGTGGTAGTTTAGGACGATGTCGAGTTCCTGGGCTCCGGCGGTTGTGGCTTGGGTGATCTCTCTAGGGGTTGGAGATTAGCGATTGGGGCTTTTGATGTGAATCGTTTCTTGGAGATCTTTGAGAAAACTAACTTCAACTTATGATCGATGGGATAGTCACCCTCGTGAAAGCCGATGACACTCGCGACCAGGATCTTCGAAGTCGAGGCCGTTGGTGACGAGGGGGAGAACCTCTCGAGGTTGTCGACGCAGCGTTTCACCCAGTTCGGGCGAACGCAAACGGACTGCCGATAAGAAGCGATCAGCGTGATCCAGCAAGAACAAGCCTACTGTCCCTCGCTCCTGCCAACCCTTACTACATGGCTTGCAAAGGACCCGTGTGAACTACTCCATGTATCATGAATGAATGTCATACCGCAAACTCCCACTCCCATGCTTCGGCACACAATTGATCGATCTGCTCGGCGGTTGCATCGAGCTTGAGCAGGGTGTGATCGATCAGACCTCGGAAGGCCGCCGTCTTCTTGTCCGGAAAGCCATACTTTGGCTCGATGCGATGCGGCTCAATCTTGCTGGCGACTTCATCGATGAGCCCCTGCCAGGCTTCGTTTGTCTCTGGGATCGCCATGTCTTCAACTCAGCCTTGACAACAGATGGTGTCGAGGGACGAATGTTTTGCAGGATGTTGGATGAATAGAGAAATATATGCAGGGGCTATTTACACAGGAAGTATCAATCGCAAAACAAAGGTCAAGCCGTACGAACAATAGAACTGTGCACAGCTCCTCGAAGTACATGCTCTCCAGGGCTGGCAAGCTACCACGGAGACAACCTTCCAGCCTTGGAAGCTTTCCTTGTATGATGCCCTGACTTCGAAAAGAAACTTGGGTCGAACCGGGAGTTAAACCCGGGAATCAAACGACCTTGGTTTTGCACTAGCGACGGTATCGACCGAGCCAATGAAAGCCTGCGAGTGGTGGAATCCCAGCCCACGTGACCGGATCTTGCAGCTGAACAGGGAGCAAAACTTGACAAAACAGCGCTGCGCTGTAACTGGAGGGCCCTCAGTCGCTTCAGCTGTTCAATGCATGGCAGCATTTGGTACCTTGATGACTTCCAAGGTTGTTATGGAAGTGCATACCATCACAACAAATTTGTCGCAATTCACCGTGCTCTAGCTGCCGGCCACCTAGTCACATTCGAACCATCTATTTGCCATCAATATGCGCACCCAGTGACTTGGGCAGTACGTCGGGAAATTGTGTTCCTTCCATGCATCGGTGCTTCTGGTAGTGCAATTTGGCCAGAGGCCAATTCTCAGCACCACAGCACCTACGTTTGTCCTAGGGCAATGAGCGAACAACGGGTTGTGGTACAGTAGAATTCTCTCTGCGACGTCATGTCATGATCACACCAAGAGTTCCTCTCAGGAAAGGGATCAATCACAGGAGCCAAACACACGCTCTGGCTTGCACACATCACTCGGGGACTTGCTACGAACCACACGAGCGTATAGCGCTTCCAACTCGATGATTGGATGGTCACGACAGCGACTGCAGCGACAGCAACAGAATGTGTATCAGTCTTCGTTTTCTATGCGAAGGTAGACATGGCAGACGGCATAGGCAGGTCTCAGATGACACGGAATGTCTTTTTCCGTTTCTTTTACTGATCGTATTCTGGTACAATAGTCATTCTTCCCCCATCGTGAGGACTGTTTCGAGGGATACCCCACGTACCTGCCTGGACTGTACTCTCAGGCTTTTCATTGCGTGACCTCTGCAGTCACTGCAAATAACGACAACATGTCCAATTCCAAGGCCTCCCTTCTTCCGTAATGCATAGCATTGAAATATATGGCAGTGCAGATCATCACCTGCACGCTGTATTTGTCGCATCTTGCTTCGGTCTCGTCCGTCATGAACTCACACATGAACAATCACCGATCAACCCTAACCGATGAGCCCTGATTGCAGATGAGTTGTGCTGAAATACTCCATGTCGCCTCAGAGACAATGGTATAACTCATCAACGGCGCTCGCCACATACTTTTGCCGTCGTTAGAATGAGCTCCTGATTCCGCTCTACAATCCTGTGCAAAAAGAACTGCCAAAAAATGAGTGTCAGGCCTTCAAAAAGACAAAAGAAACAGGGTCGAACCGGGAGTTGAACCCGGGACCTCTCGCAAATTGATCACTGGGAACCAGTGACCGCACTCAGGGTGTGCCCTAAGCGAGAATCATACCACTAGACCATCCGACCTGCTGATTTGATGGGAGCGAGAAATAAATTTGGCTATATACAGCTTCAGCATACCGTCTCCAGCATGCCGTTGCAACCGGCAACATCGTCTCGGCCTACAGAACTCCGAAATGCAGTTCATCTCCGCATTCATAATTCATGAGCAACTCCTGAAATGTCAAACATGAGAGCAAGAGATGTGGATCTCAAACGTGCTCGTATGGGCCCTGCTTATGATCGCTATAGATGCAAGGTATAGCCGATCGAAGAACGATGCATCAAAATGGGTGCGAACAGTAAAACCGTCAAGCAATATCACACCCATTGTTGAAAGAGATGTTGCCAATGCGAGTCCCTCGGACACGCGAGAAGTCATTGGTGGAAACGTCCCATTACGCGTGTTGCTCATCGGTGATTCCATTCTGGTCGGTTACGCAAGCATGGACTTCAATGGCTTTCGACAAAAGTTATATGATGCATTTGTCAATTCTGGTAAGTACAGGTATAGACGCGCGCAGCTTCACTCTCATGCTCATCCATCCAAGGCAGCACATCAGTCGATTTCATAGGGACTCAACAACTTGGAAATGATACGAAAGTCGCAAATCATTTTGAAGGATACCCTGGTCATCGAGTCAAGATGTTGCACGATAAATTGATTGTGAGCAACATTCTCGCACAACAGCCGAACATTGTCCTGGTCATTGCAGGTACGAACGACCTGAACCAAGACGATATTTTATTTTCAGCAGATGAACCACGGGCTCTGGCATTGTATCGTTTCCAGCGGATGTTGGAATATATCACCTGCGTCGTACCAGATGCCGTCACTCTGGTGGCTACGTTGCCCCCGATCAAGAACGAGACGGCGCAGGCATTGGCCGTCGAATTCAACGCAGGCATTCCTGCGATTGTCGAGCCCGGACAGGTCGAGGGTTTCAAGCTCGGCGTTGTTGAAATGGCCGACATCGACAGAAAGTTCATGGCGTGGGATGGTATTCATCCCAATGACGAGGGGTATAGCATCGTCGCTCAGCGTTGGTTCGACGCCCTGCTCAAGGTCCCCACTGGTTGGATCCAAGCACCTCGAAATCCCGACATGGTGGCTATGAACGCAACCGCGAAGACATGTGCAGACCGCACCAAAAGCCCCAGCCTTTGCCGTAGTTGTCAGGGAATCTGGAATTGTCTTTGGGAACAGCCTGGTATGAGATGTGGTGGATATCGATGACGAATCCCGAGACGAGGAACTGCCTAATATTTCCTGAGTTGTCTGGAGGCATTGACACCTGAATGTCTGTTTCTGATGTCTGCCAGCACGCAGGCTAGTCACGCATACACGCCCTTTCGGATTAACGACTTCTACCTGTGTCAGACTGTTTGCTTTTGAAGTCGTCCTGGCACAGCATCGGCAAACACGGCCTGCAGAAAGTATGCCATGAACCAGCACAAGTACGGAGACCTCAGACAAGTCACTGCCTAATGTGTCGAGACGACAAGAGCCCTCCTACTGTCGGCACCTCTAGAGCGTCAACATAAGCCCACTTGCTGCTTTTAACGAACTTCATCCAAATTTTCTACGTCTGAAACAATCCAAGCTCGGCAATCGTGTCTTTCGAGAGATGTCGGTCTACCGAGCAAAGCGAAAGCAACATATCACATTCATGAAAATACGAAAACGCCACCGAGCTCGACGAACAAGCAGCTGAATCCAATGCGAGGCCAGCTGTGTGAGTTGCTGTGGCGAACGCATAATATCAGACCATATCTTACGGAATACAGTAATTTGTATGATAGAAAAGACGCTTCTTGTATGTGGTAGCAAAAATTTGTAAACAGTATAGTACCATAGTTGTCAAAAATGTGCATGTACATTTGAAAAACTAAAACACATCTGTCTGCCGTTGCGCCTGCATAAATTTATGCACGAGCCAGGGGTTGTCGCAACTCCTGCCGAGGCTTACCTAACCATGAACTCTTGGTCAGGGTGTTCCGCCGCGACATGTTCTATTGCAGGACGTCAAGACATTCAATGTTGCGGAAGATCGTTGCCATCGCATTATCTATGCGCATGTCTTAAGAAGATATCTTGCGCTGATATTCATTCTTTCGAGACGACTACAATGTTGGCTAACAAGAATGCGATCAATCCGATTCTATTCGGTACCATCCTGGCTTTGGTTGCAGCACTGGCGTGGGTGACGATCGCGACCTCAAATTCAAGAAATCAGAACATATTCGAGCACTTTCAAAAACCACTAGCAATAGATCACCAGTCATCGAATTCGTCAAATCCAAAGGATCCCAGCAATTTTGGAATCGGGAAAACCGACGATCCCAACTTCTTCAGCTTCAAGGCATTCTTCCAGCAAGACTTGACCTTGCCCAATCCCGAATTTGATATCGAACGTCTGAAGACATACAAGCCCGTCAACTATGCAGGTCCCGGCCGCCCAACTTTCGCGGCTTACATGTCGACGAGGAATAGTACTATCCATGATCCATACTTCTGTGGCGCACAACAACTCGCCTACCGATTATTATGGGATTCGCGATCAAAGTAAGCGGCACAACATACTGCATGAAACACGAAAGCGATTTTGGCTGACATTGCCTTAACAGATCCGAAAAATACCCATTTACAGTGTTTGTTGCGCCGTTCATTCCGCAGGATCAACGAGATCTATTAGCCGCCGCTGGCGCTAACGTTGTCGAACTGCCAACAGTAAATTGGCATTCGACAGCTTTGACAGATGCAAGGTAAGTAAAGGACTCTGTCTGACCATCAAAGACAACACCGGGTTGGCGCTGACACAATGAACAAGATGGCGCGACTTATTCTCCAAGTTGAATGTGTGGAACCAAACTGAATTCAGTCGAGTCGCTCTGCTGGACACTGATGCATTCCCACTTGAAAACATTGACGCAATATTCGACGAAGAGCAATCGCCCGAGCTTGATTGTGTCCGTGGGCTTTTGAACGAGGACGACTTAGCTGATCCAAAGCTCGACGAATTGTGCAAATACGTCTACGCAGGCGTGCATGATCCTGGTCTTGGTTACAAACAGGTCAACGGCGGCGTGTACGTACTCAAACCGGATCAGGCCATGCATGATCGTCTCCTGCGCGAAATGGCCAAAGACCAATTCGACGACCATCTTGCCGAGCAGGCTTTTCTCAATGTCGCCTTCCGCTATGATGGACCATTTCCCGCAGTGGACATGGGCCGGACGTGGAACGGCTTCATCCCCCAAGAGAGCGAAGAAGGCAAATTGAAAATCATCCACGAAAAATTGTGGGTCATAGAGCGAATGACCGACCGCAATCTGAGCTGGGCATTACACTATTTCAACGATACCTGGGACGATATGCTCAAGCTATACGAGAGTGACGGATTTGAGACTCTGCGAGGATCCAGGAGTATCAATCTCTTCTGAATAGACGATTTCAGCGCGCGGAAGCGTCCACTCCCGTCTACGGATCGTAATACAACGTCGAGGAGCTATAGAGCTCACGCCAAATCAGGTATCACGTAAAGTCCGAGTTGGGTGACTTTAAGCACCTTCATGCACCATTCACTAGATCTCACCATGCGGCCAGCGTGCCGAGATCTGCTTTTCAAGATACCGCATGAGCGTCTCTGTCATGACATACCAAAGACACTCGACTTAGCGTGCAGATAATCTGCGTGGGCTTGCAAAAAACAGAGATACCACCTCTTCGGAATTGGCATCCAGCCATCCTGTGAGACGCCGCGGCGATGCGATGCTTCTCAGACTTCCAGTACATCCCTTGGAGAGCAAATTCATCAGCCGCTACGAAGTAGTATGTTTGTGAGCATTGAGAAAAGATGGCCCGCACGACAGCATCACTGCTTCGCATTCGCTTCGATTTTCCGCCTGTTCATGAGCTGCAGCCGAAATCAACCAACGTATGAGCCACCTTTGGTCTGTTGGCTGCATAGCTTCGTCGGCACGCTGAACAGGTTCTTGAATTGAAAAAGGGCTTGCTGTGAGGGAGCAGAATCTCGCAGAAATTGGAAGATTGTTAATCTGTGGAAATTAGGTGTTTTTCGACAAGGTGTACATTATTTTATCACGATAATTGATTTGACACCAGGCCACGCTTGACCCCATTCGTGTGACAGTGTTCCCGAAAGCAAAGAAGAAGTATGTGCCATTGCTCTGCCCGAAGAGTTGCGCAAGAAAATGTAAATACTATGCTCTCACATACCAACACGAGCATTGAGTCCATGACCAGAACAGCGCCATCGCGTGCCGACTTGCCCGAAACTACACCAGATTGCATGGGTACCGCAGCAATGAACATCATGTCAGCCGTTAGAGAATATGAAAAGAGTGCGAAGGCACCAGTGTGAAACCCCATAGATCGCTCTCATCATATACAATGCTTCAACACAGAATGATATTGTACAATCATGATTTCGTATCCACATCAGTCCCAGCTAGAGAGACCGCAGTGTCAGCGATTGTGCGCAGCGTCATTCATAGCGTTGATGTTAGGCTTACCCAGTATCCTTCTGTCGGACGATGTCGCCTGCATTGCCCTTCTGCTTTCCACTCTTGCCTCCTTCCACCACTAATCGATCGAGCTGGAAGAATTGGCTGACAACAGTTTGTCTCTGTCGTCAACATTATCAGCCACGATATTCTCGACATGTTCTCGATAAATATCAGATCCTTCCGCCGGTTCCGATATGACACAGCCGAGTGGCCGTTTCTTATTGATGACCTGGATGGACAATCTGATGAGTGACGTACCCTTAATATTTGCAGCTCTTTTGTGCCCTTTTGCATGAGATCCTGTATTCTCTGCGTATCGCTCTCGGCGCGATGTTCTCTGAATGCATCCCTCGTGCGTCTCTTTGCATATTCTCTGAAATTGTAGGCGGCGAATTGGCGCGATTGGCGCAGTAGTGATCTGTAAAGCGAGCGGACCTCGAGCGCGGTGGGAGTCGACATTGCGTATTCGTTCCGATTGGACCGTCCGTGTCTGTGAGATAATTGGTGCAGTGCGCAGTATGCAATTGATGTTCTCTGACACAATGCGCTGCCAGTGAGAGCTCTAGAAATTCGCCGTCGATGAAATGTTGATTATGTCATGCTTTCGGACCGCTTCAGGGCTGGCTCCGGGGCCCGGTCCGGATTGGCGTGGCTTTTACTCTGTCGTTGCCAGGACCTCCGTTTCCCGAGCGCGTTGAACACGACTCGCTTTTGGGGAATTTGCGACACGCGCAGCGCACTGTTCAAACAATCAGCTAACACAATATCATAAAAGACTATCATCAAGAACCTTCTACAGATTCGCCTGAATTGCAGATTTCTCGAGTATCAATCATACGACCAACGCGACAGACGCGCACGCGCCACGATCGCGACCATACCAGCATAGAAATTGTTCCGAGTCCTGATTTATCGAATACCTCAACAATAGTCGCGGCGCGAGAGCGCCAACGCCATTATGGCTCCGGTACGTGTGTTCAAAATTCAGCGCAGCAACCAATTGCTTCTATGCGAGGCACACATCCTCCACGAAGCGCCTCGAAACACAGTGTACACTCGCGCGGACGACTAGCCCGAAGCACCCAAGCAGCTGAGGAGACCGCATGTCATGGATCTTCTCACGCTTCATCATTTATGACTCGTAATCCTTAGCAATTGTCACATTCTCTCTGGATTACCAGTGCTACTGTGTTTCTCCATCTCATTTATTTTCTTCTTCAATATTCTCACAAAATAAAGCCTCGCTAACATTTCTTTGTGCTCGATAGTACCGTCCTCCTGGTCGTAGCAATCGTTCTGGTCGGACAAATGCCGACAATGATGTCTTCGAAGGATTGCCTGTCAAGCAATGGTCTCAATCAGTATCGCGCGTGTCAATGGTCCCTCCAGTGGCGGAAGTTGTTGCCGTCGTGGACGATAAATGGGGAGATCCTCCACTGCCTCGCGACTACCAACTGCTTTCTCCGTGGACTCAACAGCTTTTGCGCCTTGCACGTTCCGGTAAAGTAGGCACCAAGCGGAAAGCCGGTTCCAACAATACAGATGAAGACAAGCCAGACGACAACGGCAACGAGGCCTCGAAAATCGCATTCGACGATCGAGGCTACCTTGCGAAAAAGTGGAAGCCTGTACCGGAACAGCAACTAGAGCCCGAGCATAAGCATTTCGAATTCCTTGCAAAGAGGCGCAAGGGTCTGCCGAGTCTGGGCACCGAGCTCCAAGGTGGTCCTATTGCCATGCGCAAGACCAAAGTACAGAGAATTGGGCCCGAAGGTGAAGTCACCGTGTATGACGTTTTATTACCGGTTGGTCAGACGATTGAAGGCGAGATCACCGAACCAGCACAATTGGCCGATGTTGTACCTGTGTTTGCTGCGCCCGGTACTGTCATCGAAGGCCTTGGTGTCGCCAACGAAGCTGGAATTGTTGTGGCCGAGCCTCTTCACAACGCACCTCGACGGAATCGACCACCTCCAAAGAAGAAGGGTGGACCTGGCCGAGGCAAGAAACGTGTCACCTTCACCAACCCCGACGGATCTACGTATACCACTATTGTGCCAAATGCAACGAAGATTGTACCTCAGCCAGGGCAGACTGTAAAGCATGTCGCCAAGGGAGAGGAGGCGAGCGAAGATGTCAGCGCAGAACAAGCGGCAGCTGCTGCAGCCGCACAGCAAGACAATTCGCAAGAGGATGGAGGCGATGATGAAGGGTCGGGTGACGATGATGGTGACGATGATGGCGAGGAGGACGATGATGGAGATGACGACGATCGTGAAGAGGGTGAATTGACCGACGACGACGCTCCAACCGGCCCGACCACGAATGCTGCCGCGGCCGAGAGTCGAAGTGTTCCGCAGATACCCGCGAAGCCGTCTCTGACGGAGGCATCAAATCACACCACAGCAACCTCGGATTCTAAGCCCGAAGAAGATGTGGAGATGTCTGAAGCACCAGGCGAATCTACCATTGAAACTCCCAATGAGGGAGCGGACGAATCTATGATGGGTGAGGACACATACTCTCCTGAGCTATTACCAGAGGAACCTGCCGATGATTACGAGCCGACGGATGACCTGGTAATGGAACCGACAATTGCCCCCACGACTGGCGGGGCTGATGGGCCGATAGCTGCGCCAATAACTGAGACTGTCACTGAGCCGTCAACAGAGCCAGCTACAGATGTTAACACAGTCCTCATCGCTCCACCAGACGCCATCGCCATCGAGGTCACGATAGAAGAGCCGCCGGTGCCAACTGTAGAGCCCGCCACGGCATCAGAGGCACCAGTAGAGACAGTTATTGTTGAAGCTCCAAGTGTGGACAAGGGTTCGATAGAGCAGCCTCCAAGCACAGTGACGCACGATGACAACGCAGCTTTAGACCATCCTGAGAGCGCGGCATCTCTTGCTGATCAGTCGCCAGTAGAGCCTATCGAGGAGCATGCATCAAAGGACGTGCAAGAAGAGCCGCCCGTCGCGACACCTGCCGTTGAAACCACAGCTGAAGCGACGGCTGAGACCACCATCGAGCCTCCGGTTGAATCCACGGCCTCTTCCGCTATCGAAACTGCAGCTGAAACCAGAGCTGAGAGCGCACTTCCACCGACGGCCGAATCTGCAGTCGAACCTGTCACTGAATCTATCGCCGAAGCTGCCGCCGATTCGACCACCGAAACTGCCGCTGAAGCTCCTGCTGTTCCCGCGGCCGAATCCACCGCTCAACCAGTAGAGCCTTCAGCAAGTCAACCAGAGGAGAAAGCCCCACCGACAGATCCGGTCCAGGCCACATCTTCTGAAGAGACACAATCAGATTCATTGCCTACGGAAATACCACCAGCGACGACGGTCTCAATCGCAGAAGCTCCCGAAGCATCGAATGCAGTGACTGCTGCAGAGTCTGTAGCCGCACCAGAACCAACAGAAGCAGAAGCTCAGGAGCCTGCCACCGAAGCTGAAGGACAATCAGCGACCGCAGAAGAGCCAATATCTGCACCGCAGACTGTTGCTGCAGAGGCAGAGGAAGATCTTTTAGGTGATCTAGAGAAGCATCTCGAGGAATAGCAACCTCCGATGGTCACCTGGATTCACTCGTTCGCATATTCACACGCAAACAATACACTTTCGGAGAAGACAAATTATTTTTCGCCGATGCGATGACATATCGATTTGCATACTTATTACTGAAGACTAGGCGTTGCATGGGGTCTCTTTTGCTTTCTGGAAGACTCGCGGTATGCCCTGTGTAACATTGTTTCTTGGTCGATACTGTGACAATAGAAGTTCATGTCGCTTTTGACTTTGAGTATCCTCCTTCGCGTTGTGTTATCACTACTATGCGATGAGCTCCCCCACTTGCAATATTGGCCAGTCTCCTGTCTGTATGATTGGTCTGGAGACACACGATATGGTGATTTGAACAGAACTGAGAAAGCTGTGCAACTGCATCGTGGCATGTACTGGCGATCGTGTACACGAGTCTAGTCCTGCCTGGTCAATTGTGTATCTGCTTCGGCAATCAAAATACACTTTCCAGACAAGGCGATGTGCGCCAACCCCCTCCCGTCCAGCCACCACCGCAGGGCATTCTTCACCGTCGAAGCAAGCACTGAACCTGAAACCCATCATGATCGTCTATCATATCTCAAAGGCAGGCAGCAGAAACTCTATTTACTGAGAAATCCACCCGATTTCTCCGTGAAGACTATGAAACGAGACTGGGTCTGAGAATCAATTTCCAACCAAGCAGGGCTTTCGGCGAAATTTCCCGCCAGGAGTAAAATGTCTCGGAATGTTTAGCCTGGGCAATGGCATATACTGTAGATCCGGCCACCATCTGGTTGATTGAGTCGATGACAGCCTGGTCGTGACGCTTGGTGCCATCGATGGAAGACCAGGAGCGAGGTTGCATCGTTACTTTGGGGGTCCCGCATGTGCATGTATTTGCACGCACGAATCAATCGACGTGCATATGGTAAGCGGAAGGCCAGGGCAAATACTGTATTTCGAGCTTTGAAGGGCTCATCACCGACCCATAATAAGAGTTCTTCAGCGAAGCGGCTCTGCACTACTCATGATAATATGATAATGGCAGCAATGCATGCGTGCTTTCTACGAGAGGACAGCTTTCACGTCATGACGGGCAGAATGGCAGCGTCAGAAAGAGAACGCTTTTCTGGGAAAATGTTCCATTCTTTCACACGAGGGCCCAAGTGGTATTGGCGGCGGAATTGGCGGATGCTGCTTCCTGTATTGGTCCTTCTTTATTATTTTCCAATGCAGGTGTGCAAGTTTGGGCGTCGCAACGGGAGGCGCGATCGGCGCCATCAATTCTCCTGCGGGATGGCGTAAGTGCACGCACGTTCCCACCTGAACTTCAGCCTTTGGCACGGGGCCAGCAAGAAATCAGCTCTCAAGATGTCGGATCTCGAATTCATCTCATCGTTCGCGAAACATCACTGTCGAGCGGTCTGAAAATTGCGGTCAACGAGGAGATGTCGGATCGAGCCAAAGTTACCGAATGGTTTGTCCAGCCTTGTCGGTGATTTAGTGAGACATGCCAGAGAAATGTTCCGCCCTGGAGTTAGAGCGAGGCTGGAGCCGTTAGCGAGGATGCATGACTTACTTCCGTGAACTACGACATATCAACCGGTCGAGATCTACGTTACAACAACGGACACATCTAGCGTATGCGTAGAAGAACCCCGTCGATCAAGTCCACGCAGATTCGTCCACAGACGCTACAGCATCTGAGAAAAGGTCAGGAGACGATATTCGCTTCCTCTGTTCTGGTATGACAGTTGTACACTCTCTCGACTTGGCGAGTATTGGCAAAGATATATCGTCCTTGCATGTCCCGGAGGCCAACGGTTTCTCCACACAATGTCTGCTTTTCCCAGCTGTGACCAGGGAGTGTACATGTCAGCACCATCATCGTCATCGTCATCATCGTCACGCGATGGCCATGAGAAAGGTTGCATCCGCGGCGTCCTGCACAGGCATCGGCACAGACATGCAGGCTGCGATACGCTGATGCGATTCTGACATGAGCGCGATCGCTGTCTAACGCTGTATGGCAGAGATATGCTATCTCGTCTTGCCGTAATCGAGAGCTTGCTCCTGTCAATTATTATACACGAGGCAGAAGTATTCTCATACACATACGGCGGCGGCGTGGCAAGCCTGCCTGCATAGCCGTTGCATGGAGCCAACGGTCGTGTCCAGGTCGCACCTTTCGCAAGTCAAAAGGGCGGACGACAAGGATTGATGCACATGTTGCTCGCCGCATTGCCCGGTCCACCCAGCAGGGAACTCTCAAGGGATGCCGCGGCAATGTAAGAACGACCCAGTGATCTCCAACAAAAATCAAAGCATCATCGTTGCCAGCGACGGTATCGACAAAGAAAATGCAGACGGAGCGCGTGCGGACATTTTCCTCTTGACGTGGAGGGAATCCTGCCCAGCACAAGACATTTCCTTCCCCGCCACATCCGTTGCTGTGCCCGTTACAGAGTAAAACCGTCTGACGAAACGTGCTGATGTGAACTTCTATCCCCAGCCGCTCTACGGTACGAGAGTGAGCGTTGCTTATGTCTTGGAAAGGACAAATTAAACATAGACATAGTTTCGAAGACAATAGTCCGGCGGGGAACCGAACACCGACGCTGAGGGTGAGGCTACGGGTCGGCTGGGAGTGATTAGCGCGCCCCGAGTTTAGCAGCAAGTCTTGAACGACCGAACTGTTTCGGGGCACAACAGTGGACGCTAGCTTGTTTTAGGCGCGGGTACATCGCACACCTCACCCAGACACGACACGATACAGCAGTGCAGCAAATGTCATGTACCGCACTGGACTTGACTGCACTGTACTGTACTGTACTGTAGACATTTCTGGATCAGCACAGACGCTCATATCAGACTCCGCCCGACGATGATGTCGCACCCTGTGGATGCTGCTGTGCCCTCCCAGGGACACGGGGCCGGTTGGGAGTGGTGTGCACTGCTGGTGCTGCCACATTGTCTCCATCCGCATGGCTTGGGGGTGTGAGGCCATGGCCCCCGTTGGATCGCTGTGGCCGTGTGAGCGGGTTTTCGATGGTCTATCCGTCCGTGAACATATACTCGATGCCGGCAGCATGTTTCCGTTTGAGGAGATGGACGAACGCTCGTTGTCTACTCTCTTTCCAATCGACTCGCTGTTGCACACACTAAGCCTCATGTCACTAGTTTGACAAGGGCCAGCGTCGACGATTGTACCGATTCATTTGCCTTGCATGGTTCTTCCCTTTTCGTCCGCATCGACATCTGCAACTATATACCAACGCCCTCGTTGGCGTACATACAAGTCATGTCCGCTACACCTCGAAGCACGGTGGGCACTGTCAAGTCCTGGAATAGCAATTCCACCAGCACATTCACAGAGACCGAAGGCAGTTCATCACATAAAGGCATCGAAGAAGTCGAAGCCGCTCGTCTACGACCAATGACGAATGATCAATTCCCGTGGCTCTCGCAAGAGTTCGAGCCGATACGTGGGCCACATGGAGGACGAGGAGCAGATACAAGAAATCCTCCGACATGGTTCCGCGAAGGTCAAACATTCAACAGAGGCGACTCGCGGCGTTCACAACGGAGTGTCGCGAGGGAAGAAATCGTCGATTTACATTTGATCGTTTCGGATCTCGATTACTACGCCGGTGCAGTTCACGATTACCAGCAAGCCGAAGAAGAAGAGGCGGAATTCTGGGATGAGGAAGCACGTCTCGGGACCGCCGGTCCCTATCCTAAATCATCAGACCGAGACGGCACAACCTTTGGACAGATCCAGATCATCCGCGCGGCGTCCAAGATGGGCCAATCCAAGATCGGTAGCATGCGTCGAAATGCATCCATGAAATCAGCCAAAGCGGAGAGCGATTCCAACCTTGTAACATGGGAAACCCGTACAGATCCGGAGAACCCCAAGAATTGGACGAATAACCGCAAATGGCTTGCCACGTTGACCGTGTCGCTCTTCACATTCATTTCACCCGTTTCAAGTTCCATGATCGCACCGGCCTTGCTCGACGTGCAGACATCATTAGGGGTCGATGATGCCGCCCTCGCTGGCCTGGCCATGTCGGTTTTCATCCTGGGTTTCGCCGTCGGTCCTTTATTACTAGGCCCTCTCTCGGAAATATACGGACGGAGAGTGGTACTTCAAGCTAGCGGAATGTTCTATTTCATTTTCAACCTCGCTGCCGGCTTTTCAACAAACATCGGAATGCTCATCGCCTTTCGCTTCCTATCCGGTCTCGGTGGAAGTGCACCCATGGGAATCGGCGGTGGTGTCTTGGCTGACATCTGGCTTCCACAAGAACGTGGCCGAGCCATGGCGCTTTACTCGCTCATGCCCTTGCTCGGTCCGGCCGTAGGACCCATCGCCGGTGGTTTCATCGCACAATACAGCAGCTGGAGGTGGGTCTTCTGGTCGACGTCGATCGTCGCCATCATCGTGCAGGTCATGGGCTACTTCCTCCTCCACGAGACCTACGCGGCGACGATCCTCCAGAAGAAGAAGAACTATCTGGTCAAGAAGACCGGCAACAAAGACCTCTACACCGAATTCGAGAACCCCAAGAGGAGCATGGCCAGCCACCTCGGCACCGCCTTCAAACGCCCCATCATCCTCCTCACCACCCAACCCATCGTCCAGCTCATGGCGCTCTACATCGGCTACGTCTACGGCGTCCTCTACCTCGTCCTGGCCAGCTTCCCGGAGGTGTGGCGGGAGCAATACAACGAGACCAACACGGGCATCGCGGGCCTCAACTACATCTCGCTGGGCATCGGCTTCTACGCGGGCACGCAGATCGCGGCCAACTTCGCCGACAAGATCTACAAGAACCTGAGGGCGCAGAACTCGGACGTCGGCCGCAGCGAGTTCCGCGTGCCGCTGATGCTGCCCGGCGCCGTCATGGTCCCCGTCGGCCTGCTGCTCTACGGCTGGTCGGCCCAGAACAAACTGCACTGGATCGTGCCCAACATCGGCACCGCCATCTTCGCCGCCGGCAACCAGCTCGTCTTCCAGAACTGCCAGACCTACATCGTCGACTCGTACACGCGCTACGCCGCCTCGGCCATCGCCGCGACCGCCGTCTTCCGCTCGCTGGGCGGCTTCGCCTTCCCGCTCTTCGCCCACCAGATGTACTCCGTCCTGGGCTACGGCTGGGGCAATTCGGTGCTGGCCTTCCTGGGCATCGTCGTGGGCTTGCCGGTGCCCTTCATCCTCTGGTGGTACGGCGAGGGTTTGAGGAAGAGGAGCACCTTCGCGGTGGGATGAGATGGGTTCTCCTCCCTCCCTCCCTTCCTTCCTTCGCGAGCTGGGCTTCTGATACGATTTACATGACTGCTTTGGTTTTCTTTTGGGCGTCTGAGCATTGTTCGTCGTTGCTTTGTTTCTGTCGACCCCTGTCGTCGATTTCTTCCGCGAGCAAGTTCTCCAGCGTGGCGGGCCTCGACCTTTCTCCTTGTGGATTTTTGGCCTTCAGAGAAGGAAATCCCCGTTCCCTCTCTATGCGATCGCTCGGGAGGGGAAAAATTTATTCCATCCTTTTGTTTTGTGGGGGGTTTTTCCCTCGCATGTATGTATGACTCGGTCTCTCCCTGTCGCTTCTTTCTGAAATGGGACCGCTTCCTTCCTGCTACGGCTCGCGTGATGGACGTGCGCATCGATCATCCGAATGAATACCATAATCTATTCCGTCTCTCCCTCTCACAGGAATGCTGCTGATCGATGACCCCCTCCTCCTTCCCTCGTGATGGCCATCGTACAATCCCAATGTCTGCTTGCCCGATTGCTTGCTTTCCGCCCGCCTCGTGACGAAGCGTTCGTCCCCCCCGCCCCGACCCGACTCCTCGGGCCCTTTCGCGTGTACCTGCTAAGAGGAGCGTTGGGGACACAGCGTTGTGCTCGAGGCATTTACTTCCCACGTGATGGCTATTCTTGTGACCTGCATATATATATATATATATGTGTGTGTGTGTGTGTGTGTGTGTGTGTTGGGACCTCACGTGGCTCGCACAGCATCTATCTATCTATCGGTCACACGGTGATGTTGGTAATGTTTCCCGGTCCCAACTCGTCTCTTTCATGATTTATTTATAGCGGACGATGTAACGTTGTACAATCGTTTCACCTCGGAGGGGCGAATGGTAAGCTGGGTCCGATTAAGAGATGCTGATTCCTCCGATACATGTCCAACGTCATATCCGTCCCAACCTCATCCGCCAATGACGACAACAAGGCCATCTCCCTGAGGGCGTCGCGAAGCGTCCGTGTTCGGCACCCGCACGGCCGGGTATACTCCCCCATACGAAAACCGCGACGTATCACCGGGACGAGTCCCATAGACCGTGGAGCCGCCCGTCAGCGAAGTCGGATCTCTCTGGGAAAAGACTTTGGCGCGGAGGATGACGACGGCTTTGGGATCCCCGTTGTCGTGGACGGGGAGGTTCCTCTGGGCGGTTTTGCTGGCGATCCGGGAGTCGTGGTTGCCTTCGTGGAAGTGCCCGGCGAAGACTCTCGGCGGGGTAGTCCAGAGCGGGCGGAGGAGCCGGGGGAAGAGCTCGGCGGTTGACATGTTGGCGGCGGTGGGCGGGTCTTTGGGCCGGAGACCGGGATGGGATTTTTGGGCGTCTCGAGGAGGTCGCGTTTTCTCGTCTTGATTGATGGGTCGAACGACGAGTTTGGGATCTTTAATTCTAGGAAGGATGATCTTGGCGCATCGATTGATTAATCTAACTCTCAGGATTGAAATCGTGGTTTCCCAGTTGGAATCGGAAAGCTACCGTGGATCGTATGGCTGCTGTAACCATCTCTTGGTAGATCTGCTTGCAGGTCCTTGCCAGGGGCTTTTGGCAGATCCAACTTCATGTCATTTGATGCTTATAGCTGATCAATAAATGGTCCTTCTCGTTGAGGATCTGGAGGTATGCCTGTTCACGAATTTCCGGTGGTAGGGATAGGAGGCCGAGACGGTCCTGTGTGGTAGGTTGGGTCTCGTCCATGGTGGGACTCCTGCGAACCTCGGTTTTGAGGTTCGCATTGGATGCGTAGATATGAAGATGACAGTCTCATACTGGGCGCGATTGCTCACGCCTTAATGATAGTTCTCGTGTTGCACAAGCCGTGCTTTCATGCAAGGCGGAGACTTTGCTGGCAAACGACATTTGCTCATTGGGTTCACGCTTGCCAGTGGAACAGTCTTGCATCAATATGGGTTGATTACCTTGTGGTGCAGCCGTTTGCAGGGATCTGAAGGGTTATTCCAATTGCAAGTTCAATTCAAAGCTATTGTCACGACATCGCAGCTGGCATCGCCGCCCGCTCACCAGCAATTCAAGCACGTAATGCAACGGCAGACATGGTCCTGCGCCAGATTGTGGTGAATCGAGAAGGTGAATTTCTTGACAGGAGATGATGCTGGCAAAGCCTGCGTCAGCGCTGCCGTCGGTGGCGGCGATGCGACGATACGATACATGCGAAAAGGGAGGTCCACGCCGGATTGTTCAGCTGCGGCGTTGAATCCTTGCCGGATTCGCTTGCATGTCCGTGCCAGAGGTTGAACCATGATGATGTTCAGGAGGGAATTGTTAGACCGTGGTGTCGAGAGCGGTGTTGCATAGGCTGTTGTCGCAGCGAGCTCTTCCCGAAAACATCAGGTTTTCCCTCGACGTGCCTCTCATAGACGGCAGTGCTTTTGCTCTCTGCGGACAGCAACATTTGCTGAGTGTCCGCTTTGGCAGCGGGCACTCTCACCATCGTCAGTATCGCTTACCTCATGACGCAGCTGTCGATAAATTTCCCTGAACATGTCAGGTTACTCTCGACTTGCAACTCGCATCGAGTGCTTCTCGCCATCATCTGGCGACATGCCGTTCATTCAGTGAGTGTCGCCTTGACAGCGGAAGACTCCCGTCTCTAGCACCGACTACATCCAACGCCTACGCGCAACACGGAAAACCCGGGCTGATACTGAGTCAAAGGCGTCGGAGGGAAAACACCGGGAGGATCTTCGTCGCCCGTCACGTAGATCCCACCGACTTCGCGAAGTCTCCATGTTTCGTCTGAGCGAAGAAGACAGCGATGGTTTCTGAAGGCGTGGGAGGAGGGTTCTACACGATTGTGGAGCACATCAGTGGTATTGAGACTCTCAATTGAATACCCGTCGATGGGATGGTCCACGAGGCGACCTGGCGCTCGAGCGCTGGGAACTGTAGCTGGATGGACGCATCCTACGATGATAAATGATTTGCGATATGCGTACGACCACCTCTGACGTAGATGTCGTCCAGTTGTGGCTTGATGCTATGGAATGTGCGTGTATGTGTACATGTATGATGTGGTATAGTGGTGGAGGATCTTCAGATGGCCGCACCGCGTTTGCATATCACGTGATGAGAGCCCTTGATTGAGATGAAAGCTTCGAACGATGGATGACACACCACATCCCGCTCGAGATCTGACGATGACGAGACGGGATCGGCCGACAACGAAGGATGTCATGAGGCTCATCGAATACGTGGAGACCAACATAAACGAGAAACGAGAAAATGTGATGGTGAAGAGAGAGAGACGCGATCTTGTCTCACCATAGGTATGTAGGGTATGTATCATCCCTCCGTGACAGAGCCGAAGCCCTAAATGGAGAGAGACGATCTATACGGAAAATGGCAAGAGCTCGCAGAAAGAAGCGACGACTTTTCCAACAAGACTTCGAGTATTGTACTGCAATCATTGATGAGGGGCGTGGATGGAGGATGGAGGAGGATGATTACGCGAGCCAAGGATCGAATAAGTTATCATCGACAGGCAGGGAATCGGGGTGGTCACACTCGCTGTACTAGTACTGTATAGTATAGTACTGTATAGCATAGCCCAGCCGGGATCGGGACAAGCGCTGACGTCTTTTGCCTGCCTACCCCCCAGGTGGTGCCGCTCTAGAGGCGAAGGGAGGCACAGTCGGAGATGGGACAGGCACGTGACAGGATGGGTTGTAAGAGAAGAGAAGACCTGCGAGGGATGTGCCGTAAGGGAAGAGGAACGTACTGTAAGAGAAGACCTGTGAGGAATGTCCTACTGTAAGAGAAGACCTGCGAGGAGTGAGTTGTAAGAGAGCCCAATCCACTCCTTACTGATGGTACTCACGTGATACTGTATGTCTACCTCCACAGTATAGTATAGTACATACCTGCCCAGCATTGGCTTGCTCCGTTGCCCCGCAGTGAAAGAAAAAACCAACGACGACGACGACGATGATGATGATCATCATGCAGGTGATTGATGATGACTGACGACTGGAGAGTTCACCGGCACCGAGACAGTCCGGCTGATGATCATGTCTCCTTATTGTTATTTTCCAAATTGATTGTTGGGCACTGTCGGTGCTCTAGAGTCGATACTGCGGCACTAATGCCATTACTCCTGCTGCTACTACCGCTCCCGCTACTCCTCCAGCATCGTCACCGGCTGGTCCCAGGCTCGACCAACAGAACAAACGAAACTCTATCCATCGCCGGCATATGCGGGCGCTCCACCACTGCTGCACATCGCCAAGTATGAAAGCCTCGATCAGGAAGTTGCTCCGTTCGTGCCTGTCCCTCTCTTCTTGTCTGTGGATGTACTGCGGGACTGCATGTCCACCGAACTGCATGGCGGGTAGAGTCAGTCCCCCGCAGTCCAGTCCAGTGGTCATTCTCCTACATGTGGACGTCGATTCGCTTGATCTCGAAGACTGTGCGGGTGGGCATCGATCATTGCTCCACTACCTAGTGCAGTGCAGTAACAACAAGCCCATCCAGTGCGATCGCCCTCTTCTGCCGCCCATCGAAACGCCTGTGCCGCCTCTTGCCCGCCCAAAACAGCTTCGGCGCTGCATTCGTCGCCCACCCGCGGGACACTTTCTGACCAACCACCGCCATTTGTCCCTCTCTCTCACCCTCTTTCGCACTCTTGTTCCTCCCACACGACACACAACACACGACACACGACACACGATATACCCACATACGTACACCCACCCTCATCACCTACTCGGGACTAATCCATCTGCACATCCACCACCGTAACCGCATCCAGTTGGACTCGGACATGACCGACCATCCTGCTCCTGCTGCTGTATGCGCCAACCCCAAACTCTCCCTTCGGTCGGGACGCGTCTGCCTTTCCGATGCAGCTTCTCGTCGAGGGAAAACAACACTCGGGCGGCCTGTTCGTGGCGGGCAGAGGATGATGGCCTGCTCGTCTCCGTACATGGATCTAACGCGCCTCCGCTCCCTCGGAATCGTCACATCCTCCACTACCACCACCACCACCACCACCACCACCATGTCATGACCACCCACTACCTACCGGTCATGGTTCTGTCTGATCGAAGAAGGCACACGGAACGTTTCGAATCATTCCTCACCCAAGAATTGTCATCGCTCTCTCTCTCTCTCTCTCTCTCCTCACATGAGCGTCCCCTCACCACCGCTTGCCGGGAACGTGCCTGGCAATTACCACGCCGCATTTGCTTCGTCTGACGTGATCGTCGACCTCTCTGGTCGAGGTCGCATGTTGGCGCAGAGTACCGGTCACATCTTCCACCACACACCCGCCGCCCGTCGACATCCCGAACGGTTGGAAACTCCTTCCGGGAACACACACCGCTTCCTCCTTCCACCATCACATCACCGTCGACATGCCTGATCAACTGCCGCCGTCCACTTCATGCGACCTCAAAAACCTGCTAGACGCCTTGCAGGTCGATCACCACCGAGAGGACTCTGGCAAGCAACTGCAGGTGGAAGAGCTAGGCAGAGAGATCGATCCGCCATATGAAAGATATACTCGACCGTCATCCATGGCTACGTTGTCCTCTCTTGCGTCCTGGCGGTCGACATCGGTCGCCTCCAAGGCTTCGGTCTCGACAGAAGTTACCTCGAACTACTCCATCTATTCCAACGACAACCATTTCTCAATACGACGACCCGGCTCGCTGCCTTCATATCACACATGCGATGCCGTTTCCGTCAGCACGGTGTCCATCGAAGGGATCCCTACCTTTCCCAGATCAACCGCGAAGCGTGCCCCTTATGAATCCTCGACTACACTACTGCAGGACGACAGTCCCCCTCCAAAGAAACATTTCCGACGCCTGCGAAGTTTGAACTTTCGCTCGTTATATCGGACGGGGTCCAAGACTTCGTTGGCAGAGATCAGCGTCCCATACGCGACCGATGTACCAATACACGTGATTCGCGGAAACGCGAGCCGGCCACAGACCAGCAGAGCAACGACAGCACCGCCGCCGACTCATGTGGGCAGCAGCTCGACCAGTCGCCTTGTTCGTCATTCGGACCGACCCGCCAAATATGTCGATGCGATTGTAGAGGAGGGACAATCTCCCCGGGTGGACACCATCGCGGCGAAGAACGCAAAGAGCGGTACTCTAGACAAACCCCATCTGGAACAACATCCTCTCCCGATCCCGTCACATGGCATCCACACACAATTCCTACCCGAAGAGACCGCGGAACGAGCGACGACGATCGACCGCGAACGGCTACATGAGATCATGCAAAGGCCCGATTATCAAGACCTCATCATCTCCCAGACTGCCGATCGTGACGAATTCCTCTCCCTGGTATCGAAACAGCGCACGGAGCTCGACGCCGCCAACGACCTCATCCGATCCCGATCCAAAACCACCCAACAAGCCGCCGTCGAAGACCTCCACGAAAGCCACATGCTCTCCCTCCACGAAGCCGAAGACAAGCAAGTCCTCGCCGAGGCCAGCCTCCTCGAGACCCAAGCCAAAGAGACCCGCGACCTGGCCATCGCGACCCGCCACATGGAAGCCTACTGCGCCGGCCACTACAGCACCAACCTCGAGCCCCACCACCGGCCCGTCACCCCCGCCGACCGCGCCGAGCTGTCCAACGCCCTCCACCTGCGCGACCACCTCCTCCCCACGCGCCACGCCGCCGCCGTCAACGTCCTCCGCGGCGAACAGGCCCGGCGCCTGCGCATGCGCTCCGCCCGGCACGACCAACAGGTCCGGGAACTGCTGCGGCACCAACGCATGGAGGAGCTCGAGATGGAGCGCGCCTGCTCGGCGGAGATCTCCCGCTGGCGGGACGACGTCCACCGCACCAAGGTCCGCCTGATCTGCCGCTGGGAGGTCCAGATGGCCTGCCTGGAACAGCGCATCGCCGCCGAACTGGGCATCGACCTGGATTGGCGACTGCCTTGCGTGGAGTTGAACGAGTGCGACGGCTTGGGTGGCGGCGGAGGAGGAGGGAAGGAGGGCCGTTGAGCTCTCTGCTCCCCGCGCGCGCGTCGCGCGTGTCTGGCCGTCCGCCTGTCTGGCTGTGTGTCGGCTGATTTCAAACCACCCGGAGCTCTGGCCCTTTCGGATGGATCCATCATCAGCCACCCGTCGTTTCACGACGACGGGGATGAAACATGGCTCGAGGCGTGGGGGATTCTTCCCCCTCCGGCCTTCCAGAAGGGAGACGTGCTCCTCCTTCCCTTCCCAGCCCGGAACGCCGGAAGTGGCTTTTTCCCCGGGTGTTTCATCTTCCTCCGACCTTCCAAGGTTGTCTTTCTTCTTTTTCCCTTCTTCTTCTTCTTCTTCTCTGTTGGCATTTCCTTTTTTCACGAGCCTCACGATGATGATACCCCGACGCTCCCCCGCCCCCCCTTTTTTATCTCTTTCTCCGTCACAAATCTTTGTTTCTTCGACAGATGGACCTTGTGGATGGAGATGTCCCCATCTCTTCCCCCTTCATCTCCCTCTTTCGTGCTTTCCCGGGATCGACCTTCCCTTTCGATTCCCATGGACGAGAAGATTTTTTTCGGGGACCTGGGAATTTTCCCCCCAACGAGGAAAACGATGCGAGAGAAATTCTGTACGATTTATGTATCACTTCCCTCGAACATGTATATGTAGATGTAGATTTATGTCATTTTCTCTATGAGCACACACTGCTACATACGATACGATCCCTAGACGTCCTCATCCGCGTCGTTCGATCATCGCATTCCCTCAGACGCGTGCTCCCTGTTCTCATCCTTGTCCTTATCCTGGTTCTTATTCTTATTTCTTGTTACGGCGCCACGACCGATCTCCCATCCCATCCCATCCTGTGGGTCCATCTTCGAGAGAGAGACACGAAAAACAACTCGGGGGGGGGGCTTTTTTGTTGTCGCTGCTGATGCTGTCGTCCTGGAGAGATAGATGGAGGAGATCCTGTCGTGAATTGGAGGGAGAGAAGTCATCACCTTCCTTCCTTCCTTTATTCATTTATTGGTTTATTTCTTCCTTTCTTTCTTTCGTACCTTCTTGGTTGCAGGTTATTTATCCTCGCCTTTCTTTTCTTTTTTCCTCTGGTGTTCCACTTTCTTTGTTTTTTTTTTCCTCCCCGAGCCTAGGTGCGGCTTCATTCGGAGCACGGAGGAGCGAACGGCTTCTTCCTCTTCTTGCCTTTCATTACTATCATTATCATTGTCATTATTATCATTGTCATCGTTGATGGGAAGAATGTCTGTTTTCGAATGGCCTCCTCCTCCTTCGTTTTGGTCTTGGATTGATTTCTCTCTCTCTCTCTCTCTCTCGTGTTTCGCATTGGGGTATATACATTCAACAATTCCACCTCTCTTCTTCTTCTTCTTCTTCTTCTTCTTCTTCTTCTCCACCATCTTCTCCATCTTCCCCATTGATCAATTCACACCGCCGCCATGCTCTTCCTCAACTGCCTCTGCTTCTGCCCCGCCTGCAGCTCCAAACGGCCCACCGCATACGCCAGCCTCTCCTTCTTCAGCCGCAACTGCTGCAACCTCATCGCGTCGAGGTCCGCACTCCCTGTAGCCGCTGCTCCTTTACCGCCTCCGCCAGGGCTCTTCGCCCTCGTCGACGGCAACGAGGAAGAGGTATTGGCGGGTTGGGAGAGCCGGCCTTCCTGCAGCTCCGCCTTCGCCATCAGGCTCTTCTCGCGCCGCGCCAGTTTGTCCAGGTAGGCCTCGACGCGGGCCAGCAGCTGCGTGATCTCCGGCTGCAGCTCGGAGAGCAGGGCGGACTGCGCCGCCGTGAGGGCTGATTCGGACACGAGCTCGAAGTGCTAAGGAGATTTGTTTCAGTCGACGACGTTCAACTCGACAGGACGACTTTTCCTGTCTTTTTTCCCCTGCTTTTTTTTCTTCTTACCCGTGTCGTTTGGAGCACGTTCGCCAGCCGCGGGTAGTCGCTCACGCCGCTGTCCAGGATGCCGATGGAGGATTCGAGCAGCTGCATGCTGGAGCGGAGGGAGGTGACGCAGCCTTGGAGGGCGGAGTGGGTCGGGATGTCCATATTTTGTGTATGCGATTCAATCGAGATGAATCCTTCTCCGTGCGTGAGTCGGTGGCGAGAGGAGGAACTGGGTTTTTTTTCTTCTACTATGCTGTGATGCTGTTCATTTGGTACTGTCGATGGTGTCCCATTCCATGTTGATATTGGCGGGGCGCGGACGACGCGTCTTCGTGACAATGACGATGGGCGATGTAATTTGCCTGAGGCATTCAGGGTCTTATGCCGACGGAGAAGATTCCGACATTGAATATTGTATGATCGCCGTGTCGGGATCTCTAATTGATTATTATTATACAACGATGTACGCCTCAGCTGTATGGGCATTTATACCGCATTATCTATCTATATACAAAACGCTTCGCATAGGTGTGTTTATGAATACGCATCTCGGGTTTCTTTTTCTGATTGATCATATTGGAAGGTAGTACTGAGCGCTTCTGTTCACGTCGTACAAAGTCACTCGCACTCATCAGTCGTGTTTCGCGTACACTTTCCCACACTGCATCTCCTCCGTGTCATTATTGCCGATGAGAGTACTTTGGACGGTAGCAAAAGACGCTTTGTCATCTCTCATCGTTACCGTATTTATCATTGTTAATAACGAGGAAGAATCTCTGTCTTTTTCCGACCTATTCAAATCAACTCGCTGGAGCATCGTCCCCCCATTGGATTCACTCATCTGCAGACTTCCGCGGGCGTCGTGTGTTTTATCCCTTACTATTCTTCACCGTTGCATGAGCAGTGGAAAAAAATAAATCAAGGGATAACTGCATATATCCCTCCCAGTCAAAAGTCATCACCTTCTTATCCTCCTGCAAATTTCCCAACCGAGGATAAACCAAGAAAGATATTGCGGATTGTTGTTATAAGCCCCTTGATAACCGGTTCTCACACGAATTTGTCCATCAATTCTCTCGCCCACAACACGCGCGACGGATTTCTCTCCTTTTGTCGACGCAATCGACCTTTCCCCAGGAAGAACGGAAATCCTCCCACGCCGGGACGCACCGCAATCATGCTCAACGACAACGCGCTAGAAGCGGCCGTCGCGCGTCTCGACGTTGCCCGGTCCTATCACGAGTCGTGTAAGTTATTGGAAATTTGATGGTCAATTCCACATTGATGGACGCTGCACTCGCAAAGGATATAACACTGTAATCCATTCCGAGCGCATGGGCTAACGACTCGCATTCATCAGACTATCATGCCAATTCTGCAACTCTCCAGCAATTCGGGGCCCTCCTCGATGACTATCGGCGCCACAAGACCGATTACGATGAGCTAAAATCCCACTACGGCTCCGATGCGCCCATCACCTCCAGAGGTCGGGCCCGAGGCTCGTACGTATTGGTCCTGCTCGATGGAGATGTCTTCCACGATGACCTCTACCGTAAAGGTTGCGATGGTGGCACCACCGCCGCTCGACTCCTGGAGGTCGCCGTCTCTCAGAAGGTCCGCTCGCTCGGACTGGACGACTCCTGCCGCGTTATGGTACGCGTCTTCGCCGACCTTCGGGCCTTGTCACGCGCGGGGATGAAAACCAAGGTGTGCGGCGGTGATTCTCGTGCCTTGGCCCGTTTCTTCGCGGGTTTCAATCAAGCCAATGAGCTTTTCGATTTCGTCGATGCCGGGATGTCCACCGATAGCGTGTATGCTAAAATCCGTGCTACCCTGAACATGTCCCTCGACAACCCGCAGTGTCGCCATATCTTCCTCGGCTCTACTACCAGGCCGGAATTGGTCGACGAGCTGCATCAGCGTCACCGTCACCGCATCACCTTGCTGAAGTCTCATTCGTTCCATCGCGATCTCATCGATCTGGATCTCCGCGTGGAGCGTCTCCCCACCATCCTTCGAAGCGTGCCTTTTGGGGAAGAGGACCAACGGGAATCCTCGCCACCTCCGAGATCCGAATCTACCTTTACTAAAGCACTTCGTTCTGGTTCTACGACGGTCCCTGCGGCTTCGACCACCATCGCCACCATCACTGAATCCACAAGCAATGCCAAATCGTGCTTCTTCTATACGAAAGGCATTTGCAAATTCGGCGACAAGTGTAGCAATCTCCACGACTCTGCGTCCGCCGCCAATGGTAGCACCTCCCAGAAGAACAAGAATAGCTCTCTGGATAGTGACTGGCGTTCTAAATCCGCCACTACCACTACCAGCATCGCCGGATCTACTGACTTCGCCCTCGAACTTCCCCACGACGACCACATGCCGACCGATCAGATCCCCGTCAACGCCGTCGACCACCGCCTCGACAGCTACATCCTGCCTCCCTCCCTCGACGACCGACACGCCTTTGCCGCCCGCATCGCCAAACGCAAACTCTGCAACCAGTTCCACCTCTCGGGAGACTGTTCCGACCAGAACTGCAGCTACGACCACTTCGCCATCAGCGCGGGCGTCCGCACCTGTCTGAAAGAAGCCGCCCGCATGACGCCCTGTCCCCGTCGCGGCAAATGTCGCCTGATCGATTGCAATTTCGGCCACATCTGCCAAACTGCGAAATGCCACGCCGGGAACAACCGTCCGTGGTGCAAACTCCCGGCCACTGCGCATCGCACCCCGATCCAGCTCGACCGTTGGGAACCCGCCCTTTCGCGGGACGGCAGCAACGGTGCGGCGAGATCGGCTACGAGTGCGTCGAGAGACTCCAGCGCGCAAAGGACCGCAGCGACCCCGCCCAACCGCCTCGCTGACTTCGCCGCGCTCATCGACGACAACGAGGAGAACCTCCTCGGCGATGCCACCGACGACGACGACGACAGCATTCCTTCCAACGGACGTTCCCGCCGCAGCCACCTCAGCCCCACCCCGCCCTCCCCCTCGATGAAACCCATGACGGCGGACGACGAAGAACATGCCGAGACGGAGGAATCCCATCAGGATATCCGTGCCGACCAGGATCTCGACCAGCAGCAGCAGCGACGCGTCGCCGCGATCGCCCTGCAACAAGAGCGGGAGGCCCAGCGACAGGAGCGAGAAGAGACCCTGCGTCTCGTCGCGGTCCAGCTCCAGCTCCAGCGAGACGCGGAAGCCCAAGAACAGCGCGAGGCGGAAGCCCGGAGACAGCGAGACGCGGAAGCCCAAGCCCAGTCGTCTTTGATCTACGGCCAGCCCATCAGTCTGCATGAATGGTAGAGAGAAACGGCCCAGCAAAGCAAAGCATGACGCCGAGGCGCGTCAACGGGAGAAGAGAAGAGAAAGAAAAGAAGGCTTATAGAAAATGATTGAAAGGAGTCGTTTCTTGCTCGGATTTCCGAGCTTTCCGCTCTCCTTCGAAAGGGGAAATTGGAATCGTGGAAAAGAAAAAAAAAGAATTAACTCGACCGAAATCCGGCTTGTGGGAAAATATCATCGGAAGAGCTGCCGAGCTCTCCTTTACCGGCCAAACGGGAGATTAGGGGAGAAGCGGTCCGCTTAAGTTTAGGCGCGACGGCACCGAAGAGAAAAAGGAAAACGGAAAACGAAAATGAAAAAGGAAAAAAGGAGAAAGCGGTTCACTGAAATTCAGGCGCGACCGTCTCGAAGAGGGAAGAGAGAAAACAAATCAGCCATTTTTTAAAAGGGGAAGTAAATCTCACGCGAGCGAAAAACGAAGGGAGCGGGTTTCCCCATCCTTTTATTTTTTATTATTTTTGGGGGAGCAGAACTCCAACTCGACAGATCCTCCCAGACGGATAGGAAGGGCGACGGAGACGGAGAGAACTTTCAGGGAGCGAGAGGATCTTCCTACGACCCGAGATTGCTAAAAGGCCAGGGCGAGCATGGACTCACGAAGAGAGGACAGAGAGAGGGAGAGAGATCTGCTGATGCGAAAGGAAAAAAACCGCTCTACATGCCCGCGCGACGACGACGCGAATCTGTCCCCCATCCACGGCAGGGATCACACCAAGAAAGAATCTCCTGAGAAACGGGAGGAAGGGATTTCCTTCTTTTTTCTTTTGCCGATTACGTCCTGCGGGAAAAGTCATTGATTTTTCGGAAATCTTTTATTATAAAAACACAAAAACAGTAGAAAATGCAATGGAAAAAAAACCCCCGCACATTTCACGGTGTGCCTTTTAAATGGCTTTTTCCTTTCGCCACTTTCCATCTTCTCGGCACGGCTCTGGAGAAGATCATGGTAATATGTTTGTGTGTGTCACGCAAGGAGGCGGAGGCGAAGAAGAAGAAGAAGAAGAAGAAGAAATCTCGAGCGTTTTTCTTTGTTCTACCCAGCCAATTTTCCACCGCCTTTCTCGAAGAAAAGAAAAAAAGTGATTCTCCCCCCAAGAGATGCCTCATGATCCCTCGCTCCCAACCCTCCACCCCTTTTCTTTCAACCTCTAGAACGCCCGCTGGGCAGCGATGTTCACCGGGTTGATCAACAGACATGCGGCGTCCACGCTCGCCGTGCTCCTGACCTCCAGGCCCGCGGGGACATTCCTGCCGCCGAGGACGCCCAGTCCGCGCACGTCCAACAACGTACTGCCCAGTTTCGGCCATGGGGCGCCCGCGCCCGGATCCTTGGCGAAGCCCGCCCACACGCCCTGCATGTAGGCGCTCAGCGCGATCTGCGTCGGCGTGGCGGCGCCCAGTTCGTTGACGAGCGGGTATGTCCCGAACACCGAGGGGATCTCCGAGCTGTGGTAGCTCCCCGCGTTCGGGAACAGCTGCAGGTTCGGGAAGGAGGCCGAGTAGTAGTACCTGTTGACGGATTGCTTGGAGGCGATCGCCGTGGAGAGGGTCTGGGTCGGGCAGGTGAAGGCGAGGTCGGTGAGGAGGCTATCGGGACGGATCATGGGTTAGTTAGGGAACGTCTTTATCTTTTTTCGTTCTTCTTTTCTTTCTTCTTTTTCTTTTCTGGTGGGGGGAGGACTCACGCGTTGACGCTGTCGGAGGTCAGGTTGGTCGTGCCGCCGTAGAGGGCCGCCAGGGGCGCCTCGATCAGGGAGATGTTCAGCCCCAGCACGTCGAAGACGAGGGAGGCGAGGTTCGGATACGCGGCCGGGTTCAGGCCGAACAGGGCGGAGAAGACGCGGAATTCGTCCTTGTTGCTGCCGATCAGCACGGGCACGCGGGCGAATTGGCCCGAGGCGATGGCGGGCAGGGTGTTGGCGTCCACGTTGGTCTTGTCCTTCACGGGCCCGAAGAAGAGGCCTTGCTCGGTGATGTAGTCTTGGATGGCGGGGCCGGACACGCCGCGCAGGCAGCTCAGCTGGGAGGCGGCGCTGGTGCAGTTGAAGTGCGCGACGACGTTGGCGTAGTTGGCCGAGGGGCTGCCGAGGATCAAGGCGTTCTGGCTTTCCATGATTGCTGTTGTGGGGAGATGGTCGGTCAGTTTTGTGGATGACGATGATGTTATTGTTCAGGGACAGAGGGTCGTGACATACCCGCACGGAACGGAAGAGGAGACGGTGGCTGAGCGAGCAATTGCTTGACGGAGAAACCTCCCGCCGATTCACCGAAGATGGTCACCTTGGTAGGGTCACCGCCGAAGGCTTGGATGTTATCTCGGACCTGCAATCGTGAAAGGAGGGCATCAGCAGATCTATCGTGGAGGGCATCGACGCGAATCATTCCCAACTCACCCATTGCAGAGCAAATCTCTGGTCGAGGAATCCCGAGTTCTGCGAATCCACCGGGATCTCAGGGGAGTTCGAAAACCCAAAGATGTTCGTGCGGTAGTTGATGGCGACGACCACGACATCCTCGTTCACCGCCAGACTGCTGCCGTTGTAATACGCCAACGAAGCCGTGCCGAACGCGAGGTTCCCGCCGTAGATCCAGAACAGCACCGACTTGAGGTTCGTCGGGCTGGCGCTCTGCGGCGCAAAGACGTTGAGATACAAGCAGTCCTCGGACTCGGCGGGCGCGGGTAGGCCCGGGTTGTTGAAGTACGCGCGCACCCGCTCGCCCGCCTCGCCGGAGAAGAATTCCTGCAGGCAGGACGGTGGGAGGGTCTGAGCTGTGAGGGTCTGATATGGCTGGGGAGCGGTCGGAGGAGCGAAGCGCAGAGGAGGACTCGCGTAGGGGACGCCGAGGTAGGCGTTGGCGTAGCCGGTCACCGTCGGTTGGTTGGAGACTTGAGTCGCCGTGCCGACGATGACCCCGGAGGCGATGGTGACGGTCGGGTTGGCGGGAGGTGTCCCTGCTGCGGGAGCGGCGGCCGCGAGGAAAGGCAGAAGCGCGTAGAGCGCGATCGATTTGATCATCTTTTCTGTGAGGGTTCTTGTGTTTGGTTTCTTCACTGTTCCGGGCGGATATGAAGTGTTCTTGTCACTGCTTAAGAAGGGGGAAAGGGCCTAGTCAACTACACCCTCGGTTGTTGTTGTCGTCGTTGTTGTTGTTAAAACACCCACACGGCAGAGAAGGAGACGGCGACGACCACGACGACGAGGGGAACGTGCAAGGCATGCTCATTGTTATTATAACGAAGATGATGACGAGAACAGCACGACGATTAGCGTAGCACTCGGACGACGGCGCCGGCCAGATCGGGATTGGGGAAGTGTCGATGATGAAGGTGGTGGTGGTGTTGGCGGTGTTGGCGCGTGGCGAAGACGAGTCGGACAAGGCGAGATGTTAAATGTAGACGGTTGTTAGCAGGAAGTGTAGTGGAGCATAAGCGTGGAGTTGGTGTTATCTAGGGGCAGGGCAGCTGGGCGAATGGGCGAATGGGCGAGAGTTGACAGGCCGCCGTTGGGCTTGATGTTCAGGCCGCCGACTGCCCATTTCTCCCATCAATTCCATCGCACACCACCCGTCCCTCCCATCAATAATTCCATCGCAAACCACCCATTCCTCCCATCAGTTCTATGGCACAACACCACCACCCATACGCCGGACGCACTGGACATGGAACGAGTCCGAACAACTCCTGTATTGGACTGTGCTGGAAACTTTCCCACCAAGGACATGCTTCATTTCATCGACGCCGCCCGATCTCTCGCAGCTCGCCCATGTGTCCATTCCATCCCCATCTATATATATACATGTCCTTGGGCCCGTCATCTTCCCTTCTCGATCGATGCAGACGCGTCATCCCACCGACCTCACCCGCCGCGCTGACTACCGTGTCGGCATTTCCCAAGGGAATTCAAAGAGAAATACGCAGGACTTGCTGCTGCTGCTGCTGCTGCTGCTGATCGTGGCGCGCGAAGAAGGGGAGCGAACCACGATCCCACACATACAGGACATGTCCCCGCCTCGGACGGATGGGGAGTTTCGACAGCTGAATTGTACTAGGGGGAATGCCGCAAGGAATGGCGTCGACGGTACAGGGAATAGATGTAGATGTCGAGTGCATACACTGTAGTGATTGAGGGTGATGGAAACTAGACTATGACAATGACACACGCCATCAAACGCCATGCTGATCGACCACCCGGTGGTGGTGTGTGCCCCCCGAAGTCAGTTTGGCTGGGCCTGGGGGAGGGGGATCTTGGCGTGCATCGAATCCCAAGTGATCGTGCGGCCCTCCTGCTGCCAGCCGGATCCTGCAGCTAGGGAAACGTCAAACTCTACCGCCTGGTCGATTCCACATCCATCACCGGTCATCCTCGTTCCGCTGTGTTGCTCTCTCGTCGAGCGAGGTATGAATGATATTCTCCTTCATGGTAGTAGTCATGGCTCCCGTGGACACACAAGAGGAAAGGGCTACGAGACTACTGACGGGGAGGCTCTCCCGGACAACACCTGCCCGGGTGTCCTTCGACCTGCAATCGCGCGGAATCCCCAGTGCTGTGTCTGTGTGTTTTCTTTTGTCAAGGACCGGGATGGATGGACGAAACTCACAAGAGCTTCAGTCATCCTCGGAGGAAATCGACGCGGAAAAACGACAGAGCATAGACATGCTCCTTGCTGGACATTTCACGTGGGGCGGCAATATCATCGAGCAGATCCCGTCCATCCTTCCAGCCCCTTATGGTTTTTCTTGTGGCAACGGACACTCTCTACGCGGTTCGTGGTGAGGTCTCGATGTCGTTGTTGTTGGTTTCTCGTTTTTTTCTCTTTTGCAAAGCGAGTCCTCGGGCTCGACATGTTCCACTCGTGGTACACGTCACATTTATTTCTGTTTCTGTTTTGTTCTGTTTGGCTTTTTTCCTCAAAGCCGGCAGCGTAGAGGCGTACCAAGAATCATCCACGGATAATCTCGATCCCTATACGAGAAGGGTCGATGTGCTGCTTTTGTGGCAGGAGTAAGCGTACAATGCAATCCAGGCCGGATTCTCCCAACCGGCTGTGATTCACGCGCGAGCAGATGGAGGTGGGAGGATTCTGGAGAGATGCATCGATGCCAGGCTGGCTGCATCGGCGAGAATGTGACGTAGTGCAGGATCGTTTTCCGAGGCTGATCTGGCAGATGGGTTTTGCTCCTCCGGTGCGATGGGGTCTGGTCTCAGCAGGTCCAGGTTGGAGCCGGCCTGACAGGTTCGGCTTCATCGGAGGGAGGCGTGCCGGCTTCGGGTCGCGCGCGCACGCGGTCTATCACGTCTGGCCGTACGCAAGCGGACAGAGAGGCAGTGTGAGGTTATGCGGTCGATACAAAGGAGAATGATGACATGTGCTATTGCTACACGACGGAAGTCTTTTCCTCTTTTTGTCTTCCGGCGAGGTTGATGATCGTCTTCCATCTCCCAGAACACGACCTTCCCTGTACAGTTCTCGCTCGGTGCAGCTTCCCGGAAAAAAATATCAACGGCCTGTATTCCCCTGTCCACAACGTTCGCTCTTCGTCCCGGTGTGGGATCCCTCCCGTCTAGTATCCCTCCTTGCCCCACTTGTTGTACTTCTCGTGTAGTTCCTAATTGATCATATCGCAATGATTAGCATCCGACTCCCGAGCCGCGTTTCCCTCCCATCGAATCTCTTTCGATCCCCGCACATCATCAGACTCACCCGCGGTAGGTTCACGTTCGGGATGATGACCTCGTTCAACGCGCTGGGGGCGTCCTTCTTGCCCTTGCTGGGGTCTCCGCCGGGGTGGTATTGGTAGGCGGCGTTGCCGCCGGTGTGCCACGGCTCGCTGTTGGGCGCTTTGGCGACGCGGCCCTCGCCGTTGTTGGTGGTCGGGTTCTGGCTGAAGTGCCATCCGGCAAGCGCGAAGGCGCCGGTCATGATGGTGAGGAGGATCTACAAAATCACATTCCCCCACGCGGTCAGAGAACTTTCATCTTCTTTTCTTTCTTTCTTTCTTTCTTCCTTCCTTTCTTCTACGCTTTTCTTTCCTCTCGTGGATGTGTCTCGTCCACGAGAGGTCGGGGTGGGGGGTGTCTGCTCACGATCAGTTCCGGGTCGCGGCGCGCGCCCTTCTTGAGCACCTGGGCTCCCTCGGCCTGCTCGGTCTTGGTGTCGGCAAAGGTGCGGCGGAAGGTCGCCGGGCGGGCGATGGGCAGGCGCGAAGCCCGGAGAGCGGTCCTGGGAATCATGGACATGTTGAGTGGAGAATGGCGGCGGCGGTGATGGTGGTCGAGGTAGTGGTGTGAGGAGGTTGAAAGTTGATGTCTGCCGAAAAGCGAGCTCTCCTTCTGGCCAATGATGATTCCTGTGACTTGACAGTTGCTATGATGAGCTTCGGCTTCGCCAAGCGTACAGTACAGTATACTGTAGTTGATGTGGAGCGTGTCTGCCTGAGGTGTCTATATAATTCCTGCCTGAGGTATCCACAAGATATCTGCCTGAGGTATATGTATCTGCAAACTGCCTGAGGTGTCGACACGCAAAGACGATCCTCCTCTTCCTCCTCCTCTTCCTCCACCTCAGTCACGTGCCCTGAACGCGGATCCTCCCATCCCCTGCGAACTCCTCCTCGGCGTTTTCTTCCCAATGCAGCCAACGCGCAGATCAATTGATTCGCCAATTCCCTCCATACCTGTACCACCATTATATTACATTGGCTGTTGTACTGTACTGTACTGTGCTGTACTGCACATCGTGTGGTGTATACATACACACAACACAGTACACGATACATCTACTCTGCTGTAATCTCTTTAATTACACGCGCCAACGGTTCTGCCTCTTTTCGTGTGCCCTGTAACCTGTGAACCACCGGCAGAGTCTGGTTCGGCGACCCTGTCATCATATCACCACTCACCAGATCCACTCTCTCCGCTTTCATTCCAGTCCGACCACTTACAGTACATCGCCAACTTCACGCGCGTCGAGCCAGCGTGCGCCGAGCAACCGCGACATCCATTACACTCCTTACCATTTCCGAATCACCACTGGGCATGCAGAGCCTTCCACAACACATCGACGACATCCTTACCGACATGCCGCCGCGCGACGATTGACCCGACCGAGATCACGAAGTTACCTGGCCGTCTTCGATTCTGATCCTTACATCACACGACCGCGAACTCCCTTGTTAGACTCACTCGAGAATCGAGGACCTCGTGCGCATTTCAAGCAAAGAGACTGGGCTGCAGATCAGGCTCTGGGCACATCTCACAGCGGACGAAAGCAAACCCTCACAATGGCCGGTCCTCGCGAGACCGAGGCCTTTCCAGACTTCCTGGTATCAGATCCATATCCTTCACAGCCCGACAGCAGACCGATCTCGAACGTCTCCGACGTGACTTCGGCATACGAGACCGCGGCCAGCGAGCGGAGTGGAGTACCTCCATCATGGACCGGACCAGTCGGAGAACCAGGCAATCCACCTTCGAGACCAACCACAGCGACACCCTCGGGAAACGAGCCATTGCGCGCGGCGGTGCCCTCGGGCGGACCGCGCAGAGCGCAAGGACCATTTGGACCTCGGAGAGATGATCAACTGTTGTCAGCAAACTCCCGTCCGGGCTCGGCACTGAGCAGGTCACATATTCCCAGTGTGACCGCACAAGGTTTCTTTCGGCCAATGTCACCGGCGACACTACAGGCGCAGCGCGGTACCACACCCATATCGCCATATGAACAGCCGTCGAGGGTAGCCAGTCCGGCGCCCACACGCGACTCGGTCGACGAGATCGGTCAGAGGCAACGCCAGTACAGCAATGCTTCGGTGAATACGCTTCGCGACCGACCGCCTACCAGTCGACAAGAGGTCATCCCTCCGCTGCCGACGAGCAGAGGAGGCGTTTCGGACTCTGGAGCCGGTCGAGATGGAATGGGACCAGGCAGTGTGATGAGCAAAAACAGCACCACCCCTCTTCATTCAGCTGGCAATCAGTCTCGGCCACAAGAGGAGCGACGACTATCGAGTTTTCGAACAGGGTCCATCACCAACGGTTTACCCAAAACATCGCTCTCTTTCCGCGCTTCCTTTGGTCTAACATCCGCTCGTCAAATGGGTCTCGACCGGAGGGTATCCTCCCAAGGTCACGAGAAACTCCCATCTCAACCGGCCTCTCCCAGTGACGACGTTGATAATAAAACCTTACCGTCCTTGCCTGCGCCGAAAGTCAGCAGACACCGCAATCACGAATACTACGCTGGCAACACTGTCTTTCTCTTCCTGGGGCGTCTCATGAATACTCGAGCGGAACCGCTCAATCTTTTAACCTTTGTTCTCGTCATCCTTCCGGCGATCTTATTCTTCATATCCAGTGCTCCATGGCTATGGTATCACGTCAGCCCCGCGCTACCGATCATCTTCGGATACATCGTTTTCTTGACCCTCTCGTCTTTCTCCCACGCAGCGTTCTCCGACCCCGGTATGCTCCCCCGAAACCTTCACCCACATCCCCCGAACCCGGAAGAAGAACGCGATCCGCTCGCCCCCGGCCCTCCGACCACCGAATGGATCATGGTCCGCACATTCCCCCGTCCGCCCTCGAAGAAGGTGAGCGCGTCCGACGCCGCCCTCGCCGAGGGCGCCATGGCGACCGCGATGGAAGTCCCCACCAAATACTGCAAATCCTGCCAGATCTGGCGCCCTCCCCGGTGCCACCACTGCCGCATCTGCGACACCTGCGTCGAGGGCCAGGACCACCACTGCGTCTGGCTGAACCAGTGCGTCGGCCGCCGCAACTACCGCTTCTTCTTCTCCTTCGTCAGCGCCTCCTCCGTCATGGCCATCCTCACCATCGCCTTCAGCCTCATCCACATCGGCACCTTCGCCGCCGCCACCGGCCAGACCTTCGGCCAAGCCCTCAGCGGCGCCTGGCAGGAGCGCCTCGCCTTCGCCGTCTTCGTCTACGCCGTCCTGGCCCTCCCCTACCCGGGCGCCCTCTGCTGCTACCACCTCTTCCTCATCACCCGCGGCGAGACCACGCGCGAGTACCTCAACAGCCACAAGTTCCCCGCCAAGGACCGCCACCGGCCCTTCGCCCTGCCCTCGGCCGCCGCCAACCTCGCCCTCGTCCTCTCCCGCCCGCGCGGGCCCAGCTACATGGAGTTCAAGCGGCCCCACGTCGACGGCGACATGCGCTTCGGCCACGCGACGCCCGCCCTCGACCGCAAACGCGACGCCCAGCGGGAGCGCTCCGCCCGCGAGTCCCGCGTCAAGGACCTCATGCAGCGCTTCTCCGTCGCCGGCATCGCCCCGCCCCGCAACACCGTCGAGATGGACCCGCTCCCGCCGCTGCCCCCGACCCCGCTCCCGGCCGCCAGGGACTCCCGCGGCCGCTTCAACCCCGCCGAGAGCATGGGCCTCAGCGGAGTGGGCGTGAACCGGACGCCGAGGCCCTGAGGCGGAGATCCTTTCCCCCGCCCCTTTGCCGACGTCCCTGTCCCCCTCTCTCTTTCACTCGTCCCCGATGCCATGCCGCATCCCGGAATCTCCATGTTCGCGCGTCTCTCCCGTCGATCCGACCTCCCTCCCCCCTTCTTTTCTCTCTCTCTCTCTCTCTTTCTCTTTCCCTTTCCCCTCCTGGCTTCTTTTCCCCCGGAGGCGCGAGGCGCGGTCCACCTCTGGCCGTCGTCGTCGTCGTACAGACCTCGCGTCCGCCCCGGAGATGCCACTTTTTTCCTTGTATGTATGGATGTATGTATGTACAGCAAGCGTCGGCGCGTCATGTTTGAATTGCGGTTGTCGTCGTCGTTCTCGTCGCTTTTCCCCTCCCTCGCCTCTCGCCTCTTCGTCCCCCTGGCTCTCCTCCCTCTCCACATGGGTTCGGAAGAGATAGAGAGAGAGAGAGGGAGAGATGGGGAAGACGCACGTTCGATTTATACCTGCTTTGCTTGTTTGCTTGCTTGTTTTGCTTGGTCGGTGAAAGGCATACCCCCTCACCAACCACTCTCCGATCCCCGATGACTCCCTCTCGGAATTCTCTCTTTCCTCGAATTCTTTCTTTCTTTACTTTCTCACCTCGGGATTTTTTGGGGAGGGGAGGGAGGTGGTGGCAATAGCTCTTGGCTGGCTGGCTGGCTGGCTGGCGGATCGGCCGGGATTTCGAATACGTTCTGTTCAATACTACAGTAGATGTGTATAATCTTGTTCCCATCATCATCGCCGTCGAGACCCCTGCGCCGAAATATCCTCTTTTCCTCATTTCTTTGTGTGGCAAGGATTGGGAAGGCGGTTTCCCCCTTTTTGCGTTAAACGGGCTGTACGTGTACGTGTGTGTGTGCACAGGACGGACGGGTCCGCAAGGGGGATCACTGGCATTATCGCGGCGCCTCTAAGGGTACAATATCACGATGTGACATAATCATCATACATCATCGTCTCCTCCTACCTGACCCCCAGCTCCTCGTGAAATACCATCATGACGCTCCACGATCTCTCCCCTCCCCCTTCCTACTCCGCCTCCCTCCTCCCTCGCCGTCATCCATCATGGTTGGCATGATCCCCATCGTCTGCCTCCTCGCCGCACCGGTGTTAGCTCGTGATGACGAGGCGAGCGTCATGGGGCCGACGCTATTCCGTGACTTCAGCGGTGAGACTGGCTCTCTCTGTGGCCTATGCTGCGTGGGCTGCTGCTGTGGCTGTTGCTGGGTCGACGAGCGCCTTGAACGGGCGCGTTTGGGTGTGGGACCGTGTTGGATTGAGGAGGCGCCGGAGGAGAAGGAGGTTGTTGAGGCGAATGATGTGGGTGGAGGGTTTGTCTGGAGGCCGCTTTTTTGCTGTGGATGCTGTGACGATGGTCGATGGGAGCGATGAGACGACTCCCTGCCAGAGGAAGAAGAGGTTGGTGTGGGCGGAGAGCGATCGAGGATGGGATTTCGGGGCGATGGGGACGTGGTCCGGGCGGGAAGATGGGGAGTGCCTGTGGAGGATTTCTGTGGAGCAAATGATAGGGATGGCGATCGGGAGCGATGAGACAGAGTTGTTGGCATAGCATAAGGCGTGTCGATTCCTGATTGCTGGGCCATCGCGGAAGGTGGCACGCCCATGGCAGCGAGGAGGTTGCTGCGGAGAACGTTGGCTTCGATGATCTGCGCGCTTTTCCGCTCGCATTTGCTCTGAAGATGAAGGATGTGGGACTGAAGCTCCTCGACTACGGTCCTGTGTGACTCGAGCTCGGATTGATATTTCTGCTTAGCTGAAAGGAAGTCTTTTTGCAGGACGTGGAATTGCTCGGTCGTGGTCGCGATGGCTTGTTGGTGTGATTGTTCCAGCGTCTGCCTCTCTTGACGGGCCTCTGAAAGTACATTCTCAAGCTGAGCAAGTTGTTGTCGGGCTGATTCGCAATCCGTTGATAAGCTATCCCTCTCGGCACTCACGGCCTCAAGGTTCATGTGCACTGCCTTCATGTCGTTTTCTTGAGTCACTACCATTTGCTGCAATCTTTTCAGTGCTTCGCGCAGAGTTTCACTCTCCTGCTTGCTGGCTTCAACGAAGTGCTCATGGTCCTGAACCGCTTTGCTCCTGGACGATTCGAGAGCCGCTCTTTCGGATTGCATTACTTCCAGCGCCCGGTGTGAATTTGCAATTAGACCATCCTTCTCGGCAACAGTCTTCTCCAAGTGGCCAACGCGATCGCGCAAATCCTCTAAAGCGCTTTCTTTGCTTGACAGAGCTGCTAATCGAGTCACATCTGCCGCAGCCATTTCGCCTTTCAGATCATTAAACTGCTGGCGGAGATTTGATTCTCGATCTGCAGACAAGCTCTTGATTTCCGAAATCTGCTCCAACAACTTCTCGTTTGTGCTGCGGCTGTCCTCGAGCTCGCGAATAGCTTGATCTCGCTCGTCTTCGAGTGCGTGGTTTTGAATGCCATAGTCGATATTGTGGGCTTCCATTTGAGCATATGCTTGAGAAAGCTCCATGTTCTGTTGCTCGAGGGCCCGATATTTCTCAGTCGCTTCTTTCAGAGGTGCTTCGATATTCTCACACCTCGACTCTAGTCCGGCACACGCTTTGCTAACACTTTGAATGATTGCATCTGCTTCATGCCCGAAGCGAGCCTTCAGGGTCGAACGCCAGTCTGCAGATGACAGATCTTGTGTGGCACTCTGCTCGACGTATTCTAGCGAGCGTAATGCAGCGGGCCTCTTGTGCTGACATGATGAGTCATCTTTCGATGATTGACCAAACAGGTCCAATACCAGTGCTTGCGTTGACGCCGACATCGAAGATGCGCCGTTGCCGGCCAGTGTGATCTCGAGCAACAATCGACAGATCGTTTGTACCAATGCTGCAACAGCTTGCGTTTTAGCTTGTATACATAGTTCAGGGTTTGCAACAGCCGGGAATCTAGAGCTGTGATTTCTCGAATGGTCAGAGAGATTATCCAAGCTCTGTTTCAATCGCATCAATCCATTCGTCAGTGAAGGCGTGAATATATTCTGTGCGGTAGTTTTATCGACTCCAATTGTCAATACATCTCGCAAGATCGCGGTGAAAGCATCAAGGCAGATGACATCTTGTGATTCCGTCGTCGTAATGTAGCTAATTGCCGAGAAAATGAGATTACTGATGTGGCCACGATGAACAATGTCAGCCAAAGCATCGAGGCCGTCATTCCGATTCAGAAGCATGTTTGCCTCGCGAACACAGGCGTATTCTGTGAAAGTCGCCTCTACTCGAGCAAATAGCTTCTCGGGCAGCTGGCGAGTGCCGCAGAGGTTTGCAATGAATCGTAGCGTCAAGAGCTGAGCAACCTCGCTCACATCCCCGGCGCAAGCTTTTTCTTGTAACTTACGAATCACTGCTACATTGGCCGCGCACCAATTTCCACGAATTTCGGCGGGTATGGCGCAGATGACTTCATTTGCAAGGACCAAGGATTTATTCGCATTCGTCCCTGCCTCACTGCCTCGAGTTGCAGCAAGAACGACTAGAACAACTAGCTGAACCGTCTTCGACGCTCTGTTGCCAGAGAGAAATTGCTGCAAGACATCAGACTTCCACTGGCCCGATCCGGAGGTGCCTGAGAGGAAGTCGCTCGTGGAATCGCTGCTTGTCGGTCGGAAATCAGGCTCTGTGGCGGCAATCACTGTCATGATCGAAAGACAATATAGGCTCAAACACTGATCGGAGAGTCCTGCACCTTCTCGGAGAATGTTCATAATTGTCTCTTGAAAGTGTCCGAGAATTTCAGGTGTCAGAAGCTGTAGTAGCAGACGACCAGTGCCTTTCAGAAGCAGATATATAGGCTCAATCGTGGTTGCGGAAGGTTTCCGAGCAGCGTTCTGGACCAGCCGTACGAAGAGAGTCTGCGCCTCGGCCGGTATTGCGACATGATCAGGAAGCGCATTCGAGAGCAATGACACACTGGCCTTGCTATATCTCGATGGAACGCTATTCGCTTTGACGGCTTCGGCCAAGGCACTCGGAAGGAGACTCGGCTCTTGTTGAAGGAAAGCATCGCGAATTTTGATGTCGGTGGCTGATCCCCATCAGCCTCGACCTCGTCAATATGATAGCAGCTTTAATGACCGTACCTAGCTTCGAAATAATCTCAAGTACGTATGGCCATTGCGTCAGACCTTGTAAAAGACAGGCCACCAATCGATCTATAATGCAATGATTCGATGCCGCCCATGTTTTGATATCGGCTTCATCAGATATGAGTTGGCGTAGATCCTTCTGGTGTGTCAGCCTCAGAAACGTAGAGGCTTTTGAAACTCCGGCTTACCAGGAATTGTGTTGGATAAGGACTTTCCACTATCCGGATTATTTCAGCGGCCAGCGCCTGATATGTTTCGCCCTGCATGTTGAATTTGATTATGGTCTATTCTATGTAGACCACGACTTCAGGACGCCGGTTGTTGGACTCAGAGCGTGCGACATTTGTCCAGGCGGCAGCGTGTGGTCGTCCCAGCAACAAGACTTCACGTCTCAATTTTCGTCGAAGAAGCAGCCCAAATGCACAACACAAGAGCATTGATTAATGTACTTGTACGAAATATATATCATATTGGGATATGTTGTGATGAAAGATTGTCCTCAGGAGGTCCGGAATGGGTGCACCATGCCATCATCGCATTATGTGCTCTTCCCATTTCATCATCGGGTTGATCCGCAACCCTAACCCTAAGCAATTTATGCAAGTTATGCTTCTCATTGCAAGGCGACCTCACCTGCCCATTCGCTTGCGCCACAAGCATATGAGCCTCCGATTGATGAGATGCATATTGTTTGTCTTTATGACGACCACGATCCGTGAGCTTCACTTGCACTGCAGGTGAAACAGTGGATTGCGCTAGCGATCGGAGGATGAGCATAATGCAGTTAAGCTCCGAGGCTAATGCAAAATATTAATAGCACGTGGCGACGACGTTGCGACTATATGCAGAGTAATTATCTCTTGTCATGATGACAGACACAAGTCGTACCTCGATGATGATATAACATATCCGCGCAGGAGGGTGCACTGTTCATTGTAAGGTAACCAAACCACCTGGGCAGGTAGCGGATCACGATGGAGATGAATCGTGAAACGAAGCTGAGGCGACTATGCTGCAGAAGGATCAAACTAAACTCAGCCCCAGCTACTCGGTAGCGCTCGAAGGACATGACGACTCCTTCAAGGCACGTTTATAAAGGCGGCCATGAGCGCGCAGTCGATTCATCAATTTTGACCCTCATACACATCTGACGACCGATACAAAAACATGTTGATCGACGAATCCGCCACGTTAAGTTTCAACCAGGCTGTGACCTCCAACGTTGACGTCACAATGCCTCGAAGCGATGAACAGAACAACAGCGAAGAAAGTCTGCGACGAGAAGTCGAGGACCTTTCAATGACTCTAGTGAAGATCCTGAACGATCCGGGCCTCTGCACAAATCCCTTCATGCTCAAACACATGAGCACGACATTCCGGATCATTCGCGAGAGGACCAACGAGTACTGCCCTCTCGGCAATCCGATGTCGCGTGAAGAACAGTGAGTTCGTCCGTCGACAGGCATACCTCAAATGCCACGATTTCGTTTCCAAATACTTACTTCTCTCCAGCCTTAACAATCTTCGCAACCTCCAGCTCCAATTCCCAGCATATGTCATCGAGCCGCTCAATGCATGCGCATTGATAGAGCCATCGAACTCACCCAAGACGAGCGGTCCCCGGGCGACGGTCTGGACGACCGTTAAAGTCGGCGGTTTGCCAGGAGCGATCAGCCGGGAGTCTGTGAGCATCCTCCATTGGAGGAAACGCGAGCCAGAATCGCCCTGGGTTTGTCATCGACACGAAGAGGTCCGAGGTGGTGGCGGCCAGACGGATTATTAGTTCTCGAGATTGATTGGAGATTTCATTGTTAAGAGCGGCTTCAATATTACATTGCTGGAAGTGATCATGATTATTACAAACCCATATGATCAATGTTGTTTTCCATCGGACGTCAATCGCGCACGATATGCGTTGCTTGAAAATATCATCGATATCAGAGTTACAGACAATCTCGTGAGGTGAAACCTCCGTGCTATTGTACATCGTGTCCGCGCGAAGGGTCTTTATTGCCACCATTTTCGAAGCGCTGACGTTCGCATCGGCCGCGAACAAGATGACAGAAGTTGCTTGCCCACCTACAGCTTGTCTCACGCTAGCTATAGGGTCAAGTCTTCATCGTATCTATTTTGCGAAGAACTTCCTATCGTCTGTCGTAAAAATATCGCCGAGGTGGAGGGGGTGGAGACCTCAAGGATGGTGAAACTCAAACCATTCCGTTGGAAGCATCAATGTGGTGAACCGTCACTCGGATCGACAGATGGTATTTCGTGATAATGACACTGGGAGCACTGAGGATGATGCTACCGTAGACCATGTTCGACATTGCAACAGGGGTCGCAGCGTGGCGACACTAGTCCTAGATGTGGCACGAACTCGTCTTGATAGGGTGCGCTTGAGAGTATTCTTTTCTAGATTGTTCGCGAGTCATGGTATAAGATGCGATTGATTTCTGCGAAGAGTTTCGTCTTAGAAGAGCTCCTGATATGTGACAGACAATCCACCTTGACCTGTTGACGGCCGTTCGGCTCGACATTCCGGAAATTGTAGCCGACGACCGGACCCGAAATCATGGACGTCATTTCAGTGCCGGAATATTTCTTCATAGGAACCGAGTGTCAGGTACGCTCGTCATTCAGTCTATTATTCATCGGACGAGGATGTCGTCAGTGAAATATTATCCCAGTGAGATCGTGGAATACTCTTCGGACCGAAATGACCCCTATCTGACAAGTGAACCTAGATCGAAATCCTGCATTGAGGAGCAATGTTGTAAAAAGAAAATAACAGGAAGCAGGTTTTACCTCCTTTGCCATGCTCGTGAAGAAAGTCGGCTTGCGATCATAATATATCAGGAAATTGCACAAGGGGAAAAAGTGTGTGGTGACAGCTTCTAATAACGAGCTGCGGCTCGTGACATTTTTCATTTCTGTGGAGTTACATCATACGGCGGCTTCCCGTGATTCGTTTTTGAAGGGCACACGTTCGGGACGGCATGCACAAGCAAAACCATGATGCCGCGCCCGCTTTCACCACCCAAATTCTGATCATTATAATCATCGCCACTGCCGTTGTCGTCGTAGAGATCCGATTTAATGTCTCTAAGCCTTGATTCCTGCCTTCGAGGAGGCGACCTTCTCATTAGTCGTGACAGGCTGGATTCGCGCCATCATCTGCTCCTTGGTGATCAGGTGATCGATGCGCTCGAGCAGGCCCAGGAGCGATTTCATGTTTCCACTCCACTCGTTGAGGACTTCATCGGCGTCACGCTTCTTCTCGAAGCTGACGACCTGCGCAGGCCGGTCGATGCGCGCGTAGATGGTCTTGCTGGTGACGAGATCCGAGATGTACTTTTCCGTCTCGGCGGCGGGCAAGTCGAGGAGGGTGGTGAGTCGGGCGAATTGGATGCGTGTGTAGTACTTGGCGATGACGCGGACATTGTGCTCGATGACACGCTTGCGGAAGTCGAGCCATCGCTGGTGGGCTTTCTTGGCATCATCGGTGGCTTTAGCATCGGTGGGTTTGATGTTGGAGAAAATGTCGGTGTTGCAGAGGTGTGAGCCAAATTGCTTCTCGATGAAGGGCCAGCGCATGAGCTCGGGAACGGTAAAGCGCTTAAGGAGGTCGGCTTCCACTGCGCAGGATGTGCTCAGACGGGTGTCTTGAGCGACACGGTGGAGAAGATCCGATTGCTCGTTGTCGTAGGGTGCAAGCAGTATGAAGTAAACCACGCGTCGTAGCGCAGCTTGTAGCTTGCTTGGGTCCTCCTCAACAGCCTCTGTGTCCAGGACTTGGCGGTAGTGCTTGCATGCTTCGAGGTACTTGTCGTCATGCTTTGCGAGCGTGATCTGCTGTTCGTAGTATCGAAGCTTGAGGTCCGTCACATCGTCGTCCACGGGTTCATCGTCACCAATCGTGCCATCTGATCGCATACGGTCCCGCTCCTCCTTTTCTTTCCGCTCCTTCTCGATCTCCTCCGCAGTCTTCTTTGGCTTTCGGTTGAAGTACCGTGTGCTGATCTTGCGCGATAGAATTCCGGCCTGGGTCCAGTCACCATCCTCAATACATAATGAAACCTGCTGCAGAATGAATTCGGTCTTTTCTCTTCGGCTCATCGATCCGAAGGTCTCGACCTGAAGCTCGCACAGAATGTCCTTCGCCGCCTTCACATCGCCCTTTTCCCGCTTGATATCCGAAAGAATCTTCGTGACGCGTGCTCGCTCAACTTCGACGAAGATCTGTATGAATCATGGTCAGTCCTGTGCGAAGAGCAGTGGTGCACGATACGACTCACCTTTCCTTCTGTGACTGTCCTCAAGGTCTCGATTGTATTCAGCTTCGTCTCCAAGGATGGCGTGTCGTCTAGGAATCCCATCACCACCTGTACCATCTTCGTGATGGCCTGCTTGAGCTGTCCATGCTTCTTGCTGAGCAATTGCACCTGCTCATTGAGCAAACTCCAATCTTTAGCATCCTTTGCTATTGTGACGATCGAAATCAACAGACGTGATGTGGAGGGTAGGTCGGAGGCTTGTCGGGTTTGTTTCTCGAGGCCCAAGAGCTTGTCGATTGCATTTTGCGTTTGACCATCCTAAGCAGACTGTCAGACATAAGTCCATCGACCGTTCTCCAAGCAAAATGTACCTGTGCGAGCTTTTCAGCCTCTGGAATGGCAGAGTCCACCTCCTTGGTGAAATCCTTGGTCGCCTTCAAGATCGACCCGTCTCCCGACATGATGGCGAGTGAGGCGAGTTCGCTATGACGTGGCGATGTGCGGGCACACTCGTGGTGGAGATTATATCAACTTTGGAGGTTTGGTCAAAGTCTGAGTGATATTCAGATATTCCGACGTTTGCGTGTTTTACACTTTGTGTCAAGAGATCGTTGCCCAGGTGTTGAGTAGTCCAGACAGGTATGTGTGCTGGCACGCGCCAGAGTTGCGGCTCACAGTGGGTGACGGCTGTGAATTGACTTGAGCTCCACGCAATGCTGAGTCATCCACTTTCGGGCCTGGAGGTCGAACAGCGAAAAACATCATTTGCTATTTGATCGAAGTCACCACCAACTCAAGTGCGTAGGTTGAAAAATTTATTATTGGCATATTGATCGCTTGATCGCTAGGATAAAATGGCCTCCAGCACGTTGAGTGCAACCCGGACCGTACGCCTATAATAGCCATGGTAACCCAGACATATGACGCCCTGCAATGCATTTATTAATCCAACGCCGATCTATGACACGAAGAGAAGAGGCAAACACATTCAAGCACTCTTCGCCTCCGAATTTGATTTCGCCTCGCCCTCTCCCTGTGCACTCAGAAGCGCACTGTGCTTCGCCCGCTTCTTCAACACGTTCTCGATGAACGCTTCTCCGGCCTTGTAACTGCTCCTCACCAGCGGGCCTGACGCACAGTACAAGAAGCCCATGTCCAGAGCTCGCTGTCTCCACATCTCGAAAGTCGCCGGAGTGACGTACTCCTCAACCTTCATGTGCCTCTTGGTCGGTCGCATGTATTGTCCGAATGTCACAACATCCACATCCGCCGCGCGCAGTTCCTTGAGTGTTCGCCATAATTGATCCTCCGTCTCGCCGAGTCCGAGCATAATGGAGGTTTTGGTGATGAGGGTTGGTTTCGCGGCTTTGGCTGCTCGGAGGACTGCGAGTGACTGACGGAACTTTGCCCGGCGATCGCGAACCATGGGTGTCAACTCCTCTGTGGTCTCAACGTTGTGCGCATAAACATCCAGGCCACTGCGCGCGACCAGCGCTACCTGATCAAGGTCGCCTGCGTAATCTCCAGTCAGAGCCTCGACAAGTATATGCGGCGCTTTCTGCTTGATCTTAATGATCGTCTCTGCGAAATGCCGGCTGCCACCATCCGCGAGGTCGTCGCGATCGACACTCGTCAAGACGACGTATCCCAACCCCCATCTCTTTAGCGCTTCTGCGGTGTTCTCGGGTTCGTGCGGGTCGAGTGGTGGTGGCTTATTTGATGTCTTGACACTGCAAAATCGGCATCCTCGAGTGCAAGTGTCACCCATAAGCATGATCGTAGCGGTGGCGGCCGATTTATTTGAGCCCCCCCAGCAATCGCTGATGTTCGGACATCGCGCCTCTTCGCAGACGGTGTGCAGATTGAGTCCTCTCAGATCGTTCTTGATGCGCTTGTAGTTGTCGTTGTTTGGAATAGGTGTCTTGAGCCATGGCGGAAGCCGAGTGTGCGATCGTTTGCGACCTTCTGGTCCGATCTGAACGGTCTGTAGCTCGTAGGCATCGTTCTCGGAGAGTGGCTCGCTTTTGGGCTTTCCAGAAACGAAATCGGTAAAGGATGGGCCAGCATTGAGGCGATCACTGAAGGCCGTTGTAGGTCGTGCCTGACTGGCTGTCGTCGTAGGTGGTGGTGGATCGGTGACGGCAGTGGCGAACGTCCGCTCGAACGATCGCTTCTGAGGGACGAGCAAGACTGATCGTGCTTCGCAAAGTAGTCGGCGCGCAGACGTTCCTGTGAGTGCCATGATTCCGGGCTTTGTCCTCCACTCAATGCCAACGAAGCAATTTGTACTGCGTGAGTGGAAAGGCTGGGCGGATATCAATCTGAGGAAGGGTTTATAGATGGCGATTTGCCCGCAGGAATCACGAAACGTTGAGTCAGCCATGCCCGTCGAACTCCGGGCGGCGACATTCCGTGTTAGGGTTAGCTTAAGCTCCTCCTGCCCGAGTGCCTTGTATCCTGAGATGGCATCTCTCTACTTCGCCTGCTGGGCCGGCAATGATGAGACACTTGCAATCACGGCGTGAACACTTTTCGTAACTCGGAGTAGATGTGTACTTGTCTGACGAGAAGACCGACATGCAGTGAACCGCAGCTGTCCGTCATGCCGGTTTCCACCCGCCAGCCCATGCAGCACCCCTCACCGTGGACCTATAAATGATTTACACTCTCAATGGGTGTCCCGAGCACCAGCCTTCACCGACGCCTCGAACACGCGTGTCGTGAAGCAGCGGCGACTAGTTCGTTCGATTCCATGCTCATCACTCACAGACCGGCCGTACGGATGGCCCGGCGAATAGAATCTAGCGCTGGTCGGGTGAGCTTGTAGAGAACCCACCCGGAAGCCGGCTGCTAGTCCTTCCGCTCGGATTCACAAACGTCGTTCCAAGCCGCGACAGTCCCCAGCTGAAGACTTCCGGACCGAACATCAACCCCCAGGAATCTCTTTCGGACGCATTAACACACCAAACTCGTCTCTGGGCATGTTGTCACAGACATGATGATTCCAGACTGCTATTGTCGTGCGAGCTGTAGTCCGGGAATTTCGGATTGCTCTTGTTACCGGGGATCTACATCGGATGTATTAATATACCTGTCTCGCGTCTAGGCGTGTTCTTATAGACATTGTAATATACTAGGTAAGACTACTATCATCGTATCAGCTTTCGTCCGGGGATTTCGAATAGCTTTTATTACCGGAAATCTCCGTCGGACGTATTGATATACATACCTCGTGTCTAGGCGTGTTCTCACAGACATGATAATTTAGGACTGCCATTGTCGTGAGAGCTTCAGTCCGGGATTTCGATATTCCCAATTACCGGCAACACGTCATCAACGATGCACGCAGATGATGTGTCGGATCGCCGACAGTGAGTGCATATTCAAGGAAACGTCTTCATGGCACAAACTATGGTACTCTCGAAACATCCCTTTCAAAGATGCATCTCTGTCAAGTCTAGACATATTCATGCTTCTTGTGTTTCAATCCTGCCCATTTGTTCATTCATCACGCTCCTCGACCTTGTTGTCGCCCAGAGAAAAACGCTGCTATCATGTTTGAGCCGACGGGCAAGTATGGGATCGTTCTCGCCCTGTTGGGCGCGGCAGTCTGCTTGCGATATCTTCTGATGCCATTCCTGAGCCCCTTACGCTCAATTCCGGGCCCTGTGCTCGCGCGCTTTACTCGACTGTGGGAGCTCAGAGCCCTTCATCGAGGCAACATCGAAGCTGTCACTATCGACCTACATCGCCGTCATGGTAAGCTTCATATATGGCGGATATGATATATCCGTCTCACATCTCTTTGCCTTTCTCCTGACCCGGCGCTCCATTCAGGAAACGTCGTTCGGCTGGCTCCCAACCGGTACAGCCTAACCGATCCACAGGCTGCGAAGGATATATACGCCATCAGCTCGAAATTCACTAAATCTGCGTTCTACGACCCTTTCGGTACGCCATTGGCTAGTCGTAAGGACATCTTTTCGACACGGAACGAGAATCATCACCAGGAAGACCGACGCAAGATCGCATCGATGTATTCACTTACATCTCTCCTCTCGTATGAGCCTTACGTCGACTCCAGCAACGAGGCCCTATGTGAAAAGATGCAGGGCTTCGCACACAGGAACCAGCCATTCAACCTGATGCAATGGACTCAATATTATGCATTTGATGTTATTGGTGAGATCACCTTTGGCAAAGCCTTCGGCATGATGGAAACAAGCTCGGACGTGGACGGCATCTTGAAGGCCATCCATCTCACCGCCTTCATTCCGGCCTACCTTGGCCTGCTTCCGGAGCTTAGCAACTTGTTTTATCGAGCCCTGTTCCTCCTCGTCAAGGAGAGCCCCCTTATCGTTCTTCAAGGCTTTGGTAACAGAGCACTGGCAGAGCGAAGAAATGGCAATGCTCCCAGTGATCGAGAAGACTTCCTCGCTAAATGTCAGAAACTCAACGATGCGGGCAAGCTGGATGACGGCCTCGCTGGTCGGGTTCCAACCGGGAACGTCATTGCAGGCTCGGATACGACCGGGATAACTCTCGCAGCGGCGTTGTACCATCTCATCCGCAATCCAGACAGTATGCGGAAGCTCCAACATGAATTAGATGAGGCTACGCGCCGCGGCGAACTGTCTCAGGTAGCAACTTTTGCGGAAGCGAGTAAACTACCCTACCTGCAAGCGGTCATCAAAGAGACACTGCGGATTCATCCCGCGGTGGGAAAATTACTTTCAAGAGTCGTCCCAGCAGGAGGTAAAGAGCTGGCTGGCCACTACTTTCCCGAAGGAGTAAGTGTTCATTTATGCACAACACCGCTGAATCCTTTGTTCTCGCGACTCTCACTGATCAATTTCCTATACAGTCCGTCGTCGGGGTGAATGCCTGGGCAATCCACCGCAACCCCGAAATCTTCGGATCCGACGCAGACATCTTCCGTCCGGAGCGCTGGATGGGACCACGCGAGGAAGTTGCCCGTATGGAACAACACAATTACGCGGTAAGAGTTTCCTCCTTCTCGTGCCATGCCATTAAGGGACGGCTGCGCATAATGGACACTGACTGATGCTTGTGTTTCCAGTTCGGAGCCGGATCTCGTACATGCATCGGCAAACACATCAGCTTGTTGGAGATCAACAAGGTCCTTCCGCAGCTCCTTCGCCAATTTGACTTTGAAGGCCTGGATGATCGAGCATGGACCACGAAGAATTATTGGTTCGTGAAACCTTCGTATATGTGCCGCGTGAAGGTTCGTGAAGGAAACGCAAAAGTTTAAGACCTGTGGATAAGTCTTCGTTTCATGGAAAACATTTTGAGAGGAGTATACGGCTGGAAGCCCGGTGGTTTTCGCGAATTGGGAGCAGATTTTCTCAGTACCAATCTCACAGATGTCTATGACTCGATACCCTCTCTTCAACTCGGCGGCGCCTATTCTTTCGATATCGATTTTATCGCCTAGAAGTGATAATGAACACCGCACAGTCGAGCACCAAAATGACCAACAACTACTCGGCACCACTGGCGATGTTTACCTCCTAAGGGTGCTGCACAATAAGATCCACAAAGCACGCCTATTGGTGGTCAACCGATATCAGATAGAAAGGCTGCGAGTCATCCCGTCACAAACCTAGTCTCGGCGACGTCGTCACATCCCGACTCGTATCGCTCCTCGAAAGGCGCCTCTGTCCAGTGCGGCGAAAAGACCCCGACCTTTCCCGACGGCTGGCTTCCTGTTGTGAAGCGCCCACCAGGGGGATCACAGTACGTACTGGTACTTGTCATAACATGCGTCGTGTACATGCAGGTAGGTCGTCGACGCCTGAATTCATTACTCCTAGTCCATGTTCGCTCCAACGCTGTGTAACACAGAACTCTCCTTTATAAAGGTCGGAGAAAACCCTCAACTGCATTCTTCATCTTCTCTTCTTACTCCTACATCTCTTCTGATACTGCAACACCGATGTCCCTTCTCGTTCATGTGGCTTAGAACTCAATCGACTCCTCTACACGATGCGTCTGGTACGTTGCGTGTAGTGGACGATTGAGCTGTCGCCTTCTCTTGAGCTACAACATCATGCCTTCGTATCAGGTGTCATTGCATTCTGTGATGCGTCAAATTATGGAGCATCTGGTCAACTTTTCCAAGAGCGTCAGTGCTGTCCTTCTCCTCGAGCATCCCGGCTCTCGCTTAGTGCAAGAATCCTTTCAATGCTAACCGATACCACAGGTCCCACAAATTCCAATGTATGGCGAATAGCAAGCTTCAGTGGGTCATGGCGCCGAAATGTCCGCAAGTCACCATGATGCGCTGGTCCAAACTATGCTATGGGACAAGTAACACCAGCCTTTGTCATCTAAAGTTCCTCAACGACTCAAGTTCCGGATCACCTCCTGCCTCACAGCGCTCATCGGCGACCATCCACAAGCCAGTCCACCAGTTTGACAAGAGACGTCCACCTTGACCCTTCCATAATATCTATGGATTGTGCCAAACCCCCAACGGCGATGCGCCCGTACAGCTCAACCTTCATGCACCAAGATCTCTTAAGCCACAACCACCATATGTCATCCCGGTAATCGCCGCCGCGCAGCTGGAGTTATCTCCGCTGTCCGCGGGATGAAAAAGTACAACGCCAGCAACCCGAACGGGACAACAATACCTCAGTGATATGAGCTGATTACTCAGACGTGCGAACACCAGTTACAGGGTACGCGGACCTTGCGAGCTGGCACAGTCCATCACTCTCTTAGATCAGCTCATGCAAGATCCTAGGGCATCAAACATGCCCAAGCGCGATAGCGAAATTATCCTGCGCGCCTTCGATGGCGGTAGGCGCACCCCTTGGGAAGTCTTGCTATGTAAGGTATCTCTACGCAGCTCATCGGGAACTTTCTGGGTTTCAAGATGAACGAGCATACATCCCACGACCCAAGAGCGATGAAGCCGCGGTCATTTGGAAAAGCTCCGTCCCCTGTGGCCGAGAATCTTGCGTATGGCTCCCATAACACAGATGCAGGCAGAACCTTGTACAGCAGGCCCCTCCAAATCTTAGATGCCATCGCCTTCTGCACCAATGCAGGCGCGATCTCCGTACATGGTGTTGCTTCAATCTGCAGGTAGACAGGTACAAGATCGTCGCAAGGCGGATGATGCAGTGGTACCGGAACACCGGCTACCTAAATCGGCACTGCCTTTAGGGAACGAGGTCTGGCTCTTACCATGAAAAAGTCAAGAACCACGGTCGGAACAACCTCGATCTCAAGTACAACGGGAATCTCGACGAGGCGATTCGAGACATCGAGCGAAGGCTAACATAATCAGAGAGCAACGGGGCCTCAAGACTCCACGGATTCCATCGGCGGATCTCTGCAAGTTCTGACATTTCGTATCCATCTCTAAAAGATACCTCTGACTTTCCTCTCGATCATTTACCGTCTACATATCCCTCGCCGAATATTGCTGATAGTGAAGTTCAACGCCTTTCTCTACGCGCTCCAGCACTTCAACTTCGATCACATCGCGGAGACAGAACACTGCTCCACCAGTACACAGCACCCCGACTCGAACAATGCGGGCGCAATGTGGAAGACCTGAACGAAGTGACCTCAACAGCTCGCCATTTGTCCGAATCAATTGCCCAGCCCGAATCGCAGCACGCGGAAATGCATAACCTCAAGCTGGAGATTAATTGGATTACGTGCGAGGCCGAAATGATTGATGCCGACCTCACGGCAGAAGAAAATGAATTCCTCTGACGAGGGGCAGCCGAAAGCAGCAATGAGTTCGAGGATTAAAGACATCAAGCAGCATCATTATCCTTTAAGAGAGAAGACCTCGCTTCAAAATCTAGCAATTCCCCGACTCGTAGACCCGAATGGAACGAGCCGGAAATAGTTGTCGGGAACCCTCGCCTTCGACCGCTGGATCAGAATTTCTGGAGGAACTCAGAAGACGACACCAGTGAGCTATGTCACCGAGTGCTTCCAGTTCAACTTCCTCTGCAGGGCTGGAGCCTTCCTCTCCCAAAACAAGGCATGCAAGCAATAGATGAAGCTACCGCCCTCTAACGTTTCTTCCGTCACGTGTCGTGAATCTGAAGCAATCTAAGGCTCGCAGAGTACGAGGTCAGGCCCGGATTGCTTCTGACCGCGCCACTCCTGCGCTTACTTCCCATCATGGAGAAAAGAACGGCAAGATCGATCACTCAGATGGCGTCGAATTCCATCTCTGTCGGTCACCCTTCCTGGTAGAACTCCTTCGCCTTTCTCTGAGAGCCCGTAACAGTCAACCCATTGCTCGGCATGGAGACTTTACTCCAGGGGATTGTAGAATCTCCCGAACGCCTCCTCGTCATAGAATCTTCCGGACAGGCGCTCACCAGCTGAGCTCTTTGTGGAGCGTCGTGGATGAAAGAGTGAAGAGCGAGCGAACTCCGCGGCCCCTTACATACAGTTCTTCAAGGCAGACCTAACTTAGCAGTGCCGGCTTCATGGATTGTGCAACAGGCACAGAACATACATTCTTTGAGTCTTACACCGGCTTACTCGTTCTAGACTTTCGCGGGAATCAACTCGCGTCATGGCCATCGGCTATGTCTCTTGGAGCCGCAACAGGCCCAAGGGGTGGAGTCCTGACACCACGAAGATCTTCTACCATGGCTCCCGATCCTGTCCCGATCTCTCCGGTCATCGCCCCCAACCTCATCACGATCCTATGTCCTTCTCCAACCACTATTGTCGATCCTGCAAGGACCATATGACCACCTCTAACCGTAGCCTCCTCGTCAGTAATGACGCTTCCCTCCCAAGCGGAGAATAGACTTGAGAAGGAGCCCACAACAGCATTCCTTCTGCGGAAACGACCTCCTTGACGAACGCAGATCTCGAGTGCTGCCGCTCGCTGCCGTCGTTTCAGGCATCAATGGCGGAAACATCCCCGCTGCGACTGGGCTGCTCGGAGCAGGGACAGTGGTTATACCATTGCCCTTCCGACGGGCCGGCGCCGAAACTCGCGAAGACCTCCTACCCACCTCCGACGAATTGACCGGTCTCGTCCCCACTGCTCACGATCGTCCTTCGTCGGGAAATCCGTCCCACGGATCTTGCTGCTGATGCTATACACTGGAATCTGTTATCGGCAATCGATCCCTCACTCGAGTCAGGTGTATGTCCACCGCTGGACAGCTCTCCCGAGTATTCATCTCGTTCGTCTCTACCTACCTTGCCCACCTGGACCAGCTGGTACCATAGGGCGGAAGTCGGTCCTTCCAAATCGTAGCAGGCCAACACATCTGCGCTGTCGATCGCGCATAGCCAGAGGGATACCCAGGGACGGGAAGGCAAAAGGAAAGAGGTGCGAGGCGACTTATCGGAATTCAGGCACGCCTATCACATGTTCAACCCTTTATCTGCGATTCGACCTGCGCTCGGACACGATTTCGGCAACGACGATTGGTTCTGCAAGATCCCCGCTCGCGGCCGAACCTCGACCGCTGCCTATCATCAAGATAGAGCTTTCGGGGTTGCTCGTCGAATTTTCGCCCGATGCGAGCCGGGGCCGAAGGCAGAGAAACGGCATCTTTGGTAATGCCTCTCCTGATCGGGAATGGCACCTGCACAGCATACACTCGGATGTGGTTGCGGCAGTTGGGAAGCCAGAAAGTCCGAAGGATCCCTTTCCTTGGTGGAGAGGATGATCCGGGTATGATTTGTTTACGGACTCCGTCGAGGCAGTCACATACAGTTCTTTGGAATTCGGATGATGGAAACAATGATTCAATCTTAGATATTAAATATATAAAAATTCATTTGTTCTTCCCCCCCCCTCCTCCTCCTCCTCCTCCACGTGAGAAAGATACAAAGAAAAGCAAAACCGTATCCGTGTATTTTTGTCGCCGTGCTTCTGAGAAGGGGAAGGGAGGGGTGTTCAGAGAACGTGCAAAAGCCACGACAACGACGACGGGAGGCTTCACGAGATTTGTATTGTTCGAAATATCGTGCGGGCGAGAGGTAGAACAGAGTTGAAAAGAACTGATTTGAGATCTGATTTATCCAACGGCATCGCCAGACAGAGATCGCAAGAAGGAGAATAAGAAAATACGAAAATCCTTGTACAAAACATTTCACCCTTCTAGGAGATTCTTCGGAAAAAAGATGGAAAAAAGAAAACCTGGCCCTCCTTGTCATTTTCGCTTCTGTGCTCATCATGGGAGGAGGAGCACACCGAGCCAGTGAAGAAAAATCCAAAACTAATCTTCGTCGAAAATGGCCGTGGCGTTGATGAGGATGGTATCCACGACCTTGGCCTGCAACCCCGCATCGGCGATTTGCGCGCCGGTATGTTGACCCATGAGGCTTGGCCTGAGAAAGAGAAAGAAAGAATCGTCAGTCCAAGATTTTCCGAATCAGAAACGAGTTAGTTCATACGAGATGGGGAAGGGAAGGATTTTACGAAATGAAAGAAAGAAGAGGAGACTTACGCGAAGCACACGGCCAGATTCGCACTCCCCATCCTCGTGCGACTCTCGTTCTGCATGACGCGATACAAATGCAGGACCAAAGCCCTCATGGTAGCGTAATTCGGATCGGGGAGATCGTTGATACCCTGGTGGAGGGCATCGCGGCGTTTATCCGCATCATCGATTTTCGCCGATTCGATGAAATGGGTATATCCGGCGCGGGTGAAGAGCGGGTCGGAAAGCTCGCGGAGGAATTGCTTCAGCAGCGTCGTCACGGCGTTGACGTCGTGGAAGAAATTCGCCGGGTTGCGGAAGTCGAGTTGGGGTGCGCCGGGGGGGAGGGTGTCGAAGGCGTTGCGGAGCGCGTTCACGTGAGTGGCGTTGCCGCTGACGCGGTAGATCCCTTCGACGTCCAATCCGAAGAGGTCGACGGCTTGCATACATTGGACGACGATGGTGGGGACGGCGGAGTTGTCGCGTGCGAAAAGTTCCTCGAGGGAGAGACCAAAGACGGGACGGGCGGGGGTGGATTGCGGTGGGCTCATAGGGCCGCCGCGAGGAGGGCCCATTGCGCCTGTGGAGACCATTGGCGCTGTAGGGAGGGTTGGTAACGCGCCGCCGGTGTGCTGGGCAAATTCGTTTCCGTGGGTAGGGTATGGTGGGGAGCCGTAGTTGCTCACTGGTGGCGGTGGTTGAGAGGCATACGAGGGTTGCGCAGCCTGTCGGTATGCTAATGATTGAGGGTCAGGCTGCTGCTGGTATGGCAGATTCTCCTTCGGCGGAGGCGGTAGAGGTTGTTGGCCAGTCTGGGGAGCAAAGCGGTCGCTCGGCGAGTTGTTTTGATTTCCAAGAAGGCTGAAAGCTAAAGCTGGCTGGCTCATGGGGTTTCCCGACGAGACGTGAGGTTGCTGTGAGGGCGGTGGCGGTGGTTTGGGTACCAAGGTCGGATGTTGCTCGTATTTGATCTCGCTCGGAGCCTGGACCTTGCCGGAAAAGCTGCTCACGTAGTTGTGGTAGTCGCGTTCGTTGTCGATGTCACTGATCAAATCACGGAGACTTCTCTGTGGGAGAGCTCCATCGTTTTCGGCCAATGGGCTGACCGCTAGACCATTGCCGAGAAGCAGTTTCTCGTTGAATGTTGCTTTGATTTCCGTCAGTAATCCTATCTTCTTTTGTATTACAGACACACTTACCGAACTTCTGCAGCTGCAAAGTCAACCCACTGTCGCATTCGTGGATCAACTCCTGCAGAGCCTTTACCGCCTGAGGTCGACCCACGCTGAGAAGCTGCTCTCTTTGTGACTTGGCCAGGCCGACCTTCTCCTCATAATCGGCATCTGCAGCCTGTGTTTTGCGAAGGAGATCCTGTTCATACTGCTCCGCGCTTTTCGGACCTTTCAGACCTAACCTGCGACTGCCCTTGACATCGCCGGTACGCGCGCGATCATGGTCCTCTGCGAGACTGTCGTACTTGGCTTTGGCCTTCAGCATAGCCGCCTCGGCATCCGAAGCCCGCTTCTCTGCATCCAACCCCTCGTGTTTCCAGTTCTTACGTCCGCGCTCCATATTGTTCGAGAGGACATCCAGGTCCTCATGCATCTGGTGCAGGGAGAGGGCAAACTGAATGCCATTGTCGGCCATGCGCTCGTGTACGTGCAAGACCTCTGCCAGCTGCGCAGCATAGCTCCCACCACGGACATCGGCTTTGCGGATGCTGTCGAGTTGGATGCGCACCAAACGCTTGCATCCCGATGCCTGCTCCTCTTCCAATGCGGCGCGCTTCTTCAGAAATTGAGCGAAGTCACGCGCCGATGCGATCGATTGCTTCAGCCGGGCGAGGAGGGTAGTGATGCCGATATCAGAGTACTTGACATCTTCGACCGCTTTGGGCGGCGCAGTCGAGGTGTTGGTTGCGCCGTTCACTGCATCATCGCCGGTAGAAGGCATCACCGGGCTGGTCGGATTGGATGCAAAGTGGGCAGCGGTGCCTCCGCCATTGCCGGAGTCACGATCGTTTTCGCCGTACATTGTATGCTCTATGGCTGTGGTTTATTGCGAGTATACACACAGGTTCTGTCGAAGATATTTTGCTTCCGAAGCAAGGACAACGAGGCGAAGTGGTCAGTCTGGTGAATGTGTTGTATATGTACCAGACTCGGCAATCATGTTTCGAAGCTGGGATGCGCTGTGATCATGATGCCGTCGGAGTTCGCCAGACCTGCCCGAAAGGAACAGCTCAGCCACCTGCGGCCGCGACGCTCAGGATGGATCATCATAGCCCAAACTCTAAAACAGATGGTTAACGAGGCAAATTAGCTCCGTGTCTAGTGCGCAGTATATACTGTTTACTGGGCATATCGTCGTCCTGATCGGGAGGATTTTCGCGGTGGATTCAGACGCTGGATGTAGAATACTCAGTTGAATTGAGGTAAGAATGGGCCTCGGAAGTGGAACGAGGGAAGCGGGGGGGAGAGAGAGTGTGTGTGTATGTATGTCTGTACATATGTCTATGTGTATGGGTAGGTGTACATATACGTATGAATGCGCACATATATGTATATATGTTTGTTTGTATGTATGCATATGTATGTATGTATGTGCATAGATATGTGCATATATATGTGTATATGGATATGTATATTCATTTGCATATATGTCTATGTTATATGTACAAGTGGGCTGTTGTTTGTCTCCCCCTCCGAGTAATACGTCACTGCTTGATGATTCCCGAGCGGGCAATGCCGTTTCTCCATCTCCCATACGGAACTCCATCCGTCTCGTCTTCTTCAATGATGAGCACGAGACTCGATCGGCACCTCGCAACACCACAATAGTCTGTCTTCTGAGGAGAGCGATCACTTCTATACTAGGCTCGGCTGCAACTCCGACATCGATTCATCTCACAACACCTAAGACAGCAGCAGCAGCAGTGACCGATCATTATCAACACATCATGGCGGTCCCTCTGACATGGCAGCGGAGTGCAGAAGCTACCGATCCTATCGTCTCCCATCAATTACCGAGAGAAGTCGTGACATGTCTAGAGAATGCTCGCTTCGTATGTATCAGCCTCATCACCATCATCATGATCAATGGATACACACCTGACAGTCGTTGGATCAGCTCCACCTTGCAACATGTACCCAAAACGTCCCGCACGTCAGCCTCATGAACTACACCTACCTTCCGACCCACCCTTTCCCGCAGAGCAGCGTGCTCCCCTCCGGACCCACCATCATCATGACCACCAACCCGTCCTCCAAGAAAACCAGCAACCTCGTGTCAAATCCCAACGTCAGCCTGCTCGTGCACGACTGGGTCTCCTCCCGCCCACCAGCCACCACATCTGCCGATCGCGAACGGAGTCCCACCGGCGGACCGCGGAGTAGCCTCGCCGCCATGCTCATGCAGATGAACAGCACGGCCGTGAGCAGCATCAGCACGACGATGAACGGGCAAGCCCGCGTGCTGGACGCAGGTTCCGAGGAAGAGAAATGGTGCAAGGAGCAACATCTGCAGAACAACACATTTGACAGCGATGCTTCTGGCGGTGAAGGAGCAGGAGGGAGAGCAGGAGTGCATACTGGCACGGGGTTCACAGAGATCTATGGCTCTTCGCCGGCGCAGACGAGGGCGGTGACGGGAGGCTCGGGCGACGGTGGCAGGGAACGCTACATCGAGGACGAGTCGGTGAGGGTGGTGGTGGTGAAGATCAGTGATGGGAGGATCAGCGACTGGAAGGGCGCGGTGAAGGATTGGGTGATAGCAGAATCCACGGGAACGACGACGCAGGCTGGTGCTGGCGCTGGCGCGCCGCTGGTCAATGGCATTTGATGAGAGAACCGAGATATCCACGTGCACCATGATCCTCGTCCGGCTCGAGGCAGGAAAGAGTCATCAAAGTCTCGGGGATACATACAGTCTCCGGCATGATCGCAGTGGTGGCTGGCGGGTGCAGCGCTGTTTTTCTCTCCCAGCCGTGTCTCATCCATGGGAGGTGCTGCATAATTTATGCATGAAAGCACAAAACGGTCACAAACCTGCCCAGACGGAGCTGCAGAAGAATTTATGAAAAGACAACGTTCGCAATGATCATTTTGTATAATATCTATCTGGTCTGTTTGAAAAAGTTATGCAATGCGAAAGCTCCCAGTGATATGCCCTCCCAGAAGACTAGCGCAAACGAACCCCATCATCCAGAATGCGAAGAGAACAAAAGAAACAAAAGGTCCCTGTCTGTCTTTCTCCCAAAGCGAAATCGCCGCCCCTTGTAAAATGAATGACCAAAAACACACCCGCCCAGCTCATCAAAATCGTGAGAAAGAAATCGTCGTTGTCATTGTCGTCGTTGTGTCGTGAGATCGTAAAGGGCGAAAAAGTAACCTCCCATGCAAAACGCCAGATCAATGCCCAAAAAACAAACAGAGAAAAGCAACAACCAGAGCTGCGTGAACAAAAGAAAGGAAACCACACCCGCTCGTGAAAGAAACCCTTTCCAAAATCCCTTCCCCAAAAACACATCCGAACCTAGTTGTTGCCCGTGTACGAGCAATCCACCTTGTCACTCCCGCTGACGATGCAGTTCGTCATGATGCGGTTGTTCTGCTGGATGTTGACCTCGATGGCGCCCTGGAGGCCGAAGGTCGTGCCGTTGGCCAACCAGTTCGCGTCGGTGATGTGGACGTCCGAGAAGCCGGCGAACGGGATCAGGCTGCCGTTGGTGCTGAAGTCCTCGACGATCCACTCGGCGTTCTGCTGGCAGAGCGGCACCGCCTGGTCGAAGAAGTCCTTGCTCACGCTCTGGCCGGTCGTGAGGTTGGTCACGTACGCAGTGCCGCTGGTGCTGCTGGTGGCGACGACGCGCATGTTGATGCTGTCGCCGGGGCGGACTTCGAAGTTCTCGAACGCGGTGAGCGGGGCCGGGAACCATTCGTACCAGGCGCTGTAGCGGGTTTGGCCGTTGACGATGGTCCACACGATGCCGGTCTGGAGGATCGCTGAGAAAGGAGTGGATTAGTCTTTGTACGAGGAGGTGGTTTCGATGAGGGGAGAGAGTGCTTACCACTGCCACAGGTGTCGCCGTCGATACCGACCCAGACTGCACCTCCGTAGGTGACGGCGGGGCTACCACCAACCGGCATCGATACTTGCGGGACATTGGTCGTGCCCTTGACTTCAGTGATGCCGCTGTCTACCCATAGAGCTCCCTGGGAAGGTTGTCAGTATACAGCTATAGATGTTGAACATGATGGCGATACTCACTGCCCAGTTGGCAAAGTATTGCTTGACTTGCGCAGCGGAGGTTCCTGCAAAACTGCTGTTTGATTCGCTGCCCAGGGTGGTCGGTGGTCGGTTGGGCATCTTGCGGCCTGGGTTTCCGGGGATCGAAATGGGCATTGCGGATTCCCATTGCATGGTGTTTTGGAGACGTGCTAATGTTGCCTCGCGCTTGCTCGGTTGCCGTGCCGGTGCGGCGTCGATCATGCTGACGAACAAGAGGATGCTGGAGGTGACCTGAGTGAACTTCATGTTTGCGGTGGTGTGCTTCGGATTTGTTGGATGGTTGAAGGCTGCGATTGGTAGAGTAATATACTTAGATGGTTCTGTGGTGTATTGTATACTGTTGCTCTTGTTGCTGACGTGGTTGTAGTGGTAGTCGGTGAGGTGCTGATGTGTTTGATTTGAGTTAATTGCATGAAGATGCCGCCTGTTTTGTATCTTCAGAGGAAACCTTCAGACTCCTCGGTACTGCCAGAACATGGCGTCATGTCTACGAAACTGCCGAGCCATGCGACATAGCCTTAATGCATGTTTCTGACACCGCATAAGAATAAACCCCATGGCCGAAAGGGACTTGAAGCGTTGGCCGGCAGTGCAAATCGTGAAGCGGGTGATCAATCGAAGCGGTTTGATCCATGGTCCAGCTGAATAACCCCTCGAGGAGTATGCGGGAAATAGAACGAGCGGCATGCCAGATGCACGGGAAAGCGTCACCTCTGTGGTTGAATGGGTAGTCAGACATGGATCGCCATGCTCCCGAGCATGCAGCTTTGCCCTTTGTCTTGAATGACTTTTGCTGCATGATGATGTTATGCGAGAGCGGAAAGGGCGTGGTTGGAAAACATATGTAGGCGACCCAACCAGCACACTCTGCACATTACGAGTCAACCACTGCACCCCGTCAGCACCTTGGCACCTCAGCAACACTCGACTTGCGTATCCCTTGGGCCTGACCTCATTGGCAAGACACAGTACTATGGCTTCTTACGAGATACCAAGACTTTATAGCCATCACCTAAGGGCCCTTACAACCGCTGCGCACGCGCCTCAACCGTCATGGGGAACTATGCAACGCTCACCGGAATATTGAAGAGTGGTCCCAGCGAGTGAGGAACTCTGTACAACAGCTAACTCCCACCAATACTCGGGAACTTCGCTCCGAGAAACGCTCGATCAGTCTAGATGTTCGAATTGCCGGGATTCGTCATGTTCGAGGCCGTTGCTTGATTGAAGACGATGAAGGACCTCATGATTGACGATGACAGGTCGAGTTTCGCAGACGATACGTCGAAAGCCACAAGCGCCACCGATTGGACAACCACGTCCAGGGCGTCATAATTGTTGTCAGACGTCCCGAGTCGCTCGTATTCGCCGCGGCGAGGGAAATTCTCCGTGAGACAAACACACGTCATGCGGATCTTCCAAAAATGAAAAGAGGCTCACGGTATGACCTACCGAGCATCCTGTCGGTCGTTTCTGCGGTTTCACGAAGCGAGTATCCTATTACGAGAGAGGACCCACACCGTCATTTACCCTGGAATAAAAGATTCCCAGCGACGGCACGACCAGGGGGGCCTTTCGACAATGGACAAAGATGGAAAGAGAGATGCGAGCGACAGAAACCGATGGTTGTGCCGTGATGTCTTGGAATCGAGTGGAGATTGCCGCCGATTGTTTCGAACGCTGGGCGGGCGACGGTTGCGAACCCAGCAGATTGATGGCTGGCTGCTGCTAGAACGCTACTTCGTGAGGGGTTTGCATTGTCGTTGCGTACAATTTGTTCTAGGCCCTGCATGCGGTGCATACATTTGGGCAGCAGCATGTCTGAATATTAGGCGGTCTATCAATCGATGATGATGATGATGGTAAGTCTATCTCGACGAATGGCAAGTGTATTGAGATAACGCGTGGTGGTAACAGGATTGTTGCCAGGTACGTTGTCGGGAGAACTGACGTCCGGAGAAGGGTTGGCAAGCTAGCTTTTCGGAGGGAGCGCCGACCGCTTGTTTGGTCCTCCAGCTTCCCAGAGATATATTCTTAGCAACAATCAGACTGGTAATGTGGAGACTTACCGGCCACTTTGAGAGACTCGCGTACCGTCATGTCTCGGAACTGTGTGATGAGAGCACACGATCTCCGGAAGGTCAAAAGTACGGGTGATCGCACGGCAGCAGCGGTTTGGATCCACCGTTGCGGAAATATGCGAACAGCCACTTTCGGTTGATCCGTGTCTTATGTAGATGCCCACCTTTGCAGTACCATACCAACTGTTGAGACTTCAGAATGCACAGTTCTCCCCATTGTTAACGGTGAGACAATGACGCCGTTTACCGTCATCTTTGTTGATCTTGGGATCTGACCTGCTAGGGTTTGGGTTGTCGGCCACTTGGGGTTGGGTCGACCCTATTCCAGTTGTTACCATGTCGAGTTATTAGATATCATGAGGTCTATCAGGACAATGGCTCCTCCGAACAAGTTGAAAGTAGATATGATAGCAGCAGTCCGTATTCAATGATTGCGATAGGCAGGATGTATGTAGGGCCGTGGTTCGTGCAATGGCAACACCTCTCGAGGGATTGGGATTGAGCAACCATTTGACGCGATGATTTCGTTATAGACATGACTGTACTGTAATGTCGCAAGATACGCTTTTTATAAACATTTTACAATACTTGGTAGCAATTAAACTTCAATATTGTCCATGCCTAGCTGATAAATGTCAAGTCACTACCAGATGTATTGACCATTCCAAGATTGTCACTGATGCTCAAGGTCACGAATCCCCGATCTTCGACCAGCACGAGGCTCGAGGCTCATCATCCGCAGCCGATACGAGAATAAAGTCCAATCATCTCCAACCCCTAATACTCACACTCACGAAACCATAACAGTCTGCCCAATCCCCGGGACTCCATCAACCACAACATAAACCACATACGGCCCCGGCGGCGCCAAATTGCGACTCGGCGGCATGCTCACCGAAACGCTCTGGCCCGTTTGCTCAGGTGCGAAACCCTCATGGTCCAAGAACAACATGCGATGGCTCATGTGCAGCGAGTGAGTGACGAACCCGCCGTGATATAACACGACCTTCAAACCCTGAGCATTCGGAGGCGCTTGGAAAGTGATTGTGAGTGGCTGGGCGGCGCCTGCGACGAGAGCGAATGTTGACAGGGCGATGTTTGTGGGACGACGCTGGGCGTTGGCGCCGGAGAGGTAGGGAGGGGTGTATATTTCCACGCGGAAGTCGGTGACGAAAGGGTTTGCTGCGTCGGGCGTCAAGACGGGCATTTCAACGGGGTTGCTTCCTGCTATCATGAGCGTGCCATCGAGGAGTAGAAGTGCGACCGAGTGATATAGGCGGGGGATGCCTGTCGATGCACCGGTCGTCCACCGCTGACCGAGCGGTGCTGCAGGGTTGTAGATGAGTGCCTCCAATGTCGGAGCTTGTCCCAGGCCGAAACCTTGAGCTCCGCGATTGCAGCCGTTGACCCAGACTACGGTGCCGTCTGGAAGCAGAGTGCCTTCGACCATACCACGACCTTCTGGCATGCTGTCCATCTCCCATGCGGCATTGGCACTCAGAGGCTGGATACGACCACAGGAGGCATCGGTTGGAGATGTGATATCTTGATATGCACCTCCACCGCAGACGATGACGTCCGGATTCCAATCATCAGCAGATGAAAGTGGAAGGAGCACTGTGCCACCAGTATTCGGATAGGTACGGTAATCTCCTGGCAAGTCTTGGAAAGTTCGAACAGTCTGACCAGACCCGACGTCAAAGATCTCGGAAGATCTGGAGACGAAGACGAAAAATGTGCCATCTTTCAGCAGATGGATAAACGGGTACATGTAATACGGCTGAGACTTGACTAGTAGCGCCATAGTCGTTGATACGCCTCGCGAGGTGCCATCCGAATTCAAAATTTCGTATGTCGGATTATTGTTCTCCGAGACCGTTGGGTCAAGACCATTGAGACTTCCCGATGCCACGAAAATGGTGCCATCTGGCATAGTCTGGACGCTGGGGTACCAGCGTGCCGTATCGAGCTGATTACCAGGCTCGGACCAGTCCTGACCATCGGCCGATCCGTCGCGTGCATATCGCGTGAGGTATCGCAGACCGCGGAACCCATCACCGACAGTCGGATCAAGCCAATCTAACGGAGCGTTGCCACCGACTGCAAGCATTCGACCATCAGCCAGGAAAGTACCGCCAGCGCAGAAAGCATTGGTCTTGTATGCGAGAGGCACTACAGTATTCGCTTGAGGGTCATATTCTGAGCTGTAAGCGAATCGGCCATTGGGTAACTTGAGCCGCGTGTAATCTTCAACTTTGTCGAGGAACATAACCTTGCCATTGGGCATCAGCGCGGCATGCATTGCGGGAACTCCAGAATCGCCGACGATGTTGTAAGACCCTGGATTAGCGTTCCTTGGAGCAGGTGATGGTCCATGAGCGGGTGGTACTGCTGGCTGATTACAAGGTCCAGATTGACAGCCTTCGCCACAGTGTCCGCTCGTGTCGCCGCAGAAGCCATACATGGAGCAGCAACTTCCGAGAGGCCAATTGCCGCAGAGAGTATTGCCATTGGCGGCACCACAGCTTCCATCTGTTGTGACTGCACCAGTAGGCTCTGCTGCTGGCACGGCAGTAGGTGGTCCGATCACAGGCTCGCCATTGCTAGTGGTGAAATTGATCAAAGTCGTAGGAGGTGCTGGAGTTGAGTCGCATCCACTCTGACAGCCGTTCTGAAGTGAGCAGTGATCGCTCGTTTTACCGCACCACCCGTATTCGCTAAACTTGCGTAAGTATCACCTCGCAGAAGTACCAAAATAACAATAACGTACCTGCAGCATCCGCCATAAGCTCCATTCGGATCACAAACTGCACCGCCGAAAGCCGATCCACAATGTCCATCGTCGCGAACGGCTTGTCGCTGCATGATCAGTCTGTAGTACTCGCGGTCGTAGCTCGAAGCATTCCATTCCGGAGCACAGCTACCAGGTGTCAGTCAGCTCATGACCAGACAGCAACGCGAGCCATCCTCGACTCACGTATTGTTCGTCAGGCAGATCTGCCCACGCAGACAGCCCTGCGCATGAGGCAGTTTCACATCACAAGCTGGCTGCACCTTATGGAAGATGATATTTGCACAAGCGAGTGGAGTGAGCAGCAGGCTCAGAGCGACGTATCGCTTCATCTCAGCTGCTCCGAATCTCTTTCGTCGAAACAATGTGTTGATCCCGTGAAGAATCGTGGCAATGTGGGACGGACAAACGAGAGTCGATATCGAAGGACGTGCTCCCAGAACGATGTTGAGAAGAGAGGAGATGCAGCAATCTTATGCTCGTATGTTGATGTGGTAGAGAGTAAAGCGAGGACGGGATCGTTGCAATATCGATCCACAACATGAGGTTTCCTTGTCCTTCAACCATTGTGACTTCCACCTAATTGCCGGTGTGCGCTTTCCGACTCGATGTGTTGTGTGTGTTTGAGCGCACATGTGTTGCGGTGTTGCTGGCTTTATCGTCTCGTGTTACCCACGTGAAAGAAAAGTCCTTAGTCCGTCGCCCAGACAATGCCGCCTCGTCATCACATGTTGTGTATCTTCGCCCCCCGTACCTGCAGCCCGAACTTACCATCTTGATCTTCGCACTTGGACGAGTGTGCTTACCTACTATCCGTGAAGCAGTTGTAGATGGGACCCCATAGTTGCAATATATGAAGCAAGATCGTCGATTCTACACAAGAAGAAGAGAAAAAGTAAATAATACATACAAATGTTTACACTCATTGCGGCTTAAGTGGCGCGTCCGCGAGCGGTACCAATTCCGATGTTTCGCGCCAAGTCATCATCGCCTTGCCCAGCACCGTCTGCATGATAGCATAATTGACCAAACATGTAATCCCCAATTCCTCTCCGCGCTTGATGATATACCCATTGATATAGTCAATCTCCGTCGGACGGCCGGCACGGACATCTGCCAACATCGAGCTGATATTGTTCGCGGTCCTGTTCGCGATCCCGACGACCAGTGTCTCCAAACGCTCGGCACTGAAGCGAGTGGGAACGTTGGGGATGCCCTGGAGTTCGGGGAGACTGCGGATGACGAGGGAGATCTCGGCGAGCATGAGGCGCATGACGCGAGTGAGTTGGAAGTTGTAGGTGATGGCGCCGTTGCGGCCATCGAGAAGGACGGTGAGGGGATTGATGATGCAGTTCACTGCGAGCTTCTCCAGTTGTTGCTGATGAAGTTCGATCGACGTGAAGCCGACGGCGCAAAGAGCTGGACATCGTGTGAGTGTGCGCAGCAAGTAGCGAGAGGTGGGCGACCAATCTTCATCGCCACCCGCTAACAATTTGCCCTTTTTGGATGATTTAGGCGGCTGAGCCCTGTTCTCAGTGGTAGTAGCTTTGTTTCGGGGAAGCATGCCAAGTGCGATAGTGCCATGTCCAGCATGGACAACATAAAAGGGATCCTCCTCCCTTGTCAGGGGTGGCATGTTCGCGCCGTGTGAGACTATGCCCTGGATGTAATTGGGTCGTGTTGCCTCGTCCGGGAAGAGTTCAGTATTGATGTCATCGATCATGCCCATGCCGTTCTGCAGGAAACAGATTGTACTCTGCCGTGAGAGTCGATATTTTACTGAGGCGAGCGCCGAAATTGTTCTGTTCGTCTTGGTGGCAACGATGAGATTGTAAATCGGCTCATTGCTAAAGGCGTAGTCACCACTGTGCGGTGCGTTACGAAAGTCCCCAAGCGGATTCTTCCCTTCGTTCATGTCCCTTCGTCTCTCCGCGATGATTTCCGCGGCTTTGTGGGGCTTTAGATCATGCCGATCGGCGTAATCATAGAACTGTACTGGATCGTCCACTTTAATGCCATGGACTCCTGGCTGCATATCTCTTTTAAGCTCGACATCATACCCACTTTGAGAATCCGTATATGACCCATCCTTCACTGTGACAACCTTCTTACTCTTCTCCCAAGCCTGAAGCAGACGATAGCGGTGGAAAATCAACGAAGTCGGTGGCGGATCGGGAATGCTCCGCAATGAATGCGCTACGAGTAGACCGATGTTGCCCGTGCCCAGGATATGAATGCGACGAGGGACATCTCCCTGTGGTACGTATTGCTTGTCGATGGATCCGAGAGTGCTCCTGAGAGCTGCATCGGTCTCGAAATCAAATGTAACATCTTCCCGGTCATTAGGTGGCGCGGGAGGCACCTCCGCCGTCTTTGCTGCTTCTTTCAGATCCTCCATTGAGACTTCATGAGGCTTCCACCAGGGTCGCAATGCATTCGTTGATGTTGAGAAGTAAGCCACCCGGCCGACAATAATGCTACCGTGGAAGCATGTTCCTCTGGGCCGCGCTATCCGCTGCGGAAGGTGGTGGAGATGTGCGAGAGACAGCTTTGCTGCTCTGGAAGATGATCGAAGGGCGGGCTACGGCGAACGCGCAATGTATTAGTCGAGTAAGTATGATGTTATCGCAACGACATTGAGATGGTGATGGGTGGCCTCACCAAAATCTTCGATGATGTCGTCGAATATTGACTAAGCTGGAGCTCGGACCGTGGCTTTCAGAGCATTGGACCCTGGGACAGCAGGCCGAGGCCATGTCGGTATCAGAAACATCCCCATCTGCTCGACAACGATGGAATGCTATTCGCGACAAACATTTCTCATGATGGATCTACAATTCTGATGTCTGGATCTCCTGCGCAGCTCCAACTCAGGGGCACCTTACATGCGCATTATGGCGACAACGTCAATTCCAATGGCGGACACGCACCTCACCGACGACATGGCGGCTGGGAATGATTCAGAAAATGATCAAACAACCCAGCTCTGATGTTCTTTGGAAACTCACCTCTCCAATTGATGCAATGGTAATCGTCCAAGTCATACTTATCACATAGAAACATCACATTGGATCCCACATCGTACATGTACATATCCACCTATGGCCTGTATCCTAGCCTTCAAATTACCTGCTCAATTCACTATTCATACTCTCGCCTCCGGCCACTCTCCCTCGGTGACCACCGTCATAACACCGCCAGGTGTTCGCACCTTGGCAGTCAATTCCTGGAAAAGGAGCAAATTAGCAAACCTGACTTGAACCATTTGTTTTCTTGTCCACTGTGAGAATGGCAGGGAAAGATTGCCTTCAACTCCTGATGCGCAGGGCATTCATTATCGTAGTAATCGTGGTCTTCCCGGTTCTTGAAAACGGATTGACTTGAGAGCGTGAAACCTTCGCTTCGTGGAGACTCGGTGTTGATGATCCTCGTGGCGGCGTTGGAGACGATATATGGCTTGCCGTCCTGAGTAGACCCGAAGAATGTTAGTAACTGTGTCTCGGAATGTTGATTGTCGCCATTGCTATCGAGATCAGAGAAACCCAGCTTTGCGCAATTGCGAGTCGGGACAGAATATATATCTCTCGAATGTCATACCTTGACCGACGTCGCGCGGACTTTCTCGTATTGCTTCAAGACCGCATCAATATCCTTCTCCTTGGGAATCTTGAAAAGGGTCACGCGCTTGATGTGTTGCGCCGTCGCGGTTGATGTGAAGGTTCTCCTCGCGACGACCACCGCGCCTGCCGGAAATCTTGATCGGAGAATTGCACTCATCTTGTAAATTCTTCCAAATGCTCCGATAAATTTGCTGTAAAACAATACTAATTTGTTCTTGTTGAATGGTTGCTCATTTATCACAGCGCTCGATCATGAAGGATGACACCAATGGCTTGGACCTCGCTTTCTGTGGCGTGTGGATGACTAATCTGCGAGGTGTATTTTTTGATGAGTCATCCTCACTTGTTTGCAGCGTTGGTGACAACCTCATACAACCTTGTTGGATGGATCCTATAAAGGTTCGAGCATTGATTGAAATAGGAGAAGATGGAAAGAAATAGGAATAAATACGGCTTTCTTTTGATAGAAACAGGTCCGGATATCGCAAATCTAGCAAGTCGAGACTCGTCGCAATGCCATGTTTTTGATAGAAGGACTATTTCCAGCGTCCCGCGACGTTCCATGCGTCGGAGAATTGAATTGTCGAAAGGACCAGCCCTTGACCTTCGCTCCTCACATTTCTGTTGCCTTTTCTCTCCCCGCTGCCTCTCTATGCCCATACAACAGAAGTGACATTGCCCAGCCTGTCCAGATGAGCGACCGGCTCACCGATCAGGCCTGTAGCAACATCGCGACTGTAAATCACGACCCTCTTCGTGTATTGAAGACCTACAGCCACCAGGTTGCCGAGTTTGTTCAAGCTGAATTGGCGCGGGAAAGAACCTCCTGCAGGCCAGAGCTGGCGCCAGTTCAGGTTGCCATCAGGTAAAAGCTCGAAGGTGGCGAGCGAGTCAGATTGGAAACCGCCGCCTGGAATTGGGGGAGGTATGGAAGTGTACGTGGAGCTATCGTTGCGGTTGGATACGATCAGGAAGCGATTATCAGGCTGTGGGGTTTTCATGGATGTGTTAGCTGGGTAGACAGATCGTTTGTAGGGAGCGGTAAAACAGAACTTACGCTGATGACAATCTCGGCAGGGGCAGTCCTTTGTTTGACAAAGTGCGGGCCAGTGGTGCGGCTGATTTGGACTTGCTTGAAGGTCAGGCCGCCGCCATTGTGTAGATACGAAACTTGATAGCTGGTCACTGTGCCGGCAAGCTCAGAGACGAGATAGAAGTACGTGGGACAAGTCTCGCACGCGACGCCGGATGGGTTCCAAAACGCAGCGTGACGTGGGCCTGTGCCTTCAAGCACTTCGAGTGATTTAAGCTGCTTGAGTTTATGGTTCGTGAAATCCCATCCAAAAATATGAACGAGGTCCATTCCCAGGTCCGGCACTAGAACATACTGTCCCGTGGGATCCACAATGGCTTGATGAGGATGCGATGCGGCTTGTCGCTCTTCATCTTGTCCAGGTTGAAGAGTGTGCTTGAATTTGATCTCCTCATTGAATGTGAAGTCGCCGTTGCATTGCAAGTTGAAATAGCTGACTGAGCCTCCGCCTTCTCCGCCATAATTCGCCGAAACGAGCGCTTGCTGCTCCGTCGGCTCTCCCACTATGACGGCCGAAACCGGAGCATTCAGACCGTCAAAGTGCCGTACTTTGACGAGCTGTCCATCCCGTTCGATCGAGAACGAGGTCAAGGCACCCGCATCGTCATTGGCAAACCCTTCGTCTAGACAGTAGAGAACACCTCGGCCGATATCCACTGTCGACCATGTCGGATTGGCTCCACATTCGCCATAAGCTATGTTCTTGTTGAGCTGATATGCGCCAGAGGACTCGCTGCTGAGCTTGACCGAGGTGAGGTGGCCATCATAATCCGTGATGAAAAGATTGCTCGCAGAAGCGTAAGCAGCTCCGAGAAGGAAGAGAGATGAACGGATGAGCATGGTTCCTGTCAATTAGCGGTGCTCTGAAATTGCAGTGATGTCGTCCTGGTGATAGGAGCACAGCTCTCTGTTCTTTCGTTTCGTGAAAATTGACTCAAGCACGGGAAGGAAGTTTGTTGGAAACGATCGGCGGAGGTGTAGCTTTTATGATCGACATCCGCGCGCCCGGACAACTTTCGTATGTTACAGTACGCACAACAAGCGCTTTGCTCATCAATACGACCCTGATTTCAAGATTCTCTCTAGATGAGGTGTTTCAATTGCGAAGACATTGTAACCATGTGACAGCGGAATGCCGAGAAGCGCTCGCGCGACGCTGCCACAGTAGTCCTGTACAAAATCGTTCCAGAAATCGCATCAAAAATCACTGAAGGTTTGTCTCGCATCGTTGCCCGACATGCAAGTCATCCTACGAGTGTGGCGGGAACCAGCAGGCTAAAGTCGTCCTGTCATACCGATCCTCGAGCTCTCTATACGCGGATGCAATCACTGCACGCGCCGGCGCTCTACGCACTCGACCTTACGATTCATGCTGGAGGCGAACGATCTCTCCAGGCCGAATCGCGCCTATCGAAGATATTGTCAACGAAGTACTATCGGTACATGCAGACACGCAGGTCGGTCGAGAAGTCCCCATTTCAAACATGTGTGGCTTTTGCACGCTGGCGTTTGCAAGCCAGCGAAAGCATCATCCAGCTTGCCGCCGAGCATCAATCAGAGAAAGCCTGATGAAGAGCCCAATATAACACGAGTTATTTGCCTGATCTAACAATCAAGGAAATAGTCCATAGAGCCCCGTTGAAGAATCGTGACTATCGAATAGTGAACAGATTACTCATCAGAAAGAATCCTGGCAGATTAGTCATCCAAATCTTAGTACATCATCTTGTAAATGAGGCGGTTCATTGCATGCATTGGCCAATATTTACTTGCGATTGCCGCTACTGCATTACTATTCGTACTTTGTGCTACAAATCCCTGGAGACCAAGCAAAGGCTGTAATACATCACCAAGTTCCACCTCAATAGTTCCTTCGGAGTAAGCCATGCTAGTGCATTGAGAGATCCCCAACATAACGACCGCTACGGGTCAGAGGAAAGATTAGACAGCTCCACTCCAAGCCGCGGTCAAAGGAAAAGCCTTCTCACGCTTCGTCATCCTGGCATAAGCCTCGGCAGATGCATTCACACCCGTCCCAACACCATCGCCGAGCACCACAATCTCCACAATGCCAACGCCAGGATCGTAGCCGAAAGTTCCACTCGTCACGAGAACACGATTGTCATATGAGAATTGGATGAGACTGTACGCAGGCTGCTCAATGCTCTCGCCATCATCAAGGTAGAGGGTGCCTTCGGCTTTGCCTTGTGCGTCGGCGGCGATGATCAAGGTGAAGGGTTGCTTGCGGAGCTCGCTCGTGGTGTTGGCGGAAGAGGTGCGTTGCACGATGATGTTTCCGGCTTTGTAGAAGAGCGGGATAGTGGTGTAGCCGACGTTCTCGCGCGCCACGGTGGAACCGGTCCCCTCGACGAGCTCGTGGGTGTAGTAGTCGTAGAAAGTGTCCTTGGGTAGATAAAAGGTCGCAGTGGTGCTGTTCTCCTCGGTCACAGGCGCGACGAGGACGCCGGGCCCGTAGAAGTACTGGTATCCCAAGGCGTTAACATTCGGATCTTCGGGGTAGTGGAAGAACATGGGCTGCACGAGGGGTGTTCCGATTGTGCTCTGGAGGTAGAGAGCGGTATACAAATAGTCGAGCAGCTTGTATCGGATGGCGATTGCATTGCGAGCTGCCTCAGCGACGAGCGGCGAACGATAGAACTCATGTGGGACACCACCCAGCTCTGCGTGGTTGCGATAGAAGGGCGAGAACGCTCCTAACGAAGCCCACCGTGCGCACAGGATATCTTTGGCATATGTGTTACCCCCAAATCCACAGACATCGGCACCGACGGTGGGAACTTGGTACAGTGCGGCGAATTCAAGGACCTGTTTGATGGAGAAAAGGTAGTGCGACCAATCAGCAATGTTGTCGCCCAGCCAGTGTCCAACCTGTCGACCAGAGCCGGCAAACGTGGAACGTGTGATAATCATTGGACGCAGAGTCGGTCTTCGCTTGAGCATGGAAATGCGAGATGCTTCAGACATTTGAGCGCCGTAAAGATTGTGCGTGTCGTACTGAACGGTGCCGCCGTAGTCAACGAGATCGGTATCCAATGTCTTGTTGCTCAGACTACCTGCAGCATTTCCAATTTGATATGATGGATTGATGAGGTTGCGGCCAGGGAGTCCGAGCTTTTTGCCAGCTGATTGACGGGAAGGCAATAGAGGACGATCGAGTTTGAATTGTGAAGCAGCGTCACGCTTCACATTCGCCTGCGGTGGCGTCGAAGTTGTGATATCATCATTGACAACTTGCGGCTGGCTATTGCAGCTGGTTGACGTGACAGTCCGGTTCGCGGACTCATAGACAAAACTGCCATCAGTCTCAGTACGGACATACTGATATGTGATTGTGGTTTCTGCAGGAACATCGACGGTCGCTCCCCAGATGGGATACCGATCGGCTCCAAGCGGTGCTGCGTTGGTAATGTCACCGCCGCCAAGAGTGCTCACGCTGCCAAGCACCAGGATGTTCTCGCCATAACGTGTAGTAGCGTTGACATTGAACGTGATTTGTGCTTTGCATTGCGGCTGGAAGCTAGCCGGGAATCCAGCGATGGCATTGTCGGGTCCAAGACGGACAGCTGGTGGACGTGGAGGGTTGCCCATCTGCTGCGCCTGGAGTGTTGCATTGGTGCATGGCCAATTGCAGAAGTTGGCAGCCTCATTCATGTCAATCCACAAAGCATCAATATCAACACCAGTCTCAGGATCGAAGAAAGATGCGAATTCATTGTTCCAATAAGCTTGCGTGTTGGGATGGAACCAGTCAGGGAAGGCAGTCACTCCGGGCCAGACGACACCCTCAAATATTGAGCCATCAGACCTTTTGTAAAACACGTCCTGGTCGCGACCTGAATTGAAGGCCGGATAGTCTTGATAAGCAACAGCCGGATCAACCATGACCACGTAGTGTTGACCACGGGAATGGATTGTCGAAACAAGTTCTCGCATCAAAGTCAACGGAAAGCGTTCGGGATCGAGCGTGAACACACGGCGGAGATACATGTAGTCGATGTCGGTCCACATCGTTTCCAATGGAATGTTGGCCGCCGAGTAGTTGGCAACCACTTCAGCAACTTCGTAAACATCGCGCATGCCGTAACGGCATTGATGGTAGCCCAAACCCCAGTATGGCATCATGACACTCTTTCCGACGACCTCGGAATATTGTTGTGCGGCTGCAACCGGTGTCGGGCCGGCAAGGAAGTATAAGTCAAGGACACCACCGAGCAGGTCGTATTCCAGAGTAGAATCATTGATCTTGATGCTCTTGCCGTTCGAGTTCAAAAGGAAGACAGCGTGAGTACCGCTTGAGCCACGATGATCGAAATAGATAGGATGATCTCCGTATAGGTTGGTTCCTGAAGGCGTTCCATAGGCGTCACGATTCCAAATCACTCGAGTGTAATCAGTTGTGTTGAGCATACTACGATGATTCGTCAGTGACCAAACTCTCCTTTGGAGAACATCTCGTTGGACTCACAATGGATCAGTATGCTCTCCAGTACCGTAAAGCACGGGATTAGCAGGTAAGGACGTCTTCAATCGTACGTATTGGCTTTCAAAGATCAAGGGACTTGCAGCAGTGTCGAGTAAAACATCGCCCGTACTTCTGCGTGTCACCGAGAAGCTGAAAGGAGTGTCGACGTGGTTGAAGACGAGGTCACTGCTCGAAGCATCGCCGCCATTGGCGACTGGTCGAGTGAATACAGATTCAGGAACCTGATAGACCTGGGACTGCGCATCTTGAATTAATACATGAAGCCGCGAATCTGAAGTGTGGTTAGCCACATACACATGAAAATTCATCGAATCAACCAATTCATACCGGTCTGATATTCAACAGTCAATGTCAGATCTTCAAGATCTGTGCCATAGACATTGCAGGCTGGACCTGCAAGTACTAAATCCGCTGTCAAGCCAGTACCTGTTGTCTGAACATTGACAGCATTGTAGCCCGGGCAAGCATTGACATCACTTGAGCTTTGGCGTGACAATAAAGCACCCGCAAAGCTGGCGCGGGCAAACAACGCCAACGCAAGCAATTGTCGCATTGGATGCATGATGGCTGTTTGAGCGATATCACGAAGATCTTGAACATTGCAAATCCTGGGATCGCTCTGCTACTTTATACATGGCGTCACGAGCAAAAAATTGGTACTGCACAGTACCTGTGTGCTGCATCTCGAGTCAGCAATGCAGATCTTTCCCGCATACCCTCATCGCTTCGCCACGAGTTTTCCTCTCACCCGACATCACAGACATCAAGAATCAAGTACATGTATTATCGCCATTATGTGGCGTTTCCGAAACATTGTGCGGCGTGAACACAACATTGCACAGATCTCAAATATATTTGATCAACGCGCGTCGCCTACAGAATTCCAATTTCCATCGCCTGGAGGAGCTTGGGCATGATAACACATAGATTGTGCTTGATGGGTCCACACCATAAGAAGTCTTGACGGCTAAATGGCCAATCGTGACATTGTTGTGGCCTGTGTTCTCCAAGGATCTTGGTTGACGCACCGCTGCTCCTGCAGAGCTGCTCGGAGTGACACGGTGATACTTTACCAATTGGTTTGCCAAGGAGCGGCGGGTGCTTACAGCTGTGAAGTTCCACGGCATGTGGAGCACCTGGGGATGTTTTCTTGGCAGATGTAACATGATGCCAATGAGTAGGTATCGGAGGCAACGCGAGATCGGTATGTGTCACTTCAAAACGCTGTAGGAACTTCTTTGTCCGGTGTTCGAACCGTATCTGAAGAATCGCGGCATCGGCTTTCAGTAGGAGTAACAATCCGACGACTTCGAGAGCTCGCGCCACTGATCGCAAACGTTGTCACTTGCAGCAACTCCAATGCGGCCGCTTTCGAGTATATAGGCTTCGGCCCGAATCGATGAACTGGTAGGAACTAATAAGAGCCCCCGGAGGATCTGACATCATTTCGCTTCTATGGAAGGTTGGAACGGGATCTGGGTGACTAATCTGCGGGTGGCATTTCTTATGAGTAATCAATCCTCTCTCGTCTTCGTGGCTGTTGTGCTCAACAGCGGCGCGGTCGTGCATCGTCTGTGACTCCAAATATTTGTCATTTGGATGCATTAGGAAGCTGAGATTCGAAGTCAAGGGTATGGCAGCATCGTATGGCGGTGGACTAGAGGATTACAGAAGGAATATTGCAGATAGTTGTGGGTGAAAGAAGATGAACGCGTCAGCCACATTCAAGCCCAGCAACGACGAGTCCACGGGTCGCGTGAAATTGTTTGCTGACATAATACAGATCGCGTCTCCCGGCCTCTCCAGCCCTGCAAGTCCTTTAACAACGCCACACGATGCATATGCACAGTATTGAAACAACATCACGGCATCTGCTCCTTGCATCTGATCGGCGACGACTGCATAATCGATTTGGAAATCAAAGCATTTGGAGGCTCCCTACATTTAATCAAGCATCATTTCACAAACACCGTTTGGATATGGAACGACAATGATCGCACAGCACAACATCCTGGATCATGGCTAGGAAAACAGAAGTCTTCCGCGTTCGACTGAATTGCGTAGATCATTATCAACATTCGCCGTCGAGTCTGGATGCGCCTCTGTTTGGGTCACATACATTCTCTTCAACTCAACGAAACAGATTACCTCAAGTGCCAGTAATTCGTGTCTTTGGAGCGACTGAAACCGGACAAAAGGTCTGCGCTCATATTCATGGAGCCTTTCCATATCTGTTCGTCCCGTACGAAGGCTCCATCGAGGAAAAGACTGTCGATACGTACATTTCGGCCTTCAGAAGTGCTATCGATTCTGCACTGACACTCTCGTACCGTCGAAATCCTCACGATGACCCCAGCAAGGCCATCTTTGTCGCTCACATCAGCTTGGTCAAGGGAGTACCCTTCTTCGGCTACAATGTTGGGTACAAATACTTCTTAAAAGTCTATCTTCTCAATCCACTGCATATGACTCGCTTCTCGGATCTCCTTCAGCAGGGTGCAGTCATGAAGCAGATGTTTCAGCCATATGAAGCTCATCTACAGTATCTCCTCCAATGGATGTGTGATTTTAACTTGTACGGCTGTGCATACATTGAAGCGAAGCACGCAAAATTCCGAGAGCCGATACCCGCCTGGGATGACCTGGACAACGAAGAGCACATCTGGCACGATCGCTCGATATCTGCCGACCGCTTGCTGAACCCGAACGAGTTCACTCGCCAGAGCCATTGTCAGCTCGAACTTGATATCAGAGTGGAAGACATCCTTAATCGTTTGTCGATCGATGAACGACCGCTACATCATTCATTTGTCGAGCGGCTTGCATCGCTAGACAATTTGCCTATTGAGGAGAAACTTGTACATTCAATGAAAGGCCTCTGGAAGGATGAAACACGGAGGCGGAAGAAGCGGATGGGGCTCTCAGATGACTCGTCATCTCCCTTCCCACCGGAAGTGCTGGTCAGCATGTCTGCGGATCCTCGAAACACGAGTGACGGTGGCTGGATTCACGAAGTCGAGTTTCGCCGAATGGTTGTGGAGCTTGCCGCTCAAGAGAAGCGTGCGCGTGGCGGCGGCGGACTCTCATTCGAAACTTTTGGTGAGCAGGATAAAACAAATGACGGAGTACAGACCGTGTGGGATAGTGTAGCCGACTTGTTCACGAGCACGATGACTTTTCGCTGGAGCGCGGAGAAGAAGCTTCAAGCCACTCAAAGATTAGACGAGATCCTTTCGAATCAGACTCAACTGCCAGGCTTGGCAGAGAGCGAGGGAAGTGGAGTTACTACACCTGACGAGGCCGAGGCCAATGCAAATCAACATGAGGATGAGTATGGAAGCGACGAAGAGAAAGCGAAAGAGATCATGCTCACGCAACGTCAAAAGCTCGCCATTGCTTCAGGCAAAGAGGCCATTGCGCGAGAGACCGAATCGCTCTTCGACGCCGCTGAGCAGAAAGCAGCAGCTTTATCAACAAGTGATGCCCTCAAACGCGTCGCGCCGACCAGCAGTCGACATCCCTTCAAGAAAAGCAAGCTCGCCGACTCAACTACGATCAACCAGGGACTGACCCTGCGGGTGCCCGATAGGAGGGCTGAAAAGACGGGATCCTTGACTTGGTCTCCCACATCACCACTCGAACGTCCACCGCCCGGAGCTCAAGTTCCAAAAGCATTCGACCATGACAATAACGAGAACTACTTGCCACCGCCTTCGGCTCAACCACCGAGCTTTCAGCAATCGCCCGTCGCATCTCAAGGCTCTAAGCTGGCATTCCCTGTCGTGAAGAATCCGCAAGATCCCGCGACCATTCTCCGATTGAGCCAGCGTGATGATCAATTGCAGAAACCAACGCAGAATGCATCTCAGAAGAGCACTACGGACTCTTTAGGCAGTTTGGTGAAGTCAGGCTCTCATAATACTCCCATATCACCTGTGGAGCAGCGTCCAACGATCGACCCGGTTCTTGCAAAGAACTATGGCAAAGCTTTCCCTGCGCCGAGGTATATCGATGTTCTAGTTTACTCAATTGCTCCCGTATCGGCAGCAGAAGTCAGCCGCACCCTGACGCCTGCAGTCATCTATCAGGATGCGTACTATAGCGACGAAAAGGATGTCCCCGAGAGACCTCGTGAATATGCTGGCCAAGAGTTCAAGCTTCTTAGTCGTACCATGCCCTACCTGCCGAGGTTCAACACAATGGGAGTTGATGAAGGCGTGAAAGCAAACGATTACGATAAGCAGTCGTCGAAAGTCGCCGCGAGAGAAAGGAGTAGGAAATGTACTCTCCGTCGCTGGGAGATCATGAGTCCTCCGCCAACCTGGGCTGAAGTTGAGGGCTGGGTGGAGCAAGACCAAAGCACCGGACAGTATGACGCAAAAAGATCTTCCATACAGCAGACGAGCTCCCAGCTCAAGCGCAAGAACAAACCCGACCGTGAACTATCTCAAATCGAAGGACCTACACAGAAGAACAAACATGGCGTTAAATACTCACAGAAGAAAGCAAGCACGAGTGTCCAACACGAGACTGGCTACATGAGCATCATGAGCTTGGAAACGCACATCAACAGCCGCGTCGATCTAGCTCCTGATCCAGAGCGGGATGAGGTCAATATGATCGTTTGGTGTATCGCGGATGAACTCGCCGACGAGAACTTCAAAATGGGCATCATCATCCTGGCGCAAGAGGATGACTGCGATCGGGTTGAAAAGATTCGCAAGACGGTCGGCAACAATGTTGAAGTCGAAGCAGAGGAAAGCGAGCTCGATCTCCTCAATCGCATGGTCGACATCGTGAGAGAATACGATCCAGATGTGCTCACCGGCTACGAGGTCCATAACAACAGCTGGGGGTACTTGATCGAGCGTGCTCGAATACAATACGAGTTCAACCTGCCCGATGAATTTTCACGAATGAAATCGCTGTCTCATGGTCGATTCGGGAAAGATTCAGATCGATGGGGTTTCAATCATACCTCGACGGTGCGCATCACGGGTCGACATACGATCAATATTTGGCGCGCGATGCGATCGGAACTCAATCTCCTGCAATACACGATGGAGAATGTTGTCTTTCATCTTCTTCAGCGCCGCATTCCTCACTACTCGTACGCCTCATTGACGAAATGGTACCGAAGCAAACGGCCGAAGGATTTGGCCAAGGTGCTCAACTATTTCGTTTCCCGAACCAAGCTGGATCTGGACATTCTCGACGCGAACGAATTGATTCCGAGAACCTCTGAACAAGCTCGTCTGCTTGGCGTAGATTTCTTCTCGGTGTTCAGCCGTGGTTCACAATTCAAGGTGGAATCTCTCATGTTTCGTATTGCTAAGCCCGAGTCTTTCATCCTCGTTTCGCCGAGTAGGAAGCAAGTCGGGGCACAGAATGCTCTTGAGTGTCTCCCTCTTGTCATGGAGCCACAATCAGCCTTCTACAGCAGTCCATTGCTGGTGCTGGACTTTCAGAGCTTGTACCCAAGTGTAATGATCGCTTACAATTATTGCTACTCCACTTGTTTGGGCCGAATCACAAACTGGCGTGGGACAAACAAACTTGGATTCGGCGATTTCCGACGTGCGCCGGGTCTCCTGGAACTGGTACAAGACAAGCTGAACATTGCCCCAAATGGCATGATGTATGTACGGCCTGAGATGCGCAAGAGTCTGCTTGCAAAGATGTTGGGCGAAATCCTGGAGACACGCGTCATGGTCAAGAGCGGAATGAAAGTCGACAAGGATGACAAGACATTGCAACAGCTCTTGAATAACAGGCAGCTTGCGCTCAAACTCATTGCCAACGTCACATATGGTTACACTTCGGCATCATTTTCAGGACGCATGCCGTGTTCGGAAATCGCTGATAGTATCGTCCAGACGGGCCGAGAGACATTGGAGAAAGCCATCGCATTGATCCACTCGGTCGAGCGATGGGGCGCTGAGGTTGTGTATGGCGATACCGACAGTCTATTCGTGTATCTGAAAGGTCGTACGCGAGATGATGCATTCAAGATCGGGAACGAGATCGCAAAGGCAGTGACTGATGTCAATCCTCGACCGATCAAGCTCAAGTTTGAGAAAGTCTATCACCCATGCGTGCTTCTCGCGAAGAAGAGATACGTGGGCTTCAAGTACGAATCACCGAACCAGACCGAACCCGAGTTCGACGCCAAAGGAATCGAGACTGTCCGGCGAGACGGAACACCCGCCGAACAAAAGATCGAGGAGAAGGCACTGAAGCTACTCTTTCGCACAGCAGATCTCAGCCAAGTCAAATCGTACTTTCAAGCGCAATGTACCAAGATCATGTCCGGTCGTGTCAGCATCCAAGACTTTTGCTTCGCGAAAGAAGTCAAATTAGGAACCTACGCCGACAAAGGACCCCCTCCGCCCGGCGCCCTCATCGCCACCAAGCGAATGCTCCGCGACCCTCGCGCCGAGCCCCAATACGGCGAACGCATCCCTTATGTAGTCATGGCCGGCGCACCCGGCGCACGACTATGGGAGCGCTGCGTCGAGCCCGAGCGGCTTCTCCACGACGCCCATGCGGAACTCGATGCGGAATACTACATCAACAAAAACCTCATTCCTCCCCTCGAGCGTATCTTCAATTTGGTCGGCGCGAACGTGCGTGCGTGGTATGACGAGATGCCGAAAGTGCAGAGGATCCGTATGCTCGGTGGGCCGAGACTCCACGAGGGCGAGAGTAAGAATACCAAAAGGACGATGGAGAGCTACATGGGCAGCTCCCACTGCCTCGTCTGTCGGACCAAACTTGCTCCCGCGCAGCAGCAGCAGCAGCAGTCACATTCCGCACTCCGCGAAACCGTCGCCGAGCTACCGTTATGTCACACCTGTCGACATACAAAGACATCATCAACTATCCTGACCCTCCGCCGTCGGTTGCAAAAGGCCGAGATGCGCGCACGCGATATCGAGAAGGTCTGCCGTAGCTGTGCGGATGTCGCGTTCGATGACAGTGTATCGTGTGATAGTCGGGACTGTCCCGTGTTCTATAGTCGTGTCAAGGCGAATAGTCTGTTGGAAGTTGCGAGGAACGGGACGGGGAAAGTGTTGGATGATCTGGAGAGTGAGAGTTTGTTGAGGGAGGAGTTTAGATGGTAGATGGAAGACGGATTCTCGAGGTTACGTTACAGCACATTGTCATGCCTACCGCTTTGGTTACATTGCAGCACTTGTTGCGTCTGCCGCTTTGATCACAATACGCATGGTACGTGTAAGTAAGTTGCATTCAAAGACGGGATGAAGTGGGAATGGTATGGTCGAGTGTTAGTAAACGATGACATGAACCTTTCCTGGCATCCGTTCGACGATCCACGCCACGCCGCTCTCCCACGTGAGAAGGAACGCCGGTGCGGGCCGGGAAACCGATTGCGGCCGGAGCCATGCCATCCGTCCGTTTCGAGATTGCACTGGGCACGAGAGAGACAATTCCAGCCGTGAGCCCGGCATCACATCACGCTTGCGGTCATTTTCCTCTCCTAGGGCCAAGGCTTTTCCCCCCGAGCATCCCACGGCTCAGACGTCATCTGGACTATTCGGCTGATCCTCTCGCAGGACTCGGTGCGCAGGAAACCCACCCGGGGTGTGTGTGCAACCATTCACAGTCCTCCAACAACCTCTCGCACTATGCAGGTGTCGGCTGCGTACATGCAAAGAGATCCACCACCAGGACCAGAAGGATGAGACAGTGTGTGGCAGATTTTCTGTCGCGTGCCTCCACTTCTCTCTCTCTCTTCTCCTCCCGGGGATTTTCGCTCAAGCATATGTTCTTAAAGCAAGTGGTGTGTCGCTGCGGCGTTGTCGTCCCCTATCTCGCTCATTTTCATTCCATCCAGTCGGATTCGGACTTCAGGAGCACGTTGTCGGTTTCATTCTTCCTTGTGTGAGACATTTATCGATAATTCACTCACACACGCACGCGCAATTTTGATCTACATACACAATCCACAAGAACAAATCAAGATCAAGCAAGCAAGCATTATTACAAGAACAACGCATGAAAATTAATTTCTCGCCGTAGAAATCGGAGAAAAATCGCTCATTCTGCTGCTGCTCCGTCGTGTGGTTGGCTCTCTCTCCTTTACGTGCTCCTGACGTGCATGGTGTCGTCTTCTCGCTCATTGCCTCCCTCTGCGACCGCGATCCAAATCCGCTCATGCCAGCATCCGTCACGACCGATGGACGCGCGGAGAAGGACTTACTCGTAGTTCGCAATGATGAACGTGCCCTTCCGGGACATGACCTCAACAGTACCGAAAGCGACATTTCACATGATCTCAAACCCGCCGAGAGCAACATCACCAACTCACATCTATCCACTACTCTTTCAACAACGACGACGGCAACCTCAGCCCTACGCGACAAAGTCCAATCGACCTCGGAGAAACTTCAGGATAAATTCCACATTCAACGGATCCGTGCAACTGGCCCTTTCAAATTCTTCTATCCAACCCGCGTCCTCATGGGCGTGAAATGGAAGGATGATCGGGACCCTGCCGGCTCGGGAATGGCTGATGGTTCCGATCTGGCATTACTGTGGCGTTCGCGAGATTCCCGCAAAGGTCGGAAGAATTCCATCGTGCTGCCCTCCCGATCAGCATCACTAGCCGTGCCAACCGCCGCCAGGACCATCCCCACGACTGACACCGCCACCGCTCCACCTTCACAAACCGCCCGACTCCCATCACCCATCGCACAGGTATGTAGAAATCTCTGGCGTATGTGCACGACATTCCCTTACTGGGATATGTCCTTCTGGGTAGCCTTCGGCTACACCCTGGGCTCCGCGGTCTTCGTGATCAACGGCTGTTTCGCATGGATCCCGCTGGGTTTCCCGGACGTCCCGACCTTCCCGGGACAAGCCAAATACGGCGTCGGCATCACCTCATGCATCGGCGTCTTGCTCTTCCAGATCGCCGCCTTCATCGCCTACCTCGAAGCGGTGAACGAGGGTTCCTTCGGCGGCTCTGTACTGCGGAGGTTTTTGGATGAGAGTGAGAACAACGACGAGGATCAGAAGGAAATGGTCGACGCCAAACTCCATCTCTTCCTCCACCATCTCAATCCCTCCCACCACCACCACCATCACCGCCATACCGCCGCCGCCGCCGTCGACCCCGAACTCGGCTGGAAGACCAAAGATCTCCCCGACGACCTTCCCGACCATGAAGATCCCGCTCCGCAACCCCGCCGCGACGCCTTCGACCTCGGGCCCTCCTCCATCGGATCCTCCACCCTCGAGTCCGGGAGCACCTACACCCTGCACCCCTTCCGCTTCCTCCCCACCTGGCACAACCTGGCGACGCACCACATCCACAGCATCGGCTTCCTCGCCTGCACCGTGCAGCTGATCGGCACCACCATCTTCGTCGTCACCGGCATCGTCGCGCTGCCGGGCATCCTGGAGAACCTGGTGCAGTGGCAGCTCAACGCGGCGTACTGGATCCCGCAGATCGTCGCCTCGGCCTTCTTCATCGCCGCCAGCCTGCTGTTCATGCTGGAGACGCAGGAGAAGTGGTGGCGGTTCGAGCCGGGCGTTCTGGGCTGGTGGATCGGCGCGTGGAGTCTGGTGGGCAGTTGTGGGTTCATGTGAGTTCTTTCCTTTCCTTCCCCTCCTCCCTTCCCCCTTTTCTCCCATCTTTTCTTTCGCCCGATCCTTTCCCGCTGACATTCGTCACAACAACACAGGTTATGCGGCGCCCTCGGCCCCGCCTATCTCAACCCCACCGCCGTCTACCACTCCTCGCTGTCCAGCCTATGGGGTTCGACGGCCTTTCTGATCAGTAGTCTCATCCAATGGTACGAGATGATCAAGAACAAGGTGAGTCTCTTCTTTCTCCCTTTCTTTCTTTCTTTCTTTCTCTCTTTCTCTCTTCCTTTCTTTCCTTTTCTCTCTCCTCCCCTCTCGTCATCTGCTCCCCCCATCCAAAGGACGTCGAATCCATCTGACCTCCCCTACAGTATCAAGTCGAGGAGCGCCACCCCGAGGGCGCCGAGGACGTCGGTTCCTGGCCTCTGCGGCCGCGTGTAGGATGACGGAGAGATTTATCATAGAAATTTAAATTAAAAGAAAAGAAATCCAACTTGATTTCTAATAAAGATCGAGAGGGAATCAGTAGATTCCTCTTCCGAAACAGAATAGAAAAGAGGTCCTCTGCGTGTCTCTGGTCGCTGCGTCGGTTGCAGATGTGCATGTGTGTAGGTATGGGTGCGGACGGAGATAGATATGTGTGTCCTCATTTCTCATGACGAGGACTATACAAGCGGGCGGAGGGGGGAGGGTTTCCTCTACGCCCCCCCCTCTCTCCTTTGATTACGGGACGAGAGAGGGAGGGAGGGAGGGAGGGAGAGAAAGGATTTCACGATTGGGAGGGAAGGAAGGAGAAGCCTCCCACGACGTTCGAAGAGTCGAAAATAGATAGATATTGACGGAGATGCATGATACAATACACGTACGACCCCTTTCCCTCATGGACCACTTCGAGGTTTTCTTCCATTCTCACCACAGCGACGACTGGGGGGTTTTTTCGCCCTCTTTCTGCCGCCTTGCACCGGGAAAAAACATCTCGGGACTTTTTTTCTTTTCTCATGATCGCTTTTTCTTTCTTCCTAGCTCCCTCCGCAGCTTTTTTTGTTTTCTATCTTCCTCTTCCCTTCCTCTCCTCTTTCTCGCATTCGCTGATCTCCGCGCTACGTCTCAGCGGACAAGAGGTGGGGCCGTTGGCGGACGAGAAAAAAAAAGAAAAGCGACAGCGGGGCGGAATGTCCGGAGTTTTTTTGGCAGGGAAGAATGGACTCCGCCTCTTTTCTACCTTCCCCGTACCTCATCTCCGGGATCGGAAATGCTGCAGATCGCATTGCCGTTTTGTTCGATAGGTGGGCGTTCAGCTCACCGGGCTCCAGGGCATGGGGACCATGATGCGGCTCTCCATGGTCTGGATCAGCGGGACGGTTTTGTGGACCTGGTAAGAAAGAAGAATCAAATAATCAGCCAAAGTTCATTTTCTTCTCCTCCTCCATTGTTCTTGTTCTCAACTTCACATGATCCATCTTGGAAAGAGATATGGACTAATGAGAGACCTGAGTGTGAAGGGAAGGGAAAGCAAGAAAAGGAAAAAAAAATGACGTACCGTATCCGCCCATCCGGAAACTCCCCAGCTCTGCTCGCGACCATTGCGACGTTCCTCGAGATCGGCGAATTGCCAGAGATGGTGGACGGTGTTGAGTTCACCGACCTGGACGAACCAGGCTGTAGGAATCCGAGTCAGCAAATCATCATTTCCCTCGCGACCGAACTAGGGTGGAAAGGGAGAGGAAAAAACATCCCTCCCCCGAGAAAAAGCAGAACGGATATCGCGACTCACCTCCAACACCCTCCATGACCTCCCTCCTCGCGGCGAGGCCCTTCTGCCAGTGCGTCTCCCACTCGAGGAGCGTTCCCGGGTTGAGTCGGTATGATCGCAATTCGAAGACGCCGCCGAGTTGGCGCGGAGGGGAGGTCGGCCAGAAGCGGAACTCCTGCATGAGCGAGGTGCGTTTGTTGCGGATGAGGGTCTTCAGTTTCTTGTCGAAGGCCGGGAAATCCGGGTGGGATTGGATGCTGTGCAGACTGGCGTGGTAGCCGGTGTAGCGTTGGTATTCCCAGATGTGCACTGTGTGGATGGAAATTGAATCGCTTGTGGTTAGCAAATTGGAATCTTTTGGGAGGAGCTGTGGACTGTGTGTGCTCTAAGGGGATAAACGATAATTGGGCGGGTTTTCCATACCGAATGTGTCGTTGTCGCCGACTTCCGTCCTCCAGCTTCCCACCAGGTTGACCTTGTTCTCGGGCATGCCGGCCATGCGCGGGTACCATTTGCTCACGAGCTCGACGTACTCGTCAACCTTGTCGGGGTAGACCTCGTGGAAGACGATGCTGTGGACGTATTTCCCTCGGGCGAGGGTCTGCGAGAAGGAACGCTCAATCTCGCGGTCCATCTCCCGGCCCTCTTCGGTGCCGTAGATGAGCGAACTGAGGCGGCCGACGGTGGAGTTGGGGGACGACTCGCTCGGCAAACCGCTGGCGGCATCCTTCTGACGCCCGGCCTCGCCTGTAGCAGTAGAAAGTGAGCCTAGACCCTGGGACAAAGCCTCGGACGCAGCGTTGACCACCGACGAAGTGGCGGTCGTCGCCGAAGATGTGGAAGCAGACGCAGCAGACTGACGCTCTTGTTCCTTCTTCTTCCTGTGCAACTCGGCGAGGTTGTCTCGGAACTGCTTCTGCTTCTCGGCGAAGGTGTGCGCCTGATCGGGAGCAATGTCGGAGAGCGACGGCGCTTTGCGTTGAGAAGCGGTGGTGGAGAGGGTGCGCGAGAGTGCGGCGGCGGAGGTGGATGCGGGAGTGACGACGGCCGAGTTGTTCGCGGGCAGAGAGGCCACGCGGGCGGCTACGCGTCGGGAGAACATGGCGGTGACGGACTGTCGCTGATGGACAGAGGCGATTTTCGAGCAGGGAAAGAAGCGTCGGGTTGCCAGCAGCAAGAGGGAGGATATGATAAGCTTGTTGTTATCGATAGGGCTGCTCGGTGGAGGTCCGTATGGGAGGGAGCGAGCTACAGTCAAGCTCTGATAGATCCCGAAGCGCCGTGTTTCCGACCCGTCGCGTATGTATGTGATATGCAGACAACGGCCCGATTGTTGAGAAGACGAAGGAGCTCAAACACGTGCAGACGGCGTCGAGGTCTGGATGGTGGAGGTACAGTGCAGTGCAGTAGAGCACAACCTCAAAGCGGTGCGGACGGGCGGACGGATATCGCGTCTGCTTTGGGAGAGCAGCTCGGTCGGTGGTGGTGGTGACAATCACCGAATCTGCAGGAGGATTCCCCGAGAGGAAGGATCAAGCTTGTCGGGCTGTCGAGCGGTGCGGTGCGGTGCGGTGCGGTGCGGTGAAGCTGCTGCTCGTTGTGGCAGTCAGGCGTTGGCGGTGGTAAATGTAACGGGTATACAAGAGAAGCCGATGTCGTTGGTGGTGGTGAGGAGTGTGTGAGTGTGTGATGGTGTTACAGACGATGATTGGTGAAGGTGCAGCACACAACAAGAAAGACAGCTGTTATGGGTAATAATAGTGGTGATGGTGGTGGTGGAGGAGAAGACAAAGAAGGAGAAAGAGCTCTCTCTGTCTCTCCGGAGTGTAAAGGTACCAGAGACGAGGTGCCGAGCTACAAGACGAGAGGGTCTACATACCGCGTGGGTGAAGATGGAAGGGGGAGAGAGAGAGAGAGACATACACACAAAGGAAGGGACGATGTCCTACCGTTCCTGCTGCCGGAATCGTGCCATCGTTTTCCCATCATTCTCTCATCTCTCTCCCTCCAGAATCGTCATTTCACACAGCCAACACCACCCCAGACAACAAGTTGCATCGTTGCGAGGGAGATCACGGGATCAAGAACGAGACGAGACGAGATGATGCCGTAGCGTCGACCGTCCTCGTCATGGCCGTTGTCTCCACATCATCATCGTCATCATCATCGCCGTTGAAATGGGATAAACAGAGAGAGGCGAATGGAGGAAGAGCGTGGTGCGTGTGCGACTATCGTGACCCGACGACTGTACAATCCATGGATATCTCCCATCTTCCCCGCATCACACCCCAGGCGGAAACACGGACGGCTTGGAACTCTATTCTCGGCTCCCAGGGCTGATCCTCCTCCATCGGGTCTAGATCCGTCAGTCGTGGGCTATGGCCTGGGAACAGAGAGAGAGAGAGAGTTCTTGGGTGATGTCATCATCCCCTTTCTCTGAGGTATGGATTATAACCCACGGAGGATTTTCACGATATCATGTCGACGGGTGACTACAGGTGGCGGTGCGGCGGTGATCGCCATGGGTCTACATCATGTCTTCTGGTGATATTACTCGGTAGGTGGATTCGCTCGTGTAGGAGGTTTTGCGTGTGGAGGAGTGCAGGACCACGATGTATTGGATAGCTTGGTCAGTTCCATGGCCGGCTTGGTGGTTACAGTCTAGCAATGTGATGTGGGTAGATTAATTGTGACAGCACCGTGGGCATGGCGACTCTCACTCCAACGATTGCCCGTCACTGTACTGCAGCGGGACGATTCACACCAGGAGAGCCGCAAGGCCAATAATGGATTTCCCTCCAATCTACGCACCGTCGCCTTGGTACAAACGATCGATCGCTCCCACTCCCCTGAGTGGAGGATCCAATCGTCCTCGTTGTGCAGAGACGCCGTATCGTACACGTCGGAGTTCATCCGGAACGTCGGCATTCCACCACAGCCTGCCTGACCGATGTAGGAATCACCATCCCCGATTCTGTCGCGGACCACGGACCGGCTTCTTGATGACCATCCACATCATGATACTCGTCGCGAGACTGAGCGAGAACCATGTGAAAATGTACCTGACGGGTGAAGGATGATGTTAGCAAACCGATTCATCCCGCAAAAGCAAACCGAAGCCTCTCCAGGGTCCCGCAGAAGCAGAAGAGATGCGATGTCTCGAAACTCACTGTGTATGATTGTTCCTCAGGTTCACCTCCGCCGCCCGTCCCAACGGCACGCCCTTCGCCTCGCGGTCATACGCCAGCAACAGATCCGACTTCATCGTCTCCTCGATCCACACCGCCTGGCTCCCCGTATGCCGCGCCATCTGCGCCACATCCGGGAAATACCACTTCCCATCCTCGGGCACGTTCTCCGGCGTGAACATGTTCTTCTTCCAGGGTTCGCGGAGCAGGCCTTGCACCACGACGTCCCCGGTCGGCAGGCCCTCCGGTCGGGATTCCCGCGAGGCCTTGTCCTTGGGGATCCAGCCGCGGTTGACGAGGATGGTCGTGCTGCCCCGATCCGCCCTCTCGCCCTTCTCGGACGGCTCATCGGTGCGCTCCAGTGGCGTGACCACCAGATACCCATCCTTGCCGTCGTGCAGCCGCGGCCCGATCAACATCTCCTGATCGTGCCGGAATTTCCCCTGCGCGTACACCCTGCGATAGTCGAACTCCTTGATCGCGTCCGGGTCGATGCGCGGCGGCAGGGGGAGCGGCTCCCGGATGAGCCGGTCCTCGAACTTGGCGATGAGCTCCGATTTCCACCCCAGCCGTTGCACCTGCCAGCAGCCCAGTCCGAAGGAGATGATCGGGATCGCGGCCAGGATCGAGAGCCCGAGGTAGTTGTGTTTCCGGCCCGAGCGGATCAGCACGGGCGGGTTGTCCACGATCGAGGTGAAGCCCGGTTCGTCGGCGGGATTGGTGCTCTGGTGACGCCGTTGCTGGGATGCCCTTCGTCGCGTTGAGCGGAGAGGGGAGGAGGAGGAGGAGAAGATATTCGATTTGGGAATCGGCTCGCGCAGGCATTGTGTGCATATATATGATTTGGTGGGATTTTTCGTGAGGAACTGTGTCGCCGTCGTGGTCTTGGGCATTGGCCGCCGCATTGCAGCACGCCAGGTATGTGATATCGATCGCTCCATGTTGACCCTGTGTATGTGTGTATTCTCCCTGAACGCCAACGAGCTTACCGGCGGCCTGATGCGAATGAGGGAGGTTCGAAGGATCCTTGGGACCCGATGCGATGATGAATGCGCGCGGTTGATGTCGGCGTCGTCGGCGAGCTCGGGAGTGTCTTTATGTCCGCGTCAAGTCCAACCAAAAGTGTGGGGCGCTTCTCATCAACTGCAGGCTTGCAGCCAGCCAGCCGGCGGCGGGCCTGCCTAGCGAGGTACAGTACAGTACATTGATGTCAGCTGCATTTCTTTCTACTGTACTATATACACCAGTTCGCCTCAGATCAATAACACTCTGCCTAGTAGGCTGCACTGCTCTTCCGAACACTACAACACTTGGAACACTCTAGCAAATAAGACCCAACAGCAGATCAGCCAGCTTGGAACACTCTACCAAAATCGACCGAGCAGCACATCAGCAAGCTCGCGCTGCAACCCCGACAATCATGTTCCACGATGGCGATCTGACCAGCGGAATCACCAAGGCTGTACAAGGCAACAAGCTCGTCGTATGCTTCGTCCGAGCGGAAGACGACGAAGCGAGTGATCTCTGGGAGAATGAATGGCTCAGCAAGCCGGTCGATGCCGAATCAACCACCACTTTCGGCCAACAACTCTCGACAAAGGCCGTCATTCTGCGATTACGGTACGGAACTCAAGAAGCAAACTTCCTCAATGCGTTTTGTCAAATCACAGAGCCGCCAACGCTGGTCGTCGTTCACAATGGCCAAGTGCTGGAGAAGGTAGAAGGAGACGTCACAAAGGAAGAATTTATTGCTCGGATAAGGAAAGCCACGAAAATGGGAGGTGAGACTTCTTGGTCATGGATACCGTCGACGACATCACAAGCTGCAGCACAGACTGTTCAGTCCTCGCCTGCAGCCTCAAGTTCATCGCAACAACCTGTTGAATCTTCATCAGCGGCCTCAAGTTCGTCACGGCAACCTCAATCACAATCACAACCCGGCATCCAAAATCTCTTCCCAGAGCGGGCACAGCAACACGCAGCTGAACAATCCCGTCGCGACGCCGCTCAGAAGGCCGAACGTGCCGCTGCACGAGAGAAACAGCTCGAGGAGGCAACTGCCGCCAACCCCGCTGCTGCCGCGGAAGCCCGTTCACGGAGAGATTGGCTCTTTCAACAGAAGAAGAGAAACGAAGAAGCCAAACGTGAGAAAGAGCGGGTTCTGGCACAGATCGAAGCGGACAAGCAGAACCGTAAAGCAAGGACGCAAGCGCAACGTGATGCTCGCCTACCGCCATCAAAATCAATCGACGATCCTTCCCAATCAACGACACCAAGCTCAAAACCAACTTCCTCGCCTCTCCACACAGCCTCCCAAGTCAGCCTCCAAATCCGCCTCTTCGACGGCAGCTCCATCAAATCCCGCTTTCCGCCCACCGCCACCCTCGCCGCCGACGTCCGCCAATGGATCTCCTCCACCGTCTCCACCACCGTCCAACCCACTGATACTCCCTACACCTTCCGCCAGATCCTCAGCCCGGCCCAACCCCGCGCCATCGGCGTCTCCGAAGAACACCAATCCCTCCGCGCCCTAGATCTCATCCCCAGCGCAACACTCGTCCTCGTCCCCGTGAGTGGATACGCCGATGCCTACGGCGGCGCAGCAGGAGGAGGCTATCTCGGCGCAGCATGGAACCTGGCCTCTGAACTCCTCGGTTCCGTCGCCGGGATCGTCCCCGGTCTCGGCGGACTCGCAGGTCCCGCCAGCACCGCCCCTCCCCCGCCCAGCGACGCCGCGGCGCCATCGTCACCCCTCGGCACCGCCTCCGCGGCCACCGCCGCCTCCGCGCGCCCCAAGGTGAAAACCCTCGCCGATCAACGCGCCGAGGAAGCTGCGGCCGAAACCCACGCCCGGACCGGCGCCGACCACGACGAGGAGAACCGCGGCGAGACGGAATTCTACAACGGGAATTCCCTCGGTTTCGAGGGCCGTCCTCGCAACGACGATGATGGTTCCCACCATCGTGACGATGAGGCGAAAGGCAGCACGAAGAGGAGGACCGGGAAAGGGAAGGACCGGGACGATTAAGGATTCTGTTTTTTTGTTCTTTTCCGATCGCGGAGGGTGGGTGTTCCGCTGCTGCTGAGTTCCGGTTTTGGCGTCCTTGAAAATGGATCTGTGGGTTCGGAGGAACGGTTTCAGCGGATTATGACGATGATGATAGGAATTCTAATGAAATCACGATAATGTCCCCCGAAAGTCTCTTTCACGACCTGGTCATCTGTTTCTCGAGATCTCACCGTGGAGCTCAAACCCACCGGGGAACGTAACATGGGAGTGGAGACATCATGGTGAAGGACTGGGTTTCAGGAACTTCCAAAATCAAATTGTTGGTTTCTGCTCTTGTGAAGGTGTCTAGTCAACCTTTCACCATTCCTATCCCGTTCCTTACTCTCATTCCCACTTTTGGAAAGAGATTCCGTCATGTTGTTCTGTTCGTCAAAAGAAAGGAAAACCCGCTATTCGCTAAGAAGAAGAAGAAGGGATCAAAGAACCGCGGCCTGAAGAGAAAGAGGAGAGAAGAGTGAAGAAGAACGGGGACGCCGAAGACCAAAAACCATGGACCTCGTCCAGCTCAGCTCAGCTCAAAGAAGGCCACATGTCCATCGCAAACTCCATAAACGCCGCCTCGCTCGCCGCATCCACGCTACACGACGGCGCCCAGGCCGGCCCTCCTGCGGTACCCGGTAAGGGGAAAGTCCCGGCGAAATCCTCGGGGTCGTCGAGGGTGGAGGCGTCGTGGGGTTCCTCGAGCGCGGAGATGGTGGCGTAGAGATCCTGCGTCGATGTTATCGTGGACGCCGAGGGCGCCGCGAAGTAATGTGTCGGCTGGGGCGCGGTGGAGGCCGCGGTGGTGGTGGTGGTGGTGGCGAAGTCGTCCTCGTGGTTGTTCCCGAGGGGATGCGAAGGTTGCGCTTGCCCCCCTCCTGCTTCGACGTCCTCGTTGCGGAAATCGTGCCATGCGAGGAGGGAGCTGAGATTGCTCGCCGGACCGCCCGGGGGCCCGGCTGCGGCTAGGGAGTCGTGCTCCGTCGCCGCCATCACCGCCCCGCACGTCTGCGCCGGATGCAAGGGGATCAGCTGTTCCAGCAGCGGCAGTTGCTCGATGGGCCGCTCGATGCGGTAGTTGCTCAGCCAGTGGAATCTCTTCATGAACTCCCCGGAGAGCTGGAATGTTCCGCTCTCCCCATTATCGCCTCCTCCCGGCGCGGCCGCGGCGCCGCGGACCCGGTGGAAGGCGTCGCGGAATTCGAACGGCCAGTCCCAGCGCACGGCGTTGACGAAGGCGATGCTGGTGCGGCCCGTGATCTCCAGGCCGCCGCGGTCGATGATCAGGTCGCGCACCTTCGGCCACACGTAGTAGTCCGCCAGGGAGTGGTGGCCCGGTGTGCGGCGCTGGTGCGGGGTCGGCCGCATGAACTGGGGGATCGGCCGGAGCGGTTGGTTGGTCGGGCGCATCTTGTGGAGGAGCACGTTCCGGAAGAGCCAGTGGTGGGCGATGCGCTCGAGGGGCCCGGCGCGGTACCAGAGGCCCTCGTCGAAGGCCCGCAGGAACCGCCAGACGATGTCGAAGTGGTGCAGGCGCTCGGCGGCGTCCCAGCCGTAGAGGATAGCGCGGATGAGGATGTCTTGGTCCGTGGTGGGGTTGCTGATGTGGCCGGTCGTGGCCGAAGGGTGGGCCTCGACCTGCTCGAGGACGCGGTTGAGTCGGTCGAAGTAGGTTGTGTCGTCGTCTTCGGAGCAGAGGAGGGATTCTCCGAGGAGGGTGAGGTTGCCGTGTGGTGAGGGAGTGGCGGGGTAGGCAACGGTGGGAGCGTTGTACGATGATGTGGAAGATGATGCATTATTGTTGTTTCCGCCGCTATTTGAATGCTGATGCCGGTCTCCATCATCTCTGATTATGGTCTCTGGACTTGAAGTATCGTGTGGGGAATCTCCTCGTCGGTTTGTTTGAGGGCTGGTCTCGGCTGATGTGTGGTCATGTTTGGATGCAGTGTTCGAGTCTCTGCTGTTGTCGTCTCCGTCTGTCCGTGTGAGGACCGATGCGTCCTGGATCAGCGATTTGATCTTTCCTACGAGGCCCTGAAGGGATTCGATCTCTTGTGATTGTTGTGTGGCATGTTGTGCGAGGTAATTGGCGCGAGCATCGCCACTCGTCTCGGTGAGGTCGGCAACGGTCTTTTCAAGGTGTGCAATATATGCCTTGGTCTTTGCTCGGCTGGCTCGTTGTGCTTCGCGGTCGTGAGCTCTTTTGCGTTCTATCCGACCCGTGGTAACGACGGCAGTGGACTTGGCCTCGCTATCTCTTCTTGATCGCTTCATTGTGGACGTGTGTGTGTATATTTGCGAATTTGTTGCTCTGAACCTGATCTGATCCTTGTAGATCCTTTCAAGTGGGTGTTGAGAGGTCAAAGTCCTGGGGTGTGAATAAAGGTGAATGGTCAGGTATGGTCGTGAGTGAGCAGAAATGATAATCAGGAAGCAAAGATCAGACGAGAGCGACTGAGGTGTTGTATTTGCGAAGACTGCATGTGATGGAGAGTACTGCGTATTGTCTGTCTGTCTTTCCGTCCATCGCCAGACACAATACAAATCTTAGGTACTGGCAAGGCACTATTACTCCAGTAAAGTCTATCCCCAGTAGTTCCGCCCAGAGTCAGATCGTGCGTTCAGTCATTCGTTCTCGTGTATGTTCCTCATGTCCCTTCTCGCACCATTCCACTGCCCCACAAAGCGCTATCTCTCTCCCGGGCCGGAGGTGACGAATGCGAGTGCGATGCAGGCAGATAGAGAGACAGACCGTACCACCAGTGAAGTGAAAGGTTTGGGATATGACGAAGTATCGATGGGACGCAAGACGTTGATCTGACTGTGCAAATTGTCCTGTCCATTTGTCTGCTGTACAAGACAAAATACATACATAAATTTGTGTACATGCAGCCTCGACCGGACCCCCGCAAAAGACTAAGCTCGATCCGCTCTAGCGCAAACCCTTTTTTGACGTGCCAATGCGAAGACGCTCATCTTGCGCTCCGCCTAGCTCAGTCACGTGCTGTGGACCGGCGCCAAGTCTTTCCGCCAACATCCCATCCGATAACTGACAGCCGTCTGTCTGTTAGCACATTGGCCAGAAACCACGAGAATCGATCCTTCTTCGTCCCCCAACATCGGAGCTTCGGGGACTGACTGAGCCCCGGGCACGTGCCGGGTACGAGTGCGATGCGAGCGAAGGAAGGAGCGACGCAGAGGAGATTCGCCCACAGGTCCCACACGGGCGACCGTCACGGTTCACCCTCCCACACACACACACACACACACAAGAGGAAAACTGCCAGAATCCCCACAAGGACCCAAAGCTACAGCTGCCATGCAATAGTCTTCCCGCCAAACCAACGTTTGCTGATGAGATTGATAATCCTCGTTCAGCCTCCTGGACTTGTTACTTCCGCCCTATGCCGCCTCGGGCAGAGTCTTTACGAGCCGCCCGGGCGCTGTGCGGATCACAGCAGCATTGTGCATACATCCATTGACGTAAAAACGGCTGCCTCTTGCTCAGCCGCGTCACTCCCAAGACTATCACGAGCGTCAATCATGGTTCTTCGCCGAACGGTCATTATGCATAAAAGTAGGTGTTGGTCAGTCTTTCATTTGAAGGAAGGAAGCTTAAATCAGTCCCGTCTCCTATCTGCAATTTCCAGGCAACAGGACACAGGACGCAGATTTTCAGATGTCCGACAAGAATGGTCGTTCTCGTTTAGATATCTGTTCCTCGAGATTCTTCAGCATCACCATCGTGAAGAGCGACTGCTCATCCAGTACGTATCTACTAGGTAGGTAGCTTCTCTCTCTCCCCACTGCTGATGATTTTCCACTCCAGGCGGAATGCCGTGTGGGCTTAGCTAAGTGCTCCCTCCCCTCTTTCAATTCACGGCAACACTTCCTTTTTGAGTTCCGTTCATCCGCTCGAAGGGGATGTAGAGAGCCGCACTCGCTCTCTGTTCAGGCTATATGTACTATATGTATGTACTACATGTACGATGACATGGCCTGGCTGATATCTGCACATCTGGTATGCTACTGCAGTCCATCTGCTTGATGTTCTCCGCAGTGGCTTTTGCTCGGCGTCTTGGGTGTTGTCTTACAAGCCAGACGCTGATGACGAGGAAGACGAGAACGAGTTGAGCGCTTACGTGAGCCGCAACTCATCGCATGTGAGCACGTTTTGTAGCACGAGAGAACGCTGTCGAGGAGATGTCGAGGAGATGTGCTCTCTCACGACCAGTGTCTTCCTCCACGCAGGTTAGGCGGGCCAACTTTGACGCTGCAGGTGTTCACGGGTTACTGGATGTGAAAACAACCCCATCTTTCGACCCTAACGCACGACTTTCCGCAATGGCGACATGATGGGCGATTCTTTCTACTGTCCGACGGTCACACGTCAATCCTGCCGTCGGTGCAAATTTGACATAGATATCTGCATGTAGGTGTGCTGTAATATGTTCAAGCGTTGTGAATGGCTCGTGGTTTGACAGAGGCCTCGTCAATTATCACTCAGCAAGGCGCCTGCACGCACGTCAGGCTCCACGCGGGGCGCTCTACCCGACCAACGATATCAGACAGCGAGTTGTGGTCTTCTCCATCTTGCACATTTACAGTCGAAGTTGCCCTTCAAAGTATCGTATCCTGTTCCCAAATGATGCCTTCGATTTGGCCCACATTCTGGGATTCGATTGAACCTTTCACATGTATGTACTCGGTGCCGATCACCATGGCTTTGGTTGCAATCGAATGTCTCACGTGCGAAACTCTATCTGCTGAGGTAGCTTTGCAACCATCGCCAGGGTTGACGATCCATAATATGTCAAGAGACTAGTGAACGCAGACATCTCCAATACACCTGACTACAACCCAAAAAAAAGAAACATGTCATAATACGCATTTCAGTGAAGGCTTGGAGACTTCGTAGACCGGAGATAATAATACTACATTCGCAGTCAACACAGAGAAATTGCTTGGTGCAAACCAACAGTCATCGCTCCAGGGCGAGAAATGCCGCCACGCCTTTCGCATCACAAGAGCCGCCTGGTGAGAGATATGACCTCCGATTCGCGCTATACACCAGACATACAAAGCTCGAAGATCACTCTTTGCTGACGATGGTCACGATCCGCTCATACATAGGGTTGCAATCGATGTAGAGCACGCAAGGTCAAGGTCAGTACATTTTCCTCCCTCGACCTCGGTGTCACGTGTGTATTCTTCACACCTGCTTCCGAATCAAATGAAACTTGTCGTGTGTTGGTGCTTGGGGAAAACCCTTCCAAAAACTCCAAATTGCTGACCATGAACTCCGACCCAGTGCGATGAGGTTCACCCGCGGTGTGGCGCGTGTGCTCGGCATGCCGTGTCGTGCGAATATCCACCGTTTCCGGCCCGATCACTGCCGGATACCTCCTCCCGGGTGAAGCACAAGAGAACAGCCGACCAAGATCAACCTATGCTCGACGTCGGCAATTGTCCTCCAATTGACTATCGGAATGGTCAGAGCCCAGCCAAGTTCGTGGATGCCCGAAATGAGATGCTGGAATTACAGCTCATGCATGAAGTATGCTGTCATATTCCCTTTCCGCTCATTCAACATGGTCATCGGTGTCATCTCCTTTCATTCACTTGAGATTCTGCCGTATGGCTGAAGACATGAACACTGACACGGAATCTATCTAGTGGGTAGCATATGTCTGCGAGTCAATATGCACGACTTGGCGCTTCTGGAGATATCAAGCACCGGTCTTAGCGTTCAAACATCGTCCCTTTCTCGACGCAATGCTGGCTCTCTCAGCCTTATATGCGTCTCGGCAAATGCCACGACATTGGGTTACCGTCGAAGGGCGAATGGTCTCTATCGACGACGGTCGAATCAACAGCATGCCTCTTCCAGACAGCGCTCTGAAAGCCGGCGAGGAGTGGAAAGGGGTTAGCGACAACCCCGAATATTACTCAGCCTCAACGAGATCGCCATCCCGCCATGGAGACCACGAACGCGACCTCGGCACATTCGACAGCGCGTACATGCTGCATGTTTCTCGCGTCTATTTCGACCGCGCTCTCGAGGCGCAAAGTCAAGCCGTGCTGACCCTACGACCGGAGAATGTCCGCGCGACCTTCATGTGCTCGGTGCTGGTCTCATACTATGCGCTATTCACGCTCAGCGAGGATGACTTGCCCGCTCCACCCTCACCGTCGGCACCGCCACCATCGGAACCATCCCCAGCGGCCTCAATGTCACCACGCTCAGCGACGACCGCCTCCAACCATCACCCATCCATCGCTCCATCCACCCCTTCCCACCCCGACCTCCCTCCCGCCTACGATGCCATTCAATGGTTCCGGCTGACCCACGGCACCGGCGTCATCGTCCAACAATGGATGCAATTCCCGAACGGCAGCGAATGGTTCGAGGACGCCGGCGCCATGTATGGGCCCCCAGACCTCACCGATCTCGCCGCCATCTTCGCCCCACAGAACCGGAAGCCCTTCGCCTACCTGCTCTCCCCCATCGACGGCGCCTCCTCCGGCGGCGGCTCCAGCGGAGGCATCGCCGAAGATCTCCTCCTCCCGCCATCCTCCACCAACTCCACCGTGCCCCCCACCGCGACCATCCTCTCCGCCTACGAATCCGCCCTCTCCTACATCGGCAGCATCTACACCAATCTCCCCCTCGCCGGCGGCAAGGACACCCCGCTCGCCACGTGTCGCCGCATCATGGCGTTGCCGTCGTGTCTCACGGGCACGCATTTCCCCGGGCTGGTCATCGATGATCGCGCGCCGCGGGCGTTGGCCATGCTGGCGCATGTTTTCGCCATGATGAAATTGGTGGATGATCGCGTGCCGTGGCTCAAGGGGATTGCGGATCGGCAGGTCCCTATGCTCTGCGCGATGTTGCCGGATACGCCCGGCTGGAGGGAGATGGTGAGGTGGCCGATGGCGGTCGTCAGGGGCGAGGGAGGGGGCTTGATGGGCAGCTCATGATAGGTCTGAAACTAGTGGGAAAGGATGTATAGACGCGAAAGACGATTATTGTTGTCCCATTGATGAAATGGTATGATGTTTCATTTTCTCCCGACAAAGGGGACTTTCTATCTATACAACAACAACAAAATGCTCCTCACTCCTCCCACGCTCGTCAAGCAAAATCAAATCAAGCCTTGATCCACTCCCCACTCCACTTCTTCACCGCCTTCATGAACTTGAAGAACCCCACATTAAACTCCTCGTGGCCATACTTCTTGTCCACAATCCTCTCGGGAAACGCGATCCCCGCGCCAAACAACCCGGGAATCACATCCTTCTTCTCCCCGCCACGGAAGAAGACCCCCTTGTCATGATCGAACACCGGCGTGACGACTTCTCCCCCCTCGCCTTGCTGCGTAGCAACCTTCACCGTCGGAATCGGATTCCTCTGATACCCGATCGCTTGAATCACAAACTGACAAGCCGGCAAGTGTTCCGCATACACACTCTCCTCATCTCCCTTCTGGTACGCGATTTTCTCGAGGACGCTTCCCACCGGCGACTTCTCCAGATTTCCCGGCTCGAGGTTCTCCTTCGCCCAGACGGCGGCCGCGCCTTTCAGACCGGTGTTGTCCCGCGCGATGACGGCGCCCGCGGAGTCGTATTCCGCGTAACGCAAGGGATGCCGCGTGAACCAGAGGATCTTCAGGTCGGGTTTGCTGCTCAGCGCGATTTGGCTGAGGTTCATCAGCACGAGCACCGCGCTGTGCGAGGCGCCGATCACGCCGATGGTGGTCGGGCCTAGGGGGAGTAGGGTCTGTGAGAGGCGCGTGGGGGAGAGGGAGACGTCGAGGTCGAGCGAGGTGATGTGCGAAAGGGAGGCGGGGAGAGGGGGGTTGAGAGGCGTAGAGCCAGTACAGAGGACGAGACGGCGGGAGGTTACGGTGTCTTTCCCGTCGGATGAATCGAGGGCGACGGTCCAGAGGGATGATTCCTCGTCGAGGCGGGCTTCTTGCACCACGCCCTGGCTGGATTCCACACCGGGAGTTTTCCGTAGGCCCTCCGTGAGCATGACGCACATGTCCGCCGCATTGCCCAGCTGGCAGCCACTCTCCTGATTCAAGTCCCGCAGCGACTGGAGTTGATCTGGGCGCTGCTCGAGCGCTTCACCATCGCTCGCGCTCGGTTCCGCCCAGCGGTCCCGTGAAGGCAGGTTGCTCACGATCTTGCGGAAGGGAGTCGTCGCCAACGCGAAGTCGACGAAGAGCTTTACTTTCGTGTTGGAGGGTACTTCGCGGTAGTATTTGCTCACGCGACCGCCATCGAAGGCGTCGTCGACCCAGAGGATTGGGGCGATGCGGTTTTCGAGAAGATTGCCTACGGCTGTGACACCCGCAGGACCGGCGCCGACAACGACTGCTTCAAATTGGGGACTACTGGTCGACGCGGGAGTGTCGCCGACCGTGGCTAGAGTCCGCTTGCTCAGGGTGTTCATTGCAACTGGAGACATGATTCGTGGAATCCGGAGTAAGGTATTGCTCGAGCGTAGAGGATGAACCGACGCCGATGACAGACATCTCGTAGATTTATCAGCGGAGCCATGAAATCTCCTGGCATGGCCCACATGATTGCTGTATCGTGATGGGGATGTGAGCGATGAGCTCGGTTTAAGATGTCTGGCGACACCCTCGTTAAGCCGAGATGGGCTTCGAAGAGATGCGGTCAAAACGTCGCCCGCATGACCGATCCGCGCGGCGCGCACGAACGGCGATGACATTGCGTTACTATTTCGCAACCAAATTTGTACTTGCGGATTTGCTCAGCTGGTGGTTTGTTCCTGCCTTGCTCGATTTCACAAGGAAGAGGTGCGTATGATCCGAGCACAAGTTCGGACCAAAGGCCGTCTTGAATGTGGCTTCTGGCACAATGGGATCGCGGATTGAATCGTACCCAATGCTGTAATCAACGCTGCTGAATTTCTCGAGTTCTGTCTTTGAAAGATCCAGAGAATGAATAGCCGATCCCAGGGACAAATGCTCGAGTGTTTCTTTTGAGTTTGCGGCTCCGCCAGGCGAAAAAAGTTCCCTTGATAGGGCGTGAAAATGCCAATGAGGGTATCGCCACCACCACCACAATGCGGCAATGCTTTGCGATATATGAAGATGCAGAAATTACGCAGATGCCAGGAATCTCAGTATAGGAGAAACAATAGCAGTATTGTTCACAATGAGTGGGAAAAACGTCGGTTGAAGTCGCGTGTGAAAATCTGTTCGATCCAAACAAGAGAAATGTAATGTATGAATCATGTCCCCAGTACACATGGAAAAACGAAAGTCTAGATGAATCCCGCCGCCGATCACGCCATCCCCACGCGAAGAGCAGATGCGCCAAAGCGGCGACTTTATATGTAATCATCATCAAGCATAGAATAATTATGATTGAACGAATGAATGATATTAATGAAAAGTGAAAGATTGATGTACGGTGGTAGAATTAAGAGTATCATTATCGTTAATTATGATATATAGGTAGGACTTGCAGTCATGCGTAATGCTAATATCAAAAAGCCATGCAATGGAACAACTCCCAGGTTCATGCCAGTTCATGCGACCCAAACAATGCATATATCTATATGCACACACGCACGCCTTCGTTCTCATCAAATTCATCATGTTCCCCACAGCCGACTCCTGCTCATGTCGGTTTTTTCGGATGATTATGGCAAATTAGAAATTCGACATTTTACAAGAAAAATGCCCACATTCCGAACGCGACAGCCACAACACCGCTCGCGACACCCGACGCAGGAACAGCGCCACCAGTGGATGGAGTCACGGTGTAGCCAGAGGGCGTGGGTGAGGATCGGCTGCCGCCCGCGATTCCGGACGAGGTGCTGTTCTTGCTGCTTGTGGAGGGCTTGAAGCCGTTGCAGAAGCCATTGTTGCAGGTGTTGTAGGCGCACTGCGAGTCCTTGGAGCAGGAGGCTTGGAAGTTGCCACATCGAGGGATGAGGCCCGAGTTGGTGGCGTAGCAGTTGGCCCCGTTGGCGCATTGAGTTGAGTTGGAACAGGTTGCGCCGAGAGCAAGAGAACCTGCAGCGGCGGTGACGGTGGGGATCGGAGGAGTGTATTGCGAGGTCACAGTGCTCGTGGCAGCAGCGGCGGCGACGGGAGTGGTCAGGGTTGCGGAAGCAGTGCTGGTGAGAGCAGTGGTTGGCTTGAAGCCGACGCAGACGCCTCCGTTGCATGGGTTGAACGCGCACTGGGAGTCGTCTTTGCAGGTCGCCTGGAAGTTTCCGCAGCGCTTCATCAGCATGAAGTTCGAGGCCCAGCATTCTGCTCCGTTACTGCACTCCTCTGATGAAGAGCAGCTCGCGCCGAGAGGGAGGCTGCCCGCAGCGGCAGTGGAGGTCGCCGATGTCGCGCTTGAAGCAGCAGTAGTAGTCGTTGCCTTGAAGCCATTGCAGAAACCTTGGTTGCATGTGTTGAAAGCACATTGCGAATCATCCTTGCAGACGGCCTGGAAGTTGCCACAGGCACGGATGAGACCCGAGTTGGTAGAGTAGCAGCTCGCACCGTTGCTGCACTGCTCATCGGAAGAGCACGTAGCACCCAGAGGTAGGGAGCCGACAGCAGCAGTGACCGTAGGGATCGGAGGTGTGTATTGCGTGGTGGAAGATGAGGAAGTGGTGGTCGCCTTGAAGCCGTTGCACAAGCCTTGCGCCAGGTTGCAGGTGTTGTAAGCGCACTGCGAGTCATCCTTGCAGCTTGCTTGGAAATTTCCACAACGCCTGTAGAGGCCGGAGTTGGTAGAGTAGCAATCGGCACCGTTCGCGCATTGCTCGCTAGTGGAGCAGGTGGCGCCGAGGGGCAGGGAACCGGCAGCAGCAGTGACCGTGGGAATGGGAGGAGTGTACTGCGAGGTAGTCTGGGCACAGACAATGGCAGCGCCGGCCAGGATCATCAATGAGGTCTTCATGATGGCTGTAGGGTAGGAGGTCGAGCTCGTTGATGTCCGTCTGATGTTCTGAGCGATGACCAGAGATGAGAGATGTGGATCCTTCGAACTTGTGATGAGGTTGAATGAAGATATCAATCACAGACGAAGAGGAGGATAAAGCCGAGTTTTATGTCCACGGTCGTGATCGGATGTCGCAGTCGCACGGTGCAGAGAATAGGGCGAGTACGTCAGGCATTGCGTAGCGTTCTCGTATTCCCCGGCAGCCGGCGTGACAAGTGAGGAGCAGAGTATCGTAATAGTGTCTTGCTAGATCGGCCAGACCCGTGGATGGTCGCGAGTTTGCCGCGCTTTTGCTATATTTATCCCCAGTGTAGTCTTGTAACTTGGCGTGCTGCTACCGTACTGCTGGAGCACTACTACAGTATTATTGTATTGTCTTGTAACGTCAAAGTTACAGTAAGGTATTATGGTCGTAGCGGCAGAATGGTCCGGGTCGCTTGGCTGCAGGTACGTAACGTTACGGCAGGCTAGCGATGAAGTGAGGTCATGGTCTGCCAAATTCTGCCCGAGACCCTTTCAAATTGCCGAGAAAATTGGGCGCAGCCTCCCGCAGACGGCATAGCACGGCAATTGCCCATTTAGGCGATGGCCGAGAGCCCAGCAGCCGACGACGAATACCAATGACTTCTTATTATAGAATTTTGAAGTGATCCAATTCAACCTCATCTCATAAGAACCGCCTGTTGTAATCGCGGGGTCCACCGAAATGCCAGGTAAATGCCAGGAAACCAGCTACGCATCGCAAACAACGATGGAACGACATTGTGCGATTTACAGAAATGGATGAACTCGTGCCTACGACGGCAAACCTCTAGATATGGTTTCGGGAAGATACTCGTAGAACGATCGATAATTATCGGACTCTTCATGAAGAGGCCCCCTTGAGGAGAAAGAGATCAAATATGCACGATTGCCATACGAGAAATGACATCCGTGGAAAATCATACTCGTGAACATTTTCATTTCCTCCATCATCTCGCTCATCTATACCCCTAACTCGCTCATCTTCGCTCTCCTCCTTCCCCTCTTCCTCTTCAACTCCCTCACCAGAACCACCTCCTACTCATCTCCTTCCCGATCCTCCTCTCACTCTCAACCTCCGCCCTCGGCCCCACAAACCCCAACAAAACATCCTCACCAGCACCAGAGAACGTCCTCCCGCCCTTCTTCCCGATCCGAAAATCCAAATCGAAAATCCCGCCGACCTCCGCTCCCAGCGAAAAGCTCGCTCGGACAAGCACCCCGCCCTCTCTACCCTTGGCCTCCTCGCTCAAGAGCGGCGCCAAAAACCCCAAAACCCTCCTCGCCAGCGCCTCAGGTTTGAATTTCATCTCCAACTCCCTCGCCCAGCCGGACAAGGCCTCGCCGTCATCGTCCGCACCAGACGGGACACAGACCAGCGCTGTGGAATTCGGATCCCGCATGTTCCGCCAATAGGCGAGGACGTCGTCGTCGTTGTTCGCGTGATCTTCGAAGAGTGTATGCAGCCAGAACGAGGACGTCAGGGCCCGGAGATTGTGGAAGAAGCGTAGCGCGGAGAAGAAATCCGGGGTCGAGGGCGTCGGCGCGAGGAGGATGGGTGCGCCGCGGTAGCCGCAGAACTTGAGTTCCGTGACGGTGCTGCTGTGGTGTGACGCGAGGGTGTAGAGTAAAGGTGGCTGGTTGGACCAGCCGTAGACAGGCGTGGGGTAGGCGGCTGTGTTTGAATGTGATGGTTTCGGTAGCTCCATGGTGGTGTATCTCCGGAAGAGGGGGGTATCTTCGCCTTCGAGGCCCATGATGTCGTTCAGGTCGTCGACGATTCGGGGATCTTCGATGTCCTCGCCGTTTTCACCCCATGTATTGCCGAGGGGGTGCGAGCTGCCGATCAGGACGACTTTTTGAACAGGGCTGGCATGTAAGGCACGCAGGATTTCCCGGCGGACATCGCGCGGGATGCCGCCTTCGATCTTGATGCTGGATATTTGTGTCATTTGGCTGGCGAACTCGGCGACGAATCGGCGGCAGGAAATGATATCGGCTAGAATGACATGTTAGAAACCAGTCTTTTGGACCCAAAATGCATCCAGAATCAACTCACCTTGCCCTCGCCGATCTTGTTCGATCGATGCGGAATCGCCGTGATAGTCATACATCGCATCGACCCTCAAATCCGTCAACGCCCTCGCCAGATTGGCAATGACCGCATCCACTCGCGCCTTCGTCGTAGGGTCGACCGAAGAAGAAAAGAACTGCTGCAAGGGCCAACCCAAACATTGCAATCTCGAATGAGCCTCCAAGAACAGTAATCCAATGTGATCATCCAATTCCTCGATGATGCCCCCGGAATCGGGATGAGGATGCATGCCGCTCAGACTGGTTCTCCAGCGGTCGAAGAGGTAGAGTCCTTGGGGGAGGAGCGTATCGGCGGCGATTGCGTTGCGGAATTGTAAGGCCCGGAGATGCGGGAAACGCAAACGGAAGAAGTCCCGGTAGAACAAGGCACGATTGACGGCGACGGCCGGATGGTTGAAGGGTCGCTCGACGGTCAGCAGCCAGTCCAGGTTCACAGAGGTAAGGGTGGCGCTGCAGCTTTGTAGCATTAGGATGGTGGCCTGAGCCGAAGGTATCCGCTCTCGTTGCATCCGCTTCCAGGCGCTGGGGATGGGGGTCAGTATCGGGAGGCGAAGACGGGAGGAGAACTCTGCGATCTATCGATTCTCTTTGGGGCCCAACTTACGGTGAAGCCTTACACGTCTTCAAATCCTCCGGATCAAGCCAGTTCCCGCGATACGCGAGCAGCGCCCGCTCCTTATGCGGCAAGCTCGCCGCCTGCACTAACTTCGGAATCGCAAAATCCCTCCCCAAAGCCTCGAAGATGAGATCATCCATGAGATGAACCTTCGCATAGAACCCCTCAAGTGACTGTCCCGAGAGTGCTTCCGAAGCTCCAGCCCCCGGAGGATTGATGAGCATCTGCTGCGCCTGCTGTAGACGGAGCACGTGGTCTTCACCGGGTCCGCTCTCGGCGATCGTGTGGCTGATGTCGGTGATGTAACTCGATCCCGCCCCATCGGGGAGCTGGCGGTGTGTCCCATCGCGGGAGAACACGACGTGGTCGCTTGGCAGGTATTGATCGAAGGGCACGCCGCAGTGCATCGGTAGTCGACGGAAGCGTATGCTTTGTAGACCGTCGAACCTGAGCTTCAGCGGTAAGCCGTAGGGATGATGGTTCAAATCGGGGTTCAGCCCGGCGCTGATACGGCAGTATTCTAGCCATAGTCGTCGGACGGGGACGATCTCTGGGACGCTAGATCTTCGCACGTCGAAGAAGCATCGGAGCAGGGCGTCGGTCAGGGTGGGATGGCCGAGGATGATGCGGAGTGTGTGGACTTGCGTCATCTCCCTGGCAGCCAGTTGTGCTAGTTTGATGGTCCGAGGATCTGTCGAGAGCGTCTGGGAGGAGAACGGGAACCGGGGAAGAAACTCGAATATTGGGGGAGGTGGTAGATGACATCGATGTGTGAGGACATGGATCGAGGTCGCGATACGTTTATTTCTGTCGAGGTCAGATTCGGATTACTCTCCGTCCTTGTCATTTTTTGGCTTTGCGTCGCTTCACCACTTACGCCAGGATTATCAACAGCTTCGCGATGAGCGGCGTATCGTCGTGCTCATCGTCGAGCGTATTTTCCTCGCTCCCCTCTGCATCATCCTCGACCGTCCGACCGTTTTCATCGTGCCGTCGTGGCCGCCGCCTCGTACTCCGGCAATCGACCAATTCCACTTCTCGCCAGATCAAAGGAGTAGCAACTTCGTAGCAATATCGATTCACGAGATTGACGCCCAACAGGTCCTTTTGTGGCAAATAGGAGATGACGCTGTGAATTAGTTCTTCCGGTAATTCCAGGAGATGCATGATTGAGCGTAGAACAGTAGGATTCGTAATGATAGAACGGAGACAGGCGAGGATCTTGATAATTTATCGCCTCATATGCAGTCATAAGAATTCTTGAATGATATGCGGGTTTCGGCGGCATGCATCGTTCGCTCTTCGTTGCGGATTTGGCGGAAATGTACTGTATTCCAATGCTGTCGAAACAAGTATCCACGCGATGATGGTTCGAATTGAAACGGTTCCGTCGTAGTCATCAATCTAGTTGATTGGTCTCATGTGCGGGAGAAGAACAGTTCGTAACATAATTATCTTCTTTTGAGAGACTATCGAGAGGATCGCGATTTCCAATCCATGGAAGCATCATCAGTCTGCCCTTCAGCGTGGTCATCATCCGCCTCACCAAGCCAGCCCAGCGCGAAATGCGTGGCGGAGCGCGCCCCACCTCATGTCGTTCTCGATGTATACATACAGCACACTAGAGAAACACGATATATCATCGATCATATAAACAAGAGTTGGAATAACTCTCCCAAGGCGATCAAGATGAACGTTGAAACAACTGTCAGAAAAGGTGAAGGACACAACCCAAACAGATTTGGACGACGTCTCACTGTGATTATTGCTGCCATGTGTGTATGTATATATGCCGCCGTCCCGAAACCTCCCCAGTGATAAGTAGCGACAAAGATCAACGAATCATCAACGACGACAATATCTTAAAAAGGGGGCGCATGCCACACACACAACCGCACGTTCTCCGCAGAGAAATGCAAAAAGAAAAAAAAACCCCCTGCAAGCGCAAAACAACAAAGTCCAACAAGGCGAGACAAGAACAGGCTAGCTCCTCTCCCATTCCCGTTTCCCAGCGAAGGAAGACAAAAACTCCATCCGGACGCCAGTGAAATGCACGAGAGCGCGTGCGCGAAAGGAAAGAAAAAGAAAAAAAGTCCCTCAAAAAGAAAAACCAAGCGACCGAATAACACAGCTACCACTCCTCCACAACACTGCTCCGGCCACCTTCCTCCCCGAAAGCGCCCAGTCCACTGTTGATCCCACCCAGGCCTCCCGCCGCCCTCGCCGCCGCCGCAAGACGGACGGCCTCACTATCGCCCTCGATCTCGGGGGCGTCGAGTTTGAAGAGGTTGACGTGGCCGTCGTTGACCGCGCCACACGCGAGCATCATGCGATGCGGGTGGAACGCAGTGGCGGTGATGGGTGCGATGCGAGGGCGGGTGTCGAGGCGGAGGTAGTTCATGTAAGGGCTGCTGGGCTCGAAACTGCTGATTTGTTTGAGGGTGGAGGTGTTGAGGACGCGGATGGTATGGTCCTTCCCGCCGAGGGCGAGGACGGGGGCGTGTTCGTGGACGGAGAGGGTGCGAAGGGAGCGGGCGGTGGAAAGGTTGCCGCCGGCGGTGGAGGGTGGCGGGTTGTGGCTGTGGACGGCGCGGCGCATGCGGATGTCCCAGAGGCGGATACCGCCGTTGGATTCGGCCGAGATGAGTTCGCGGAGGCCGCCGCGCTGGAGGTGCACGCCGACGATCCAGGAGCGGTGGTGGTCGGCGCGGCGGTCGGTCCAGTCCATGATCATGGAGTCGTGGGCGCGGAGGCGTTGGTCGTAGACGCGCACGCCGCCGTTGCCGAAGCCCGCGACGAAGACGTGGCCTTCGACTTGGTCCGAGGTCAGTGAAGTGATGCAGGAGGAAGAGCGGGCGGGGATGTCGGTGACGCAGAGTTCTTGGCCGGCTTGCCAGACGCGGATGACGCGGTCGTCGCCGGCCACGAGGACTTTGCCTTGGCCTTGCTGCCAGTCGAAGACCAGGCCGGCGCTTTGCTTGTCGCTGGGGAGGAGTTCGCTTAATGCGCGGAAGCTGGAGACGAGTTCGATGTTCTTAGGATCGTCGTAATGGCGGTAGATTTTGATGACGCCGTCGCTGGATCCGGTCATGAGCATTGCGATGTCGTCCTCGTTGATGAAACGCATGTCGGTGACACGGCTGCCTGGGGGGTTGGCATTGCTGAAGCGTGTCAATTGCTCGGCCTTCTCCCAGTCCCACACGGCTATACTGTCGCGGTCATCGCTTGTGACTAGATGGCTTTCGAATTGGTGGAACACCATCTTGACCGGCGCGGCTCCGATTCCAAAGTAGCCGCCCTGGACGTCCCAGCGTTGACTACCCGCCGCTTCTTTCATCGGTTGCGTGCATGCGATGATCTTGTCGTTGCGGTTTCTGCGCCATAACCTCTCATTGTAGTCCTTTGAACCGGGTTCATCCGACTCTGTCGCACGCATCTGAGGCTCGCGGAAGTACGATGCCGACCAGTCGAAGAAATTCGACACGAGGGGCAATTTGGGAGCTTCAGACGTGTCACGCGGCTTAAAGCGAGGCGTAGGCGGGATCATCGCCGGGCCCTGGTGAGGTGGACCAGCAATATTATCAAGCGCGTCCGGAGGCAGTTCAGCTGGCAAAACAGTGGAATCGCCCGGTGTGAGTGGCCGTGAACGGTATTCAATCTTGTCGCCCACGACCGAGCCTCTTCGACTTGTGGGTGATGGAGGCGTGGAGGACTCGGCAGGTGTCTTTGGACCCCATCCTATCAGACTCTTCATGGCAGCCGCAACACTGGCCGTGCGTGACAGACCAAAGTAATCACCGCCTTTAGATGCGGTCGAGGGTGCAGGGCTCGGCGGTGTCTCGGGTCGATATTCGCGGGCTCGCAGCGTTCGCGCGACGGGCTCGTTGCTCGTCGTCGATGGTGCATCCTTGTTGTTCATATGACCGAGGTCTTCTAATACTGATTCCGCATGAGGGCCCAGAGGAGAAGTCAGCAGGGCATGGAAAACGTAATCCACGATGATGCTCGCGTTCCGCGCGACTTCGGGGTGCGGATCAGTTGACAAACTCAAAGTATTCCTCCAGACCGCGCGGTAGATTGTGCCGCGCGAGGTCTGGGTGTTGGTCTCTCGTAGCATGTTCCGAGCCGCACGAGCGGATGACTTCTCAGTAGGAGTCGGCAGAGAGCCACCGCCGCCTAGAGAATTATGACCGTCCATGAGCACGAAATCATCCGGGTCCACACTCTTGCCCACTTTCTTGTCCAATTCCTCTAAAAGCTGATCCCAAGCTGCAACGATGAATTTCTTGGGATGCCGTAGGACGTATTCCGAGTAGAAGACGGTCAACTCCTTGCGCACCACGATCGACCCGTCCATACCCATCGTCAAGATTACGCTGACAAGGATCTCCTCCTCACGACGGATGTCGCTTTCCTTGGCGTTGATGGCATCTTCTGAAGTGGCCACATAGCTGGTTAAGGCATGGAGACATGCTGCGCGCACTTCCGGCACAGGATCATGACTTCGATCGCCAATGCGAGAATGGGCAGAGTGGTGGTACATGGCCGCCTTGGCCTGAGGGTGGTCGCGACAGAGATTCGACAGACACAAAAGACTGAACTGGCGAAGGAGAGGGTTTTCTATGTCATCGAGATGGAGGAGACAATTCTCGATGAGCTCCGGGTTGCCCTCCAGGGCAGCAGCCTTTCCCGGTCGGAAATCCTTGCACAACATAGCGATGACGAATGTGCACATGGCACGGTGCTCGGCGACATTGCCTTGAGGAATCCCCGTGGAAGAAACCAGGATGCTGGTAAAGTACATATAACCTTGATCCTTGAGCAGATCAGCTTGACAGGTCTGATCGACGGCGAGGATGCGGGCCCAGATGTACACCATGGGCGCCTTGAGCTCGAGCGCTTGTGACTGTAAGAGCTTGACGACATAAGGAAAGATGCCGATGCTGAGAGCGAGGTTGACGGCCCATGGGCCGAGATCGAGGAATTTAGATAATAGTACAAGTGCGCGTAGGCGATGAACTTGAGACAAGAGGACTTGGAGGACGATGGGCAGCTGTTCAGGTGGTTTCTGGTAGCCGAGAGCGGCCGGGTTACTCGGCGACGATGTGAGGTAGACTTCAAATGCCGAGAGCTGGTCGGCGAAGAAATCGGAATGAGTGTATTGCAGCTCTGGAAGTTGTGCTGATTGACTACCCGCGTTGGCTTCTGCCAAGGCGTCGAGCATGGCTTGCTGCTCGAGCAATTTCGGCAGTTGAGCCAAGATCAGCTCTACAGCGAGATCCCAGCTTTTCCACAGCGGATGATCATGCGTGTCAGGTATCCGTGGGTGTGATTGAGGATGACAGTGATACTTCCGCATGATGCGCTGAGCGAGCAGGAAATTCCGGAACAAGGCTGCGACCATTAGATCTTGTCGGAAAAGCTTCTTGAAGAGGGGCTTCTCCAAGCAGTTCCAGGCGATAGTATCTGTAATGGCCGTGAAGATCCAATTCAGCTCACCCAACGGCGTCCTCCGCTCGCTGACCTTGCCGGGGATTTTCCGGGCTTGTTCGAGGGTGATGTCGGATGTGGGAGGAATGGGATTCTGGAGCATGAAGAACCGTACCGCCATGTTGATGGGAGTGGTCAAGCATGAGGTAAAGATGTCTGCGGGAAGTTGTGGGTTCGTCGGGAGGACTTCGTTGTCGCGACAAGCCGCGAGGTGGATGCAGTCCTCCCATCGGATCAACGGTGGCTGTTGTGTCCGACCCGACTCACGCTGAAGAGTTTCTTGTTGTTTGAGACTGTGCTTCTGAGCCGCCTCGAGGAATCCGCCGATGATGCCGCCTGCCGCTGAACAATCCCACACCCACAAGCCTGGCGCACCGATCCACTCCTGTAAATCATACAAGCTGATCGGAATGTATTGTGTATAGTTGCGATTGAAACACCACACTTCTCCGCTTTGAGTCGGTTTGGGAACACCATGTCCGTTGTAGTGAAAGAGAAGCCGCTCCGAGTGTGCGGCTTTCCGCAAGGTGGTCGTGTATCTCTTCAACTCGTCCGTGGTGGGATCCAGGACCACTTTGTATCGCGTGCGTAAGGAGAGGTTCTCATACTGTGTCTGGAGATTCTTTCCGATGAGGGTATTGGAATTGTTCGGGTGCTGACTGGTGCCTTCGGTGGGTTTGGGGTCCACCCAGCACTCCAGCCTCGCGCAAGGATCGGTCTTGATGACATCGGGAGGATCCACCCCGACGTTCAAACATACCGCCAACAGCGCCGACACCGTCTTGAGCCGATCCTTCATCCGCCATTCCGTCTCTAGAGACCTCGGGACCCAGGTCGTCGGCAGGTTGGCTGCCGTCTCATGTCGCGTGTCCTGGTAATACATGAAGAAGTTATCACTCAGGTTGCGCATGATCTCCTCATTCTCCAATTGAGCCGCCCACCCATGTCGCGTGATCTTCCCGTCCCTTTCGCGACCCTCCTCCCGCGCCTTCTGTGCGCGCAGTCGTGCCGCGCCGTTCGGTAACTCGCTGTTCGCGCGTGTCAGGTTCGGTCGGAGGTCGCGTCGACCGACGGGACGCGCCATCTGCAAGCCATGATCCTCGTCGGAGTCGCTGTCGTTGGCATGGTGCCGGATGCTGTCGGATCTTGCGGTCGAGGGACGATGTAATGAGGGTTGAGATCGGGAATGTGCGTGCCTAGCGGACATATCGGAGCGAGGAGGGGTGTCGAGGGTGAAAGGCTGGGAATGGCGTGGAAAGTGGTGGTGGGATCGGGTGTCGGTGGTCATGATGGTCTGCATTCACTTCCCGCGATTCGAGGCGGGGACTCGAGGGCGCGGATGGACATGAGGGCGGCCAAGCGGCAGATGGTGGTCGTGTGTACAGTAAGTAGTATGGATGGCGGAGAGACAGATTGCAGAGCCGGTGTGAAACGAGTGTATTGCAATTGCAGAGCGAGTACGGTGCTGTCTATGATTGAGAAAGTGAATGAAAGAGAGATGTAGCCGACTCAAGTGGTGTGTGTGGTAAGGACATGGTGTAGCAAGCAGCCGGAGGACCGTAGCAAGTCGAGCTGCTGTCACCGGTCTCGAGTTACAACCAGTCAAGGTTCCTGTACTGATTATTACTACTGTGCTTAGGTGATGAACGGGGCCCGCCTCCACCATTACCACCACCACTACCACTCTCCTCCTCCTCCTCCTCCTCCTCCTCCTCCTCCTCCTCCTTGCGCGGGCGCGGTGATGAAAGACAGTCACATGCCGAGACAAATCCGGCAAGCAAATGGATGAACCAACCGTCCCCGAGCTTTAGGAGCCTCAGCGGTCCAAACCGTTCCATACTTCCATCATTTCCATTTCCATTTCCATTTCCACATCCATTCCTCCCTCTCCTGCGTCCTCTCTCGCTGTCTCGTATAGTATCTACCTACCTACCACCCACTTCTGCAGGCGAGCCCGAAATCTGGGGAACGCTCTCCAAAGGGCCTCAGGCAGTTCGGCTGGAATATCCTCCACCTACAGGCAGGCAGCTGTAAACATGCCTAGATGGTTCATTACATACCTACCTAGCAGTTACATATCAATTATATACATGTACGCTTCAAGCACGATCTTCCACTTTTTTCATGTCGTGTATGTAGAATTACCTAAAGTAGACGCCTAGGTACATGTATCTGATTCTCTTATACCGGTGGATTGTAATAACACTTCATAATGAAAAGCTGGAGATCACCTGACAGACTCGCTGTGATTAGTACTGTGTGGTAGGTGAGATCGGAGCTTCTCCAGACAATCATCGCCCAACGGCCAGGACCGTCGATCGGTGCCGAGATCCTGCTTCCGCCTTCTCGGAGGTGGTCCGAGAAGGACTCGCGAACGTGATCATAAATCAACCAGAGCATTCATCTGATCTTCGGGTGATTCACCGCATGCAAGCAATCAATGCCGATGGTCTTGAAATTCATGTTCCGTTGCGTACCGCACCTCCCATCGACTTCAATGGTATGGTATGGGTTATAGTACGGTAACAATCCCCTTCCACCGTAACTTTAGTCGGTAAAGGAAGTACTTCGGTCCCAGACGCTGCGTACGCTCTCTCTCTCACAACCTACGGGCAAGTCTACTATAGTGTTGAAATTACACCTCCAAGTCATTCCGTGAGAAGCTCCGCAGCATTTCAGACGATTCGTTCTCTCGGTAAACATGTCCAGGTGCAGATGATGCCCGTGGAGGTGCATCCTGCGGTTAGGGTTGGTGCAGGAAGGCGTCGGTCTCGGCTGTGCTTCCGGCGGCCGGCGCACTGCATCTGCAACTGGATTGCGTTGCATCACGACCACGCGACATCATCATCGCAACAATGTCTCATGATACCAGAACGTCGACCTCAGACATTTATCTGCAGTCGATTTGATCACAATGCCACTGGTCGCATGGGCATGAGCGTCTGTCCGCATGCGCTTCATGTGAGTCTGACGGTCCTCGAAGAATGCCGAGATCCAGCACATGCAGTACATGCGACACATGCACGCACATGTACGAATGAGGCTTTGAGTGACTTATAGGAGGTGTTCAAGGGGATAGTATTATGGCATGACGTCGCATCGCGCAGTGTAGCATGGCATTGCAGTGCAGCGCAGTCGGGTCAAGCAGCCAGATGAAGCCGATCATGAGGTGTGGCTGCATCCGCGAGAGAGGTCTGTCGATATTATAGGACATTCCAGGTAGAGAAGGAAAGAAAGAAGAAGAAAAAAAAGGACATGTATATAAAAGATGTCTGATTCCCCCAGTTGCGTCTCGAGATTGCGATAGGAACGATTCTCCCAACGAATGATCTTTGTCTCCTCTATTACAGCCTCCTTTGACAGCAGCTCGCTTCAACTACGGTGCTACGAGCAAATCCTCCAAGAAAAGAGAGGAAGCAAACACAACAATCATCAGGACCAGTCGCCCATCACCAAACCATTCCCCGCAACCATGCCTCCCTGCCTCCTCCCAAAGACCACGACGACCATGACCTTCCTCCTCCTCCACCTCCTCCTCCTATCCTCCACCACCACCGCAACCCTCTCCCCGACCCCGGTCCGCCCTCGGCAATCCGTCCCCAGCGACACCAACCCCTCCAACATCGACAACAACGCCAACAACCCGTCCCTCCGGGCCTGCGGCTCCACCCTCAGCACCTGCATCAGCACCAACAACGGCACCGACACCGTCTCGGGCTGCACCCTCTCCCTCTGCTCCGACATCTGCCGCGAAGCCTTCCCCCTATTGGAGACCTGCTGCGCGGAGAGCATCACGCCGATGGACCTGGGCGTGTGCGCGGTCGAGCAGTATTTCGCCGATCTGGTCGGCATGAAGAAGCCGCTGAGTTTGAATCTGAGTCTGTCGGATGCCGTGGGCGTCCCTACGACGACGGCGACGACGGATGTCGCGGGGTTTGTGCCGACGGCGACGACGACGACGGCGACGGCGATAGGTGCGGCGGCTACGGGTGAAGGTGGGAGGGTTTTTGTGGTGCCCGGGAACAACGGTGCAGGTAGAATCGGAGAAGGAAGCGCGATGGGGATTTTGGGGACGGTGGTGGTTTGGTCGCTGGGGTTCTTCTTATTGTGAATATGGGCGGGTTGATGATGTTGGGAATGGTGGAAATGCTTAACTAAGAGGGATGCAATGATTGTGGAATCCTTGCAACAGAAGAGTAGGAGGAGTAGGATGACGACAACGACGATGATGATGAATGCTATCTAATGTCATGATGAACTGAAATGAGCATGCGGCTTCACATGCTCAGATCTAATTTTAATGGAATGGAATGCCCGATCTTGTGTAGCGAGCAAGCTGTATGGTGCTGTCAATTTGGCCTGTGGGTGGATGGCTGGTCAGTGACAAGGGAACACAAATCAACAAATTGTAATATGAAAAGTGCGTCGCAAAAAAGAAGATAGTAAGCACGTAGAGATTCCACATGTAATGTAACGACTATAGAGGTCATTTTCCCATCCGTCCGTAACACATCGACGCCGCAACCGTGCATACGCCAGGCATTGAATCAAAATAATGGGATCAAATAATCTACTCCTCCTCCTCGTCATCACCACCATCCTCGCCGTCCTTGTTCTCGGCGGCCTTGGCCTTCTTTCTTCGGACACGGCCGACACGTCCTCCACCGAACGGCGAGGTGAGTGCGAAGTCGATGTGCTTTTGGGAGTCGAGACGGACGATGAATGAAGGGACGTTGACGATCTGCTTGCCGACGCTGTAAAGAACATCGTTAGCGGAACTCAAAGATAGAGGCAGTCAACAGGAACCTACCGGATGTGACGCTGGCGGATCAGAACACGGGCGTGGTGGATCGACTTGGCGAGGCCGAGCTTGTAGACGCAAGTCTGGAGACGACGCTCCAAGAAATCCTCAACCTTCAGGGCCAACACGTAATCGAGCTTCATGCGGGTCTCATCGAGCACACCGACACGAACCAGACGACGAATGAGGGCGTTTCCTTCGAAGAGACGCTTGGGGTCCTTCTCGTCCATGGTGAGAAGCTCACTATATCCCAAATCAGTTCCACTGCCTTTTCCCGTCCATATCCATTGATGTTCAAACCCACCGAGCGGCACGACGAATCTTCGAGAGGGTGAGCTGGACACGCCACACCTCACGCTTGTTGCGGAGACCATATTCGCCGACAGTCTTCAATTCGGCATCACTGGCGGATTGTTAGAACCATTTGACTTGGGCGGAGCAAGCTCACGCTCAGTGGCCAACGGAGTGTACTGACAGACGAGCCGACTCGAAAGGACGACGAGGGACCTTGTAGGTCTTGGAGTAACTGCGTCTGCGAGGCTGTTAGAAGATATTTTGCGTTCGTAGAATTTTCGACAATGTATGTTGCAGCAAGTTGTCGCAATGCCATGTTCATGGACCGCACGTCGGAATAAATATCCGTCGTTGGCTCCGTCGTAGATTCGCATGTGCGACAACTCGCTGTGCCATCCTCGAATGCTGTATGACTTACGGCGCCATGTTTGATGTGGTTGTCGATTTTGCTGCGTCGCAATCCTACACTTCACGAATTCAAAGTCTCGTGTGCTTGACTTGAATTGGAGATGGAGTCGTGACGGTGGGTGGTCCGTGCGGTGAGCCTTGGCACACACCCGAGCGTCAATTCCCAAAATCGCAAGCAACAGCCTACGACGAAATTGACTACGGCGAGCACCAAATGTGAGTACACGACAGCGCACTGTTTGATATCTGCAATAAAATACTAATTTCCTCCAGAACACACACATTAAGACGTTAGTCCTTTACATCGCCCATCAACTTCGTTCGGGACTAACAAATCGCAGCGTGCAAATACATTCACCATGGGTCACGCCGCAGGTCTCCGCGCTGGCACTCGCTATGGTCAGTCTACACCCTGAAGGAATTGATTGTGGTTTGGGAAAATAGGAGGATTGCGCAAGGCAGAACCGGTGGAATATGGAAGCAAGACACAATTGCTGACAATTTTTGGGAACAGCCTTCTCTCGCGACTTCAAGAAGAGGGGTATGATCGCTCTGGGAACGTACCTCAAGCAGTACAAGGTTGGAGACATCGTCGACGTTGTTGCAAACGGTGCTGTCCAGAAGGGCATGGTATGTGGACAATCTTGAATCCTCTCCGATGTTCTCTCGGATCTCCGTATGGGGTCTGCGCACTTCACGAATTCTTCGACTGACAACTTGCCAAAGCCCTACAAAGTCTACCACGGAAAGACCGGTGTCGTCTACAACGTTACCAAGTCCGCTGTCGGTGTCATCCTCTACCGACAAGTCGGCAACCGCTACATCGAGAAGCGCATCAACGTCCGCATCGAGCACGTCCGACACTCACGTTCGCGAGACGAGTTCTTGTCCCGTGTCAAGGAGAACGCCGCCAAGCAGCGCAAGGCCAAGGAGGAGGGTGTCCACGTCCACTTGAAGCGACAACCGGTCCAGCCCCGCGAGGCACGAACCATCAGTGCAAAGGAGAACAAGCCAGAGAGCATTGTCCCGATACCATACGAGACAACGATCTAAGTGTGCTGGAGTGTATGTGCTTACTTTCTCGTGGATGGCGTCTTGTGGGTGGTAAATGGATTCTCCCGAAAGACATTTCGAAAGTTGCGGCATGAAATGTGCTGGCTGCGGCTTCGGTCTTTATCTGTAGCAGGCGTATCAATGATGCATATTCGAGCCAAGCTTCGTGCCCGTTTGCATCTCATCATTACGAAAGGAAGGAATGTTTTTCATTGGTTGCTGGTGTCTTCACAACAGATGCATTTCACAGAAAATGGTCAGGTGATTTCGGTAGTTGTATTTGGTCACGTGCCGTCGATTCCTGGCTGTAAATTGACGTCGCCGCATATGTTATCAATTGAAAAACATCATTTTTGACGGCTGTCGATGAATCAGGTATTTGCCGTGTACCGTACGGCGAGCATAGCAGACCTTGGGACATACGCCGTGTGATGAATATGAACCTTTGCTCAGAGTACGAATCAGTAGCACACGTCGTTGCATCCGTAGTCGCCAGTCGAATAAGATGTCTCTCGTCTGACATTTCTACGCTGACATCCATAAACGAAGTGGCAGTGGAGCATACGCGAGAGTTTGGAAACCTTGCACAGCATGGACACTGACGTGTCGGCGTCGGAGCAGCATGAGCTGGAACCACGACCTGTTCATTACACTGTTTTCATCCGTCTACCTTTTCGTCGCGATGGCTTCGAAGACCCGCCGATCGTTAATTGGGACTCTAACAAAGACAGTGCGCTCTGGAAGATCATCGCCAAAGCAGACTCGAAAGAGCTCGATTGGGGAGATATTGCATCGCGATTCCAAGTCACGCTGCCCTTTCTTCTCCAGCAGGCAGCGCATCTCTATGATCGCCACTTTGAGGCCATGAGAGGCGTTGTTAACCGCTTGAGTGTCATCGGACCGAGCAGTACGACTACGTCCAAGGCTCAAGTAGATGGGTTGCATTCGGGAGGCAGCATCGGCGGTGGTGCGGCGATGCAAAGGACAGGGAGCAAAGGTAAGAAATATGCATTTCTCCACGCATAACACAAAGCATGCTGCAGGATTTCTGATGTTTCTGTTTGTAACAGGCGCTGAGGCGAAGAATGTAAAATCTCCCACCATCTCCATCCCTCAGCACACTTCTGCTGGTGATGGATCGATCACAGTAGCGTCCCCGAGCACGGCGAATCCTCGTAGTGCAGCGCCGACGATATCTCGGACTCCGTCGTCTGCAACAGTGACACAGAGCAAAGTCTTTACTACCTCTGTTGCCACAGCCGCACAGCGTGCACTGCGAGGTCTCAGCATATCGGGTAGGCGGCCACCGGCAGTCGGTCTTGCTTCGGGAGTTCACAAAGACGACCGCCACGATGACGAATTGGAACACGAAGGTGGTTCGGCGTCAGATTCTGAAGACGATATGCCTGTCCTCGCAAGAAGTCGATATCCACACCGGCCGCCGCTTGGGAAGGCTGCGAAGAAAGCCGGCGATGATGATAGCTCTGATGGAGACGCTGAAGCCGAAGATGATGACAATGATTCCAACGGTAGCTATCTACCCTTTGCAGCTCCTGGATCACCACGAGAGCATCCATCAGCGACTCTGCGCGATCTCCCTCAACGCACACAGAACTCATCAGTTCAGCGACCCAGTACCGCAAAAGGCAAATCGAGGAGGGATGACGAAGTCAGCGCTAATACTACAGAGTCGTCTGCATCATCCATGAGCCGGCATTTTTCCAGTGACGGAGGGCTTGAGCCTCGTCCTACCAAGGGCCCGTTGAGTCCGCAGCATCGTGCCCAGCTGGCGAGTCTTAGCCCGCGATCACGCGCTCAGGGAAGCGAGGGTTCGCCGAGTATGGGAAGCAGCTTCAGTGATCTAGACGATATCTCGCAGTCTGCACTGGATGAGGCCGTGCTGTCAAACATGCGACAAGGCGGCAGCAGTATGGCGAGTCGAATGAGCACACTTCGAGATGCTCTCGGACGTAGAGGATGAGCCCCAGCTTGATGAAGTGCTGGGATATCATTCCCGTCATGGGGAAGCTTATGGAGGATTGGCCCTTGAGCCATTATCTCGCATTCCTTCTATTCTACTATGGAATTGTGCGGTATATCCTATCACCCTCCTTCGGCGGCTCCAAGAAGTCCGGTGGCACCATAGCGGGAATTTGGTGCTCCTCCGCCCATTGTCTGACTGCCTCGAAATTGCGACATACATGCTCCGTGTTGAAGTCGACGTACGCCTCCGGCTCATCTGCAGAAACTGGCTGAAACCAGACTTGACCCAAGACTCCCACATCGACTGTGCACATGAGCTGCTGCCGAATGATATCCAGACAGTGAGCTGGAGCCTTTGTCAGCTTCGCGAGTCTTTGGCTTGGACGGATCCTACTCACTGACATGCTTCCGCAAGATATAATCGGTATTTGCAAAAGGTCCCTTTCCTTGCGCTTGATAGTGTTCAAAGTTGAACCACAGACCTTGCCGCAGGAGATTCAAGCAATGGAGTTGGTGTAGCCCTTCAACGTTCGCCGGGTAGCCGCCTCCATGCTCTTCTCTGATTTTGACCTGATCTTGACGCAGACCGACGCGTTCGGCCTGATCAAGTGGAACAGCGACACTCCGATCTACAACAGCCAGTCAGCTATGTACCTTGAGCTCATAGCTCCTTTGACATCGCTTACAATCGATTCCAAGCGATGCCCAGGCTGCATCGACATCCGGGCCAGCACTTTGTCGAAACGGAGTTTCTTTGAGGAGAGACCCGTTAAATCGTGTCGTGTGCCATTCGATCTGCACATCAGGAGTGATTGGCGCTGTTTTTCTGTCAGTCACAATTTTGCACAATAATTCAGGCCAATGGTCTTACACTCGCGCGATGTGCGTTGTAGGCATACACGATCGAGATTCCTACTTTGCGGCGAGTAGTGTCCAATCACGATGCCTAATAATATCGAAACCGCGCTCGTTGCCAATATGATGGCAATTGTGCCATTTGATCGTCGAGGTTTCCTTCTGATCTGCTGTTCGAAGTCTTGGTCTGATGCGCTTTCGCCGTCTTCCGAGAGCAGATGTCTTGAGTACTCGCTCGACTGCTTCTCCGGCAGATCTATGTTTGAATGAGACGACTTGTCCATATTTGATTTTTGCGAACGAGAGAATGTGTCAACGTCAAGTAAAAGATGTGGATTTTCCAAAGCACATGCACTCGAGGTCCAGGACTCATCAGTCTACTTCAAATGTGATCATGGCATCTGTACCTCGCCAAGCTTCTTTGTACTATAGCTATAACATGATGCTGTACGAATACGTCCATGTTCGCTACCAAACAGTATAGCAAAACACCTGTTCGAGCTAGCTGCATAAGCCTTTTGGCTTGCGTATAATATTGGATTGCGACAGCTCACCTGCTAAAAATACATCGGCCGATACGAACGTGCTACACAAAGACACTCGTTTGAGCTTCATTCTCCGCTACAATGTCTCACCATTTACATGCAAAATGTTACTCTGGGGTTATACAGCATTATAGGGCTTGCATCGCGTGGATCTCGTGGTTCGCCGAAAGCAGCACCTTCGGTAGTCCTGGGCCCGAGTCTTGCGGTGCAGTTGTGTTCCTGATACGAGAGCTTCAGCTCCAGCTCCTTGGACTACGTCAACGCCATGTCGGCGATACCGTACTTTACAGCATCTCGATGTGGACATTGTGCATACATGAAACCTCAAACAACACCAAAGCTATAGCTTTCCAGAAGCACGTTGCATCAGACCACCTTGCACATCACATCAAGTCTCATGTGACGAGCTGTACTCATGCACAGATTCAATAGATCGAGTGCTGATGCAGGTCAATCAATGCCATCTACCATCATTGTGCAACACATGCCGCAGATGAGACGATGGTCTAATCACTCCCGTTCGGGTCGAGTTGAGGATCCGTAGTGATGGTGCTATCTGTACGACGCTCACGTAGCATTGCCGTGGCCCTGAATACGACGGAGCACAGAAGTCTCGCGTAAGATTGTGGAACTCCATGGCATCGTCGTCAATGCCGAGGGTGAGCCATATGCAAGACCAGCGTTCATTGACGCGGACATGTTCGTCTCGAATGGCGTCTTTGTGTTGTCGAGTGTCGTATTCGCGGACGATCGGCATCAAGGAGAGGAGTGATGCCGTAGCTCAAGATGATATAAGAAGGCCTGGAATCTCCTTCTTACTCCAGCATTCCTCTGACCAGTGCTCTCATCTTCCATCATCTCCAATATCAAGATCATTTATCGCTCCGAAAGATCTCCCTCTCGATCAATCAATCAATCAATCAATCATCATGAAGGCCTCCACCATCTTCTCCACCTTGGCTCTTGCCGTCGCTGCTCTCGCCAGCCCCGTCGTCGAGGAGCGAGCTGCCACCACCACCTCTTCCACTGCCGCTGCCACCCCTACCAACTACGGCAACTACGGAAAGTACGGAACCGTAAGTGTTGTGATGACCCTCATCCAAAGCAAAGGATGAGTGCTGACCAGAAGCTTTTTTGCAGTACGGCAACTACGGCAAATACAGCCGCTCGGCTGAGGCCGAGGCTGACATCGAGGCCCTTCTTGAGTTGGCTTCTGCCATCAAGGCCAAGCGCGAGGCCGACATCTGAAGGGATTTTTGGGAGGAATACTTGGATGATTGATAAAGAGGGAACCAACAGCTCAGTGGACTCGTTACGAGAAAGACGTCCCGAAGCAGGCGAACAAGTCAAGATTGATAGAGTCTAATCAAGAACTTATCGTCATCTGCGAACGTAATCTTGTGCAGCCGTGTACAATGATGAATCGCGGCATCTTGCATGCTCGTTGCCTAGCGCGCTTTTCGATCATCCTCGTCGGATGAACGTCGAATTTGTCGACAATTTACGATAAAGGTTGACAGATCTGTTGTCACTCATAAGCCAGCGCGAGTGAGTGATCGCGGCACAGGGACAGTAGTAGTAAACCTTTACGAGCCTTGTGAGAAATAGTGGGTTGCTTTCGTTTCGTGATCTCTGATCGACATCAGGTGATCTTGGAAATGAACACATCGAGTGTGCATTTTAGTATGAGATTTCTGCACGTCACCCGCGTGAAGTCATGAAAATATCGATATTGCAAGATATCAGCCTGTCGCTAGTCTATTTACTGTAGAACGGCTGCTCGAGGCAACCGAGTATGATTGGCTCGATCGAAGACTTTCCGGTACTGCCGATCGCAGTGGGCCGAGTGGCAACTTTAATGTGATGGACCACAGTAACACCTGAAGTCGACAATCGATGCACACAATGTTGATATCATGTCCGTTGAGCCGTGAGCAAAAGAAAAACTCATCGATATCGTTGTCGCAGCTGCTGGAACACGCCACAGCCTGTGATATAGAACCTGTGTGTTCGTACATCCACACGAAAAGCGACATGACGCTGTGCCACGGTACGATAAGGTCAGTATAACAACGAAACAACCTGTACCTCGATGAAGGGCCCAGCCGTGCATCACTCGCGGTAACACGACCCTCATGGTCGAAGGGACTTGGCCAAAGATATCACGGAAATTGCTTATCGGAGGATCATGGCCGAAAATGGGATACTGTGCCGCAGATAATGGATCTCAACGCCACCTCCTAATCAAATGACGACGAAAGCAGTAGCCGTCACCGGCAGCTTTCGCGACACGACCAAGATATGCATGCGTTGGCCTCGATCGTCTTCAGGCTGATAGCGAGCAAACCAGTTCTGTTCAGGTTCGGGCGCGCCGCTTATTGTTTCCTCGTGGACCGGCGTCTTGCCCGGTTATTTGCGGAGCAAGCGCGGGCAAGACACTCATGACACGAGACACATTTCGTTACAAGGGTCGTGCAGAGGCGCGGATCATAGTCCAGTTGCAGCGTTAGTGAGCTTGGTGAGCAGCCGCGATCATTTTGGAAGACGGCGAGAATACGCGATGGCGTTTTCCCGTATTCCACAGCTCCGGCCGACTGAGTCTCGGCCTTGGTTGTTGGTTTTGTCGTTGGTCAAGAACACAGTGCCCGATGCGAAAAAGGTACGCCAACGTGAAATTTGTGCTATCTCGAAGAAGATCTCGAATCGCCCAAGGGCACATGCTTTGAGCGTCCACGAGGACCGAACTGCCATGTCACGTGCGTATCTAATCTTGATCGTCGGTCTGCACACTAAGTCGAGATATTAATCCGCTCACGTGCCTTCCGAGGTGAGCCATCAGATCTAGTGCAAATACGGAAAGATGCCCCGAGCGGGAGCCTCCGTGCCGGACACGATTGTGGGGTAAAGTACGGGAAACGCTTGGTTGCCCAGGCGGTGTCTCCTCCGCCGTGTTTGAACATCTCATTAGTTGCAATCACCGACTGTGTGGTGAGGTTGAAATGAGCAAACAGAAATAGCAGTTTACCCCGTCGGCGTAATCCGAAACTTCACGAACTTCTGATAAGTCTATCGGTTGTACCCGTCGGATAAGATAATGATCATCCACGTGCTGGTCGCGTGCAAGTCAGCACTTGCAAGGGAATCAGACAAGGACCGCCTTCTAGAAAGGCATCCAGAAAGTATCCCAACAAAAAGAACCCAATTATGGTGCAGCACCATCTGTGATGAACGGAGTGGTCGTACCGACTTGTACACACCATTGCAGTAGTCTCATAGACGAACCCGACTCCATGTGGTTGCCAGAATGCGAGGTGCAACTCCGATAAGGGCACGGGAATAGCCTGGTTACTGGGAGTTTCGTTGCTCTGCGATAAGATCCTTTACGCCGGACAAGTCCGACCACCCCCCCGATCACGAAAAATGATAAGACATTGTCGTTCATTGCAGTGGCAACCACTAAAGTCCAGCCACCATTGCTTCATTACCAGTGGCAAAAGTCTTGTTTTTCGCCCTGGCGGTTGGTGGCCCGACTGTGGATGGTCAGGTAGCATCCACTAGCGGCCTCCTTCTAGCCACGGCGGCGCCTTGTACAAATGCGTTCGCACCTCCGAAATACCTGAGATGATACATTATGATACCATCGGCCACAACGCAAAATTGTGTGCCGCACGGCGTCCCGCTCGCAATTCGCTTGCGACCCCGGATCTTCATGTCCTATGAAAGATAACGCCATTCCGGCTTGTGATTCGCCGCTGGGCTTATCTCGATGGTGGCCCTTATTTTCCAGCGAGCTTGCTTTGTTCGGACCTGCCTTGCTTCCGTGGCACATGTCAGATCATGTTCGCCTGGCGAATGCTCCAGAACGCTGAGGGTCTCTCGTTCGGCCAGCCGGAACCTGTACTCTTTCGCGGCGCGGGTCCTTCAAAGCGAAGGGCGCATTCTTCACGAGAGCTCATCCTGTCCTGCAGAGATAAACTTCGCCATATGCGCCACGAACGAGCTGGCTAACCATAACAGGCAGGCGCTGAGAGTGCCTTGAATGTTCTCCCGAACTTCAGAGGGCCGTTCCTTGGTTCCATGGCTTGCATGGAAGCTCCTCACGACCCTGTTGATTCAGCTCGGACGTTTGGCGAACACTAGCGCCTATGGTGTAGCCAGAGCGGGACAATTGACCCAATGGTGTACACCTGATAGGCGTAACCTCCAACTCGTCGTGATGTGTCTATCTGGTCTAGGTATCGTGTACTTGGGTTCGAGTTCAGGTATATAGACAAGCTCGCCGCACCGTCGCTCTGCGATCGAATTATCCTTCACCTTGTGATTTTTCATCCCAGAAACATCCGACTCGGCTGACCAACACTGTCACCGATCATCATGGAGAAACCCGTCGAGCTCATGGGCCACATCAACCCAGATGTTGCCCCTCTGCAACAGAAGCAACATGTCTTCAACCCCGGCTACGGCGTGGCAGCCGAGGAAGTCTCCGATGGCAGCATTCACGCCCAGGAGAAGTCGTTCGAGAAGACGACAGCCTACATCGGCGAGACCGAGGACACCATCATGGACGAGGAGCCTCACTTGGACCCTTACGTTCCGTTTGACGATCTGCCCGAAGAGCGTCGCGTGGTCCTTACTGTTCGTGCGGTCATCTTGGGTGCTATCTGCGGTGCACTCGTCGGTGCTTCGAACATCTACCTTGGTCTCAAGAGTGGTTGGACATTCACAGCCAACTTGCTTGGTGCCATCATTGGCTTCGCCGTCATCAAGCCACTCTCCAGAGCGATCCCCGAATACGTACCGATTTTGGGAGGATCTTTCGGCCCTCGCGAGAACAACATCGTCCAAACGGTCGCCACTGCTGCAGGTGGTCTTGGTAATGTCTTCGTCGGCGGTATCCCCGCTCTTTACAAACTCAACCTGCTGTCGACTCCCAAGGAAGATTTTGCGCGCCTCGTCACATTGACCATCGTTGGTGGATACTTTGGTTTCGCTTTCGGCGCCCCTCTCCGAAAGTTCTTCATCATCTACGTTGCACGCGAGCTTCGCCTGGTCTTCCCGACTGCCTCTGCGACTGCCATGACCATTCGCAGCATGCATCTCGCCACCACTGGTGAGGCTCTCGCCAAGATGAAGCTCTACGCCCTTTCCGCTGCGTTCTCGGGAGCTTTCATTCTCCGCATCGTTTCTCAGTACGCTCTCGGTATCCTCTGGGACTGGCACTTTTTCACCTGGATCTACATCTGGTCTGGCTACTCCAGCACCACTGCGTTGGACATCGAGAACTGGGGATGGTACCTTGAGTTTACCCCTGCCTTCATTGGCTCTGGCATGCTCGTTGGTCTTAACCCTGCTATTTCTTTCTTCGGTGGCTCCGTGCTTTCATGGGCCATCATCGGTCCTGCGCTCATTGCCCAAAAGATGGCCTTCGCTGGTCACCCCTATGGTGATGCGACTGACCCCGAATCATACGATCCTCAGTGGTCTAGCTACAGCGTCTATTTCTCGCTGAGCAAGACTTTTACCAAGCCTGACCACCCGTCACCGCGATACTGGCTTCTGTGGCCTGGTATTATGTTGATGATCGTCGTGTCTTTCGTCGAGTAAGTCGGGATTGATTCGCTTAACGTGAGAGCGAAACCAATATTATCCATGATTGCTAACATTACTTCTTCCTCAGGCTTGCGCTTCAGTACAAGGTCTTCTTGCACGTATGCAGGGCTATTGGTCGCGGCACATCTCAGTCCATCAGCGCTGCCCTCGCCAAGCGCGGCAAGTCCTCTGCATTCTTCGAAAAACATGCCAACAAGGAATTCGCCTCAGAGGACGAGCTCGTCCAGGATCCCGCAGCTGAAGAAGATCAGGTCACATGGTGGATGTGGGCCCCTCTTCTGTTGATGTCAATCATCGGCTTCTGCCTTGTCCTCGGCGTCCAGTTCGGTGAGCATCGCATTCTACGAAATACTTGCTATTGCTTTTTGCTAACATGGCGGTTTCCAGGCATGCCCGTTGGCGAGTCTCTTCTCTGCGTCATCCTCGCCTTCTTCTTCTCTTTCCTCGCCATCCAGTGCACTGGTGTCACCGACATTACCCCATTGACTGCTGCCGCCAAAGCCTCCCAGATTGTTCTCGGTGGCGCCACCAAGGGTCAGGGTTGGGATGCTCCTTACGCACAGCGTCTCAACCTCCTCGGTGGTAGCTTGGCTTCCATGGGCGCTGAGCAGGCTACCAACTTAGTCGTCGACTATCGTGTCGGTTTCTTGCTCCGCACTCCGCCGAAACAGCAATGGTGGGCCCAGGCCATCGGCACTATCGTCTGTGTCGTCCTGTCACCGGCTCTCTTCATCCTGTTCACACAGGCCTACCCATGCATCATCTCCAACGATCCCAACGCAAAGTGTCCTTTCCAGGCGCCATCTGTTGGAGCATGGAAGGCGGTTGCTGAAGCTATGACTGATCCGACTTTCCCTGTCCCAAGCTCTTCGGGCATCTTCGCTCTCGTCTTTGGTATTTTCGGTGGTGTTATGGTTCTCATCCGACACTACGGATACCGCGGCAAATGGGCCAAGTAAGTTACCACTGAAATTGCGGTCGCATTATCGACGGAAATGAGAACTTTGCTGACATGATCTTTCTCCTCAGGCTTCGCGACTACCACCCCAACATGATGTGCATCGGTCTCGCCATGGTCGTTCCTCAGACTGTCTACGGCACTGCCATGTTGATGGGTGCCGTGGTAGCCTACCTCTGGAGCAAGCGCAGCGCCAAACACTTTGACACCTGTAAGTTACATTCCCTCTCAAAAACAACCCACCGTCCCGTCTGCGTTTCGCGAAACCTGCTGACATTACTTGTTATTGCAGATGGTTTCGCTGTCGCCGCAGGTCTCATTGCCGGCGAGGGTATTGGCGGTGTCGTCAACGCCATCTTCCAGATCGCCGGCATTGCTGGACCTGACCCATACGGTACGCAAATCGCGTGCCCGGTCAACGAATGTTAAGCGTCGAGTCATGTTCGTTGTTTATGATAAATAGAAATGAGATTACGAAGCCCTCTTTTGTCTTCAATCCTCATCTCCACAAAGTGGACGTCGTACAACCCTGCCTTTTACACACTGGCGGACCGTGTTGACGAATCATTGCCGTACGAATGCATACGAACAGCGCAGCCACGAGAACGTCACCAAGCTGGACTAGATGCTCAATTCAGAAATTACAAACACACAATTTTCATTGCACGCATTCATTCGGGTTTTCATGATTGAATAGCGACATCACCTCATCGAGGTTGTGCACGATATCAGCTGTATTCACGCTTGCACAGCAATGTGATCAAGCTACCTAGGTATGTTATGGATGAGCTTAGATTGGTGAGTTTCAAGATTCAGCATTGCAGAGCCGCATTCAAAACACGGAGCATGACGTCTTGTCCTTCATTTGGAGGATCAAATAGCCCGATCTCCAAGTACCAATGGCCCGCCGTGTCGGATCGCATATTACCACCTTCGTTGAAAAGATAACCATGAATGATGCTATCCCAGAATCGGCGCCCTTCGAAAGCGGCCTCGACGTGATCATAGGTGTAGCCGAATCTGTGTGCGGCATCGCGCAAGTGCTCGTTCATGATCCGATCAAGCTCATTCATTCTCGACTTTTGTGCGGCGGTCGGAGGCATGAAAAACGGAATCAAACATGTACCAGAAGCCCAATTTGTGCATAGCTCATGGCGACAACTTTGGTACCAGGTCGCACATTTGGTTTTCGCGAAGATCGCGTCGTATTTGGTGGGCAGGCCGCCTATGATGTCCGCAGCTGAAACAGTCTCTTGATCGCACGCTTGCGAATTGTATAGGAAGACACATACAGTCACGACCCTCGAGAAGAACGATTAGCCCTAGCCACCAACGTTTGCCGAGACCAAGTCGGGATTTCCGAACATACTCGGGCTGATCTGGCCATCAATCACAGCGCCGATGTCGTTGCCACTGTGCGCCAGGTATTGGAATTGACCTACATTGTGCTGCATGCGAAATTCCCAGCTGTAGCCACCGGCGTCCTGACCGTAGGCTACGGTCGTACGTACGGAGCCGAATCCTGCGAGGCTGTTTTTGCAGAGTCCGAGCCGTTTGTTCGAGGCAAAGCCGCAAGCATAAATATTGCCCAGCGCGATGTATGGCCTGAAAGGACCGCAAGTGCCCGTGCCGTTGAGATCATGGTCGAACACAACATCTGACCCACTCAGCTCAGACAGGACAACATGAGGAGATTCATCATGGATTGGTTTCCCGTTAGTAAGCGCTGGTGCGGTCAGCAGAAACTCCAAGGCGATGGTTGCGGTCATGCTTCAGGTCTTCCAGGTGATGTCGTTCGGCTGAACACTACTCCGATGGTCACAACCGGAGGATATCAATCCACGGCACTCCTCGCAGGGTGAAACTTGCAACACGGTGAAGGGCGTTGACATCATCTTACATTGTCTCCGCCTACCTCAGATGATTGACCGCGAGCATGGGCGTGTGAACCACCCGCCATCGTGGTTACCCAGCACATTCCCCGCCATCGTGGTTAGTCAGCACTGTCTCCGCCAAACAATTCTTCTGGAGGGTTTACGTTTTAGCCAGCCACGAACAACTACAATCAGTACATATTTCCAACGATTCAAGTCACCAGAGCTGCCAGGATCATCATTGATGTTCAGGCGCTGCACGTGCAGCAACTAGAACTGCCGCAATGAAGACTTCGCAACGAGCGAGGCATTGCGTTCCACTGCACCAAAGCGCCCTACCCACAGGAATTTGATAGCATTATTCAACCTGTCTCAACATGACGATTGAGTTTGAAAATTATAAAATGGTCACAACGCTGTGGCATGTTGGTGAATGCTAGGAAATGCTTACAAAGTTCACCTGGTTCCAATGCAGCATTGGACTCTCTCCGTCGGACGATGCCGTTTATGTCTTGGATCCTGGATACTCCACTGCGCGATTCCTTTCAACCCATAGTTTCTCCTCCTCAGAAGGATGTGCTGGTGGGATCAAGCCGTTGACCTTCCATAACCGCCTTTCAGTCTCGGAAACATGATACTCCCAATCATATCCCTTGTCTTCGATGTGTGGTTTCAAGGTCTGATCGATTTTGCTTGTTACGCGACGATATGACGCGTCTTCGTTGGGCAGATTAATTGCAATGTGGTCGATCGCGAGTCGAATCTATCATTTCATGGGGTCAGCGTTGATGCATCTCGCTTGTGTGGTGAGAGACGAGGATGGAGGGGCCTTTTCTTACAAAAGGTTTCGCCGTGCGCTTTTCACCGCCGACCCATGTCTCGCCCTCTTCGAGCTTGATGAAGTTGACCACAACGTAGAATGCTGGTAGGCCTACGCTTGTGTATATCTGGGTGACATCTTTGCTGAACGCTCCTTTCTCTTCCTCGGTCTGGAAGGTCGTGGATGGATGGTAGACGATCCAGAGAGGCATCTTGACTTGATCGTTTGGGGTTGCATAGAATGTTGACCGCCAAGTACAATAGTCGCGAAATACAAAGTTCTTCTGCCAACCCGAGCAGTGAGCCGGCTTTACTTGCTACTTATGTTCTTGCCCGCTCGATGATCGATATTGCGACGAACGCTACGTTTATGACATGCCTGTGTATATGTTCGTTCTTCTCGATCTCGATGTGAGCTCCATTGCTCCGTTCCAGCTCTAGACAATAGCGTGTATTTGTAAGCATTCAAGCGGGGAAGACAATGTTCTACAGCGCCATCAGGCATGATGTTATTCCGATCAACAAGAACCTCGTGACAGGAACATAATGAACCCGCATTGATATTCAACTTAGAGGGAAGAATAAGATTCTCAGCGCGTGAAGCTAGCCAATGTGGCGCAATTCACTGCCGGAAATACATGAGTGATCGGACGAACTTTGCCCCGTTTCTGCAAACATTCCTGCTTCATTCGTGTCGCGCGGGAGACGCCGATCACGGCCTCATGACGTTGCGGATCTCTCATCTTCAATGCTGCATCTCGGTTTTCACACACCAGACCTAGTCATTGCCATCGCAGGATGACGATGTCGCATATTTGACTTGGGTCGCAAACCCGGATGGAGAGGTTCGTGGGTCAAGTTTCGCCATGAGCTCGAATGGGTTCTCCTTAGCAAACACAGGTGTACGGACTTCCACCGGCGGCAACAAAAAACATCATATTTGATGTTGCTCAGACGTATGTACGCCAGAGACGAATAATCAACATACTACGTGGCTCCGGATTGTCCATTGGAGGAACGCCGAGCAAGGCAGATGCTGCGAGATCGCGGCACTTGTTTCGCGGAAGCCAGCCGGGAGTTGCACACACGGGCCGATGTTCTTCGATTCCACCAGCTTGCGTGTGAGACGGCATGGCGGTGACTTCGATCTCTGTCTCGAAACAAGCGCTGGGTGTTCACCATGTAAATCCTATCTGCAAGACTTCAGGTGTCTCCCACGTCAGTCAGGGAATTCATATTCACTTCATGCCGGGACAGAGGTGTACCATCCGCACCACTGGCCTTGAAAATGAAGGCAATCTATGTGTTGAATAAGTTGCGCTCTATGTAAGGCCCATGTAGCCCGAGCCTGCATTGTTCTCAAGTACACCTACATTGTACATGCTTCGGATTATACGGCGTCCGTCTTGCTTGGCTATCAAATGGACACGTCAACGTATCCGGGCACGACAGCGTACGGCTCCCGGCTCGAGCAATGCCAGCCCAGAAAAACATCGCCATCGTTCGCATCGTCGACACGTCGGTCTCCGTTGACAAATGACAGGCTTCGTCATCTGGCCGTCATCCCTTCGTATGCCTGTGCAGGTCCGCATCAGACAAGAAGTCAAACTCGCTCAGAGGTTCTTTTATGGATATGATATAGACATGTTTGAGCTTCTACCTGAAGCGGACATAAACAGGTCATCGCCGTCATGCCATATCGTCAAGGAAATCAGCCAAAGGAATCTCCATTACGCCACCAATCCATCGAAGTTTTCACAAACCCACCTCTCCCATAGTGTACTTCGAGGCAATCTCCTCATGGGTATTGCTCACTGCAGCTATTTAATTTCTGTCTTAAGAACCACTATCCCGGTCGGTTCTCGCGACGCTCAGAAATATGGAGGGAGCGGCTCCTAGTGTGGCATCAATGGCCGCGACGCTTATTCTAAAGTACGTGGGAAACATGTCAACCTTATTGAATGCCAGATTGTACAGAAGAAGTCCACGCGGGACCCGTCGAGTGAGGAATGGAGCAATCACAAGCATCGCACGGATATTGATATTCTTTGACAAGAGCATCTTGGGCTTGTCGGATGTGCACATGATGATTTCTTTGATATAATCACCGATGAGATCTTGATGTTACAAGTCACCCAGGTGGATACATGGCATTCTACAGTACTGGCTGAGGTTGAGCGATAAATTTGTAGCAGAACCATGGTGACAGTCCACTAGACCGTCATCATATGCATGAAAACAAACTTCGGTAGAGAGTATATTCAGCAAATGCTGAGCACTCGAAAAAGCGAAAATGTGCAAAGAGGTATGTTCTGGCGGGGGTCTGTCGCGCTCGATTCCGTCGTTGCCAACTGTTCCGTCCTCGTTTGCGGAGTCGTTACAATGTTCAGTTGTAACAGCTTCTCTTGTGTGATTCCCAACAGTCCAATTCGAGATGTCGTATGGGTCCTCGTAGGTCTGATGCGTCGCTTCGACTATCGGCAACACTAGCGCTGCGAAGAGTCTTGGACTAACACCTATTGGAGGGGGAGTTTGTGCTGTCTGCGCAAAAGTTGATGCCGTTTGAGTATCGCATGTAGCCGAATATCGTGTTGAAGGCTTGGTACGATCCAGCAATGTAATTGCCACATTGCGACGTGATGCCCGCGGCGACAACACCGAAATAGGATCCGTCCCAGGGTTGGCTGGGGTTATTTGTATCCCGATTACATGCAAAGGCAACGACGTCGCCTCTGATCGAATAGTACGATTGACCGGCGGGGATTGCCCCGTCGCTGTCCAGCTGATACTTCAAATCCGAGACCGCAGCATCGCAGTTGCCCGCGTTCATGCTAAGGCCACACCCACACCAGTACTGACCATTATCGCGGCGGTCTAGGACATCGCTGTTGTCCAGAGAAGCTTTGCTGTGATTAACGACGTTGGCAATCCTCGTGTGGACTTCGGAACCATCGGCGGTGACTACCTTATAGACTCCCTCCGTGGTATCGCTCGGAATGATGAAGGCCTGGCTGAAAGCAGCCGTAGCCAAAGCTTGGTAGACAACAGTAGTCCAGCGCATGATTTGAATAAAGAGAAGAAGATTCTCTGCTGGGAAGGTGTAAGCATACAAAGGTTTCTTTCGATTCAAACACGACGGGGTCGTGCGTTTTAAGTTTCTCTATGTGTGCAGTGCTCATTGTCCAGGCCAAGGACATTTGCAGCTCATGGTTCGTTGTTTAAGCAAAGGCATTGCGTCCAATGCTTGGATGCGAATTCGGAGAATCGCGAACGGAACCAACACTTCGTCAGCGTTGAGGTATTGGCGCTACTTAGAGTTAGATGATCTACCGGGATTGAGGCCCGTTCAATCTAACAATAATGACTTGAAATGATTAGGTTCAGCCTCTGATGCGGCCGGATCGTGAGGTTGAGGCATAAACATCCCTGCACGTGCTGCGGGAAGTGTCCATCGCAGGAGTCCAATGAGGCAAACACGCGCCCTATGCAATTGAGACTTTGATGCACATGTCCTTCGCGTCTGGAGCTTTGGCTTTCAAAACGGCAGGTTTGATTACCATGAAAGAATTGGAGCAAACAATTGTCGGTCTAAAATCTCACAGCTGCCGCGAATCCGGCCACGCTAATATCGCGAAGGTCAGAGAGTCTGTGCGGGATTGAAGCGCTACTTTCAACGGGATTTAGAAAGATGTAAATCACCCTGTGAATCAAGCGAGAGCCTGACGGCCTTTTTCATGCAGAAAGGGAATTAATAAAGCGAGTCTAGCTGAAGTCCATAGCATCGCACGTAAAAAACCCGAGAATCGAATAATTTCCGGCCTGAAGGCTACCACATCCTAAAGTTTGGCGTCAAGGACTGGTTTTCCCCCAGATTCTGAACGTGTCGGTCAGATCGACAGTCATTCCTGGAGTGCCCAGAGCCTAGCAATGGTTGGAAGGAGACGACGTGCTATCTCTGCAGAAATCGAGACCATTTCGGTAACGCATGTAACCAACGATCGTCGGCGCGGATGTGCCCATATCTCTGGATCCAGCAATGTAGCGGCCGCAAGCATTTGTAATGGCCGCAAATTCTCGTCCGAGAGTATCGCCACTGGTATAGAAGTATGATCCTGAATAGGTGTTGCACACGAAGGCCACCACACCTCCTCGAATAGAGTAAAACGAAAGGTAGGGTCCGACTTTGTTGATTGAGCCGAATTGATGTTTCAGATCTGCAACCGCAGCATCGCAGTCACCCGTGTTCATGTTGTAGCCACAGCCACACCAGTTTTGGCCATTGCTGCGGCCGTTCAAGACCTTGTCGTCTTCTTGTGAAGAGCTCTGTGCGGCGACATCCAGAGCAGAGTTTTGTGTCAGAGTGATGTTACTGAGGCCAGGGACGTCGGTCATTCTTGTGTGCACTTCAGACCCATCATCCCTGGTAACCACCTGGTAAACGCCATCTGCGGTGATGTCGCTCGGAATGATTAGAGCTTGACTCAGTAGGGCCAGAGCCAGCGTCTGGTAGATCGCCCAACGCATAGTGAAGAAGGCAGTGAGGAATTGGAAGTGTCTTGAGGAAGTTGTTGGTCAAATTGATCTGGGATGTTGAATAATCGAAAGAGATCAGCGAGGGAATTGAGCTCCTTAAATATGTCATGATGTGGACCCAATTACGGGCATCCCCAGCTCATGGTAGGCATCAAGCACGATCGAAGATTTGCTCGACGCAGCCCTCTCACCAGGATCATCAAATCCGTACTCTGGTCCCCAGTCAATTCGATAGTGTATGCAGCTTGATATTCGCCACAGTCAAGACAGAGTGCCATCTCCAGCGCAGTCGATCACCGGTACGTCGAGCTCTGGCACCGAACAGAGAGTTCCCTTACGCCTCCGCAGCGCCTGCAAGCCTAGGTACACCTGGTGGCCCAATGAAACTTCCACATCTGACGATCTCACTGTGAATCTTTGTCGAGGGGATGTACGTGGTGTTCTTCTCCATGTCCTTCTTGAGGAGGCGTTGCTCAGCCCCTACGCCAACTTGAGCCATAGATGCCATTGGAGCATCGTTCAAGCCATCAGTCATGTCCGCTGTGCATACAATATGCATATAGCCAATAAACGGAGGTTGTCTTTGGGCGTGTCCTGGCCCAATTGGCTTGGAAAACCATCAGGGCTGTGTGTTCGAGCGCCCGTTCCGGTCAACTTGCATCGCGAGGACCGGTGAGTTCGACATGTGGAGATCTGTGCGGGCGGCTGAAGTACTGGCTAAGTCGATGCTAGTACTAACGATATATCCCCCCGTCAGGCTCGCTCCTGGCGGCAAGAGGACCGGTGTGAGTTGTGCGTCCTGCAGTTTTGGGAAGCTTGTCGATCTGAACCGCTTCGGAGTGTGCATGTAGAATGCCACGAACGCCTTAAATGCAAGGATTGCGGTGTTCTGTTTTAGTGGTGGCGAGCTAGGTCAGAACATAGAAAAGAGGTTAAAGATTTATGTAGCAGCATCTTCCATCGCCCACTGTAGGACCCCGCCTTGACGTCGCATCCGTGGGGCAATATGCATCGGTATATTTGACGACCACGGTGGCCGGCCTGATCTCAAGACACCGGGACGTCTGCTGTCGCTGTGCAGCGGTAGTTGTCTCTCTTCAACCGGCCATGGAGATATCAACACCATTCATGGTGGCCAAGATTTCTTTCACTCGCTGTCGGTACTGGCTTGTACGTTTTCATATCCGTAAGCGAGGTTCCACCTTGAGGGTTGCTTTTAGTATTGGAAGGAGTTGTCGATTGCGTATGTGAGTGGAGATTTCCGTCAACAATGTATTATACAAGGACTGGTTTTTCTTCAGCGTGCATCGGTTGGAGCGTTGTGCGAACATCAAAGTGTTCTGAAATCTTACATAAATTGTAGCATAAATGTCTAGTGTTAAGCTCATCTCTAGAAAGTGAAGTTGAAATATTGAAAAAGATCGGGGTGGTGAAAGCCAAAGCGTCTTCGCTTGCGAAACTTGGCCTCGATTGCTCAAAAAACCACGCGCTTGATCGGTCGGACCAGGGAGCTCGTTTCTACGGCATATCCTCTTCCTCCTCCCCCTCGTCATGCTCCTCGGTTTTCCTATGCTCATTCCCAATCCAAGGACATTGCCACCACCCATCTTGACCCTCAGGCCATGCCAGCCCAGTATGTTGGCCCGGAACTTTCTTCTGGCGATCCTTGGGACAGACCTTCTCGTTGGCATACGCGCGGTACCGGTCGAGGAGATCGGTCATCTGCAACATTGGCGTTGAGGGACCAAAATGCAGATGTGACACGATGGCCTGCACATCGACAACGAAAGGCCTACCAAGGGTTCGGGGAATATCGGCGGTCATGTTCTTCTCGTCGTAGTTCATGTCGCTGACGATGACCGATTTGCCGCCGCGGAATTCACGGTGGACACGCGCGCCTTCCCGGACGTCCTTGCCCCACACCGCGACGAAGTTGAGGTTGGTGCGGATGTATTGCGTGTTCCAGAGACCTTCTCCGTGCGGCGGAACCGAGGCCATATAGTAGCGGTGTAGAACGTCTTCTTCGAGGTTTTGGAAGAAGGAGTAGTGTTGCTGCGCAGCGGTGGCCCAGAGATGGACACCGAGGCGCCATGGGTCATCGCCGAAACGGCTCATAGGGGTGTAGAGCAGGCTGGTAGTGTTCTGAGTCAGAGGCAGCCAGCGGTGGCCTGGGAAGGGGGCCTCTCCGAATAGCTTTTGAAGGGACTCATCGTCCGGGATAGCGCTGTTGTAGAGGTCGTTGGTATAAATCGGTCCCAAGGCCAGATTCTGATACTGTGAATCATGTGGGTGGACTGGCAGCTCGGATGCTCGCCACGTTGGCTTGAACCCATGCGTGCGTGGGACCGGGGCAGGCTCGGGGAGATATGGGCGGATGGCGCCGAGGTGATAGTGTTGCCAGGCAGTAATGGGACCGTTGATGAGGTTTGCGCTGATCGCATATGGCTGCGCGTGGTTGATACGGCTATGTACTAGGCGAGGTATCGTGTCTTCGTGGAAGTAGACCTATTCATGTGCAAGTCAGCCGGGATTCGGTCGCGCAGAGGCGAATGAGTGACACGCTCACCATGTCGTCGTCCATCTTGATGTACAAGGTGTCGTCTTCGGTTCCAAAATGCTCCCACATTCTTTCATAACTGCAATCTTCCGAGTGAGGCTCGTGTCGACATTTGGGCGCAACTTCGAGAGCTTTGTAACCCGGAGTGGAATCCACGAGTTTGTGAAGCCATTCGAGGTCGGCCTGGTTTCCCGTGTGTTCCACGAAATGAACCTCGTCCAAATAACCTCCCTGAGTGAATGTAAATCAGCCCCCCATTCTCCGATCTAGCTGATCCAAAATCATCACTAACCTGATGAACCAAATTCTCATAGAGGTAGCAATCCAAGATATCAATCAGATGTGGCCGACCATCTTCTCAACCAATTAGCGATCTCCGTGTGATTATGGTGTTGAAATGGGAGACCTTACAAAATACCAGTCCAATAATCTTTATGCCCTCCGGCTTCTTCCATTTCGAGGCGCGAGCGCGTCTCTCTGACTTCTCCTCTCCGATCTTCGCCTCTTCTCGTACCAAGCTTTGCGATGAACTGCGAGTCTTGGTCCCTTCAGCATGTGGTGCAGGCAGCTGTTCCGGAATCAATTTGAAAGCATCTTTCCGATCATATTTGGTCCAAAATCGATATTGGCGGTAAAGATCCGACCAGGATCCGGCTGGGATTGGTTTTGCGGATTCCCATGTTGAGCAGAGGAAAGGATCTGCACGGTATGGGGCCTCCTCTGGGGGCGGTGGTGGTGCCGACGATAGCGATTTTCGCGATGTATGGAAAAGGAACAGCACAATGAACGAAAGTGAGATGGCGAGGGCGATATACACGGTTCGCCGTCGCTGGGAGAGACGTGGAGCTGAAGAGCTGGAGCGTGATCGAGAGCGGGACTCTGATGATAAGGAATTGTTCCATCGGCTGCTGATCTGAAATGGAAGGCTATCGGTCCAAGATTTCGAACCGGGTTGACGCCATCGGTCCTCCGAGGTTGGATCCTCGATGAAAGGTTCGAAGGACTCTTCGTCTCGGTCCGGCATATTGATCTCTCAATAAAGGTAGTGTCGGCGGGAGAAGTCTCGAATGAATGTAGAGGTGGGTTTGCGCGACGCTGTTCGCTGTTCGCTGTTCGCTGGTGTAATCGTGCTGACACTCGGGATCAAATGAACGACGGTACACGCGAGCGGTCGACGCTTGCTGCAGATCCAAGGTATTAATATTGATGATAAGAGGTTATGGAGGAAAAGTAAGCATCAGGGCCACGCGTAGAGCGCGTTCCCCTGAGAGGATGATCCGCGCATGCATTGAGCTTGGCATCATGTTCGTGCATGTATTGGATCGTACATGCGCTACAACGGCGATCTGACTGGTGGGCAGGAAGCTCGGGGTGTCTTCGGGGGTCGGCGCATGGTGGCATTGATGAGAACTCACTCCATACAGGTGGCGTGAGAAGGATAACGGACTGCAGTGCCCGAAGTGAGCCACTGCCGTGAGCCAAACCCCCAACGGCAACGCTATAGACCGAAATTGGCTTCCCATAGGCTGCAGACACCCATCAAATTTATTTTTATCGACGTTCCGTATTCGTTCTGCAAGGGTCGCCTTGTAATGTAATCTCCCGCGCCTCATATATCTATCAGGCCCCCTATGTAATGCTTTCATCAGGTGTGATGTGTAGATGCCTGGCTTCTGAAAGTCCCTGGTCAGCCGAGAACCCTTCAGATTCGTCCATTGTGCAAATACATGCATGTATAAGAACCAAGTCCCTGACCGACAGGAAAGTTGGATGGGGACGAGTGCTCAGACACTTGCAATGGGGCTGACTGATTAGGGGGCCCCACCACACGATTTATCTTATCGGCGAACGGGAGAAGTGATCTTCAGGAGGTGCTGGTTGCTGATGCTAAGGAGCAGAAACCTGGCTGTCGACGAGCGATAAGGATCCGACCTCTTCGACTTGCTTCGGTTATAGTTCCATGGCCAGTCCTTCTGACGCGATGCACACAGAGAGCCGGAACCGTAGTCGTTGTGCCTGCCAAGCGCAGACGTTTCAGGGCGCAATCCGGTGCTGTCAGCGTGCCCAATTTGACCGCCGTTACTCCTATAGTACAATCGTGGGCCCTGATCTTCATTTGATGCCGTCATAACCTGCCACAACAGCGAGCGACTCAATGAAACAATACTCTGTCGTTCACGCCAGGCTTTTTGTATGTCGCTGTGCCCTGGAATGAGCGGCTCGGGGGCTCCCGTAGTGTTTGTGTTACTGTCATATGCAGCCCGACCGCTCAGTGAAAGCTCCCCAAGTCAAGGAAACAGTGCTGCACTGAACATTTTTGACCACATGTGAAGTCCACACGAGATGATAATCAGATCTGTAGATGAAAGGCCCGCACGTGGCGGCGATTGCCTTGTGGATGTGCAAGACGTGTTTTCGATGAAGACGAGCTTATTCATATTGCAGGACTTCATCCGGTCATCGCGTCGTCGTCAACATCGTCCAAACCTGAGGCTCTTCTCATTCACGATCATTGAGACCCTCACGCAACACGGTCCATGAACGCGGTCTCCTTTTATTTCGTACCTAGGTAGATTTCGCGTCCAGCTCTGGGCGCTGAAGGTCGCGGCAATGGCCTTGAGAGCGGCGCCATGAACAGACCGGCGGCGTCTGCTGCTGCCCACTTCTAGCAATTCCCCAATCAGGAAGGACATTGCTAGCCTTAACAACCGACTGGCAAACAACGACAACGGCGAGACTTGTTGCGATTCACGATCAGCTGCTATTCAAGGACTCATCTGTTTTTGTACAATACTTTGATTCTCAAGCATACATTCCTCCTCAGCGCGCTTCCATCATCTTCCCCCAGCGAATCAGAGACGGCCGAGGACCTCGCTCTACCAAGAAAAAAGATCTCATCTAAATCGAATGACACCACTCTCAACACCTTCCTGACGCATCGAAACCTTAGCATCTTCCCATTTGGGGCAAGCAGAGCCTTTGCCGTGATTCGTCACACAAGCCTGTCACCGCCCTCGCACACACCGCTCGCCGCGTCGTCCATCCGGGTCGAGATCCGCCAGACGCAAGAGAGCACTGAGATGCAGAAGTTTCACAGATTGAAATGGAGTACCAGTGTCATGCGGTTGAGAAGCCGCTAGCCCGCCTTTACCTCTCACTTGATGAGAAGAAGTAGGCAGCCGTAAGGTACTTGGTTTTTCGAACCGTGCCGGGTGCGACGTGGAATAGGTAGGTGTCTGGGTAATTGATGCATCTTGCCGAGTGGTTTATGTGTGAGATGAGCAAAATTCGCGGTACTCATGTTCTGTGTTGCACGTCTCTCGTGCAGCGGTGCAATCGTTGTTAACTCAATTCGTCAGGTCGGATGGTATCGTCGAGTGTGCAGAGTCGAGGTCGGGTCACCATTCATCAATGAGGCAGCGATACATGCCGTGATACATCTGCCATTGAGTATAAGGGCACATCAGGTCTCGTATGAATCTGCTTCTTGTTAGCTTCGGAACAAATTTGGTTTTAGCTTTCATAGATCAAGGACATACAACATTTTGTCGTTCCCTCATCCTTATTACATCGATCTGGCCCTCCAAGATAACTGCGACGACATACATCTTTCGAATTGACACACAAAAATCCTTGATAGCCCCTCTGCCAATCCATCAGTTTCACATCGTCCTCGATTACCACTGAGTCTTCGTTCCGGTGTGACTGCAAATCGTCACGCCTTCCAAGCGAACATCATCCTCCACTTCTTCATCTTCGCCCATCGTCCTCGACGATGCAACCAAATATATCCTCTATAAAATCTGGTCCGTTGACACGACTCGCTCGCAAGAAACAATCGCCATTGATGCTGCCAAGATTCTCGATCTTCCACAACACACCGAACTCCTACATCATACCGGCCGCGCCTACATCCAAGCCCACGACGCCAACATTCCCTTGGCGACTCACCTCCGCGACGAACTTGACCTCCTCTCCGCTCATCGTCCAACCGCCGTGGTCATGGCCGAGCTCATACCAACCATGTCTCGCATCGAACAGCACGCTCGAGAGAACCGTCTCGCGCGGGACGCTGCCAGCTGGCGATTCTACATCGAGTATGTGTTGTTACTCTGCTACGCGGCCCGGAGGAACCGAGGCGCATACAACACTTGGAATGATTTTGCGGGGATAGGATTGGTTTCCAGGCAGGACCGCATGATCGATGCCAAAATGTTGTTCTATGGCTATCGTGCTGGGGGAAAAGGAAAAAGTCATGCTAGTCTGGTGAGCGTCATTGAAAGGATCAAGAGGAGAATCCCGGAAGAGGATTTTGGAAAGTGGGAGGAGAAGTATGGGAAGAGGATTCAAGAGACCTTGGAGGACATCATGAGACGGACGATTGATTGATGTTACGTTGATTAATGTCGTGAAGGCGGTGGCGATGTATGATACTAGTGGTGTATACATCCTTGCGTTCGGTGCGGCTCTGGCCGTCTTGATGTTCAGCCCACAGCTTGCAAGTCATGTGGTTGACTGGAAGCTGGCTACTCCGGAGGACCTTCACAGACGGGCTCAGGCAATTGCTCTGTCCTAACCTGATCCGAGGTTGAATTTCCTATGCTGTTGGTCTTGCATGAACGTGTGTTGCTCACCACGATTGTCGATGCTCACGTCCAGTGCCCAGCTGCCCAGGTGGTTGGGCTTGTTAGGGTTGAGATTGGTCAAGAGTCGGAAGAATACGGGCACAAAGGAGGCGTCGGAGCGGGCCCAACAGTCGGAGCTCGACCCGCCATTGCCCTTGGACCTGGAGCGTCATTGCTGGACCGCGCACGCGCGCCACGAGCCGAGCTGTTCACCACTGCAAGTGTGAATCCACATTTCGTCATTGTCCACGATCACCAACTGGTTTTATTTATACGATGGCCACCTCAGTACGACCTTTGGCTGTGGCCAGCAGAGTCATTGTCAGCAGCAATACTCGGATTGGCACATCGTCAATATGTTGCGGAATCCGACGACAGCGCAGACGAGCGTTCCAGACGGCGACGACGCCCGCGAACAAGATTCCTGATCATGCATTCGCATTCGAGTACGTTTCAGCTCCGATCTGGTCGAGTCTGCGCCTGTAAAGGGCAAGAATAGAAGGCTGTAGTGCATGAGTGTACTGGAAGACCCATGGAATAGTTGCTAACTGCCGCTTCATCATCAGCATCGACGGCGTCCTCTTGCGATCTTCCACACCTATCCCTGGCGCAACCAAAGCCCTTCGATTTCTACAAGAGCAGCGCGTACCTTTCATACTACTTACAAATGGAGGGGGCAAAAGCGAAGAAGAGAGAGTAGCGGACCTACAAGACAAGCTAGACGTGCCATTGGACACGAGTTTATTCGTGCAGAGTCATACACCCTTCGCAGACTATACACAATATCATGACAAGACCGTTCTGGTCGTAGGAGGAAACTACGACAAATGTCAGCGCGTGGCGCAAGGCTATGGTTTCAAAAATGTAGTCACGCCAGGAGATATTATCACAGCCAACCCGGAACTATGGCCGTTCACTCATGTCTTCCGAGACTATTACTCCTCTTTCGCCAAACCTCTCCCACAACCCATTATCACCGATCCCTCAGCTACTCCCGTACTTGGCCAAAACCTCAAAATCGACGCCATCTTTGTCTACTCTGATCCCCGCGACTGGGGTCTCGATTCAGCCATCATCCTCGACACTCTTCTCTCCCATCAAGGCTACATCGGTACCCTTTCACCCAAGAATGGCGATGAATCTCTTCCCAACAACGGCTACCAACAAGATGGCCAACCGCCTCTGTATTACAGCAATCCAGACCTCTGGTGGGCCTCATCCTACCACCTCCCACGGCTAGGACAAGGTGGTTTCCGTAACGCTTTCGCCGGTCTCTGGGCCGCGACAACTCACAACTCGACTCTCACCCAAAGCGTCTTCGGCAAGCCTTCGCAGGAAACGTACGAGTTCGCCGAAACACGATTACGTGCACACCGGAAATCTCTCTACGGGAACAACGTCGTCGGATTAAACGATCCTCTGCGAAGGGTGTATATGGTAGGCGACAACCCGGCGAGCGATATCGCCGGCGCAAACGGGTACAAGAGTCCCTTTGGTTCACGATGGACGAGTGTTCTGGTCAAGACGGGCGTTTGGCAGGTCGGCGCGGAGATGGAGAGCCGGCCGGATGTGGTGAAAGAGGACGTGTATGATGCGGTCATGTGGGCGATGGAGGATGCCGGCAGGCAAAAGGGGATGATATATTGATCTCGTTTCTGTCAGAGATGATGAAACGAACCCTTACTTCCTACAAGCGGGTTTATGACGATAATAGAACAAAAGCGAACTTCTTTCATTTTGATTTCATATTTTCTTTACATTATGCCATGTAATCTTTCCACCTGTACACTTTTCTCTATGTTGAATTAAGTCTCGTGGTAGTTTTGCTCCCTTCTCCGACTACGATTGCCGTCTCACTTGGCGCTCAACACACTCCTCACGATACACGGATTGCCATTATCAGGACAAACCTTGGCCCGGTTCAGTTGCTTGTCTACAGGTCCTGTCGGTCCGCCGGACCACCGGCAAAGGGCATCGATTCCAAAGGGGCAGCTCTGCCTCGGGTCCGACTTGGGCAAATTCTCATCGCCCCAGCGGCCGAGCCAATACAGCCAGTCCGTTGGCGCGCTGTCATCGTAGGCCGTGAACGTTCCGGTCACGCCGGCGGTACGGTTGGAGGCTGTGCTGTAGTGATAGTAGTATGCGGAGAGAGTTGGGTCCCAGAGACTTCCGGCGGAGGTGTGGTCTGGGATCAGGAAGGGGAATGGCAGGTTGATGTTGGGCAGAGTGTGGTCGTGGACGCCGGGAGTGGCGTAGTTTGCGTGCGTGCCGTTGGCAGAGTAGGCGATGGGCTGAATATCGATGGTCAGTAAACTTGATGCAAAAGACATCTAACAGAAACGCCAAGGAAATGAGACATGCGACCTACCCTCTTCTCATCCTTCCCTTTCTCCGTCGCGGCATACATGAACGCCTGTCCATTCGCATGCTGACTGAACCACATCGCCGAAGGCGTGCCATTCACGAACCGCACCATCGTGTGCTCCCAATCTCCGACGTGGTTGCCAACGTTGAAGCTGAAATAATCGCCGCCATAGTCGAAGGCGTAGAAGTACATGTAGAACACATCCGTCACATTACTTCCTGGGGTAGAATCATGATCATTGACAATAATCGCACAGCTGACTGCATCTCCCGTCTGACCGGACGAGGACGGGCGCACGCCATAGAGGTAGGACGGTTGACGGGGAAAGGTAGTAAAGTCTTCTGTGCTAGAGAGTGAGGCGGAGTTGGAGAGTTGGCTGAGGTTGTCGAGCGTCAAGGGATTCGGTCCGTTCGTGATGGCTGTGAAGTTATTCTTGGGAGTAGTGTTGGGTGGAAGCTGCGCGCTGATGTCGGAAGGGTTGTAGTTCTCGCCGCTGAAAAGGTAGACGAGAGGTGCGTAGTCAAGGGCGAATGATGGCACACCAGAAGGAATTTGACGAGCGGAAGTCGTACCAAAGAGGATGGCGGCGCCGGTAAGACCAGTGGCGAGATTCTTGTGAGAGAACATCGTGGAGAGCACGAGATGAGGATGCCGGCAAATACAGGCGTACCAGGATTGACCTGAATGGCGATGCCGTGTGGTTGTCGAGTCGGTCGTGAGGTCAAGCCAGCAGTAGATTTAAGGACAAAGAAGTCTTTGTGTAATTCCGCTTCGGAGGATTGACTCCTCGATGGAGAACGCGTGTACGATTATAGCAGTGCATCGCTCCTCGACGATCCCACAGTGGTAATAGCGACACCAATGACGATGCGTTAATACTGCACTCTCTCGACGATCTCCGCATCACTAAGCGAACAAGAGGAACGCCATGGCCGAAAGGAGGAACCGAACGCCGAGGGAAGACATGATGTCTCACATCCAGCTCAAGCGCATTGCGATACACATCTAAGCACGGTATACAATTAACATGCTAGACTGCATCTCTATGAGTGTTATCACGACGTCCATCTCGCCCTCGCGATAGTAACGTCTCAAGACCCATCGTGAGGCATAGTAGACGAGGATCCCAGCGGCCGAAGCCTGCCCGCATAATCTCCCTTCGCCCACATGGACTCCACGCCCGCCCCTAAAAAACAAGAATGCGGAGGAATTGCCCAAAAGCGCCCAGCGTGATGATCGACAAAACCAGATGACGAAGCGGCACAAACCTAACTCCTGCCAGCTGAGGATGCAACGTGCACCTGCATTGAAATACCACCTGGGTCGCATGGCCCTCTATCGGATTCAAAGTCGTTTCCGCTCGTTTCGTCTGGCATTCTCCTCCTGCGAGGCTGCAAATGCATCCGTTTTGAAGTAGACACGTTCCTGTCCTAGTGATGTCTATGCTACGATCCGACTCATCCTCCTCAACCTACGATGGTGGATGTGGTAATGACTTGATATGGCAATGCCCATCGTTCGGTCAGACTCGAAACGACTTTCGAATATCGAAGAACGATATACATGCCCGCCAGATCCCTGGTCGCTCTTGATGTCGTGCCCTAGGTGGACATAGAGGCCTAGGCACGGACCTATCTGCGACTGAATTGATTTCGTGATGAAGGTGAGGGGTGCAATACAAGAAAACAGATGCAGGGCATCGACGACATCCGTAATGACAGCATCCTCACAGACAAAGGGGTGCAAGTAGTTAGAAGATGAATGGCGGTCTCAGAAATATTAATGGTTGGTTCTTTTGTAGTATATTTAATTGCTTCGAAATGAAGTGCGCGCATGATGTACCACCACCTCATGCACGCGTATTATGGCCAGAAATGATGGCGATTTAGGCCCTTCCAAATGGGAAGACAAGAAGAAGTATCAGAAAGAAGCCGTGGGTATTGGTTTGTGAAGTTGCTTCTGAACTTCCGATCATCATTGTCTGCTTGCTAACTCCACACTTCTGTGTTTCCACGCGCTTAAAAGACGAACTGTAAAGCGATCCTTCGTTAGCACAATTCACCTCGAATTTGAAAGGAATTTGGGAAGACCAGGGGAAGGAGGGAACCAAATACTTACTGGAATGAACAAATACGGCACCCTCTTCTCATACTCAGTCCAGCTAGCACCATACTTCTCCCGACATCTCTCGATATCCCGCATAGCGCGATGCACGATCATCGCCGCGAAGAAAACGGGATAGAACCAAGGGTACGGACTCGAGAAGCCAGTGATCAACGCCCAGCAAAGCGCGAAATACATGTCACAGGTGTAATGCATCTTGCGCACGTACTTGAACCATCCATCGACCAGGATGCTATCGCCAGTGTCGGTCTTGATGTGCTCAGCGTTGTCGATCGCGCGCCATGGAAGTTGAGGGAATGTCTTGCGCTCTTGATCGTAGCCCTTTTCTTGCGCACGGAAGTGGTTCTTTTGGCTGTTGGCGGTATCCCAGGCCCAGTACATGAAAAGGTAGGAAGCGTACAGGAACACGAGGACGGGCTTCGGCCAGGCATATTCGCTGGGATGGTGGTTGGCCAGGTACACGGTGCAGTGGCAGTAGCTGAGCGGCACACCCGCCATGTTCCAGAAGATCAACATGAAACCCCATTTCTCGTAGTACATGTCCCATGTGATGGTGATCATCTCTTCACCTTTGCCGCAAGCGTTGGCGTAGAGGAAGTGAGCCATAAGCAGGAAACCGACCTCACCAGTCACGTAGCCGTATCGCTCCCATTGCCGGGCTGCGGCAGAGAGAGTGATGAGGAAGAGAATGTACCATGGTAGACGGACCTCGAAGAACATCTTGAAGTCCAACCACTTGAACATACGCGGGTTCAACTCGGCGCCCATGAAGAAGTCGTAGACGTGGTATCCAGTCATGCGGTGCTGAGCGCCACGTGCGAGGGCCGAGACGTAGGCAACGATGCTGACGAGGAAACCGGAGATGATGGCGACGCTCATCAACGGGCCAAACTCGTCGATGAGAGTGTACAGCTTGAAGAGTCCGGTGAAGTGCAAGACTCCTGCGAGGAAGATGGTGAAATAGAAGCTGGTGACACCGTTGCAGTAATATAGCAATTGCTTTCCGCCTTCGTGCGGGAGCGGTTTGCCCTTCGAGTACACGCCTGGCATGAACAAGTAAAGGACCATCTGCACGACGAAGAAGACCCAGTAGATCGCCCAGGCTTTGGCATGAGGGAATGCTCCGACATATGCGAGGTTCACCAAGTGTTTGAGGAAGTCCGGCCAGCTGAGACCTGGCTCGGAGGGAATCTTTCCATTGTAGTAGACCGCACCGATCCACATATACCACATCAGCGTCGGGAAGCCCAACATCATGGCGGTGACACCGAAAGAACCACCAAAGTCAAAGGTCGGGCTCAGGTCGATCTTGGGATCCGAACCTTCAGCCCAGCCATCGATGATGCGAGGCTTCTTGTCCTTGTTCTTTGCTGAACCATTGCCGTGTCCATTGCTCTTTGAGGGTTTCTCGTAATCGATGTCGGGTGAGTCTTCGAGAGGAGCAGCCTCGGATTTACGAGTGGAGCGGCGTTTGGTGCCGGGAGTCTCGACAAAGCCTTCGGGAAGGGCAGATTTGCTGGAGAGATGCGCGCAACAGCTGAGTCAGTCGATATGATCGGACGACATTCTGATTTTCCTCGTTGAGGGTTGAAGTCGCAATAGCACGCGAGCCGAACGTTTGGTGAAGGCGCGCATGAAACTGACAGGGTTCGAGTGTGATGACGAGGGAAGGCGAAATCTTACCGAGGGGTCTTGCCCGTCTGCGAGCGTGTGACGGTCATGACTGCTCAAAATGCCAGAAGTGAAATAGACACTCCAGGTGAGCAATGGTGATGTTGTGTTGACGATGCTGCTTCCCAAGGAGAGGGAGGGTGGACCGGTGGAAGGAGTCGAAATTGTCTCGACAATCCGACGGGAAAGCGCGCGCGCCCAATGGACGAATAATCTCCCTGCTCGACTATTTATTTACTACATACTAGTATTACTGTACTAGGCGTTGCCGCCAACTCCGGCTTGCCCGGCTACAATCTGCGAATACTTTCCATATGAGCAATGTGTGCCATCTCGCGCACCGGGATCTCACTTGATAATCTCAACAGTGGTTAGTGATATATAGCGTCGGTGATGCGCGTGACATACGTTGTTCAAATAGAGAGATGATTGTGATCGCGATGCGGGAATCGAATGAAGCCGGACAAGCCAGTTGGAGGGAATCCCCCAGCAACAACAACAAATCATGATCCGCTTTACTGTAATTTCGCGCTGGCGAAATTACCGGTTTTGGGTCCGGAACGCCGATCAGATCGGATGACTCAGCCGCTCGGTATCGGACCCCGGGCATCGTCTTCTCCACATGGGCACAGCTGTTGTCTCTCAGCCTGAGCGCAGCAAGATCAATGACGATTGACGACTGCCCAGGTGTAGATGAGCGCCCGGTGATAAGAACACCATGCCCTCAACGTTATCTGGACGTCGCTTCCTTATGGCGACGGCCTGACTCTACTCTGAAATGTTGCGTCCGACCGCCTTCGACTTGATGATCATAGGAACATGAAAGTGCATGGGCTCACTCGATACCACACGTTCTGTGCGTGCATGATTGCTTATTATGAGAAGAAGGTTGAATGCCTGGTGGAGTTTGCAACCGAGCAATCTACGGAAGGACTCCTGCGTCAAGGTCCAAGAGCGAGATTGAGGAATGTACTGCTCCCAAGCATTCGCTTGCTTACGGATGAGTGACACTCACCAGCATCCCAATCTCCCAGAATTAGGAGACGCAGCTCTGGCTGGACTTGTTTGTTCAGACGATGCCGGCACCCAGGCAGTATGGCCCCTTAGGGTTACCACGACTGGTGCATCCATCAACGTCATTACACCTCTGTCGAGAGCTGTATTGTTCCTCCTCCTCCTGCTCCTATCACTAGCTGTCAGATCAGCATCGTGTTCTCAGTAGTCAATATCAAATTTAGGTTGACCATCTCCAGACATAAATCGAAAAGATCATTCCACCATTCCAAGTGCAAAGCAAGCATCGCGTCTCTGATGTCTGTAGATCCCGCGATCCTCTGCTTGCTTCCCTCCATCTCCTCTACGTCTCCCTCCAATCCTCCCTCCATCTCGCTCTCGTCGCTGTCAGGTGGTACGTCTGCTGCTCGTACGCAAAAGCTCACCGTCAACGACCAAAGCACGACCAACTCAAAAGCCACCGAGTCAAGACACTACTTTCTCAAGACAAGTTCCTCTCCTGATGCCTCGACCATTTTCAGAGGCGAGCACGTATCTTTATCAGCATTATCCACCGCCATTCCTGATTTCTGTCCGAGACCGATCGGCCATGGCACGTACGAGAATGATGCCAGAACATCATTCCTGTTGACCGAGTTTATCGAGTCTGGCGGATCCTCTTCCACCCAATCTTCCTACCATGAGAACGATGAACCTCCGCTTTCTCTCGCTGCAAAGATTGCCCATCTCCACTCGCTTCCTTCATCAATTGCCGAGGATCTTGAAAAGCCAGGTTTTGGATTCCCCGTCACGACGTTTTGTGGTGATACTCCACTTGACAATTCATGGTGTTCTACTTGGGTGGAATTCTTCGCAGAGAGGAGGTTGTTGGCAATTGCCGATCGGTTTGAAAAGCTGCATGGGAAAGATGACGAGCTGAGAAACATTGTTGACAGAGTGTGTTCGGAGGTTGTAAAGAGACTATTAGGAAACGGTAGGTCTCCTGTGTCATCTCGACCATTTTAATTTTCCTTTTTGCCTCTTTGCAATGCTCGCCCGATGTTTCATCTTTCCCCATCATCTCCTCTTTCATGAGCAATAATGTGAACATGAATTTTCGAACTTCACTGCTTTCCGTCTACCTTTCCATCGGCTTATCGGCCACCTGCTAATTTCTATCCTCCTCACATCAAAGAAACTCTTTGCTCACCACATGGTCCCCCACCGCGTCTAATCCACGGCGATCTCTGGTCCGGCAACACAACCATCGGCACACTCGCACCATCAGAAAGTCCCTCCTCCCGTCCCGAAGCCCTGACATTCGACCCGTCATCCTTCTACGCACACTCCGAATTCGATCACGGCATCATGAGCATGTTTCCGGGTGGGACATTCGATTCGGAATTTTGGAGGGAATACTTTTCCGTCAAGGAAAAGGATGAGCCCAAGGAGGAATACGATGATCGTGTGGCCTTGTATAGGAGCTGGCATGCGTTGAACCACGCTGTGGGTATCTTCGGACGATCTGCTAATTTACGTTGAGACTGATTGACATCTTTGGTTTTAGGTCATGTTCGGCGGCCGCGGATCATATCGGACATCCGCACTGAGGACTCTTAGGGATCTTCTGAGCAAGTACGGTACATCGTGAACTGGTGGTGGGGCGATGCATTGCCAGACTACCGTCAATGAAACCGAATCCTGTGGCTGGTACCCCAAGGATCCAAGGTCGAATCGGGCTTGAATACCTAATCGTGGAGATTGTCGAGATGCAGGGAGCGGGCAAGTAATTAGAGCAAGGATATTGTCATAATTCGATGTGGCTCAGCCGGAGTTTCCAGGCGAGAGTAGAGGAACAGAGAAGCTGTGGAAAATGGGGGGTTGAACCGTCGCGCATGGTAATGATCAGCCACAATACAGTTCGCTTTCTCTAATTCAAATCAGTATCTTTATGACTTTTCAGTACGTAAGAACTCGGTCGTCGAAGTCGTCACGGCGCGGATGCTAATTTTACGCGAGGATGCCCGTGAGGTATGCGAGTAGCCGGAACGCACGCAAGCGAGACGGAGCAAGGGGATTCAATCGGGCCGCACATGACCAGTAGATGCCGTTTATTCACTTATATAGTTTTTTTTCATTCTTGGTATAGATGGGTATCCATCAAGATCATCGTTATATCATTTCATGAAGTTTCCGTCCGAATATCCAGTACAGCCTTCTCAACTGCTTTGAGAGGCAGTACCCTTGTCCGAGGTAGTGCTGTCATGGCCGGTTTGGTGGTTACCGAGGGCCTCCTTCTTCCTGAAGAAGTGGCTGGTGTCTCCCATGGGAAAGCTGAAGTTGAGCGCTTCGGAGCACATCAAATTGGCGACAGTGTAATAACCGAGCATGCCACTCGCGAACGCAAATGCCCCTCCCGTTATATTCACCACTTTGGCGGTGGCGGTGTGTCCGTCGGCCAAAAGGAAGTAGCCCGCTGAGACTAGAGTGAAGGCCATCTGCACGGTGAAGAAGATTCCTATGTAGACCAAATTGATGGGAAGCGATCCAATGAGGAAGAAAAAGTTCCAGACCGACCACACTGTGAAAAGTGTGAAGGTTAGTATTAATTGCGGCTGATCGGACCAAGCGCTCTGCGTGAGACTTACTCAGAACAAAGAAGCCGAGCGCATTGTAGTATTCGGCTTCAGTCGTATACGACTCTCTGACGCCGAACGACGGGGTGACGATGAATCCGAAGCCAGCGTAGAAAAGACCAAACGCAGACAAGACGGTGTATGCGTATGTGTTGCCGAGGACGAGTTCCCAGTTGGCGGAGATGACCTTTGTAATTGCAGCATGTCAGTGAGACGGATCGAGAGTAAGGCGATGCTTGAACCAGAGTCATACCATGCCGATACCTGCAACGCCGAAGAAATCACCAATGAAGGCATTCGTTACGCTGACACCCCGGAAACCCATCAGGGCAAAGCTGAGGGTCGTGAGGGTTGTGGAGAAGGCGCCGATGGCGAGCGCGGTCTAGGAAAAGTCAGCGATGTGCGCCATGAAGGTTGACTGTCAAGCTCCGTCTCGAGAGCATACTTACTGGAGATCCGAGCTGAGCCTTGATGGTGATTGGCACAGGAACAAAGTATGGCTGCACCGAGCCATTGCCAATGGCGGCCGCGTGAGGCTCTGAAGTCGCAATCTTTCCAGCGGCTAATTGGTCGTAGAAGCCTCCCTGATTGAGATCACTTCGCCAGTTCTCGAGCTGCTCAATGCGGTTGTGATGCGCCATTGTCGATGTTGCTAACTGCGGTGTAAATTGAGTGTTGCGAAGTATGTATGCAGATCGAAGAGCACACGAGCGTCAAGTTCTTCGCCCAGTCGAGTCCGCGCTCACGAGGGATACGTGGTAGTCAAAAGATGCGATCCGGAATCCTTGAGTGGAAAAGAAGAAATGTAAAGTTCACGAGGCGATACATCGATAGAAATTGACTCGAGCGACAGCAACACCATCAGCAGCATCATGGCGGGCGCCGATCAGTTGGAGCCAATGGAATGGTGGGTGATGGAATTGTGCGCATTGTTGCTCAGATGTCGCCAACGGTTTGGTGGTGACGGACGCGCATGTTTCGGCACGTCTAGCACTGTAGTTTGCTGTGGTTTTGGTGGAGGTTGAGCTTTTGGCGGACGATGGCGTGCTTGTCGCGCCAAAAGCGCAATGTGTGGAGAAGACGAGCATTGGAGGGAGACAGACAGCTTCACGCCCGCGAAGAAGGCTCGACGTGCCGCAAGTTTGCAGCAGATCCAACACTTCATACAAGTACAACGTGTCGTCGTCAGCGCCAACTTGATGGCATGAACCATCTAGTCACCCCTCTTGGAAATGTTCTTTCTGGTGGCAGCGATCACGCGATCAAACACTATGTGGAGGAGCAATAACTCTGCTATCCTTGATCTTCTGCTATTTTGCAGCCGAATTCTTATTCCAATAGAATCGTACAGGGAGACATTCCAACCGCCGAGGAGGCTACGTCATCGCTAGTCATCGCGTAAGAATCCGTCAAACCTACAGCACAGTACGGTACGTCGCTTCCAATGCTTCGTTTCGGGGAGCTCGTTTGCTCGCTTCGATGCATACCGCACTGTAGATGAACAAAGACGTGTACTCGCTACTAGACAAATCAACCAGAATGAGAATCGCGAATACATACATAGCTTTACAGTTGCTGTCGGTGTGGTGATGTCGAGGTCAGCCTCTCGGACTCGCAGAGCGCTGAGTATGCTCGTGGTCCGTCATGTCATCACATACCAACCATGCCTTCGAAACCGAGCTTCTGAAGTCGCTCTTGATTGGCGATCTTTTGTAGACACCAGGGCATACCGTCAGCTATGATGATGATCATCCATGGCAGCCAGACTCCCCGGATTTGGCTCGGGCATGATGATAGAGACCAGCCCTTGCTCCATGGTAGAGCGACCATTCGGCCACCTACCGCCTCGACCAAATGTAGTTCTCCGCCTTGTTCATATTGAATCCTCGCGCTGTCATGCTGCGCAACCGCATGGCATCTCATCACCAAGCGTTTCGGTCCCAGTTTGGATCCTGCACAAACCCTCCCAACACACGGCTGCCTGTCTGCAGAAGCGGGTGTCCGACCACAATCTTCAGAAACCGTTCCAGCCCTCGTCTTCGCTCTTCGATCACGCCGTCATCGAATCGATTGAGATATACCTTGCCAGGGAGCGGTGGGATGCTGACACGTGCCGACTCGCGCTCGAGTAGATCGCGGAAGACTTCGAAATCAGAATACCGCCGGCGCACTTCACTCCGACGCAATTTGAAGGCAGGAATGTTGGTGGAAAGGCGGATCAGGTAGGTCGTGTATCGCGAGCTGGGACTGGCAGTAGGTTGGTGGGTCTGCGGGTCAACGACCTGTATCATGTGCAGTCACATCAGCGCATGGGCCCCGGGGATGGCAAATTGCCCCAAAAACCGGCGAAGATGATCTCACCTCAATCTCGAGGAAGTTCTCTGGTACTCCATAAATCTCCTCGAAGCTTTGTGTGTGTGCATCGCGACCCGTGCTCGCAAAGCCGGTCGGCAAATTGCCTGAGCCCGGTCGGTTCTGAGAACTCTCCTGACCTTCCTGTCCATAGTTCGCAGTTGGCGTGGGATCAATCTGTCGTGGTTCTATACGCTGCATGTTGCAAATGTCTGCAGTTTTGTTACGGTGCCGGAGTACTCAGATGCAAAGATAGCAGCGAGGGCGCTTCAGGTAGCTCGTTGATTGTTTTCGCCTGTGCCCTATGGATGCAAGCGAGTGTGGATTGAGACAGGTGTCTTGCTACGGACGTAGAATTTGTTATGAGTATCTCAAGTTTGTTTCGCGGTTGCAGGACTTCGCGGCTGGGCGGGCGTTTCTCTTGGCTGTCACGTTGTTATCGCGCGGCAATGTACGGTATCAGCCCTGAAAGTGGGGAATCATCATCACTCCCGAACATCAGGTGCGGGCGAGTGGAAAAAGGTGCCGCGAGTCATGATCGTGAATCGTGATCATTTCATGTCTGCTACAACCTTGGAATACATGCACTATCCGACAGACTGTGCATTTCTCTAGTTCCTGAAAGTACAATATGCCTCGTCGTTCATGTTTTGTCGCTTCACCAACGGCGTGAACCCCATCTTTCGTAGTTGGACCGATCGGTCTGCCAAGATCCCATTCTCGCCCATGGAGAGAGAGTACGTAGATTCGTCGCGCACGCCCGATAGACCGAATTGACTTGCGACGTTCTTATAGCCTTCAGCATTGACCGTACCATCTTCAAGTGTGCCGTGGCTATCGTCATCGCTCTCCCAAGGCTTCCTGCAAAACGGACAAGTGACCACCTGGCTTCGTTTCGTTGCTGCCCATTGCGCGAAGCAAGGCTTGTGCAAATTGTTGCCGCAACCAGATCTGCACCAAACAAGCTCATCCCTACTTTGCTCAGAGACGAGGTCATCGCAACAGATGGGACATTCGCCATCAGTCGGTTTTCGATGTCCATCGTCCGAGTCTACGTCTTGTTCGTGCGGCAATAGTGGCGCACACTCAAAGATTTCCCGAAGCTCAAAGGAGCAAAAGGCGAGCTGATATTCTAATTCAGGCCGTACCTTCAGAACACGTGAGAGGACATATATAATGTGCTTGCATTGTTGATTTCCTTTGCGTGCATGCGGACAATCGCATGTCGGGACCTTGTCGAAGATGATGATATAAATATTGCCAGTAGTTCCCGCACGGGTAATAGCCTCAGTTGGACGACCGTTCTCTATGTTGTCCTGACGCTTTCGATCCATCACGAACATGCGTTGCGTCAATGCTCGATAGCGAAGTTTGTTGTGCTCATTGGTAGGCCTCAGTCGAAAACGCTTAAGACGCTTCTCATCGTCTAGTTGCAGTTCTCCTTGCTGTCGCTTCATTACGAATTCACTTTATATCGTGCCAGAGTCTGGCGAACGCTTCCGTTTTGCAATCTCTCGATGTGACGGCATGTTTGGTTTCGTACTTGGCTCCGTGATGTCAGCATTGTTATCGCTGGTTATACTAATAACCAGAATATAAATCGACGAAGTGTTAGGCACTTTAGGCTACCGATCTTACGCGTAAGCTTAAATTTCTAGATCTCTAGATATAAAGGGAAACTAATTGATTATCTATATATATAATGTTACTTATACTCGTAATATGTAGAAATACTAGGGACTTTAACGACGCTAGATCTAGCCTATAATAAGCTACTATTCTAAGAGACTTTAGCTATAATTTAAGTAATAATCTTACGAGTTATATATTTATCTAACTTATACTAATATAAGCTAATTTACTACTAATATATTAGCTAGAATAGTTACTTTCTAAGAACTTAATAGTACTATTAGTAATTAATATTTTCTTATACCTTTATTATCCTGTATCTTGTTTAATTAATATTAGAAGTAAAATATATTATTATAATATAAACTAACGTAATCCATCAGCGAGCCGGCCACACCACCGAACCCGCCACTTTTCCTTGGCATTGAAAATGAGGTGACTGCAAACATGGTTTATTTGACTACATACCTAGTTATACAGCTGCTATGCTAGGATATGATTCAGAAGGAGCATCTCTATCCTGCTGGCAGGTTCGCGAGTTGTGTCCAGCTATTCCGCAGTTTCCACATCGTCGTTGAGTTAGAAGTCCTCGTTCAGGACCAGCTTTATCACGAGTCCTTTTCGATTGTTGAGCACTCAGACCCGCATCTACGCCTGCCTGCAATGCTCCAATACCATACTCTATAGATCCACCTTGCTGTATCTGCTGCCGTTTGCGCGATCTTCTCTTAGTTAATACTGCTAATTGCTCTTCAAGCTCTGTAATCCGTGCAGCTTGAAGTACATTCTGATGGAGCATCAACTCAGCACCTTTTACCAACTGTGAGAACCCTTCCTTAGCTTCGGGTGGAGATCTAAGGAAAGAGCTACTAATCAGCCGTGATTGAGATCCGAATTCATGCGAATTGCTTGGTGTTTGGGACTCCCATGCTGCTTCCGGTAATAGCTGTCGAGGAGGGGTGTGTAAACGTATATCAAGACGATCAATGACTGTTTGCGCGTCTGTACGGACTATCGCTGTTGCCTCAAAGGCCTTTCGACAGTTCTCTTTCGTAAACACGTCGAAAAACGCGTCCTTAAAGGCTAGAAGGAAGTTCTCTTTGTTGATATAGAAGACGCGGTTCCGTGCCAAGCCTCTGACACGCTCAGAGTATTTTCTCTTCAGCGGTGAGAAACATACTACGTCGAGAGGCTGGAGGATGTGAGATGAATGT